GTTCGGTGCAGCCAAAGGGTGCACAACAAAGACTTGTCTCAACAGTAGGCTCTCGAGCTTGTAGCGAACTGTAGTTGTGATTGCTAACTGGAGAACTCCCAGAGCTCTCCAGAACGAGTGACTATATACTATCTAAGTCCCAGGTATCTCTGTACCTGTCCTGTGTGTGTGGTAGCTCATGGTCGCCCGTCTACCCAAGTCTACCCGTGGTAGCTCGTGGTAGACTGCGATCCAAGGCTACCGCCTGTCCCGGGTAGCCAGCGTCCCTGGGCTACCCAACGGGCCCCCGCGTCTTGGCTTCCCAGCCGATTGGGTGAGGGCAGTCCTGCTGCGCCCCACGCGGTCCCGTTATATGGTTGGTTCGTGACACGTATAAAGAAGGGGTAAACAACAATTTTTCAAGACTAGGTCGAAAACTGCCTTACCTTCTACATCTCCTATAAAGCCTAAGGGTTCTTTACCCTCTTAAAGCTCTACCTAATTAGGGGTCCTTTCGGTAGTTTAAACTAACCCCTGAAAAAGTTTGTTTAGGAGTTACTTCGAGCAGCGTAGGCCTAAGATCTTATCCGAAACTATATAGGCTTTAATAAGCTTATTCCCGATAATATAGTTTATAGTAACTAGACGGCTATTACTATAGTTGAAGGTTAGGGATATATTACGAAGGAATAGTATCCCTAGTAGGATATCGTAGCCCCCTATATTACCGTCCAATATAAAGAAGTATTCCGTAATAGCGTTCCCGGCTAGGATGATTTTTATAAAGGCTTCTCCTATAAATAGTTTAGACTAGTATAATCCTTTCGAAACAATTTCTATAGTCTGGATAGGAAGGCCGTACTTCTTCACAAGGTCTAGGGTAATTATATTACATTCCAACCCTAAATCGAGAAGTATAAGCTCCTTATTACTGCGGATATCCTTAAACTGGCAGTAGAGGTTTGGTAAGGTATATATCCGGGTAATTACTCCAAGCTCCATCTTTTAACTGAATGTAAGCTGACTACAGAGTATCTTCAACAATTCCTCTACTCGTATAGTCAGAGGCTTATTATAGCTACCTTGAAGGAGCTTTTCCCAGAACCCTCCCCGAGCTACCAACTATAGGCTGTCGGTTATAATACTAAAGATCGCTAGGATAGTTTCCCCCTTCTAGTCAACGCCCCAATAGTTTCCTAAATTATTGATATTCGTCCTTACAGACTATAGGAGTCCCTTACCTTCCTTAGATACTATATAGGCTATATCTTACCCCAGGATGCTGGAACCCTTATAGTTAATAACCTTATAGGATAAGCCGGCTATACAAATATAGGCTAGTAAAGCTTTACAGTATACCGGGGAGATCTTCAGAAGGTTATCTATAGTTAATAAGGATTTAACTTACAAAGATTTATAGACTAGCTCCTTAAAATACCCCACCACATCTAGCTCTCGGGCTTTATCGGATATTACTTCTTTCTTAACCGGCTTCTTTCCCACAGCCGAAGATAGTTACACCCTCTAGTCAGCTGAAGAAGGCCCGAGCAAACGCTTAAGAATTATCTTCCGGGCTTCCCGGACCTCATCGCTATCTTAGATACCATAAAGGGGTCCCTCACTCTCAACTTCTTGAAAAAGGCATTTCGACGGGGGTACTCCTTACACTATCGTAATTACTTCTCCTACTTCCACTTCTTCTACTACTCTAGCTTCTTCTGCCTAGGCTTGCTATTAGGCATCGTCGCGTAGCTCTTCTAGGTTCTTCTAAACGCACTGCTACACTATAGTACAACCTCCTTATTCTCGGTCTACAAAGAAGTTCAACAATCTAGCTATAGTATAGGCGAAAAGAGATCCGGCTATAGGGTTACTACTTTCAGCGATACGGTTAACGGAAGTACGGACAGATTCTTAGAGTTAAGCTACTTCGTTAGCCTCTCAGATAAACTTAGCGTTAGTAATCAGACTAATATCAGGCTTATACTCCCACCCCTACTTCGATCTATAGGCTATATACCAGTCTTAGTATAGTCCCCAGCTAGTTAGATTAGGGTATCTAGAAGTATAAACTCGAACAATATATATCTAATCTCTATAGTTAACTACTTTATCTATATCGTTTCGGTCCACTCCTACCCGATATTGTTATATACCAGCGTAACCGCTACTCCCGAGAAACCAATTAAAACCCTCTTTTTCCACTAATCCTTTATAGATATCCTTAGAAAAGGTTAGATATCCAATAATAAAGTAGGTGGTAAGGCCATAGTAGTAATAGCCTAAAGGGTTCCGAGATCTAGAGTTAGGTTTAAGTCCCCCCTTATTTCTCCTTAAACCTCTAGAGTAGCTACTATTATAGCCGCCTCAACCTCCGCAGGCACCTTATATATAGGTTTTAAATTCTTCTACTTTAGTATCGGAGATCCTAGTTCTAATAGTTCTAAACTTCTCAATCACTCTAACGTAACCTTTCTCAAGGCGGGACTTATTAATCCTCAATTCCTCTAAACCAGCCATTAAATCGTTAACATCCTATTCAGAGTCCGAGCCCATCTAGATATCGGAAGCGGATACAATTATTATAGTAGGTGAACTTTTTACAACTATAGTAGATTGGTTAACGATACTACCCTACTTCACTTTAGCTAACTTAGGCTCGAGTTTATAGAATACAGCACCTACGTTCACACCGTTATACAAATATTTCTGAAGGAAGTTGTAGAACTCAGACCATTCGAGAGAATCAATATCATCTTCAAAGTTCTAATACAGTCTGTACCCGGCTCGGAATATACCTAGCAGTTTATCCCAGATCTTATTAACAGCATTAATCTTTATATAAACCTTCTTCTTCTTTAGTACTCTAGTTAGAAGGACTTTAACTTTTTCCAAGTAGTTATAAACACTCTAGACATCTAGACTATAGGTACCCTCGATAGCTCGGTCAAACTCCTTAATCGAATTATTCTTATAGGAGTTGTTCTACTACCATCTTTCTTTAACCGTTACCTCGAAATAAGCTTAGGTATCTTTCTTATCTTCATCCCAATCATCAATGATCTCTCGGAGGTTATTATCGTACCATTATAGAAAGTATAGGATCTTATTATATTCTTCTACCCCGCTATACTTATAGAAGGCTTTTCCGAATCGTTCCAAGTAGAGTATAGGTTTATACCCCTTAAAAGGTCTAGGTAGGCCGTTATCTAACTAGCTAGGGAACAGGTTCTAGAGCATCTTAGCAAGTCGGTCCGCTATCTTATCGATTAAACAGGCTTAAGGAATGTTAGTTACCGAAGGCTTAGGGGCTAGAGTATCTAGGTCAACTAACGCAGCAGTTTATACAGAGGCCGGTATCAAAATTGGAGTACCATCTATTGAGATCGCTACCTATCCAGAGGGAGGGCTGGTTAGTAGAGGTATTTACATTACACAAAGGTAGTAAATATCCGTTTGTCCGATTTCGATCGAGATACATACCATCGAATTCTAATACAGATTTTAATTCCTTCCTATACACCGAGCCCACAACCCTCCATCCTTTTTAGATCTTTACCCTCTAACCATATTACTCCAGTAATTATCTATCTTCTCAAACCAACAACATCCTTCCTAGTACACGTTCCAAAGGAGGTCACAGATACCCTAGCAAGTTTGCTTAACCAAGCCGAGTAGCGTAATTATTATCGTTACTAATCCGTTCAAAATAAGCCACACTAGGCAGAGAAAAGTCAGCCAGACCAGGGTTAAGCCTACCTCGAGGAGGTAAACGAGAAGTTAAGTATTATATCAGTTATCCAAAGATTATTATTCCGGATCCTATTATCCTACTTCTCTACAGTAGGCCGATCGCTTTTCGTATATCGATCGCCTACTAGTCAGAAGAGTCTCTTAAGGATCTGATTATCGTTTTTATTAATAAGTTGGCGGAGCCTTTCTCCTTCGAACTTAGTTCGGCCGGATTAGTAACCCTTAATCCTTCGTCAGGGGTTTCATCATCATCTTTCGAGTCTCACAGCCTCTACCTCGTAAATTCTCTCGCAACTGAATCCATCCTCTTAATAAATTATCCTTCTAATCAGAAGGTTCTATAGCCCAGTTTGGACCCAGAGCAAAGCTCCTCCCCGATTAAGCCCCCATTTAAAGTAGCGATACACCTCAAACCCATATACACCACTAAACACTTACAGTAGATCACATACCACACACACGTTATAATATTAATATTATATAAAGGAGGAATTGGCTCAGAGAACAATCTTCAACACCACGGATCCTACAACCGTGGAATCAATGCACCTGCGTACGTAGCCTTCTGGTCAGAAGGCCGCGGTCACAACTACCGCAAAAAGGAGGTCACTTCAACAAGTACGGAAAAAGAAATAGAATTGCATACCCCATAAACTCTGAGAGGGCTTGAGCCTCTGACTAAATACAAGGACGCCCCAGGCGGACGAACGCAACGAAGAAACGGAAAAACAAAATTCCAGACCCCATGTCCCTCTGGTCAGAGGGAGCTCGTTGCCCCAGTTCACTACAGGCTATACGAATTCAATTACAGTACTGTAGAGCCCCCCAGATGGCCACAGCACTAGTAATCTGAACTCTAGGGTTTAACAACTATATACTATATATTTATTCTTATAGACTAATTAGCCTTATTACCTTATAGACTCTACTTTAGAGGGTTAGCATCGAAAGTACCTTAGATAACTAGTAAGCAAAGTAGATTTTAGCTTATTAGTACTAGATAAATATTAGTATAACTGCTACTTAGTCTCACTTAACCCTATTATATTAGCGATAAGGTAAGCAATGTTTATTATATATAGGTTGCACTTTACAGCACAACGAGGTTCTTAGTTACTTATAAGGATATAAATGTCTAGAAACTCGGTAAACAAGATCTGTTATTCGGCTTATATCGCAATGTAAAATATCCTTAAACATTAGTATATAGAACTGTTATTACCCTTCTAGAGGTTGAGAGGCCCCTTCAGCGGTTGGTCGAGCAGCCTTTAGTATAGGTTCTCGATGTCCGGGTTGATTTCATTGAGGAATATCTTGAGCTCCCTAATGTAGGCCTTTTTCCGCCCCTCGAGAAAGTCGTCGGTCAGCACTCTAACCAGTTTCGGCCACAAAAAGATTCTATCCAACATGTCCGCTATAATGCCGACCGCCCTATCGATTATATCGGCCGTCTATCCCACTAGCTCGGTATTGGTCTTTATAAGGACTATATAATTGTAGTGGAAAATGTCTATCCTGTTCTTATCTTCGAGAGTAATTATTTCGGGTGAGATGCTTAATGGTACTGTTAAGGTTCTTTATATTGAGCCGGCCCGTCGCGTTTAACTGTAATAAGGAGTTTAACCGAGACGCGGTTGCCCTTACTTATAGATATCCACCACCTTAGCGAGGAGCTCAGCACACCAACGGGAATTTTAGGACTCATCCAGCTCGTCAACCAAAACGACGAACCAAAACGACGATCCTCCCTAGTAACTCATAGCTCTAGAGATCTAGTAGAATATCCCTTAGGCTACATTCCTCCTATGTTGGAAACCCCCTTGTTGTTGACCCCTGACCTTCAGTTTGCGAAATTGGCGTTAGAAATGTAGAAAGAACGCGGGATTCTCACGGAGCATCTTGTAAAGCAGCTCCCAGAGCATTGCCGTACTCGTATTGGATTCTTCCGACCTATAGGCATGAAAAAGTAAGGGGTAAATAAGGTTATACCAATAACCTCTTTTCATTCAAGCAGATAGTCAATGGCAGGCGTCCGGGAACCCTCGAGTGGCTCCGCCAGAACGAGGTATTTAAAAACTGGCGCGATACAGGAGGCTCGGCCTTGCTACTCTTGTTAGGCAAACCCACGTCCAGAAAAGCTATCGTCTCACAATTTAGAGAGCTTTGCGGGCCTGAAGAAACATACTTGATTAACTACCGACCTCGGCATCTGAGATACCACAGGCAGAACCGCAGGCTAGTTGGCAATACTCTCTATATACCTAAGAACATCGCGTGTCCCCTCCGCCACGTCCGTATACCGCTCCACCGTCAGTGACGCCTCGATCTCGTCCGGGTCAGGGACAGGCTGCCTCTCGTAGTTCACCGACCCATCTGAAATGGAGTGGGGGATAAACATAGACCCGTTGGTGGTGATGGGCGTTTTGTCCTCTCGGATGCCCATCCCTGCGACATCCCCGTCAACGAACCAGAGACCGACCACGGGATAATGTGAGACATCCCGCTCATCCTTAAACTCCGGCAGTAGCGCGAGCTCCTGCACTACGTAGCCCTCCTTTCCGTAGTCTCCGGTCGTCGCATCCTGGATAACCTCGCCGTCCGACTGCAGGACGACGTCGGCGCCCTCGCGGGCGAAGATGGGCTTCCGCGCAAACTTGGTGAGCGACGCGGGCGCCTCGCCCTCGAAGTAGGTGGGCAGCAGCCATCGGGACCGCGGGTCGTCCTGGAAGAGCTGCCAGATAAGGGCGAAGAGGGCCTTGTTGCTCCATAGCATCTTGTACGGCGGCTCGATCCACACGGTCCCACCGATGTACTCCCCTGCCCCGTTGCGCTGGCCGATGCGCTCCATATCCTTGAAGCACGCCTCGCCGAACTTCTGCTCCGCCATGTACTCCCACGGATAGAGCTTGAAGACGACGTCCATGTGCTCCCCCTCGTGATCGTAGAACCGCCCGTCGCGACGGGAGAGAGAGATCTCTTCCATAAACAACGCCTTGGTAGACCAGCCGGCTTGCTGGCATGTGTCCATCAGGAGGGTCGTGTTCATGGCATCCTCGCCCGTCGGGTCCCCCTTCGCCAGCGCGAAATGCACCTTGACGGGGTGCCCCAGCTCCTTCTCGACGAGCGTCAGATTCCGCTTCCAGGCTTCGATGAGCCGTTCGGTGATGGAGTTGAGCTGGTCGTTGCCGTGGCCGGTCTGCTCAAGCCAGAGCCATTGGATCGACGCGGCCTCGACGAGCGATGTGGGGGTGTCGGCGTTGAACTCGTAGAACTTGGGCACGCGCAGCCGGGGGTCCACGTGATCGAGACCACCAAAACACACGTCGAAGCGGCCGTAGATGCTGGCCCAGGCAGGCTCGCGGTTCCACGACTTGATAATTTGGCTGAGCGCAAATGTAGGGATGGCCAGCTTCCCCGTAATCAAATCCGGGTGCTCAACAAGGTAGTCGGCGGCCTCGCAGCACATGTCGAAAACATCTTGGCCGGCCTTTTCGAGCAGCGCAACCTCCTCGGTGGTGAAGGAGTAGTATCGATCATCGGGCCAGTACGGGTCGGACAGGTCTCCGGGCACCGGGTTCTTGGAGTACACGAGCCCTTGGCTCTGTACGAGCCGCGTGGCGTCGGGTCGCTTGTCAACTGGGACTCGGCGCATGTTGATGTTGTATATAAAGTTGCTGGAGGTGAGTATAGCTCCGGTGCAGCGCCGGGGTGGTAGGTCCTCGGCCAGGTGAGGTAAGTACCTAGCATTTATTCTCTGAAAGCTTTGGATTTACACGGGCCTCGAACGCCCCCAACAGGATCATCCGATCTTGACTCGTGCGTAAGCAACTATATTTAGGACCAACCGTCAGGTCAGGGAATTCTCGGTGCCACGGTGGCCAACTCGGCCACACTTGAAACAAATCCTTGTTTCGCAGATCCTGTGCCAACGGCCCGGGCCGTAGACCTGGCCGCCAGGATGACAACCACCCTCGAAACCCACAACCCCCCTGCTCTTTTGGCAATAACGCCAGGTTTTCAAACAAATCCCGCCAATGGTCGCTTTAATGGTCACCAGGGTCACAGTGACAATCACCGGGCGAGAATCCCACTTCCACTACGGCCGCCTTCGAAACTGTGACGCCGGGGCGAGCGTGGCCGTCGTGAAGGTGTCTCGGTCAAGGCTGGATGGGGCGACCTGGCCATCCTGTGGGAGGGCTCGCGACCACATCAACAACATACACAAGAGAAACCTGTGGCAGTTGGCTCAGATCTCGGAGTGCTAAAAAAGGTATAAGTAGACAGCTCTCCTTACTGTCTCTAGAAACAAATTCACCAAGCTCATCCACCACAGTCAACTCTACACATTAATCAATCAATTAAAATCCCACGAACAGGCCCACCCTACCTAAGACAAATTCCTAAATCACCACCCACCACTACCAACTATGAAGCGCAACCACATCGTTCTCCCGGCCCTGCAATTCGCCGCAGCTGCGTTCTTCGCCCAGACCGCCCTCGCCCAGCAGACCGAGACCTACTGCGTCTCCAAGTCGGACCGGCGCATCGTCGCCGCCTCTAACTGCGACGACGCCGCCAACACCGACGTCCTCACAGTCGACGCCCCCGCGGGCCTGGCAGTTGGCAGCATTGTCGACGAGGACGACGACATGTCGGAAAACATGGGCTCCCCTGCTAGCCGCGTCCGCGCTCGCAACGCTAAGGACCTCGAATCGGGTGGGTTTGGTGAGATTGTGGATCGCGACGACGCTACTAGCACTACTACGAGCGGGCAGCCACGGGCGACTGGGTCTTAGGTTTTAACCGAACTCGAAGGTTGGGGTTTAGTGGTGATTGCCAGTGATCTGCTATGCTCATACGATCTGGGTGGGCGATGGTGTCGGATAGAGGAGATAGGGTGTGGATTCGGAACTGGAATAGATAGAGGTGAGCGTCATTCGTTTTCGAGATGTGGGATAAGGGAGTTAGGGCGTAGATTCGAGAATGAATATGAGTTTTAGCGTGTTAATCCGTACAAATATGTCCATGTTGCTGTTAACGCCGTAATGGTACCGCCATGATCCAGTCGAGCTCAAACCTACCGAGCTATACAATATTATTCCGCGGCCATTTAGGTCGAGATCGATCTGACTATTGTTAGAATTATAGATTATAATAAGTAAATTATAACGATAAAAAGAGAGACCTGGAGAAGAAGGTAATAGTACAGCGAGGGAGTGTATCGAAGTGTCGAGAAGCGGCACCGCCTCCAGTTGCGGGGTTGATCCACAACAGAAGTCCGGCAGCTGCCACCTCTCTGAACATCGTGGTCATCGTGACGATAGCGATCGCAAGGTCGCAGAATCCGACTGGCCGAAGGCTGCCGCGGGCCCGCACAGTCGGTCCCAGAGTCCATACAGCGCCGCCTCCACCCCCAGGGTTGAAACGCAGCAGTAGTCTGATCCTTCGGTCCAAGACGACAGAGGGGAGCAGAACAAGGTTTTCGTCGCGCCGCTACGGGTAAGGAGAGTCGGGCAAGCATGCCGAGGTCGTCGGTCGAGGGCAGCAACGCACCTGAGCTAGCTCACTGCATACTAAGCCATCTATGCAGCCGTCCTCCAGCCCAGACCAGGCCAACCTTCAGCATGACATCGGTCGTCACCGACATCGCGGGCCCAGTGATGGAGGGGACTGTGGTCCCGTTGCAGACAGCGTCGAAGAGCACGGCCAAGCGCCGCGGGATACGCACTTCATCCCCCACCACCTGCCGAACAACACCCGAGCCGCAGACCCGCCTACATCGCACAGGCCAGGCTCAAGGACGAACAACCCAGCGCTCAAAGCCTCGCCGAAGCCAATGTCCTTCAGATGTTCCAGAAGACTAGGGATAGCAGCGTGAAGGTAGCTCGGTCGCGCCGCCACGAGCATAGGAGGTACAGCGCCCCGCCAGCCAAGTCGGCATCAAGCGTCAGCGCGACCTCAACCGTCATCAACATTGCAGTACCGGAGGACTACTGTCCCAGCGTGTGCAGCGACACCGAATACAGCGAGGATGAGGCTGTCCGGCCACCGCGACGCAGGCGCCGGAGGGCGAGCGCTGCACTCCGTGCAGCCGGAGGAACAGCCCCTCAGCAGCAGACACATCCGTACCCCGGCGACTCTTCGAGAGAAGCTCGGGGGACCATCCCGGCGCCCGAGGCGGCAGCGCGGTGCTACCCACCCTTCATTGTCACGAGAGCCCACTTTGGAAAGGGACGCCGAGACGGACAGAACCCCCGCCGCAACGTTCGAAGAATGGCCCCTTGGAAACGCGGTCCTCAAGTGCGTTACAATGAACGGTTCGCCAGCCACTTTCATGCTGCAGTTCACCTGGGGCCCACATATGCGCAGAACATGGAGCGGGGCACCGTAAACCGGAGAATCGGGGTACTATTTCCTCGGCCAAGAGGCGTCGCCCGGCGAGACAGAAGAGCAAAGGGTCCGCAAACGACGATGACAAGCCGACTTCAACTTCGAGGAGGGCGAGATACACTTCAGAGGATGGCGCGAAGATCCGTCAGCTAAAGGAGCAGGGACTTTCTTGGGTCGCGATCACCAAGCATTTCCCGAGCCGAAGTGCCGGGGCCATTGAGGTGAGGTATCACACCAAGCTCAAAACCGCCGATCCCTCTCGCGGGAGGGATGAAGAGTGAGAGGTGGAGAAGATTTGTGGCTATAGGGGGCCGGATGACAGTGGCCCGAAACTGCCCGCGAGGTGGGAAGGTGGGGAGGAGATATGGGAGCCTTACGAGAATATGACGGAGACGAAAGCGCTTGACGAGTATGAGCGTCTTCATGGGCGGGTTATTGTGGATACTGTAGATGCTCTCTGAGGTTTTGCCTTGGTTACGTGAATTCAAGCGCCGAAGCCCTCAGCGTCAGGACCCTTCCGGCTCCCCGGCCAACATTATCATAGACGCCTACATCTATCTTCCTCGGCACCCCCTCGTGTCAACCTCCGAACCAATCCCACCCTAACCCTCCTACAGTATGTTGCCCCTAAACGGGCAATTGATCAAAAAGGGGTACCTAGGTAGGTAGTTATTGGAAACCCAACAGCTACAAATCCCCAGTGTTACACTGGTTAAATGAGGCTTACCCCCGTTCCGTTCCAGGCGAGTCGGCAGTGCAAGGCAACGACACAAGGCAGATTTTGGGCAAAGACCAAGGAGAGCCTCTCGCCCTGCAGTTAGGTGATTCTTGATGCACCAGAGCGGGGTTCTGTATCAGCTCCTTGCGTCGAGCAGTCATTCACATCCGGCATTGACCTTCCTCATCTGTGCTATCTACCTGGGAGGTAAGCAAGGTTGCGCGATCTCGACTCGTTAACTTTCCCACACTGGACACGACTGAGAAAGCTACGACGAGCTTCCAGGGCAAGCAAGGTTGTTCTGGGACGACGCGTTGAGCGATGGATATATGTACGAAGAAGCACGACACCGCCGAGGCTGTCAGCGATCCTCGGCTAGATCATCTTTGCGACAGATGCCGGTTCAATTTTCCCCCGACCAGCCATAGTCATGGATTTTGGAGTTCGAAACAGACCCAGACATTGAGGGCGTCGCTCTACATCAGCCTTCCACTATTACTGAACTGGAGGAGGCATCTGAAGCTGGATGTCATCTCTGTACAGCACTCTTAGAGGCAATACTCCCAGAGAAGGCAGTTATTGGCCTAGAGCGAGGTGATGTTGCGGAATGGACTTTGGACCGAAATACAACCCTAACCCCGGTGAGATAGGTGCGCAATTACTGTGGTAGTACGAATGTACGAATAAACCCCAAGGCTTTCTTCAGCTGACCCATTGGGCGGCTGCTCAGCCACTGCGGTCCTTCACATGACCATGGGTCCATGGTCCCTTTTGTAACATCACAGTATCACGACACTCGAGCACAATCTGGCGAGACGTACGCGAGAGCATTATGGCTGCGACCGACCGCATCGCAACCCCGATTGAGCTGGATCCTGTCCTACTCCAATCTGGACCTGGACAGGAACAGGATGCCGACGACGCGGGGCTTTGCGAGCGATGCAGGCACTTCGACATCCAGGCTTTCGCGCGGAGTGACAATCGCACCCGCGGCTACATGCTCCGCGACGTCGAGTTCGCTGCTACTCATGCTGGCGATGACGGTGTTACTGTTGGCTGTGCATTCTGCTCGCTGCTGCTGAGCAGCGTGAAGGACGTCGAAAGACCAAAGGACTCGACCGAATGGGAACTGAACGTGTTTCGCTTCCCGATCGACAACGACCCGAGCATGTACGTGCACATGACGGTACACAATACAGAGCCGACAACCCGATCCCCTACCCCTGGCTTGAGGGCCAACCGGCTTCGGGCCGCCATCGCGGACCGGTTCAGCGAGGTGATGAACGTATCCGGATACGAGCTATGCCTCGTTGCCGACTCGGAAAGCCCAGCAGCACGGCGCAATGATATCACGGGACGCTACCTGGGGAGTGACCCCGGCTCGGACGCCCATTTTGACACAATACAAGCCTGGATCCGCGACTGCGAGAGCCATCCCAGGTGCAAGCAAACGGTGTCGGGCCGGGCCATTGATGCTTACCAGGCGGAGCTTCCAGCGAGGTGCATCGAGCTTTCGGCCCGCGGTTCCGACATTGTCGCCCGAGTTATTTCTACCGAAGGCATGCGCGGCAGCTACATCACGCTGACGCATCGCTGGAATCTGGAAACAGAGCGCTGCAAGACAACTGCAGCAAACTGCGACCAGAGACAGCGGGGCCTCGATCTTCGACACCTCCCTAGGCTTTTTACTGACGTCTTTGCCATTGCAGCGAGGCTGGGCGTTGGCTACATCTGGATTGACTCCCTCTGTATTATCCAGGATGGTGATGGCGGTGCCGATTGGAAGAAAGAGGCACCGAGGATGGCGCAATACTATCAACACTCACTCTTCACCGTGGCCGGGACCATGGAAGATATGGATAACGGCCTGCTCCAGCCCTACTCAGAAGACGACTCACCCTGGGGCCATGGCATGCTTGTCCGGCTGCCATACAGGGACCGGACCAGCGAACAGGCCGGCCACTTTTTTGTCTACCGACGCCAGGTGCCCGTTGTAAATGATTACTGGGCAACCGTCCGGGAGAGCATACTCTTTCGTCGCGGCTGGATTCTGCAGGAATGGTTGTTAAGCAAGCGCCTCCTCTGGTACACGCCTAAGGGGCTGTTTTTTGAATGCTACACGGATGGCCCGCGGACCGAATACCAGGAGAGGGTCCTGGTCGAGAATGCACAGTCGGACCTTCGGGCCCAGCTGCAGCTGAAGGGATCTTTTGCCCCTGACAACATTGGTATCCTGGACTTTTGGTATCGCACCATCGAGCTATACTCGTCCTGCAACCTCACCAAGCCGGACAAGGACCGTATCCTGGCCGTTGCTGGTCTGTCCAAGGAAGTCGGCCCAATTCTAGCAGACCGGATGCGGGAAACCGCAGTGGACGGAGTCCATCATGAGACGTACCTGGCCGGCCTGTGGCTTCGGGATCTTCATCATGGGCTTCTCTGGGAGGAAGATCACTCGGCGCTACCATGGACAATCGCTGTTGATGAAGCTCCGACTTGGTCCTGGGCGTCGCTGATGATGCTAGTCAGATGGCCAGACAAGGACAACGAAGCCCAGAAGGCGCTGCAGGTAATAGGACTCTGCCAGACACGCCAGGATGGGGTCCATCACCGGCCCGAGTATACCATCGAGAGGGGGCGCTGGGCGGTTCAGCGGCCGCACGGTCACACCGCAGCGCGAAGAGCCCCGTTTGATCCAACCAATATGTTCGCCTGCCTTCACATCCGGGGAAGGCTTTCCACGGTCCATGTTCGCGGGTATCTAGGGACGGAGGGGAATACACGGGCTGCTACCGCCACGGCCTATAGTACTCGCCCCCCGTCTGACCAGTGGAGGGCTCTATGTTCCCCGACTCGGCCGGAGGTGATTGCCGGATGGGCATCTGCCGAACGTCTGCGCACAAACGAAGGAGACGCGATCTGCGCCGATGCCGGGACGGCTGTTCAAGTGCTCCATGTGTCGACGAGGTTTGTACGGAGCGGGTTTCTGCTCAAGAGGAAAGACCGCGTGCTGGACGTACTCCTCGTCGAGGAAATCGATGCGACGAACTACGTGTTCCGGCGTCTAGGCGTCGGCAGGATCTTCGACAGGGATTTGATCACCGAGTTGGAAAAAGCGAAAGAGTGCGTCATTCAGTTTGTCTAGAAATCGTTGACGTGTTCAATTAGAACGAGGCTACCTAGAGTTGTATCTGCCGTTCTGGTTGCGTCGGCTCCCGTGGTGGCGCGTACCTCATGATGGCGTCCGTCCACATACCGAAGAGCTTCAAAGCGCAGAAACCCGTATAAATGACAACCAAAACGGCAAGAGGAGCGGTTGCCATCATTAACTTCCATTTCAAGTACAGAATCCTCATTTGCCGTTCTTGGTCAGGAATCGTGAGGTCGGGGCGCTTAAGCTCGCCATCATAGGCATGTGTAGGATAGTTGACATGGAAGATGCAGAGAAAGCCCTTGGCAAAAAAATAGAACGCCCAGCCCAAAAATGCAAACCTGTAAAAAGCGGGACGAATACGGAAATCCGTGGTACGCTCTCTGCCGCGGTGGCCCCAGTACCCGTCACATCCCGAGGCTGTCTCGTTGTACCTCGTGATATAGTCTCGGTGCCTGATAGGGACGCGGAAACGGGGATCCTCCACTGCGATGGAGCCGTCCTCGGAGTTGCGAATGATCGGTCTGCCCAACAAGGATGAAGTCAACACCCAAGGGTGGGGAGGAGGCATGGTGATGCGGGCAAAGAAGGATGTGTGGATGAACCGCTTGATTGCGTATGCACAGAGAAGGAAGACGCCCAGCGGCGCATAAATACTGCCTTTTGCCTTGCTAGATGCCGTGTTAGATCTTTGATGCCCGACGGACATGGGGGGGAGGGGAGAACTTGCGAAGACGGGAGTTTCGAAAGACGGTTTTCTTGAATGAGCATATAGACCAACCACGCGACTACAGTGCCATAAACTCCTAGGGTAAAGAAAATGAGAGGATCCGAAAGTCGCGAGTCGGGTATATAATCGAACCAGGCTATCGTCTGACAATGATGTGGGCTCGGCGACTGGTCCCGGTTCCGGGAGAGGGAAGCATTTCCAGGCGGATCGGGCATGCCTGGAGGGCTTGTCTCAGATGTCATCGTCGGCTCCACCGTCTGCAAGTGGGAATCGGGAAAGGACTCAGTCCTAACCCGCCTATGAATTTGCTGTTGTGCATATACTCTTGATAGAGAATTGGATTGTAACTGGTACGACGTTGATGAATCCAACCCGGATGACAGGTGGCCCGTCCCCGCCACTCTGGCGTTCATAGTTTCCTCATGCGGAGATGGCGATGCAGTAGGTTCGTAGTGCTCGTCATTTTGTCGGAGAAGAAAGCGGCGTACCATCCAGGCGTAAAGGCTCATAGCAGGAAGCAGCAGAACCAGCTGTAGAATTGTGTGGACGAGGTCGACATTCAGAGCCAGCAGAACCAGCTGTAGAATTGTGTGGACGAGGTCGACATTCAGAGCCGTCCGCACCTGGCTAGCAGCGCGAATCATGGCCAGGTGGAGGATCAAAGCGGGAATCGTTGTCACAAGTGACACGAGGCGTACCGCCCAGCGATAATGCACCCCTGGACGTCGATAGCCAAGAAAGCTGTATGGGCTTGCGAATAATGCGCCCCATGTGATCCGCGTCGCGAGGGCCAGCGCGACCGCGGCCGCAGAGAGCACATTCAGTTGGGTAAAGTGCAGGCCAGAGAAAACCAGGCCACCCGCGAGACGACCGAACAAGATGGAGAAGTGCAGTCCACAGAGCAGTCCGAGGAGATGGCGCCATGACTGCGGTCTGTTCTGGAGGAGGCGGCGAGTTTGCTCCTTCATACGGCGGTAGCCCTCCTGGGTGGCTTCGTACGCCTCTCGCAATTGGGGATCGGAAGGCGCATCAGCATCTGCTATAGGCGACACTCGGGCCGAAACTTGGGGATTGTCCATCGGGAGTCCCAACGCTTGTAGGAAGAAGTGGAGGAGGGTTTTTGGACTCTGTGCCCCCCCAGACTTTTGGTCGCGAGAAGATTGGAAGGACCGGGCGGCAGCTAAAACGTGCGAGATCCCCCGGGCCGGGCTGTGCACCATTGATGGACCCACACCTGACCTTGCTGAGCCACCTTGAGGTTGTCCCACCTTTACTTGAACTCGACGAAGCTTTGATAAACGAAGACGAGCAGATTAATCTTGAACCTGCTTTGGTCAACTTTGTGTTCTCTGGGATTTGGTTCGGCGTAGTAGGTATTGGAGATATTGGGAGCTCGTGTGCCCGGAAAAATAGTTCACTCCTACGTAGGTAAGGTACCTGGTACCTAGGTAGTTGGCTCCGGCCGAGGTCACAGCCTTGTCTGTACATCACTCACGTTGAAGCCATCAAAGCTTTTTATTTTAACCCAGAAAGCTGAGAATTCGTTAATTACATATACTCTCTTACTAATCCCACCAACCCCTTCCTCTAATATGTGCCTGGCACGAGCGAGTTGACGTACAGCTCAAGGTTAGTATACCCACTACCCGAGATGCGCATCGCATCACTGGCATCGTTGGCGTCCAGGCCACTGGATCGTTCCCAAGCATCTGGGATGCCGTCCCCATCCGCGTCGTCAGGCGCCGTCCCGCCACGAATGGTGCCCGGACCGCCCATGCTCGACTCGTCATTGATGAGAGCCCCGGACTTTCCCCAGCTCCTCAGCTGGTTGATGAGCGTCGTGTCAACCCCGTCACGGACGGGCCTCGAGCAGCCAACGCGAGCTATGACGTGGTCTACGGCTGCAGCGGGGGACAGCACGTTGGCAGGGCCAGGGTAGTTGAACTTGCTGCTCTGGATTGCCATGTTCGAGTAGCAGGTCGTTGAGACGCAGAGAGCGGTGCCGTCCAGAGTACCGTCCTTGTTGGAATCGTAGAAGTTGTTCGACACGTCTGGGTAGGTCATTATTAGTCCAGAGGACGGTGGAAGGGGTTTCGTAGGTTAATTGGAAGGCGTCTTACATCCACGAAAGTTTGCATTGCCGCGTGTGAAAGCGGTCACATCCGTGCTTGGACCCGAAATAAAGTAGTTGTTGATAATGTTGGCGTAGCTTGCACCAGCGCTATCACCAGCAATGTACCCACCACCACCACCCCAGTTGTAGATGACCTACGAACATGTGTCAGATTTCAAGGAATACAGATCACAAGCATAGTGTTTCGTTCCGGTCTTACATTGTTCTGGAAGTCGTTAACGCCCTTAACCTTCGGGTTGCGGGTTTTGTTGTCAATGTACAAATTGCGGAAAAGACTGATGCCGCCGTCGGTCTCCATGAGGCCACCACAAGAATGGGTCTCGAGTCCCTGGGCGATGATGGTATCCTGGACAGTAATATTTGCGGTGGTTCCGCTAATGGAAAACGTCTCGTCTCGGCCCCATGAAACGCTGACATGGTCGAATATCATAGTGTGACCCTCGGCAATAGTGATGGCATCCTTGCCAGATTGGCCGCCTTTGCCCATCCGGATGCGGATATACCGGGTGATGGAGTTGTGCGCGTTGGACCAGGAGAAGCCGTCGCCGTAGACTGTGATACCCTAACAAATTTGTGAGTATGTAGGCTTGGAAGCTTTCGTGGAGTAGCCTACATCTCCTGGAGCGGTTTGGCCGGCAATGTATATGCTTTTTGAAACGACGATACGGGAGCTGATATTGATCACTCCACCGACCGAAAAGACGACGATGCGGTTGGCCTGCGACACAGCATCCCGTAGGGATCCAGGGCCGGCATCACTGTGGGCCTTGTCAGTTCCTGGAATGTAATGTCTGGAGCTTGGTACATTTGCGGCAAATGGCCTTACTTGAGGTTAGTTACTTTGTAAACTTGGCCTGTACGGCCTCCAGTCGCGTGGCGACCAAGACCCTCGGCACCCGGGAACGCAAGAAGCTGGGCAGCGGCCTCACCGCACACAAGAGCGGCAACGACAAGGAGATTCAGAGCGAAGGGTCCCATCGTGGGAAACTAATCGTACAACGGATGATGATAGAAGCCGAGAAACCAGCTCAAGAGGAGCTTGGTCCCATCGCCGAGTTTTGTAGGGCTTCAGTACTGTATACTGTTTACGGGGTTGGAGAGAATCACGGAGCATTGCGAATTCATTCCCTAACCGGAAATCGTCGGGGGCGGAATTTCCACAAACCAGGGGTCGTTGAGAAGCAAGCAGAGCAAGAACATCCATGAGTGTGGATGTACGTTGTGGAGATCTTCCCACCAACGATTGGTGGGATTCGACAAGTCCTGGTGTCCCAGCTCCAGATCCGTCCAATCTGTAAAATATATTACCCGTACCTTCGCCTCAAAGTGAGGGTTCCATTCCGATGAATCCCCTGAATACTGCAGGTGAAGGGACTCGCAAAACACATTTCTTTTATTCAGGTAGAGAGTGATCGTCTTAATCTTGCGCTAGAGGCTCCCGATCTACTGGCGCCAAATCACCACACAACATAGGCCGTTAAAGGATAAGACTACCTATACTATCGAGGGCAGCCCCGATAGTGTTAAACATATCTCTCTTCTGGCGGAAGACTTATTCGAGCTGCTGGAGTTGCTTCTCAAACGTTGCTCTTACACTTGTAGGGTCCATTGTCGAGGCAGCGCCCTTCTGAAGGTCTAGCCGAGGAACCTGGGTAAACCCAACATTCTTCTGGCGCTTCTGCTTCTGCTGTAAGTTTGAGGGGGACGGCGCTTCTATAGGCTGTGTAAAAGCCGCATTGTTCGGTACAGTGATAGGCTGTGTCAACCGCGTCGGTGTTGAGGGAGTAGGGCCGGCCATTCTGACTGGTGGTCGGACGCCGGGAAACCGCGTTTTCGGGGTGTTGTTTAGGCTTTCGCTGGATAGGTATAATAAAACCTAGTACTAACAGTGGGTGCCAAGGAAATAACTTTTTAGGAGGTGGTCGGGGTCCGGCGGGGCCCTAAGGCCCGCCTTTGCCAGGCGGTCCGCCATCTCGTTACCCTCTATCCCTATATAGCCTGGGCTCCAGATAACTTCCACACGCCCCGGGTGATTCTGCGCAGCCGTGTGGAAGGCTGTTAATTATGTCGGTGCTGTGCTTTGCGCGTTTCACCGGCCCTGCTTCGTCAGGGGTCGAGGACCCGAGTCACTTGAGGTCCGGTACAGGACGCTCGAAGAGGCAAAGGGAAAGGGAACGGAAGTTAACAAGCTGAGGACGGCGAGGCAGAATCAGGACACGGAATCGAGAGCCTTCCCATGCAGGCTGCCAGCGGATCTGCCCCGTGCGACCTCGAGGGGCCCGGGGGTGTGAGGAACACGCTTGCCTCCCGCTTCGGCAGCCCAGGAGCGGGCCGCGAAGTGCACAGTTGGGTTGTGGTAGATATAGTTGTTAGAGCCTCACGCTGGGATGCTCGGCAGAGTGCGTGTTAACTGAGGAAATGACTTTCGGGTGGAGCGGGCCGCGCACCACCGTTGGGCTGAGGTAGACGTACATACTTGTCAGAGCCTCGTGCGGGGAAGGACTGCATGAGTGCGGTTGAATTATCCAGATGTCGGTCGAGTGTATGGTGACTTGGGTTGAATGTCTCCCAACCATTTGCAAATCCAATTTCCTAGAGGTAAATAAAAATAGAGGCACGATCAACTTCGTCCACTTAACCGCTTTGCGCTTCCTTTCGACTCAGCTACAAGACCACGGACTCCAATCTGCTGTACGGCAGCCTCCTAGGCCCATTAGGTACGGGAGGCTGTCCATCATGGACCTAGCACTCCTGCATCTAGTACCTGCACGAGGCGTCGATCGACTCGGAAAGCCTGTCGATTGCCTGGGCGGCACAAAAGCCGACAGCTCCCTCTCCGGAGCAAAAGCCGTTGGTCGAAGCCATGAACCGCTTCGTCGAGGTGATCAACGGCGATCCCCTCCTCGCTTATGTCTTTGAGCACGGCTCGAGCCATCTATCGCACAACGGTCCGGCACTCGCCGACGCCCTGAAGCCTCTTCTAGAGGGCTTGGGGAAGAACCCGATGCATTTCCTGCTCCCGGCACGGGTCCCCGCACCACCCACACCGGAGGACTCCAAAGCCTTCCGGGATGCCGTTCTCCACTGCGCGTCGTCACAGTGCTGGGCCCCGGCGGCCAGGATTGCCCTCGCCGCCGGGGCCGACTTCGGATCGCAGTCTAAGCTGCATAGGAAGCGGGGAAATCTCCTTGTGCTTGTGCTTGGCCATCATGACATCGCATTACGATTGAGACCTCAGAGGCGGTATGCAAAGCGGTGCAGGTGTTGCTCAAGGACTCAGAGGGTGAGCGCCAATGCGATAACCCGTTGGAAGGGCACCCCGCTCCACTACGCCGGCAAGTACATGCTGGAGGGCGTCGTCCAACAGCTGATCGCCGAAAACGCTATTGTCAAGGCCCGGGACTTCTAGGGCATGACACCGCTCCACCGGACCGTTATCGGACTAAGCAAGCGGCCACCTACGCTAGATATCGGGGACGAGGATGATGGTGGTGACAGGGACGAATGGAACGATAGATACGTCGACGAGTATAAGGGGGATGGGGATGCCAACAATAATGACGAACGCAACAATCCTCGGACCTCTCAACCGCGACCGGACACCAAATTGGGCAAGCCGAGCTCCGGCTCTAAAGAACAACAGCTCGAGATGCGTCCTAACGACAAGATCGCGAGAGATATAAGCCTTCGGTGCGTAGAGCTACTGCTCAAACGTGGGGCCGATCCACGGGCGGCGGGCAAACGGGGACGAAAGCCTACCTATCCATCGGGCTGCCAGCCTACGGGACCACACAAACATCATCAAGGCATTACTAGACGCCGGACACAACCAAGGCGTCGACGCGGAGCAGGCCGCCGACGAGAGTTGCGCTGAGAGCGGGTGGACACCCCTGCTATGGGCTAGCGGCTACGGCAACCTCGACGTCGTCAGATTCCTGCTCAAGCGAGGCGCTAAGGCAGGGGCCCACGATGACCACGCAAGACGGCCATCAGCTGGGCGGCGAGGTTCGGCCATCACGCAGTCCTAACGGCTCTGCCGCATAGTATCCCAGAAAGTGACCGCAAGGGCGCTGTAAATAGGCACGAGACAGCGTCGCAGCGACATGCGCGGATATATCATATGGGCGTGCCAGAAGGGCCGCATCAAGTGCGTTAAGCAACTGGTCAAAGCTGGCGCCAACGTCAACCTCCCCAAGAGGGAACACGACGACGTCGGCGGGACAGCCCTCTCGTGGGCCATCACCGTCCGCCACCTCGACACCGTCAAGGTCCTAGCATCCACCGGCGCCATATGTGACGAAGGGGAAGGACAACGGCCGGCGCTCGGTTGGGCGGCCGCTATTGGGGACGTGAACCTCTTCAACGCTCTGTATTCCACTTCGTTGAACAATAAATGCTGGCTGGACCTCAACCAAGAGGATAGGCAAGGCTGCACACCCGTAATGCTGCCCGCAGCACACGGCCATCTAAACATAGGTAGTCAAGCACTTACATCAGGCTTACAAGGTTTTCATGTATACTTGGGACTACGAAAACAACCTGGTGTTGCATCTGGTCGCTATCTGGGGTTACAAAGGTGTGATGGAGTGGTTAGCCAAGACTAAGTCTGTAGAAATGGATAAAGGTTGGAGAAACAAACAACAATCGGGAGATGGCCCTCCACTGAGCGGCAAGATATGGTTGCCGGACGGTCATCAGGCTGTTGTTACAACTAAACGCCAAAGATGACTGCGAAAACGACGATGGGAAGACATATGAAGACCTTACGGAAGAGATCGGCAGCGTAATGAGGAGAAGGCGCTCGGAACGGGAAACCAAGACGGTAGACCCTCGAGCACCTTGTTAGAGAATAGTCAGAACAAAGGAGAACTGCTATTGTATGTAGTAGCTCAATAGGTTTGGATGCTCTTCCTTTACGGAGGCATTAACGGCTATTAACTCGGACTTATCTGCAACAACATCCTCTTTTACTCTCGGTGTCCTCCTAATCGAGCTCTGCTCTAACACCACGCTAGAACTTGTCTAGTAATACGAATAAAACTAACAAAACCAATAACACCCACAACACCTCGTAATACAAGTACAGCTTTAAGCCCCTTCTGTACAGAATGAGGCTTTAATAGCGTTGGATTTAAGCGCTTTGTAGGTACTAGTTTACATAATGTATAAATAGAGCTCCTTACAAAGGAATACTATTTCCAATCTTTCTTTTCTATATTGAGGAGCTAAGTTTAGCCGCTCTCTCATCCAAAACAGGAAGTCCCACGCTAAGCCTGAATACCTAGGTAGGGAGTTTCGAATAGCCCATTGTCCACAACCTAGGTACATACCTATATATAGGTAGCCACCAACCTCAACCACAAACTCCCCCAGCACACACTTCTCCAGCTTTTCCCACCGAGTGTCTCAAGTTGTTCCCAACATTTACCACTATGTCCCTGTCCCGGCTACCTCCAGAGATACTCCTCTATATTCTCGGCTACCTGGGTTCTAAATTCTTCGCTCATGATCTCCGCTATTTAACTATTTCGCGAACCTGGTACCACTTGGCCTGGAGCATCCTCCTTCGCGATTTGCACTTCACAACAAGGTCCCTTAGGCGATTTACCGATAACGAAATCGTGTTTGAGCGCAGTCCTCTGCACATCGTTACAGTCGACCTATCTTTGGTTGTTAGGGATGAGTCTAGCCAATCGCCGCCGACAGACGATCTGAGGGAAGCGTCTGGTAACGAGGGGGGAATTGATACGTCTTCTACACAGCTAGACTCGTCCTTAGCAAAGCTAGCTGCTCTGCTACTGCAATGCCTAGGCATACAATCTCTAAGAGTCCAAGCAAGAGGTGAGGGCAGAGCTCTGCAACTAGGCGGCCCAGCTTATTTGCACGCGACCCCGCTCACTGGCCTTCTCTCACTTCCACATCTTACGTCCTTGGAACTCGACACTGCTGGCTGTCATCTGGGGTCACCGCCTAACAGCAATGTGCATCTCTGTCGGTCAATAAATTCCTTACTACCATCCTTACGACGTCTCCGTTGCCGGATGGAGGAGATTTGCGAGACCCTGCTCGAGCGTCCACCAAGCAATACGGCCCTTGAGGAAGTCATTGTGAATTTGAGCATCTCCCAGATCTCTGATACAATCACATCATACCGCTGCCCCAAACGCTGCAAGACTGTTGCTAGGGACTTTTCACAACTGAAACTAGCTATGGAAACCAAGGCAGCGACGCTCGCTACTCTGTTACGAAACCCTCGAACCCTCAGGGTCATTTCACACGAGCTGCCATCTCTTAACGTATATGCATTTGACGCAATTACAGGAAAGCGGATGCTATTAGCAAATAACGTGGAGTGGGATGCGGACGGCGAACTGGTTGACGACGTGGTCGAGGAGGACGAGGACGACTTGTTTGATAGCGATTCTCCGGTCACGCCCCAGATAGTTTGGTAGACTTTCTCTTCTCTCGGACCATCGCAACGGAATATCTAGCACTAGGAATGAATAGGATTGTGCTTCGCGGCTATACATCATCGGCACAGTAGGCACCCCGCTCTAATACAATTCCATTCCTCTATACACACTAACGAGCTGTGTCCATGAAACCTGATCACCGTATATCAAGGCGGCCACTAAGCGGGCATCCCAGAGAGCACGGTGCGGCCGGCTGTATGTGCACCGATGGGTAATCTCAGCATGTCTGGACCCGAAAAACTGGGAGAGGAAAGGTTGCGAGGCTTCTGAGCTTTGTATAGGGTCCCGCCCTGCTTCCTCGAGGTGCTGCAAGTGTTCCCGAACGAGTTCTTTAAAGCCAATGATTTTCTTATTGTTCTCTTCTGAACCGGCCGGAAACGTAACGAACTCCGGGGAAACAACCAGGCGTTCCAGTGGAACCGTTTGTGCCTGACTCCAATCGATAACCCCTGTCAAATTGTAGTCATCGTCAAACAGAAGATTTCCATGATGTAAATCGAGATGACAGAGGGGGAACGGCCCACGAAGGCGCGCTTCGATGATGATGTGGGGCACTGCCGTTTTCAGCACCCAACAAGCTGCCAACCACTCCGGGTCCTCAGGGTGGCTTTCGAGAGCCTGTCTGTTTGCCTGCTGTCTGTGGGTATAGAACCACTCGAGAGAAGTTCTGGGACCTGCGTCGGGTGAAGTTGCATTGTCGAACCCAATAGGGACAATTTCGAGCTCGCCTTCGCCCTCGTTGCCGGACCAAAGCCTGCCCAGGCGATCAAACGCTAGCCCATGGAGTTGAAACATCACTTCCGCCAGCTGCTTTGCCACCTTTGGCGTGTGTTCTGGTGGGACTTGCAAGGCAATGGGCCCTTGAAGGACTCGGCCTGGCAGGGATTCCATGAGAAGGTAAGGGTACCCAACCTCGTTGGACGGTGAGACATCGTAAGTGTAGACTTCCGGGACAGGTATGCTTGTCCGTTTTCTGACTGTCCTCATGGTCGTAATTTCGCTCAGCAGGTCGGCGGCATTTTCATGAGCCTCAAAGAAATCCACGGAGACGTGCTGTATCCTCGCAATCCAATAAACAGAATCTGAGAACTCGAGCTCGAATATGACGTTGTTGAAGCCGTTGGTAAATCTGTAAGGATTGACGGTGCAGACTATGCTAGGGTCTGCTATGTTGTCCTGCTGGAGGCGCGCGGCGAGCGCGACCTTTTCCAGCTGCCGGAAGTTTGTAGTGGAGAGGACAGTCTGGATCCGGTTACGAAGCATTCCAGGTCCCAAGGCGTTGAGTCCAAGCCAATGGACACTCGGGCGTTCGTTTGCCATCGCGGGTTGGGACACGACGTTGACTTGTCGGGGCCTGGTGGAGGGGGGCCTGGTGGAGGGCGGGGTTGGACGGGGTGATAGCGTCTACCTATGGAAGTGATGGCAGCTCTACTCGCGGTCGGCTGGGGGCGGATCTCTGGCCTATTTCGAGTCAACTGTTCGCCGGCTAGAGAGTCGAAATTTCAGTTGAAGAACAATGTGCGGTTGAGGGAGGCAGCCCCGCAAACGGAACGGGGAAGATAGGACTTGGAATAAGCGCCGATTGCAATGAACATGCACGAACCCGCTTTGTTGTCCTCGTGGTTCGAAGCCGCGCGCTTCACAGTGTGAGAGAGATCAAATTCCCAAGCGCATAATGTGCAAATCAGGGTCTTTTCCGAGGGGTCTGACCCCGTTTATTATGTTTAAAGATTGGTCTAAACTACCTACCTACATACAATTGATTGTCGAAGGCGGGCATGCCCGCCCTTGTCAAGCGCCCAAGCACCGTCTGGCCACATAAAGAAAGCCGAACTCAAAAGGAAAGCAAGAAATGAAGCAAAAAGAACACAATAAAGTAACCGAGAAGAACAAATCGAGTAACAGAAAGAGGGTAAGAAAAGAGTAAATAGAGTATATAAAGTTCCTTTAGGCTTCAGGATAGCTTTCGTATTGTTCCTACAGTTAGGGACTCGGTATTTCCATTATCGACATCCGCGCTTGGAGTTCGGCCTCTTTTTGTGTCCATAAGGTGCCAAGCCAATATGTCCTGATGTACCAAGGCAAGCGACAACGCCTCAAAGGGGCACCAAACACACGAACTTTGGTTTAGGTATATAAGACCACAACAAACTCTCCTCGTTTAACCTCGATTTTACTCATAACCAGATTCAAAGGACATACTACTTCTCACAACACTTCTATACTCAAAGTCTCAGTTCGACCCCCGGGCCCTACGTCAGTCCCTCGATCCCGTCTCATTTCAACGAAAGAGCTCAACTCTTTTCTTTATCCTAGCGGCAAGATGGGTCACCAGACACAGCACAACACCACCGTCCTCTGCGGGAATCCCGATCTTACTACCTTCCCGGAATGCTGGTGTTGCGGACACAGGCTCAAGGTCGTCCCGCCGTGTACATGCCCGAACGAGAATTGCCAGATGCCGAACTAATTGCTGGCTCGCCTTGTAAGTCCGTACTATCAAAATGGTAAACTGGGAGAACCTCACTAGCTTTTAGCAGTTACAATTATAAAATATCTTATCCATTGCTGGTTGAAGTGTGGCCAGGTTGGACAAGGGTTCAATTATAGCTGAAACACATCATTTAGGAGGATAGCCGTTCGGACGTGCTCAGGTTTCCGAATTTGGGCTCGATACCTACCTAAGGTAGGTAGGTGGGTACCTATGATTTTGTCTAGTGACGTTTCCATTGCATTTATTTATATCGTGTCCTTAACCTATTCTCCCCTTGTTTCTGCCTGTGTCTCGTGGCATTTACGTTTTATATTTGGCTACACCGTTTCGTATTTGTCTCTCGTGGTATTCTGCCAGCGAGATTTCCACAGTTTCATATCATGTTATTCGATACTAGATTGGTCTTTCCACTATTAGAGTTACTCAACTAGGGCTGGAAGCTCCGAGAGCTTACTATGGCAGCGATCTTAGAGATTAGGCCATTCCCGAAACGGTACCTTGGTTGGTTGCAACAGGAAAGTAACGTGCTGTACGGTGTAACGTGTGGGACTGGAGGGAGAGGAAAAGGGGTAGGGAAAGTAAGAAGTTAGGGTTAAGTCGACAAGAAGGAGGGGTTGACCAATACTATAGGTGCGGCTGCACGAAACTAGAGGATTACGAATGGTCGAACACCCGCTTCATCTAATGCCATTATGAGGAGAAGAAAACTCGCTTCTCCTCGGCAGCACCGGGCCTGGATGGACGACTCAGTTTGTTGGTAGTTTATTTGCGACCCAAAAGTGCGAACCTACCTCGCACTTGTGATATATGTATCTCCGCTAGCAACGGCATTGGTTCTCGCAACGCGGGACTTTGGGTTGGTAATCTGGGAGACCGCCTGCCGTCCTCACAGGCTGATTTCTCACGGCCACCACCAAAGGCTGTGAACCTCCCTTGTTCTCCTCAAATTAAAAGCAGGAAACGATGTTAAGCGAGAGGCCGATGGGACTTGCCGATAAAGAGAGCCGGGAAGTCTGTCCAGGGTCCCCAGCTGCTCATTGGTTACGTTCTTTCTGTGACACCCCCTCGCGAGTGACCAGCATTACGAAGATACCGAGCTTGCGGCGTCTCCATCGTCGCTTTTAGTCACCAGACAGCCTTTGAGCAAACCATTATTGTCCAAGCAGTCCGTATCTCATGAAGCAGCCACTGGCAGGGCTGAGCTCAGCTGATCACTCCATGTGAGTCGAGCCCGGCTAGGCGAAACTCACCTGAATCGAATTCCGCCGAGTCCTTCGGTCGAGATCTGCCTAAGTCTACGTGTACTGGGCACTGTGGGAGCGGATAACTTGGCTCGAACTTGGCGAGCACGACAAGCGTGCCTCTCTTGCTTACGTCTCGCTGGGCCCCATGGCCCGGGAACGTTTGCTCTCCCCTGTCCTCCACACCCTTGACCTTGCCTCCCCCGCATTTTCAATGTTCTCGGCAGAGCTTGGCGTCGGAGTTTTGGCAAATGTCCTGGGCAGCCAGTGGGCCCATTTCTATCTGCCGAGTCCGACAATCTGCAGCTTGTTCGCGAGTGAGCCAGGATTACGTCCACGCTGGCCAACAGGATCGTGCGTGTCTCTCCTGTGAAGGAACGTCGGCCGCTTTGGCCATCCACCGCCCCCGGTGCTCTCCTGAGCTTGTCTTTCAGGTCTTTTCCCGTCTCCCCGGTTGTACTCAACCGGTACCACATTGGATCCGCCCGCAGGTTCCACTCGGCTGAACCAAGCTCGCAGGGTTGAGGGAATGAGCGGGGGTTTGGGACGGCGTGATGGGGACCCTGCGATACCACCCGCTCGAGAACAGTCTTAAACCACGTGCAGCGTCCCTGGTCGCGTCGTGAAAAATGCAGGCCCTCCCCACTCATCTTCTTTTTCTCGCGGCGTTGTGGTTTTTATACTCACTGATCTGATCACGGGCGCGGTCTCCGACTCTTTTGTTCGCCGTCACGCCGACTGTCCATTCAGGGGCACCCCCTATAACGGATCCCCGCCAAGATGGACTCGGAGAAGGAGATTGGTAAGTGACGACCGAAACAAACACTCCTCAGTGCCAAGTCGTGCTCCACACTGACACACCGCCGCCTCTCCCAGCCCAGCAAGCCGAACAGGCTCGCGTCAACTCGTCTAAGGATGGCGACCTCTCAGACGCCAGCGTGCCTGACTCGGAGCTTGAGTGGACCGAGGAGGAAGAGCGGGTGCTACGGCGCAGGATCGACTGGCACACGGTGCCCTTGGTGACGCTGCTGTACATGCTGTGCTTCCTCGACCGCATCAACATCGGTAATGCTAGCATCCAAGGACTGTCGGCGGATCTCGCGCTAGATCAGGGCGTGCGATTCAACTGGGCGCTTTCCATCTTCTACATCGTCTATTTGCTCGTCGAGGTACCCAGCAACATCATCCTAAAACACGTCGGCCCTCGCTACTACCTACCCTTCCTCGTCTGCGGCTTCGGACTAGTCTCGCTATGCACCGCCTTTGTCCATGACTTCGCGGGCCTCATGGTCGTCCGGGTATTTTTGGGTGTGTTTGAAGGTGGCGCGTTCCCCGGGTTGGCCTTCTTCCTCAGCTGCTTCTACAAGCGCAACGAGCTGCTCTTCCGCATGGGCATTTACGTTTCGGCCGCATCCATTGCCGGAGCCTTCGGCGGTCTGTTGGCCACAGGCCTGTCGAGAATCCCGGAATGGGGGGTTGCCTCGATGCGCATGTCCCGCTGGCGCAACATCTTCTTCTTTGAGGGCATCGTTACCATCCTCGTTGGCCTTGCTGCGCCCATCTGGATGCCCACAACGCCGGGCGAAGCCCGCTTCTTAACGCCGCGCCAACGTCGCATCGCAGCCGAGCGCCTCATCCGCGAGAACAAGGCCGACCCGGCGGCCAAGGTGACGTGGAAGGATATAAAACACGCTGTCCTCTCCGTCCACAACTACACGTGCGCCCTAGGCTTCTTTCTCATCAACATCACCGTCCAGGGCCTGTCGGTCTTCATGCCCACCATTCTAAGGGACCTCGGGTGGACCGACACCAAAGCCCAGCTGTACTCCGTCCCCCCGTATGTTGCCGCCTGCTTGGTCGCCATTGCCGTTGCATATGGTAGTGATAAAACCCACCAACGCGGCATCTGGCTCGCCGCTTTTTCCTGCCTGGCCGTGATCGGGTTCGCCATCCTTCGCTGGGTCGAAGAACCAAACATTCGCTACATGGCTATCTACTTTGTAACCGTCGGAGCGTTCCCAGGCGGGCCAGGCTTCCTAGCGTGGGCAATTAATAATTCCGGCAGTCCGTCGGTTCGTGCTGTGAGCTCAGGTTATGTGGTGACGCTCGGCACCATCGGTGGTATCGTAGCAACGTAAGTTGGCATCCCCTTCCCCCATTCCCTCGCCCCACCCTAGCCGCAGCCTTGCTAAAGCACCTGCTACAGATGGACATACACGAAAAGCGACGCGCCAAAGTACTCTACAGGGCACAGCATTAATCTGGGGGGCCAGATTGGGGCTGTTCTCCTGGCCATCTTCGGCATCTTCTACTGCATGTATGAGAACAATGCAAGGGCCGCTGGCAAGCGGGATTACCGTCTTGAAGGCTTGACCGATCAAGAGAAGGATAACCTGGGAGGCAAGCACCCGAGCTTCCGGTATTGGACTTGATTGGTGTGAAGAAAGCGGGCGGTCAGGGTTTCGTGTCTGGGAACATGGGTTGGAGGGGATTTTGCCACGGTTTGCCCTAAGACACTTCCGGCCGATAGGTTGATATCAACTATCAAGTTTTAGCTCCGATCTACTTGTGCCGCAATGTGTTTTCAGAAGCAGAAGGGGGGGGGGAGGACTGGGCACCCAGCCCCAAGCCCGAACTGCATCAGAGGACTTGCACCACACAGAACCCTAACCCGGAGCCCCATTTCGTTGTCTCCCCTGAATTGAACCCGAGCAACGGGGTTGTCGACCTCTGCGGGCCGGGTTAGAGTAGTCGAACTCCAACAAGCTTAGCCTGGCCGAGGTGGATTCGGTAGTTCTTTCGTCGGAGCTCGAACCTGGGACTGTGGAGCGGTGGAACGATCGGAACTAAGACATTTAGAACACAGATCCGGGGAAGTGGACCTTCGTCCCCGGCATTCGGCATCTGGGAGGTTGGAGAAGTGTAAGATGGAGAGCACAAGTTCGGGGCGAGAGTCCAAAAGACCGGCAGTTGGAGAAGGAGATACGCGTCGAATGTTTGGCTGGCCACAAACGAGGCACGGGAAATATCCTACACAGATAACGGCATTCATTAACACTCCCGCATTAAAAGTCCAATAACGGGATACTTATTAATAACCTCACAAAAGCCCGGGAGGACGGTCGGAATCGCGGAGTGGCCCCAAAAAGGATACGCCAGTTGGTCCATGCTGTGAAAGACGGGGGCGCTTGCATGGGACGGACAGTTGATAGGCCACGTTAAACGACAGCACAGCTTCCTCTCCGTCCGACGGCTGAAGTCGAAATGCTGTAATAGGTACCTAGGTACCTTTCAACCCCGCGCCTCGAGGCAGCAATGCTGTTTCGTGCTCAGCGGCACCCGAAGCGAGATTCACACGCCTCGTTGAGCCGCTAACGCCAATCGGTCGATGCATATTGGGTGGTAGGTGAGAGGGAGTGTGCGATTAACACCAGTTCGCAAGTGAGTTTTGTATTCCACATTAATAGTTTCAAGGTTCAGCCGACTAGGCAAAGGAACTGCGAGGCTTCATCTCATCCGATCCTTTCGTGGTCGCCTTCGACAAACGAATGTGCCCACCACCCTCCTCATGGATAACGCGGCTCAAGGATTTGGCCATCTCGTACCTGCATGAGTCTCCAGCCTCCAATGCTAAAAGCAGCCAACTGGTATGAGGAATGAAGTAGGCGAGGTGGTTCTGCATAACACTTGCCGCCCAAATAGGCCGCCTCTGCGGCGTTGAATGGGCTTCTGCAGTGCCTTCCACACCGAGTTTCCAGGAATTGGCAACAAGTGCAGATGAGGCGCGCCTCCACCCATGTCTTTGATGCCTCGTGCGTCCCCAATACTCGGACGAGGCGTAAATAGCGCTCGACGGCTGAGTCCCGGGATCCTGCACCTTTGTTTGAAGCGCTACGATTGGACTAATGCAAAACTGAATAATTTCCACCGTGACGGGCCCAAGCACAGCTGAAGACCAAAATGGTTGAGCCGCATTGAGTTGGGCGTTTGCTCGATCAAGGCGGATGTCACCTTGTTACGAGGCATGCCATAAATACCCCTGAGGGTAACTAAGCTCCGAGGCTCCCCTCCATCCATCAGACCGTTTCTTGGGCAAGGAAGTTATCGTCTGCTCCGGTGATTTGTCACTCATTTAGCCTGTCATTCATTGTTCGTCGCTCATTCTCTGACTATGTCCTTCGCTCGTTACACCGCGGCTCTACTGCCGGCAGCCATACTTGGTGCTGCCTTGACCATTCCTGACGACAACCGCATGGTTCAACAAGACGGACTCATTCGATATCCCGTCATCCCCAAACAAGGAGGTCCTATTTTTGGCAAACACTCCAACTTCACTAAGAGACAAATCGATACCGGCAGCCTTGGTCAGCGCTCCGGCACCCTTTACACTATCGAGGTTACCCTCGGCACACCGGGCCAAACGGTTCCTGTCCAGTTCGACACCGGCTCGTCCGAGCTTTGGGTGAATCCCGTTTGTTCCAAGTCCACGACCCCCGACTTCTGCAATGCACAACCACGCTTCACCGAGTCTTCTACCTTGGTGGACCTTGGCGAGCAGGGTCATGTCACCTACGGGACCGGCTACGCTGACTTTGAGTACATTGCCGACTACGTCGGCATTGGGTGTAAGTTTTACACATCTTCTGCTTGGTATAGTGATTGGGCGGTGTGAACTGATGCCCGTTGTTTCCAGCGGCTAGAATCACACAACAGATCTTTGGCGCCGCGTTCGACAGCGCCCACGCGGTCGTCGGCCTCATGGGCGCCGGGCCGTCACTCGAGGGGTGGGAGAACGGTTATCCCCTGGTCGTTGACTCTTTGGCCCAGCAGGGACTCACCAACAGCAGAGCCTTTAGCATGGACCTGAGGGGTTTTGATAGCGCACGGGGTAAGCCTGACATGCCTATTACATTGTCGTCTAAATTGGTCGGTATAACTAACCATCCCCGCAACCGAACAGGATCCGTAATCTTCGGCGGAATCGACACCAAGAAGTACTCAGGTACCCTCATCAAACGTCCCATCATCCCCGCCGCACAGTCACCCGACGGCCTTACCAGGTTCTGGGTCTACCTCAACGGTATCTCGGTCAACCAGCCAGACGGTAACGTTGTCACCGTGTACAGCACGCCCAACGGTGGCGAGGGTCAGGCTTTCTTGCTGGACAGCGGATATACTCTCAGCGCCCTGCCCGCACCCATCATGCAAAACCTTGTCTCTGCCTTCCCGTCTGCCGAATATATCGCAGACGCCGATTTGTATGTGGTCGACTGCCTGGATCCTGGCCAGGGGGGTTCCCTTGACTTCACATTTGGCGCCAAGGTCATTAATGTGCCGTACTATGACTTCGTTTGGCATGTTCCTGACTCTGACCTCTGCGTCTTGGGTGCCTTTACCGATGGTGAGTGCAGCCGGTGATTCTCGATACGGGTGGTTATTCCAGAGGCTTACCTTGTGACCACAGACTTCCCTGTACTTGGCGATACATTCCTTCGCGCTGCGTATGTTGTCTATGACTGGGACAACCGCATGATCCACTTGGGCCAGTCTGATGATTGCGGCTCGGAGCTCATTCCCATTGGAAACGGCCCTGATGCAGTTCCGTCTGTTGGTGGATGCGGCCAAACGACGCCGACTTCGACATCGACGACCTCAACTTCCACAAGTACATCGACCTCGTCCGCGGAGTCGACATCGACCACTGAACCCCAGATATCCACGACCGTTGCTCCTGATACCACGTCAGTCACGACCAGCGAGTCATCCACCGAGATACCCACCGAGACCACCACCGAGTCGTCAACTGCTTCGGAGTCATCGACCGTAGACTCTCCCTCTTCCACAGCCACCGAGTCATCCACAACATCCAACCCCGCATCATCCACCGCCGCATCAACCGACAGCTTCGAGTCATCCACTACGGCGCCCCCGTCCACCACTACCACAGGCACACCCACAGCCCCCATCACGACCTCCTCGTCTACCATCAGCCGCAGCACAATAACCACAACCACCTCCACCACCTACACCGTCACCTCCTGCCCGCCCACCGTTCCCGACTGCCCACTGCACCACCTGACCACCGAAATCATCACCGCCACCACGGTCATCTGCCCCGAAACCACCGCCACCTACACCATCCACCAAACCCTCCCTTGCGCCTCCTTTTCCCCTTCCGCCGCCTGCCCGCCCGCCCACACCCAGACCACCGACTTCACCGTCACCGTGTCACCGCTGCCGCCCGCCCAGCGAACTACTCCCCGGGGCGTGCCGGGCTGCACGCCGGGTGCAGCGGGGCCGACCGTTTGCGCGCAGTGCGGGCCTGGGGGTGCTAAGGTGACGACGCTGGTGACGGCGGTGCCGACGGCTGGGTGCGTTGGCTGTCCGGTTGGGGGTGGGGGTGGTGGGAATGGAACTGTCACGGCTGGCGGGGTGAAACCGACGGGTGGGGTGAAGCCGACGGGTGGGGTGGTTACTGGTAGCGCTGGTGCTGTTCAAGTGCTCAAAGGTTGGGGGGTGTTTGGGATCGTGGTGGCGGTGGGAGTGCTGGGGTTGTGATTTTGTGTACCTACATGGAGACCGGGTAGTTGGTAATGTTGGAGTATGTACCTAATGATGGACCTTGGTGTATTGTTTCTTTTATTTGAACCCCCGTCAGACGCTCAGTTTTGGGCCGTTCTTTATTAAGTTTATTCTATCTCCCTCGGATGCAACAGCTAATGTAACATCGTACTTTCATCAACGACCTTCTTTCCAACACACCAATGATGATATTTGTTCGGGGCCGGTCTTAACTTTTCTGCAGTTGAGTCGAGGCCGACGGCTGGAATTGACCTTCCTCGCCGACGAACTGCACGCGCGCTCGACCTCCACACAGGCCTATATATAGCCATGGCAATGGTCATTCCCTTCGCCACGGTAACAGTGCTCGCGGTCACGGAGTAGCTTGTCCTATGGGTAAGCCGACTTTTGTGACCACTTCTGCCCGAGGGTGTATGCGAGAAGAAGACGGTCCTGACCTCGACGATGTTGGGTTGTTCGAGGAAGACCTGTTTCCTAGCGTTGGAATACGAAGCAGCGGGGCGTTGGTGGAGAAAACTAGGGGATTCTAGGAATGTCTCAGACTTAAAAAGTGAAGTAATTACATCATGAGCGTGGCAACGCAGCAAGGGAACTCCTTCGCACATTATGTCGGGATGACCGCTCAAAGCTTCAACTTGAGCAAGTCCGGTCCAGTGTCTTGGCGCCCTACATCCCGCCTTATGCCCGCGATCATTGAAGTTCACCCCCGGTCCCGTCAAAGGTCGAACAGAATCAACCCTGGCCGAACCGCCGACGCGTCAAAGCAGGACCGGTGCGGAACGGTCGGCTCATTAAATGCCTCGGCCGGGAATAGCCACATGCCAATGGCCGTGCACGGCAACCGCTCCATCCTCGCAAACATCTCGGCATCCACCACATCACCATGTCTAGGCACTGGCACCAGTGGGTCGTTTGGGAAGGACCTGAGGTAGGCGTTGTTGATCCACGTGCGGCTCCGCTTCCAGTTGTCGACTTCATCGCGCAGGTGTCTCGCTAGGTCCGCCCGCGGCCCTTCCTCATCGTCCTCTTCTTCTGAGTGCCCCTCCTGCGGCTGCGTTGCCGCTATGTTCAGCGCAAGCAGGTCCGCCCGCTCGTACTTGGGCCAGGTGACCCTAGGGCAGACGTAGAGGCGCAGCCCGGCATTGCCGCCCTCGCCACGCGCCTCCCCGTCATGTTGTTGGTCCTGCGCAGGTCTGGTGACTCCAAAGGCTTGCTCTAACTGCTTCCAGCCGCGGCCGAGCACGCGCGGGTCCCCGCCGAGCGGCAGCTGGCGGATGTCGATGTCCACGCCGGGCCGCGGATCGGCGTCGAGCCAGTGGAAGGCCCCAGCCGGGTGGTTTCGTCGGCCGAGGGGAAAAGTCTGCGCGAAGTGGTATTGATATCCCTGGCGCGCGGGGAATTCGCCCAGGCCCCGGTAACACGACCGGAAACGAATGACAAAGAGCACGGAGCGCAGCCGCCGCCGGAGGATGTCGGTAAACGATGCCGCGGCTACCGGGTGGAGCGCGTCTGGGGTCAGTTGAAAAGGTAAGGAACCAAATCCCATCATGTTTAACCAAAAGAAGTCTTTGTTCAGTGCGAGGTGCGCAACGCTATCATCGTTGGGACGTTAGCAACGCAAAGGGTAAAAAGGTGAGGTACTTCGGTGCCTAAGGCTATGGAAATATATGCACACATACCCTTGGCCCATGCGGTCATAAGCCTTGACATCGTGTAGCAGGTCAGCTAGCAGAGTAAGGGGGTCAAAGTCGGCGCTGCCGACCTGGTCCCATCGGGGGTGAATCGACACAACATCGTACTCTGGGTTAAGGTACAGGACCTGCTCCCTAAGCAGCCCAAAGAAAGGCAACTTCACGCGGTAGAAGACCAGCGTGGCCCGCCTCGATTCCTGGTTCACCCATAGCAACGGGCTATAGGATCCAGGATGGCCTCGACGACGGCCGTTCCAGCTCAGCATATAGTCCCGACCGCTGACAATGTTGCCATAGGCGTTACGGTTTGTGTAGTATCGGGAATGGAAACCATTGCCGGGATACGTCGTGGCATCCTCGTCGGCGGCGCGACAGATGTTGAGCTCGATCATGCGGTACCGCCGGAGGTAAACCAGCCAGACGTGCAGGCGCAGCTCGGGGGGGAGACGGGGAAATAGACCCCATGTTGTATCCCCGAGCACCGGGGGTTCCCAGTGTTGGAAATGCACATCGTTGAAGATCCTGGGCGGCATCGGAGAGGTGACCACGGCTGTCTCGTCAACGACGATTGATGTCGCAGTTTGTTCAGGTTGGAGCGGCAGTTGTGGCTTAAATGACCAAACAGAAGTTATAGCATGGATAGGTACCTAGAATTACTCAACGTGTCGGAAATGCTGAAATGTACCCGTTTGAGTGGCTAGGTAGGTACCTTTAACAGTTGCGCCGCTGAGGCTGCCTTTTGAGGTCGGTCGCTGTGTGGTGCAAATGCCAGTTCGTCTTCGTGCTTCGCGAGACGAAAACGGTCTATTTTTGGAAACGAGTGCCAGAAAAGCAGAAACCGGCGAAAACTACCTATCCAACTATCGATATCGACCAACCCACCAAAGACACAAGCCACGCATATACATTAAGGTATATATCTAAACATGTAGGATTCAAATTTCGAATTCGTTCATAATACGGATAACACGCGTTGAGGTGGTGTTGGATTCAAAAAAAAAAAAAAAGGTCGAATTCCGCCAACCCTCGCCAAGACATCTTCGAGCCGTCGGAATAACAAGAAGAAAAACAACAATCTACCTACCTATCGATGCTTCAACGCGCATTACCCGTATTATCAATTCTGTAGGAGATTCGGATTCTACGTATTTGGATTTATATGCTCGAGCATATATGCAGGTGCGTGTCTTCGGTGGACCGGCTAATATAGCTCTTGGTACCTTTTTCTCCTCCTGTTTTCCCTCAGAAATCAGAAAGTGTTGCGCAAGCCGCGTACGCATGTTAAGACGACCAGGCGGTGACACTACACAGCGAGACGCGCGTCACTAAGAGGGAAAATCCGGGGTTGCCACAGCCTGAACATATTATATATGTATACAGGCACCTGATCCAGTGGACGAAGCCGGTATTCTCATTTTCCACAAGCCAACAATACGAAACTATTACTTAGACGAGAAACTTACCACTTTGTCAAGTTTGTCTACCTATCTGTCGCGGTTCTACTATGTCGAAACGATAACGTTTCGAACCTAGCACTTGAGCAGCGACATTCCGTGCCCGCCCTGAATCGAGCCATGTGCAAGGATGGAGGTGGTGGAACTGAAAAATGTAAATGACCGGGGACCGGAACCAGGGGACCAGTGAGTCGTGACGAGTAACGCTACCGGGAACTATCGTCCTACCTAGTACCTAATGACTCCCGCAGAGTGGCCACAGGTACCTACTTCCAGTATGAAGACTCGGAGGAAATGAGGCATACACCGCCGGCTTCGATCATGCTCTGATAGGAGGGGATAAACTCGACAGGACTAAGGGTGTACCCTTTTGTTTTGTGTTGGCTTGTTCCTTTTAGAAGGATAGTTGTACCATGAGATTGACTAGAGATAATTTAGTTTCAGCTGGGCTGATGTTATCTGCTACTTTACTTTGTTTCTTCAAGTTGCCATTACGGGCAGATCTGTGATGTAGGTTTACCAATGAATTGATCATATGCAGCTTCAGCGCTCAAATAGCTACCTATAGGTATGTACATTATCTTCCCTACCCGCTCTCCCTGTCAGGATGTGAGGTGCGCGGCACTAGGCACAATTAACCCGCTGGCCCGTTTATAAACAAATTACAAATCTTACCACCAACTGTTGGATAGGAGGTCCTCAAATACGGAATCTGGTACAACAGTCTAAGGTGAAAGGACGGCATAGAATATGAGCTCATAGTGTGAAACTATCAATCAGGCACATGAGCTCTAGGCAGCGTCCAGCGCAATAACCTATCCAGTTCGCACGCTTTATTCACATTTTCTTTGATCCAGATAGCCAAAGAACCCCACACGGTCACAACTGGCCAGCAGCCAACATTCGAGTTCGATCAGTTATATTCAGACCTTCCCCCGGTCCTTCTTCTTCTTTGAGGCTCGGGGGCTGGTCGGTCGTAGCTATCAATTGTCGTGGATAATGGACGGGGCTCGGCCCTAGGGCCTGATGCTCCTGATGAGACGTGCATACGTTGCATTCTCGAAGTCAACTCGTCACTACCACGGCCAGAAGTCGGTCTTCTCGAGCTGGGAATGGCCGCGGGTCGACGTTCCCTGACGCCGTGGCCGCCAGATCCTGACTCCCGGGGATCTCCTCGGCGCTCACGGGTGGCACGGGTGTCACGATTGTGACGATTGTCGCGGCTGTCTCGACTGTCATGGTGCGTGTTACCACCCCCATGACCACCATGGGTGCTGCGACCCTGGGATCCACCATCGCTCTCGGGGCTCGGGCTCCGATCAAGCTTCATAGCCCAAATGACTATCTCTTCGTCCTCTGGGTTTCGCTCTCCGACTTCCTCGGCGAACTCGCATCGTTTGTTATAACTCAATCGGTCAGCAATCTCCCTCACCGCTGGGGCGTATCTTCGGTCTCGGCAGATGAAATGCAGATCTGTGTAATCCCCAGGAAACCCCCGGCCGTAAGACTGAAACTTTGCCCTAACCAGGGGGCCAACGGTTAGGAAACTGACACTAACGCCGTCGCGTCCGACTGGACGAAACTCCGTGGCCGCGTCCAGGTTCGACGGCATGCCATGGCCCTCGGCGCTTTGCGACTTGAGGTCCAACTGAACGACGTGGCTGTTGACTCGGACAAAGATACGGGCGACCCCAGAGGCCCAAAGCATTCTCGAATTAGGTCCCGGTCTGGTGACACTGTATGGTTTGGCCAGTGGCCTGGCGTCAGTATCGATTCGCCAAATACCAACACAAAGTTTGGGAATGAGGGGATGATGACAAAAGGTATACCGGCTCTCGTTGTTCAGCAAGTCCAAGATATGTCCCAGAGAAGGCCTTCTGTTGACGGCAAGGTCGACGTCCTGCGTCGTTCGGCCCGATCCACGCAGGTAGAAGTTCATACCACCCATTAAAGCGTACGCCAGTCCGGCATTGTTGAAGATGGATGCGATGATCCCGAGTGCAGTTGTCTGATGCCGGCCACTGGCGCTCTCGGCCTGTTCTTCGAGCTCCGTAAGCTCACCATGAGTATTGTAATGCCGACACGGCATCTTTTGGAATGAAGGTCAACGGTCCGGTGTGTTAAGTATAGGGGAGAGAGGGGATGTACGAGGCAAAGAGATATTAAAAACGGGAGCAAAAAACCGAGAGCCAGCTCAGCAATGATAGGATTGAGTAGGTGCGTTTGACTGGGTCCTTGAGCCGAAGGGCAACCGGCAGACCTTCTCCTTATACACAATAATGGCCTACCAAGCAGGGTCGAGGTTGTGCCTTGTGTTGAAGTTCACCGATATGGCCGGGAATGCAAGCATGGTCTAGGTTGAGCATCCATCGCTGCTTCATGGACAAGGCCTTATACTCGAGAACCTGGGTCGCGTTCTTGTTGCAGTCCCCAAGCGGGCCGCCACCTCCTGTCCTCACCGTTTGCTGCGAGACTCACACTAATAGGCGTTACAAATCCCGGACAATGGAAACCCAATGGGGAGCGCGAGGTCAGTCTCGGAAAGGGTCTCGAGCGGTGGTAACGTCTCAACAAGAGGTCCTTGAGAAACACACCTACGCCGGCCTGCGACGTTATTGGCGTGGTACAAACATGGACAGTAGGACGAAAGGTCCCGGGCTTCACTGGCGGCCATGGCACGTCGCGTGGTCACCCAAAGCTGCCCGGGCGCTATTTCCGGAGCGGATGGATTAGCCAGAATCGAACCCGTCTTGGAAAACACTCTTCTCGAGGCCGCAATCGAAGGCCCGGGCTGCCGGCGGCACAACTGTACCATCTGCATGGCGATGCCCTGTTCTCTTGATGCCATGGGGAGGCTGAACGAGGTGGCTACAAGCCAGGTCGGTATCAAACTATTGATGGAATTTCCCGCCTCTTCTGATGGGTATTTAGTCCAATCACATTGTTAGAAAGTGGTTGGATTGCGGGCGGAATGAGGGACCTGTCGGCGACCTTGAGGAGCTGGCAAAGCAATCGGAGAGTGAGTTGTGAGGGCACATGCAAAGGATGATTCTGTGAGTGGGCCAGCCACCTAACAAATCACCCTTGTTACCTGATAAGTATAATTACCCGGTAGAAAAATAGGGCAATAATCTGAACTCTTCTAGCAAAACAAGGGTAGTTGGCAGCCCAATTCCTTTGGCAGGGTTATTTATACAGAATACCAGGTGTGGCTGGTTGGCCCCCTACCTACCTACCTAGGTAGGTACATGGGTACCTAGGCCAGTGTGTGCGGCCCCAGGACGGAATCCCTTCCCCTTGGGAGTTGGAGGAGGCACAAGTTGAGTGGCACTTCCTCTGCCGGACGCCCCGGCTGCGCCCCGGCCCGTGGGCCAGGCCCATTGCAGTGCCGCGAACTCCAGTGGTGTCGCAACCGGACCGGCCTTTCCCACTCCAACGGAATCTTTTAACCGTCACCGTCCCAGTTTTGCCACTTCATGTCTTCCTGCACCCACCAACTGCACCAAGTCGCGCGAGTCAATTAATAACCAACCCTTACTATCACCGCGCCTGTCCAGCGCCCTCGGGCGTCGTTGGATCCATCTCGGGCTCATTTTTTGCTCTTGTTGCAGAGGACCTTCAGGATGTCGAACGTGGATGACCACCCTGCATTACCCGGCCTTCGAGATTATTCTGGTGAAGAAACAAGCCTGCAGGGTGTCAGTGAGATTTTAGCGGTGGTCAGTCAACTGCAAGACGCCAATGTTCCATCATGCGTAATCGGAGTGAAGGCATTGCGCTACTACGGGGCCGCCAGAGTAACTGATGTGAGTCCATCCATGACTCGCACGCAAGACAAATGCCATCTCGGCAGTGGTGGTTGCGGCGTCGTACCAAATACATTTCACTCGCTGACCGAGAGATAGGAATGGGACCTTTGTATCCCCGATAACAAGCTGGAGGAAGCCCGCCATCTTCTTCTCTCCGCCGCCGATGGAGCGAAGTACGAAGTTGCCCAAGGCCCCTATCCCGTACCCTGGTCTCGGCGCCATGCCTTCCCCTGCTTCCGCCTAAAGGGTTACAATTTCTGGTTTATCCTGGTGCCATCGTCCGACTGCTTTGTCGACCCGTCGATCGCCAGTCACGTCGAGAAAAGCAGAAACGGCGTCCCGTATGCGGCCTTGGTCCAGTTTTCTCGCTCGCTCCTCTTGCAGCAGATGGTCGCCGACATCGCTGATTTCATCGACGGTATGGACCTCACCGTTGACTGGGGAGCTGAAAATATTGGCTTCGCAACGCTTCAGGAGCAGGGTGCTGCGTTCATCGAACGTAGGAACGAACAGGCCATGGCTGATAGCGGGCGGTATGGCTTTCTTTCACCGCAACCTCTGGAGGAGCTGTGGGACGAGATGGCAAGTAAGGAAGCAAAGGAAAGGCGTATCGAACCCATGAAGCAGGGCCGTTACTTCACCCGCTGGAGGAGAATCAAATCTCCGGAGGATCCTAGGACCAAAGACCGTCCAGTCTAGACGGTGCTGTATTACAAAAAGGCCTCTTGTGATCACCTGTGCAGTTCATAACTTCTCTCGATTCAACACCCCCAGTCATATTAGGGTGGCAAGAGGAACAATTGTCTGCTATTATGTGAGGTATATACACACGCTGTCATTCTTGTCAATTCGTCTTCTTGGTGCCAAATTCCTAACCCGGAAAGGGAACCATCCCAACTTCCAACACAAGCGGCGTCCTGTTCGTAAGTGGTCGCGGTGCCGCCTCGCCACACCTTAAGCTGGGGCGCAGCACATGTTTTTCCTAAAAGGAGAAGCTCCATTGGTCGTCTTCCGTCTGTCCCAACGCGTGTCGGGCCAACCCTGGGGCCACCCAGGGGTAAACCTGCCGTGCTGTGCCCCTCCAAAGCGCGCGGAAACGTCCCCCCTCCCCCATTGTTTCAAGACGGACATATCCTAGACAGCACTCGCGAGACCCTCCGACCAGTGAGCTGCCCCGCTTGCTTACTACCTATCGCCATTCTCTTTCCCCATTCACAGAAGGTCGGGATTTTCGAAGTTCAACATGTCTTGCCAATACTACCCCCCCGCCGACCTCGACGAGTTGGAAGAGGTTGCCACCGAGGCTACCGTAAGCCAGCAGATTGAGGCTCTTCAAACCATTGCCGACATATTCAACCATCACCAACTCCCATACGGTTTAATGGGAGGCATGAACTTTTATCTCCGCGGCTCTGGTCGCACGACCGACGATGTGGACTTGGCAGTGACCGGGTCCCAGAGCCTGCAAACGACCTTGGACTTCCTGGACCATGACGAACGGTAAACCCTCATATTCCCTTCCCTCGCACGTTCTATGACCGGCGCTGACGTCGCCCCCCTGTTGTCGCACAAAAGAGTCACTCGTCCGAGGAACAAGATGTCCTGGATGGGGGGTGTTGCCCGGACGTTTGTTAGGGTAGGGGAACAGCAAGTCCAGATCGACCTCAAGTGGCAGAAAAGCGAGGGTCACGGTATGCCGATGGACCTCAACGCGGCAACCGAGCTCCGCCACATTATCCAAGGACACACCACCGCTGTCCGCTTTCTCAAGATCGGCCCCTTGGTTAAGGCCAAATTCCAGTCGTATGGGAGAGGGAAACCGGGGGATTACGCCGACCTTGTGTTTATTTGCACGCATCCTGGGTACAGGGAAGAGGTGAGGGAAGTGGCGGACGAGATACGCATGGAAAAGAGGGAATTGTTTGTCCAGGAGTTACTGCAGACTCGTGTAGACGGGTGTGAGGATATTCGATCTGTTTTGAGGGTCGACGGTGGCGAGGAGAAGGGGACTGACGAGGCTGGTGGAGAGTCGGAGCCTGACTCGGAGCAAGTTAAGTGAAGTGTGATTGAGAAATGTCTATAACCTCGAATGCTCGCACCATAAGCTCAACATCCCGTTCGGGTTCATACTCCGTACCGAGGTAGTCCGGCTTCAGCTGGCGAGACCCTGGTCTTGGGCCAGGGACATGTACGAAGTCGACATCTCTGGATGTCTCACGTGCTCCCACAACGAGCACAACCGGCTAACTCTCGGCATGGCGCCAAGAAACAAGGGCATGAATCTCGCGCAAGGGGGGTTGTCTGATGATCTCTTGGCCTTGACCACAGCGGCGAAGTCACGGCGCAACTGATCGTGAGCGACCCCATAAATCCACAGGGGCTAACTCAATGCAGGTAAGGTCGCCCGGGGGCTCTCTCAAATCCACCCATTCTCTCGCCGGGGGGGGGGGGGGGCGGTCTTCTCCCACTGGGCTTGCAGTTGGCCACAAGTTACTGGTCATAATCAGACGGTATCCCCTCGAATGTCGTGTACATCGCCGCAGACCCAGACCGGTAGATTGGGCTCAACAAGAAGGGCGGCCGGGATTCTCCTCGAAACCGGTTAGTCCAAGTGGGTATCGTCGTCGCTGCGCCGTCAGGTTGGGCGCTTGAAGACGCGACAATGTAATTTATTTCACCAATCAACTTGCCCTGGATGCTGGGGGCGGCAGGCGCAGTCTTGGCCTCCTATTTCTTTCTTCCCGGTTGGATATCATGGTTTCCGCGGGATAGTTGGGGGCCGAAGAGAAGGGCGTCGGTTCTTCATTTTCCCTTTTGTCCCACCTCCCTTCTCTCTCGTTCTTGTTGAACATAATGTGAACGCAAGTTATCCATCACCATTTTCAGGACGAGCCGCAATGTTATGGGGCGTGATCATCGCCGCCTGGGCCGGGTGGTCGCTGGCGGCAGAGTGTCCCGAACCACCCTCGCCGTTAACGCTTCCCATTACGGATACTCAAGTCGATCCTGGGGTTCCTGGATCCCTTATGAGAGGTATACCGGTGGAAATCGGCACTCCGCCCCAGAAACTTGTCGTGCTTCCTTGGCCGTGAGATTTCGCCCCTCCCCCGAACTTGTTACCGCGCATTAAATCTTTGTACATAGATACTGACAACGCATGGGGCCAGAGACTTAAACAATACCTACCTTTACGACGACCAGTCCTTTTGCGGCACGCATGTAATCGATGACGAAGATATTTGTCGTGTTCGCCGCGGTGGATACTACTTCGAAACCGAATCTACCAGCTTCACCAAAACAATAGACCTTATCGGCGCAGGCGGTGCCCCGGTGGAGATCGGCACGAAGGGCTCAGAATCAGGAATCCCAAGGCTTGTATCCACCAGCCTCGCTGGCACGGACAGTTTTGCCGCCGGCGGCAACGACGCCGTGACGATTCCCGTGGGAATCCCTCGGTTTCAATGGGACGGGGGATTTACGGTTGCTCATGCGCTCGGTTTGGGGCCAAACTCGACCTACCTCAACGCCCTGGTTGCGGCACGCAAGATCCCTTCCCGGGTGTGGTCCATTTTCTGGGGCCGTATGTGGACGGGCAGCGCGGACATGGACGGCTCGATCGTACTCGGCGGGTACGATCAGGAGAAGGTGATCGGGCGAAACTTCACGGAGAAACTTGATTATAGCGAGTCGATGGGCTGCTGGACTGGCATGAAGGTTACCATCGTGGATGTCATCGCCAACTTCCCACACGCAGCTGACGTGAGTATCATGTCCGCCAATTCCGCGGTAAGGTCTTGCATCGTTCCACAACGGCAACTCCTGTGGGAAGCCCAGGCCGATATCGTGACCGACTTGCGGAAGAGGACAGGCTTGGTGTCCAAAGGTGGCCTGTCATCCACTGCATTCCATGCGCTCTCTACGGGGCTCAACATGACGGCAACCGGTTCAGGGTAAGTGCATATTTTCCAATGATCCTCTATCCCAGTCGGTGTGATGGCACGGACTAATCCTGGTTTGCCATAGCTATGATGGTGACCTAACGTTTGTCCTGTCTTCGGGTCTGCGCGTCCGCGTGCCAAACAACCAGTTCATCGTTCCACGAGTCGCGTATTCCGACGACGGTTCCCGCATCATTGACGAATCCAAAAAGGACCTCCTTATATACGGGGTCACCGGGAACCAACCATCGACTCTCGGCCGCTACTTTCTAACTTCCGCCTATCTCATGGTGGACCACGACGCCGGAACATTCACCATGTGGCAAGGCAACCCATCCACTAAAAGTAGCCTAGTTTCGGTATCCGGTACCGACCAAGAGTGTGATGCAGGGAGCAGCGGGGATGGTAACGGAAGCGCCGACGGAGGTAATACGGACAGTGGAGAGGGCAGCGGCGGTGGAGATGGCGGCGGCGGTGGCAGTGACAACCAGGGCAACCGCGAGTCTTCCCCCGAGATAACCATGAGCACTGGTACAATCGTAGGGGCGGCCGTGGGTGGTGCAGCAGGTCTAGCTTGCATCGTAGCCCTAGTTCTATTTTTGTTCTGCAGACGCCGGCGACAGCGAGGGATGGAGACGGCCGGCTTCCTACCAGACGATGTCAGAGCGCCATATCCCAGTTCAGAGCCGAAAGAGATAGCGGGCTCATCCACGGCCACGGAACTGGCCGCGGGGGGGCCCCGGCCAGAGCTCAACGGTGACTACTTTCCCGGCTATGAGCTACATGGGTCTGCGCTGCCATACGGGGGCCAGGGGAGATATTGACTTAACCCGGGCTAAGTACGTATCGAGTGGGTGAATGGGGATGAGCTTTTGGCTGTGCATACCAAGACTGCTTCACTACCAAGCACCTACCTAACTATAGACAACACAAATCTTTGTAAACAAAAGTTGAGGGCGATTCCACCGTTCACTACCTTCCTTCCTCCCATCAACGACACACCCAGCACAAGAACCCCCGGGCCAGATAAGAACCTCAAGCCCCCATCACATCAGCCACAACAAAATGCGAACCCCCCGCACACCGCCACCCCCCCTCCTGCTTAATCCACTCGAACCCCGCCGGACAAAGCCCCATCTCCTTCAGCTTCCTTCTCGCCTCCTCCTCCCGCCGCCGCCGCGCCTCCTCCTCGAGCAGCCGCTTCACGATCGCGTCGCGCGCTGCGTCGCTCGCGTCCCGCGCCGCCTGTTTCAACTGCCGATACTCGGCTTCGCGCTCCTCTGCGGCTTGCTGGTCGCGCTGGAGTTGCTCCCAGACGGCGTCGCTTACGCCGGCGTCGCGCCTCGCCAGGTTTGGGGAGCGTGGGGGGTTGTTGTTGTTATCGCTTGTTTTGGGGCGGATGGCGATGTTAACGGGAGGTGATTTGTTGTCTTCAGAGGGTGCCTCCTCGTTCGGGGGAGGTGGGGCGGTGGTTTGGGAGGTGGAAGTTTCGGTTGAGAACTTGGGAGGGGTAGGTGGCGCCTGTGACGGGGCCTGCTGGAGGAGGTCGTGAAGGTCGAGGGAACGGGGCTGTTTGGCGGAGCTGGCCCGTAATTGGCGCTCCTTTAGCATGCCGTCGAGCTCGGCGGTGATTACGCCCTCGGTGAGCACAAGGCTGCCCCGAGCAAGACCCTCCTTATCGCGGAGCATGTGGTTGAATATACCCTTGGATAGGGCCTGGACATCTCGCGCGCTGGCCCAGTTGTCCTGCGCGGCGAGGTCTCGAAATGTCTGGAGCAAAGCTTTCCTGAACCGATGTGTGGGTACTTTCAAGCAGAATATGTCGAACTCCTTGTTCTTCTCTTTGAGAACAGTCTTCTGCTTTTTCAGTAGTTGGAGCATCAGGGTTATGCATTCCTCGGCTGTCAGCGCCCGGAAGTCGATCACCTCGGGGAACCGCGACGTCAAGCCCGTGTTGACGGCCATCAACCGGTTGATATCGGCCTCGTACCCCGCCAGGATGATGACGAGCTTCTTGAAGTATCGGTCCTTGGTAACCGAGTCCACGATCTCATCCATGGCCTCCTTGGCGAAGTGCCCTTCCGCTAGCCGGTACGCCTCGTCAACGAAAAGGACCTTGCCGAGGGACTTGTCAAAGAGCTGCTGCACCTTTGGCCCTGTCTGACCCACGTATTGCCCGATCAGGTCCGTGGCAGAGCACTCGACGACCTCGGCTGCGGCGAGGAAGCCCATGTCGTAGAACACCTTGCCCATCTTTTTGGCTGTGGTGGTCTTGCCCGTGCCAGGCGGGCCACGGAAGAGGAAGTTGAAGGGGATGTTCTCCTTGGGGTCCATCTCTAAAGACTTCATCGTGCGGACAGTGTCTTGGTAACCCTGGAGCAACGAAACGATTTGCTCTGAACCGACTGTGGCCTCAAACAGCTTTTGGACGTTGGTCTCAGCCCTTGACGCCCGGTCAAAATTCTCGTCAAAGTCCAGTGCTTCTAGAAGGCTGGAGGACTTGGCTTGCTTCTTCGAGTAACGGGACTGATGACGGGCCTTTGTGGCATCGAGGAGGATGTCGATTTCTCCCGCATTACCGAAATTGGGTCGGTTCCTTGCCCGGTTGAGCATTTCCATAGCCACGTTGGCCGCCTGGTCGGTAACCTCGTAGCCCTGTTGCTTGATTTTGAGGTTGAAGATGTTGCGTAACTCCTCATTTGAAAAGTCCTCGAAGTTGAACCCGGACGCAATGGGGAACCGCCGACTTAGCCCCGGGTTGACGTTCTGGAACATCTCCTCCATTTGGTCCTTGTACCCAAGCAGTAGGACACAACGGTCGTCTCCTGGAACGCTTTGGACATCCGCTACGATGGTGTCGATGACGGCAGTCTTGTACGGATCCGAAGTTCCGCCCTGTGAGCCGCCGCCGCCGTAGAGGCCATAGGCTTCGTCAATTACCAGAACCTTGCCGACCGTCGCGGCGAGAATACCTTTCGTCTGCTGTTCCGACTGACCTAGATGGGCACCGACGAAGTCGGAGGGGTTCTTGACCACAACTGCAACCGTGTTAGCGACAACGGAGGATGAGTACTCTTGTCTGCTTGCTTACCTTCCCCCTTGGACAGCAAACCAAGAGATACTAAAATGGCCCCATACAGCTTTGCCACTGTCGTCTTCCCAGTGCCGGGATTCCCCAGGAAGACCTTGTTAAGCGAGTACTGAATGAGGGGCTTCTCGTCCAATTCCCGAAGGTAGTTCTGCTGGATGCTGTCGACAAGAGACATGACTGCTTGCTTGACGGACCCAAGGCCGATCAAGCTCTGGAGTTTCTTCCAGGCTTCGCATTTGGTGAGTGCTTCGCCCGGTTCCGGCCCGATCAGATCCTCCTTGGTAAGGAAAAGGTCGTTTGGCTTGGCACCGTTCTTTCGTTCTCTTCGCAAACGGTCTGCTTGTCTGCGGGAGATCCTGTCCAGGGCGTTCTCAACGGCACGTGCATTACCAAACCCTTCTTTTCCACGGGCATGCCCAACCCGTCTTGATACGATGCGGCAATACAGCCCGGTCAGTCCGTCCTCGCAGTCCATGGAGTCATTGTACTTCTTGTTGACCTTGAGTTCCAAGATCTTCAGCAGCTCCTCGTCCGTGTAGTCTGCAAATGTCATCTCGACAGGGAAGCGGCTGGGGAGCCCCGGGTTGTGGGCAAAGAAGCTCTCCATCTGCTTGTTGTATCCGGCAAGAACGAAGACCACCTTACCCCTGAGGTTCTCCACTTCGGCGAGCAGATAGTCAAGGACAGCTCCTCCACCTGGGCTGTTACCGGAGGTCAGCTGATAGGCTTCGTCAATGAACAACACGCCACCACCATCGTTGAGGATGTCGTCGACTAAGCCTTTGCAGCCAGAAACGCCCAGGTTTGCTAGACCCGCGCCGGTATTCTCCTTGAAGCACGAGCCCGGAATCACGCAGAGCTCCGTCAAGAACTGTGCATACATGCGAGCGACCGTCGTTTTTCCTAGAGAGATGTTAGTATCAGAGTGGGGATATCAACGAAGTATTTGGAACAAGGGCGCCCAGGAACGAGAATTGGAACAGGCAAACTCAACGCAATCACTGTATAACGAGAACTCACCGGTTCCAGGATTTCCTAGCATGGAGCAGCTGAACCTCTCCGCGGCCATCGAGATGCCCTGTCGCAACGCAGTGTCGACCTTAGATTTGACGCTGAGGAACTCCTGCTTGACCTCTTCTAGCCCAATCATCTCCATCAAGGCGTCAAGTGGCTTGCTCTGCGCACCCTCGTACTTCTTCAAGAAATCCCACTCTGCCGAGGCACCACTCGACCAGGCAGGTTCGTCAGATGGAGTGGAGGACTTCTTGTCTTTTGTTCGCGCCGAAGCCTTTGCTTTGGCCTTCGCAGCTTGTTCCGCCGCTTCTGCCTTGACCTTGTTCTGCTGGCGGAGCCTCTGTTCTGTATCTTTCAAAGCGGAAAGCTCGGCGCGTTGCTGTTCGAGTGTTTGCTTGCGCGACTCCTCTTCGGCTTCGTACTTGTTGATGCGTCGCTGGTGGTCGACTTCGTCCTGAATTTCCTGGAGCTTCCGGGTGTACTCGGCCTCTCGCTGTGCGCGTTCTTCTTCCAGCTGTAGATCTCGTTTGACTCTGCGCTCTGTCTCCTTGTCTTCTTGGATGCACTTGGGACATCCATCTTTCTCCTTGCCGCAGCGGACCTTGATCTTGTGTTGTCTGTCGCACACTTTGGCGACCAGCTGGTTGCATTCCGCGCGGCTATGGTCGACGACGCGGTGACACCGGGATCTGCATTTGTGGATGCGGCATTTCAGGGGGGCATTGCTATATCACGTTAGCAAAGTCCTACGGTACAGTCCCCCAGGAAAGCTGCGTACCATGACTCGGTGCACCCTCCGTCAGGGCACGATTTGTCGAAATCCATCGGCTCCTTGAGCAACGCGGTCCTCTCGGGATGTTTGCCGCAATGCACGGGGAGACCATCATAAAGATGGCCCTTGCATTTAAGCAGGTCAAAGAAGGGATGCCAAGTGGCCTTCCCCTTCTTGCTGTTCATGAAGGTAGCCATGTTGCCGATGAGCACGATGCCGTTGCGAGCACGGGTGATCAGGACGTTCAAACGCTCTGGGGCAAACATAAAACCAATGTCTCCAGATCCGTTGCTGCGCGTGAGTGAAGCAATAATTATGTCGCTCTCCTCGCCCTGATAGTTGTCTGATGGTCGGTTAGTTTGTATCACCACCCAAGTTGGGCAAAAGGAGGCGGACCTATTGTGGATATGCGCAGCGGCTTCTTGTCAAGCTTCGCGGCAGCTTCGGTCATCAGCCCGGCCCGGATCAACTCGTTCTTGTCCATCTCGCTCAACGCAGGATCGTGCTGGTTCTTGGCTAATAGATCCCGCAAGACGCGTAGTTGACCCAGATAGGGTGTCAGGATGACGATTTTGTCGGAAGCGTACCCCTGTTGGCCGAGGTACTTGACGCACCGCAGTACCATCTCTGCTTCGAATGTGTTTTTCTTGCTCTCTTTCACACCGGGGTCACGGCGGTCCCGAAGCTGCTTGTCCGTATCTTCCTGTTTGGTATGATTCAGGAAGATGACCCGGTCCTGCAGCCCGAGTATCTCCGGACGGCCACTGGTCTTGGGTCCGTCGAGCAAGTTGGGATAGGTGAGTTCCCGTGCAAAGACGGATATCTCGGGAGCCATCCGGTGCTGCTTGTGTAGGGTTGCGTGCGTGGCGCCCTGCAGGATTAGGCGTTCAAAGAGCGAGCGGTTTAGGTCAAAACCATCACCTCTCTCGACGGATAATGCGTAGTTGTTGATCTTTGGACGAAGCTGTTTGTGGTCTCCGATTAGGACGAGTTGTTTGACAGTGCTTGCAAGAGCTGTTAGGACATGGCTCTCAAGGATCTCGCCCGACTCCTCAATCAAGATGACGTCCGGGTTTGCTGCCCGGATCAAGCGGTCGTATTTGGCTGCTCCCGTGGTGGTACAGCCGATGATCTTCTTTTCGAGGACAGCGTTTGCGTCGGCCTCGGAAAACTGAAGGCTAATCTTCCGGTGCACCTCGTTGAACTGCCGACTTAGATCCTCGATAACTTGGAGATGTTCCTCCGTCAGGGACCGCAACCACTTGTGGTGATGCTCCACTCGGACGGAGGGCGGCATGTTCCACACAATTTTCGCAGCGGGAGACAGATGCTTCGTAACCTGTCCTGGGCCTTGGCCTCTGATCCACTGCAGATAAAGGTAATCCGGACCAATTGCCTTGCCTCCTTTGCCCGCCTGAGCCCAGCCATTGCTCTGCGTTGGGACTCTGAGTGCGTCGAGGAACGCATGGCCCCCGTCCTCAAACTCCAAATACTCCTCGATGTCATCCCACTTGGCAGAGAAGTTTGCAGACTTCTGGAACTCTTCATTCAGTTTGGACCCGAGATTTGCCGCTTCCAGCTTGAGAAGATTGATGATATCCCAAGCCTGTCGGGAGCGGCGGAATTGACCTCTTTGTTCTGATAGGAGTAGGCGCGCGGTCTGGGGCGTGCATTTTGCCTTGGAGCCGATTCGAACCATTGCTTCCCCTGGGATGTCAGCTTTGAGGAGATCCTCCAAGAACTGGTCGAGTGCGTGGTTGGTGTAGCTCAAAACCAAGATTCGAAGACCGGCCTCGAACAGACAGCGCGCAATCTGAGCCCCAATGAAGGATTTACCGGTCCCTAAAAGCGTTAAAAATGCCAAATATTAGTGACAAAGTGTTTTATTATGTGAAATCCCGATTCATACCTGGGGGGCCTTGAATAAGGCTCACGGGGCTGGTCAACGCCAGGAGCAGGGCGTTGAGCTGCGCGTCGTCGATCTGGACCTTGCGCGTCGATGTAGTTGCTAGTTCGATGACACTTTCGGGGCCCAGGGTTTTTACGGCGGCCTTGAGCTTAGAGACGAGCGGACAGAGCCGCTTTGGCGTCTTGAAATCGGAATGAGGAATGGCGGCAGGGTTGACCAGAAGGTCGAGAAGTGGCAAGTCTGTTATCCTCTGCAGTCCAAGTAAAACTGGCTCGTAGGCAAAGACTGGCGTGTCGACCAAAACAAACTGCACCAGCTCCCGTTTCGGAAAGGAGAGTGCAAGGAGGGCGCGTCGAAGGGCGTCATCATCAGTGAACTGCAAAGACACGATGGGAGGCGATTGGGTCAGCATATCGATGTCACGGTCGACGAAGGCGAAACCCAGAATATCCTTTTCGCGACACAAGACGCCAAATGCTTGATGCCTGAGAAGACCCGGTTGGTCTTTCAGATACTTTTTTCGGGCTCCAGCGTCGCTTATCCTGTTGAGAAAACCGAGACCGGAGAAGCACTTGAGGAGTAGCGTACACCGCTTAAACCTCCCCGTAGTCGCATCCCCGATCTCAATACCAGCAGGAACGAGATGACCCAGCAACAGGGCATTGCGTCTCCCCTTTTTCTTTCCAGTGGCCACTTGTATATCTTCGCGCAGCTCTTTTTCCTTCGGCGTCAGTATGACCTCAACAGGTTCGGTATAACGGTACTCGGCTTACCAGCAAGCATATCCTCCCTGAGAAGACGGAAGTGGTTATCCAGATGGGCCCGCGGACGTTTGTCAGCTTCGGTATCCACGATTTCCCGAGCTGTCTGGTAGTACGGCTGCTGTGTCGACAGAAACTCGTCGGTTGTCGGATAGATCTGGATTTTGCTGATATCGGCAAAGTCGTTGTCGTGTCGCCCACCGGGTCCGCCAGGTTCATCTTTCTGGCTTGGCGAGGACCGAAGTTGAATGACTTTCTTGATCTTGTAGCCTAGCTCACGGGTTGCGTGGTCCTCAGACTTGACCAAACGTTGGTCATCCGATACGCACCGAAGAACGCTCGAGATATCCACCTGCGTGCCCGGGCGGAGCGATATGAGCTCGAGTGCTAGCCAAGCAAACGAATAAAGGCCGTCGTCCACAACCTTGCCCGAGTCGAATAAAGCCACCAAAGCGTCCAAAAGTGTTGGGGGGTTGGCAACGGCCAGAAGCACCTGCTCAAGATGCTGTCCATCGACGAGGGTTTTGACCCCGGGGTCAGAGAGGTATCGCAGGAAAGGCAGAGTTTGGGATGAGATAAACGCCTCGGACAGGTCTGAGCGAACTGCCTCCCTCACGGCATTCAAGCCCGACGGCTTGGAGACGAGAACCTCGACACATCGACTAGGAGACGGCTGGGTGCGAAGGGATTCCAGAAACAGCTGTCCCTCCTGAGAGCTCCGCACAAAGCGCTTTCCATCGAGCGTGTCCCAGAATAGATGTCGAAGGCGGGCTGCTCGCCGTGACGAGTCCTGGGATGAAGACATGCTTGCCCTGTTTCTTGCGTTGCCGGATGGGATAAGTAACGTATGTACTGTACTCGAGTTGGGGTTAAATTTATGCTGGTTCTCTCGCGCACGAGAACCCGAATGTTTTCCCTCCAACAATGGGTTATCGATCCATTATGAACGCCTGGGTTCCATTGTACGACCCGAACGGGAGCCTCGTTGGTCGATTCTGACTGCAAAGGTTGCCAATTTTTGACGAATCATATCGTGGCTGTCGGCCTCAGCGCGTCATGCGGGACGGATGCCTGAAGTCCTGCTGCCGAGGAGCAGCGCGGACAAATGAACTCGACGTGACTCGAGTGGCCGCGGCCGGGCTGTTGGGCTGCGGCCCGAAAGAGGCCAGGCAAAGAAGAATGCCAACCAGGGTGGTCATGCTCCAAAAAGTGTGCAGGTAGCTGCCCTGCAACATTACTCACGATGACCGAGATCGGGTTACAACATCGTCCGGTTGGCCCAGTTTCATATGGACGGAGCCTGGGTGGGGAGAGGGGAGAAGGCCGGGTGAGGGGGGAAAAAAGAGGAAAAGAAAAAAGGAGACAAAAAGTAAAGAAAACTTGGGAGAGAAAAGAGAAGGGAAGAAAAGTAAGAGGATTGTATATTTAAAAAGGACTCTAGACCTACGTAGCTTATCTTGTGAGGATCGTCAATTTGAGAACTATTGTCTGGTCCTCGTTTTGATGATGCCAAGTCTCAATGAGGGATATCATATATGGGTCGGGCGGAAGGCAGGTTGGGGGAGGAGGTCATGTACACTACTCCTATCAGTCATCAACGCGAGATCCCCTCAACCCATCAACTCGACACCGTTCCGTATCGCTCCCACCACGGCAGACGTCTGGATCGCCTCGTTTGCCCCACTCGATACTCTGTGCTCAACCTCGGCAAGCTTCTCCAGCCACATGATCATGACCTGCGGCTTTACTTCCAACTTGGTCAACTCTTCTGACAGCGCAGTGATGATGTCTGCGAGCGCCAGCCCCTGGGCCACCTTTAGTGTGTTGATGGTCGACAGACATGATGTGACGTCACTCGTGCTCAGCAGCGTGCCGAGGATTTTCTTGATGGCATCGGGCGGCGGGGCGGCGACGCAGTTGTAGATGGTCTGTGTTGTAATGGTCTCGCGGATGATGTCCTTCTCGGGTATCTTGGGAGCATCGCGAGGTTGTAAAGGCGTACCTATCATCCAGTTAGTATGAGATGGGATCAGGTCGGACGGTGAAGCATACTTGACGCGTGGCAGGCCTGCAGCACGTTCAGCGCCCGACGCATGTCGCCCTTGCTCAGCCGCACCAAAGCCTCGGTCGCCTCGGGAATGATCTTGACGGTTTCCTCTTCAATGACCTTGTCCACCAGAACTCGAATATCCTGCTCCTTTAGCGGGCTGAAACGGAACCGTGTGCACCGTGACAGCAGGGCGGGGCTGAGTTTGTGAGAGTAGTTGGCGATGATGCAGAACCGGGTGTTGGCAGTGTATTTCTCCATGATGCGGCGGAGGGCCATCTGGGCCGTGTTGGTCATGGCGTCGGCTTCGTCGAGAATGATGAGCTTGAACCCCGCGATACCCGTCCGCGACGCCGAGGCGCCCATTGTGAAGATCTGCTTGGTCGACGCGAAGGTCTTGATTTGTTCGCGCACAACATCGATGCCGCGGTCGTCGGAGGCATTGAGCTCGAGCACCATCTGGCGCATGTTGTCCGAGCCGTAGATACGGCGGGCGAGGGCAAGAATTGTCGAGGTCTTACCAGTACCGGGGGGGCCGTAGAGGAGGAGGTGGGGTAATCGGTTAGAGTCGACGAACTTGTTGATGGTCGCGAGGATGTCTTGGTGACCCGATACGTCGGCGAGGGATACTGGGCGATATTTCTCGACCCTGAGCCGCCATAAATCAGTACGAGCGTCTGACATCGGCTCTGAAATGTACTGACCATGGCAGACTGTCTTCAGCCTCAACGGGTAGGTTTGCGGCGCTGCGCTTGCCTTTGGATGCGCTGTCGGAGGAGAATTTGATGTCTTTGGACGTCGGGACATCAACGTCCATCTCGTCTTCCAAGTCGGACATTTCGGCGGTTCTGGTTATCTTTGGGGGTACTGTGTTGAAGTTTTTGAAGATGGCGACCGGTAACTAATCCCAAAGGCAGGTGGAAGAATGCTGCAGCTGCGGCTGCAGGGAAACGCGGTTGACGCGTCTGGACAATTAAACTTGCGCCACAGCATTACCCTGGCTCGAGCTCGCGGCCAAGCCACAACGAAAAGGTCTTGGCAAAGATATTCTTATTTCCAAACACGGAAATCGTCAAAATTCCCTCTTCTTAAGCCCATCTTCGGAACGTGAACTCGGAGGCGAAGAGCCGATTCAACATGCTCGCAAATCAACATGATGCGGCCCCCCACATGGCAACCTGGAGGGATGCGTCTTGCGGCGTGGCAGCTCCAACGGCACCGTCAGATAGGTAGATAACTACCTACCTACTTTCGTTCATATCTTACCTGCTGCACCTTGGCGACTAGTTCAAGTTAGGGCACAGTCCCTGCGCGTTGAGAGCCTCCACTGCATCACATCAAATACCCTAGACGATGAGACGACCAAGCAACTGTCGGACTAGAGAAGAAGAGATGATTCCATGTTCCCCATAACTATTGTAACCTTTCGCCCTGCTGGCTGTTGCCCGGGGATATGACCAGCCCGAGCCCCGAGAACACCAGTGGCAGCCGGCAACTTGATTGAGCGTCTCGGCCGAGCCGGATTCGCGATCCAATTTGCTCGCATCATACTACCAGGTACCCTGTGGACCCCGTCAGCAAGAAAATGAATGATGAGATGTGCTAGGCTGTGCCAGCACACACCACCTGCATGGACCGGCGCAGCGGGTCTTATTTTTGGCGATTGGTGAGCACCGGTATAGTCGCAACTAAGGGGGAATTGATATAAAGTCAACCTCTGGGCCACGCATTTCTTGGACACTCTCACCATCTATCCCACCATCCATCTCACCCATCTCATTTTGCCAGCCTTCCCTCCTCAAAATGACCGACCTCAAGGAAAAACCGATCATCGTGGCGGCCGCCTTCCCTGCCTCCGGGCATTCGGCTGGACTCATGCGGATTTCAGAACACCTGATCGAGAAAGGCCATGAGGTGTACTTCATCACCAGGGCCGACTTCAGGGCCTCCGTCGAAAAGATAGGTGCCCGTTTCGTCGAAAATCCGTGGCACTGGGAGGAGGTATCTGCTGCGAGGCCGCCCGACTCCGATGAGCTGTGGAATTTCAAGAACATCTTTGCCAACGCAACTCCGCTCGCCCATCGCGCGCTGAAGGACACGCTCGAGCAGATCCGCAGGGACCGCCCTGACGGCGAAGTCGTGATTCTCCACGAGAGCTTCTCGGGCGGCCTCGGTCCATTCATGTATGGCGCGCCCCTGCCAAACGGGTATACCGCCCTCCCCAAGGTCATCAACTTCCACACCAGCGTCAACATTGCAAGCGGCGGCAGCATGCCCCCTTTCGGCCCCGGCCTCCCCTATGATCCAACACCTAAAAACCTGGCTCTATGGCGGTCCGTCTCCGACGCAATGCAGCCGGGGATGGCGGGACTCACCGAGCATTACAACATGGTTTACAAATCCGTCGGCGCCACCCGGCCCATGACGAAACCCGTCTTCGACGTGGCCATGGACCTCGGCGACGTAACGGTGCTGGCCACCACTGCCAGCCTGGAGTATCCCGTCCGCAACCCCAAACTGCGCTTTATCGGCGGCTTCCCCTTGAAGCCCCTCGGCCCCAACTTCGTCCCCCCTTCCTGGTGGCCGGCCCTCACCACCAACGCCGCCCTCCCCGCAAGCTCCCCGGACAAGAAGAAGGTTGTCTTCGTCAGCCAGGGCACCGTGCACCGCGAGGTCGCCGAGCTGATCCTGCCCACCATCAACGCGCTAGCTGCGCGCGAGGACCTGCTCGTGATCGCCACCCTCGGGGCGCGCGGCGCGGAGCTGGACGGCGCGGTCCAGGCGGCACTCCCTGCCAACGCCATCGTGATCGACTACCTGGCGTACGACGCGGTGCTGCCATACGCCGACGTGTTCGTCTCCAACGCCGGCTACGGCGGTTTCATGCACGGCGTCATGAACGGGGTGCCCATGGTGCTGGCCGGCACCGTCGCCGACAAGGCCGAGGTGTGCGCCCGCGCCGAGTGGGCCGGCATCGCGGTCAACCTGCGCGCCCAGGAGCCCAGCGAGGACGCCATTCGCGCTGCCGTCGAGAAGGTCTTGGCCGATGACGGGTTTAAGAAGAAGGTGGTCAAGCTGCAGAGGGAGAATCGGGAGCGAGACGCGTTCGCGCAGGTGGACGGGATCCTTGACGAGTTGGTCGGGGGACGTTAATGCGGTTGAGAACCAGAGCATGAACTAAGATGCGGCGAGTATTTTCCAGAAGCATAACCCCGGTGGTGCTGTAGGTGTGTAGAGCATGTTAGAACTAAAATATCATCACCTCTCCTAAACTCGTCGTCTGAGTAACCCAGCGATGGCTTGCTATATATCCACCGCTCCCCTCCTTGATAATCACCTCCTAATAGCGTACTCCTTTATCAAGCCGCTCCGTGGTAAGGGCAAATACCGTTACACGCATAACTATGCCTCTCCATTACCTACTTATTGTATCAACTTACAGATTAGACGTTGTTGTCGCAAACCTGGATTCCGATGATTACCTAAGTCCACTGTGCCATCGCATCCGTATCGTTCTTTTTCGAGTTGTCACTCACCTGTATTGTCCCTTCGTTGGCTTATATGGCCGCTGTTGACGTTTTCTTGTCGAACGGTGGCGAAATGATACCCATCCTCGCGGTCATCGAGACGTCATCCTCCAATGTAAGCCTGCCAGTAATGATTCACCCTTAGTTCCTAGCAGGTAATTATTTTCGAACACCAATCCTATATTCGATCAGCAATCTAGCATTTTTGTCAAATGGTCGGCAGATTATCTGCACGGCGCCTCCGCCCGTGGACAGCTCCTTGCTTGGTAAGAAGAACGCCAGGTATCCTTGAACTATCCAGCACGCATATAAACTGTCCTTCATCAACGAAATCATTTTTGACAACTAGACGGTCCCCTGGGGTTATTTCGAGTATGCAGACGATCAAGGTACCCTCTCATCACCGAGCTACGACGCAGAAAGAATGTTAATCATTCGTGTAGAACACCGTCGCCGAGAACTTGGGCGGCCGAGCCGCAGAGCTGGGATCCCATCAATTCAAACTGGATGACTGCCCAGACCTCTCCGGGAAAGTGGCCGTGATCACCGGGGGCAGTGAGGGCATCGGCTTCGGGGTGGCCTACACCCTGCTAAAGCACAACATCTCCAAGATATACATTCTCTCCGTTTCCAAGGAAGTCGTCGAGGGCGCCAAAGACGCCGTGGCTAAGGAACTGGGTCAAGACAAGGCCAATCGGACGGTTTGGATGCAGTGTGATCTTAGTGACTGGCCTCGTGTCAAGGAGGTAGCCGAAACCATCAAAAGTGACACCGACCGACTCGACATCCTCGTCAACAACGCCGCGCGAGGCATCATGACGGCCGAGTTGACCCCGTACGGCGTTGACCGGCACATGGCCGTCAATCACATGGGTCACGTCATCCTGACTAGTTATCTGCTGCCGTTGATGAAACAGACAGGCAAGCAGGGCAACTTCGTCCGCATCAGCAACCAGGCCAGTAACGTGCACAACAAGGTGCCCAGCGACACCAAGTTCGCCAGCCTCGACGAGATCAACACAGACTTAGGACCGAACGAGCAGTATGGGCGGAGTAAGCTGGCGGCGATCCTGTACGCGCGGTATTTCGACCGCAAGGTAACCAAGAATGGGCACCCGAACGTGCTGATGAATGCCACGCACCCGGGGTTTGTGAGCACCAAGCAGAGCAGAACGGACATCTTTGAGGCGTGAGTGGCCGTGGCTCCCCAATCCTAGAAGCGGCCTGCTAACACAACACTTGCTGGCAGGTTTCCACTCGGCGGTTGGGCCATGTCTCATGGCCTCGAACCCTTCAAAAAAGACCAGTTCGAGGGCGCCGTCCCCACGGTCTTTTCTGTGACTATGGCGGACAAATCCGGCCAGTACATCTGCGCGCCTGCCATTCCAGAGGCGGGGAGTGAGCTGTCGCAAAGCGAGGAATTGGCAGACAACTTGATGGAGCTGACACGCAACGTGATCAAGGACAAGATGCGGAGTGAATCTGCCGCGGAGGGGTCTCCGTTTGATGATCTTGTGCTGCACTGAACCAGCGGCGTTGTGAGATGGTGACGGAGGAACTGGCATGGTTCAAAACGAGTTTTCCAAGACGAATTATCGGTTCAATCAATCCCTGCGCCCAGACTACGGAGGTGCATTGACACATTGACTCGCTGCAAAGCCGACTTGGCCGAGATCCAGGGATATGTCTGACCGCCTCGACGTGTGGGGGCTTGTCTGCAGGCATGGAGGAGCAAGGGAGCTGGTTGGCAACCGACCTGGGGCTGAACGCGAAGAAAAAGCGGTCGACAAGGCATCTGAGAAACGAGCAACGAACCAACGGGAAAAGCGGTCCCTTGGCGGTTTCGTTCTGGGCATGGCGGGGATGGAAGCCAGGAACAGGAAGTCGACAGTATCGCCGGTGGGGTGTCGCGAAGACCGTGTTGTTTTCCGAAGGAAGTGATGTTGCTCGATTGCCATGTTAACTCATAATGGACCCTAACTAATCCCTCCCTAACCTCCACAAACCTTCATTATCGGGGCCGAACGCGGTGCATCTCTCGAGATCACTGGGGATGGCAGGTTTGGTGAATACTGCGTCCCTCACTAACTTTCACGAAAGGGGGACGAATCGGGGGCGCGGGCCCCTTTCTGTTGCAGACCCCACGATCCAAGGTCCCCTGAGTGATGGTTGCATTCGGAATCAATTCCAGCACGCTGCTGGGTGCGGGTGATGGGCCCATTGATTGGCAGGCACATGCGTCCCTTGCCGGGAACGGCGTGTGAGGGGGCCTGTGAGAGGTTGGGAAGAAAAGCAGCAGAAAATGTTTGGAGGCGCAGGGGAAAAAGCTCCAGCACGGAGCTCGGGAGAGATTTGTTGGTCACTGTTGGGGCGTATGAATGAACGCGATCCCATTTGATCAGGGAACTCACGTCGATGGCCGTGGAATGAATGGTTTGATGCTGTTGATTCCGTGGTCGATCCAAGAGCAAAAAAAGTGCAGGGGCAGCCTGGCAACCTTCGCAGGTCCACACACACAACCTTTTGCTGCCTCCCGCTGAAGCTAGCCCGTTTGGGCGCTAGTAACAACTGGAGCTTCACGGTGTCGCAGTCTTCCTGCAACCACTTTGGTAAGCTCAAAGCTGGGAAGTTCGAGAGGTTCCCCACGCCAATTGCATCTCTTCCCCACAAACACGACGGCGACCCAACGCGATGGAATGCTGGCTGCAACGTTCGGTGCTTTCCGAAAACTGTCAATTCCTCCCTTTTCGTCACGTTCCTCTTCTCATTCTTCCTGCTTGTTAGTTTCCCAACCCAACTCGCCGAGTCCACTGTCTCGCCGAGATGGACGGCTACGGGGCCGCACCCAGGACCAGCAGCAGGTCACACCACACGGAACCGACTGAGCACCCCAAATCCTCACCCGTCTACTCCATGTCGCCCCTTTTGCTCGAAAGGCTCCAGCGATCACGGCGGATCGAAAGCGATCGTGTCTCGTCTCAGTCGAGCACCGATATGCTTTCCTCCTCCGCCGGCTCCAGGCATGTGCGGAGCCCTTCCCCCACCAACAGCCACCGCCCTGGGTCGAGTGGAGGTCTCGATCCGACAAAGGCAAAGAAAGGTCTGGGCGTCAAGGAGATGGAGCAGACTGTATCCACGTTGCACAAACAGAACTTCGATCTCAAGCTCGAACTGTACCACCGGAGGGAGAGGCAAACGGCCCTGGAGGAGCGCCTAGATGCCCTCGAGCGGGAAGCAAAGGAGCGGGATGACCTGAACGACTCGCTGGTGCACGAGCTGGAAAAACGGGACAAAGCTGTCGAGGAGGCGATAGGGATGATCCTCACGTTGGAGAGACGTGTCGAGCAGCTCCTCCTGGAGAGGAACATGGTACGCCAGGTCGAAGCCGAAGCGCCCACATACCCTCGCATTGATTCGCCTGCCGTCACTCCGGCGTCCAAGAACCCACGCCTCGGTTCCTCGACGCATGCCGACGCCAAGACGCCCATTCGCATGCCGAGTTTCGTCTCTGACCGGAGCGAAAACACCGAGAACCTTAGAAGTGTGTATCTCGGTACGCTTGGTGGGGATAGCGCCCTCACGTTGCCCCGCCTAGCTGATGACACACCCGAAACCGCACGCATCGATCCGAGACTGGCTAGCCCCGCGCTGAGTGAGCTCAGTGAAAGTTCGTTCGTCAGCGTCTACGGCCGTAGCCGGCCTGCAAACCCTTCGTCGCCGCCCGGAGATAGTCCGTGGCTACGGGACAGGTCATCCAGGACGCCCGTGCCAGCCCTTGATTCTCCGACTAGGGTTAGAACTTCGACACCGTCGAGGCAGCAGCGCCCGAGTAGCTCACGCGCCACCAGTGGGCAGTTCCACAACATTGGCGATATTTTGGAAGCTGTACCATCGCCTCGCCGGCAGCCGGAGAAGGCCAAGCCCTCACAGGCAACCATGAGTGATTTGCCAAGGCCGCCGACTGCGAACAACCAAACATCACCGTTTGCCCGCCCACCTGTCCCCAATGGCCAGCCAAACACGAAACAAGAGAAACGAGAATCCCTCGGGAGGGTATACACTCAGGGCCAATTCAACAGTCCCCAAGCACTGCCCCCGACACCCGACACACTCTCTTCCACCACGTTTTCTCGGAATGAGACACCGCCAAAGGAACAAAATCCCGAACATGAGCGGAGTTTTCTCTACCTGACCGAAACGAACACGTCGAGAGCATCGGGCCACGAGGAACAGAGGTCGCCGTCCGGGACCGCCCATCCCGCACCCGCCCCGGTATTTGACAATAGAAAACACCTCCGTGCGACTGGCGGTTCCTCTCACACGGCTTCACCCACACTAGAAGCCCACCCGCCGCGCACGGCCGCCGAGGCGGCGACCGCGCGTGGCCGCGAGGCCAACAGCTGGGGTGGCGAAGCGTCGAGGTACAGGCCTGCACATCGCAGGGACTCGACAAACTCCAGTGTGGATACCTGGCTCCGCGAGAGCTTGAAGCCAGAGAGTATGGATGCATTGGGCCCGACGAGCTCTATATCGCAGGCTCACGCTAGCGTCAAGAAGGGCCGCGCCTCGCCGGATCTGTTTTCTTTCCCTACGTCCGCCACTGGCTGGGCGACGCATGCGATGTTTGGTGGCCGCGGCGGGAAAGGGCACAAAGGTTCGGGCAGCAAACAAGCGCCAGTCACACCCATCGCAGACATGTTGGACGCCGTCGGCACCTCAGTCCCCACACCTCCTATCCCGGGCACGGGCCGCATGACTCCTGTCCACGGTGCCGCGGCCCCGCCAGCCCCCAACAGACGCTCCAGCCTTCTCGCCAGAACCGGATCGGCCGCGGATGCAATGCCTGGAACGGAAAGCATCCCGCAGTCGCCATCCCGCTTGTGCACCTCTCCCCAGGTGAACAGCCCCGCGCGGGGCAGCCGGGCTCGCAGTAACAGCACCGACGTTCGGGCCCCCGCGCACTACCCGACCGAGCTCGGCTTGAAACAGAGCCGGGCCATGACCGTCCCACCCAAACAGGTTCACGCGCCGCCGCCGCCCAAACAACAGCCACCGCCAGGAACCCCGGGCAAGCAGGACACCTCCACCACTCCCCTTCCCAAACAGCGGCACTACCCGCCCCAAACCCAGACCTCCCGCCCGCGGTCGCGCGGCTTGAACACGTTCTTTCGGCGATCCACTGGGTCAGCCGATGTCCCCACGCCGCCGGCCAGTGCTCCGCCGATGCAAACGGCGTTCAAACCGCCACCCCCACCGCAGTCCAGGTCCGGAACCGGGAACGGGACGGCGACGGCGACGGGAATGGGCATCGCCATGGGCATGCCCTCGTGGGTGCGGCGCGGGTCGCTGGTGGACGAGGACCGGGCCAGCGCCACGCCGCCGCCCATTTTGAGGAACAAGGACGTCTCGCCGTCTGGCGCTGCTGGGGCGGCGCGGGCCGCGGAGGAGGAGGATGGGGATGGTGGAGCCGAGCTGGAGCCGTCGCCTGGCGGCGGCGTGCCGGTGGGCGTGGTGCCCGCTGGGAAACCGTCGTCGAGGAAGTCGTGGGGTGGGGGCAGTGGTGGCGGTGGAGAGGGCGGAGAGGGTGGGGGTGTGTCGCTTGGGAGTGCGGGTGGTGGGAAGAGGAAGTGGCTCGGCCTGGGGAGGGTGGCCAGCTTGCGCAATCGTGGCGGGGCGTAGAGCGCCCGCGGATGGTTTCGGAGGGGTTGTGATGCGCGTTGATGCGTCTCGTTTGAGCGTTTGCTTGACGCATGTGGGCGTTTGCTTGACGCATGTGGCAGGAAAAAGGGAGCAGCTGGACCCGGGAGGGTCGGTACCAGCTTGCGCAACCGCGGTGGGGCGTCGAGCGCCCGCGGATGATTTTGGGGGGGATGTGATGCGCGTTGATGCGTCTTGTTTGATCGGTGTTTGCCTGTCGCATATGATGATGACTTGCGAGGAGTTGGGTGGATGACTTCTTTTGGCTTGTGGTTGGGTTGCTTTGGCGTTCAGGGCTTGTTTAAGTTGAGCCCGGAGACGGATCCACCATTATCGGAGGGTGGCTGTCTTTGACTTAGAATGCAAATCATGTATACCTAGCACTCGTTTCCTCTCGGTTCGTCTCGTACCTTCCATTTGACTCGGATGGTCACCATGTGTGTGCTTGAGCCCCGCCAGAACCACCAAGTGCACATGCGTACTGTGAAAAGTTTGGGTTAGTTTAAATGCCACACTCGAGACGTAGAGAGGAAACGAGCGGAGGTACGGCCATCTCATGACGAGAACAACGCCCGAAGCCCTGGGTCCAGCCTAGGAAGGATGGCGCGCACAACAAGGGCATGCTTTTCTGAAGCTTGGAAACTCCAAGAACCCAACCCCCACCGCCCCGAGGTCTCCGTCCTTTTCTCCTCCTCTTTCTCCCCACCGCCCTCACACGCACCAACTCGCCACCGGCCCTGATCCCCCAATCTCCCGTAGTGTGCCCCCCCTCGGCCGATCACCGTGTTCACCATCACGAAAACCACGGGGGTACGGCCGTCGAAGCATATGCTCTTCCTGCGCGAGGTACGACCATTTCGCAGGCCGCTCGGTCGGTTCAAGATCTAGGTTGGCGTGGGGCTGGAGATGGTTGGCCCGGATTCTACCGTGGTGGGCTATCTGATCCGGCATCTCGAGGCATCTAGATCAGTCCTCGCGGGTCAGTGCGGTTGGGGGTTGTCATCGCTGGGTTGTTTTGGACGGATCGAGGTTGGTGAGTTGTTCTCGTCTGCTATTGTATTGGTATGGTTGCAAAGCCTACAAGATCCTTGTTTCCAGTGTGCAGCTTTCCAAGTGGCGTGCTTCACACCACGGTGTGTTTCAGGCGTCAAGACCATGACCATGGGTCGACCTGACAATCCAAGCGAAAGTATATGCAATTATGTCTTGGCGATATCTTTCTGTGTACATCGCTCCCTCTCCCCTCTGCCATTATACTCCTGTCGCCGTTTTCGCCCGTCGGAAGGGGTGCGCTTCGGTGTTGAGAACGAACTCGTCTAAGCTGATGAGGTCGGGTGGTGAGAAGATCAAGTAGTAGTATTTTAGCGTTTCGGCCAGCCAGAAACTCTGCGAACCCATGATTAGCAACGCTTTGATCTGAACGGGTCGACCCAGTAGACGACCTACCTCCATGGAATCCGTCTTGGTCGTCTTCCCCTCAACCGTCACGTCAGCAATGGCCGAGTTGGCAAGCGGCGTCTCGGTTGCCCTCATGACCGACTCAAACATGCGCCAGGCCAGGTCCCGAAAGTCTTCCTTTCCTGTCATCCTATACAGTAAAAAGATGCTCTCGATGGCCTCCGGCCGGAGGATGTACCGCGGGTCATGGGCACTCTTGAAGCCCTTGGGCATCCTCTTACCCCCTTCAGTCTGCCACCGATCCTCGTCCCACAGACAGGGGCCGTCGATGGAATCACATGGTACGACGTTGAAGATCTCGGGCATCAACCCCGTAGGGAACGCGTTGTATGCCCATGCGCAGCCGCGCGCCAGCCGCTCGCCAACGTCGACGTAATCGGGGATGTCAAAGAGCTTCCCGCCAAGGCCAAACATGCCACCGGCAAAGCACGACAGGTGCTGGCCCTCAGCGATGTGGTCGATGTGGTCCGGGTGCACATAGGCATCACCCGCAAAGAGCACGTTTTGGCCCTCCTCGTCGTCGCTAGGCACCATGGGGCGGAACAGCATGTGCTGCTTGGATGTCTTCATCGCTGCGCGGTACATCTTCTCGTAGGCCGGCACCCGGCCACCCAGCAAGGCCGACATCTTGGGCAAATACTCGTACAGCGAGTCCGCCAGAGCGCCGAGCGTGAAGCCGATCTCGGTGTCGACGGTCTGTTCGCGGAAGTTAATCAGCTTCGGCCAGATGCCGGGCAGCTTGGACTCGCTCTGGGATCGCTCGAGGAAGTCGCTAATGCGAGCGACGGCATCGTAAAACTTGGGGTCGCCCGTAAGGAGCGACAGACGGGTGAACTCGAGAGAGAGGGAGCAGGGACTCGCGGACGGGTCGTTGGTGCCCGCGGTCTGCCGCCCTTCCTTGGCATCCTGGAAGTTGAACCAGAAGCCGGGCATCCGATTGGGGGTATCGAAGGCCATGTACAGCATATTGCCCAGCTCTTTAGCCTTCTCCAGCAGCGCAGGCTCGCCGCTCAGATCATAAGCGCTGAGGAGGCCGGCAAGGTGGCGGATGGTGGTCTCAAAGAGGTTCGCCGCAGTGTCGCTTGTGTCGGCCCAGTCCAGCCGGGCGATGGCGGCTGCAGCGGCGTGGAAGTCGTCGGTGAGTCCCATAATCCAGAGCGTATCCAGCGAGTCCACTAGCGTCGCCGCCCAACCCCCGAATGTGGTCTTCCCGCCGCCACTCACGGGTGCCAGCTCGTCCCGCAGCCACGCCTGCCTCTTGTAGCTATCCCAGCTCTTGACGAAGGCGGCGCGGACGGTCTGTTGTCGGCGTTTCGTGGTCGCATCGTGTACGTAATCGGAGAATGCATGCTGCACGGCCTGGAGCGGTTGCGGCTCGCCGGTAGGGAGAGGTCGGATCGAAGAAACGGGGTGTCGTTGGACCACGGTGGTCCAGTCGAAGCTGCTTGCTCGGAAGCGGATCTCGGGACGACTGTTCGCAGCCAGCGGGTTCTCGGAATCGGCGGTTCCTGGGTACGGTCGGGTAGGTTGGAGCAAAAGCATGACAGTCATGAAGACGGCGGCGACGACGATGACCCGACCGAGACGGCGGTCGAGGGCCATGGTGCGGCGCAACCTTGCGGGGAGGAAGCAAAACGGCCATCCTCTGCTATATGCCATGTCTTCCGGTCAGAGGGGAAGACGATGTCGGCATATGAAACGGCGTCGCAATTGTTGAGCGGCGCGGGCTGAATCATTGCGACCGGGTTTGGGGCCGGCGAGATGCAGCGTCGGTTTGTTGGGAGATATGGGAGAGTTTGGGGAGACGAGCAAAGTCCGGTTTCGTCAGTGCTGAACGAGGTTGAGAGTTGCGACGTTTCCCCACGCGGCATGAGCGATGGAATTGATGAAAGGCCAGATGCGCAAGCCTGGAACTGGAAAGGGTAAAGCCCCCACCCCACTCGCCCATCCCACCCTTTCAGGGGCAGCACGCGGACGTTGTGTTGACTCAAAACTCTCCCCTGACCCCGAGTGCCTCACCCCCAGGATAACCCCTGACCCCTGAACGCCCTCCAAGGTTGCACCACCCAGCCCACGTGGGCTGCTGAAGCAAAACAACACCAACGCTGTCCCAATCCCGCTCGTGTATTCTGTAGTTATTTCCTCAGCCAACCTTTCTCGACTCAATGGATGGCTGACTCTTCGCCCAACTCTTCACCCGACCTCCCAAAACCCAACTTGCGCAACCGCATCCGATATAGTTACGGCTGCATCGTGTCGATACGGAATCCTTCGCCATTGACACCCTCCGAGGACGTGGAAGTAGTCGCCGACGTGATCACAGTGAGAGAGGGAGGTCATCTCGCCAAACGAGGACGTGTATCGAATGGTGGCACAAGCACAGTGGAGATTATGTCTGTACTTTGTAACGTGAGTTATTAAACTCCAAGGGTGTGGGACAGAGAAAGCTTGTTCCAAGACAATCCCTAACCGAAATGGTCGAGAAGTTTCAGGTAACCGCATTTACAATATGTAATCTGTACCAAGCACACGACATCCCTTACACTCCCCAGTCCCGACAACGCCTTCCGGGAACAGGCAGGAATCGAGCCATGCGCCCATGGAACGACAAACATATGAGTGAACGGCCCAGCCGGCGTCATTCGGCTGCTCGCTAGCGCTCTTCCGTCTCTCTTGGATTTTCCCACTCCCCCAATCGATGTAACCATAGCCGCTGTGCCGCCAACCCCCTGCGAACGATGCGGACAGGGGATCGCGCCATGCCCCCTTAACTCTGAAGCGCATCCACCCTCACTCCGATCCCTACCGAGACCGTTCATCTCCTCATCGCGCTCCGAGTTGGACGTCCCAATGGCTCTTTACACATGCAACCACTGATGTTGACTTTCTTCATCGCCCTCTGGGCCGGGCGTGCCTTCGGGGCGACGTGCGATACGGCTGCGCCGATGGCTCTCCCCATCACAGACGTAATCGTCGACCCCAGTATTCCCGGCTCATTCATGAGAGGTGTTCCCGCGAAGATCGGCACACCTCCCCAAGACATTGTTGTGATGCCGTGGCCGTAAGTCACGACGAGCAGAAAGGTCCGACCTTGGCCATGGCTCTTTCACTAATTCCACTTAACCAGTGACCTGAACAATACGTACATCTACGACGAAGAGGCATTCTGCGACAAGACCGTCATTTTCAGCGATACAATCTGCGCAGTTCGGCGGGGAGGTCTCTTTCAGGATGCCGAGTCCACAAGCTTCTCAAAGTCATCAGACCTCATCGCTGCAGGGGGCGCCGCCCGAGAGTTGGGAAATGTCCGCGGGGCGGAGCTCGGTGTGGCAAAGCTATTGTCAACCAGCGTTGGGGGTACAGAGCGTTTCGCCATCGCCCCAGCAAACACGACGACCATGCCCATCGGCATCCCGCGCATGCGATGGGACCACGGCTACACCATCCTCCACGCCCTTGGCCTCGGGGCCAACTCGACATATCTCAACTCCCTAGTACAGGCTGGCCAGATCCCATCTCGGGTATGGTCTATCTTCTGGGGCCGCATGTGGACCGACAACGAGTCCACCAATCTGGACGGGTCACTGGTGCTGGGCGGGTACGATCAGGAGAAGGTGATCGGCAAGAACGTGACGCAGCGGCTCGACTACAGCGAAGAGACCGGCTGCTGGACGGGCATGAAGGTGACTGTGTCCAACTTGCTGGTCAACTTCCGCAACGGCACCGACTTCTCCGTCATGCCGCGCGATTCGGCCGTGCAGTGCTGCATCGTGCCGCAACGCCAGCTCTTGTGGGAGGGCCCGTCCGATATGGTCGGGACGTTCATCAGTGCCACGCAGATGAACAACACGGGCCTGTCGTTCGGGATGCATTGGGGCGCGCAGCAGTTCGACGCGTCGGATCCAAGACTGTAGGTAACAACAAATCCAACCCGGCCCCCACACCCTCTCCCGGTTTCCAACCCACATCAACCCCAACACTAACCCAACCCCCTCCCCAGCTTCGACGGTGACGCCACGTTCGTCCTCTCCAACGGCCTCTCGGTGCGGGTCCCCAACTCGCAGCTCATGACCCCCTTCGTCGCCGTCGACCGCAACGGCTCGCGCATTGTCGACCGCTCCAAGCGGGAACTGCTCTTCAGCGGCGTCGGCGACAACCCCACCACTTTGGGTCGCTACTTCTTCACCGCCGCCTACCTCATGGTCGACCACGACGCCGAGACCTTCACCATGTGGCAGGCCAACCCGTCGTCCAGGACCAACCTCGTCCCCGTGGTCAGCAAGGCGGGTGACGAAGGGGGTTGTGAGGAGGGGGGTGGAGCAAATGGCGACGGCGGCAGTGCAGGGGGTAATGGAGCGGAGGGCGGCCAAGGGGGTGGGGGTGATGGGGGAGGGGGGGGCGCGAATGCGAGCACGGATGAGGCGACGGCGTCTTCCGTTAACGCCGGCGCGATTGCCGGTGGGGTGGTCGGGGGCGTTGCTGCGTTGGCCGCGCTCGCAGTCCTTGTGTTCTTTTTGTTGCGGAGGAGAAAAAGACAGGACTCGGCGAACCCACCGCCACTGCCGGAGATGGCTTCTCCTGCGGGGGGCTACACGGGAGGCGCAGACGGGGTGTATTACTACAAAACAAACCGGTCTGGTTTACAGGAAGCCCCAGGGGCCGAACTTTCGCCGGGAGAACTGCACGGCGTGTCTGCATCTAGTTACGGCGGGGCGACCTGGGCGATAACGGCGAACGGGATGCCGCCAGAGTCGAGGGTAACGTACGAGATGGATGGCGGCGGGGTGCCGCGGGATTACACAAGCCAGGGGTACCCGAGGTTTCACTCGGACTGACGTTGAGCACTGGTTATATGGGCGGGTAGGGCTTGAGCTAGTTTGGTAGGTTTGGACGGGGTTCAGATCAAGTCCGTATGGAGGGCGCATGACAACAGGAGCCCGCATTTCGGATAAAGAAAATGTACGTCCGTTCACTGGACCTTGTCGGGGGGACTTCTCCCAAAACTCGACAGCATTATACCCAACATAACTCCATAACCGCATGCTTTTGACAGGAATATGCCAATATGCATCGTAGCGTTTCCACATTCACTCCTGAGATGGAACAATACAGAAGCATCCCCTAACAAGCTGATTGCTGATTGTCTTACCTGAACTGTGGTGACTGGTTTTGGGACAAACTCTCTTCGTGTTTCTAAGACAAACTGTCAAAGAAAAAAGAAGTATGGGGGAAGGATGACTCAAGTGGTTTGACGACAAGAACAGCAAAACAAAAGAGCAAATAATGACAACAGCAAGCCCTGGTTTTGCCCCCATAAATGGTAGGCTGCAAATCATCATGCGACATCGGGCAGCGGCATGAGATCGCAATGCAGTGCATACTCAGCTTGCAGACAAAGTAGATTTACCGGTAGGATGTTGAACGCGCTTGCGATCCTGGCGTCTTTCGACCCACCACGCATGCAGTTGCTTTCATGGCTTATGCTTGCTCCTTAGAATGGCTCGTCACCGAAGAAGCGATAACCACAAACAACAAAGACAGGCGTGTCGCGAAGATGGACGAAGAAAATTCCAGGCGGTTACTCGCATTCTGCTTGTCTTGCTTGCCTCACTGCGCTGCTTCAAAGCATGCTTCAGAGACCCAGCTCGTGGCCATCCAGGGCCTACGATATTAAAGTCCCTCGATTCCAACTCCCACATCACACTTGAGCCCGAAGCTATTCGCAGAGGGTAGGTTCAGAAAACAAACTTGACAGTCGTCAACCCACTCAGCAGGATAGCCAGCTCGTTGTTCATAGTGAAAGGTGCCAGACATCGTACAACACCTCCCCAGCTCGCCCCGACACATCGAGAGGAACAAGCTCAAGCGTGCGGCGATCAACTCCGTCAGCTCGGCCACAGAGGTAAGTTGTCCTCCTTCCAGACGGGCGGTATCTGAATGGTACGTGTGCTAACCCGGTTGCAGAGCAAAGGGTATTACCCCTAGTACACCACCCCCTTTCGGCTCGTCCGGAGGGGAGAAGACCGCCCCAATGGCACCACGTCCGTCCTACTCAGCTGTCGCAAAGGGTACCGCCCCGGCTGCAACCCTTTCGCCCATCCCGCAAACAGCAAAAGGTACCGTCCCTGTTGCGCCCGTTTCGCTCGGCTTGCCCGTAGCGAAGGGTACTACCCCCGCTACGCCACGCCGGCCCAGCTCGTCCAGAGGGAGGAACACCGCCCCAGCTGTGCCCTTTCCGCCTACCTTGCCCACAACAAAAGGTACCGTCCCTGTTGCGCCCGTTTCGCTCGGCTTGCCCATAGCCTCCATCGCGCCGGTTCTGGCCGGCCCGTCCCGGGCCAAGGGTATCCCACCTGACCAGTCCGACCAGTTGGACCCATCCACCCCCATTTCGCCAGACCGGGCCCACAGCCGCGACAAAATCATCGAGAACCTGGAGGCCATGCAGAAAGGAGGCCATCTTAACGCTGAGACGTCCACCGATGTGGACCAGCTTCTCCAGAAAGCGCGCGAGCCGTCCACCGATACCGATCTTTTGGCGATGACGGTGAGCGAGCTCCAGAAGAACCAGAAGCTCGCGGCCGAGTGCGAGAAATTGAGGTCGGAGCTCCACGAGATGAAGTTTTCGCTCTACATGGGCGATTGGATATCCGACATTGTCAACGCGGTAAGGGCAGCGGAACGCGACATGATAGAGGCTAAGCGAAATCGCCGACGAGGAGAGCTTAGAGCACGTGGGTGTTCCAATAGCGAGATTGAAAAGGGACTAAAAGGATACGCGGTTTGGGGTGTTCTTTCCTCATTCAGCGCTGAGGAGTCGTGCACTGCGATCGACACAGTGCTCGACGAGATCAAAAAATGGATGGCAAGGGGTCCGGCCGCCAAAAACCAACCCGCGCCGGCGACGCCAGCTTGCGACCGGCTCCAATCTGCGTCGGCAGATGCTGGGGTCGACCATAAGTTGTCGATACAATCGTTCAGGTTAAGCAGGGAACGAAACTCGCTCGCTCACCACTCCCCGCCGCGCCTCGAGAAACATCTCAACGAGGACAAGACTCGGATCGATTGTCGCCGTCTTCAGAATGCTTGCAAGGAGCGCAAAGACGAATTGAAGGGGTTGCTAACGAAGGAGAGATTTGACGTCTGGGAAAGGGTCATCGACGGATTGTTTTCGCTGCATGTGAAGCGGAAGAAGAATGGGGTCCTTGCGCAGACGGCATATGCCGCCAAACGCATTGGCGAGATTAAGCAGGGAATCACGACGAAGGAGAAGCGCGAGGGTGCTCCGAAACCGGATAGTACTTACGAGGAGGGCAAGTGGGACGATGTGCTGCATACTGTGTTGGTTTGTGCGGCAACGCCGGGAAAGGAGGAATTCAGAGACGGAGATGGGGATGGATGGGGATGTTCTGTAACTATCGTTCGCCGCCGAGAGCAGAGTCCATACACAGTACCTAGGTATGATGGACGGCGTTCTGGGAGGCAGTGCCTGGGCGTGTCTGGGCGGTTTGGAGGTGGGGCACAGGTGAGCCACAGGTGGGGCCTGGAACAGCAGGGGTCTTGTACAGATTACCAAGTATCAGAATACCGACACTCCCTACCACCTATGTACCTAGTAGTTTTTGTTGATGTTTCCTTGATCTGTACGCAGTATGCGTTAGTCGAGCTTTCAGCGGTAGGTACATACCTATTCACAAATGGTGACCCCGTCAAGGAGTGCACTCCTCGTATGCTAACATGCCAACCACCGGCCTGGAACGTACGATACCACAAGGATAATGGTATCCAGGCTGGCCTGGCGACTCCCCATCCTCGTTAAAATATCCGTCCACGGCAAAATACAGATTGACCAGGAAACCGGCACTGAACGGGGCCCCGGTGTAGCGATGGTACCAATCCATATCGCCGTCCTGAACTTCGGTAAATATGCAGCCATTACCACGGAATTGGTGCCGTTTCCGTGTCGGCGGAACACCTACCCTTCGTCGAAGATCGTAATCGACGAACCACAGATGCTTAGCCCATTGAAGGCGACCACCAGCAGCCATGATTGCGCACATGCTCCCCGGGCTTTTCCACATACTATCACAGAGATCGCTGTCGAGCGCAATATGATTCGCGCCATATTTGAAGCTCTCTTTACGATTGCAGAAGGGGAAATCCCCAAGAAGTCCAACGTATTCCCACTGGATTGTTTGGGGGTCAAAAGGCTGAAGGAAGAAGAGATCCGTTTTTGCATTCGTCACGCAACGCTGCCACTCGCCATCCGCAAGAAACCACGCAGTATCCGAGAAATCAGGATATTTCCGGCCCTCCTTTTTACACGGAATTGTGTCCACTTGCTCGCCCGATTCGGCTAATTTGAACCGCCGCTCCATCGCCGCTCTCGACTCGGTGCAGGCAGTCCAGAGGCCAGCATCCATCAAGTACGTAGAGCGGTTGCCTCTGACCCATGAAACTTCTTTCTCGTGTTCATCGTCATCATCGGTATCATCGTCTGAGTTGCGGATTTGAGGAGCCGCCAGCTGACACCGCCACGGCCCTGCGTGGCGGATCGCGTGCTGAGATAACACTGCCTGTTCGGTGCCATTATCCTCGTCGTAGCATGTGAAGAGGTGAACACCCGGCTGCTCGGGGCGAACTGCAAAGGCCCAGATATCTTCTCTAACCTTTCTGGGCAACTTAGTAAAACAATGGAAGTTCCTTGGTGCCATTATAAGTTTGACATGGAATGGAAAAGTTCTGCAAAGCGGGAGAGTGAGAGAAGGTTTGGGCATGGATGTGTCACCGTTTATATTTAGTATACTAGTAGCCGATGCAACAATATTGAGATATCCGAGAAAAACACCCCCTTTGCACTCCCTCGGAGCTACTAAGGGTTTATGGCAAGTTTCAGCATCGACAGTCAAGCACGCGAGCCTTCCCGCCTCGAAGAAAGGTTTTGTTATTGGCTCTCGGCTCGTCTTTATTTCATTTCTTTACTCGCTTTGCTAACTCCTTCAGCACCAGCCGCAGGTCGTGGTGCCCGCCAAGATTCCGTTCCTTGGGCAACGAGCGGCGTCATTGTTTACTTTCCCCTAAAACAAGAAAAGGGGGTGAGAGCTGCAACTAGACTATTGACTGTGTAGGTAATTACCTCGTTACCCCAAAAACCAATATTTGCATTGCAGCCCACCCACTCACCCACATGCAAGTTTATGAACCCCCTAGTCATACCCACGGCCCACCAATCCACCCCTTCTGACATCCTACGCGTTCCACCAAGCCCGCAACCAAATAGCCCTACAGACGCTCACCGTCCCCATCATCACCACGACCGCAGCCCCCTAACTAACAGCAGAATGTAGCCGCGAGCTCTACTGTCGTTGCCGTTGGCGTTTTGTATCCCAAAGGAGCAGCATCAACAGCAAGAATATCAGTAACAAGTTACCATATACGCCTAGCCGTGTCGTGTCTCTTTTAATGACCTGCCGCAGCAGTACTAAACCCCATCAGCATGCTCACAGTGCGCTTCGTGGTGGGACCATTCATCTCCACCGGCATTAGTAGGTTTTTCAGAGGAAGGAAAGCAGAGGGTACTTCATTACCTTTCGCATAGCGCCTGTACCGGGACAGGCGTTCTTTGAGTTATCAGGTCAATCTAAGAAGCTCAAATTCTCGGCATTGATGCCATCAGGAGATCCCGTATTGCAAAGACCTCGCGCATTTACGGTGTTGTGATCGACAAGTTCTCCCCAAGGGGATTACGCACCAACAAGGCCACACATCACACTCAAGCGCGTTCATCGTTGGAATCACATGATATGATTGAGATCTAGAGACTTCATAGCCAACGCCTAGTGCAGAGATGAACCTCGCTTTTTGCGGGGTCTGTTGTGTTGTGTTGCAACGACCACACGTGGGGGTGAGCGTTTGAAGTATCAGCCACAAGCGGAGATCAGTATCAAACCACACACCCGCCTGCTCGGCAGTGAAAGGAACCACTAGCACACAGTACAGACCTGCTTTTACTAAAAAGTGGAAGTGTATGCCTGGGTTTAAAAGGCTTTCCCCCTACCCCCGTCCGACTTTGGCACCAACCTTTCTCACACCGAGGTCCAACAGAAAGGAAAGAACAAGGGACGGCTAAAAGACCGAGAGAAGCGACGGAAGTTGACATGAGAAGAGACCGCACATGGCGATGATCGATCCCGCGAAGTTGTCAACGTTCAGTCGGCTTTCGGGGGCCACAGGTACCGTGGCCAAACCACGATGGCTTCGACTGCGTAAGTACTGCCCCGCACCCCGGACCCCCTGCTGTAAACTTCACGCTGCTCCGGGACGCCTTGAGGCCCTTGGCTGGGTGTCCCTCTGGCTCGGGAGTGAGTGATCCCTACTGCTGGCAGCGGCCCGTAACCGGGGGCACTCGCCCCCATGGCGGGGTGAGTCTGTAGCCGAGACGTTTCCATTGTGGCAGAGTCCGTGTCTGTGTTCGAATAGAGCCTCGATAGCACAGGAAGAACATCTATAACTAACGCTTTCCCAGAGAGTAGTAGATCAGATACGAGCCCCACGTTGCTAGTTAACTAGATCGACGCAGTCCGGAAGACAAGCAAATACATGCCCGAGCTCTTGCCGCCGTTCCCCTTCTTTGTCCTCGGCCGGGCCTGTAGAGTGAAGACGGCTAGCAATACCGGGACGGCAGGGCTCCTACCTAGGTAGTAAGGAACAACGCCGAAAGGGGGGTTGACGAATTAAGAAAGGGTTAAGCGGAGAAGATGCGACAACAGGAGGAGGTAAAAGGTCCGGGCCCGGGAGGAACAACAGCACCGGGACGAGAAGAGCAAAATGATAGAATAGAACATGGGACACTTGCGGCAGTGGGAAGAACCGAAACTCGTCTAGCAGAAGTGGCCGGTCTGGCCAAAACCCACCGCAGCGACGCAGCCGAGCGTGCCGAAAACCGTCGAGACGGGGAAGGGAAGCTCAACAAAATCGGCTTCGCAAAGCTGAATAATATCGCCGGTGCTGGCTTCGGCATCTTGAGAGCGTTCAGAGGCAGTGGTTGCATCATGATGTTGAATGTGGTTTCGATACTTCGTAAGCTCCTCGTTCTCTCTCTGCCTTGGAGGGGACCCTGCTTAGGTACTGGAGGTAGGTAATTGATGCGGGGTAACTTGGAGAGAGTCCCCGCCCGGTTAGGTAACTGCCACAGCGAGCGGGCACGGCTGCACATCTTTCGCGGCTTGCTCCCGATCCACCAAAGTGTCGCATCCAACTCGGTGCCAACAATAACTCTCTTGTTTGTCTGTGATGTATTTGGAGAGATTGTCAATTCGTACACACAGTCAAATGTGTGTCATGGTTGGCACTGGCGAGCTCCAGTCTCCAACCGACAAGCGCGAGACACCCACATGCAGGAAGTGAGATGCGAGAACCGTTGTCCTGCGCAGCCCGTCGTCCGATTATGCAGTCGGGACTTCGCTAGCTCCTCAATAGACCGGAGCATGGCGTCAAAAATGGGGGGGCGATGCTTCAGTCGTGCAGCAGCGCCTTCCATTAGCCCAGTCAACATCGCTTGCCGACGATCGTCGCCGTTGAACGAGACCCGTCGACCCCCCCTGTTAGGTGCTGCACGCGGTGGAGGGAGCAGGAGCCGCAAAAGGCCAGCGCCAAACCGGGCTTGGCACATTTGGCCAGTGGAAGCAGCGGACGAGACGTCGGGGAAACGGGGAAGAGCTTCCCCGTTCCTCGACGACCCCACCACAAATCTCGTCCATGGATGCGCCGGGAAAGGCCAGACCATGCCGAGTGCCAGTCGGTGCGGTTTCATCGCCTTCTTAACGACAAGACAAGGCACGCGTACTCAACTCCTCTTTCAAGGCACTCGCGAGTTACAAGCTTGGTACGCTTCCGCGCTTCGTTGCGGGGCGACGTTAATCGAATTGGTTTGCCGACATACATAGGAAGGTACCTCACTACTCGCTCGTTGCCCTCGCCTCCCTGCGGAGAGATTGACGAAATTCATTGCGCCACGCCGTCCCGGATTGGAGAAGCGCGGATTTGTGCCGCCAAGGACAACCAAGGACCTCGGGCGCAAACACCCCCCACACCCACCCAAACACTTTCATACCATAGACCGCTCGCCTCGTTTGCTGTGCTCCCTCTTGGCTCGCCATCTACGCAAGGGCCATCTGGGCCCGACACACCAAGCCATGTGCCGACTCGTCGTGTTCAAGGGGACATGCCCGCACTGCTCCGAGACCTTCACATGGGAAGAGCTCAGCCAGGAGCTCAGCTGCCTCGAGGCGAAGAACAACGGCACATTCGGCATGTGCAGGGAAGGGGCACTAGCGGACGAGAAGCCGCACGACCAAGAGTGCGACGCATGCGCCGCCGAGCTGGAGGCTGACGAGGGTTACGACGGCGGTATGGACGACGCTCTCGAGGCGCTCGAGGTCGCCGGCGCGGGCTGGGGCGGGACCAAGAAGAAAGCCGCTGACGAGGATCAAGCGAGCGGCAGGCACAAGAACAAGAAGCAGCGCGTGTCATGAGGCGCGTTGCGACTCGATCCGAGCGCGTTTCATTGTCATCTGTTTGCTGTCGCTTGCTTGCGACGCCGAAAGCATCCACACAAGATACCCACAGCCGCCCGTCAGCAACACACATGGTCGGGCGAGCGACGGCCCAAGCGTTGGAAATCGCGACAAATCGCGACGCGACAGCCACACGACCACACAACTGCACGAAGCAAATTACGAGAGGCAGATGCCTATTCACTGGGGATTTCTGGGCCATGGCGCATGCGGCAGGAGGAAGGGGCACGCATACTATTTAACGGTGTTTACTGGAGCGGTTACCCCAGGCCAGAAACGTCGTTCGTTCCACGAGGTCACGACGCAGATGAGTAATGAAGTTCATGATGACGCTCATAATGGGAATGACGCCGCCGGCGCGGGTGGGATGCCGGGCGCCGAGTGTCGGTTGGCCGGGACAGGAACTGAGAGGGGGGCCGGCCACGTACGAAAGCCGCCATGATATGGAAGAGTCGAGCAAGCCATGTACCACTTATAATGTATCCTACCGACCCGAACGGTCCATCGCCGCCGCCATTCATATCAACATGATCTATCTATATAGCTCTATATCCCCGCAGCATCCAATCTACTCCATGCCCTCCCACGTCTCCCTCACCACGCGCCAATACCGCCCGGCATCCACCCTCAGGTGGGCGACGTGCTCGCCGGCCTCGAACCTCTCCCTCCGCACGGCCGCGAACCCGCCGCGGACGGCCTCCTCGGCGTGGTCCTCGACGTCCCGCCAGTGCACGAGCCGGTCCGCGGGCCCGTAGACGTAGGTGCGGCGCACCTCGGCGCGGCGCGCGCCCGCGTCGTTGAGCGCCCGCGCCAGCGCCGCCATCGGGCCCGTCCGGCCCCGCCCCAACAGCGTGTGCCGCACCCAGTACGACAGGCAGAGCGCGTGCAAGAACGGCGCCGCCAGCCACCGCGCCGCCCACCCCCGCGGCAAGCCCGCGCTGAACGCCAGGTACCCGGCCCCGTACCGGAACCGCCCCGGCGACGAGTCCAGCACCAGCGTGTACCGCGGCAGCGTCGCCGGGGAACCCCCGCCCGCGGGTGCGGTTCCGGGTGCGGAGACGGCGAGCGCCGTCCGGAGGTGCAGCAGCGAGGCGGCGCCGCCGTTGGACCAGGCGTGGAGGAGGAGTTCGGGTTCTGGGTTGGTGGGTTTGGTCTCGTCGGTATCGTCCCGGCCGGGGACTCCGAGGTTGGGGAAGATGTTGCGGACGAAGGGGGCGGCGGGGGCGAAGTCGCGCGGGTTGCCGCCCGGGCGCAGGAAGTGCCGCGGCTCGGAGCGGAGGAGCAAGATTGGGGCGGTCGGGTAAAGGGCTTGGTACTGGACGAGGTACTTGGCGATGTGCAGGTCGCGGGCCCCCATCCACGTGGCGAGGATAATGAGCTTTGGCACGCGCTTTTGAGGTGGTGAGGTTGCGTCCGTGGGCGAAGATGCTGGCGTCGGTGTCTCGGGCCGATAGATGTAAACGCTTTCTGACAGTTTGGTCATGCAGCCGAGCGGACTCGCCGCCCGCGATGTCGCTGCGTTTGACGCCATTCTAGATTTGCCTTGAAACAAGTCCCAAACCCCAGGTCATTCCTGCTGTGTATAATGGAAGCGCAAGCACTCCCATTTGTATGTACTTGGGATGGAGGGGCGGCGCCGTGGCTGAGCGTGGGAGTGCGAGGGTTCGGTTCCTGGAGGTGGACAGGGTTCAGTAATCGCCTCACAAACTCATCCCCGTGTGACGCTGCAGCCACATCCCTGCAGCGGGCGCACATGTTGAGACAACCGAGAAAGTGTTGGCCCTAGCACTGACACTGACATGTGCGCTACTCTACACTAATACTGTGTAGAATACACCCGGGGCTCACTTCGCCGTCCAAGAGGGCCAATTACGGGATAATTGCGCTACTCGCCCTGTTCTCCCACTGGCATGAACAGAAGGGCAGGTCCATGTTATGATAAGGGGGTACACGACCCGACTCATCTCCAACCGAGGCACTTCCTATTTGGGTTGTATCAGCCAAGGTGATGAGACAACACCGAATCTGTCTATGTCCCAACAATGTATCTTCAGCGGCATGATATATTCGTCCGGTGAGGTCGAAAACGGCACCGGAATTACGTTAACTCCCCGTCGGCATGTTTTCACCCCGACCTCCCACTTGGAAACAGCCGTAATTGCAGCCAACACGGAGTAGGTAGTTCATGTTACCAACACAGGGCCAGAAATCATCAAATCAACTTCCTAAGCTACGCCATTTTTATTCCTAGTATACACAAGATCTAGTGGCCACCACCAGATCATCCCAGGTCAGACCTCAAGTCGGTCACGGCGAGGGCGCTAATGAGGGAAGCCTGTGGGGAGCAGAAAGCCATGGAGATACCTGCAGCTATGTCCAGTGGATAAACCAGATCATGTCTGGGCAATCAGCATTTCGACCTTCTGCGGCCAAAGAGGATAAATAATCCCAAAATTAGTGACGGTCCTGCAGGGCAGTTTCAGAGCCTCGTATCATACCAGGCGCAGAGCATGCCGGTCACCAGATGCAGCAAAAGTCCAGCGACACGGCCGGAAAACAGCCGCATCCTTGTGACGGTGGCAACATCGTCAAAAGCTCGTTGTGAAGAGATTGGTGGTCATGGCGGTGCAAGACGGTCCCACAACAAGGTGCAGTGCGGGACAAGACGTTGTGAGGGTCGAGCCAGGTCGTCAAGTGTATCAGAGCAAGACACGGCCCACCTTCCGTTGGTCAGTACCTCTAGAGGCGAGGGATAATCCAATCGTAGCATCGCAGGCAGAGCAAGCAGCGAATTGCGGGTTGTGATCAAGTTGTTGCAGGGTGCGCATTCGCAATACCGTCGATGGGAAGGTGTCGGGCTCCAAGCCGCCAAACGCAAGGGTCGAAGATGATGCAGGATACTCAAGTTCGGGGTATTGTGTCGCAGAACCGCCAAAGAGAGCCGGAAAAAGGAACGAAAAAGAAAGAAAGAAAAAAGCGACCATCGGCGCGCGTACTGGTACAATCATGTAACAAATCCGTTGAGGCTGTGGGGTGGATGGGCCGGACGGATGTCAGATATGCCATGCCCTGGTATCAAATAACGTGCCGTCATGCAGTGATCAGGGCGCAAGGTCAGGGCCAGCATCCAGAGTGATGACGGCAGAGTTCAAGACGCATCAGACGCATCAGACGCATCAACGAGTTGAGTGGGCGGGTCAACAACAAGCGCATCAGCGAGTCGGGGTCATGGCGGCTTTACGAGGTCCCAGGGGCCTGGGGCGGACCTCCCTGGCCCTGGCCCTGCTGGGCAGCAAGCTGGGATTGCCACCACAGGGCAATGTAGTTTTCGTAACCACCATCTACCATCAAGTCTTAGTCAGTGACGCCGAACGTAGGCAAAGAAACCGCCTGGGAGTGCACTCACACATGGCGTACGGGTCAGCCTGGCCGCCGCTCCCGGCCGCAGCGGCAGGAACCGCGCCGCCGGGGGCCGCGTTCATAGGGGCGCTGCTGGTGTTAGAGGGCTGGCCATAGTTGGGGCTATCATAATCACGGGGCGGGCCACGACCACGTCCGCCGCCGCCGCCGGCAGACTTCTGCCTCTGTAGACACGTCACGTCAGCATGGCTATGCGTTAAGGAGGGCGGGCAAGCCCGGTAGACATACCGCTGCATCAACTTTGTCCTCGATAGCACGCTTCGCCTGGGCGATGGCGTCTCGGCTGCCGACAAGACCGATCTCCCGCTCCACCTCGCCGGGTCCCGACGACTGCGAAACATTGATCTTGCACCCAGTCATATTTTGCATCTCCCGAATCGTCTCACCACCTTTGCCGATGATCATACCGACCGCATCGGAGGGAACGTAGATGGAGTCGTTGACCTTGTCGGGCGCACCGCCGCCGCCGCCGCCACCACCGCCGCCATAGCTGTCGGGCCGGCCGCCGCGTGCAGCTCCCGCGTTGTTTCCGTTCCTGCTGTCGCTATCCACAATTTCAAGAATCAGCTCCTTGGCATGTCGGGCAGCAGCCGGAGAGCCAATGAGGTTGACCGGGCGGAGGCCGTTGACGCTCTTGTTCTCGCTAACAATGTTAATGTGGCAGCCGCTGCGCTCTTGGAGATCGCGGATTGTCTCCCCGCCACGCCCGATGATCAGGCCCACGGTCCTATCGGGAACCATGATTTGCAGGCTGTCCTCGCCCTCCTTGGGAACCGGCGGAGGGGCGGGACCACGGCCGCCACCTTCACGACCGCCACGATCGCCACCAGCCTGGGGGTTGCCGCCGCGCATGCCGCTGTCCTGGATGATGTGGTTGATCATCTCCTTCGCCTCCTCGCGCTGCGGACGAGGGCCGGTGATTCTGCAGAGTCGGAATTGGTCGTTCTGGCCAGTAGGCGGGATGAACTGGACCCGGCAGCGGCTCTCGCTTTCGACACGGCGCAGGTTCTCGCCCTGGCGGCCAATGATCAATCCAACCAAACTCGCCTCGATCTCGATCGTCTCGACGTTGTCTTCCTTGCCGCGCAACGGTGACCGGTCCCGACCGCCGCTGTGGCCACCGCGGGGAGAGAACCCTTGGCGACCGCGACCAGGGGAGTAAGAGCGGTCGCGTGCGTAGGCACGATCTTGGCCGCCGTGTTCAGCGCGCCTCTCGTCGCGGTAAGGGTTGAGGTTGTCACGGAAAGCGTCCCGCCCACGAGGGCTCTTGGATCTCGGGCGCTGGTAGTGCCTCTGGTCCGCCTGGCGAGGGTCTGGGTATGGTGCGTTCTGACGGTCATATGGAGTGACGCCCTTCTCGGTTGCGTACGCCTTTGCCTTTGCGATTGCGTCGGCGAGCTGCACCGTGCCCGAGTTGACAGGCCGGATCGCGCTCAGATCGATGCTGCCACTCGACGCCGGCTGTGGGTAGGGATAAGCGGGGGCCGGTTGGTACGAAGTGGGTTGCGGCTGGTATGGGTTCTGCCCGGGCGGTGCGTACCCCGAAGGCATCGGCGGCGCAGGAGCTGGAACGCCAGGGTGGTTCTGGGTAGGCGTCGAGGTTGCCGGTCGCTGTGTCGCATCTGAGGCCACGAGTCAGTTCATTTGTCGTCAAGAAGCATAAGATCCGCCAATCCTCACCGCCAAGCATCTTGAGAATAGAGTTGATATCGGGCGTTGAGTTCGCCATCGTGCTTCCGACTGTGGGTTTTCGGTGCCGTTTTTGGGGTGGTGTTCTATGATGATATCGAGATACCAGCACGGTAAGGTTGCTAGAAGCCGCGTGTTTCTGCGCAAGAGAAGCGACGCAAAGCTGATTCCGCTCGAATTCGGTCTATCACCTGACGTAAGAGTCAGCAGCGATTCGAATCAAGACCTGGGTAGGGCGCGTGGTGTTCTGGACACAGCCGCGCACAAAGAAGCACGGGCGCAAGGCAAACCAGGGCGATCAGAGTACCAACCTTTGATGAGAGCGGCACAGAATACTGCGAATCGTAGTCGCGTACAAAGAAATGCTCCGGTCGCAAGATGGCAGCCACGTAGAGTGAAGAGCAGCAACAAGCTGGATTCCGTTGCCAGCAGGGTGGGATTTTTGCTCAGAAATGGGGAGTGAATTGCGAGCCCTTGCGGATTTCGTACCAAGTTCGTGGATGGAGCAGAGAGTGGGCTGAGAAATGCTGGGTGGAGCGCCACAACGGGTCCGGTGAATGGGTGGTGGCTCGTGCGCCTACATTCACGTGATGAAGCTAAGAGTCACGGTGAAAGGAGCAGATCCCGGACTCATCTCGGCCCGCCCAGCAAGCGCACCACAGGACGGGATGGAAGTGAGGTGGCCAGCAAGTGAACATGAACAACAATCCCCCTCATTCTTTAGTTAGTATGAGCCAATCAGTATTACTTCTGCATGGCTCCGGAGTATGATGTGCTGAGAGGCAGGGGTATGTTTGAAGGATGAAAGATCCCGATTCCCATGGACCAGCCTTGTCTAGGCAGCTTAGGTAGCGACCATCAGGTCTGTTCCAAGCACAGGGAATAGGTATGTTCTTTCTCAAGCATCTATTTTGATCCTATGTATATAAGCCATCCATTGCGGCGGGCATAGAGCAGCAGGTTCACTGTTCATCTCACGTCACAATGATCCCTATGATCATGGGATGGGTCTGGGTCATTGCCCTGAGCTGTGAAAGCCCCATGTTCCTTTGACAGCTTTACAGTGATCGTTGCAATGTTCATCAAAACATACAAGCATCAACTTCCACACTTTCATGCAGTTCATAGCCGTATGGATACACAATTGCTGAGGGAATCAGACATGCTTCAATCGGTTCCTGGCGCTGTTGGCGACGATGCCCTTCGTCCTAACATGACCCGATTGGGCCCTATTAACTGCGCGCCCAGTCTCTACATGATTAATCCACTTGAGGTCTATATGGTGTGTGTGAGCGTCTAGCTAGAGCAACGAATAATGGAAATAGTCCAGATCTGATCTCTGCCTTTCGTCACTGTCTACCTACCTAGGTAGCTACGCAATCATTTAGAGGCGGGGGTTACCAGGGCCGGGGACGAGGGAGGATATGTAGCGTCAAGAGCCGCGCCAGCAGAAGCAATTACTGTACCAGGATTGGTCACCCAAGGAGATTTCACAGCTTGGACGCCCTCTTATCTTGTAGCTGACCGAGTCGAGAGCTTGTTGGAGCAACTCGCAGAAACCCCCGTCAAATCTGGGCGGCACCAGATGTCGGCCCATCCAATACGTGAATGCAAAATTGGTCCTTCAAGAGGGGGGGGGGGCGGTGCTGGATTGGGGGCCTCGGGCTCAGGCTCTCTTTCGTACGGTGGGGTCTCAGTTTCTTGGGCTTCATTTTCGCTACGACCATAGGAAGGGTGATATTGTCTATCAGTCTGGCACAAGACAGCCATCTAACCCGAGCACAGGATAGAAAGATTCAGATTCATCCCCCCGTTGCACAACACTCGATCTTTCTGAGCAAACAAATCTATCAGGGGCCGAAGTTCGCACAACCCAACGGCTACTTGGCTCGCACGGGGCAGATGTGGTCTGAGAGCAAAGTCGGCTACACAAACGTACTCGTACCTAGCACGGGATCTCTTGGGGAGACCTGAGAAAACGGACATTGTGTGACACGCAATGCCACATTGGCACGGCAGCCAACGGGCCCTTGCACATATTTGTTCACTTATTGTATCACGGGCTGATTTGTGTGTTGAATAGAGTCCGTGGCCATAATTACTCGACCTCAGAACTGCGACGTATACAGAGTTTCAAGATCGTGACAGCTAGGTACGTACTGTACAACTCCTGTCCCAGTCTTGTTGGACCGTAATTTGCCAGCTGCGAGAGTTCGGTGGTAACATCGAGTCGGGTGGTTATCAACCAGCCCGTCCCTTCCCGTCGAAATCTGAGGCCGGTTTCAGCAAACAAACTTTTTTGAATACGATCTAGGGGTTAGATATCAACACCTAAAGCTCATGTTTTTCAGGGCGGTGTCTTGTCGGGCAGGCCATGAGGCTTCAAGTTAGTTTAAACCGACCGAACAAGGTATCGTAGTGAACTTGATCCCGGTGAGTCGATTCGCAATGCGACTGCACTGTAGTAACCCAGAGAATTGTGCCGTTTTTCTTGTTTACACGTACTTTCTCAGTGCGACGCAGCATCTCCGTGTCGGTTGGTAGGTTCCTTCCCGTTTCCGGTGAGAACCTGGAAGCTCCATCGAAGCAAATCAGGTATTTTCCGTCGCTAACTTGGAAGTCACAGTATTAAGGAAAGCTCCTTCCCTCCGGTTTGTGGGTGGCTGCTGTGACGTTGAACTGGGCAAGCACAGAACACTCTCCCTCGCACCACTCGTCGATGGGAATTTCCCGCTTTGCTCCCTGTTGATCAAGGCCCTATCCAATTCTCCCACAATCCGGACTTTTGTCACTCTTCTTTCTCAAAGTTCTCCGATCTTTCTGTGATTTTACCTTGGTCCAACCCGCCAACGACAACCATCATCCGCCGGTACGGTCCCAACAAGGTCTACAGCTCCCACTTCAACCGATTCCAGTTCCTCCAGTCATTGAATTACAATGGTGACGGCTGCACGGGTTCTCTACGGCGCCCTCGCTGCTGCGTCTGTGGCTGCCGGTGCCGCCACTCAGCGCCATGCCGAGGCCTTCAAAGATGCTCCGCCCGGCATCAGCTACAAGATTGCCAAGGGCACCCATCCGTGGTCGTCTTCCACCAAGATTACCAAGGCAAGCCAACACGTCCAGCAGCTGCGCCCAGTCCACGCGGGCCGCGCCACCAAGATCAATCCCAGGTCGGCTGCTGCGATCCTCGGTGCCCATCAACGCCTGGTTGGCGGGGCCGGGTACGAGAACATCACTACTACCTCTGCGTACGGAACCCAATATGCCGTCGATTCCCTGTTCAACGGACACCGAATGTCGCTTATCATCGACACTGGAAGTTCCGACACATGGGCCGTCCAGAAGAACTTCCACTGCATCGACTACTCCGGCGAGTTTCTGCCCCAAGAGATCTGCGGCTTCGGTGAGACGTACCCAGAAACTTTCCAATACGGCTTGACCGACCCGGAGTCGCACATGTACATTCAGTATGGCGACGGCGAGATCGTCACCGGCCCCATGGGTTTCTCGGACGTCACGGTCGGCGGCATCACGGTCAAGCAGCAACAGGTGTGTTTGGCCAATACCACGTACTGGTATGGCAACAACCAGACAAGCGGCCTGATGGGCCTTGCATTCCCGGCCCTTACCAACGCTTACCTTGGTGATGGTGAGGGTCACGAGTTTGGCAGGCAGGTGCAGTATTCGCCTCTCTTCACCAGCATGGTCAACCAGGGACTGGTTGATCCCATTTTCAGCATCGCCATTGATCGCAACGCATCCAGTGGCATGCTCGCTTTTGGTGGAGTTGCTCCGGCCAGTGGTTTGGACATGACTCGGACCGCAGTTCTGGACATGATAATCGTAAGTGCTCTCCCTGGCTGGGCGCGGAATGCACCAACGTTGACACGGTAACAGACCAGTGTGATTGCGATCCCCGAAACTTCCTACCAATACTCTTTCTACACGATCATTCCGGACGGTTGGTATTTCGACCAGAACACCAACACCAAAAAGATCCCATACATAGTTGACAGCGGCACAACGCTCAACTACCTCCCGTCGGGTACGTGGTTTACCAGATCTTACCTTATCGGTGAGGGGAGCTAACCGCCTATCTCAGGTCTCGCCGATGCCATCAACGCATCATTCGACCCACCCGCCGTCTACTTGTGGATGTACGGTGCTTACTTCACTTCGTGTGACGCCAACATACCCCAGGTTGCCGTGCTGCTCGATGGCACCAAGTTCAACATCAGCCCCGTGGATCTTCTTTACCGTACATTGGTGGACCCGCTGACTGGACTCTGCATGACTGCCATTGCAGACGGAGGTTCAGGCCCCTACATCCTTGGCGACGCGTTTATGCAGAACGCCTTGGTCGTCTTTGACGTTGGCCAGGCCAAGATGCGCTTCATTCCTCGCCAGCACTACTGATGGTGTGACGCCTGGAGGGAAGCTCGTTTCGATCTTGCTCAGTTCCATGTTTGTTATGACCACCATTTACCATTAAGAGGTGTCGGTGTAGAGGATCATTTGTCGATGTGGACGCTTGCTCGGTAGCTCTAGGGAATATGGGGACGCACTAGCTCAAGATTTAGAGTACTACGGCATTGTCCCCGAGGTCTTCTCTTTATAACCACAGTGGTGTGCTGTCCTTGCTAAATCTTCACTTTGTGATGGGAGGCATCTCCTGGAGCCTGCGCAGAAGGGGGACTTGATGTGAACTATTTCCACCCCAGCCAGACTGCCAACTCTAACCCCTAACCCCTTATACCCTGCTGGTGTTTCAATTTTGAGAACTCGCTCCAAACTTCCTCTTAACAGCTTATCATTCCAATGTTGGACCGCTCGGAAGAACCGCGGCGGTGACCCCTCGCAAGCGAAGAAGCCAAGGGGGGGAGGCCGTAGGTGCAGTGCTTAATTCGCGTAGCCTTCCCAGCGATGAGCAGAAACAATATCCCCGAGGGATCCAAGGGCACGGTAAGACTACTGAATATATGATGCAATCTCTCGTTGACGTTGGTGGTAGCGCATTCACGGTGGGCGGATATCAGTTCGGCACCGATCGTGTTGATGAATCCATATCTGATCGGGTACTATGCACGGCATTACATGGACCGGAGTCTGGAAAATTGTAAGTTTAGAAATAAGGGGCGAGGTGAATGACGAGCAGAGAGATCCACCCAGCCAACACAGCCGCTCCTAGGGTATGCGAATTTTGTTTCATTCCACGCCTCAACTCCGTGATGACAAAACCCGTGCGGAACCGAAACCTGCTGCCCATCATGCCTCTAGCCATGCATTACGAGGCTACCTGCGCTGATGGCCGCCCTGTCTTGGCTGGCTGCCATACGCTCTCCTGGCCTGAGGCTTCTTGTCCCGGCTCATACCTGCCCCCAGAGTGATGTCAACTCGGGGCGGCGTAGAAAAGCCGAAACCCTGTATACGCCGTTAGTTAGGTCGCCCGCCAGCGCTGAAGCGCGGAAAAGGCTTCTTACCTTGGCCACCTTCACCATGTCCAGCTTTTGAACATCAAAAACGCTGCGGAGGCTGTGGGAGGCATACGCGTGGAGGTAAGACCGGTAGCCGTCCTTAGCACTCTGGTTGAGATAGTAGTTGCTCCCAATGAGCTTCTCCAGCTGTGACTGCACGTTCAGGATCTTGTTTTTAGGGAAGTCGTACTCGACGACGGGGACCTTGGCAGCCTTGAGGTGAGCCAGGAAGCCGAGCTCACACGGCTGCAGGAACAACAACGACCGCCCTTTAGTGTTGTTGCCCCTGGCCGTCCGACCGACACGGTGGATGTAATCGCGGGGGTCATCTGGGGGGTCGAATTGGACAATCCAGTCAACTTGAGGAATATCGAGGCCGCGAGCGGCAACGTCGGTGCAGATGAGAGTCCCCTGCTTGGCGTTGCAGAACTCAAAGAAGGTGTTGGTCCGTTTTTGCTGCTTTTGCTTTCCATGCAAGTCGAGGACCTGCAGATCGATGTATTGTAGAAGTTCGCTGTAGTATTTGACCGAGTTGCAGGACGAAAAGAAGACAATGATCTTCTTCTTGGCCATCTTCTTGAGGAACGAGAATAGCAAAAGAAAGCGCTTGTCGGCATCGACGACGACGTATCCCTGGTCGAGCCCTTCGACTGTGCTGAACTGCTTCTCCTCGTCGACATTGATGTACAACGGCCCAGGCCGGAGTGAGATTCTCGCAAGGTCCTCAACTTTTGTTGTCTGTGTAGCCGAGAAGAGCATGGTTTGGCGATTTTCCTTGGGGAGAATTTTGACGATCTGGCGCATTTCGTCCTCGAAACCAACTTCCAGAATCCGGTCGGCCTCATCGATGATCAGGGACTTCAGGTTTTTGAAGACGAAGGTGGTATTTCGGAGATCTATCGAGAAGTAATTGTCAGTAGCTGCCGATCGAGTAGGAAAGCAACACACGAGACTTACGATCGAGGAGCCTGCCGGGCGTGGCGATCAGAAGGTTCACTCCCTTTCCTAGTTTATCTGCCTCCGCTCTGATATTCGCACCTCCGATGACCACCCCATCTGCGACACCAAATTAGCAAGAGTTCCGATGGGACAGTGTACGGACTGCAACTCACAAGTCTGAGAGTGGTTCTTCATCAGCTCGCGCGCAACGCCGAAGATCTGCAGCGCCAGTTCGCGCGTGGGCGTGACAACGATGACGCCAGTGCCGTTCCGCGGCTTGAACCGGAGGGAGTTGAGCATCTCGATGGCGGGAATGAGGAAGGCAAGCGTCTTTCCAGACCCAGTTTTGGCCGCCCCCAGCACATCCTTACCCGCGAGGAGAGGCGGGATGCCTCGCCGTTGGATCTCGGTCATTTTTGTGAATCCCATTTCGTCGATTGACTTCATGGTCTTGTCGGAGAGGTTGAGCTCAGAGAACGCCTGGGCCTCTGTCGACACCGAGGGGCCAAGCAAGGAGCCGTCCCCATTTGTCGCGCCATCCAATCCTGTCAACCTATCTTGGGTCCCTGAACCGTCCGCACCCCCTTCGGCCTGTTCGTCGTCCTCAGAGTCGTCCTGCGCCGAGGTGGCAACTTCCGCCTCGAGCTCCTCGTTGTCGATCTCGTGGTCGCTGTTGTTGTCGCTCTCGGCGTCGCTGGCTTCTGGGGTCGGGGCCCTCTTCAACTTTTTGGTCTTTGAGGAAGCAGCGACAACGCGCTCGGACTTGGAGCCCTTGCTATCCTTGAATTTCCTCTTTTTGCTGAGATCGGGAGCCATTTTGGTGGTTGTGCAGGACGGTCTGGTCGGATTGCGGCGTGCTTTGCACCGGTTTTTTTTTCTTGCACTGAGCTTATCGGGCGGCTGATAGTGAGTGGGAAGAATGGGAAGCAGCCCCCTGTCGTCCCGCCTTGGCGACCTGAGCGAACCTCCAAATCGAAGGAGTCGGTGAAATGTTTTGCCAGTTTCCGGCGGGGTGTACAAGGGCGGGAGGTCCATGCCCGCCCGCCGTGCAGGATGTCTTCGGAAAATCTATTACATAAGCCCCCGTGCCGTCGAACTGCCTTGGCACGCATCCACCAACCTGGTTCAGAAGCTGGGGTCAATCAATTGCTCACCCCCAGGTGGCATCTCGAGTCGGAAACCAAAATGCCCGAGCCACTCCGACCTCGCTGACCCGGGCGCTTCGACACAGTTGCATTAGCTGCAGCGGCTTCATTAATTGGACATCTTTAAAACCACGCGGGTTGCACCGCTCGTGCCCCAAGCCCTTCGCCAAACGCGGAAATTCCTCGCTACCTTCTCGAATCGGTACCGTTGAAGCGTCAACCCCAGAGTTTAGTGTCACGCCCACCATGTCATCATGGTGAGGAAGCCTCGCGGGGGTCCTTCAAACCCCGGGCCCGGACTCCAAATCAATTTCCTGCCGCCCCCGTTGCCTCCGCCAAGTGGTCAGCCCAGTTGCTTTTGGGCAGTTCCTTCGTGCTCAACACGGTGGTTCCCCTCTCTCAAGGTGGTATCAAGGCAACGCATCAGCCCTCCCCTCTTGCCGAAAGGGCTATCCGCCTCGACCCCCAGAGCTGGGTTCGGCTCCGCGCTCGCTTCTTACCGAACCTGGGACAGATGCTCGACTGCTGCTGATCCCTCTGCTGGTGCACCGGGAACCACCGTCGCCATCTGCATTACTTCGATCGATGGCCCCGGTTCAATTTGGGCCTGGTTTAAAAATAGCCGCACGTCAAGTTGACTGCGTTGCCGTGTCTTCTCTCTGAATCTCGCCGTTTTGATGCTCTCCACCATCGGGGTTGATGGGATGATCAGTGTCTCGATGGTGATGGAACGACGGCGAATTGGGTCTTGGGGCTCGAGAGCCGGATAGTGTCTGTGGGTGAGGCGGATGTGTCCTAGGTCCTCGATCCCCAAACACCCGAGCCGCTGGGTTGTGTTCAGGTCGGCGGTTGAGAGTTTTCGAGTAGGGTCTTTCGATGTGCCGACTACCCCCCTCCCCTGCTTGCATCCCATCCTGTGCCCCCCCCCCCCCCCTCAAAATCTTGGGCCGGGCAACCCGGCATGACTTGTTCCCTTCGCTCTGCATTCTGGTGGTATCCTTCTGAGGCACAGACACGGCCTAGCCCGAGCCATGTAGCATCGCCGCCGTCACGAGCTTCTCTTCATTGGTGAGGTTCGGATGGCAAGGCAGCATGATTCTGCATGCCAGGGTGATGGGATGAGGTCGCCCAAGCTGACCTTCATTTATTCCTTGATCAATCCGAAGCCCTGGCTCAGTCGGCAATCTCGACGTCACCGCCGCTCGCAAAAGGATGGGGCAGAGTCAAAGGCCCTTGCTCGTGGCAATCTATGGCTGTGGCCTGACTGGACATATGAATGGTGACCAAAGGGAGAAGGTGCGGAAGGAAGCGAGGAGAAAAGGCATATAAGACCGCCCGCTGTCCTCTCCTGTGTCTTGGTCAACAGCAGCATCCCCAAGCCTCTCTCGGTTCTACACACGCAGTCAGCCCAACGCCTTCTTCACATTTACTCTCACCCTCCCCAGCGGAAATACCTCACCATGAAGTTCATCATCGCCCTCACTTCTCTCTTGGGCGCCGCCATGGCATTCAAGTCCTCCGTCTCCGAAGAACGTACGGCCCGTCTGCGGAACCGGGCTCCAAGGCCCGAGAAGCTCGCAGCCGTGGAGGTGCGAACTCTAGAGTACAGAACCTCGATCGGTGCCCCTACCGAACAGCGCTCCAAGGCCCTGCTTACGAGAGTACCGGGTCTGCAACGGCGTGGTGTCCCCCAAGCGAGCGATTTCTTCGAGTGCACAAACCCCGTAAGGACATTGGGATTTCCCATCTCTTCAGTAAATACCCGTCCCTGGCGTCGACTAACCTTTACCAGAACCCAAGCCCCGCCACCGCCGACTGCAAGGTTATTGTCGACCAAGTCCTATCGACCGACGACGAGTTCATCATCGCGGCAAACTCGTGCCTCGTCTACTCCTTCGGGACGTGTCAGGCCTTTTTCTGCTCCCTCTGCGAGACTCTGAGCACCACAACCATCTTCATTGGCGGCCAGCTCGATACAGTCGATGCTTTGTGTGTCGAGAATGGCCAGGCGGGCACGATTGTGGGCGAGGATGCTCCGCAGTGGAATGCCGGCTTCACCTACGCGGGAGAGGGCTTGCCGACGTTTGATGTGTGCTGAGGATATGCTTCGAAGGACGGCTTTTCCTGAGAGTTCTTAGGTGCGCTTGGTCCGTTGCTTGGTATTTCAAGGCTGTCGGTTTCTTTGGATCGTGCTCGAGTCGCATGGAAAGCAACGGCATCTTGTCACAGTGAAGGTCAAACATGTAGCTTTGAAGTTGATGAATCGGAAATTGGGATGGCAGTTGTTGCATTGCATCAGAAGAGCCTCACCTTCGCGTACCTTCAGGCTGATATCGCCATATTAATCTTTATCACCGTCATTGTCAGGGGGCTCTCCGCAACCGAGTATGCCCGCCCCACACGCTGTCCACCACCACCAAACAAGTCAACAGGATCACGGTAGTTATCGCGCAACCCTAGCTAAAACCACGGCACTCTCTTGCTAGACTTCGACTCTCCCTTTTTTTTTCCTTTTTTTTTTTTTTCTTTCTTACTTTTACCTCAGGCTGGGCTGGTCCAAGTTCACCCTCAACCTCGGCCGTTCCCGTCCCCCCACCAGAGAACCCGACCCCCACCCTTCTCGAGAGACCTGGAACCCCACCAGTAGGGCGATCGAGGCCCACGCAATGACCTTGGCTCCAGCGGGAGCCGGGGATCGAGAACCTTTTGCGTTCCGGACAAGCTTGGCTTGAAATTCAGTTGAGTATCATCGCGTCCCTGGTCGATCACAGGCAAGCAAGGGTTCCCACGTGTTTAACCTGCAAGAATCGGGCAATGAGGAAAAAGGTTTGCAGATGTTCAGGTCTCACTTATGGGAGGCAAAGACTTGAGGTGTGCTCTTGCCGGGTTGCCAGAGACGGTTTCCCGAGAGTTTCACCCCACTGTTTCGACAGAAGAAACAATGTTTACGTGGGATCCGGCACTTTCCCCAGGGGCAGCGCACACTCTGCTGGTCACCTGAACACAAGGCCAGCTTGGCACTCAGTGCTCAGAGACTGCCGAGACCTGCCCTGGTGCCCAGTATGGATGGCCCGGGACTGCCACCAAGGTGCATGTTCCCGCCGGCTAGCAGTCCGGCCACCTCCCGATTCCAGCCGATAGCGTGCACGGCCCAAGTATCACCTAACTCAACACGCGGGTTCCATCTTATCCCCAAGAACAGTCTTTCGTCTTGAGGAGAAAGTCTGAACGAGCGCCAGAGTAAGGATGGATTGAAGGGGTGAGAGCGGGAGATGGCGGTCAGGTACCTTGGTGTTCTGGGAGAGAAAACCCGTCACATCACGGGCACTCAATCCCAGCCTGCAAGGCCCCGCTTTTGTCTGCGTTTCGGGTCAGTTCGGAGGGAAAGTGGCCTGGGACCAAAGAGCTGTTGGCCAGGCGTGAGCCAGGATGCCAGGCTGCGCTGAAAAGGCAGGACTCTGCGCCAAGGGACCAGGGTGCCGCCCGCTGGACCGCCCGAGATATGCCGCCCTGGGATTCCCGATGCGATTGATGAAGCTCGCCAGGGCTTCGTGCAACTTTACTCGCCAGGATTGTCTTTTTCCTGTGTATCGTCTCCGTCATTCTTCAAATCACTCCGCCGCCCTTTCCCAAGCCCTTTCCCGCAATAGAGACGTAGCCTATTGTCCCCGACTACACCTTGTTGCGTCGACCACGACAGCAACGCAAGGTGGCGTCGCAAGCCGGGGAAGCTCCTTTCCCAACCCACCATCGTCACTGTTACGCTCGACCCGCACACGGCGCCCCACGAAGCGCTCACGCGATCAACCACTGCGAGCTCTCCACGCCTACCACGCTGACTCTCTGCCATTCCTCGGTCCCAATTAAGCTGCTACATGTCTCGACCATCTATTCCGTCCTCGTCCGCCTCCAGAACGCTGCTACAACGGCTATCACTCAGCAGAGATGGCTCCAAAGATTAACGGCCTCGGCATCATGCCCGAGGACACGCGGATTTGCGTCGTCATGGTCGGGCTCCCAGCCCGAGGCAAAAGCTACATCGCACAGAGAGGTGAGATCGCCGTTGGTTGACAGCCCCTCCCCCTTTCGTCCCGGCCGCTGACCGTGCTCCTCTTTCCAGCCCAGCGATACCTAAAGTGGCTATCGGTCCCGGCGGCAACCTTCAACGTAGGCAACTATCGCCGTGAGAACGCTCCCCATCCGTCCGCCGACTTCTTCGACACCAATAATGCCGAGGGCGAGCGCCAGCGCCGCGCGGCTGCCAATGCCGCCGTGGCAGACATGCTCAAGTGGTTCAAGAGCGGCGGGGTTGTCGCGATCCTGGATGCCACCAATAGCACCAAAGAGAGGCGGAAATGGGTGCTCGAGCGGATCTCGAGCGAGGGAATCGAGGTCATCTTCGTCGAGTCTAAATGCGACGACGAAGAACTAGTCATGGCCAACATCCGCGATGTTAAAGCCACCTCTCCGGACTACGTGGGCCAGGACCCTGAGAAGGCCGCGCTGGACTTCCGGGAACGCATCCGCAACTACGAGAAGGTATACAAATCGATCAACGACGACAAGGATGAGGACCACTTGACATATCTCAAGATCATGAACGTGGGCAAGAAGGTCTTCATCAACCGCATCCAGGACTACCTTCAGAGCCGCGTCGTCTACTTCCTCATGAACCTCCACATCCGCCCACGTTCCGTCTGGCTGTCTCGCGTAAGCACCGGCGGCCGCCCCGTTCCTCCAAGACCGCGCTGACCTTGTTCTCTCTAGCATGGCGAGTCAATGTTCAATCTGGACGGCCGCATTGGCGGTGACGCAACACTCTCACACCGCGGCGAAGAGTACGCCCTCAAACTTCCCGAGTTGGTCCGCGAGTCTGTTGGTGTAAGTGCCCATCAAAAAAGTCTTGGCTCCGTGTGCCAAGCCGGGCCTCCGAACCCCTGGTCTCGGTGGTTTTGGCGTGCCATGTGCCGTCCGCCTGCATAACCCCAACTAACAACACGCAGAGCGACCGTCCATTGACGGTCTGGACCTCGACACTGAAACGGACCATCGCCACAGCCCGCCACCTGCCGAAACACTACAACCAGCTCCAGTGGAAGGCGCTAGACGAGCTTGACGCCGGGGTGTGCGACGGCATGACGTACCAGGAGATCGCGGACCAGTATCCCGAGGATTTCCAGGCCCGCGACGAGGACAAGTACAACTATCGGTACCGTGGCGGTGAGAGCTACCGCGACGTGGTCATCCGCCTCGAGCCCATCATCATGGAACTCGAGCGCAGCGAGGACATACTCATCATCTCGCACCAGGCCGTTATCCGCTGCATCTACGCCTACTTCATGCAGAAAACGCAGGAAGACAGCCCCTGGGTGCCCGTGCCCCTCCACACCTTGATGAAACTGACGCCGCGCGCTTACGGCACCGAGCTGCAGACTTATCGTGCCAACATTAAGGCCGTCAGCACCTGGCGCGGCAAGGGCAGCACGGCGAAACACGAGGATCCCGCCCCGGAGGGTGGTATCTGAGATTCTGGGCTCGGGTTTTGGACCTGGGCACCGGGGACAGTATGTCGCATTGCTTTTTTCAGCATCTCTAGACTTGTGTGTTTTGTTTTTTCTACGGCGGGCGTAGAACCATTAAGCGGACTGCATACTTTTGGGATGGTGATGGTGACGTGGAAAATCCCAGGGTTGAAGGCTGGACGACCCTCGGAATGGAGTTTACGGTTGGGCGCCAGCGTTGGCTTTGAGCCTTGCGCTGGCATTGGGCGCGAAATTGAGGTCTCGCTACGATACATACCATACGGAGGAATGAGAGGCTGTGTTAAATGGGAAAGGGAAGGGGTTGGCCTTGACCAACGCAATGACGCCGTTCGTAGGGAACAGTTGTCAACACCATTGTGGTTCACCTCTTTTACGCTATCGAACCCCCAAGGCCGGGAACCGTTTCGCTCAGTGATACCGTTCCGCAGCATTCAGCATGAAAGTATTGCATACCTTCAAAACACCTGCACGGCTAGGAGCAGTATAATTTGGATGGTTTCTTGACTGGAACCAAGCCAACATTGCCGTATGCCGGGCTCGTGTGTGAGTCTCTCCTCGGTGAGCTCGCAGGCAGCAGCAAATCCAGCCACTGGTCATTCTTGCTTGATAGGAGACTTGTGGTTACTCGCTGATCTCAAACTTTTGATTGTTGGTTCTAGGTTTAGGTCTTCAGGGCTCAAGAAGCTTAGTTGCTTAGTTGGGATGGTCCACAGAGGAATAACATAACGCCATTTGCACCGAGTTGCACCCGTCACTCCCTTCACTCTTCGTCTTTTGCTTTGTGGCACATCAGGCAAGCGAGTACGACAGTTCCATTTACACTCATACTGTCTAAGATACAACCCCCCCCCCCCCCCCCCCCCCCGGCCTCCCCCCTTTCTCCCCTTCACAACAACTCATAATTCGATCGGTCCGCTACACACTCAAAGACTGAGGAATCCTGCAATCAACAAACCCCAAACGCCCAGCCCCATCACCCCCATCCGACCCATGACTCGGCCGGCGCCACTCTCCTCACCAGACCGAGTCTGCAGGTTCGAGGTATCGTTTACAGGGTAACCATTGTCAAGGATGCACTGCTGCATATCGGTGTTGAACGCGGGGCTTTCGCCGTCCTTGATGTAGCGGTCGGGGATCTTGCACCACATGTAGCAGTCGATGACGAGATTGACCTCGTTTGGCTCGCAGCACTCGGTCATATAGCGAGCCTCGGTGTCGTTGCCCGGTACGATGATAAGGGGGATGCCGTGGGGGATCAGGTCGCCGAAGGCACTCTTCAAAGGGATCTCGCCGTTGGGGAGGCACTCGAGGGTGGCACTGCCTGTAGACATGGTGGGCGGTGGTGTCTGGCTGTGGTGTTTGAGAGGGTATGAGTTTGGTTTTGGTGTTGATGTTGGAGATAAACAAGAAACTATGGCGGCTCCTGATGTTTTATAGCTCGTTGTGGTGGATGGAGAGAGCGGTCTTAATAAGAACGGAAAGGTACCTCCCTAGCTAGGTCTATTAGGGCAAGTGGTGATGTTCATGGGGGACCAAGCGAGCTCATATTGGAGGCTGAGCACTCAAGGCATAACGGGTCTCGAAGGATACCCACGACACCGCACCTTTGGCATCCTTGCATCATCAACAGCTACCCCGGAGTTGATAGTTTGACGTCTCTTTGAATTAACGCTATGCCTTCCAAGTTCATTTACCCGCCTTGGCTCAGGCACAGCCCCAATCCCTTGATTTTCAAATCGCCCAAGCCCAATCATGATGTTGGGCATACATTCGCCTTGCTACCATTTGCGTGTGTTGTCGGGCCCCCAACGGGGAGGTTGGAGGCCCCAGCACAGAACGTGATGCTGCCAGAGTATGCTGGCTCGCGAAATATTCCGACTCCCTTGACGAGCTCGGCCCAGGACATTGGGGGATTTCTGCATGTGGGTTACGCTGACGGCTGGTTTGAACTTCCGGGGAGGGACCATGGGTTTGGCATTCGGCAGGGACACAGACGACTCGAATGTCGGCATGGTTCGACCGGGCGACTTCGTACGGGAAGGGTTACCCCGAATGAGTTTTGCCTCCCTTCTGATATCTAATTACCTGGTAGCTATCGGGCCAGCCACGGGATTATTTACATGGAAGAGGTTCGGTACAGAACGGGACTCGGAGTGTAAACGAGCCTTGTTGTCCGCCTCTTCGATTGTTGTTTTCTTCTGAATATTGCTACCTACCTTATTGCTACCTAGGTAGGTAGCCGTGGGTGCCGCGAACTGCCAGTCTGCAACACCCCTCCCCTCATTCGGCCCGGGTCAGGTATCATGGGGCTGTGTAGAGCAAATGTGACCAGGTGCAGAAAAATATGAACGGAACGGATCCCGATTCATCGGATGAGCCTTTGAGAATTCAAGTTAACGACAAATTTCTTGTAGGCACGAGATCCTACTCTCAGCCATAGAACATCTCAAGCATTGCTGCAGTGAATCCGTCGGCGGCCTCCGCACTTGGACCAACCACGTGTCACTCCCAGCCTGAAGAGGTGCTCTAGCCAGACACTCAGAACCTCTGCTTCAGACTACCTACCTAGTTACTCAGCCCACTCTCTAATTACACGAGACTTTTGCCTTGTGTTTTGAGCAGTCGCGGGTTTGGTGTTGCGTGGGGGGTAAGGTGAAGTGTGGATTTCGGCTCCGCATTAACAACATCCCGGTCCGCACAACAGCGACGTGACCTGCCCCGCCATGTGCCCGCCCGACCTCACTTCGCCCGTCGTCGATTTTTGACCGGCCAGCACTCCTCCTTTACCCAACGCAACCCCAATGTCGTCAGGTACCTATTGACGCCAGTGCAATGTGAAGGAGGATTTCGCTTACCGGTTTCTGGATTTTTTGACTGCTCGGTCGGTCGCCTCCGTCGGTGGTGCCAAGATGTTTGGGTTGCCGCTTCGCGACCCCTGCACCGAGAAATGACTGGCTGTCGAGAGCCGGGCGGTTCGGCGGCTTGAATAACAAGCGCTTCGATGGGGGAGTTGATGGCAACGTATTGGTTTTGAGCGCAAGAAACAAAGAAGAGGCCTGTTCGAGAATCTATCTTTATATCCGCTCATTGTTACAGTTGCCGTCATGCGGCCTGTTCCTGGCCATCGTCCCTTTTATTGTGGCCATGTGCCCGCTCCATTGTTGCTATTGTTCTGCCACTTTACTTCTCCTCCCATCTTCATCTTTTTCCATTGTCACACTTAGAGTCATGCATCGATAGGCGTATGGGTCATTCCTGTGCTTGAGTTCGGCATTTCTTTTCCTTCATTTTTATTCCTCTTCTGTTTCCTACATCACGTAGCTGGTCTACAATTACATCCACAACACCAACACCACTTCCTAATTCGGTAATCACCGGCCACCCATTAAGACAACACCAACACATTTCATTCGCCCTTCCCACGGTTTACCGCATCATGTTCTACAACGAAAAGACGGGGGCAGTGCCTCCAGTACCTTCAAATCTCAACGCCAACACCTGGCATACAGTCGACCTCAACCTCCGGTCCGCTCCCCAGCTTCAGCCGCACGCCCACACCGCGCCAACCGTCACCCCCTACTTGGGGCTCCGAGCAAGACTCTCACAGCTCTGGTTCAACCGGTGGACCATCCTCCTCATCCTCGTCCTCGTCCGGGTCCTCATCCTGACCGCCGGCCTTAACGACAACATCGGCGATGCTAAGGTCAAGGCCCTGTCGGCATGCACCAAGGTCGAGGACATCGGCAGTGCCATGGCGTCCATGCCGCACTACCTCTCGGTAGGCGTCAACTCAATGGCCTCCGAAGGAATCACCACGGCTGTGTCGGGTATGGTAAAGATGTTGATGATGATTTTGACGGGCGTCGAAAACCTTATCCTCTTCATCATCAATATGTACGTCGGGACGTACGCATGCCTTATTGCGGCTTTGATCCACGGCGGCCTAGACGTTTCGGTCAAGGTCGTTGAGGGCGCCACCAAGGTCATGAACGATGCCATCGGTACAATTACCGGCCAGATTACCGAGTCCATCTCCGACGTCCAGAGCACCATCAACGACATTCCCAACAAGATATCCAACTTCCTAGGTGGTGTCGACTTGAAGCTCCCCAAGATCGATATTGGCAAGAGCCTGGAAGACCTTGAAAACATCGAGATCAACAGTAACGAGCTCGTCAAGGATATCGTTGCCCTCAATAAGACGATCCCGACTTTCGACCAAGTTGAGAATTTCACTAAGAATGCAATCGCCATCCCTTTCAACTTCCTCAAGGAGCAGGTAAACAGCAGTTTCGGCTCGTACAAGTTCGACGACTCCGTCTTTCCCGTGGCCGAGAAACAGGCGCTCTCCTTTTGCTCGAACAACAGCTTTCTCAACGACTTCTTCGAAACGCTGTTCAACATTGTCCGTACAGCTAAGATTGCCTTCTCCGTCGTTATCCCCATCTTAGCCGTCCTGGCGATTATCGGTATGGGATATATCGAGATCCGGCGCTGGCGGAGGGAGAAGCAGCGCTCTCGCGAGTTCACCGAGCGCGGCTACGATCCTATGGATGTTGTCTATCTTTCCTCGAGGCCGGTGACGGGCGGGGTCGGGTTGTGGCTGTCGGCCAAGTTCAAGACTGTGAAGAAGCAGCTCCTCGTCCGGTGGACGATTGCGTACGGGACTTCGCTGCCTGCCTTGTTCGTCCTCTCGCTTGCTTTCGCCGGCCTCTTTTCTTGCCTTTGCCAGTTCATCATCCTGCGGGCCATCCAGCAGGAGGCCCCCGCACTGGCCAACCAGGTCGGAGACTTTGCTGGAGATGTCGTCGGGACGCTCCAGCAGGTGTCGACGAACTGGGCCGATGACGCCAATGGGGTTATCATCAAGCTCCAGGACGACATCAACGACGATATGTTCGGCTGGGTCAACAACGCCACGACGTCCGTCAATAACACGCTCAACACGTTCGACGAAGAGATCGACAAGGCCATCACAGCCGTTTTCAAGGACACTATCCTATTCAATACAGCGCGCAACCTGGTCGGCTGCCTTATCACGCGCAAGATCGAGACGGTACAAGAGGGCCTCACCTGGGTCCACGACAACGCGCACGTCACGCTCCCGCTCTTTGCCAACAATGTCTTCTCGCAGGGCGCCAACAATAGCGTCAATGGCGACAGCGACCTGACCAGCTTCTTGGCCTCCCCGTCAACCGTCACCACCGACGAGATCACCTCGGCCGTCAACCAGGTCATTACCAAGCTCGAGAACGGCATCGTACAGGAGGCCCTGATCTCTACCGCGCTCCTATTAGTTTACGTCATCGTCGTCCTCTCCGGCGCCGTCCGCGCCCTGGCGGCGTCGGCGCAGAAGGAGAAGACACGGGCCGAGGGGGGCGAGCAGTACGGCGTCAAGGCGCCCCCCAGCCGCGGCAGCAGCAGCGCGAGCAGCGGGGACAGCGACGACCACCACCACGGCCACGAGCGCGACCCTAGCGACTTTGAGCGCAAGGGCGTCATCTACGCCGGCAGCGTCAAGAGGGGGCGGCCGGGACCAGAGCAGTGGCCGTCGCACGCCAGGAAAAGCAGTTACCCGGAGGTGGAAGGCCCAGACCGCTAGAGGTCGTCTGTGGCACGCCCGCGTCGTGACTCGAGTCCGCGGTCGGTAGGCGATGGATGGGACTTGTCGATGCCGCCGCCGCCGCCAAAGTACTCGCCGGTCTAGCTCTGGGTGGGATTGGATAAGACGGCGGATAATTAATTGCTTCGTTGCAAGTGCGCGTTCCTTTTGTTTTTCCGGTAGATGAATAGATACCCGTTTAATTTGGAATGACGTTTTGACTTTGGCCTGTCATCCCGCGCCGCGTTTCCCGTTTCGTGATGCGAGTTGGGTTGGAGGGGCCCTCCGGATAAGTGTTTACCAGCCCCTGTCCCCTACCTGAGCTCCCCTGCATCTCGAACGACAGCACCTGCAACGTATTCGTACGCGACTTCGTACCTCCAGATGGAGTTATTTGGGTGTGCGCTTTCATGGACCGGGCAGTTCGTGGCAAAGTAAGACCAACATGGCCATAGACACAGTTCAATGGAACGAAATGACACAATTCCATGGCTCGAAAATCATCACGTTCGGGTCTCTCATCGTCATCCTCTCTCATCCTCCGTGTTTGGACTCCGCTTACGTAGTGCCAGGTAGTGCCATGGTGCTGCATTCAAGAGGCTCAGCTGGAAAAGTGTCATCAGCTCCCGTCCCCTTACACGGTGTCTCGGAGATCGTACTACGGCGCTAAATAGTGCTCGGTGGTCAATTCTGACATGTGAGGTACCCAGGGTTGGTGGTGGTCCACAACCTGGAACGTTCTGTCCGCGCACTGTCGGTAAGCTGTCCTGTCATCCTGCAGGTGCACAGCGTGCGCAGGTGTTCCAAGGGCAGGCGCTGTGGAGCCGGGGTGGCGGCGGGCAATGCGGGGTCCGACGCCAAACAAAAACTTATACCAGTGAAAGTGACTCAAACCCTGCCCCTCGCCTCTTCCACCCGAACGTCTGCGAGTATTTGAAACGCCGTGCCTCGACAAAGAGTTCGCTCGAGTTGTCCCCAACACATTGCACTCTTCTCCGTTACATCACTTTGCTGTGCAACGAGGCCAACGATTCCCAGCAACCCAATTGACTGCCATTGCCCATCATGGAGGCACTCAAGCAGACATTCCAACGTTGCAAGGCCCAAGGCCGGGTAAGCAATTGCCCCGCCATCCATCGCCGCTTCACCTCGCGCTGTTCAACACCCGCAAGCAAAAGCAAAGAGTTGCTAACCAAGATGTTGGTGTAGGCTGCGCTCGTTACCTATGTGACCGCCGGCTATCCCACGGCCGAGTCCACCCCGAATGTCATCCTTTCCATGGAGAAGGGCGGCGCCGACGTCATCGAGCTGGGCGTGCCCTTTACAGATCCCATTGCCGATGGCCCAACCATTCAGACTGCCAACACCGTGAGTCTCTCGATACCTTGCTCCGAATAATAATAATGTGGCATTGGGATTCTGACCATCGAATTCCTGGACGATAGGTTGCTCTCGAAAATGGAGTCACGATCGAGTCGACCTTGCAGATGGTCCGCGATGCCCGGAAGCTCGGCGTGCGTGCGCCCATCCTTTTGATGGGCTACTACAACCCGCTGCTGAGCTACGGCGAGGAGCGCCTTATGAAGGACTGCAACGAGGCTGGTGTTAATGGCTTCATCGTCGTTGACTTGCCCCCGGAGGAGGCCATCTCCTTCCGCAAGTGGTGCACCCTTGGAGGGTATGTCTCCTTCCCATCTTAATATCCAGAAGAACAAAGTTCTAACGATCGTCATTCCCAGGCTCTCTTACGTGCCTCTGATCGCGCCGGCGACCTCGGACGCGCGCATGCGCATTCTCTGCAAGCTAGCCGACTCGTTTATCTACGTCGTATCCCGCCAGGGTGTCACGGGCGCGCTCGGCACTATCAATGCCAACCTCCCGGAGCTACTCTCCAGGGTCAAGAAGTATAGCGGCGACAAGCCCGCGGCGGTCGGCTTCGGTGTTAGCACTCGGGAGCACTTTGTGTCCATTGCGCAGCTTGCCGACGGTGTGGTGGTCGGCAGCATGATTGTCACCACCCTGCAGAAGGCTGCCAAGGGCGAGGAGTACAAGGCCGTGCAGGACTTCTGCTCTTACCTTTGCGGTCGCACCGCCTCTCCCGAGGATGAGACTACCCGCGAAGTCGGCATCATCGAAGCCGTCTCCGCCGCTAGGGGCCCCACCGGCGAGGCCCACGTCGATGGTGTTGTCACGGATACCGATGATCTCGTCGCCCAGCTGGCGGCCATGCACGGAAAGATCCCTGAGCGGTTCGGCGAGTTCGGCGGACAGTACGTCCCCGAGTCGTTGATGGACTGCCTGTCGGAGCTCGAGCAAGGCTTCGACAACATCAAGGATGACCCCGCGTTCTGGGAAGAGTACCGGTCCTACTACCCCTGGATGGGCCGCCCCGGCCAACTGCACAAGGCTCAGCGGCTGACGGATCATGCGGGCGGTGCTAACATCTGGCTCAAACGCGAGGACCTCAACCATACCGGTTCCCACAAGATCAACAATGCGCTGGGCCAGCTTCTCCTCGCCCGCCGCCTGGGCAAGACCAAAATCATCGCTGAGACGGGCGCGGGCCAGCACGGTGTTGCCACCGCTACGGTGTGCGCTAAGTTCGGCATGGAGTGCACGGTATACATGGGTGCTGAGGACGTCCGCCGCCAGGCTCTCAACGTATTCCGTATGAAGCTCCTCGGTGCCAAGGTTGTTGCCGTCGAGGCTGGCAGCCGCACGCTCCGCGACGCGGTCAACGAGGCCCTGCGTGCCTGGGTCGTCAATCTCGAGGACACCCACTACATCATTGGCTCCGCCATTGGTCCCCATCCCTTCCCCACCATCGTCCGGACGTTCCAGTCGGTGATTGGTAACGAGACCAAGGCTCAGATGCTCGAGAAGTGCGGCAAGCTCCCCGATGCTGTCGTGGCATGTGTCGGTGGCGGTAGTAACGCCGTGGGCATGTTCTACCCGTTCAGCAACGATCCGACCGTCAAGCTTCTCGGCGTCGAGGCCGGCGGTGACGGCATCAACACGGACCGCCACAGCGCAACCCTCGCGGCGGGAAGCAAGGGCGTGCTCCACGGTGTGCGCACCTACATCTTGCAGAACGAGCACGGCCAGATCAGCGACACCCACTCCATCTCGGCCGGCCTGGACTACCCCGGCGTTGGGCCGGAGCTGGCTAACTGGAAGGACACAGACCGCGCTAAGTTCGTGGCTGCTACCGATGCCGAGGCCTTCATCGGCTTCCGCCTGATGAGCCAGCTCGAGGGTATCATCCCTGCGCTGGAGTCTTCCCACGGTATTTACGGTGCCATGGAGCTCGCCAAGACCATGCGGAAGGACCAGGACATTGTCATCTGCCTGAGCGGCCGTGGCGATAAGGACGTGCAGAGCGTTGCTGACGAGCTGCCCATTCTTGGCCCCAAGATTGGCTGGGACTTGCGCTTCTAAGGGTAACACGTTGGCGGGAATATAGAGCTTCATCCTTGGAGATTATCTTGCGGATCTGGAGTGATTTGACCAACATGGTAGCATAGACTCATAGAGAGAGGCCTGAATAGACCACATTTCTGGTGTAATTTGTGTGCCGGGTGACATGTTAGAGGTTCTGTCTGCGTGATATATGGGTCCAGTTTTGACTTTTTATATTGACGGTATCTCGGTCCAGGTCACCGATCTGTACCTGCATATCCTCGGTGTCAACAACTGGAATGCTGCGGCACGTTTACACATCAAGAATACAATATGGTACAATTCTTTTAGATACGCCCTGCAATGCCAGACAATGCTAGACCCGCCGTCTCGTTTGAGGCTCCTCTACTGCGTCGGCTTCTCTTCCTTCATGAACCCGTCCTCGGCCCCCTCGGCCGCCTCCGCGTCGAGCTCAAACTCGGCCTCCTCCGCGAGCATCTTGTCCGTCTCCGCCATCAACGCCTCCCCGACGGCCGTCCCGTCCGTCAGCGGCTGCATGGCCTCCATCCTCAGCTCCTCGTCCTCCTTGGGCGGCAAGCCCAGCGCCTCGCGCTCGGCGGCGAAGCGGGCGCGCACGGCGGGGGTCTGCATGAGGCGCCAGCGCAGCTTCCAGCCCCAGGGGCCGAGGTCGCGCACGCGGCGGGCGGTGCGGCCGAGCAGGTACTCGTCGAGGCCGCCGGCCTTGTCGACGGTGCGGAGCACGCGGGCGGTGACGCGGGTGCGCACAAAGACGCCCAGCGCCGCCGACCACAGCCGCTTGTGGTGCACGTTGGGCCGCCACTGCCGCCGCGTCTTGACCTGGTGCCGCTCCGACACGTTGTTGCCGAACCGGATCCGCGCCGTCCCGTACAGCCCCGTGTTGGACTGGTGGTATACCTGCCGCGGCCCGTAGGGGTATGGCGGGATCTCGTGCTGCGGTGCCGTTACCGATGGGATCGGTAGGTCCGACCCCGGCACCCGCGGTTGTTTGTATAGTGTCGGTGCTGTCGTCGTGAGGGTTCTTGTTGCGAGGTGGGGGGGAGAGATCGTCGCTGGCCTCGACGCCGCCCGGAGGCAGGTTTGTATGGGGAGTGTTGGTGGCATCGTGAGGAGCTGTATATTTTGGTAGATGGTGGCTCGGTGCTATGATGGTCGCATTGGTGAATCGTGGGGTGCGAAGAAGAGAGAGCCTGGCTCGATTGACCCCCTCGTCGAGTAATTCCGCAGCCTGGGACCCAGTAAGCAAGCAGCTCCGGCGACGGCAGGTACGTTCAAGTCAAAATTTCGACAGGCTCAGAATCGGCCATGAGGTGCCAGGTGGAGACTGGGCATTGTCAGCTGGCGGCTCGTTGAATTGCTGGGAGAGTGGTCACATGCTTTCGTGGAGCATCCTGGCGCGAATCTGCCGCCCAATGGTGGGGGACGCGACAACCAGAAAGAGACGGTCCACCGCCAACCCCGACAAATCCAACCTAGCACTGCAGCTTGCATCATGCTTCCTCCAGTGGACAGCACAGTTCTGCAAAGTAATCCCGAGTTTGCGTCTCTCTATTCCAAACTCACTAACTCGGTTCTCAATCCCGATGCATCAACTAAAAATGGCCCCTCCACCAAGCAACGCAGAGCGGTGACAGAGGTGAGTTGGTGGTCGAGCAATTATTGGGAGAAGGCATCGTCGAATTAACTTTACCGGCAGGAGTTGAACGAATACCGGCTCCATGCTGCCAAGCAACATTTACTTACCGATGCCATATCCAATGCGAACCCCCAGTCGCTACAAGTCACACACGCCCCGGCGCCATCATTAACAAGGCGACCACGGCCGCAACAGCAAACGACAACATCGACGCCGCTTACAGAACTACCACCAGCACTCCTCGACCTTCTCCTCCTTCTACCACCCCTTCTCAATAATGTGCAGTCCGAGTTGACACCGGACTCAACGGCTCTGTTACTCTCCAGCCCGCCACTGTCCGACTTCCCAACCCACCTGCCGCAACTGGCGCGGCTCGTCTCCACCACCCTCCACACCTCGGCCGTGCACCTCGCGCGAACAGCCAACCCGTCAACAAACCCGTCCTACGTGCACCGGTCGGTCCCTACCCTCCCGACCCACGCCGCGTCGCTGGCGGGCACGATCGCCGAGCGCAAGGCCGAGCTCACGCGGGCGCGGGTCGCGGCCGCGGGGGAGCTGACAGCACTCTTGCGGGACCAGACGGCGGTGCTGGGGCAGCTGCTGCGGGCGCTCGAGGCCAAGCACGGGCCGATCGCGCGGTCGCTCGAGTTCCGGGCGACGGAGGCGGCGCTCACGGCGCAGCGGCAGGAGGCCGAGGCCGAGGCGGCGCTGGGGGCGGCCCGCCGCGACACGTACACGCCCGAGGCGGCGCGGGCGCTGGCCAGCTACGCGAGCCACCTGCGCGACGCCAGGGGCCGGCTGGCCGAGGCGGTCCACACGCGCCGCGGGGAGCTGGAGGCGTACGGGGTGGTGGAGGTGGCGGCGGGCGGGGAGGGGGACACGGCGGGGGTTGGTGCGACCCGAGGTGGCAAGGAGAAGGTCATGAGGGAGATGGCGCGGGTGTATCGTGACATGGGCCGACAGGTGGAGGAGGTGAGGAGTGACCTGGAACGACTGGGGCGGGCGTGATACCCGGTACAGGCGCACATTTTGGTTCATGAGACGTTGAGCAAAGGGCACCCGAAGTGAGCTGACGCGTCGTGTGTATGGTACAACCACTCCGCCACCGAAGGCAACATCGCATTCTTCCTCTATCGTTTTGTGCATCCGGGGACGCGTCCAACGGACTTTTCTACGTACACCGTGTATCAATGCTCCCAAATAGGCGTACAGTCTAACGACGCGAGACGGGACGAGACGTCCATGCAACACAAGACGGGAGGAAGAGATCAAGCCAAACACAGAAAACCCAGTCAGTCAGTCAGTCAGTCAGTCAGAAAGCCGGCCAGCCATCCATCCATCCACCCATTACTCCGAGTCCTCCTTCCCCCTCTTTCCACCCCTTCTACCTTTTTTTGTTTAACCCTTAACCTTGAAGATGGCCTCGGCCAGGCGGCCGACGTTGTCGGAAGTGATGCCGGCGACCGAGATACGGCCGTCGCGGGTGGCGTAAACGCTGTGCTCCTTGGCCAGCTGGTCCATCTGCTCCGGGGTCAGGCCGGTGTAGGCGAACATGCCGATCTGGCTGGTGATGTGGCTCCAGTCGTGCTTGGAGCCGAGGCGCTCGAGGTTCTCCTTGAGCAGGGCGCGCATGGTGATGATGCGGTCGGCCATGGCCTTGACCTCGACCAGCCACTGGTCGTACAGAGCCGGGGTGTTGAGGATCTCGGCGGCGATGCGGGCACCGTGGATGGGCGGGTTCGAGTACAGCGGGCGCACCAGGATCTTGATCTGCGAGTCGACGCGCTTGCGCTCCTCGGCGTCGGCGCACACCATGGAGAAGGCGCCGATGCGCTCGCCGTACAGGCCCATGTTCTTGGCGAAGGACTGGGCCAGGCAGATGTTGTGGCCCTGCGCGACGAAGTGGCGCACGGCGAAGGCGTCCTTGTGGATGTCGCCGCTGGCGAAGCCCTGGTAGGCCATGTCGAAGAAGGCAAAGTGGCCCTTGGCCTTGACGGCCGCCTCGATCTGCTTCCACTGCTCCTGCGTGGGGTCGACGCCGGTGGGGTTGTGCGCGCAGGCGTGGAACAGGAACACGCTGCCGTTGGGGGCCTTGTTGATGTCGGCGACCATGCCCTCAAAGTCGAGGCCGATGGTGTCCTTGTTGTAGTAGGCGTACTTCTCGACCTGCAGGCCCGCGTCCTTGAAGACGGCCGCGTGGTTGGCCCATGACGGCGTCGGGATGTAGATAGTCTTGCTGCCGGGGAAGAAGCGCTGGATGAAGGCGCCGCCGATGCGCAGAGCACCGGTGCCCGAGATGGACTGGGTGATGGCCAGGCGGTCGAGGGCCGAGCTGTCCTTGCCGTAGGCGAGCACGGCGGCCGACTTGCTGAACTCAGGTACGCCCGTGATGCCGGCGTACTCCTTGTTCAGGCGCGACTCGATCACCTTCTGCTCGGCCTGGCGCACAGACGGGAGCACATAGGGCTTTCCCTTGTCATCGCGGTACGCGCCAACGCCTGTAAAACGGAGCACCGCGTGTTAGCTGTTGCGACGGGGATCCGACAGGGGCGGCAGGGATCGCTGGAGATCGCACGAACCGAGGTTGATCTTCTTCTCGAACGAATCGGCCTTGAAGGCTTCCGTGATGCCTGCGCAACAACAACCGTTAGTTTCCCGTACTGCCTCGACTTGAAACCAGGAGCGAGCGGTGCGCCCGCCGATGCGCCCGCCAATGTTTGCACATACCGAGAATGGCCTGAGAAAAAGCCGCAAATGTCGCTGGTTAGCAAGTCACGGTCCAATGCAGCTCTGGCAGCTTGGACAAGACACCTACATCCTGTGACAAAGTTGGTCAGTCCGTCGCACAAATACACAAATCACAATTCAATGGGGTTTTCTTTTTAGGTTTGACGTACAGGAGGACCCTGCGGGACATTGGCCCATGTAGACGCAGCGCGAACCGCCGCAAAGTTCCGGGTCACTGCCGCCCGCCGCGACGCAATTCTGAGGGAGGAAAGCATCGTTTTTGCGAATAGAGCGGAGGGGAGGAGGGTATGAATCTCCAGAGGTTTGTCTGAGGGAAAAGGGACGGGAACGAGCCAGAGGCAATTCAGGTCAGCGTGGCTCGCGTGGTCATGACAAGCGCCTGCTCCCCTCGGTGCAGTGCAGTCACTGTGGGGCTGACGTTGGCGTTGGTGGCCTGCCAGTGTCATAAGCGGGGCACAAAAGTTTCAACTCACACTGGTTGGCCAATTGGCAAAATTGCCCGGGACGGAGGCTGCGGAGCGCCTTCCCGCACTGCCCGACCTCGGCCGAACAGCGCCCGATTCAGACAGAGCAAACGTGGGGGAAGCATGGGGAGGCACGGGGAGGCACTGAAAAGTGACGCTCAACCCTAACCCGTGTCGCCGTTCACCGAAAATTGACGGCCCAGACTCACAAACCCCTCGCACCCCCAATCGAAAGCGACGTCAACTGAGGGTTTTTTCCCCTCAGGCAGATCACTTACCTCCCCGCTAAACCCGAGCGTTCGAGTGGCTTTTCGTATATGTACTCCCCAAGGGCATACATTTCCCTCATAATCATGAACTGCGTGGTGTTCGACGTGCGTGAAAGCACACCCAACCCGTCCACGTCGAAGTTTTTTTTAGTTTTAGTACCAAGTCGCTTGGTCGAGTTATTTGGGCTGTGTGGTTCTCAGTCTTGAGCGCATCATTGGAGCGGGTCGAGCGGGTGAAGACTGTGGGCGTGGGACGGGGCCCCTTGCCCCTCCAGCTGTGCCCCGCCGGGCCATCATGTTGCTGACCCACAGCTCACCCCCATCCCCTGTCCCCGGACTTTCCACCCCTTGCCACCAAAACGCAACGCCGCAAACACCAAAACTCCAACTGCCGAGTTAACTCCGTTGAGTTGAGTTGTGTGATGTGATGGATGTTGACGTCTGACGCGCCTCGCCCGCGAAATAATACCAGTGAGATGCTGAGATGACCTAGGTACCTAGGTCCAAGGTCATCCAAGTCGAGACCCTTGAGGTTGCGGACCTAAGGAGAGTTGTCACAAACAACTTGAACAACTTGAACAAGTGACGTCTCTCTGTTCAACACAGCAGTACCATGTCATGACTGGGTTCCCAAAGTACCGAGAGCACAGATCGAGTTGTTGGCATCAAGGAGATAGTATCATCTCACCTTCACAGTGATGGCAGCAAGCCTCTTCGTGGTGAACTTAATGACGCCCAGCGTCTCGACGTGTGACAGGAAGGGGAAGAGGGAAAGCAGGCATATGTTGTGTCTCAACATTGTGAACCATATATGAGGTTCGGCCGCCAGACTTCCCCCTTGCCTGGATCGTTCCCACCGCCTCATCTACGTTAACACCCAGTGTTTTAACCCTTTAACTTGGTTGACAAATCGCCATCGTCTTCGGCCGCACGATTTTCCCCCTCATACGCAGGAAAGGCTGACCTTGGAACTTATCCCAGATGGCTCTGTTCTTTACCACCCTAGTCCTTGCCGTCTCCGCCGCGGCTCGGGGTATCACCGAAGCCCCATCGGCGATAACGCCAGTCGCAAAGGCGGATTGTACCTTGACCAGCTCCATACCAGCGTGCGGTGTAAGTCCAAACCCAAATCGAGAAACCTTTTTTCCACTTACGGCCGCCCTGGATACTGACACTACATCGCTTTCTCCCCCAGATTGGGTGTCTCGTTTCTGCTGGCAGCGCTGCCGGCTGCCCCGACGCACTGGACCTCGCCTGTCAGTGTAAGGCCGCCACAGAGATTCGCTCTCTCGCCTCTAGCTGTGTTACAAGCGCGTGCGGTGAAGAGGTTGGCTCCACGGTCGAGTCCGTGGCCGATGCCATATGCACCGTATGTACCGTCTAGCCTGTAGTCAGGGGGGATGATGGGCCGTCATGGGCAAAGCCGGTGTCTTTTGTACAGGCTACCCGAGTGGTGCCTGCTATGCATCGATGTTGAGTCATTTTAAGTTGAAATACGATTTTGATATTCTGCTTAGCTCGCTACCGGGGGACTGAGGCTATGGTTAACAGAGGCTCCCACGGGCTCAGAGACAGTCTATCGGCAAGTGAAGAGAGGAAGGTAAACCACATCTGGATTTAAACTGGGACCCCAAAGTCACTTTCTCAACAATAAGCAAAATGCAACGCTAAAACGACCGTCTTGTCCTGTTGCTCTCTCCAAGTCAGCTCCCGTGGATGCAGTAAATATTATCCTGAGTTGCACTCATTGATCGTAAACCGAATTCCCGAGTATTATCAGAAAGTTAGATGAAGGCGAGCGTATGATGATGGTGTGGATGGTTGGGAATATCCTTGTTCACCACATGATTCAGGGGAGGTTTGCTGCGACGAAGAGCTGAGAAGTTGGAACCCCTGAGCTCCTCTTTGCCAATACGGTGAATAGAGTTGGACTTTAGGTCCTTAACACCGGTTTCGGGTTCCACCTCTCTAGCTTCTCCCAGCGGCCAAGTCGCCCTCGAAACTCCACCGAAAGAGATAGAGTTTGCATCGCGATGCCCACAATTATTAAGCGGCATGGAGTGTGGAAACGGACTTAGTGGAATTGGTTTGACAAGTGTCTCGAAATCTCTGTGGATTCTTGCCTGCTCGTCTCCATCACGGCAGTTAGATGGGGTGGCGTTTAGGAGTGTTTGTCGATTTGTATATCTTTGCGTCTTTCCCTCCCCCTTCACAACAACCTAACACAGCTTGAATACACCAACGAACCATCGAATTACCAACACACCAAGACCACATCATCAACTCATCATGTCTTCAACCGATTACAAGTTTGAGGGGTGGTTGGGCCTCGACAAGTCCGCGGCCGAAGGGAACATGAAATGGGCCGAGTTCGAACCCAAGCCGTGGGAGGAGACCGACGTTGACATCAAGATCACACACTGCGGAATTTGCGGTAGTGATATCCACACTCTGCGAAGTGGCTGGGTATGCTCATCTCATCATCTCGTGACACGATAGTCGGGTTTCGCTAACCTCATAACAGGGCCCAACCAAGTACCCCTGCTGTGTCGGGCATGAGATCGTCGGCACCATCGTGCGTGTTGGCTCCAAGGTGGAGGGCGGCCTGAAGCTCGGTGACCGCGTTGGTGTTGGTGCACAAAGCGATTCGTGCCAGGGCCGCAAGGGCGACTGCGAAGCCTGCGCGTCAGGAATGGAGAACTACTGCGGTGTTCACCACGTCGGCACCTACAACGGCGTCTACCTCAACGGCGGGAAGTCCTACGGCGGGTATGCTCTCTACAACCGGGCCCCCTCGCGTTTCGTCGTCAAGATTCCGGACGCCATCAGCTCAGCCGACGCGGCACCGATGCTCTGTGGTGGTGTGACTACGTATGCGCCCCTGAAGCACCACGGCGCGGGGCCCGGAAAGACGGTCGGCATCATCGGCCTGGGTGGTCTGGGCCACTTTGGCGTCATGTGGGCTAAGGCCCTGAAGGCGGACAAGGTCGTTGTCGTTTCCCGGACGTCGGCTAAGAAGGAGGACGCGCTCAAGATGGGGGCTGATGATTTTATCGCCACGGCCGAGAACCCTGACTGGGCCAAACAGCACGCCTCGACCCTCGACGTCATCGTGTGCACTGTATCGTCGTCCTCGATGCCCCTGATGGAATACCTGTCTTTGCTACGCTTCGATGGGACGTTCGTCCAGGTTGGAGCCCCCGAGGATGGCCTGCCGACGATCCAACAATTCCCCCTCATCTTCAAACGCCTGAAGATCACAGGCTCGTTGATTGGGTCCCCGGATGACATCAGGGAGATGTTGGCGCTGGCTGTGGAACAGAAGGTCAAGCCCTGGATTCAGGAGGTTCCGATGAAGGAAGCCAACAAGGCGATTGTCGACATGGAGGCTGGAAAGCCGAGATACCGCTCCGTCCTGGTCAATGAGCAGCAGGGAGCATCGCAGGTTAGAGCGGGATTGTAAACAGCAACCACGCTCAATGGTGTGTGTATATATGTACATATGACGATAGGACGATAGACCGTACATAAGCACCTCGAGTTGACACCCCCCAAACTCCGGAGAACCTGTCACTCTGTACGTTGGTACACCCATAACGGAGCCCGAAGGGCGAAGGAGACCTCGGATTATAAACCCCTTTTTATGCTGTAGCATTACTGCAACCCTTGGGTATCTTTGCGCAAAAGGGGACACAGCCTATTTAACTAGGCTCCTGGTATCTATGTCGAATCCCTGCCCAAAATGTAGACCTTCATACATAAGTTCCCTCCAGCTAGTAACATGCGCCCATGCCCACGACCCTGAGACAAGAAACTACCACTGCCCATGCTTAAAATAGCATGACAGCAGCAGCCAGACCGGCGACGCCAGCAACAGCGGAAAGATATCTCGGGGAGCCCGCGGCAGCGTTCTCAAGCGCCTTGTTGTACCGGTTGACGGCGTTGGTGCACTGGGGGACGTCGGTGGCAAGGGCAAGTTCCAAGCCGGCGCCGAGTATGCCGGCGGGGCCGTTGTCGGTGCACTGGGCGGCAACGCTGCTGATTGTGGGGGCGGCGCTGGATTGCCAGCTGTTGAGCCGGCTGCTGTAGCTGCTCCAGGAGCTCGACAGCGACTCGGGCGGGGTGGGGGAGCTCGTCACGGCCTGGCAGAGCTCGTCCCCGTTGTCGATCCTGTTTCCCTCGTCCAGTGCGCTCTGAACGATCTGGAAAGCGTCGTGTTCGGCGACCCAGCTCCCAAGAGCGCCAGTGGGGACAGGCGGCATATTGCTCGCGATGCTTGCGGCCCCCTTGGCGCATTCCGCCTCGTCGCGGGCCATCAGCGGAGCACCAGTCACGGCTGGACCTGGGTGGGCCACCGCCGAGACCGAGGCAGCGAGAACGAGGGTGATGAGGGCGGGGGTCTGCATTTTGAAGGAAGGCTGTATATGCGCGGATTGGGATACTTCTTCGGCGTTGGGCTGCTGGACTTTTCTCGACTGGAGCGGATATCAACGAATAAATGAGGTGTTGAGTTGCAGGATGGGATATGAGAGGATTCAAGTCGTCCCAGGTATGGTTTTAATATTTAACGTGAACCCCTGCTTTTGAGAATGGGGGGTGGGCTGAGCAAGTTGGCGCTCTGCGTGGCTGAGAGCTCTGCTGCCCCTGATGCCCTGTAAATCCACGACTGGTGCCTTGCTCTGGAGCTTGCCAAGAAGATCAGCCACTTTCTGCCCCGTCGATTCGTGCCTGGGGCTGGCAGAGACCGGCTGTGCCAACAAGATCATCCTCAACAGACGTCACGTGTACATCCACGACGTATATACAAGCAGTCGGTTGGCAAGCTGTGCAAGCCTCACGTCAGCTTGCCGAGAGGTTGAAGCCATTCCACCTCAGCCATGAGCCACTCCGAGAACCATTTGGTTTGTTGTTCAAGAACTCATTGGACGATGATCCGTCAGCGCTTGTGCAGGGATCGCAATCCTCCGCTTGAATCCAACCCAACGTGCCAAGGTGCCAACGGCCCCCAATTCAGTGAAGCACAATGGAGCCTCGACTCTCACCCCTCAAGTCTCCTCCATGAGTTCACCTTGACAGGTTGACAGGGGTGGTAGATATCAGATCGAGTAGGAAGGCGTAAGTTGGGCTGCCATTTTCTGATCTTTGGTTGCAAGGCATAGAATGTAGCTCACACTCACCTTTGTGGGGGTACCTACCGAGGTACTTTAGGTATGTATGTACGTGGGTACCTAGGTAGTTAATGCCCGGATTGACCATTTGATAGCTGAAAATTACCTATCGACGGACTTCGAGTTTGAAGTCGCCACCAATGACTACCGTAGCGGGAAAATCAGCTGGGCGGCATGCCTTACCAGGGCCAACGTACCTTGCCACAACATGCCTTGCCACGCCTCCCTACCAAACGGAACATCGTCGCTTCCAACTCAGCACAACCATGTATTCTCTTGCAAAGAAGGAGCATCAGTCATCATTCAAATCTAGTTTAGTCAAGTTAGTAGTTCAATTGATCATTTTTCCTCGTGCGTGCCCTCTGTTCGGTTCGTGAATGTGCCCATTTCTCTTCGTACCGTAATTCAATGTTCAAGTCCTTGGTGGTTGAGCAATTGATTCAGGGGCTTCAGAGCCTTAACAGGGGGCCGGTTGGCAAGGCATGTTGAATTGGCAAGGCATGTTGCTGTGGCATGTAAATCAATTGGGGCATGCCTTTCTCGCGCTAACAACCTACCTAGGCATGCCACCCCTTATAGAACCCCGCTGCGGTACCTAACGAACACAAACCACTAAATAGACGGGTGAACTTGTGACGCCGGATAGTAGACATGTCGGCAAGGTTAGTGGGGCGGCTTGCAGAATAAGGATTTGTTCTCAAATGTTGTGTGATGATAAAAGAGTCCTCCGTCTTTAGCCTCATGTAGAAAGTGCCTCCAATTACTGGTAATTATTAGCCTGACCGGCAGTGCGCGGTGATCACGTTTAGCGGGACCTTTTACGATTTACCCAGACTACTGCGCTCTCCTTCTCAACCTGTCTGGAGATGAGGGAGTAGGTCAAGAATAGAGGGAGCTGCGGTCGTTGAAAGCTGCTAGGGACGAGTCGTTATTTTCCCTTAGTTCAACCAGAAGTGCCGGATTCGTTCCTCGTACTTGAAAGTGATCTCGAAGTCATGATGGTGTGCCTTGTCAAATTTGTTGCTTTTGTTTTCGGGTTCTACGCCAATGCTTCCACGGCAGCATTCATTCAACACCGCCAGTACTGGCCGGATCCCGGGGCAGGGCCGAACACTCCTCAACAATGTACGGAAACATCCTTAACGAGTCCGACATGGGGCATTTACAGTCCTTCCCTGGTGGCGATCAACAGTTCCAGTGGTGGGACACAGGGCGATATTCGGTTTCTGACCGTCAACGCTGCGAGCGGCCTGACTGCGGAGTGCGCGGCAACCGACATCGATATCTACCCCAAGGGGGCCGCTCTAAACATATGGCACAATTGCAGTATACCAGAGCTGTTTGTCCAATTCGACCTTGAAAGTTTTGAAATGCGGCTCAGGGGAAGTTGGCAGTGTGATAATTCTTCGAGGTTCGTCATCCCCTGAAAGTCAGGAAAAACACGGAATTAACCGTTTGATTGCATTTACCATGCGCAGCATCGTCTTCACGGCAAACGGTACATGGGAGACCCCGCTCATCCAAGGCTGTTTCGACGAGGATACGCCTCGTGGACGCGAAACACTGTGTATCATGGGCAACTCCCAGGTTCCCTCCAGTCTCTCGAGCCCCGTGGCCATCCATCCGCAGTTGCCCCTTTTCCCATACACGCCCAGGGAGCGGGCTAAACGGTGCGTTGATAGATCATACGACCCGGAATGGCAGATCAACAACCTGCTGTATGAATACCATATGGTCGAAACGGACAACAAGACCTCGGTATACTACGATTTGCTTTTGTCAGTTATCAATCTTTCTAATGGGGAGAACACGGAATGCTCTATCACAGTGGACCTCCTGCAGCCCTCAATCCTCAACGGATCTGCTCCGTGGGTTGGTTGCCAAGGGACAAACGTGACCAACTCGTCCTCCACTCCCGCCACTTTTGACGTGATGATAGATAGGGACTACGGAATATTTGGAATTCGGGATACGTGGGAATGCTCAGACGGTGTTCCTGATGTCGAGGGGTAATTACCTACCCGACCTTCTCGCCCCTTTCGACTCACTGAGTGATGTCGGTGCTGCCACCTCCCTGCTTACTTCGCTACGTCTTAGGAACGAATTCAGTGGGATAGGATACACCAGTATTGATCTCGACTGCGGTAATCCCCGGAACCTGGCTGTATATGACAGTCAAGGTTTGGCTGTAGAAGCTTCGTCCGACTACAACTGCAGTTTGGCGACATCGCCGGCCACATTCACTGGGTACCGAGCTGAAGTTCCTCCAATACCGCACACGTATTACACACGGAGTTGCACCATCAACTCAATTTACAATACGACGACTATGGCCCTGCGAGAATATCAAATCGAGACTACCCCCCAGGACGATAACAACAACGAGGCATCCATTACTGGAACCTTTGGCCTCTACAACCCGGGTTCCGGGGATACATACAAGCTGTATCGGATCCCAGTGATAGACGACGGCGACTGGCATGAGTGCACGGCAGGCCTACGGGCCTTGCCCTGGCAACTGGTGACGTGCCAGTACATGCTAGACAGACGCAGTAACCGACTTGCGTTTCAAGTCCAGTGGTATTGTGATGACCGAGATGCGCGCAGCGCGTGAGTGCAACCCCCCCAAACGGAGTCCTTACCGAGATGCGTTGGAACACTCGGGTTGTACACCTCTACCGTGCTAACCAAAGCCACCAGAATTCTATTCGATGCGACAGTAGAGGAACAGCTACCGGTGGAAGCTTGCGAATTAGTTGATGGACGAGAAACTTGTGGTCTGCCAGTGGACGTAGCGGAGGTGGCCATGGCGGTATCTTCGTTGTCTTGGACCACATCTGGGAAAGCAATGGATATGGGTCCGACAATGCCATGGATCTAGCCCGGCACACCTCGGTATCAGAACTTTAGTTCTCTATCTGCCGTGATAGTGTCACAGTGTCTGTGCCTTGTCCCGGAATAGGTGCACCTCTCTGTGTATAGATACATGCCGTCCCCCTTCCTCCCCGGAGTTCTGAATAATGCAAGAAATCTCACGAATATGCAGAACTGTCCCAGCAACCTGTTGACTTCGAGTTGAGAGATTCGACCTTTTCGCCTTTCCGGGGGTTTCACCGCCAGACATACATACCTTACCTAAGTTGTGTCCGAGAGAGATTATCGAATACCCCTTTGGGCGAACCAAAAGAACCGGGGGTAGACGGTAGACGACCCGTTGGGGGCGGTATCTGCGGGAGGGTCGCAGCGTATCACGTCAGATTGGGGTTTCATTTTACCAAGGCTCCTGCTTGGTGGTTAAATACGGTTGATTGGCACTGGATTTCGGAACCGAGCCACCACCTTAGCCGGTCCGGGGGAGTCTCGCCTGTCAGGGGGGCAATGTGTTGGTTGCGAGCCGGTTGCGTTCCTCTCCTTCGTCAGTGAACGGGAGAACCAGAAAACGCGACTGTCTGGTTTCGGGACAGCCAGAGTTATTTGGACGTTGTATTAGCGGCTTGCCGCCGATGCAGGAGCATTAGCGAGACTCGCCCGTGCGTACAATAATAGTAGGATATTGTGTTTGGGGTCTGGAGCAGGAGAAATGAGGAGAGGTAGATGTTATGATAAAGGCGGTCTATTACGGTTCCCACAAGGGCAGCGTTCCTCACCCTCCCGCTGCGCGTTATTTGCCCATGATTGTTGCCCGGATTGCGGCCGACAAGACTTGTCACGTATCTCGCCATTCGTGACGTGTGAGTGAGTGCGCTGAATGATGGCTGAAAAGGAGGCAAGGGTCGGCATCGGGGGTTCCAGGGCGGATAATATCAACAACGAGGAACCACCGACGAAGGACAGTGGCTTGCGGAATAAAGCTGAGCGCTTGCATGAATTTAATGAGGCAGAGGGGTACATCATCGATATCAACGCGGATGATACGACCAAAACATTGGGGATTAAGCTTGCCGGGGATGGGCATACTGTCCTGATTCCGCAGCCGAGCGACGACAAACACGACCCGCTGAACTGGAGCTGGGCGAAGAAGCACTTGATCCTCTTTGTCGTCTCATTCGTTTCCTTTCTCCCTGATTATGGGAGTGCGACGGGTGCGGTGACTCTGATACCACAAGCCGAGTGAGTTTCGGTGGCCCTGGTGGTTTTAGCTTCGTTCGGACGAGTTGGCTAACAAATGGGAATAGGGAGTGGCACACGACACCGGATTATGTCAACCATTCGCAGGCTGGAAATGTGTTCATGTTGGGTGCAGGTGGCGTCATTGGTATGTTCCAAGATCTAGGGGTTTCGGTAGACTGGCGGACTAACGAAGCTCGCTGATAGTCGTGATGCTGAGCGCCTATTTTGGCCGCCTCCCCGTTGTCTTTTGGTTCCTCATCGTGTCTACGGCAACAGCAGCTTGGTGCGCCGGGGCCACCGCTTTCGAGTCGTTCATGGCGGCTCGCATCCTCAATGGCTTCTTCTCGACTGTCAGCCAGGCAGGTGGACTCATGTTCCTCAAAGACATCTTCTTCTTCCACGAGCAGGCGCGCAAAATTAACATCTGGGCGTAAGTGCCATATGCCGACATCGTCAAGATAGCACCGCTGACCGGTAGTAATGACGGTACAAAGCTCGTTTATCGTCATCAGCCCGTACATGGGCCCTCTGTTGGCCGCTTTCATCACGGAGACACAGCGTTGGCCGGTGCCGTTTTGGGTCTTCTTTGCGATGAACGTTCTTGGCCTGGGGCTGGTGATCTGTTTTCTCCAGGAGACATACTACGACCGCACCATTCTAGCCGTCGAGCAGCCAGAACGGGGCAGCCGGATTGCGCGGTTGACGGGAGTAGCGCAGTGGAAGTCGCGCCACCTTCGCAACACCTTTCGGCAAGCGTGCTGGCGCACAGTCAGTGTGTTATTAAAGCCAACAGTGGCTATATCATGTCTTTTCTACGCGCTGGTAAGTCCCGGTGGCTCTCCTAAGGGGTGATAAGAGGGTGAGGACAAGGGACTAACTGGAAGGTTGGTGTTTATTAAAGACGTTTGCCTGGGCCGTTGGAATCAACACGACGCTCGCCATGTTCGTGACGCCACTATACGGCTTCGCCCCGAGACAAGTCGGCTTCTTCTACTTCACCCCGGTGGTGGCCGTAGTCCTAGGCGAGGGGGTAGGACATTGGATGCACGATGCACTGGCGAAACGTTACATCCGGCATCACAAGGGCCACTTTGAGCCCGAAGCTCGACTGCGCATAGTGTTTTTCTCGATGCCGTTCGTCATTGTCGGCTTGGTACTCATCGGGCAGTGCTTCGAGAATGCATGGCACTACATGGTGACGAGTGTCTGCTGGGGCATGTATGTTTTCGGTATGATGATCACAACGGTGGCGCTCAACAGTTACTGCCTCGACAGCTACCCGGAGGCGTCGGGAGAGGTATCGGCGTGGTTGAACATGGCGCGGACCGTGGGTGGCTTCATCGTCAGCTACTTCCAGGTTACGTGGGCTGAAGCGCAGGGCACCAAGTTGAGCTTCGGAATCCAGGCAGCTGTGTGCGTGGCTGCGTTTTTGTTCATCATCGTCCTGCTTCGGTGGGGGAAAACGATGCGGGTGTGGTCCGGTCCGTTGAATTTTGCAACCACCTGAGGGGCCCATGGGGTGGGTGGTGGGGAAGATCTGGTGTTAATTGAAGCGAAGCTTCAGGTTCAATTGATGAGTCTCTGAGATGTACAATGTACATTGAGGAAGCGAAGAAGGAACGCTTCGTTTCATTTACTCGTGTTTCCCTCCAGAGTTCTCAGAGGAGCGATTGGATGCCACAGTTCGACTGCATTATCGCGCATAATCGGCTTGCATGCAGGTAAACTGAACGTAGTTGATGCCGCCAGATACAGTTGAATCTGAACGCAGTTGATGTCGCTGGACGCAGTCAGTTTACACCGTCAAACTCGATTGAACTGAACGCAGTTGATGCCGCCCGACGCAGTTGAACTGAGTATATAACCACCCAGACTCTGTTCTCTTTCCGCCCGACGGGGTACTGCGGACGCGCAGTCAGGGACGCCTGGTAGCGCAGCGGTACAACAATACCGTTGTAGAAATGTAGATAACCTCACCTCTAACTACAGCTAGATATCCTCCAAGATCAAGGCCGGCCACACACTGAAGACCGATACACCTCCCTAAGAACCCGAGAACTTGACCGTCGAATAAGAGAAGCAGCAAGAGCAGGTTTCAAGAGGGCAAGCGTTCGAGTCGGATACTAACCACTACAATATAACTGGCCTCTCGAAAAGGATGTAGGCGCAGCCGCCTTCGTAAGACGACTGCTAACTACCCCCCGAAGACGTTCCCCCTTAACTGGGCCGGAGCATGAGGGACTAGGGTGGCAGTTGCAGAGGCAGGGCGGCCGAACCTTTTTGACTTTTTAACGTATAGTTAAGAAGTTAGTCGACTGTTGAATAGATACGTGTATGTCAAGATGTCGCGATCTTTTGGTTGTTGGTGGTTGCGCTCGATAGGTTGATGGACGTACCTCCTTTTTTTTAGCTGTGGCCCACCAACTTACGTACCTCCTACCTACAACAAACGTCACATTTCAACCTGTCGTATTTTAAAACATAGCGGTTGCGGTTAGTTGTGTGATATTGTGTTTTGAGTTTAATTTTTATATGTATATCCATACAGGTATATATATTTCTTCCCACGGTGTGAGAGGGCCATCTCGAGTTCCTGTTAATCCTGCGCACCCAGGGACCGTGACCCGAGGTGACCCGAGTTGCCTCACTCATATCTCGGCGATGCGTCATTCACTTTTGCCTGCCAGCTGCAACCAGCTGCCGGCCCGCTTGCTCAATCATGATGGATCTCAGCGGGTCCGTCACCACTGGGCTTCATTCTGCAACATCCAAAATGCCAAACAAGAGGAGCATCATATCTCAGCACGAGATCGACGATGTTGCCCCTGTCGAAGACCTGACTCAGCCGCTGACGCTGCATTCCAAGCGCACCGAACGACGGCGAAGGAAGCAGGAGCAGCGGGCAACTTCGACGTCATCGGCCGATCGACTGCGAGGATTTCTCGACCTTCCTTTTGAGCTGATGATGGGCATCTTGGATTTACTATACCCGAGCGACATTTTCGTCCTATCCCGGGTGAATCATGATCTGCGCCGCTTTCTGCTCGCGAATGAAACGAGCATCACCCGCCGCATCGTCGATTTCCGCTACCCGATCCTCGAACGATGCCTCGTACCGCCGGTTTTGATGGAAAACATCGACCCGGCCATCCAGCTGTTGCTCAGGAGCCCCGACCGCCCGGACCTCACCTTGTCGCATCGGACCGGCCCTCAGAATATACCGTCCCCGGACAACACGCTCCATTGCACATGTTTGACCTGTATGGTTCGCTGGAATGCACTCTGCGCCGCCGTCGACTTCGCCCACTGGCAAGACAATCTCGACAAGGGCGTACCGATCCCCACAGTCGCCCGCGGCACAGTTCCTCCTTGGAACGGCGAACTCCTTGCGAGGAATCGCCGCGTCGTCCTCAACGCCCTGACCAGTCCTCTGTGGTACGCCAGAATCCTGGAGGCGCACCTCAAGTCAACCACAAGGTCTATTCGCCGTCATAGCCATAACAAGGCCGACCAGCGCCCTCATTTTCGTATGACCGCCGCGGACATGAGGGCAGGCACGGATGCGTTTCTGCAGCGAGAAGGACCCCCTACCTTTGACTATCCTTATTCGCGAGAGCTGTATTATATGCTTGAGGCCTTCCTGCCGGGCAGGAGCTGGATCGCCGCGTCCCAGAAGTGGGTTTACATCAAGCAGACCCAGGAGTGGCACGAAATGGACCTCGGGATGCTGGTCAACATGGACAAGATGAGGCGGCAGATGCGCCAGAAACCTGTCGTCCAACCGTCCTGTCCTTCTGGTGTCGGGGACGACCTCGCATGGTTTGCGGAGAGAGAACTCGGCGTATTACACAACGGAGAGCTTGCCAGCAGTGGGATTTTGTAAGTAAATAGTGGATTGCTTCCCCAAATTAAACTAAAGATAGGAACTGAAGAAAGTTTAAATACACAAGAGAGAGTTCCTAGGCTTACATGAGCCCACCAAATGCCGTTCTCGGCGCTCGTTATCTCCAGCACCTAGTATACTGCGGCCGTTGAGTGAAAGCGCCTTTCCAATGTGTGGCTTCGAGAGTTCCTTACGGTCCTTGGTCGGTCACGAGGTAAGGCACCGAGTTGTCCGTTTTGTCAAAGTTTTTGGTGCTGTTGTCATCCCCTGCAGAGCCCAGTTGCGGCAATCTGTGCGAAGTCCAGATTAGGTGTTCATTTTTGGTTAGGTGGCGGCGGCGGGGTCTGGCCCCCTTGTTCGTGGTGTCTGCCTTGTCGTGTTTGTCAATTCGTTTCGGTGATCTTGGGCTAACAGGCCAATTTGGGTTGCCGGGAACAGGGGAACATTGAGAAAGCAAATTAACTCATTCATCATCTTTGCCGTTTCTTCTAACATCAGGACAGGGAAACCCCCGAGACGAGGAATCACCAAGGTTCGCTCCTTGGGGTTTGAACGGGCCCCTGTCATTCCCCGCATGGGCAGCTTCGCGGCGCAGCTGAGCGGAGGACCGCTTGCCTGGTGATTGACCGGAGACCTCACTCTCGGCCTGTTCAGCAGCGGGTAGTATAAGAAATTGTTTTGGGCGCAGCGCTGCACGATCGACTCTGTCGCACATATGACTCGCCTCAAAACGGACCCGGCTCTTCGGGCCTTGACGACACATTGTCGACGACCAAGATGCACGACCTCTATCGACATTACGGAACCCGCAGCGTTTGGGAAAAGTACGAAGTCCCCAAGTGTCCCGTTGTCGAGGTGACGGAGCTCTGGGTTGAGGAGGAGGATGGCAACCAGTCGACCGCGGTCTTGGAGACCAAGACCATCAATTCACCCGACATTGACAGTTGGCTTGAGGAGCCACCTCGCCGATCTTTCCCGGACGGCGCCTACACGCGAGCGGTTCGCCTTGTTTGGGTTGGCGAGGACCGCAAGAATGTGCGAGCGAGCCCATCGACGAAAACGTTAGAGAGGTTATCAGAGCAGTGGGGGCTTCAAGATGCCCTGGATTATGCTCGAGGCTGTTTCGCCGGAGTGTCAGCAGTTGAGCCAGATGGTGACCAGCAGGTGTTCACCGTCGCCTACCATCCCAAGCTCGTCGCAGCTTGGCGTCATACGGCCGATAATTCCTCCGCCTCGACATCTCACGTACAGGCTATCATCTTTGCCGAGGGCGAGGAAAGGATCGAACTTCGACGTATCCTGGATTCGAAATGGACGACCTCCACCGTCAAGCACCCGATGTTCCCCGCCCTGGTCTGCAACTTGGTGCTTGCACACGGGCTCGATACTACGCTTGAGGATATCAAGGCGGCCGTCAGGGAGGTGGAGGCGCGCACTGGACATCACCGTTTTGCGTCCCGGCGCCAGACACAGCCGGCTGCTGGTGAGCTCGGAAGCCTTTCGGCGCAGATGAGCGGGTGTGCCGCCAAGCTGGCCAACGGGACACGCAAAATGAAGGTTGTTGAGGCCATCAACGAGTTTATCTCCCAACATAACTCTGGGAGGCCGCCAAACGCCCAGGAAGAAAGGACCATCCCCCCCACCCATACGAATACCATAGACCGCTCGATGAGAGGCTCGGGATATGGATTCTCGGCAGCTTATCTTAACCTTGTCCGGCACCGGGTCCAGATGCAGGCAGTCGATGCGGCGTACGTGCAGCAGCGGGTGCAAATACAAATCGCCGCGCTATTCCACCTGATCGCGCAGCAGGACAACGCCATTGCTTTTGATACCGCCAGCGCAACGCGGAGCATTGCCGCATCCAGCCTGCAGGACTCGTCGTCCATGAAGATGCTCGCCTTGGTCGCCATGTTCTTCCTCCCCGGGAGCTTTGTTGCCGCCCTGTTTTCCGCGCCCTTGTTTGCTTGGGACGAAGCCCTAGCGGCTGGGGGCATGGCCGTGGGCACGCGGCCTCAGTTTGCGCTGTTTTGGGCGGTCACAGCGCCGCTGACCGCTCTCGTTTTCGTTCTCTACGGCGTGTGGATGTGCGTACAAGGTAGAAGGGAGCGGAAGAAGAGCAATACGTTTGTCTGAGGGAAAGGAGGCTTGGCAAGTCCAGATCTCGCTCGAATGGTTTAGTTTATCCATATACCCTCTGCGTCCATCCCATCCAGGCGGGCGCAGATACACAGCAAGCTTCTGACGTAGCAGGTCCGTCATACTTGTACGAGATAGCGATTTTCTCGCCCGTTCTGGAATGGGTCCAGCGTTCAAGTTACCCTTAGACATCACCTTGTTCATACGGCCCGAGTCCTCCAAAACGAGTGGCTAATTATATAATATCTCGATCCCTAAGTGATCAACGTGATCATTACCTTGGTATCCATTAGTACTCTGTACATTCTCAATTCTTTTGGTCCTTAAGTCCTAATTGGATGTTTAGTCAGGACGCTCACCATGCGCAATCCCTTTGGCGCTTGAGCCCATTGATGTAAGATAATGATGTAATGATGATAGAGTCATCCGCTATGGGTAGCTCGCATTAAGAAACCAGGTTCGGCCGGCTCCCCTCAATCTCTCCCTCACCCTGTTCTTTTCCGTTCGCACCACTCCACTATCACTTGTCACCACCAGAATCGATCTCCTACGCCTGACTATTACTAGATACCCACCAGACACCTTCCGGTAGGACCTTACTTTATCTTACCTAATGATCCTCTAGCCTTCGGCCCCTCCCTTTTCACCATGGTGGACCGGTACCGTGTCCGTAGACGACGCCATGGAATGATGCTTCGAGCCTCAACGATGGCTAAATCCCGCCCCTGGGCATCCCTGCCCGCCGAGATCCTCATGATCCTAGAGGAGGTTTCACGGCAGAAAGACGTGGGGTGGGCTTCGTTGGCCTCGGTCTGCAAGGAGTGGCAATTCGTAATCGCGAGGGAAAACTTCCGTCAGCTCAAGTTACGACCGTCTTGCCTCATGGCCTTTGAACGTTTGATCGTTCTGCAGCGGCAGCTCATCCGTTACATCCATCTTGAAATCGAGCTGCCGAGATACTCATGCCGGCAATGCACGACAAGCCCATCAATGCGTAGCATGGATCAAGAGAGCCTGTCCATTAGCCACGGAATCTGGAGCTTATTACGGATCCTCGGTACCTGGGAGCTAGCAAATAACGGCCTCGCAAACGGTGTTACGTTGGAGCTCAGCGCCTATTCTCCCAGCGATACAGAACACTGGTTCAAGAACTACCATTTTACCCCCGATGCCGATGGGAACAATGGCGACAACTGCAAGCCGGACGATCCGGTGCACGGCTGGATCAACGGCCAACAAGTGGTCTCGCCTCCTGCGACAGCCATCCCGAGGCTTTTCTCAATGGTCCATCTCGGATTCCAAAGAGATATTCCTCAAGTTGGTAGCATCACGCGCCTCAGCATACACCGACGCCTACGCCGCTCGTTTAGCACTATCTCCCTGTTGTGCTTGTTGAAGAAGCTGAACGCCGTGGAGGACCTGGTTTACGAGCCGTGGCGGCAATGGGAAAACAGGTCTAGGGCGTTGCATGACCGCTGTAAGCGGGCATCTTGTGCCCCCTTCCTTGCTTCGCTCTGTGCGTTCGATGCCTAATCTCTGGTTGTAGTCCTTCCACCTTCCGTCGAACGCCTTCCCAACACCCTCAAGAAGGTTTCCGTCTTTGAAGATTTTAGCGACACCCTTGCTACGATACTAGTGGAAGACCAGAACCGGAACTTTACATCCGTGCGAATGCAGGTGGAGGCCGTCCGCATCGCGGATCCTCAAGTCGGCGCGGCCTTCGCCTCGAGAAGCCGCGACCTCGAACAGCTCTCGGTATCGTACATGGTGAACGCCGAGGACTTCTTTGGCGCTTGCCTGCCGTCTTGGACTTGGCTGCGCCTTGAGTCTCTCGCCCTCACGTCGCAGCTCCTTTACCACGGTTGGGAGCGTCGGAAGGCCATTGATGCCTTGTTCTACGTGGCTGGTATGACGGCGCTGCGGATGCCCAGGCTGCGCAATCTGGCGATCTGGAATGGCCGGGAGGGGAACGCGTGTGCGTTCATCTACTACACGGACCAGGACTACGCCCATGTTACGTGGCGCGGTACGTGGGAGATGGACCTCAGCCCTCGGGTGGTGGAGGTGTGGGAACGTGTGGCCTTGGAGAGTCGTTCATGCCCGCTGCGGGTCACAAAGCAAGAGGTTCAGGGCGTCATTGGATCTCATGGCGATGCCATCCATCGTTTGGCCTTGCCGTGTCTAGTGGTTGACCCCAAATCGTTGTGGCAAATCCGGCGGGAAGGAAGATAACATCAAGTAGGTAGGTAGCTTAGATACTACAACATGCCCTTCCCGAAGAGATGGCACCCACAGCCATTTTTGGGGCTCCGGGTACCGGAAGGTCAAGGCTTTGCGGTGGAGATGGGATCCATTTAGTGTCTTTTACGGTGTCTGTCTCAACGGCAGGTACCGAGGGCTGGGAGGTCATTGAGGACGGCACCTGGTTGTGCAGCCATCTATGACTCGACTTATGAAGCACTATAGCCACAGTATTCCGAATTTGCGGGAGAGTGAAAGGTGAACCCATTAGCGTAGTATTCGTTTTGGCTTATCTTTCTTTGGAAGCCGTGACTTCGGATATACACACCTCATGAGCAAGAAAAGCGGAACTCCGAGTGTGGTGTCGACCATGGACACCTGAGTCGAGTCGTCGACTGGAGGAACTGGGCCTAGTAGGAACGGAACGAAAGCCATCCTCAGACCTAAATAGACTGGGTTTATTCCCTTTACTTATTTTGTCTTCTTTCTTTTACTTTACTTCTTTTGCTCACTTCACTGTGATTTTCGCATAATTCCTTGCTTTCCTACCTATTTTGGCCAGAGGGTGGTATACAGGTACCTCCTGTATGATCGAGGCCGACTTTCGGACAAATTTGCCCCTGTGGCACAGCCCGTTTCGCCCCACAGCTCGGACAAGCCCTCTTCGGACAACCATTCCTGGAAACGCCGAGGGTCGGGGACAATTGTCGCGGAGGACCCCGCCGCCTTCAAGTTTTCAGGCAGATCAATGACGGCACCAAGCGACCGGATCCTAAGCCACGCAACCTTAATATAACTACAGCGCTAACACCTTAGCATGGCTTCAGGGTCCAGTGAACGGACACCGCTCCTTGGCGAGGTTCAAGACGCACATCATGATGTGGCTCCGGCTGTTCCGAATGGCCAGAACGGGTGGACGGCGCCAGGTCGAGAGGGCGGATCCAAGTCGTGGGTACGGCAGCTTGCCGTCTCGCTGCGCAACCGCCTCAAGGTTCACGTTGAGAACCGAATTTTGTTAACTGGCTTTCTCATTACACTCTCCTTCAGCTTCACCCAGGTCCCGTAAGCAATACACCTCGAGCTTTGTCTGATCCCGGCGTCCGAGTCCATCATAATAGATCCCGCAGCGTCATCCATGACCTAGACTTCTAACGAGATTCATTAATGCAAGCATTTTCTACGTTTTCCACATAATGGAGTGCGACGTCTTTTACAAGAATCACCCTCCGTACGAGGGCAGTGGCGACCGCTGTAGCCGCAACGAGATCGCAGCCGGGACCGCGACCCAGTTCTCCATCTTGGGCATGAGTACTACATTTTGCGGTACCATCAACCTGTTTGTAGCCGGATGGATGGTTAAGCGGTTCGGCCCGCGGGCCGCCCTCATGGTGCAGACTTTGGTGCCGGCTATCCGGGTTGCCACGCAGATTCTCGGCGTCCTAGCCGGCGGCGAGGCTGGTATTATCATTATTCAGTGCACGCAGCTGATTACCATCATTGGAGGCCCAGTTGGGTACATGTGAGTGGTTATTTTGCCACTGTCGTCTTGGGCCTTCATCGCCATCATTTCCCTGTTTGCAAATTACTGACTCGATTTTGGATACCTAGCTTGATTGCCAATATCATCGCCGGTGAGGTGGTTGAGCCCTTACGACGGACGGCCGTGTTCGGCATGCTTCAGGGCTGCATCATGCTGGGACAGGGGCTTGGCTATCTAGGTAAGCAAGGCCCCCATCATTTCCTCTCATCCGTCATGCTGAAAAGGGGTACCAGCCGGCGGCATGATTGGCGATGCTTGGGGCATCAGCCGGCCGTTTGAAGTTGCCTTTTGTGCATTCCTGCTCTCCTCCATCTACGTGCGACTTGCGGTACCATACATTCCCACCGAATCGTTGTCGAGCGGCTCAAAGCCCAATTCCAAGGGTTTCGCAGAACTGCTGTCTCCGTTGAGGGTTCTTGCTCCGCAAAGGCTCATTCTCAACACGGGTGTGACGAGGAACCATTATGGGGTGCTGTTTTTGTGTGCTGGGGTGTTTCTCGGCGTTGTAGGTCGCAGCTTACCCCGGAAACCGCCGCGTCAACCTTCGCCCGTATGCTGATTTATTACTGTAGCTGGCTACTGGATACGCACCGTTGCTAATCCAGATGTATGCCACGGCGGTGTTCGAGTTTCAACAGGGCGATAATGGCTGGCTTATGTCGGGGTTTGCGTTCATGCGCGCCGCTTTTTTGATCTTCCTTTTCCCTCGCATCATCAGCAGTGGCCGGAGATGGTACCAGGGCCGGGAACGACGGATGGATACAAGAGACCCTAAACCCCGCCGACCCTCCTCCCTGGCGACGAATCCGGAGGAACTTGAAGCCCCCGTAGGCAGCTTCGCTGAGGAAGAGCCAGTGTCTGCCGATGAAGTTAAGGAGGACGAAGGCACCGCTTTTGATCTTTTCTTTCTTCGTATAAGTTTGGTCGTCGACGGCGTGTTGACCATGTGCGCAGCCTTCGCCACCAAGAGCTGGCACATCTATCTCGGTATGGGTTACTTGACGCCATCCCGCCGCCTCGCTGTTGTCCATCATGCTAACATACCTACCTCTCTAAGCTGCCTTTTTGCTTCCCTTTGCTTCCGGCTCTGCACCGGCAGCCAAAGGCGTCATGACGGAAATGTGCTCGGCGTCAACGAGAGCAGATGCGTTGAACGCTTTAACCCTCGTTGAGAACATCGCCAGGCTTGCAACTCAGGGGTTGTTCGGTTTTGCCTTTGCGGCGTTGGCGCAGATCGGTAAACCGCATCTAACCTTCTTTGCTAATGCGGTAAGTTCCGGTTTTCAGGGTCAGATCGCTGAGCAGGATTGGAAACTGATGTATTTCGGACGCAGGCCATCGCGCTCTTTGCATCGGGCGTCTTGTTGCTATCTCGCTTCCCTCCTGAGGGGAGCAGGCTCGCAGAGACGAGCCATGGTCCGGAACATCCCTTTAATAACGAGGGACCTGAGCAAAACCACGGGCCGCAAGACGGTGTTAGGGCATAACCAGGTCGAGGCTTCACCATGCCGCGGATGGGATAACTACAGTTGTCATCATTGGCAATCGATGTAAGGGCCCAACTACTGGTGTTTTAAGAGGGCACGTACCCAGCCACGCAGCCACGCGGACGGGCGAACATTCCAACGCTAATCTTCCGAGTGGTATGTACTTCAGAGTCACTTCTGTGCCCTAATTTATGAAAATATGTTGCCCAGTGGAAGAACTGAAAGGCATCGCGTGCACCTAGGTGGTACCAAATATTAGGGAAATGCGAAGTGGGTTGCGTGCCCACATGAGGTGTGTTATGGAGCGATATTTACCTTCTTGGCCCGAACGGTGGCATGCTATCTCTTCTCAACGAAGGACCGGCCAGAAAGAAAAGGGCCAGGGAGTTGTGAAGCTGGGTACGTTGGCTGCTGTGGCTCGGGACGGGACTGGCGCGGTTATTTTACAATGGTCAAACATATTGATTATCCATAAATCCTAAGTATAAACACTGAGCGCCGTGGTAACCATAAGTCAGGTATCCATCTATCTATTACTTGGTAGACGTTTTGACCAGTCCCACTACTGCCGGCTGGTCCTCTCCCCGCATGCGTTACTTGTACCTCGCATCGGCTAAAGTCCTCCGTAGCAGATACCCAAGATTTTCATATTGCGATGTTTATCCCGTTTCCAGTAGTATCTCGCTTGTGCACCATTTGCGGGGTAGTTAGAGCCAATGCGAATTTAACATGCTTCAGTTGCCTTTAGTTGGATCGCCCTGGCTCGTGCAAAGACGCTGACCTCGCTCCATGTCGTTCTCACTTCCTCTGAACTTCATCGAAAACCTGTGGTGACTCTGGGCGCCATCGATTCCCGGGAAACCAGGCCGATATCGTCAAAAAGGCCAGCGACATCCCTCCGAGCATGGTTTCGATGAAGTCGTTGCGGTATATTTTCGGCGCAGCCCTTGCAACGGGCGCGCTGCTCCATCCTGCTGTCGTCAACGCAACCCCAACAGGATTTCGAAGCACAACAAGATCGGTGCTGGTGGAAGACGCAGCTCCGGCCTGTTCGAACGGCGCCACCATTGAAGATCTATGGTTGGTCACACAGGTGAACGTTACGAACTCGAATGACGCCCTGGTGGAACCTGGGAGTGCGTCCTGGACGATTACCAACACGTTCACCAACGTTACTGAGCGCCTCACTTGTAGCTTGCTGGCCGGCTACAGATGTGAAATGGATGGTACACCGGAAGACGATAGCTTTCACATATGGCTACAAATCAATCTGAATGTGGCATCATTCACATTTAACCAGACTCTTCCTTGCGGAAGCGAGGCGGCCTCAGAGTACGCACCCCCCAATCAACTGAATATCTTATAGTTTTAACTGCTAACATTCTCTTCCCCGTAGAACTGCGTATGCCATCGGAGGGGTAGAACTCTATCTGACGTGTGGCGAGGGAAACCTATCCTGTCATGATGAAGATGATGACGGCGGATATGCGAATGGACGGGTAACTGTGGTACCTGCGGAGGCCTTATCGTATGTGTAATGGTACACAGTCCTTGTTTGGTATAATTTAGTACGGAATTCTTTCCGTTTTGAAGCCCTCGACCATTGAAATGAATCCCGAGTACCCTCACATCATATTATACATTCGCCGAATAGCTACCAACTATCTAGACTTTCCGCCCTTGACCACGTGTGTGGCCATCACTTCTTCTACTATTACGCGAAGAAACACAAGAGTAAATCCAACTGCCCAAACGCTCTCTGTCTCGGGATGACGTTAACATGATATCATAACAAGTGGCAAAGGATTGCGAAGGCCACCATCCGCTCCGGCCCATCCCGGACACCAAAGGGCAACCAAGCACGTCGAGGACACCCTCCCACGCTCCCCATTTGCACGTACACAGCAACTCTTGCATTGATTTCCTGCGCGACGTACCTACCCGAATAAACTTGTGGATAGCACGTCGATCCCCTGGCCAATTCCTCCTTTTCCCTTGCAGAGCGGAAATGCCAAGCAGTAAAGGCATCCCCACCGACCCAGAACTCCGCGAGGAGCTCAAGGAAGGTCAGGCGATTCGTCCTGCCGGCAACATGTAATTCGCGTGGCGATTGCAGGCTAACTAAGCTCCTTTCTTTCTCAACAGAGATCCAGCAAGAGGCCAACAAGTCCGGAGATGGCAAGGGGCAGTGGGCAGCTTGGAAGGGGATGAAGTTGGCAAAGGAGTATGAGGCGCACGGCGGCGGCTACGACAATGATCCTGGGTCGAAGAACGAGCCGAAGACAGGTGCGCCTGTGGCCAAGGGCGAGAGCAAGAAACATGACGAGTTGGATGTCTGATTTCGCGAGACATCGTCCATGCCTGTACATAGGTGTGTACATAGGTACCTTGCACCATATTGTTTGAGGTGTGGACTCGTGGAAGGACGCTGTACCGTCGTGTAATATTATGTTGTTTCTCATGCTCAATAATGTACCACGCTTTTTATCGTGTTTCCTAACCCTGCCCATGCGACTTCCTTTTTCCCCACGCAGAAGTTGCGTGGATATGGCATCGGGCTTTGGGGGGAGGGCTTTCCATCTTGCTTCGAGGGGCTGCTGGACGTGGTGCCCCCCCGGCTGGTGGACGCGGTGCCCCGGTTGGTGGACGCGGTGCCCCAACTGGTGGACGCGGTGCCCCGATTGGTGGACGCGGTGGCCCTCGGGGCCGGGGACTGTGAAGATTGAGAGGTGAAGCTATGCGTCGTTGCATCGTTTTGTCAGGAATAGGGGAGAGGGGCAGTCGAGCTGGCTTGATTTGTCGAGGAGGATGTCAGATTTAGAGAGCCAGAGTGATGATTTCTAGGGACCAGACGCTGGCGTCGTGGAGGCTTGGAATTAGGTAGGTACCTACCAGATAGAGCGCAACACACACTATACCAGTAACATTTTGCAAATCCGCCTGGGCAGGAGTGTGTGCACTAAAGAAAATGGCCCCCAAACAAACTGGTCCTCAAACTGGCCCCCAAACTGGCCTTCACCCGCGGCGCCGTGTGATTTGATTTGAACATTGCATGATAATCGGGAGAGGAAAACAATGTGGCGCTCCACCGGGCGGAGTCCGGACAAAATCCGAATTGGTTGGAGCGGTCAAACCACTGGTAAGGTACCTAGGTACCTACTAAGGTACGCTTTCCCCTCACTTCATCCAACGACGGCGGGCTAAAAGGGAGAGCCATTCATCTCGCCTTCATCCCCCCCACACATCTTTCGCAAAATGACCCGAGAGGCTCCCGAAACGCAGACGGAGGACGAGAGGAAACCCCATGGCGCCTCCCACCATCATCTTGGTGGTCTACCATCCGAGTTGTTCGACAAGATCTTGTTCGAGATCGACGCTGTCCGGGATCTCGCCCACTTCATCACCACGGCTCGCTTCGTGTACCAACGCTTCACCATTCAAAGGCGGGCCGTCCTTTTCCGGGTCCTGCAAAACGAGCTAGGCCCGGTGCTGGCTGACGCCAGGTTCCTGTTCATATTCCCTTATTCGGACCCCACCGACCAAGTCCGCTATATTGAATGGCTCTACGTTATGACCGACGTATACCACAGTATGCTCCAGGGCGGCACCGAGGGTGCCCTGCCCAACCTCGAAGAGCTAAAGGGGCTTTGCCGCACCCTCTACCAAATCAATTTCATTGCCGATATATACGTTACAGCTCGGCTGACGTCGTTCGACCTCGGTGGCGGGAGCGGGACTCCCGCCACGGCACCGCCCTCGCTCTTGGAGCGGCGACGGGTTGTACGTAGCTTCTACTGACGCCAGATCCTAAGCAACGCCTGGGCCGCGACCAGGCGCGGCAAACACTGGAGCCAGGAGGATACAGCGGCTATCAGCAACTTGAGTACGCATCAAGGCGAGGCATTGGGCTTGTTCGGCACGCTTAAACCTTGGGAGATGCAGCAGATCGACCACGTCGACGTCTTCATTACGTATCTATGTCTCGCGCTCGTGCACAACTCCCCGCAGACGGCCGACGGCTCCCCAGAGATCGTACCCCGCCAGTTTGACGACCTGTTTGCGCACCTGCACCTTCTTGTCCAGTTCCTCCAGAGCCATCGTGGTGTTGCCGACCGGGCCGTCCGTAATCTGGTAGCGGCCGAGGACCTCGCGCGCTGCGAGGACCTGTACGACAAGTACGTGAACGCGTACCAAATGATCCCACTGAGGTTCGCGTGGCAAGCAGACCGGGCAGTCTCCTTCCCGGATCCGGTCACGGACAAGTGGGACCAGGACGGGTTGGTTGTACCCTACATCGAGGACGGGCTCGACCTCACCCCATACGGCTGGCTGGACGCTCTGCGGGGGCGCTACGTCAAATGGTTCGGTGAAGGGCTGCACTCGCTTCCCCGGCTGCCTACTGGGCAGGCCCATGGTCAACCATCGGAGCAGAACGATGCCCTGTATCACTGGAGGCACGCTGGGTTTTGCCTGTGGGACCGGAAACGAGTTGAGGCCTTGAAAGAATTGAGCATGTTTGAGGGGCAGCTGTATACCGGATGGACTTTTAACCGCTCGGTCGAGCGGGATGGCTGATAAGACGCCACAGGAAATTGTTTGTTCCGATTGCTGCTCTTAAGTCCCTCTTGCGGACCTTCAAGACCTTGGCCGATGGAAATATCGCACCAACCTTGAGTGACCCTGTGCTATACCGCCCAAACCCTGCTCTTACGTATATGATATGAGACTTTCTTCTGGCTCTTCACTAAGCACTACCACTTTGAGTAAAGGCTGTCCTGCATACCTATTGTGGCTTCGATAAATAGTAGGTAAGCTGTTATTGACCCGAGCAGGTGCTCCGAAGAGCCAACTTCTCACCCCCTAGTTCCTAGCATGCGCCGGCTTAATATCACGAAGAACCTTGTCCACCGACTCTCTCGCCTTCATCTTATACAGCCATTCCTTCACCACAGGATACTCCCCTAGGTTGAACTCCTCCTCCTCCAAGGACCACTCCATCCAGCAATACCACACGACAAACGAGATATCCGCAAACGTCAGCTTCCCACCCACAAGCCACGGCCCATCACCACCCCCTTCCCCCTTCTGCTTCACCTCTCCCAGGTAGCTCTCCAAAACCCCCGACACCCGCTTCACCTCGCCCGCATACCGCTCAAACGCACTCGGCAACTTCTCATGGTGATACATCTTGAACCACGTCGCCTGGCCAAAATACGGCCCTTGCCCCGAGGCCTGGAAGAACAGCCACTGCTTGGCGAGGTACGCCTCACTGGTTCCGGGAGCGAAGCTCAGCTTGCGGTCCGTGTCGTAGCGCTCGACGAGATACTCGACGATGGCGCCCGACTCCCAGAGGGTGAAGTCCGAGTTGTTGGGGTCGCGGATGGCGGGGAGGCGGCCGTTGGGGTTGATGGCCGTGTATTCGGGGTTCTTGACGTCTTTGAAGTCGATGGGGATGTGTGTGTAGGGGATGTTGAGCTCTTCGAGCATCATGGTTACTTTGGGCGGGTTCGGGCCGCGCCGGCCCCAGAGCAGGATGGGCTGGAGGTTGGAGTCGGGGGTCATGGTTACGACAGTGGAAGTTGATGAGTGAATCAAATTTTCACGGGGGCGACCTTTGCAACTCTGGACTGCCGGGAGATTATGTACGTAGGTCCTTCACCTCGTGGATCTTCGATCGACACAACCGGCCGGAACGTGGCCGCTGTAACGGGTGGACTACAAGAACGCCACATGCATGTTGGCACCGCCCCGTTGGTCAACTGGAATACCTCAGCTCCTGCGAGAATTCCGACTAAAGTATCAAGAGGCATATGGTTGGCAATTCTATGTGGACGTGCATGAGATCTCCCACATACGTTCGAGATGATTGGATACATGCCCGGTATCGGGATTCTAAGCGGGGCGTCATGTCCAACACACATTGCCGCGCTTGCCGAGGGGACCTGCAGTACATATGTACCAGGGTTGTTCCCAACTAGTTTCCAAGGGTAGAATCGATGGTCTCAATAATGGCATCCTGCCTCACGAGGGGAGAATGGATGAAAGTGAAATAACGTGAATCGGGGTGTGAGATTAGGTGGGTACAGAGAAGGTGGTAGGGTTGTAGTGTAGTTGCTAGCTTTTTCTCTATTTAACCCATCGACCGATGAACTTTGCTTTCAAGCGTCCCCTTCGAAGCAACGTAAACTTCCAGCTACACCCAAAAGCACAGTTTTCGGGCCGGAGTGGGGCCGGTCTCGGGGCCGAAGCGGGGCCGTGCCGCCTCCTAAACAGGCAATAATAGGCTCTTACGCATCCTAGGATAATTGACGCAGCCAGCGCCATTTGAACCCCCCTGCAACTTGCTCAACTTGGAGAAGAATGACCCTTGCCCCGAAGAGCATGTCCCGGTGTGCCCGGGAGACCTCGAGCTCCTTTGCACGGGTTGCTACCTTCCCCTAGATGATGTTGTTCGCGACGCGTTGGATGAGGTCTACCCTGACGCCGAGTTCTTCGAGGGTCGCCTTGGACTCATTGTTTGGTCCTTACTCCTCTTCCACGTTACTGTCCATGTGAGAAATTTCAGCAAGTACGCATTCAACCAGCTCCCGGATGGGCAGTACCCATGTTTTCGTTTAGCTTCGCGCGAGGTTGGCTGTTAATAATAGTCCGAACTACGGTAGCGGTTGACATCCATGTTGCGAAAGGGCAAGCCCGCCGTAGCCACAAGGTTGACACTAACATTCGCATAGCAGTATCACTGGGAGACCCTGCTGACGAACTTATGCCGCGGCCGACAAAACTGTCCAAGGGGGTCGCCGAGTACGCCCTTTACTACCAGCGTACCGAAATCGCTAGAACGAGAGCTAGCTCTATCGCCATATTGATGGGCTTGCTCAGAGCCTCGGCCACAGTCCGGCCATCGACCGCAACTTACCCGCACCGAAAAACAACTCGGGTTGCCTTTCCACAGATGAGATACGCCGGCGGGACTCACAGGAGCATACCGAGGAAGGTTTCCGCGGTATACGGTTATACGCCGCCCGAATATTAGCTGTCCTCTGCTAAGGTAGGTAGTTAATATGTAGCGCGTTTCTCGCGACGTTGATGGTTCTATTGCGTGGATGGTTTGGTATACGTTGCGAGGTTCGTTACCCCCTAATTGCCCAGGCCATGTCGCCTTTTCTAGCCTCGCGTCATCTCGGTGACCCCAGGTGAGAAGTAACTATCACCACCCGCATTCCAATACCGGCTACATGGTAAGGCGCTGTTAGTTCTGCACACTCGAGACATTGCCGGAGAAAGACAATGAGGGGTATTCTTCTGGAAATGCAAGGCACACAAACCCATGTCACGCATAGTTCGGTGCTCGTTCAAACAAGAGCCCTAAGACTAACCCCAACGGTGCCTGTCCATTGTGTCCTTAACTGTTAAGCCCCGCCGGAGCACGGGTCTTTGGTGTGCAGCGAGCCTCGAAGCCTCGAGATGGAATGGCGCGAAAACTCATCCCTGGTCGAATGCAACATCGTAGCATTGCCAATGCGACACGCTCCTTGAAATTGACCAACCGTCCTTGGCCTTCGGCCTAATTAAAGCGCGAGGGGCACCGGCTGACGCGACTTCCCAACTGCACACTCCAAGTCTCAGCAATCTGCGCGAACTCATACGATGTTGGCTCGGTCGTTGCTAATTGGGCTCGCGGCCTTGGTGAGCACCAGTCATGCCGCCAACAAGGACAAGTATTACGACTACATTGTCGTTGGCAGCGGACCTGGAGGAGGTCCTCTGGCGAGCAACCTCGCGCGGGCCGGTCACTCCGTCCTGCTAATCGAGGCAGGCAGCGACCAGAGCAACAACATCAACTCGGAGATCGTTTCCTTCTTTCCCATTGCTTATACCGACCCCACGCTGCGCTGGGACTTTTTTGCCTTCAACTTTGCCAACGAAACACGCAATCTGCAGCACAACCATCTAACGTGGCGGCGTGCCGATGGTTCCTTTTACGTCGGCCGTGATCCGCCCCCCGGGTCGACTTTGCTGGGCATTCACTATCCCCGAGGCGGGACATTGGGAGGAAGCTCCGCCGTGAACGCCATGTCGACAATCTACCCGAGTGAAAGCGATTGGGAAAACATCGTTGGGTTGACAGGTGACGCGTCATGGAGGTAAGAGACCAACAACATCTCCGCTTGCTTCTTCCCCTGACATGCCTTCAGTCCAAAGCACATGCGCAACATCTTTGAGCGCATCGAAAACAACCACCACCTCGCTCCCGGCACTCCGGGCCATGGGTTCAACGGCTATCTCGATACCATTGTAAGCGACGCTTCTGTCTGGGCTGGCCAGGACGACCTCTTGACTGCCCTGGGAACGGTCGCGGGACATCTCGGCCAAAGTCCAAGCAACATCAGCACCTATGTGCGCTCGGACCCAAACGCTCCCGATCCGAATCGTGACCAGGCCCAGGGCGTATTTGGTTCCACACTGCATGCGGACGCAAGATGGCGCCGCTTTACCTCACGCGACTATGTCCTCGATACCGCCAATGCGGCCGAGCCCGATGGCCAGAAGAAGTATCAACTCACTGTTCAGCTCGACACCTTGGCCACCAAGGTGCTTTTCACCAATGCCAACCATCCACGCAAAACGCCGAGAGCCCACGGCGTCGAGTTCCTTCAAGGGCAAAGCGTTTACGGCGCAGATCCGCGGCACACGGCCTCCAACCAGGGAGTGGCCGGCCGCGCATATGCCCGCAAAGAAGTTATTCTTTCTGGTGGCACCTTCAACTCCCCGCAGCTGTTGAAGCTCTCTGGTATCGGCCCAGCAGCGGAGCTAGAAAAATTCAACATCAGCGTAGTTGTTGACCTGCCTGGCGTTGGCACAAATTTGCAGGACAACTACGAAGTGCCCGTCATCGGTCATGCTGCCAGGGACTTCCAGCAGCCGATCCCAGATCCCGACGCTCCGGCCTGCACCTTCGGGGTCCCGGGCGACCCGTGTGTCGATCTTTGGAAACAGGGACTCGGACCCTACATGGGAGGGGCAACCCTTAATAGCATCTTCCGAAAGAGCGCGAGTCCCGCATACGACGAGCGCGACTTCTTCCTTGTCGGCGGCACGTTTGCTCTGCGCGGCTTCTGGCCGCCTACCGACTCGGTGCCCGCTGACCCACCGAACATGTTTGGGCTGTCAACGGTCAAGATCAATCCGCAGAGCCGTTCTGGCAGGGTGCTGCTCAGGAGCGCGGATCCCCGCGATACCCCTGACATCAACTTCCACCTGTTCGAGGAAGATGATGCGGGCACCGAACTTGATCTCAACGCCGAGCTAGACACCGTCAAGTGGGCTCGCCGTGCGTTCGCCGACGTTCCCGCTCCGCTCGGCCCGATTGCGCCGATCGAACCGCCGTGCCCGGAGGCGCCGACGGCGGACGGCACATGCGACGACGAAACAGACAGGGAGTGGATCAAGAACCAGATATTCGGCCACCACCCCACAAGCACATGTGCTATAGGCGCCGACAGCGATCCCATGGCCGTGCTGGACTCCAAGTTCCGAGTACGTGGTGTCCAGGGGCTCCGTGTCGTGGATGCGAGCGCGTTCCCCCGCGTGCCGGGGCCGTTCCCCGTCCTTCCCACGTTTATGCTTAGTGAGAAGGGCACTGAGAGTGTCTTGGAGGACTCTGACTTGTGGTGATGGGTATACGGGGATGGAGACGTCAAACTCCCACGGGTGGAACGTGCTAAGTTTCAGAGTTCACAGTGATAAGTAGGTAGGAATGCTTTGAAATCGAACTCTAATTAACAACACCGCTTTATCAAGACATTCTATCACTCCAAGTACACTGCGAACCTTCATGAAACCTCAAGGCTAGTCCCATCTACCGATTCCGATTACGCCGCTGGGCAGCAGCCTTCTCCTCAAGAATCTGCTCCCTCCACAACGCCGTGCCGGTAACGGCCGCCACCCGAGTAAAGTCCTCCCCAAATTGACCCTTGGCCGCGCTACCCCAGAACTGGAAAAACATCTTGGTGCCACCAATAAACCCACTGCCACCCCTGGCATAACTAGCAACAATCTCTCTGCCTTTCTCGTCCCAGCCCATCACAACGTTCGGGTCACCCGGGCATTGTGGAGCGCCGTCGGTGACCCTGATCAGATAGCTGCCCGTGATCATGGTGCCGATTCTCTTCTTCTTGGGGTCCTTGGGCATGCCCGTCTTCACGATCGGCTTGTCACGCTTATGAATCGCCCTCACCTCGGGGCAGTTCAGCTTATTCGCCTCGTACCAGCGGAAGGTTTCTCTGCGCCCGTTGCAGAACAGCGTGAAGGCGTATTTGTCCTTCACCAGCCCCTTGCTACCCTCGTACTTCATTTCGACGGTGTTGTTCTGGTTGCTTTTGTGCAGCTCGATGTTGTAACTCTCGAAGTTGGGGATGTGCACCTTGCTGTTTTTGCCGCCGACGGGTGCGGTACCGAAGACGCCCTTCTTGATGGAGATCAGAGGAGCCGACTTGTCTTTCTTGTGGCCCGAGGTATGCAAGATGAGCTGTTCGTGCCTTGAGAATAGTTTGTGATGTCTCGCGATGTAGTGGAGGGGGGCTTTGGCGTCTTCGCCGCAGAGCTTGAAGCTGCGCCCGGCCCCGCGGACAACGAAACGCATCGGTAAACCGTGAGGGCCGCGCTCGGCGAGAGCCGGGGCCGGGGATGACTGGGAACTGCCCATTGTGTGGCGTAGAGAGGGATGGATAGATGGATGGATGGATGGATGGATGAAAGAAGGGAGAACGGAGAGCGGTGGATCATGAGAGATTGCTTCATGTTTATAAAACCGCTTTTTTGGCCTCAAGGAGGTGCTGTTGGTTCAATGATGGCCAGCCCCCAACAGGCGCGGTTCCTCACGCAACAATTGTTGGTGGCGCAGCTCAGCCCATGTTTTGGACTTGCATTTCCCGGTTTGTCAGAACTCAAAAAGAAGAAAAAAAGCAGCAGGCCGCTGCTGGCCGCGACCGAAACATGAAATGAGACGGTCGAGACCCGTAAGAAGCTGGTCCTCAAGGAGTGAGGGGGCCAATAAGCGGCCCACACCAGATGTGGAAAACTTGAAGGATGAACCCCCTAACCGATCAACACTCACAAACATCTCCCGTTGTAGACAACATTTTTTGAAATTGCAATTTGATCTACTGGAAACGCCGTTTAACAATTGTTGAGACACTACATACGCAATACCAAGTAACGGTCTGTCCAGATATGTGCCTGAACGGAGTGAGAGCTTGTTCCGGACCCCAACACTAATTATAGCAACAGTGCCACGAAGCCGACAGCACCGGCGGCCATGCTTAGTTTGGTCGCGGCCACACCTCCCGTTGCTACCGTGCTTGTAACGGAACTCGAGGGCATACTCGGGGTCGTGGTACTGGACGGGGTGGTGGTGTTCGGGGCCTCGTACTTGCTGCAGACGGCGTCTTGCGCGAGCGGGCAACTCTGATCAATGCAGATTGCCTGTAACTGGGGGCCCAGGGGCTTCACGACCTCGACAGGCGGAGCACAGCGGAGGCCAAACATGGTTTCCAAGGCCATGCCGACGCTCTCGAGGTCATCCTCGGCGACGCCGAAAGAGGCACCGGCCAGACCGACCTGCTGGACGAAGTAACCCAGCTCCGCCGGATTCAAGTTCATAAACTTGTGAACTTTGAACATGGACGGATCGCCCTCGTAGCTGGCGAAGGCGGGCATCCCCTGCATGGAGCAACCGAGCAGGGTGCCGAAAAACTGGTAGAGGTGGGTAAGAAGCTTGCTGCAAGATGGGTGTGTCAGCAGACGCATTTCCCAAAGTTGCGGAGGGTAAAACAATTCGAGATTTGGCCGCACTATTGCTTGGAGTTCTCGTCGTCGGCAGCCTTATTCTGTTTCAACGGAGTAGCACCTCCGCTATCGAGGAAGTTCACCGACTCCCCGGAGCTGCCGCCGCGATTGGTACTGTTGAGGGTTCCGTCGAAATACGGTAACAGGTTGACGTTCGTGCCGTTGTAGATCCCTTCAGCAAGGATCCCGGGAACGACGATGCCAACGTTTGGCTGGGTGTCTACGACAACCATTGGGCCCTGGTTAGCTGGCACTAATCACACAACGAGATCACACAACGAGATCTGAGTTTGGCTGCAAGATAAGGACATACAGTTTCCAATAACAACGGTGTTCACTAACGCAACCAGCAAACTGTACTGGTTCTCGGCCGTGTTGTTCTCGAAAAGCGCAGTTGTGTAATAGTCGCATATGGACGTGTCTGCGGGCCGTTGCGCAACGGCGTTGGCAATGAAGGCAGAAAAGGCCAAGGCGACGTCGGTGAAACGCATGGTGGATGGAGGTGTAGATTCTTTGTAAAGTTTGGTGTCCAATACTGTGCTGATCCAGGGGATACGCTCGAGAATACAAGAACCCCAATTACAACTCAGGGGCGGCATGCGATCTATATACCCGTGTAGGAGAACGTTCAGACACGTTATCCTAGTTTCCCGAAACTCCTCGCGGTGCTTCTATCGAAGAGTGGTTGCTCAACTAGCGTCCTTTCCACCGCTGCCAGCCTCCCTTGGAGCACTTCCCAAGGTGTCTCCTGACCCAGTATTGGTGATGTCGTCTCGGCGATGACCCTGGGCATTCCTCGCCGCAAACCCGCAAGTCAAAGACTCCACTAGGTTGGCGTCGTCATTGGCGACGTCCCTAACCAATGAAGCCAACAGGATTTCCAAGATTTTGCCAGAATTTGGCGTGACTTGGAATTCGGCTCAGAAGCAGAGACTGTCGTGTTCCATCCATCACACCCACAGACAACAGCCTGTTCTGGCCATCGCATCACGCACACTGTGAAGGGGAGCTCTTGTTGAATATTGCTCTCAGGTCGTTTTTGGAAATCAGCTATTTCCCCAAACTGCATAGCTTACTTTTGAGCTGTCGCTCATTCCCTAAAACGGCCGCCATTTTGGAGCTAGGCATTCGGCTGCCCACCGTTCCGACGGAAGCGACATACCCGTCCAACCCTCCTCGCCGGCTCTCCGATGAAGAGGCCCCGGGCTATGCTCGGCACCGTCAGTACCGAAGCAGGGAGGCACAGTTGGCACTCTAGGAGAGTATGACGGATAGCCTTTTGAGCCTCCGTCGTCAGGTTGCCTCCACTACCTCCAAGTTCGCACCGGACCGCAGGTGGGCCGAGTCGGGTTAATGTTCATTCAACTTGCCTTACGGATTCTCACCATGGAAGTACCTACCTAAAAGAATTGATAAGGCGGGATTGTGCCTTCCGGGGGCCGATCTCCGGGCTCGCCTCCCGGGCAGGGCTTCCCGACCGATGCGCTAGGCGCGTTATTTCTCGAGCGTCGTAGCTTTCACTCCTTCGAACCGTTTGGTCAGCGACCGCATGACGACCAGCCATACTTCTCGGGCAGAGCGAACTGGCACCGCAAGTCGACTTCAAGCCATACAGGCTCCCTCTGCCCGATAAAGTTGGATTCCAAAAGACACCGCCCCCTCCTCGGTTAGCCAGTACACCATGTCCTACGGTTTCACATACTGCTCGCCCCCCGCCTCGGCTCGAGACTCCCAGCACGGCGTCGTGCGATCATGGGCACGATGAGCCTACGTGCGCTTTCCTGGTGCCGCCATACACGCCGGACTCCCGGGACGAGACCGCGCGCCACAATGGGCCGCATGAACAGCGAGTACTTCTTGAGCTGCCAACCTCCAACAACAACATTGTCGACGAAGCTAATCATAGTACTATGCCAGTACTCGTCGCGACTGAGCTCGGGGCCCACTATCATCAGCGAGATGACAAGGGCCATGGTGCGAAACATGTTCGGCCAGACCTTGACCGGAGTCCATTCCGGGCAACTTGGCCACTCCGTTGCAAGAGCATGTTCAATTTCCTTGTCATAATACCCCATCCATCGAGTCAACCGGCCGTTGGACGTGAAGCCTTGTGTACTTCAACAAGGCGGGTCGTCACGCCAGCGTATGCCAGCTTGGCGGGGTGCTGACCGACGGGTCGAAGCCCGTTTATGAGCATCTTACCGCCCTCGAGTACCAGGGCCTATGGAATGCTACCCATTATTCCAAAGAGGCAGCACCGGAGCAGGTTGTTGGCGTTTTGTCCTGTCCACCTACATAAACTCGATCTCCACATGGTTCTGTGTCCGGCTGAACTCTCTTCGTAACTTCTATCGTCTATTGTGCCAAATATTGAAAACTAATTAGCGTATAGGAGGTCAAGAGCAACATGATATTCACTTGAAATAGCCCAGTCTGCGCCCGATCACACAGCTCCCGCTCAGCGCGGCTGTAATCCCCGTAAACACGATGAGAATGCCGTAACCGCTGCCATACCCGTACGGTAGTGTCCCCTTCCAATGATCCACGCGCAACAGAGCCTCGCTTAGAGGTCCGGAGATAACGTTGCCGATGCCGCGGCCCGCCGAAAGCCAGGCTAGCACGGTGCTGGTGTCGGCCGTAGGTTCGGATCGCTGTACGACCTTGACCATGCCGGACCAAGCAGACACCCAGGCGCCGGCAAATATGCCATAAGTGACGCAAAAGACGAACAGGGGCGCGACCGAGCCGGAGAATCCCCAAAGTAGAAAGATGCTGATGCTGGAGCCGACCGCGCACGCCAGGCAGCATGTTGTCACATGCCAGCGGTCAATGATGAAGCCCATCAAAACACAGCCGACGACAGATACGATGTTGTACACCACCACTGTGAGTGCGCCCACACTCTGCGAAGCCCCGATCGATCTGGCGTACATTGGTAGGTACAGAGTCGGTAGGAAGAAGCCCAGACCTTGAACCGTGTTGGCCAGCTGCAGGGCGACAAACGCACCTGTCTTCATGAAGCGCATCCCGACCTGGCTCCGTAGCGAGATCCGGGGATCCGGCTCGACGCGTGGTTTCATGTAGTAGACGAAGCTGCTGGGTAGCACCACGACGGCCACAGCGAGGACTCTCAGGGTAGTTCGGAAGTCGAATGTCTGAAGCAACCTCTCCGTCACGATGGGGACAATGGTGCCTCCAAGACCGGTTCCTCCGAGCATGATGCCAAAGGCAATCCCTTTGCGCTTGTCATACCAATCCGATAGCAGGATGACGCATGTCGAGCAGGATATGCTGCCCCCCAATCCGTAGAGAATGCCCTGTGTAAGGATGAGGTGGGTGACGGTTGTCGCGAACGAACTGAGGGCAAGGGCGACCCCCATGATGATGATGCTCACCGCGCATAGGATGCGAATGTGCTTCTTGTAGGCCTGCACAAAGGCGAAAACGAGTGGAAGGCCTAGGTACATCATGCCCAAGGAACAGGTCCCGACAATGGCGAGGTTGTCGGAGCCGTCAAACGGCCCATGGGTGTTGTAGTAGTCGTTGAAAACGCCATAAGTAAACGGCAGTCCTGCACGGTGCTGGTCAGATCACTGGGAGGTAGCATCTAGGGCATGGAGGACCGGGACGCACCCCAAGCCACTGCCTCCAAAACACAGCACGAGGCGAGGAAGAGGTAGGCATCTTTTCCCCGGTCGGCCGGCGGCGGCGGCTTTACGTTGATCGACTCGTGGGACGCCTGTGCGCTCTCTACCAGTGATGTCAGGCCTCCTCCGTGGTGGTCGTAATTCGACTTTTCCGACATTGTGAACGGAAGGGACCGAGGGAGGCAGGGGGGCGACGTTGGGTGGACCGTTCCAGAAGAGGGCTGGAAGCAATTCATGATGCAGCGACGACGGGGGAGCTGAGCATCTTCCACTCGGGCGGTCACTCCCAGATTGGGTGGGATGCGGTGGTAAAAGCCGGGCGCGTTTGCGGCATTGTAGCTGGGCACTGCAATATGGATGTCTGCCAAGGGATGTACTTCGTAACAACAGCTCGCAACAACGAAGCAGGGCAGATCATCCCCAACGAATCTTTCTTCTTCAAGTCACCACTGGTGGGAGGTGAAACAGTGCGGAAACTAGTACTGTCCACCCACGGCCCGTAATGCCCGCGGATCCGAGATCACCGAGGCCACAGGCCCAGTCATAATTACCTTTTCTTGAAGGGGGCTGGCTGACCGCCTGTCTTCGTATAACTGTCGTATTATCATCCAACCCTGTCAGTGACTATCGAGACGTACACTGCGTGGCGCAACGAAACATCACCTTCCTTGCCCTTTTCAAGCCATGGAAGAAGCGCGAGAGATTTGAGAAGGAGGGAGTGACGGATATTTGCAATGGTTTTCCCGGTAACTTCCGCACATCGGGTCCACAGAGCAACGCGAGTGACGTGACACTAAGACTAACCGAGTAAGCCGCGAGTTGACGATCGGCCCGTGCCGGCAGGGGGGGGGCGTCGATGATCTCCAAGCAAGCTCTCCCTGGGTCCCATCCGTTCGGACACGGCGTGGCGCGATGCGTCCACTGCGCAGTCTTGAGACATTCCGAGTCAATGTTAACCGAGGAGGTCAGCCACGACAACGCTTTCTTCCTTTCCCTCTCGTACATGCCAATGCTATCAGAGCATCTTAAGCACAGGCCGATCTCATCCACGCCAGAAAGTAGCATCGCCTTGGGTCCCTTGGTGACACGGAACTTGGCGATCTCATCACCTACCGCGTTGAGGATTAGACAACCTCGATCTCCCGACCTGCCTCCGCCTCCGTGAGCAGGACAGGGATGTCCTTTTGGTCCATAACGGCCGGCAGGAGCCCGTTCTTGAAGGAATTCCCGTATAAAATGTCGCCAAACGACGAGGCAAAAACAACCTTGATACCAAAGTCCAGCAGCGCCCACACGGCATGCTCACGCGAGCTGCCGCAACCAAAGTTAGGGCCCGTGCTGAGCAGAACTTTGGACCGGTTGGTGTTGTAAGGCTGTCGGTTGAGGACAAACGCGTGGTCCAATGACCATCCGGACGCCAACGGTGGTTGTAAAACAACCCGCCGCGCAGCCCGCGGCGGAGGATGGTTGTACAGAATGTGTCGTAGGTGGTGGTAGTGGGGTATATCAGTACACAGATCCGGCAGGTCCCCTAACGGGCACCGGTCTCCGTTTTGGGACCCCCGATAGAGTTTCTTTGGTAAGATGCGGTCTGTGTCGACGTTGGCCCGGTCTAGAGGAGCCACGACCTCTTTCACCGCCGTGAACGGCCCGGCAGCGATGGTGTCGTCCTCAACACCCCCGTCCGTTTCCTCCCCGGCGTGGCTGCTCGTGTCTTCCGATTCGATGGTTTCAGGGTAGCTACCCACTGAGGGAATACCGAGGTCTGGCCATCTTCCATCCCCGCACCGGCGGCCAAGTACTGGCGCACATCGCCCAGCTTGCCCTTGATAGCGGCGGCTGCGGCCGGGACGGGGGACATGATATCCGACTAGGCCAATAAAAGCGCATAGAAGATAAACACGACACATCATCTCTAACTAATCCGATTCAAATACCTCTCCTCATGCAACAAAACGAATTGGTCCCCTGCAGATATCACTGCAGCGGATGATCACACTCAATGGAATTAGGAGGCAGATATGTGATGGTTAGGTACTTAGACGTACCTAGGTACCTTTTCACCAAGACGTCCTTAGGTCCGCTCGCAGGGAGGCACGCCTTCCAATGTACGGGGCTGGATGAAATAGTTCCTCCGGAAGGTATCTGACTCTCTCGCAAGCCTGTGGCGAGTTGTCATCGGTTCAGCATTTCTTGCGGCGACGACTGCTGGATCTGGATCACGGATCCGGCGAGAACAATGCAGCAACTAACAACTCGGGCTTGTCAAGGACGGAGACAATAGCTGAGTGTTAAACCTTTTAACTCCGACACCCCAGCAAATTTCGGACGCACTTATGCAACACTGTTACATTCAGATAGATCAATGATGCGCAGGACCTGAGAGTTCAAGATTCGGCCCGTTTACTCCACAAGCTGGTGACCGGCCTCGTGCATGTTTAGGGCGGACATGTCCCCAAGCGTAGAAATAGTGGCCGACAATCCTCCGCAGCCCTCGGCACTACGCGGTTTGCAGTGGCTGGCACATGCTGCCAAGAATTCACCCTTTCTCCGCGCGGGGCCCCGGATTTTGGGTTTCGGGAATGGCTGTGTGTGTGCCATGTCCTGGGGACGGGAGCGAGCCGGGGTGGCGGAGCCCAAATGGATAACTCTCTTACGACGACAACAACACATAGGACCCCGAGAAGGGCCTACTTCGGCGGGACTGCTCTATGGAGCCCGAGCAAGCGCCGAATAGGACCGTCGTCAGGTTCGCCCCAGAGCCAGAGCATGTCAGGCAAGCTTCGCTGGCGACAACGGGTATGGAAGTTGGGGAATACTTAAACCACAGCTCCTCATCTCTTGATCAGATCCTCCGCTTGCCCTTTGCCAACCCACTGCTGTTACCGAGTCATCCCACACTGCCCAGAAGCATTCACGTTTCGTCATCCGTTCTTGTTCTTGACACGCAATAATGAAGTTCGTTTACGGGGCTGCGATCATCTCGACTGCGACCCTTGTTTACGGTCATGGCTACCTGACCATTCCATTCAGTCGGACTCGGCTCGGCGCAGAGGTGAGAGAGCGCAACCCCGTGCGGCATGGTGGAACTTAACATGGCTAACCGCGTCGTGTACAGGCTGGCCTTGATTCTTGCCCTGAGTGCTCCATCCTTGAACCCGTGGAGGCGTGGCCTGATCTGACCGCAGCGCCTGTTGGACGGAGCGGTCCTTGCGGCTACAATGCCCGAGTGAGCATCGACTACAACCAACCGACCTCCAACTGGGGCAACTCGCCGGTTGCGAGTTACTCACCGGGCCAGATCGTCGATGTGGAGTGGTGTGTCGACCACAACGGTGACCATGGTGGCATGTTCAGCTACCGCATCTGTCAGAACCAGACTCTGGTAGACAAGTTCCTGGCCCCAGACTACCTCCCGACCGAGGCCGAGAAGCAGGCCGCCGAGGACTGTTTCGAGGCCGGCACGCTGTCCTGCACGGATGTGTCGGGGCAAGACTGCGGATACAGCCCCGACTGCTCGGAGGGCCAACCATGCTGGCGCAATGACTGGTACACCTGCAATGCCTTTGAAGCGGACAGCAGGCGGGGATGCCAGGGTGTCGACAACGCCCCCCAGGGCTCTTGCTACACCAGCATTTCGGGTGGATTTCCCGTCACCAAGAAGATCCGCATCCCCGACTACCAATCTTCCCATACGCTGCTCTCCTTCAAATGGAACTCGTACCAGACCGGCCAAATCTACCTCTCATGCGCCGACATCGCCATCGGTGCCGGGTCGAACGCCGAGAGCAGTGCAACCACGCTCGCAACCAGCACCCGGTCGCAAACAGCAACTCCTGGCGCGTCTTGTGCCGCTGCCGCTTCCGTGGCGGTCGCCTTCAGAACTCGGGTGAGCACCGCGTGGGGCGAGACCGTCAAGATTGTCGGCTCGATCCCCGAGCTCGGCAATTGGGACCTGTCAGTGGCGCCGGCTTTGTCACCCGCCGAGTACACGACCTCGGACCCAGTGTGGACCTCCACCATCAACCTGGCCGCGGGGACGGAGTTCGAATACAAGTTTGTCAAGGTGACGACGAGCAACGAAACAGCCACCTGGGAGAGCGACCCGAACCGGTCGTACACCGTGGCGCGGGGGTGTGACACGACCGCTGTGAGCGAGTCGTCGTGGAGATGAGGCAGTTGGGGAGGCCTTTGCGAACTGGAGGAAGTTGACGCGCAACTTAAGGACGACGTTTGTTTGGGGAGGAGAGGGAGGAGGGCTCGATGGAGCAGCTGGCTCCGCGCAGCCATTGGTTGATATTGGTGACGGGGCCAGTGCGGCAAGGGTGGCAGAAGTGACGCGAAGTTGACACGCTGTTTATTTGTTCTGGATGGTAGAATATATGGGGTTCTCATGGTGGCTGGACATACCATGAACCTTGCAGAATGATGATCTCGGTTGCTCGTGGCGCGTTCACAACCCCGATGCTATCTAGAATGGGACTACGGACAGGCATGGACCGCGTCCCCAGAGTTCGAAGCACATGCAAGGGCAACTGGCGGCAACCCGGAGAATCTCGGATAAACCTAACCAGCAAGGAAACGAACACGCCTCGGGTTAATCTGCAGGCCGAGACGACCGGAAACAAAGCAAGAAAGGCTGTAAAATGGCGTCCGCTCGTCCCTGCCAAGATATGCCAAGCGCTTTCCTTTTGAGGGGGGCGGTTCAACGAGCTCCGTTGCTAAAAGTGGCAATGGAAAGTCGGAAATTCGAAGTGATAAATATCAACACCATGGCAGCGTCGGGTTGACTGCTTTTTTCTTTTCTCCTTTTTGAGAGGTCATGTTCTGAAACCGTCGGGCCATCATAATGTACGTCCCTACTTCGAAACTCTTTGCCACCAGCCTTCTGGCTCTCACGGCGGCCGCCGCCCCTGCGTGCCCGACCCAGCCCAGCAACTCAGAGTTCGTCACAGTTGAGGGAGACAAGTTCAAGTTTTCGGGAAAGGATTTTCACTTCGCTGGCAGCAACGCTTACTACTTCCCCTTCAATGGAGTCCGTAACCCCACGTACAAAGATACATTCAAGATGGGTAACGCTGACGTATACGGTGTTGCCGCGGATAGAACCAGCAAGACATTGAAAATGGCTTGACGGCAGCCAAGGACGCGGGCCTCACAGTGTTCCGTACTTGGGGATTCAATGACAAGAACAGCACCTACGTCCCCGGTGGCTTGCCCGATTACGGCGGTGAGGGCGCAGGGCCCTCTGAGGTTGTGTTCCAGTGGTGGCACCCCAATGGCACCTCCACGATCAATCTTGGCGGCTTTGACAAAGTCGTAGATGCTGCCGACAAGGTCGGCATCAAGCTTCTGGTTGCGCTGACCAACAACTGGGCCGACTATGGTGGCATGGACGTCTATACCGTCAACCTGGGGGGCCAGTATCACGACGATGTACGCTGGGCTTTCCAAACTCTCCAAACTTGTGGGACATGAAGCTAACGTGGGTCAAGTTTTACACTGCTCCCAAGATCAAGGACGCATACAAGCGTTACGTCAAGGAGATGGTCACTCGCTACAAGGACTCGCCGGCCATCTTCGCGTGGGAACTCGGTAACGAGCCCCGTTGCGGCGCCGATGGGGTGCGCAACCTGCCGCCCAGCGACAACTGCACACCGGAGATCCTTTCGTCTTGGGTTTCCGAGATGAGCGCATACATCAAGGAGCTCGACAGCAACCATCTCGTGACCTGGGGCGGCGAGGGTGGCTTCAACCGCGAGTCCGACGACTGGGCTTACAATGGCTCCGACGGTGGCGACTTTGACCACGAGCTCTCCCTCGATACCATTGACTTTGGCGTCTTCCACTCCTATCCCGACTGGTGGACCAAGACAGTCGAGTGGACAGACCAGTGGATCCGTGACCATGCCGCCGCGGGCAGGGAGATTGGAAAGCCCGTTGTGCACGAAGAGTACGGCTGGTTGACGCCCGACAAGCGCCTCGAGTACACCGGCAAGGTCGACAACCGGTCCCGGGTCGAGGTGCTCGGTGGCTGGCAAAAGACAACCGTTGCTGAGAAGCTGGGTGGCAGCATGTACTGGCAATACGGTTTCTCGGATTACTCCTACGGCCGGAACCATGATGATGGGTTCACCATCTACATGGATGACGAGGAGGCGCAGACGCTGGTGCACGAGCATGCCAAGGAGATGAACGCGCTTAACGCTGCGGAGTAAGAGGAGGGGTTTGACAAGCATGTTCTATTATCCCGTAATATCTCGTTGTAATGATAGCCGCCTACGTGGCGGCCAAGATCAGATTTCCGCCTTGATCCCGCTTTGACGACCGATTAAGCACATCCCCTCGTTGATCTCCTTATCCCACGAATCAGGGGTACATACAAGAAAAGCCAAGACGGCCCAAGCCGGAAGCATTTCAGTTTTCGTCGCTGTGCTCTGACATGGCGAGAGGTTGAGACAACGTCCAGAGGGTACAAGAAGGCCAGCCGCTCGCCATTCCTGAACATAGGATGGCTAGAGACAACGGCGGTCCACTTCCAAATCTCACGTCCACCACCTAAGCAGCGCGATGTTATTCAACAAGTCAACATTCCTTCTCCTCGCCTTCGTGGCCACCTCTTTCGGCCAATACACCGGCCCTTGCTCGACCTCCGCATGCGGTGCTGAAGGCAAGCCCTGCGGAAGAGGTTACCTTTGTGTACCTTACCCGCACACGGACCCCGCACTCAGAAAGGGTTGCACATGCAGTTATGGTCTGAAGGTGCGAGGATACACCCTGACACACCAGAGGCGAACCATATGACGGGGTGTGCTGACAGCGCTATAGTGAATGATGTTGGGCTAGGAGGAGCATACGGCGAGCTTGGAGATTTATAGTAGAGGCCTACTTATACTACTGAAGTCAGCATATATATGCCACCTCGTGCTACATCGGCGAAGGAGGGGTCTGGAGGTTGAAATGTTTTTGCCAGTGGTCCCAAAGCCTTATCGCCATGTAAATGTTGGTAAACCAGCGGCAGGAGTAAAAAAGAGTAAAAACGTATATAATTATACACAGCCATCAACCTCTCAAACATCTCGCTGTTCGTATGCTAGAACACCGATCTCCGGCCTATCACCAAAATACCGATAGTCATATCCGCCCGCTCGGTAGGGTCGTCTCACCCCGTCCCTTTGGCTACAATAGCTGGCCACTTCGGATTCCAACACGACCAAGAATTCGGAAACGGATATCCCGCCGGGCATAGCATACCAATCCCAATCGCAGTGTCGTACTTCGGTGAATATGCAGCCGTTGCCGTAAAACCGGTATCGCTCCCGCGTACTAGTAGACGGAGCCCCTTCCCTTCGTCGAAGAAAATAATTGATGAACCACAAGTTCTCCAACCACGAAAGTTCGCCGGAGGCTACCTTGATCACCTGCTGGCCCTCATCGTCATGCCACCCAGCAACAAGAGGGCAGTTGAGGGCCATATGCCTAACACGATACTCTGAGCGCCTCCTACAAGTGAATAAGGGTAGACCCGGTATTCGTTTCCAGTCGATTGTGTCGATGTTAAGAGCCTCAAGGAGAAAGAGATCGGTTCGTGGATTCGTCAGGCAACGCACCGACTCGCCTTCTAAAACAAACCACGCAGCGGTCGGGGCATCAGGAAGATCCTCTTTATCATCAACATGCTCTGCCTCATCAGCCTCCCAGTTTTTATCTTCCTCGAGCATCATCTCCCATTCGGCTAATTTGAACCGTCGCGCTATCGTGGCTCTTGACTCTCTGCAGGCGGCCCACAGGCCAGCATCCATCAAGTACGTAGATCGGTTGCCTTGGACCCATGAGATGGAACGTAAATGTTCTTCACCATCGCCCCCATCGTTCTCATCGTCCCCAGCACTCTCATGGTCCTCGGCACTCTCATAGTCCTGATCATTCTCATTGTTCCCATCGTCCTCATCATGCCCATTATCCTCCTCATCGTCCTCGTCGTCCGAAATAGAAGCTGGAGGAGCAGCTAGAGCAAAGCCTCGCGACCTTCGGGGGTTGAGCGTGTGGTGGGATATCAATGACCGTTCCCTTTTGATGCCGGCGTTATAGATGGTGAAGAGGTGTGCGCTCGCCTTGTTGGGGCGGATGGCACAGGCCCAGATGTCCTCTCTGATGCTTTTCGGCAATTTGGGGAAGTAATGGAACGTTGGTGGCATTATGGAGTTGATAGAGTAATGAGAAAGTTCCCAAGAAAGTGTTTAGAGTTTAGAGGGGAAGGATAAAGGAGAGTAAGCAAACTATCGGAACCGTATTATATAACTTGAGCTTTCCTTTATGGTTCTGAGTTCCATTGTGTTCCGTTCCTTTACTTCTTTTGCGATGTGTTCGAGGTCGTGTTGCTTTTAAGCTACGGATCAGAGTAGGTTCCCTTGTGATTACCTCCCCGGAGACCAAGCATTTTGTAGCCCTGGAAACACCGAAACTCATATAGTTTACATGTATAAAACAACATAACATTGGGAGGTAATATGAAACCTCGTAATGTCGCTAATTATTGCAACTAGAATCTCTTTCGTAGGATTGTCACCATTCTTTCTACAAGGTAAGTTATTGTGTAAACAACTTTCAAAACTAACTCTCGTGAGTTTTGTCAAATTCAACACTCTCGGCTAGGGGGTTATTAACTTCGGCGTGTCACCGTAAATGTTTTGAATTTAGTACACTTTTGGTGTAATCAACACAAAGTCCGTTGGCCATTTCGTTCCACGAAGCACATCCATGGATTAGAAACGTCACAGATCCGCATATTCCACACTCCATCCGCCCCGGATGCAGCACTCCCTCCCTTCCTCCATGTACCCGGTTCCCCACTCAATCCCCATACTCGAACCTCTGACCGACCAGGCGCTCACTCAGCGTCCAGCACCGCTCGACGTGCTCTGCGCCGTACGCGTGCGCCGCCATCGGCTGCACGACGCGGCCGTTCTGCAGGTAAGCCGGCCCCGCGCATGCGGCCAGGTCCGGGTCCAGGGCGGCGATCAGCGGGGTGGCGCCGATCTGGGCGTAGCTCTTGAAGCGCGGCTCGTCGCCGACGGTGAAGGCGAAGTCGCCGCCCGTGTTGCGCTTGGTGACGGGCGTGATGGAGGCGTAGTCCTCCATGCCCAGGTGCGCGCCCAGCTTGGTGTCGAGATTGGACCCCGGGTGGCAGGCGAACGCTACGACGCCGCGGCGCTGGAGCCGGTCGGTGAGGCCGTTGGCGAACAGGATCTGGGCTGTCTTGCCCTGGCCGTAGCCCGACCACGGGTCGTAGGCCTTGCCGCCCGAGAAGCCGGGGTCGTCGTAGCGGACGGGGGAGATTTGGTAGCCGGCGCTGGTGAGGTTGACCACGCGCGCTCCGTGCGGGCTCTCAGCGCCGGCTAACAGTGCGGGTGCGAGCAGGTTGGTCAACAGGAAGTGGCCAATGTGGTTGACGGAGAATTGCATCTCAATGCCTTGCTTGTCGAGCGTGTATTCCTTCACGGCCATGTTTCCGGCGCTGTTGATGAGGACGTCGATCTTGGAACCAGTGACTGCCAGGATCTCTTGGGCGGCACGACGCACCGAGTCATGGTCGGACAGGTCGACCGCGACGAATGTCGTTTGGACTGAGGGGTCGATCTCGCGAATGGCTGCGAGGACCGGGCTGGCATTTGCAGCGGTGCGGGACGCGATCAGAATATGAGCAGGGGATGCTTTGGCGAGCGCTGTGGCGATCGAGCTCCCGATGCTAGGCTGGCCGGCACCGGTGATAACAAAGACACGTCCCCTAACCTGCGTAGCGAAGGCGGTAACCACCTGCTCAGTGGTAACTGCGCTGTCAAAGACAGTCATGCTTGTAGGCCTGATTGGGAAGAAGAATGACCAATTGCCGTCTTGGGTACGTCTGCCGTATTGGGACAATTTATAAGCCCTGGGTCTTGCCCCAACGGCGAGGGGGGGCCTTACATATACCTAATTCTTCCCGCTGTCCAGCCCTAACGCAAGCGTAGGTAGTATATGAACGGATTGGCGGGAGCGGCCCGAAGGGTTTGAACCAAAAACTGCAATTGCCATCTTGGGTCAATCGATTTAGGCAAGACGAGTCCGAACAGATCGCACACAGTCTGTCGAAATATACCAGACAGAACCCTTCGCCTCTGATGTGCTGCAGATACTGGATATTTCCCTGTTAGTTCGTCAGCGTTGTACTCGGATCGGACTCCCAGGATGATACGACAATGCACGAAAGACTCGGACTCGGGCTCGGAGGGCGCCCCGTCCCGCCCCACAGTAAACGACGGGAGGGACCTCCCGCGAATACACGACATCTGCGAGGAGGCCAAGACGTCGTACGCCCTCGACTACCGCTGCACAATGCGCACGATGGCGTAGTCGTACTTTGCCGCCATGGGCAGGGAGTGGTGGAGTTACCCGATCGAGCCAGCCGACATGGACCGAGTCCGGGGGCGGCTCGAGAGGATGGGTTGGGAGGAGGGGTGTTCCAGGTTCTGATTCGAGGGGAGTAGGAAGGCGGAGAGTGAGAACCGGGCCTCTATCCGAGCTGGAGAAGGACGTGGTTGTTGTTGAACTTGAACGCAGAGCGCTGCAGCGGCAGATGGTCATCCTTGAGGGGCTGGGCTGGGCGTCATCGCGGGTGCCGCTACCTGGGTCGGAACCGCACGGCACAGGCAAGTTAAGGTTAGGTAGGGAGTATGGACCGAACCTTGATAGTTCCCGTCGTCTAGGTAAGGTATGGAGGTTTCATTCAACGTGGCCCCGACATAGCACCCACCCGTGCACTATATGCAGGTAGGGGGGTAAGAGTGGGTGAGCACGTCGGATATCTGATGCGAGCCACAGTGGGCCCCTGTTGTCCGGATATGCAGAAGTCAAGCCCCGGAAGCTTTTTCGTTCCCGTGCTTTATGCTTCATTCGACTTAGCCCCGGGATGCCCCGGTGTGCCAAGACATGGAATTTCGGGGTTAAGGATGCGTATCCCTCCAGTGTCCCTCGAGTCCCCGTTGATGTATTGTATATACCTGTACCGCCCATAGCAGTAACGGATGCTTTTCCTCTCCATATCTAGTGTTTCCAAACCCCTTAGTGAGGCTATAAATTTGACCATTCGATTTTGTTCTCCACGTTCGTAACGGCCGGCCGGTCACTTTTGGGCAGTCGGGGTGGGTGTCAATATGTCAGCCCTGCAGGACCTTTTGTTACACAATACAAGGCGAGCACCGCCTCATAGATGCATATCCGTCGGAGCAACCCGTAGCGCGGGGTAATGACAAACGCACCTTTAAGATCTGGCATCAGTCCACTTTCACCCAAAGATTTCCCTTATCGCTTAATTAGTCAGGGTGTGTGTGTTACAACCAACCTACACGTTACCTACCTTATTCTCACTTCTTGTCCCACTGCATTGTAGTAACTGCACCATTATCATCCGCTGGGGAGCTGCGACAACGCCACAATGCATTCAGGCAGGCGGAAACGAGAAGTGTCAGCGTGTATACCTTGCCACACAAGGAAGCAAAAGGTACATATCAGCCCTAGTTGGATCTCCCTGGGGTATCACCCTTCTGCTAAGTTGCTAACATTGGAGGCCGCCTGGGCAGTGCGATCGTCAATATCCGTGCAACAGGTGCAGCCGTCGGCGGCAACCGGAGTTGTGTGCCTATTATTCATTTCAGGTCCAGAGACAGGCACCCAGCCCGGCGGCACTAGCGGACAAGAGCCGAAGTGAAGATGTACAACCTGAGATGGTAACCGAACGGCGCGATCCGGACAGCATGAACGACGGCGAGCCAGAGGATGACACCTCGGAAACGTTCGCGACCCCCTGGAAGAGGTCCGGGTGGTCGTCGCTGGCGGAAGCGTTCGGGTACGACGGCCGGAGCGAATGCAACACCATGGCACTTGTCCGGAAGCTGGCACCGGAAGATGACAGAGCCGATCTCAGAGACAAGCCCATACCGGCCGAGATCGAGGCCCAGGTCCGCAAGGCCTTGGACATGATGCCCAGCCGTCGCATAATCGACTTCCTGGTAAGATATTTCGTGACCGAGGTCAACCAGCTCGACCAACTCCTATATCCACCGTGGTTCCTCGGCCAGTACCAGCAATGGTGGGGACTCTACAGCGTCTCCACGGTGGCCGAGATTGAATTCCTCGTTCTCATTTTGAGGATATGTTGCTACGCTTCGCAGTTTCTTCCTTCACCCAGTTATACCATCGACAGCATCAAAGGAGTGCCCCTTACCGAGATCCGCAAGTCCTGCGAGGACGTCATCCAGGTGCTTGGGCCCATCTGCAGCCGTCTGTATCCCCGGGGCTCGTTGGTCCGCGTGCAACAGATCGCTTACGGCGGGCTTGCGGCGGGGAGTATTGGCCACATGAATAGCTTCTGGGAGATGATCAGTTGTGCTAGCCGGGTAGCTCAACACATTGGGTTACATCTAAACGCCGTCATTTCCGCCAGCAGCGCGGATGAGATGGACAAGGAGATGACACGGCGAACATATTGCAACCTCTACATATGGGACAGGTATGGGCACTTTATTCTTGGGGGACAATTGCACAAAAGCTGACCTTTGGCGAGCAGCTACCTTGCTAGGCATCTTGACCGCATCCCATTCCTTCCTGACACCCTCAACGCCGATATTCTACCCCGAATGCGTCTCCTTCCCGATAGTATTGGCTTTGACTCCGAAACCTCGGATGTCCCAAACGTGTTTACGGAGCGCCTTCTTCGAGCACGGCTCGCCGAATTCTGGCGGTGCCACCGCCTACCCCGAAGCCCCGAGTGGGATGTGATAGCGGCAGAAGAAGTCTACGAAGAATTCTGCAGCTCCTTCCTCCAAACCATGCCGCCCGCGTTCGCCTTGGAACCAGACACCCAGTGGGACGAACACCTACCCACGCTTGTCATGCAGCGGCAGCTGCTCCACATTGCCATCTTCGAGCAGATCTGCTGGAACTTCAAACCCACCGTTCTCCAACAATCCGACCAAGTCAGCCGCCTCCCCCTCTACAAACAAGTCATGATGTCACACGGCAAGCGGGCTCTCGCCGCCGCCGCGCTGCGGCTCCTCCAGTGCGTCTCGACGCTGCACCGGCTGATGGGCGGCTCGCACACGCGCTTCTCGGGCATCATCGTGCCGACCTTCGAGGCGGCCGTGCCGCTGCTGTGCCTGTGTGCCGACCCCAGCTTCCCGGGTGACACCATCCAGCACGGCGGGCCGTTGCCCTACGGCAACGGCAACGGTAACAGCAGCAACAGCCACGGGCGCAGCGCCAACCCGCTCGAGGCGCGCATCGGCCAGGTCACGCGCGCCGAGTGCGTCCAGGCCGCCCGCGACGCACTGGCCACGCTGGAAACGCTCGCCCAGGTCAGCGAGGTGGCCGAGGTCGGGGCGCGCACCCTCGCGCGCCTGATTAGTAGGGTCGACAGCCTGTCGCCACTGAGTACTAGTGACACGCTGTATGGCAGCGGTGGGGAGGCGGACATGGGTGGTGGTGGGATGGCAGCTTCTATGCCGGTGGACGGCGGAGGGGTCTGGCGTTCGAGTGCCGATGCCATGCGGGAATGTGTTGCGGGAGGAGGCGCCGGAGCGGGCGTTCAGCAGGCTTATCCATTTGTTGGCAGTATGTGCGCTGGGGTCAGCCCGGGTTGGGCGGACCTGTTGGGGGACCTGACGGATACCTTTGGGATTGAGGTTGAGGATATGGATTTCGCGAAAAAGGGGGGATCTGTCTATTAGACTCCATTGATACCGCTCTCTTTATTTGTATGTAGGTTTAATTCCAGTTTGTTTACCAGTCGATCATCAACCACGGGTACTTATTCATGTTGTGTAATTCACGCAGACTCGCAGTGGTTTTCAGCCCCCCCCCATCTGTGACCGGTGAGGTCCAGTTTTGTTCGGTCGGTCGCTCGGTTCGGGCGATTGGTTGGTTGCATTCATTTCAGGTGACAAAGAACTCAGCTACCTGCTAGCGGTCATGACACTCCGTCCGTCCTACCTGAAGTCAAGGCATCTGAGAAGGCCTAGAGAGGTATCCAGGGGCCCGGGTGTCAAGTCATCAGGTTGGATAACACGTTACACATAGCCTCTAGTCTCTCAATTTGTCATGTTGTTTACTGCCTCAGCTGCATTACTAACTGAGCATCAGAGCATGCAATGACAACCGGCAGGAGGACGGTAGATGCGATTCAACAACGCAGGTACATCTTTGGACCGACCCGTCTATCCGTATCTCGGACTTGTCCCACCTCGGACTTAACCCCCGTCGGCCTGATCCCACCTCGGCATCTTTTCAGTTTCCCCGGACAGCACAGGCTAAGCTTGTGCCTGCATCCCTGAGCCATCTGCGTGCGGTGCGGCACTGTGCGCACACTGACTCGGCGTTTCCGATCGCCGACAAATGTCGGCCGACCATTTTCGGTAAACTACCACTTAGGGATGTTCGGCCCAACACGGACAATTACTTAGTTTGTCATGGCCCATCTTCTCATCTGCCGCAGCAGAAAGGCGCTCAGCAGTGGCATGCTCGGCCCCGCGCTTTCGGCGTTGACGACGGCGTGCGGGCGGACAACGTGGACGTCGGACTGTGATCGGCGATGGGGTTTTTGTTGTCTACGGACCCAGGTAAGGTCGGTTACAGGTGCCCTAAGGTCCATAGTTACGCAGTAGCTAGGGCTATTCCCTTAGACAGACTTCATCTCCCGTCCTCTCAGTCGCTCGTTCGAAACCGGCTTTGTGTTGCAACCCTTTTTCGCCGCCGGAATCGATACAAAGCATAATGTTGACGTTTCCGCTATACGCTGGATGGAGTTTGCATTCTCCATTGACGACGGCGGTAGTCGCCATCGCTACCATCTTGTCTCTTGCTCTGTGCCTGCTTTACCTGTGGTTGAGACCAAAACCGCTTCCTGGGATCCCATACAATGCTGAGGCGACAAAGAGTTTATGGGGAGACTTACCTGCTTGGAACCGCTACGCCGCACAAAACGGCGAACTCAGTTCATGGTTGGGCGAACTCTGCCTGAAGCACCGATCTCCCGTTGCCCAGGCCTTCATACACCCGTTCTCAAAACCATGGATCCTTGTGGCGGATTTTCATGAGGCTCAGGACATCCTCATGAGGCGGACCGACTTTGAGAAGCCACAGTTTTTGATCGACGGTCTGGCTGCTCTGGGCAGCTTCCACGCCCGATACAAGACGAACGATGGCCAGTTCAAGGTCAGCCGCCAAATCAGGCAAGATCTGATGGCTCCCAAGTTTCTCAACGGCTACATCGGCCCCTTTGCGCACGTCAAGGGGCTCCAGATCGTCAAGCTCTTCGAGGCCAAGGCAGAGCTCGCCAGTGGTCGGCCGTTTCACATTCAAAAGGACTTCGCCCGTGTTGTGCTCGACATCATGCTCCACCACGCATTCGGGGACGAGTACGAGGAGTCGGCAACGGAGCCGCAGCTGGAACTCCTTGATAAGCTGACCCCGTCGTCGATACCGGCAGGTAGCAGGGACGAGCCTGTGAATTTCCCCGAGGCGCGTCAAAGTTTATTCTTCGAAGTCCTGCACGAGACCGCCGAGGTCATGGAGCGGACCACCATCTCGCCAACGCCACGACTAAGCCACTGGTGGTGGTCCAAGCAAGGCTGGTACAAAAAGATCGTCGAGGAGCGACATAACGTTATGGCGGGGTTGCTCAAAAAGGCCGCCGCCAACGTCCGAGCCGGCAAGGCCCAGTCGGCCCTCGAGCACATGATGATGCGGGAGCAGACCCTGGCCGAGAAGCAGGGCCGAGAGCCCCGACTCGTCAGCCGGAACATGTCGGACGAGATGTTTGCCGACCCCATGACCGGCCACCACACGACCAGCAGCGCCATGACGTGGGTAACCAAGTATCTCACGGGCTACCAACACGCCCAAAAGCGGCTGCGCGAGGAGCTGTACGCCACGTTCCCCCAGGCGGTCCACGAGAAGCGCCCGCCAACGTTTGAGGAGCTGCGCCAAGCCAGGCTCCCCTACCTTGAGGCCGTCATTGAAGAGTCACGACGCCTGACCCCTTTCGTCATCGTTCGGGAAGCCGCGCAGGACCTGGACATCCTGGGCCACAAAGTCCCCAAGGGCAGCCAGTGCTTCATGCTCAGCGCCGGGCCCGGCATCACGCTGCCTTCGGTGCCCGTGGACGAGAACAAACGCAGCCCGTCCTCCAAGGCTGGGAAACGCTGGGGCGTGTGGGACGAGTCGCGGGATCTAAAGCTGTTTGAGCCGGAGCGCTGGCTCGTGGCTCGGGAGGACGGCGGATACGACTTTGATGCCACGGCGGGACCGCAGCTCGGCTTTGGTATGGGCCCCCGTCAGTGCTGGGGCAGGCGCCTGGCGCAGCTTGCGGTTAGGACGGTCATTGCTTTGGTCGTTTGGGAATTGGAGCTGTTAGAGATACCCGACGAGTTGGGAGGGTATGCTGGGTTGGATGGCATCTCACGACAGCCGGTCAAGGCGTTTGCACGGATGAGGAAGATAACTCCTTACGAGGTTAAAGCACAAAGCCTGTAGATTATTGAACGGAAGGGAAGAGCTTCGCTTTCGTAAGATAAGCGGCACGTCCGTAGAGCTGTCCGTGAAACGCCAAGTTATACGAATAACAGGTCTCGTCGTCATGGTTGCATTATTTCAACATTCGGGTTGAAGCTCTGTGAAGGACCAATTGTACATAGCTTTAATTGAACACCCTTCCATTCGTGTTGTGCCATGTCACATCTAATAATGCGACTGTTACACGCAGTTGCTGCCGTGGAGGCCGACGCCTGGCTGCATCATTACCAGGACGCCTCAGATCACTATTTTTAGCAGCTGGTCAAGACAGCAAATGTGAAACCGATCTGCGTCGGTTCAGGCCAAACAAGGGCTAGAGGAGAGGGAATGGCACGTGAGCGGCCATGCATGCAGGTGTTGACAGCGTTGGTATAAGGAAACGTTCGGAGGTAGATCCATGATGCTACGCGTTGACCGCATTTGTGCACCGTAAAACCCCTTTCCAAACAGCATATTGGGCCAGAAGTTAGTTCCACACAGTTGTTCAATTGTGAACAATTACAGAATCAAGGTAGGAGGAAAGCTTGCCTACCTATGGATCTAGCTAGACCTTTACAGCTGGATGATATATTAACAGGTAACATCTGATTATATGTTATGTGGCTCATCAGAGACTCAAGGTCGGGAGTCCGATAATAGAGCACTCTCCATTACAGCACTTAACGCTTGTTGAGTTCTTCGGTTCTTCCCTATCGAGTAGTCATGCTCTTCCAATCCCTGTTTTTCTTTTTTATTAACCTTACGAGACCGTCGTCTTCGGGTCAGATGTGTAGTGGTTGTCCTGCTGATTGGTTACCGTCCAGTTGGTGCCCCCTGAGTTGGACTTCGCTCAGTGGCGCGCGGTGACATACCTGTGAACATGCGTCATCGCCGAAAGGATCAGTCTTGGGCATCGGCCGAACACAATCCAGGATTCCACTTAGGTGCAAACAAAGGATAAACAAGGGGTGAAGCACCTGATTGTTGGAACCGAGGTGCCCGGGGTACATTGGATGAGTCTGGGCCGTCCAACGTTATCCTAGTGTAGACCCGGCTGCGCCGCAGAGCATCGCCGTCCGGTCTCCGCTCCTGGCCGTCGATTTTCGGTCGAGGGTTTTACTCTTGAAAGAACGAGAAAAAATGTTTATCATGAGCGCTGACTGCGGTATCCCCGTAACGACCAGTACGGATATTTAAACATGCATCGTCCAATGTTCGAACCCCTTTTTCTGTCGTACCTACGCGGAGACTGTCAACGTCGCCACATGATATCTTAGCCATCTTTACGATGCCGTTGCCGTCTTCTGTTGCCTTATACGGCCTAGCGCTCGCGTTTGGCTTTGTGACTGGGACTACCCTTCCGATCTCCGAAGTCAACAAAAGACAGGAGAGATGTGTTGCAAGCACGCAAACCCAAGAGGAGCTCGCCTCTCTTCTTTCCAAGAAGGCAACCATCCTGGGACCGACTAGTGTGGATTGGGCAGATGTGACTGAGAGGTACATGGCGCAGGTTCAACCTACGGTCTGCCTATCCGTACGTCCCGGAACGGAGGATGATGTGGCAGAGATTGTAAGCCGCCTTTCTTATCGGAAGAGACAAACCATTCTGACTTTGTCCCAGGTTCGATTCGCAAATCGACTTGATGTCCCATTCTACACAGTCAGCCGTGGCCACGCCTTAACAGAAAGTGTTGGGCGTTTCCGAGGCATCGAGATTGATCTGAGGGACCTTAGGGCCTTTGAAGTCAACCCAAATAACGTGACAGCCTTTTTCCAAGGTGGCGCGTACAGCCACGAAGTGATCGACGGTCTTTGGGACCAAGGATTTGTCACAGGTAACGCCTACGTTGGAAGTAAGAAAGATGGAAGGCATGGCTGACAAAGGCTCCGCTCGATAGGCACCGGAGGCTGCGAATGTGTGAGCGTTATCGGCCCGGCCCTGGGTGGCGGCCATGGCCTACAACAAGGCCGACACGGGTTAACCATGGACATGCTTGTTAACCTGAACGTTGTGTTGGCCAACGGAACCGCCGTCCAGGTCAACGAGACCAGCCACCCGGACCTCTGGTGGGCCATGCGAGGCGCCGGTCACAACTTCGGCATCGTCACGAGCTTCGAATCCAAAATCTGGCCCGAAGACAAGTCGAAGACCTATCTAGTCAAGACATACCAGTTTGCTGGACGATCTCTAGAGGCTGTGATTGATCGAGTAAACGAATTCCAAGGCCTCGGCACTCTCGATCCCTCATGGCTTGCCTCTTTTGGTCTTTACATCATGAATACAACTTTGAGCAAGACTGAGGTACAGTACATCATATCCCGAGCAGACGGAGACAAGTTTTAACCACCCCCCTAGGCCACTATAAACTGGGCCTTCGTATTCAGTGGCTCGCCGGAGGAGGGCCACGCGGTGCTGAAGCCTTTTGACGACCTCGGACCCCTGTCTGTGGATGTGGTGAACGTCCCCTATCGTGTTGTTAATGAATACGTCGGCGGGGGAATGGAAGGGCGGCTGTGCGAAGGGAACAAGACCCACGTCATTGGGACAGCCAACCTCCAGACCTATAACAAGACATCTATGCGTGCTATTTACGATCTATACAACGAGAGGATCCGCCAACATCCTAGGCTTGGAGATACTCGAGTGTTGGTAGAAGGGTACTCAGTCGAAGGCGTGCTCAGCCACCGCTCGGAGGACTCGGCTTACGCTCTACGCGACGAACACATTTTAACGTGAGCACATTGACAAAAGCCCCTGATGGCCGGTCGACTCTTGGCGCTGACGAGAACTGAGCAGATATTTTGACACGAGGTTTGACTCGATGGATGATCCTCTCATTCCCTTTGCCACGGAATGGCGTGACCACACGGTAGCGTTGTGGTATGGGGGACAGCCGGAGAGGCGGCCTACAACCTACGTAAACTACGCCGCGGGGTACGAGTCGCTCGAAGCCAGGTACGGGCATGAAACATGGCGGCTGGAGAAACTGCGCAAATTGAAGCGTCAGTACGACCCTGATAACAAGTTTGCCTGGTACAACCCCATCTTCCCCCCTGCTTAGGTAAAGGTTTAGACAAATCAGCTTGCTTAGGGTACCTGAAAGAGCGTGGTACGACAGGAGGGTACTGAGAAGTCGTACATACAGATCACAAGATGTCTGCGTAGGTAGTAAGCTCAGGAGCGAAGCTTCATGAAGGCAATCTTATTCAACAGAATACTTCTAGAAATTCACTATTTATACTGCTTGAATGTTGGTGTACTTGGGCGATTGCCCTTCTGCGCAGTGTAAACTGACACACACATCTAGAGTGGGGTGCAAACAGAATATAAGGAATGACTTAAAGGGGGTAAAAAAGGGGCAAAAACTAGAAACCATGAACCCGAACTCCAATCGCAGCGCAGCCCCTTTTTCACCCGGCCAACGCCTTGTCAATAATCCCCTCGGCTAACGCCCGAATGCTCAGGGTCGAATCCAGCAAATTCCTCATATCCGCCCTGAGCGCCTGCAAGAACCAATTGCGCAGTTCGGCCGCAATCAGACTATCCACGCCATGCTCAGCCACGCTCTTCCCCGGATTGACATTCCCAACATCAATAAACAGCATCTCCGCAATCGCACTGCACACTCCCCCCGTCACGAGCACCACCGCCGCGTCCCGCCCGTCCGCCCCAGCCTTGATCGCCTCGTCAAACGCCCGCCGCTGCCGCACGACCCCCCCCTCACCATGATCACCCCCATCCCCACCCTCATTCGCAGCGCTGCTGCTCGCGTGCCGCCGCGCGTCGGCAACAGCCCGCATGAGCAGCGCCACCCGCCCGTCGCGGTGCCAGCGCGGCACGTTGGCCGCCGTTTTGCTCGCCAGCTCCAGCGGGCTGAGGCAGGTGAAGTAGGTGGCTGCCGAGAGCGGGTCGAACCGGTGGCTGGCCGCCCAGGCGTCTTGGTCCTTGGAGCAGGAGGAGCTTACTAAGGCCGGCTCTAGTGCGGCGAGGGCCTGGTGCTCGGTCATGGTGCAGGCCAGGTTGCGCGCGTACATGTCCTCGGTGCCGTGCGAGGTCGCGCGGTAGTCGGAGCCGAGGTCGTGCACGAAGCCGTAGGAGACGGTGGATGCGGGGAGGTTCTGGCTGCGCCGGAAGCGCGCGAAGTAGGTCGCGAAGTTGTCCGCCGCGATGTAGGCTGCTTGTGTGGGTGGTGCCCAGATGGTTTCGGTGCTGGTCAGCATGACGAAGAAGGCGAGCGGTTCTGAGAGGGTGGCTTCGTGCAGGTTGATGGATCCTAGGGTCTTGGCTACCGTGCCGCTGCGGAACTGGTCCATGGTTAGCTTGTCGAAGGATAGATCCGACAGCGACAGCACCGCGTGCACAACACCCCTGATGGGGCGCGCGGTGGAGGTCTTGATCAGCGAAATGGTCTGCATAACCTCTTCCTGTTGGCTCACGTCGCAGCCCATGGTTTCCAGGTTGACACCTTGGGCTTCCATGTCGTCGATCAGTAGCTGTGCTGCTGGCACACTCCGGGCCGCGGCGCCTCGCCTGGAGAGGGTGACAAAGTGGCGTGCGCCGCGGTCGGCCATCCAACGGATGATGCTGCGACCAAGGCCGCCCAACCCACCCGTGATGATGTAAAGGGCCTCGGAGTCGAAGGTCACCGGTTGCGGTTCCCTAAGCAGCTTGATAGTTGCGGTGGGGCCCTGGAATGAAACGACGGTCTTTCCCACGTGCGTTCCCTTCGATAGGGCGAGCAAGGTCTGGTCGAGCTCCGAGACGGAGGTCACGGAAACCGGATGGACGGGGCTGATTTGACCGGCTTGGTACAGCCAGTGTACTTTCTTCATCAGCTCAGCGCCAAGCTCTGCATCGTTGTCCAAAATGGCACCGATGTCAAATGATGAGAAGTTGCTGTTGTTGCGGAGCATCTCGAGGTTTTCCGTTGCCTTCATGGACTCGAGCATATTGAGCAAGCGGCCGCCTACGTCAATGAGGTGACCCATGGGTGCGACGGCCTTGATGAGATGGTAGAGAGAATCGCGGTCCTCTTCGCCTGCGCTGAGAATGCTGAGAACAGCATCAAATCCGCCCCTGCTTGTCGCTCTGGCAGCGTAGACCAGGGCTTCTGGACCGTCAGAGGACGAGATGATGTGATCGCGTTGAATCCCAGCGGTATCAGCCAGGAAGGAAGCTTCATCCGCGTCGCGGGCAATGGCAAAGATGTTGGCCCCCTTGGACCGGGCGATTTGAATTGCTGCGAGCCCCAGACCTTCAGCAGCGGCTTGGATTAGAACGCTATGGCTTTTCCTGAGCCGCGTGACGTAGTCAAAGGCATAGAGGGCTGAGGCATAGTCAATAGGCATCGTGGCAGCCTCGACCAAGTCATCCGTGAGCTGAAGCCGTTGTGCAAAGGCGGCTGGAACTCTCTCGTAGTTTCCAAAGTGCCCCTTGCCAATGCCGTAAACCCGGTCACCAACGGATAGTCCGATTACGTTGGTCCCGACCATGGTCACAGTTCCGGCGTATTCGGATGAGAGGTATCTGGTCGAACCCTCGCGACCAGAGGCAACCGAGACGTCCTTCCAGTTCAGCCCTGCGGCGGCAATCTGGACTTCAATGTGGTCAACCGGCAGGGGCTGCAGGAGCTCGGCATAGGAACGGAAATACAAAGAGTTCACAACACCGGCTGTCTCAAACGCTGCGCGAACGGGCTTTTGGGCGCCCAGGGACTCCAAGGGCCGCATGTCGAATCCTTGGTGGGCTGGAGTCCTGATCGTGTCCGAATAGTCACCGAGCCCTGCATCGGGGACTACCCGGCTCACCCACATACAACCGTCCTGCCACGCGAATTCGGAATCCACGCTTGCCCCATCAGATTCCTGGGCTTGTTGTAAAGAGGCTTCGCTGTCGACGATTGCGCGTGTGAGGTCGTCATCGGCGCTCTCGAAGCCGTGGCCCTCGACATTGATCGAGACGAACCGTCCGGCCGGGTTCTCTGTTGCCAGGACCCGGAGAAGGCCGGCCATGAAGGCACCGCGGGGATCCTGTCCCTTGATTATGCCGCCCGACGTCAACCAAACCATACTCTTGGCGTTCCGGGCAAGATGTTGGAACGCCTCGAAGCGGTGGGCATCCTCGGTGTCGAAAAGATCGTTCTTGTCGCTCAAGAGGGCGACCACGCGGGCGTCGGGCGGTACCGCACCATCCGCTGCGCTATCCAGGGCCAAGGCTCTGCAAGAGGTACCGCGCCGCGCAAACTCTGCCACGAGTTGTTGTCCCAGCACATCCAGCGTACTTTGGCCATCATGGAGGAGATAGACTAACGCCTCCTCCACCTCCTCCTTTCCATTCTGCGCGCCATGCTCGTGCTGTTGGTGCTGTTCAGGCTCCACACGCGTCGTCACCAAGACCGACGTCGTCGCATGAGGGGCTTCATAGTCATCAACATGGATATCCACTCCCGAAAACCCCGACTCCTGCAGCCGCCGCTGCCAGATATCGAGGTTCATAAACGGCCCCTCGGTCCGAGCGTCCTCATGCTGCCAATACCCCGTGAGGGTGCCGTACAAGAGACCAAGCAGGACCCGCATGCGCGTGGTTTCGGCCAGTACCAGTGTGCCCCCTGGCTTAAGCAGGCTGCGACAGTGCGCCAGCGTGCGCTCCATGCTCGCCGTGGCGTGGATGGCCTCGCACGCCAGCACGATGTCGTACACGGGCTCGTAGCCGTGCGCCATGGGGTCCTGCTCGATGTCCAGCACCGAGTAGTGGATGTCCCGGTACCCGGCCAGCATCTCCTTGGCGCCTGCGAGGAACCCGGCCGAGATGTCGGTGAAAGTGTAGTCGGCGTAGCGCTTGATGCCGTTGGGGCCGGCTAGGGCCTTCATCGCCCCGCGTGTGGCGGACCCGGTCCCGGCGCCGATCTCAAGGATGCGGGCGTTGGGGTTCGCGTGGGCTAGTGAGTCGATGATGTTGAATACTTGGGGATGGGAACCGGCGATGGCGGTGCCGACCTCGTACAGCGGTGTGAGCAGCATGTTGGAGATCAGCACGTCGATGCCGGTTCTCCGTTCGTGGAGGATGTCGGCCGCATTTTCGTGCAGAAGCTGGGCGGCCTTCGCCTCAGGTCGGTCCCCCACTTGGGTGTAGAGTTGTTGCAGCATCTCGCGGCGCTGTTCCGGAGATAGCTTCCGAGCTTCGACTACCTGCGCCCTTTGGTCCTCCTCGACAAGCCTCTTGACCCAGGCTAGCCAGTGCCTTATGTCACCTTTAGGGGTGACCTTGTCAGTGCCCGTGACGAAGGTGTCGTGTATCTCGAAGGCAACCAGGGAGCAGATCATCTCGAGGACCTCGAGGTCAGCGGCCATCTGTGCGTTTTCGGCCGGTGGTGGAAACAGCTTCCGTGCTTGATCATTGCTGAGCGTGCGGATGTCGGGCTTCCACTCCAGCCTGGTGAAGGGGCTGCTAAAGGGCAGCCTGGACTGCGCGTCGTTGGTCTTGGTCTCTTTGAAACTTGCAAACCGCATCATATCCACCTCGAGGAAGACATCGCCGCGGGCGTCTAGCATCTGCAAGTGCGCCTGGGCGCTTCGGAGCCCTTGAATCGACCCTTGGGCGACCGCACTGGCTGACTCCTCGCCATGCAGGCCTGCTTTCAAATATAGCTGCGATAGATGGACTGGAACAAACGCTGTCGTGGCTTTCTCGAGCTCACCCCCATAAAAGGCGATGATGGCCAGCTGAAACGCGGCGTCCAGAGCAGCCGGGTGCAGAGGGTAGCTGGACTCACCCTCTTTCACTGTCCCATCGGTTGTGTTCAAGGCTACTGTGGCCGTGGCGAGGTTCCGATGGGGATCCACCTGAAGATCTGATAGGGGTTGGAACGTTTTGCGATACTCCAGCCCGATCTCGTGGAACTTGCCGTACCATCCCTGAACACTTGGGAATCGTGGGTCCATCTCGGTGCTCATCTTGACCCGTTGTGCTGGCGGAGACACCTCGACCCTGACCAAGCCGGTGCAATGCTGCGTCCACTCGCTCGAGTCTCGGGTGACTGACGTAACAGTAAACTTGGCCCATGCGGGTGATTTTGCCGTTGCCGTATCCACGACATCCAGGCTGATGATGACTTCGACGCCGTAGTCATCCTCGGGGATCCTCAGAGCAGTGTCGATATCAACATTTCTGAAAGAATAACCAGTGATTTCCAGGGCGCCTGGGAGACCACGGTACACTCTCATGGCAGCCTCGACTCCCACCGCAATGAAGCCAGCGGCAGGGAAGACGGCATCCGGCACGAGACGGTGATCACTCAGCCATGGAACATCCTTGGCGCGAAGAACATTCCTCCATTGGGGCTGAAGCTTGCCGGACCCTAGCACCTCAGAGCCCAGGAGGTCATGCCTGAGGAAGTCTCGTATGCGATATTCCTTGCTAATTCTGCTCTCGTAGTAACTGACTGGTCCATACGTGTACTGGTAGGCTGGAAGGTCAACCGCAAGGCAGCCATGTGTCAAGGCGGGCCCGGAGGAGGTAATCGAGACGTCTGAGTCGGTGGCATTGACGGCAGGCATGTCTATGTCGGCGTTAATGGCGAACAGGGTTCCGGCAAGCTGCAGCAGCGACTTGACACCGTCCTCGTTCCTCTGCAACGATGGCACATAGGTCGCAGGTTTGCCGATGCTCTTGAGAATTTGCTCCACGGGGCCTTTCAGAGCGGCATGGGGTCCAATTTCGACCAGGACATCGATTGCCGTCCCATCAATACCGTCCGCCGTCATCATTTTCGTCACGGCCTGGGTGAAACGCACGGGCGACTCCAGGTTCTCCCTCCAGTAACGGGCCTTCAGGTCTCCATCAGCAACGACTTTGTCCGGCTTCACCGACGAGGCCCAAGGAACTTTGGGATATCGCGCGACTTCGTCGACCAGCCCCAGCTCCCGAAGGCGCTCTTCGCCGCGTTCAAGCATATCAAGATATTCGCTACCAACCGCCAACATGTGGTGCGAGTGGTAAGCGCTGCCTGATGTGCGTAGGATCCGGTTGAAGACACCTTCTTTGGACAGCACGGCAGAGAGAGCTTCGATAGCATCTGCATCACCCGAGAGCGTAACACTGCCGGGAGAGTTGATGGCTGCGATGACGACCTGCTCTTCCCTTCCCTCAAGGTAGCTCGACACCTCCTCTACGCCCAGACCGACGGCCAACATAGCTCCTTTCTTCGTGTTCTTGATAAGAGCCTGGCCGCGGAAGTATGCCGCCGCGATGGCTTGGGCGGCAGTAAGATAGCCAGAGGCATACGCAGCGGCCATCTCACCCGAGGAGTGCCCGACCACGGCGGCGGGCCGAACTGACCAAGAGGCTAACAAGTCCACAATGCCTATCTGGACAGCTGTGCATGCAACCTGCGACACCTGGGGAGACTGGATGTGTTCTGGCTCGTACTCGCCTGACAGGGTGGCGGCGATGGTCCACGTGGGAGGGTTGGGAACCTTCTCGAGGATATGGTCGAGGAAGGAAATTGTGTTTCGGAATACGCCGTACTCAAAGAGCTGTGCGCCCATGGCATGCCACTGCGCGCCCTGACCGGTGAAGACAAAGCCGACTGTGCTGGGCTGGATGGGGCTGTTGAAGACCCGCTGGTCAGACGTAAAGTCAACACCGGAAGCAACCTTGCCGGTTTCCACAACGACAAAGGTCCGCTGCTGGAGGCGGGAACGTTTGCTACCCAGGGTGTAAGCAATGTCGGCGAGGCTGAACCGGTTGGCGACCTTGGACAAGGCGTTGATGTTCTGCTCGAGGGAAGTCGTGTTGTGAGCCGAGAAAGGGAGCACGACCCAGGGCCGAGTGGATGCATTTGCACTGGCCGACTTGGTCACTGTTGAAACGAGGGGCGAGTGATGCGGGACATTAGTGGTCGACTCGTTGCTGCCGCTTCCGTTTGTATGATGGTGCCCATTACCGTTGGAGAAGCCGTTGCCATTAGACGAGCCAGTGGAGTGACCGTTGGAGTGTCCATTCGCGTCTCCATTGGACTGACCGTTGGAGTGTCCATTCGCGTCTCCATTGGACTGACCGTTGGAGTGTCCATTGGAGTAGCCATTGGAGTGACCATTAGAGTGACCGTTGGCGTGTCCATTCTGGCTAGTTCCGTTAGAATGGCCGTTCAAGGCTGCTGAGATCGAGGGAGTGGCCTTTATCAGCCCAGGCTTCACATAGCCCGGCAGTACCTCGTTGACCTGGTCGATAATGCAGTGGCCGTTGGCACCACCGAAGCCAAACGAGTTCACACTTGCACGGCGAAGCTTGCCCTTGGGCCACGGCACTGGCCCATCCATAACGACAGTCACATTTGCCCCATCGAAGTCGATGTCTGGGTTCAGATTCTGCACGCCGTACGTCGGGGGGATCTCGCCAGCCTCGAGAGACAGAACAACCTTCATGATAGAAGCCAGTGCGCTTGCTCCTTCGGTGTGGCCAAGGTTGGGCTTGATAGACCCGATCAACAAGCGGTCTTCGGGAGCGTCCGAATCTTTCGACGGTGCAAATACGTTTCCAACGGCCGATACTTCGAGGGGGTCGCCTGCTGGAGTACCGGTTCCGTGGCACTCGAAGAAGGCAGTATCTTGGAAGGGAAGATTCCCGGCATTCTTATAGGCCTCGCGGATACAATCCTCCTGGCCCCTCGCACTGGGCCGCGTGATACCACCGGTTTTGCCGTTGGCGTTGGCAGCGGTACCGCGGATCATAGCTCGGATAGGCAGTTCTTCCAAGACAGCGAGCGAGGATTTCTTGAGGTAGAGGGCGACAAAGCCCTCGCCGCGGGCATACCCGTCAGCAGCGGCGTCAAATGTGTGGCACCGCGATGTCGGGGATAGGGCACCCAGCTTATCGAGCACAATTTGCATGCTTGGGTCGCTGATCCAGTTGGCGGCGGCCACCACAGCGCCATCACAATCGCCGCTGCGGATGGCGCTCACAGCTAGATGCAACGCGTACATGGACGACGAGCACGCTGTGTTTGTCGCGAGACTCGGTCCACGCAGGTTGAAAACGTAACTGAGCCGGTTGGCTAGAATGCTCGTCTCAGCACCCGTTGATGCGTAGGGTTTGGTGTAATCCCACTCCCGCGCCTGGATAAGCAAGTGGTCTAGAGCGAAGTTGCCGATATAAACACCGGTTCGAGACCCGGAAATGCTGTCCCAGGTCTCACCGGCATTCTCAAAGGCCTCATAGACTATGACAAGCACGGTTAGCTTCTCAGGCTTCAAGGTTCCTGGTGTTCTGAATACTCCGAATGACAAGGCCCCATCGTCACTTACCCACTTCGAGAAGTTTGCGCTGATTCGGGTCCATAGTCTCGACCTCACGGCCCGTCATGCCGAAGAAAGCATGGTCGAATAGCCGCGGGTCTTCATCGCAAAGGAAGCCACCCCGTTGCCTAACAGACCCCGGCCGGTCTTGGTTGGGGTGGTAGAAGCCGTCGGCAGGGAAGCGTGGCTCGCTGAACTCCCTCCATCCGTCTTGCTTGTTTCGTAATAGTTCCCATAGCCCTGGGGAATCTTTTACTCCGCCAGCCCACCGACATCCTGTCTCATTATTTAGCACAGTGGAGATAGAGAGGGGAAAGGAGTCAGGGTCGTCTCACCCATGCCCACTATGGCCACCGGCTCGTTCTCCCCCTCCAGAATCGAAGGAACAGTCATCTTCGTTGAAATAAGATGATCGAAGTTCCCGTGTGCAATCAGAGTCGATACGTGCTAAGTTAAGTTTCTAGTTGTTGTGTTGTTGTTGAAATGGTAAGTTGACTGTCTCCTCACTGGTGAAGTCTTTGATGCTGAGCTTAAAAGTGCGAAAGTTGGAGCGATCTGGGCTTGTAATGTAAGGTATGTAAGCGCGCGTACTAAAGTTCATTTTGCACCTATCCCGTGCACAATTTCCTATAGCAACCTCTCGACACGGAGTCAATCACCTCATGCCACACAATCGCCGTTGACCTTGGTCCCTATTAGTTGTCAGACCGATTTGACACACATGTCGGCCGACCGATACCGATCCCGGAGAAGATAATCATCTCTAACCTATCCCCCTGTTCCGACGATACGACCTCAACGGCCTTGGTTTCTGTTGTAAGTCCGTCTCACGGCCGCGGCCGATGAAGAGATATCAAATCCGACATTTCTCGGCCTACGGGACCTCGCCCTCTCCAGTAGTGCAGTAACAAATCCATTCGACAGATGGTAATAAGATGCCTTCGTGCCTACTGCCTGGTAGACGAATGAGCCTTCTTAGTCAACCGGTCCCTATCTCGTCCTAATATTTATACCTGATTTGTGTCCATCGCCAGTATTCATAGCAAACGAAACGCCATAGTTGGTTTGTCATCATGGGTTCCATCGCGAAACAAGAAGAGGCTTCTATCCTCAGCCTGGCTGAGGGCATCTTGAAGGATACCAAGCAAGTCATAAGCTACCTCAAATCGTCCAAGGCAGCCCTGCCGACCTTCTCAGCCGCAGCAGAGCCACTGCCTACCGCGCCCGACTTCCAACAGCTCCAGACCAGTCTAAGGACGCAGCTTGAAGACCTGCAACTCCTAGTCGATGGCCCAGCAAGATTCTACCGGTACTTCCTGGTTTCGGGTTATGAGATTGCAGCCTTCCAAATCGCCCTCACCTTCGACTTCTTCACCGCCGTACCGGCTCAAGGCGATATTTCTCTCGCAGAGCTTGCCAACAAAGCCGGTCTAGATCAAGATCGGACCAACCGCGTGATTCGGATGTTGATTACACAGCGCGTCTTCCAAGAAACCCGGCCGGGTTTCTTTGCCCACAACGCATTCTCCATGGCCCTGCACAGAGATGAAGAGATGAAGTCAATGGTGCATTACTCGTGAGTACTCCCCGTCACTCGATACCCACCTCTAGTGGCATGGTCCCGGGTAATAATGACTCGTCATAGCTTTGACGAGATGCTCAAAGCGTCCGCCCACTCGAGTGACGCCATCAAGGCCGACCCGTTTGAGGCAGACAGTGTGCACTGCCCCTTCTATGACCGTTTCGGCATCCCCATCTTCGATTACTACAGGAAGCATCCGGAGCACGCTGGTCGCTTTGCCAAGGCAATGGCCGGATGGAGAAAACGTGAGTCCTCCCTGTTATAACTCCTAACCAAAGGGGCGACTAGGGGCGAAAGCAACGCTAGACTCCCTGAGTATCCTAACAATGGCAAAGTGACATCCAACATTGCCGAGCTACGAGACAGCTACCCATGGGCAGACCTCAAAGGTACCGTTGTCGACATTGGGGGTGGCAGTGGGCACGTGGCCATCGAGCTGGCCAAGTTTTACCCTCACTTGAAGGTTGCCGTGCAAGACGGGGACGCCGCCATGCTCGCCATCGGTCAGAAGCTGCTGAGCGACTCGGTCCGTGACCGCATCTCGTTCACGCACGCCAACTTCTTCGAACCTCAGCAGTACGTGGGTGCCTCGGCCTATCTCATTCGCCAGTGCACACACAACTGGGCCGACCACGACGTGGTCAAGATCCTCAAGGCCATCGTCCCCGGACTCGAGGGGTCGGCCCCAGGAACTCCGTTGTTGATCAACGACATGATCATGCCGGAGCCAGGGTCTGAGGTGCCGCGCCTGTGGGAGCGCGAGAGGCGGCAGGCCGACATGGTCATGCTGGTGTGTTACGGTGCGAAGCAACGTACTGTATCCGAGTTTGTTGGCCTGTTGAAAGAGGCCGATCCGCGATATGTCCTTGGCAAGGTTCATGCGGAAAAGGGGGCGCTGGGTCTCCTGGAGGTCTATTTAGAACGAAGCTGAGGTGCGATAAGGCGCAATCGTCCGCCTATAGAGGAAGAAATGACAGACAAAATGCAATACTACAGGCTACAAAGCGCGTTAACCCCGACAATGTGCGCCCTTGTTGGCTTGCTTCCATGTTGTGGAAATTATGGGAGCAAATGAAACTACGCAATAGCACACCGATCAATGCTTCCAATACCCAAAGATTGTCACGTCGGCGCTATGGTTGGTGCGGGCGAGGTGAGCTGAACACGTTCCGGGACAGATGGTTGGTTGGTGTCAGGGTGTTGGTGTTTAATTCCAGACAGGGGCGGCAGCGGTTTCTTTCGACCGACATTTCTCGGCCGACATTTCTGCCCAAGCAAAATGTCATCGGCTTTGCTTACAAAACCTCCATGGATTGCGTCCGGGGGGCGATCTGCTTAGAAACTTCCGTGACGAAGTACTGCGCAATTTACTTTCTCTGAATTGAAAGTAATACCATGGCGAGAACCAACTCGGGGCCCATCTTCCTGCGCTTCAAGACAGTCGAGGACAGTTGACTTCCACTAACATCTCAAACCCGGCCGACACCGTCTGGAAATCAACTGGCACCCCCTTCACCATGGATACACCGGCAGAGAAACAGTCGGCGCCAGCAGACATGGCAACTTCAGGAGACAATTCTGAGACGGAAAGGGGCATTGTCCCCAGCACCGACCAGTCCAAGGAGGAGTCGCCGCCTCCTCCCCGGACGGCCCACGGCATCATCTGGGTCTTGATCGTCGCGAGCATCCTGATGGCCAACTTCCTGTTTGCCACCGACAACACCATCGCGGCCAACATCCAGCCCGCCGTCATCCGGCAGTTCAACTCGCTCGACAAGCTCGCCTGGCTCGGCGTCGCCTTTCTAGCCGCGTCCTGGGGCGCCAACTTCTTCTGGGGAGACTTGTACGCGCGATTCAGCGCAAAATGGACCTTCTGCGCCAGTTTCGTCGTCTTCTCGGTCGGCTGCGCCGTCGCCGGAGCGGCTCCCACCATGGATGCTCTGATTGTCGGACGTGCCATCTGCGGCATGGGGGGTTCTGGCATGTACATTGGTTCTATGGCCATCCTGACCAAGATGACTTCGGAGCGGGAGCGGCCGCTGTACCTAAATCTTGTCGGCATTACCTTCGGCGGAGGAACTGTGCTTGGTCCCATCATTGGAGGCGGTTTCGCTGGGAGCGGCGCCACTTGGCGCTGGGCTTTCTACTTGTGAGTACATACATGATGTCTATTGTTCTCGCAGTCCGTCGAGAAAATCCAGCTTACTGGGTATTAACCATGTGCTTAGCAATCTCGTGGTCGGTGCCGTCTGCGCTCCGATTTACATCTTCCTATTGCCAGCCCTTAACCCACTCCCCGGGAAGAGCATCAAGGAACGGCTGCGCGGGTTCGATGTCCTCGGTAACCTTTTTGTGATCGGCCTCATCGTCTGCATCGTCATGGCCATCACGTTTGGCGGCCTCGAGTATGCCTGGAATTCGGGACAGGTCATTGCCCTCTTCGTCCTGGCCTTCGTCCTTCTCTGGGTGTTCCTGATCCAGCAGCACTTCGCCTTCCTCACCACCATCACGAACCGCATCTTTCCCATGCACTTCCTCAAATCGGCTACCATGGTCGTGCTCTTCCTCGAAGTAGCCTGTTGCGCCACCTGCGTCTTCGTCCCGGTTTACTTCTTGCCGCTCTACTTCCAATTCGTCAAGGCTGACAGCCCTATCCTTGCCGGCGTGCGAATTCTCCCCTACGTCGTTTTGCAGAGTGCCATCGCCATTACAGCTGGCTGGGCCGTCGGCAGAACCGGTTACCACGTCCCGTGGTTCATATTCGCCGGCGTGTTTTGCATCACCGGTTCCGCGCTACTCTATACCGTCAACCAGCACACGGCCCTCGCCAACATCTATGGCTACCAAGTCCTCCTCGGCCTCGGTTCCGGCGCCGCCACCCAGCTCACATTCGCCGTTGCGTCTATCAAGGCGAAGAACCAGCTCGACGTCGGGCGTAGCACGGGTTGGCAGGCGTTCGGCCAGCTCGGCGGCCCCTCCATCTCCCTCGGGATTGCCAATTCCGTCTTCCTCAACAAGGCTCACGCAGCCCTTGGCAGTCTGCTGCCTGATGCGAGCATCGCCGACATCAACACCATCATCTCGGAGCCGAACAGCCGGCTGCTACGTGACATGCCGGCCAACATGCAGAACCGGGTTATCGATGCCGTGGTCAGTTCTATGAGCAACGCGTACATCTTGTGCATTGTCGCTGGGTGCTTTGTCTTGCTCCTGATCTTCCGATTCAAGGTCAACGACAGGCTGTGGTAGGACCATTTAGCTCCGGCCAGTCGTTCCGGGCAGATGTGGGCTATACTTGGTATTGATCAAGCAGGTAACCTTGAACGAGGTGGGCTTCTCAGGGGGCAAGTGACCCTTTATAGGGAAGGACGCAGGCGATATTGGAGCAACAGGCTGAGGCCAGTTGACTACATGGACTACGGAAAGTGGAAAGCAAACTAGACGAGCACAACACTAATATCACTTGCATGCTAATGATGTTTGATGGCCGGTATTGAAAAGGCGCGCCACATGGTTGTCCCGAGCAGGCGTCGATACGATTTCATAGCGTTTTTTAATATGTAGGCGATTACCTAGGTACCTAGGTATCCCCCAACGCGAGTGCCGTTGTATGAGTTCGTTAGCGATGAAACTCCAATGGAATCCGGGGTACCGGTTGGAAGCTAGGGGATGAGGTGGATGGTAAAGACTAAGTGATAGGGTAGGGTCTAGGGGATGGAAAGCCGGTCATAAACCATAAACCAAGCCACCAGGTCAAGTGCCCAGAGCACCTGTCCCAGGCACCCTCTGGCCAAAAAAGGCCGAACTTAAAAGAAGGAAATCAAAAGGTCAAGCAAAAAGAACAAAATAAAAGTAAGCGAGAAGAATAAACAGAATAACAGAAAGAGGGTAAAAGCTGAACTTAGAAGGAAATCAAGAAATCAAGCAAAAAGAACACAATAAAAGTAAGCGAGAAGAATAAATAGAATAACAGAAGAGGGTAAAAGAAAAAGTAAATGGAGTAAAGGAAGTTTCTTTGGGCCTCAGGACGGCTTTCGTTTTGCTACTACGGTTGGGTACTCGGGATTTCCATTATCGACATCTGCGCTTGGAGTTCGGCCTTTTTTGTCCATGAGGTGCCAGGTTACCTAAAGCAGGCACCCAATGTACAGAGGCCTACAGCGTACAGAGGCCTACTGCGGGGGGTTGGGGGTTGTGACTGGTCCCAAAACGGAAACAGGCAGCCGTTGGGGAACCTGTTGGAACGCATGGTTGATATACCATCTCTGCAACTCCTAGAAGCGGGGTGCACACTCCTCCCATGCTCCCGTCTATACACCACGCTTCATCAGTCCACTACCATGGCTACCACAGCGCCCCCCTTCGGTGACTTGATTCGGATTCTGAGGGTCAGCGACCTCAAGGACGATAACAAGTTGAAAGATTTGGCCCAAATTGAAAACCTCCGAACCGTCACTTCGTACAGCTGGGTGGATAATGCGAGGCCTGGCCCTAAGATCCTTGTTCCAGGTAGGAAAACCCCATCCCAGGTATTGTCGGGGACAAAATCATCCATCTAACCCAGAACCTCCCTGTAGGAAAGCCACCACTCTGGACTCCTCAGAACAGTCCCTACCCGCTTAGACAGGACAGCGGCTCCTTTTTCCGCGATAAAAACGCAGCACGCTATCCCAAACACCCAACCGAACCTGCAGTCGTGGCGTCCCTCGCAGCAGATCCGATTCTCCCTATCAAACTCGACATCTTCGCATGCGGAAGCACGCTCGGAAACCTCCTTCGCTTTGTCCGAGGGCAGGATAGAACGTTCCGCATGCTGGCATACAAAATTCAAAACACTGTCTTCCTAGTTCGGCGAGAGAACTCCCCAACTGAGCTAATCCCCGACGTCCGCGGTTACGGTCACACCTTTCCCGAGGCCAACACCACCTGGGAGCCCGAGGTCAAGGGATCTGCCTCCCATCAACGCCTGATCCAGTACACCTTTGGCGGATTGAACATCGCCGTCCGGTTCGAAGCAGACGGCTACATCAAGCCCCGCCAGCCCCCCAAAGCCAAGCAGCCCATCCCCCCTCCCTCCTCAGCCTCACCCTCCCTCGGCGACCTCACCACCGCCCTCTCCACAACCACCATCACCCCCAGCACCGCCACCACCACCGCCCCTCACAAAACAACCCTCACCACAGCCCCCGCCGGCATCCTCGTCCCCCACACCACGCTCTTCGACCTCAAAACCCGCAGCACCTACGCCCGCCACACCAAAGACCACCTCGCCGAGGAGCTGCCGCGGCTCTGGGTGTCGCAGCTGCCGACGCTGATCCTGGCCTTCCACACGCGCGGCCTGTTCCTCGCGGCGGATACCGAGGTCCGTGATGTTCGGGGCCATGTTGCGCGGTGGGAGGCGGAGCACCAGGGGGAGTTGGTCAAGTTGGCGGGGGTGTTGCGGTGGGTGAGGGATGTGGTGGGGGAGGTTGTTGGTGATGGTGGTGGGGAGGGGGTGGAGGCGGTGGAGATTTGTCGGCGGGTTGGTTCTGAGGATGGGGATGGGCGGCTGGAGTTGGAGGTTCGGAGGCCGGGGGGGGTGGTTGGCGGGGTGGTGTCTGATGGGGTGAGGGAGCGGTGGGTGAGGGCGTGTCGGGGGGGTGTGGGTGGTGGTGATGACCACGGGGAGAAGGGGGGTGATAGGGAGAGGAGGGGTGACGAGGAGAAGAGGGGTGACGAGGAGAAGGGGGGTGCCGGGGAAAAGACTGGTGATGAGAATAAAGGAGAAGGGGAAAAGGGGGTTGGAGGTGAGGTTCTGGAGTGGGCTGGAGGAGATGACGATGACTTTACCGGTTGCAGCGAGGCTTGTGGATACTGCGGGAAGTGCACGTACTGATTGACGTAAACGAAGTCAAAGCCTTCGTCTGAAGTTTCTTAGATGGATCTTTTCCGGAGAGTCTAGCGCAGCGCGGGGTGAGAAGCTTGCGCTTCAGCTTTGCAGGGCGGGCGACAAAGGGTCGGTGAGCGATATTGTCTCTCGGTTCAGCGCGTAATTGACCAGTAATCGACTCGTCATCGCACAGAGATTTTCCCAACACGCCTACCAAGACGTGTTATAAAACGGTAGGTTAGTTTGTTTGCTCGACCTCGTCCCGAAAACCAATGGGCATGAAGTGGCGCCCTCGCCTGCCTCCCTTACCTCCCATATGAATGACCGGTCAAACACAGCCTTCGGCAACCCCCATCCAGACTCCTGCCACCACACCCTCTTCCTACTCCTACATCGCGAAATAACTCGAAATGGCCCGGTTCAAGCGCTTCATTCGTAGCCTTTTCTGTCTAGCACAGACACGGAGGCAACGATACCGTGACAGCTCGAACATATCTACAACGGATGGGAAAGAAAAGCCGTCTCTCTCGACAGACGGGATGTCAGATGAACAATCCGTCCTCATTTCAGATCTCGGGAAGAACGACATCCAACAACAAGATTCCCATGCGATAGAGACCGAACTATGCTCGAAATCCCCGACCTGCCCCTTGTATAGCCCTGACGGTCGACCCGCAAAGGACACGGCGACGGAGAAAGCTACCACTCTCACCAAGATCACACCGTCGAAGAAGTCACCGGAGCAGACTCCCGTTTTCCCATTCCCTCTGGAGATTTTCGAGAGGATCTGGGCTTACCTGACACCCCCGGAGTCTAGGATGGCCTTTGCCCTGGCCTCCCGATTCTTCTTCTACCACTTCAAGCCCGGTCCGCTCACCACCAGCCAGACGCAAACACTGCAACTCTGGCTCGAGAGAGACACCCCCAATCTCTATTTCTGCTGGCTTTGCAAAAGGTTGCACACCTGGTGCTGCGGGGAACTTGAATTCTTGCGCGAGGGTGAAGGCCGGCACCCGACCCGCGTGCTCAGCTTCGACAAAGGCTGCAGATTCCGAAAATGGTCGGGGCACCCCGCTTCCCTGGGCAACGCCCAAAACATCAAGCTCGAGACGGCCCGACTGATAATGAATCGGCATTTCTACGGCGGGGAACATGGCCTCGGCTTGGATGCTCTCTGTTATCGTCGGCAAAGACTCGCTGCTGGTCAGCAAGGCAGTAGTATCATGGTTGAAGAGTCGCGGCGCCTCCGGGTTATCGACAACGAGCTGTATGTCAAGGAGGACGTCTTGATGTATCACAAGGACGGTCACGAGACCGCTCTCCGCGACTACCTCGACGCACCAGGGGGTGAAGACATACTGCCACCGGTGTGCCGCCACATCGGAAGGTACCATCGTTTCGGCAAATCAAAGGCGACCAAACCCACACCAAAAGCCCATGCCGAGTTCATCGGACCCATTCTATCCTGCAAGTATTGCTACACCGACTGCCACATCGTGGCGCGGTGGCAGGCAGGGGACGGCGCTCGCCCAGCGGGCTGGACTGTCAGCGGGAGCAAGTGGTATACGCTTGGTTCTTGTAGAGACCTACGGAACGATAAGTGGAACAACGCCGCCATCGACTTCGTCCGGTTTCATGCCCGGCCCCGGGCGGCGTCACCGGATTGTCCCGCCGGCATCGTACGAGGTAAGTGGCTTTTTGGAAACAGGTATGGTAGGAAGGACGTGGATGTCGAGCTGGTAAATGAAACTTCTCACCCCATATTTGTAGGATCACTCGGCTGATAGGGTTTTCTTTTCCTTTGTGGTTTTGGCGGGGGGAGGCAATGGTTAATGACCCGGAACATCTGACGTGAATACCTGGTAGGTACCTACCCAATGTCGTTTTTCTTTTCTCGTGCGATCTTCTTGTTATTCCATAGTTTTAGCATGGCATGATGAGGACAGGTTGGTGAAGTGGTATTATATCATCAACCTTTCATGGGCATTGTCACTAAGCAGTACCCAGCATTACTCGTTTCCCAACTCCCTCGTTCTTGATAACAACCAGTACTTCCACCCTCGGTCCTTGAGTAAAACAAAGAGGTGTGTTTGATTCAAACCTCTAAGTTCCCTATTTTCTTCGCGGTCGGAATAGGTACCGATCCTATCAGGAAGGGATTAGTGACCATGCATGACCGAAAGAGGAAGGATTGGGAACATACCGTTGGCCCATCGGTTGCATGGATGAGGGCGTCGTTACATGCTGACACGGCAACGATAGTGGATAAGACGGCTGCACAGGCAACAACGAAAAGGATAGTCCAAAACATCGTCGCAATCGGTGATGTTTGATGCTAGCGGAGATGGGTCGAGTTAACGGCGGACCGGTGGAGAGTTGCGTCCTTTTATACTAGCGTTTTTATGCTACCCGATCTACAATGTGGTTCTTGTACTGGATTGGATGTATGGGCAATGAATGTCCGCAATTACTCAGATTCTTATGTGAACCACCTGTTTCTCGGTCTGATGACTGCTCGCCTCGGGATCCCGGTTAAGCGTCCCATCTTTGGAATCCGGGTTGAACTGGGTTACTCAAATCCATTCACGGGCCTAGATCCTGCAGATTGACCTGGATACGGCTAACCAACCTAGATTTGTTGAAGCCGTATTCTTGGTCCAACCTTTCCGAATTCGGCGCCGGGGCCACCCCGGTCTTCCCGGAGCGCCGGAGCCAAGAACCGGCCCCACATCGGGCTCGGATCCCGGTCTGCGCAGGTTCATGAACATCGTGAATTGGAGCGTCAACCAAGCTGAGGAGGATTATCAAGGTTTAAGGGCTAAGTCTAGGCGATGATCTCTTTTCTACTATCGGGAGCTATAACCGTTTTACGAACCCTTTCTTCTGTCAACGTCACCTACACGCCCTTCCCCATTACGGAACGAAACTCCTTTTTACGGCACCAGAGTCAGGTCTCGGAGAGACCGGTGCAGATCAGAAAGAGGCTTGTCGGGCACCGAAGTAAAAAAGCAATGCATTTGTTCGCTGCCTAATGCCAATCTTTGCTCTCGGCTGCCATTCCCAACGCCACTAACAAAGAACCCAAAATATTGGCGGGCACCAGGCCCAGCTTCCTTGAACGTAAAATCCAAAACCACACCACCTACCATAAATGCCAACACACGAACAACACCCGCGTACCCAACACCCAACACCCAACACCCTTACGCCCTCACGCCCCTCCTCTCCCCGCGCATCTCCTCCATGACCCTCGTATGCGCGACCGCCAACACCCTGTAAATATTCGCCAGCTCGTAGTCCCCGTTCCACTCGAACCCCTCGCTCGACCGGCGCGCCACGTCGGCCAGGCGCGCGTGCGAGCTCTCGGTCAGGTCGGCGTCGATCACCCAGTGCTCCGCGCCCTTGACGGGGAACCGGTACACCACGTGCTTCCACTCGGACCGCCGCACCTCCATCTGCCGCGCCCGGTCGTAGGCCGAATCGGGGGTGGCGCGCATCTGGGAGAGGCGCTCGAGCGGGGAGTCCGGGACCGTCCAGTTGTTGTGCCCGGGGGAGCGCGGGGAGCGTGGGGTTTTGGCGTCGCCGCCGGGGATGGTGAGCAGGTCGGGGTTGATGGTGTTGGGGTTGGGGGAGAGGTGCAGCGCGAGGCCGAGGTTGCGGGATTGTTTGGTCTTGGTGTCGGTGCCGGTGCGGTTGCGGGCGGTGGAGAGAGGGGGGATTGCCGGGGGTGCGGCGGCGGCGGCTTGTTGGTTGTCGGTGCTGTCTGGCTCGGGCTTGTTCTCGACGATCTCGGGCGGGCTGTCGTAGACGGAGGAGGCTTTGGTCGACGGGTTGGGCTTGTCGTCCGTGGAGCGGGACGCGGATGTGGTGTTTTCCTTGCTGGAGGACTGCTGCGGGCTCTGCCGCGCTGAGCCGGCCTCGGTCGACATGACGGGAGACGAGCCCACTTTGGTGTTCCTGCCCTGTGACATGGGCGGGCTGTTGTAGACTAGCGACCCTGGCGTTGCCATGTTTTGTGCATGTGCGTTCAGAATGCCGTCAATGCCAAGTGCCCCCGACTCGGGTGACATGAGGCCACCCCCTGATTCTGGGGACATGAGAGGTGAAGTAAACATAGGAGGGCTGTCGGGCTTGATGGTGCGTCCAGACATGGGTGAACTAATGTAAGGGCTGCCTTCAACCTGTGAGGCGGGTTGCGGGGATTTCTGGAGGTTAAAACGTGGCGATGGCGCCACTGGTGATCTGGGAGGTGTCCTTGGTTTAACATTCCGATAGCGAGATGGTGGCATTCGGGGCGACGGCCTCTTTAGGGGGACCATGAACAGGTCCCGATCGCTTTCGCAGTCGACGGGCTCGATGAGGGGCGCCGATTCGCTGGTGACGGAATCATCATTGGGCTTGAACTCCATGATGCAGAACTCACAGAGTTCAAGGAATAGTTCGGTATTGGTTTCGGCACTGCAGTCTTTGGAGGCGTCACAAAACTGAAATAAAGTTTTGAGATCGCCGTCGATCCTGCGGGTGGTAGCGGGTGCGTTTGTTTATACGGTCGCCCATCGTGAGCGACTCCATCACGGCCATCACGGTGCCCGGGGCGGGAACCACGGCGGACACAACTTGACCAAACGGTACTGTTTCTGGCCGCTACTGGCTGTGTGGCCTGAAACGGGAAATTTAGCGTCATTTCGCCCCTAGAATACCTGCCCGCAGCCAAAAGGGGGGGTTTTCTAGAGTGGCCTCCTACTTGTGTAATGGCTTTCAAGAGGTGGCCAAGATTCGGGCAGGGGTTGGGGGCGGTCCCGGATGCGCAGAGATCGTTAAACGGGCCAAAGAACGGGTGAAATGATCAGTACGGGAGTGGGCTAGGCAGCTGTTTGGCTGGAGAACGTGCAGTTCATTCGGGATGAGTTCTGGGTTGCTTGCAATGGCCTGTCCCGAAAACCCACCGGGTATGAAACGGCCTGTTTGAAGCCGCCGCATCTGAATCGCAAGCCCAACCCCGAGCCAAGGCTTCGTGTGTTGAGTTTGGCCGGGACTGCGCCACCGACCGGCCAGATGTTCGACCACCCCAGATAATCCCGACCTGTCCCCCGATTCGATAAATTGTTCGGGTTCTGTGTTTTCGCTTCCTCGTCTTCTTGCCCACTTTCCCGTTGTCAACTGACGGTTGGGATGCCAGCAGCGACTTACTCTAATAGGTATCTTACACGCGTTCAATTCGTAAGGCAAGGTCGCTACATCAATACCCCTGAAACAGGGGTTAGCATAGCCCGCTACCAAGACAGGTAAAAGGCTGGGAGTAATCTCTGTGCTTGCTTCCGTCGAAATAGTGACAACGGCGACTGTAAGTCTTCACTTGCATGCACAGCGAGAAGAAGTTTCATGATTGTCAGCTTGTCCAACCTGCTCTGCTGAATCACTGCTGTGCCACACACGGCAGTCAGCAGGGTAAGGAGGGAATGCATTACGAATAGATTTCACCACTCCGTCTTTTACCTCCGTTTTCCGACTTTTGCTGTAGTGGAAATGTAATATCGCCTTGTGGCAACGAGAAGTTTTACCATTAATCCTCTTTTATACGTCTTGGCCAATGGCCTCTTGTGTGTTTATGTGTGTGTCGAAAGATGCCCCAAAACGAGGCTCGCTCATGTGACCGTTGTGGCCTCTTGTCAACCAACGGGTAACCGGGCTGCAACTGCGGGTGGAAATTGGCCCCGCAGAGCACAGTTCACCTAAATCAATGAAGACACACAGAGTTGAAGCCATTGCGAATGCCCTCTCTTGCAGTGATCCAATCGATCGCGCAGTCCTTCTATCTGTTCCAGTTAGGTAGGTATCCAGCCTAGGTCGTAGGTAGTACGGTTCCAACACCTCTTTTCTCCCTCCCAAATCCCAGAATCCCCTTCTTCTCCGCTTTCTCGTCATCCTTCATCTATCTTGGTTCTCACTCTTTTGGCCTTTTTGTTCACTCCTGCGCAACCCGATCAATCATGTCCTCTAATACGGACCCGGCAAACGCACACGAGGCTATGGGAAACAACCTGAACCCGACGCCCCTGCTCTTCAACGACGTGTATTTTAGTCGCTGGGAGGAGCCGACAGCCCCGTCCCCGTCTATATGGGCGCCGTTTCCCCGCCTCCCAGCCGAACTGCGTTTGCGCATCTGGCTGCTTTCTCTCCAGCAGCACCGCATGATTGAGGTCGATCTCCACCCTACCACCGGCGACGACGATGCTCCCCAGTACGCCGACAGTAACCATCTCGGTCGGATTATCAGCGGCCGGAGCCGGAGCTACACCTCGCGTCTCCGGGGCCGCGGATCCTATGCGGCGTCCCTCACCTCACTAACACTCCTCCGCGTCAGTTGCGAGGCGAGGGCAGCCGCACTCAGCTTCTACCACATACATCTGCCCTTAGGTACAGGGCAGGTCCTATACCTCAGCTCCGAGTACGACGTCATCTATGTCCGACCCCGGCGGCCTAAACCTATTAATAGGCCGCCGGAGACCGACCCCGATCCCGAATTCGGTACCATCCTCGTCGACTTTTTACACGATGCCCGAGCCTACGATTACAAGGACCAAGGGTATAGCTTCCTTCTTTCTTTGTTTTTAAGCTATCTATCTAACCTGTAATGTCTACTTATAGAGTTAGCCACCTCGTACTAGATAAAGAGATTCGCCACTACCTGCTCGGCTGGTTCGAGGAGTGTGTGAATTTAACCCCGGAAATGCTCCACCCAGCCGCAGCGACGTCGTTTGCCGATATCCTCCGCTATAAGCTCCGTTCCCTGCTCTGCGTCGTCGATTTCGGACGTTCTACGAGGGGCATGGGCGCCCCCCCATTAGGGGGCGGGTGGCGCTCCCACTTCGCCCAAACGTTCCCCCTCCGTCGACGAGGCCATGTAACAGGGGCCTTCCACTGGCTCCAAGCCGACCCGCGACCCGGCGTTGACCTCGACCTCCGCCAGCTCCCTATCAAGGATGATCCCCATCTAATGTTACGAAACTGGCGGCGACTGGAACACCTTTTCGGAGTAACAAGAAATCAGCAAGCTAACCGAGAAAACAATGACGACTGCGGTTTTTGCCTTTATGTCTGCCCTACCAAGAACTGGTCGACTCTAGATATGCATCGGATAGGTGGGGCCGGGATGCGTTGGGCCACGAGGTGGAATGTACAGGAGATGGAAGCAGAGGCGGAGGCAGTATGGTCGCGGGACGAGCTGGCGCAGTACCTCCAATACGAGGCTGAGGATTGGGACGAGCAGCGCTGGTACCTCACCCGCGTCTTCGGGGGCACCCACCAATCTCCAAAGTATAGCTCTGACTCTCGAGAGGAGGCGGAAATATTTGAGGCGATGGAGCAGCTGCCCTGTACGGCCATCGGCATGTGGCTTTTCCCTGCCAAAGCTTTCCCGCCGCCCACCATTCCCCAGCTGCTCTCTTTCAACCTTTCGGCCGTCCGCCCCAGTCTACTTCTATTTGAGGTTTAACCGGAGCTCGAATCTCGCCGGGGGATCTAGGCAGGTTCGTTGCACGGTCAGTAGCCGAGGATCAATAGAGCCCTGCTCGGGGCTTAAGTTCTTAACTAGGTACCTACCTGAGATTTTGCCTATAAATCTTTCTTATCTGCTCAAGAGGGTCTATAACTATTAGTCGCTCCAAGGACAGGAAACCGCCTCCTTTAAACAACAACGAAGACAACAAGATGTCGCTATTGTCGCGGTGGGGAGGCCGACGACGTGAATCTGGAACTAGATTTTCACTTTCGTTTTGGCTCGAATTGCCAACTTGAACTCAACAGAGTACGAATACCTCCGGAAGACGCTCCCCAAAGAGTTGTCTCACCGCCTTCCGAATTCCAGTGGTGCGGTGAACGAGGCTCGGAAAAAGCGCTGGGGAGCTTTCCCATGTTTGAGGGCGCTTGGCCAATCGGTTCGTGACGGGTTCCACGCGCCAATCACATTGGTTATGCTGCTTCAGTTTGCTGACGATTTGCAAAACCCAGGGATCGGGATCGTCGGGTCCAACCTCATCTTCCTTTCATCATTTCCAACATCCATGTACGCCATCCTCAACCATGGCGCGCCCCAGATACCCTGCGCCATATGCCCTCCTCCATCTCGCATTACGCTTCATATCATCCGGGTTATGCATTGCCACTCTGGCCAGCGCAAGTTACGCAACATCGAGAGGGGGTTATGGGACAGGCATGGTGGGCGCCTTCATCGCGGTAATTACCCGAATTGCCCCGGCTCGTCCTCAATTGCGACCAGCCCTTGTACTTACTCCCTTGCCAGTCGATCCTGACCATGATGGTCGACCTTGCCGAGATCTCAGGCCTGGTCGACCCCGCGAGGGACGTACCCCGGTTCACAGAGACCACCATCGTCTACCTTGAGATGATAGTCGTGGCCATTTGTGGGATTGTGCCCGTCATGGTTCTCATGGCATACACGGGCCTGCAGCGAAATGACTGTGAAGAGCGGCGATCCAGGGTTGAGTGCGACGCAGAAGAACGAGCGAGGGAAGACGTCGAGGTCTACGTCTTTCTAGCTTGGCTACTCCCATTATGTTTGGTGTAAGTGCACACTCGGGCCGCTCTCGCTCCGCCTCTCTTGACTTTGCATCGCTTTGATGTAAACACCGACACGACACTGACGTACAATAGCGGACTGCATATCCTCTTCTCTGTCCTTGGCTGCTTCGATTGTTTTCAGAGGAGAGGGAGGACCCCGTCACCGCGGCCGAGACGCACTCGTAGGTAGGCAACAGGTGTCTCGCTTGCTTGCCTTGGGGTGCCTGTATATACGACTTGCCTTTTAGCGGTACTTTCATGCATATGGATAGAACAATCATGGCCGGGTTATTATTGCGGGTTTCAATCTCGCCACCTCATTCCAGTAGTTGTTTCGTGTAAAGAAGCTTGTCGAAACCTGTGAGTAACTGCTAACCTTGAAGGTGGTTGTCGGTGGTAGCCTACATGCAGCGAGCATTTGTCATTCTCGTAAGATAGGTAGGTTATGTCAGGTACCAGGTATCCCGGTCCGTCCACCCCCTCGTGCTCCCTGGTTCTTCCCCCCAAGCGGCTTCCATAGTGTTTTCATCACCACTGGCGCTCGCCGGCCCCCTTACTGCAACTATCTTGATGACAAACGTGTGAGCCCATTACATTCCGTCGGAGCAGAGTACCGACGGGAAGAAAACCGGTACATACCCGTTGGATAGACTCCATATGGCAAATTATTTCACGAGATTTACCGCGCGTGTACCGGACGGTCAAATTTAATATAATCACCGCGGAAAATCATTTATATCAATCTGTAGATGGTCCGCTATATCCATAGTTTCTTCCACGATCCTCTCGGGTTGGTCGTTCCAAGCCGCATCAAGCAAGGGAACCCATACTATCCCTTCGAAGAAACAACAAACCACATATCAAAACAAGGACGGGCACAAACCCATATACAAGAAACAAAAGTTAAACAAGGAGAATGTCACCCAGGGCCCAGTCATACAACATCCAACTCCTCCCAGGGCCTCTGCACCAACTGCTCCATGCCCGCAACCAGAGCATCCAGCAACCGTGCCGCATGCTCGCTCCACGACTTAAACGTGACCACCTCCAACGTCAACGTCTCCCCGTCCCGGAACGCCTGAATCTTCCACTCCCTCAGGGGCTCCTCATACGGATACACCGTCTCCATCTTAGCCTTCCTCCCCAGGAACTGCAGCGTCTCGACATGCGCCACATCCTGATGCACCACCGAATCGAACCAGTCCACCCCATCCGCGTCCCAATCCGTACACTCCCGCACAATCTCCTCCAACCCCATACAGTCATGCGACGACGTAGCCATGTGCTGGTGTTGCAGCGCCGCCAACAAGTCATGTCCGGTACGCAGACCACCCCCAAAACGCACGCGCGTCGGCACGTACTGCCAGCAGGGGCCCGCGACGGCGTTGGCGTCGGGCACCCCCGCGATGTCGACGCCGCGACCGGAGGCTATCTCGCCGAAGACGACGTCGTTGGTGCCCAGGAGCCGCGCGAGCGTGAGCGCCCACGCCGCCGACGGGTAGCTTGCCACGGTGATGTCGCGGGCGCGCGGGGAGATGTCGACGGCGCGGTGGAGGGCGAAGTGCCGCCGGCTGGTGATGGGCGTGGGCGGGCGGAGGATGGATATGCCCTTGGCGCCGGCGAGCAGGTCGCGCCAGTAGGGGATCGCGGCGGGGATGCCGTGCCGGAGGGTGTGGTTGACGAAGGCGGAGAAGGGGTAGGCGGCGGGGATGGAGGCGGAGCCTTGGTAGAGTTGGTGTAGTTGGTTGAGGAAAATTGGGAGGCCAATCTCGTCGTACTGTGCGTGGGAGAGGCGGAAGACGAGGGTGGATTTGGTGCCGTTGGTGACGAAGAACCATTTGGTGAAAGAAGAGCCGTAGGGCATCCGCGTCTTGGAGTCGAGGCTGGAGAGTTGGCGGGCGAAGGGTTCAACCTCGTCGTCGTCGATCTCGTATTCCACGACGGGAACGGCGAAGGAGTCGTCAAGCACCACGCTGAAGCATACCCCTTCGAGTCGCACGAAGACTGTTCTTAGGATCTCGTTGCGAGCCACCACTTCGCGGCAAGCACTGAACAGACGCGCCTTGTCCACTGTGCCTTCAAAGTGAATCAGTTCGTATCGGATGGAGAAGCGCGGCAGTTCCACGGTCCCCTTGACGGCAATCTCTTGTAGCGGGCGAGTCGGGAGAACATCGACGATGTTCCAAGACCTGTCCTGCAGCATGCTCTGGATCCGCTGCTTGAAGATGTTGAAGAAAAGGGAGAAGGCCTTGTAATTGGCGTTCGGTCGGGTGGTGATTGCCCTTTGCTCTTCGGCATCTGTAGGTGATGGCTGCATCACGTTGGCCATCTCGTAGAGTGTTCGGTTGGCAAAGACCTGGGCGACACTGAGTTGCATTCCTTGTTGGCGGGCCTCAGAAACAAGTTTCATGGCCGTAATGGAGTCACCGCCCCGTGTAAAGAAACTATCACCAAGGTAGATACCGTCTTCACTGATGTTGAGTAGTTGGCTCCAAATGCGACGAAGCATCTTTTGCTTGGTTGAGGTGGCAGTTACAGCTGGAGCCGAGGATGGAACCCTCTTTGCGCCGACTTCTTGTCCCATCGCTTTTGTCGATTTCAGGATTTGCAATGTCGGTTTGTCGGTGTTGGATCCAAAGGTGGCCAGGAATCCTGTTCTGTAGAGTCGTCCCCCCTTTCCATCGAGCCACTGAGGTCTATCGATGGCAACAGCAGGAGCAGCCAAACTCTTCCCTGTCTGGACCACCAACTCGCCTACTGCTCCCCTGGGGAGAAGACGCTGGGAATCAACTGCATCGACGATCCAAACACCTCCAACATCATCCTTGGCCAGACCAAGCCGGGCCAAGCTGGCATCATCAACAGCTGCTTGTTGGCTCAACATCTGCACTTCTGTTTCATCAACCTCGGTTAAACAGTGCACATCCCGGACCTTGATCCCTCTCTCGTTGCCTTCGCAAAGTTGATGCACCACAACTCGCAGCTGTTCCAAGGCCCGCGACATCGTCGCCTTATCAACCGTCTTCGAGTCGAAGCTAGCCATCACGAAGAAGCCATCCGCTGACAGCGAGCAAACCAACATCAGCGCGTACGTGTTGAACTTGAGTGCTTCCTGCGCCGCCTCAGAGTCACCCGCAGGCACGAGCCCGTTTGCCGGAGTTTTGTCGTCAGCTGGAACATCCCCCGTGGCAGGATGCATCACGAAGCCGGTTCGTAGTTCACATGCTTGGAGGGCATCGTCGCTCAGCCGCCGGATATGCTGCAGCCCCGCGTGCTCGTAAGGAATCTGGGTCACGGCTTGCTGTGCGATCGACTGCAAATACTCTTCCACGGTGGCATCGCGGTCGATGGACACGCGAACCGGAACCGTTGTGATCATCGGTCCTTCAATCTCCTCAACACCAACAAGCGGCGCGTTTCGCCCAGTTAGTGTTTCACCAAACACAATGTCGGTGTTGCCACTGCAGTACTGGGAAGCAACTACCGCCCACGCAGCCCGGATCACCGTGGCAAGGGTGACAGTTGCGTTCCGGCAAGCGGGAAGGCGGCGGCCCTCGAGAGAGATGTCGACCTCCAAGAGTGTGTCGGCCTGGGTCTGGTACCCTTCGAACGGGAGGCGAGGGAACTGCTGCCCTGTGGCGCCGGCGAGCTGGTCCCGCCAGTACGTGTCACAAGCATCGCGGTCCAGCCTCTTATTGAGGTAGTGGATAAAGTGCTTGAAGTCAGCAGCAGGTCGGCGAGCTGACAGTCCTTGGTACACTTGGTTCACGCGGTCCACCACCAACGGCATGGACCAGCCGTCGTACAGGGCGTGGTGCATCGTTAACACGAAGTGCGCAACCTGGCCGGCGCGAATCATTGCGTACCGAACCAGAGGGCCGCCGAGTCCCATCTGTTCGTCACGGTCGTGCTCGAGGTACTCCGCCAGCGACCTTCCTGAACGCCAAACGATGGGTTCATCCACCACAACCTGCATGAGGCCATGTTGGGATGCTTGAATGACGCGAGTGCGAAGAACTGGGGAATCGGCGGCGATGGCCTCGAATGCTGCCTGCAGCGTCTCTGCCGCCTCCAGGCTCTCCATCTTCAGCACCCGCTGCGCAACGTACGCTTCCTTGGCTTTTGCCGAGAGTGCCATGAGTGCTTCTTGCAAAGGTGTGCATGGGTAGATATCCTCGACGTCGGCTGGGCTGATGTTGCAATGCTTGCTTGCTTCCTCACGCGCCTCTTCGAGGAGCCAGTCGTCCGGTAGAAGGGAGAATGGAAGTACCGTATCGAAGTCCTCACTTCGTCCAAGAGTTGCCGTCTGAGCAATCACTGCCATGTCTCGGAGAACTGGGTAACGGAACACATCTGCCACGGTCAAAACAATACCCTCGGCCCGGGCGGCGGCCACGAGCCTCATGGCTCTCAGGGAATCCCCGCCAAGGGCGAAGAAGCTATCCCCGACCGAGATGTCGGTCTGGTCCCCGAGCAGGGTCTTCCAAACTCGCAACAAAGCCCGCTCAGTCGCTGTCGACGCCTCCCCTGTTTCGGCCCTCTGTGCTCGACGGGAACTGCTGGCAATCTGCTCCCGCGTTGTGGCGGCGCCTATCGCCCTCAGCTTCTTCCGGTCGATCTTGGCTGACGGGAGCGACGGCATCTCCAACAGGGGAATATATGCTGCCGGCACCATATACCTGGGCAGCTCGACTCCTAGGACCTCGTCTATCCCGGATAATGCCTGAACCATCTCCTCGGAGAACGTCAGCTCTTGGCCTTCCGACTCTTCGCCTGGTCCGTTTGGCCTTGCTCGACCGGGAAAAGGCTCTGAAACAAACGTCACGAGTGTAGGCTCGCCCCCGGTTGGTTTGATGACTTCGGCTGCCAACTTCACTTCGCTCGGTAGATGGCGTCGAAGGTGGTGTTCGATCTCAACAAGCTCCACACGCTGACCGCGAAGTTTGACCTGTGAATCCTTGCGTCCGACAAAGACAAGGTCCCCTGATCCCTCAGGATCGTACCGCACGAGGTCACCCGTCTTGTAAAGCCGGCCACGCCTCCCAGGGTTGCTTCCATACCCGGCAAGCAACCAGGCAGGGTCCTCAATAAACACCTCGGCCGTCTTCTCAGGTTCTCCCAAGTAACCCAAGCCGACAACGGGCCCTTCCACCAACAACTCGCCCACCGAGCCAACAGGAACCAAACGATCATGGTCCTCAGCATCAACAATCCAACCCACCGCCCCCACCCCCTTCCCAATATTCCCCGTAACAAACCCTCCCGCCCTCCCCTCCCCCCCCTTCTTCCCAAAACTATTATTAACCGTACACCCCACCGTACACTCGGACGGCCCGTAGGCAATCACCACGCTGGTCCCACCCCTCCCCCACGCGGCCGCGTCCGCCGCCGACACCGCCTCCCCGCCCAAGCCCAACACCTCCAGGCCCGCAATCACACCCGGGTCCAGCACGCGCGCCACACTGGGCGTCATGTGCGCCATGTTGGCGCCGCTGGTCCGGATCGCGCCGCCCAGGTCGTTCATGCGCGCGGAATCCGACGGGATGCAGATGGTGCCGCCGGCCGCGAGCGTGCACAGCATGCAGTCGATGCTGACGTCGAAGGCGTAGCTGGCGAACTCGAAGACGCGGGATGTGGAAGTGTAGCCCACGGCGGTGGCGCGCGGGAGGGCGCCGCTGGTGTAGTTGCCGTGGGAGATCACCACGCCTTTGGGCTTGCCCGTGCTGCCGGAGGTGAATTGGATGTAGAGGGGTGAGGTGGGGGGGATGGTGGGGAGGGGGGGGGTTGTGGTGGTGGTGTATGGTGGGAGGGCGGGGAGGGGGTTGGTGCTGCTTGGGGTTGGTAGGAGGGAGGCTAGGGAGGCTTCGGAGACAGTTACTACCTCGCCGCCGTCTGGCGGTGTTAGGCGTCCAGCGAGATCGGACTGTGCCTCGGATGCCACGATCAACCTGGCCCCGGTCTGCTCGGCCATGGTCCTCATCCTGGCTTCCGGCTGGGATGTTGGGTCGGTGAGTGCGAACGCGCCGCCGGCCTTCATCACTGCGAGTAGGGCAATGATGGTCCAGCGGTTCTTTTCGAAGCACAGCGGCACGATGGTGCCGACTTCGACGCCGCGTGAGGTGAGGTGGTGGGCGAGGCGGGTTGACAGCGTTTCGAGCTCGGCGTAGGTCCATTGGCCGTCCCAGGAAGATAGAGCAACCTTGTCTGGATGTGCTTCGGACTGCTCGGAGATGATGTCGTGCATCGTCCTGTCGATGGTGGGCGGCAACGCGCTGTTCCAGGTCCATATTTGGTCCAGATCCCGTGGTAGAAGCTCGAGAAGGGAACTGATCGGTGATCCCGGTTGTTGTGAGATGGTTTCAAGGAGGTCGATAAAGGTTTCCACCCTGTCGGTGGCCTGTTGCTGCGTTAAGCCGCTCCCGGTATGCCACAGTCCCTTCATGGTGAACACTCCAGCTTCTTCTGTCACGTTGAGTTGGAATGTCCATTGCTGTTGACGTTAGGCCCCTGTTTTACCCATGGTTGCTTTGATACTTACTGGTTGATTCGACCCCTTTTGCAACACTCCACCCTGGGCCTCATCGTTGAAGAACAGCGACGATGGTTGTACGGCTGAAACGCGCTGGGTCGTTTCCGCTACCACCTCTGTAATATCTGAGATGATACGAGTGCTCATCGGACTCAACTCAATCCCAGCTGCAGAAAGCGAGAGCCGTTCCGCTGTCTCAATCCCATCGGGGCACCGGTATCCCCATACTAGTTGGTCGACTCGGCTATCCGCGCCCCGTTGCCGTTGGAGTAACAAAGCCCATGCTAGAAGTAGTTCGTTCTGTCGGAAGGGGCCGCCATCACCAATCCTGCTGCCAGGGGCCTCGCGCAATGACACCGTCCTGGCCACCACTCGGACGGCTTCCACGGGTGTAATGGGGGGTGAGAGGGGGATAGTCTCACGGCTTTGGGGATTGGTGCCGTTCCCCAAGCCGACAGTGTCGAAGGGACTTTCTCGTAGATGCATTATGATGTCGCGTCTCCGCCAGTGTATCTCTGCTTCGACTTGGCTAGTGATCTTGTTGACATAGGTGGTAACGATATAGGAGAATCGATGGCGGTTCTTGCGCGTCAGGTCTAAGTGTGGATATCCGCTGTCGAGACAGGGACGCGCTCCTCCGGTCAACTTCCGATTCCACGTGAATGTGTTTATTACCCCTGCGTACCCGCTGCGTTGCCGTAGCCGTGGCCGCAGCAGTTTGGAACGGGATGCAACAAGGAGTCAAGACGGAAAGGCAGAGCGGCATGAACCCCTGGATGCGGTACCAGAAACATGAGAAAAGGAGGGATCATCACCGTGGGCAGGTTCCAGCTCCCCAGTGCGCCCTTATCCACCCGCTTCGATCTCCTGCCAAGGTCCCATCGACTTCTTCCCTGGTAACCGGAGCCGGCATCAACCCCTCTTCACCGAACCGAACCATCCCACCACCCTGCATCGTGCCCACGGCGTACCGCCGTCCCTCGGGACCCGCCATGGTGCCTCTGCCCGTGCTTGGACTTGCCAAGCCTGATTAGATTGATTAGATTGATCCAAGCTGGCAAGTAACCCCCTTCTTCGACCCCTTACGGAGAAAATACTTTGCTATTCTAACACTGGTCATCAACAGCACACCTCTTCTCGTCCCGGATCGAGAGAGAAAAGTTGCATCTTCTATTCTGGTCAATGGGAGAGTGACTGAGGTTCTACCCTTTCTTCCGCCGAGGGGGACGTAACAATGGATGATGGTTGAGAACAGGGGTAGGGCAGGTGGTGTGGGGAGCATGCAGAGAGTTTTGCCCCCGTGCAGTGGGCAGGGGTCGGATCAGATAACTTTAATGGGGTGTTTATTCTGCTGAGCGATGCAACCTCGAGGGGACAACCCTGTCGGCGCTTGTGGGCTGCCACGGCTGCTCCGAGTTCGGGAGCGTCGGCTCATATCGGCCAACGGACCGTGGAGTCGAGCACGCCACAAAGGCCAGCCGATAATGGAATTGGAAAAGAGTAGGATTGCGGCGGCTTCCTGTCTCTGTGGTACATGATCCGCCAGAAGTCCAGAGAGGAAAACGGGCTGTGCCTCCTTTGACCGGATATACTGAGAGAGTATACAGGGAGCTTTGAATGCTTCCTCGCAAGCCAGCCTAGGTGCACGAAGTCGTCGTGAACTTGTGGTTAGCCTAGAATAAAGGTATCCCTCTTATGCAACCCTCCATAGCTCAGCCTTCACAAAAGCTCTAGCTCTAGCTCGAGTTGCACCACTATGTCCATCGTATCTCCCAGCGCACTCAACCGTCGTTTCATAGCGCGTACCTAGGTAGCTAAGCCTACATGAGTTCTTTGACCACCCGACTTTCCACATGCCACCCTGGTATGGGTCTACGAGTACCTACGGGATAGATTTGGGGCCTGCTTCAAGGCGATGGGTTCACTATTTCGCGCCCGCCCGCCCTTCTGTGCGGGGTTCACCGCCAGGGCCCAGAGGAACCGTTTGTAGTTTCACCTCTCACGATCTGGTGCCCCGAAGGATAGGCCGGGGTGGCACCTGGTTACGATATCTGTTGATGCCGGCCGTGACCCGTCATGGGAATATGCGATCGTGGCCACTGGATGGTGAGCCTTCACTCGCGGTGAGAGGTTGTGTGAGGAATCTGTTGTATAAACCAATGGCTTGTCGCCTTAGATAGTCCGGCGCCCTCTTCAGACCATCTCAGCCGCTTCACCTCCCCCCCATGACGGGTCCTAATCACAATAGATACTACTTACCGCCCGGATATACTTGCTATTCTATACAGTATATTAGCAAGGAGTCGAGACTACTCATATTTCCCCGCCTCATAACCCCCTTGTATGGACCTCGGAGCTCAAACACCCAATTCTTCCCGTCGTCTTCCGCGGCTGTGTCTGCCCCCGAGGGTGGATAGGGGTTGCAGTCCAGAAAATGACGCGGTGGACCCGGTATGATGGACCCGGTATGGCAATCCTGATCTACCGAACCCCCCCACTGACAAGATGTCTCGCTGCAGCGCGACGCTGAGGTGACGAGTCAAGATGTTACGCAAGCCTGCCAAATCCAGCAAGAAAAAGTGTCGCTCAATATCGGGGATGGGTCACCTTAGGTTGGGCTGGAGAAGACTGTTGCACACAAATAGGGGAAGAGAAGATGGTTCCTGAACGCCGCAGCAAGCCCCTTGCATTGCATTGAACTACCGGAAAACACCAACGCTATAATGAACTTCATCGTGCTCCCCGCTCTCATTCCCGACATCCGTGCCGTCTACGACGTGTACTTTGCGGCCTTTACAGCCGACGCGGAGGGCCGGATACTTTTAGACATTCTGTTTCCCGGCGGGGTGACCTCGGACGAGTTCAGGGATGCACACACCAAAGGAACACTAGCTTGGTGGCACTCCTCGGACACGCAGTACACGTTCAAATGCGTTGATACGGCTACCGGGGAGGTGAATGGGATGGCGCTGTGCGATGTTTTTGTGCAGCCGAGGGGAGAGGACGAGCGGAAACTCCCCGAGGTGGGTTGGTTGCAGGGGCCGCAAAGAGAGAGGGCCGAGAAGGTGTTAGAGCCGCTCTGGACGGCGCGGGAGAGGATTTGGGGAGGGGGCAGGTACATTTGTAAGTCACTTCCCAGGTTGCAATGGCGGTATTGTTTGCTGACCCGACGAAGACGTGCATGCATTTGCGGTCGCCCCAAAGCATCAGGGCCGCGGAGCTGGGTCGGCATTGGTTCAAGCATTGGTCGACCTCGGAGACAGCACCGGGCTGCCGATCTACCTCGAATCATCTCTTGGGTCACAGGGACTGTATAAGAAGATGGGATTCCTTCAAGTCCCAGCAGATATCGCGAGAGTCATCCACAAAACCGAGGTATTAGAAAAAGAAACGGACGTGGAAGTGCCGTTGATGGTCAAGCTACCGGCCTCGGTTACCCGTCCGGCGTCGGAAGAGAAGGGAAAGAATGTGGAGGAGGTGTACATGGAATGGTATGCGCAGAGGGGCGAGACCGCGCCCAAGATGGACGGAGGCAAGGGAATCAAGCTGCAGGGTTAGTCTGATGGAACCTTCAAAGTTTGTTCATCCTTAACGAGCAAAACCGGAGCTTGGGTCCTTGGCCCAATTTGCATGAACAGCGGGTTGCAGTCGGAGAAGGGAGCCCAGGTGGCGTTCTAGAGACCGACCCAGCCCGTCTGACCACTGCAACCAAAAACGACACCGGTGTTATCAGATGATCAAGATGATCAGATAATGCAAGGGGCAGCCTTACCAATCTTCTTTCTCTTCCACTTTTGTACGTAATGGGCGGGGGCTCGCGTGAGGGGACCAGCAGCGGAGCCGAGGGAAAACCAGGAACCCCCGCGGCCTAACCTGAACTCGAAGTGGGAGGGATGGTAACATCTTTGATTGCGAGTTGTGGCACTGTGGTGACTTGGGCCTGGCTCTGTGTGCACAAGTCTGAGGTTGCTTCTATTCTTAGTCGGTTCCGTGATGGTCACCTCATCCGCTGGTGTACATGTACATACATACGTAGGCCGGGGTTCGGCACTCTTTGTGAAGAAAACCACTGCATGTGCTCAAAAAGTCGAAAAATATCTCATCTCCACCCTCGTGAAGAACCGGATCTGATAAGAGTTGGATCGTGTGATGGGATCAACCAATCGCCTCCCAAAACGGCTGCCCAGCCCGAGGGTGGAGCGCCCCGAGAAATATCAGATCCGGCCCCTTGCCTTATCTGATCCGTGTCCATCTTGCTCGTCCGTATCCGCCAAGCCCGGCATCGGGCCACGGCGAAATGAGATGCTACTGTCCTCCACCTGAACAGATGGGAGTCCGCAGGGTTGCTTGGGTAGGTGGGCCAGGGACAGAAGAGTCTCTCTGGGGACTCGGGAATCGATGGATGTCCCTCGGGGAAAAGAATCTGCCATGCAGGCAAACACACACATTCCTTGAACGTCGGTGCTGCGCTCCGTCCTCCCAGCTTGTCCATTGCACGTTAGAAGAGACGAAGAAGTAACGGAGAAAGGAGGTCAAGATTTGTCCTAACGCGCCAGGTGACCCAACATTGCTGACCCCGACACGTCCCCTTTCTCATACTGGCGCGTGGTAATACTGCCTAACGACGCCGTTATGGCGGCACAGGCTTCAGAAGAGAAGCGGCCGGTTAGTGCTGTAGGAAGCGTAACTTCTGGGCCAACAGCACCTGGGTCCCCTATAGCACCAAAAGACGAGCCTGCCAAACAGGCGGAACAGGGCGTAAGTCACTCTCTCTTTATTTACACCAGCCCCTGAACCAACCTCACCACCAGCCCTCATGTCATGAACAACACCATTCCTTGCATCACCACCATCATGCTAACCTGTCCAGTTCCATCTCCTCACCTACCTCCGCATCTTCACCACCACCGATCCCTCATGGACCGACATCTCCCTCCTCGTCGTCGGCACCATCTCCGCCGCCGCAGCGGGCATCCCCTTCCCGCTCATGGGTATCCTCTTCGGCGAGCTCGTCGACGACATGAACGGCGCGACCTGCGCGGCCGACGGCAGCTCGCTCACCTCGTCCGCCGCCCGGGTTGACCCCTTCGCCTACGAGGGTGCCATCAACGCCAAGGTCCTGCAGCTGGTGTACATCGCCGTCGCCGCCTTCGTGCTGATCTACGTCTACGTGCTGTCCTGGTCGCTCGTCAGCCAGCGCCTGGCCCAGCGTCTGCGCGCCAAGTATGTCAAGGCGCTGCTCCGTCAGCCGCCGGGGTTCTTTGACGCCCGCGCCGCTGCCGCTGGTGAGGTGAGCAGTCGACTGCATGGGGATATGACGGCGGTGCAGGCGGGCACGTCGGAGAAGGTGGGTATTCTGATCGCGAGTACTAGCTTCTTTGTGGCGTGCTATGTGGTGGCGTTTATCAAGCAGCCGAAGCTGGCGGGGATATTGGTGTCGTTGGTCCCTGCTTTTCTGTTGATGGCTTTGGGTGGCGGGTTCTTTGTGCAAAAGTATGCAGCGAGGACATCAGGGGGGGTGGCCGCCGCGTCGGATATTGCTTCTGAGGCGTTGCAGCATGTTGCGGTTGTGCAGGCGTTTGGGGCTGCCCCCAGGTTGGAGAAGAAGTTTGCTGAGCACGTTGCCGAGTCGAGGGGAGCGGGCATCAAGAAGGGAGTGGCTGCTGCCGTCCAGGCCGGTCTTTTGTACTTCATCGCCTACTCGGCGAATGCCCTCGCGTTCTGGCAGGGAAGCCGCATGGTGGTCGACACGATGAACGGAAACGGTACTGAGACGGTTGGGCAAATCTACACGGTCGTGTTTCTGCTCGTTGATGGTAAGCTTTGACCCCTTTTCCATACCTCCCTTATTCGCCCCTTACTCCCCAGCAGCATTCTAACATTGCCCTCCAGCTTGCGTGTGTCTCGGCAGTATTGCCCCTTTGTTGCCCATCCTAGTCGGCGCCTCAGCCGCCTTTGAACGGCTGATGAACGACATCGAAGCGCCGTCCACCATTGACGGGACGTCCGACGACGGTCTCGTCCTACCCGACACAACACCGGGCCACATTACGTTCAACAACGTCACCTTCGCCTATCCCTCCCGCCCCAACCAGCCAGTCCTCCGCAACGTCAACCTGACATTTCCCGCCGGCAAGCACACCGCCATCGTAGGCCTCTCGGGCAGCGGCAAGTCCACCGTTGCCGCCTTGATTGCCCGCCTGCAAGACCCCACCGAAGGCACCATCACCCTCGATGGCCATGACATCCGCGACCTCAATGTGCGCTCCCTGCGCAGCTTCATCTCCCTCGTGCAGCAAGAACCCTCGCTCCTCGACCGCTCCATCCTCGAAAACATCGCCCTCGGCCTCATCAACTCCCCCAAACCAGCCCACCAACCCCTCAAGCCCCTCCTCCACAGCGGCACCCTCTCCGACCTCGCCAAACTCGGGCCATCCTGCATCACCGCCACCCCCCCTCCCACCCTCGAAACAGACTCACCCGCCACCACCGCCCCCCTCATAACCCAACTCCAAACCCTCATCCGCCGCGCCGCCACCCAAGCCGACGCCGACACCTTCATCACCGCCCTCGCCCAAGGATACGGAACATCCGCAGGACCCAAGGGCTCGCTGGTCAGCGGCGGCCAGCGGCAGCGGGTGGCGCTAGCGCGGGCGCTGGTGCGCGACCCGCGCGTGCTGGTGCTGGACGAGGCGACTTCGGCGCTCGACTCGGCGAGCGAGCGCCGCATCCAGCTGGCGGTGGAAGGGGTCGCGAGTGAGGGGACGAGGACGGTGGTGTCGATTGCGCATCGGTTGGCGACGGTGAGGGGGGCGGACTGGATCGTGGTGTTGGAGGGGGGAGTGGTGGTGGAGGAGGGGGGGTATGCGGAGTTGATGGGGAGGGAGGGTGGGAAGTTTAGGGGGATGGTGGAGTTGCAGAGTTTGGGGGCCGTGGTCGGGGAGGAGGATGGGGGTAGTGGTGAGGATGGGGAGGAGAGGGAGGCTGTTAAGGGGGTGGAGGACAAGGGGCGAGATGATAGTGTCGAGAAGGTGGTGAGTAAGGAGGTTGCCGTCACCGGAAAAGCAGAGGAAGATGAACCGGCGGATGATGGAAAGGCAGCCGAGAGCGCACGCTGGGGAAGTGTGTTCCTTGGCCTTGGCCGGCTCGTCCGCCCTTCGCTCGCATGGCTTGCGCTAGCCCTCTTTGCTGCCGTCATTGTCGGAGGCACCTTTTCTGGGTCCGGTCTCATCTTCGGCTTCACTGTTGGCGCTCTCAACCCCTGCAGCAACACTGCGGATCGGATCCTCGAACTCGGCATGTTCTTTGGTGGTCTCCTCTTCATGCTGGCCGTTATAGAACTGCTGGCCAACTTCTTTGCCTGGTCTTGCTTCGGCCTCATCGCTGAGCGCTTGCTCTACGCTGTACGCGTGCTTTCGTTCCGCTCCCTCATGGAGCAGGGCGTGCAGTGGCACCAGTCTGAGGGCCGCTCCCCATCGTCCCTACTCGACATCATCACCAAGGACAGCGCCGCAATCGGTGGCTTCAGCGGATCGACCATTGGTACCGTTTTCTCCATCATCGTCAACTTCATCACAGCCATCATCCTCTCCCACATCATCCAATGGAAGATCGCCATCGTCTGCCTGGCCATCGTGCCCATCCTCCTCTTTGCAGGCTTCATGCAACTGCGGATGCTGGCTCGTTACGAGGAGCGGCATGCCGAGTCTTTCTCCAAGGCAACCAGCGTAGCCGTTGAAGCAGTCCAGTCCATCAAGACCGTCGCCGCTCTGTCCCTGGAGGGCGAGGTGATGGGCTCATACGCGCGCCTACTCAAGAACACGCGCGACGAGATGGTCCGCGCGGCGGCCTTCACCAATATCTGGCTCGCGTTGGCCAACAGCGTGAGCTTCCTCATCTATGCCTTCGCCTACTGGTGGGGCTCGCAGCGCATCATGCACGGCGAGGCCAACCAGACCCAGTTCTTCATCATCCTCATCGCCATGCTGGTGAGCGCGCAGCTCTGGGGACAGATGTTCAGTCTCGCCCCAGAGTTCTCTCGCGCCCGCACCGCCTTCTCCCGCATCCTGCACATCATCAGTCTCGGCTCCGACTCAACCATCGATTCGAAGCGCGGTCCCCAGGGGGCATCACCACCCTCCAATCCCGAAACCGCCCCCTCCCCAGACATCGAAGCCCTCGCCAACCCCACCCCCCAACCAAGCAGCGACCTAAACCAACCCGGCCTCGAGATAACCTTCTCCAACGTCTCCTTCGCCTACCCCTCCCGCCCTTCCCACCCCGTCCTCTCCTCCGTCTCCTTCACCATCCGCCCCGGCCAATTCATCGGCCTCGTCGGCCCCTCGGGCGCCGGCAAATCCACCATCATGGCCCTCGCCCAGGGCCTCTACACCCCCACCCCCAGCACCCCCAACAACGGCACCGCCGGCCGCATCACACTCGACGGCATCCCCGTCACCGCCTCCGCACCGCTCCCCTTCCGCGACGAAATCGCGCTCGTGCCACAAGACCCGGCGCTCTTCTCCGGCAGCGCGGCCTTCAACGTCGGTCTGGGCGCGCGCCCCGGGCGCGAGGCGACGCGCGCCGAGATCGAGGAGGCGTGCCGGCTGGCGAGCGTGCATGACGTGCTGGCGGCGCTGCCGCAGGGGTATGATACTGAGCTGGGCGCGGGCGGGTCGCGCCTCTCGGGCGGACAGCGGCAGCGGGTAGCGATTGCGCGGGCGCTGGTAAGGCGGCCGCGGTTGTTGCTGCTGGACGAGGGGACCAGTGCATTGGATGCGGCGAGCGAGGCGGCGTTGCAGAGGGGGTTGGATGAGGTGGCGCGGCGGGGGACGACGGTGTTGGCGATTACGCATAGGTTGCATACGGTGAGGAAGGCGGATGTGATTTTTGTGGTGGAGGGGGGGAGGGTGGTGGATCGGGGGACGCATGGGGAGTTGATGGAGAGGCGCGAGGCGTATCGGGTGAATGCGATGCAGCAGATGTTGCAGTAATGGGGAGGAAGGAAGCCGGGAGGGAATGTTGATGGAATTTGATACAAAAATGTATGTGTACACGCTCGAGCTTGCTTTTACAGCTCCTCCTTGAAAAACACCTCCTGCGACCCTTCCTGTTCCTTACCTTCTGGCTGGGCAGCCTCGGGTTTCTTGTCGTCCGCCTCCGCTTTGTGGCCTTGGTCCTTTTGGTCACCCTTTTGGCCTTCCTCTTTCTGGTTTCCCTTTTGAACACCTTCCCGGTTTCCGTTCGCAGTCTCTTTCTGGCTCCCTTTCCGAGTGTTCTCCTTCCTGACCTCCTTCTGGCCATCAGGCAGACCCTGCTGCTGCTTTTCTGTGCCCTCTTTGCCCTCCGCCTCATCGTCGTCGTCGAACACGCCATAGTAGTCAACCTTCTCGCCATCCTTCACATATTGCAGCGTCCACCCCCTGTCGCCGGCCTCCGCCTTCATTTCCTCCACGCCTCGCTTAATCATCCTTGGACTGAGATTCAGCTCCTCCAGCTCCGCATCGCTCATGACTTCCACGTTTGAGGATGCCTTCTCCCTACTGGCGAGTATTTCGATGGTGGGTGTTGTTGCGCGCGAGACACCGCGCGGGAGCGCCAGTTTATACACGTCCTCCTCACCAATGTGTTGCCGGGAGCCGACGACGACGCCCCCGATGGTCGTGCCAACAAAGTGGTTCTGCGGCAGGTTCTTGGTGCCGGTGTGCTTGGTGGCCTGAGCTGGCTTCTGTCCCAGTAACCCGCTCGCCGCGGCGACCTTGTTATAACGCCACGCCAGCTCCTCCTCCTCCGTGCTGACAATCTGGCGGCACCGTATCGGATGGGCCCGGGTCGGCTTGGGCGGCTGGAAGGCGACATCGCTGCAGAGGCGTGGCGTGTAGACGACCATCATGTAAGTGCAGGTGGTTACTTCCTTAACCCAACCAATCCGGTCTACGGTCGCGCCGGGGCTGCAGTGATACTGAATTTCGATGGTGCGCGGACGTCCGGTAAGATCGCAAACCGTGCCATCTTCGAGGCGTTGCGAGAGGTAGCGCTGGTCGCCTTTAACTTGGAGATGGGCGTTTGGCGGGGCGACATTCTTCGCCGCGTTGTCCATCCCCGAGTGATCCGCCACGGCTTTGGTGTCAACTGCGTTTTCTTGTGCCCTGCCCAGGACATACTCCGGGTCCTTTTCGTCTCTCAGCGGCGGATCGGTTGCCTTGGTGCCGGGGAGTGCGTGGTACTGGACGACAGACTTGCCGTAGCAGAAGCTGTAACTCCACCATCCTGCCACGAAGTACATGCACTGCCCGTCGAGTCCGCCCATAAGTTCCCAGCCCTTAGCCGACGCTCTACTCAGCTCGCGGGCCTCCTCGGCCTTGGCCAGCTCGGTCGCGGTCCGGTTCAAGATGGGCGGAGGTGCGATGACGGGTACGGCGCAGAGGTACTTCCACGGGTTGCTGTTGATCAGCTCGTATGTCTCGGCAATTGGGATGTCTTCGTCGTCCTCGCGGGCGCCGTGGCTGTCATCGTTGCCATCGCTGCTCTTCGTCCCGGATACTTCGGCCGGTGCGGACTCGCGGACTTTGCTCACGTCGGATTGTGAGAAATCGGCCGTGTATGTGGCGCCTCCCGCGGGCGACGACTCGAGAATGGCGAGCGCATCAGCTTCGGAGATGAAGTCATCGGCAAAGACAACCTCGAACTATGCAAAGGCGACGTGTTAGCGGCGCAATGTGTCACAAGCCCAAGGCACTCGCCGCAAGGTACTTGGGAAGCTATCGATCGGGGCCTACCTGAGGGTGCGCGAGCAGGTCGTCGTGGACACTGAAGCTAGGCTGCCGTGCTTGACAGAGCTGCAGCGACGCTAGTAGAACCAGATTGAGGCGGCGCATGGTGCCGTCACTGTCATGGCAAGATGCCTTCGATTGTCGTTCGTCACAGTGCTACAGTGGTTGCAGTGCTGTTTCGGGAATTGGGACACCTGTCGCATGCGACTGATAAGGTGGCCTTATCGTGCCTGCCCGCGATTATGTCATCGCGGTCTCGGCCACCGCGTCTTCCAATCTTCGGCGCAATGACAGTTTCGACTCTCCTCAACCATGACACGCAATACACACCCGGGGTTAGGCATCGCCTTCTCTACAACATTTTTCGTGTTAATAAAAACTATCACGCCTATACGCCGACGTCCGCGTAAGCCAACGGCCAACGTTAATGTTTCCTCTCCCCGCCGTGGACCGCCCGTCTCCCTCCGGAAAATCACATTCATCCTCTGATTCCTCGAAGTTGTCGATCCACTCATGCTCGCGAATGTCTCTTTCGGCGACAGGGAAGCCATCCTCGCCCCGGAGCCACATGAACATGTTGTGCGTTGCACGCTCCGAACAGTCCCTCTCGCAGTCCATGCCGCTGTAATCGACCGCTATTTGATCATCCCCTACCGTCTCCTGCTCAGGTGTTGTCCCATTCGGCGACATTAGACTGTCCAATGCAAAGGGAATCGCCTCACGAGCCCCATTTTGGCAGTCCCACGTCCAGCCTGAATAACAGAGTCCATGAAAGCCCCCACAGCGCGCGTGCTCCCGAACCTCCAAGGTACAGTCCGCAATTTCTGTAGTACCAAAGGGCTGGAACGACGTCAAGGGAGTGTATGTGTGTTCCCTTGACTGTGATAGGAAAAGCATCCGGCACTCATCCGCACGAGTTATCGTCTCCTCTGCAGACACAGCATCTCTCACGGGTTCCTGAATGAAACACATTAACGTGTCAGTCCATCCGGCGAGAGTCAGGTCGATGGGGTAGAATAAGGCTCTCATCCCCCGGAGAACAAAATCATGTGTGCCTAGGAGCGTCGCGCCCATCCAGAGAAAGCCGATTCTAGGGTTTCGAGCCATGAGGGTACCCGTGAGGAGCTGCAAGTCGGTCTCTGCGATATCGGAATCCAGAACCGCGAACGCGCCCTGCACCCACGCGCCGCAGACGTTGCAAGGTACGCCCGGCTCAAATATCACACTGCTTAGGAGCGACTGAATGAAGTCGTTGCAGCTTAGTGTGAGCAACCTGTCCAGTTGGTGCACGTCACTGCCCCACGGCGCAACTGGCCGGGCCAAGGTTGCAGACGGGTTGGTTTTGCTGGTTGAGGGGGCCGCTTCGGGAGCCGGGAGCCCGATGGTCCTTTTGATGCGGCCAGCCGACGGCAACATCAACGCAGCGGCGAAGGCTGCGCGGCTTTGGTTTTCGACCCCGTGATATGCCGAGTACGCCGAGATGATACAGGCGGCGACCCGAAAGGATGGTGCGGGAATGTGAAGCCGAGGTTCTGTTTCAGCCGACGTTCGCGAGAGTACAATGGGCCGGCCTGTCTGCAGGAGGTTAGTGGACCACGGCGCCTGTCGAATATCCCCTTGGTGGCGCATGTCCGCGGTCCAGCCCCGACCCGGAGCGAGGATGGCAGTCCACCACCTCGCGGCGCCGTCAGATACTGGACCAAGGTTGACGACCATCTCCCCCCCGTCGTGGCCCGCAGCCGGTGCCTCCCAAGCTGCACGGCTCTCGGTGTACTCAAGAACGGTCTCCCCTGGCACAATCTCGGTCCACCGCGCGGCCAGAACGTAAGCCCACGCGAGAGTCAAAATGCCGACATGGTTTCCCTGGTCACCAAACCACGTCGGGAAATGCTCCGGCGAATGCTCAATGGAGACGGCAATGGGACGGCGGACGGTGACGGGGATGGAGTACCTCCGCTGAAAAGGCGGAAGATCGCGATCCCTGTCACAATGTCCCGGCGACCATGTCGAAGTCCCGGTAGCAAGCAAATAATAATCTGGCGTTAGTTGCAGACGGTTATGAAGGTATGGATGCTGCTGAAATGCACGCTCGAAATTCACAAGGTCGGTAGGAAATTGACGGTATGCAGCTACCGCTCGAGACAGTCTCTGCCATGTCCCGTAACCCCTTGCGTAATACCGCCTGAATGTTTCGGCGGCCGGCCGGATCGCGTCACCCGTTCCCCCGGGAGCCGGTGGTGTCCGCATGTCTTCCGCTCGCTTTAACACAGCCAACTCAAGGCGGAACCCGGGGCGGGGCGGGGCAAGCGGACTCGGCACAAGCTCCCCGGAGCCGACCCGTCCCCTGTCTCCGGGTGCTGTCCCGGCGGTGTGGTGAAAGTGCGATCGACTCTTCGAGAAATGGTTTCGAACCCAAGTTCGACGAAAGAAGGTCTTCGGTTCCTCGGCTAGTTGGATGTCTCGGTTCGAACAACCGGTACCGGTACCGACTGCAAGTCATTTCCAGCCCCGATCATCTGGCAGTCACCGAGACTGAGTGAGGGTGGGCACGATAGCCCAACCGAGGTGAGTCCCGGTGACCAGAAACGTGTCACAACCGCAGCCAACGGACAACTCATCAATTGGTGGCCCATGCAGCGGGGCCAAACGCACGGGCCATGGGTGAGATCTCTGAAGGTGCCTGGGGGGTCAATCAACCACAGGAATTGCAGCCCAACCTGCTCAGCCTGGAAGAGCCGAGAGTGCCGCGCCCGGCCAGTGTGGTGGTGCAGTGTGTGGTGGCTGCGATAGTGGGGGATCCATCAGGTCGGGACACTGAACACAGATTGGCGATTTGCAGCGCCCGAAACAGACCCGCCCAGCCGGCGATTTGTGTCCAGTCAAAAGCCGTCGCCTCACTCTCCAGGGCCTGATCCTCCAATAGCAGCGTTTGTGACGGTCCTGCAGCAGGAAGGGATGAGCGGGTCCCCTGGTTGACAACGAGGCGGCGACGTATGGCCAACAGCGTGTTCGACGACCCTCCACCCGGGCTGCATGGAAGCTGTTCCGGTCGTGACTTCGAAGCCCCAGACGAATGATTCGATGAATGCTGACACGGCACAGATCGGGGGCTCGCGGGGGCAGCTGGGACTGGAAACAAGTGGGGTGCGTTCCAACCCGGAAATTCGAGGCCGACATGTTGAGCTGTCAGGCCAGACAGACACCACCGGCAGGCATCGCTTCCTCGCTTCTTCCCCCAAGGTTGGCGCGAATTGACTGAAACTCCATTGGAAGGTTAAACTTGAAGTTTTTTTGGGGACACCTATGCTTGCACCATGGATCCTCGGGGTAGGGAGTGAGAACCCGAACCTTCAAGTTTTCGTGAATTCCCCACTTCCAATTCTCTGAACATCCATCGTAACTGCCTCTGCTTCCTTCCTGGCTGCCCGGTTAATCGTGAACTGCGGCTTCCTTCATAGCCCGGAAACCGATGAGAGAGGGAAGGCACGTCACAGCACTGGACCAGAAGGGACCCCCGTTCTGGATGCCGCGCCTGGACCAGGGCATGTCTCTCAATCGTCTTTTTTCGTCTCGTCTCAACTGCGGGTTGTGACAATGTGACTCAGCAGCATCTGCAACCATCCATCCCACTTCCCTGTCTGTCCCTTCTCACAACTCCCGAGCCGTCTGAATGCCCGACATTATGCTGGCTGGGGCCTGAGACTGCGCTTGCCAGCTGGCGTTTCGACCCTTCATCTTCCGGAAATATCGGGCGAAGGGTTCCAGAAGAAAACTGTCACCCCCATCCCGCGCAAGTTCCCGCGCAAATGCCCGCGTGAGCAGCGGAGCCTGATTGCCTGCCAGAAGCGCTGTGCTGGCCTTCTCATGAGCTGACTGGATGCAGTTGCGCATCACCCGGGCGGTTCCACCCAACCACAGCTTGTGCGATTCGGCTCACTGCCCGCCCTCTGAGCCCCCTCCAATCCCCCGAGAACGACGCGGTGGGACACGAAGCGAGGACCCAGAAGAGCCTTTTTCCACTCCGGCCTCGATGGAAACCGATGAGTGGATTGTCTTTTTCCAGTCGTCCACATTGGCAGTGACTGGTGAGCGAACTCGCCGAGAAATCATCGGCCAATGGTCCGTTTGGCGTCGCGGTATCAATGGATCCCCTCTGCAGCCGGGCACAACTCACACAGTGGTTGGCCCGCTGTGCTGTGCTCAACCGTTCTGCATGCAGTCAATCCCTCTGTCGAAATTGAGATGCAAACACTCCATTCGCGATGCCAAGCACGCTACGGATTCCATTGCAAATGCTTCGACGGCACCCTAGTCCGAGGAGAAGGCCCACGAGCGTGGCATTTCATCGTGTCAGGTAACTCCACTAGTTCGATGTCCATCGACATTGAATTGTTCTGCTGGAAGAGGCAAAGCCCCTTCACCACGATCCTCCGAATGGGAGCTGATCTCTCTTCCAGGGCACATCCTTGGCATATTTCCAAGCCTTCGGATTCGTCACGAAGCATGGGAGACCCGCTTGAGGCGCCGAGACTGGCTCGCCGACGCCAATCCGGGGTCGGTGGGCGGCGCCATGGGCACTCAATCAGAGCTTCCCCCAGAAACCCCTTGTCCGTTACACCGTTGATCCGCGGACAGTCGTCACCTCTGGCTTGCCCGGGTGTGAGTGGGTTGGCTGTGTGCCTGGCACCACACCAGAGCCTCCAGAGCCGTGTCTTCCCCAACATTCCCACCCACCACTTGACCGGGTGTGCAGCTTGCATCTCGACCTGAAATCGTGTGCCGTCCGTCCCCCATCCCTCGAACCTGCGTCCCTTCGACAACTCGGTGTGCCGAGCCCCCTCCTGCATGTCGAAGCCTCGCGGGCCCGACTGGATAAATATCATTTGCTCTCCGACAGCCTGCCAATCTTCTCTCTGCTCTTGTTCCATCTTCCATCGTGCTTCGTTTGCTTGTCTGCAGCAAGCAATCTTCAACCCCATCCATTCAAGACACTGCTCGCCGGGTTCGGCCGCTCCCTGCGGACAGCCTGCTTTTTGTCCGCTTATCCGTCCCACTTCAACCCACGAGGCTGGATCTTCGTTGTCCCAACCATCTACTTGCGCCAGCACTCCCTACCTCATAACTCTATCCGCACATGATGAGTCAAGCCAACGTGGTTGAACAGCTTCGGGCTGCGCTTGAGAAGAGTGAACGAGAAAAACGCGCCTTGATGGAGAAACTCAGCAGGGCGCAGCCTTATCCCACACCCACGGCAACAGCTGTCGAGGCCAGCCGCGGCAACTGCCCAGTGCCATCGTCATCACGCCCTCAGATCGCCAACAATGGCCGCTCAAGTAGCAACAGGATGCCCCAGAGTGCCACAAACGACACTCGGCCTCAATCCACCCATGTCTCGCAGGTAAGATCTCCCCGCCATCAGCGGGATCAGATACGCAGCCCCACTTCCACTCAGGCTCACGCATCCACAGGACCAGAGCCGCCCCATGAAGCGCTCAAAGACCACACATGCAACGGGGTCCTCTTCGATAGCGCCCATGATGCGTTCAAGATCGAGCGTTGCCCGCCCCGGACCCAACCCAAATCCATTCGCCCGGAGTGCAGGTCCCATCGCGCCTCCAACCATGCAGAACAGTCTCCCGGCCACAGTCCCCAGCACCCTGGGTGATTATCTCCACCAAACCCAGTCACAATATCTCACGAATGCCTTCGCCCCGGGCGCCAGCCTCATGGATGGCACGTCACCGCACGGAGGGGCTGGGCGGGAGATGGGCGTGGACGAGTTCCTCCGGATGCATGACGACTCCATGCTTCACACTATATCTCCCATCAACATCCCTCCGTCCAGTCTCCTCTCACCTCAGGAGCCCGACCATTACCCAAGCTCAAGTTTTCCCTCCGCTTACGGATCTCTAACCTCGGGCCCGACGATAGAAACAGCCCCCATGTCTCGGCGGAACAGCTCGATGAACGAGGTCTCGGGCCAGTTCAGCGAGATGGTACGGATCCAGTCGCAACAGTCGGCGGGGAGCTATCGTCCCAGCCCCATCGCCGTCAATCCACCGTTGTTGGGGAAGCGCGCCTCGGAGGACTCGGGCGTCATCGTCATGCAGGGGGGCTCGTTCTCATACGCGTACCCGTCTTCTGCCCCCATGCAATCCCCCCTCTCACAACATCAACACGCCATGGAGCCATCGCTATCGCAGTCCAGTATCCAATCCGCCTCGTCGGTTGACGTATCCCCGCACGAGAACGGCTCTTTCCTCACCCAACACCTCTCCATGGAACGTTCGGTATCCAGGGATAGCATCAAGTCCAACTCATCCTTGAAATTCCGAGCCAAGGAAGCGCTTGCTCGCCAGAACTACGCGGCCAAGTCCCGCCACCTCCAGCCAAAACCAGCCGCGGGAGTGGTCAAGCAGGAGGCCGCTGACCAGGTCAACAACGCAAAGGACGGAAAGGCCGCCATCGCCAAGACCAAGTACGAGCGCCCCAAGCATCCCAAGGTGCTGTGCAACCAGTGCAACGAGCATCCCGAGGGTTTCCGAGGCGAGCATGAGCTTCGCCGCCATACCGAGGCCAAGCACAAAAGCATGGTCAAGAAGTGGATCTGCCGCGACCCCAACCTCTACGGCATCCCGCACTCCGAGACAGCCGTCAAGCCACTCAAGGACTGCAAACAGTGCTCGCAGAACAAGCATTATGGCGCCTACTACAACGCCGCCGCGCATCTCCGCCGCACCCACTTCAAGGTCAAAGCCCGCAAGGGCGCAGCCGGCAAGAACGGGCATGTCAAGGTCGAGGAGGAGAAGGAGAAGCGAGGAGGGAAAGGCGGCGGTGACTGGCCTGCCATGAGCGAGCTTAAACAGTGGATGGTCGAGGTTACTGTTCCTATGGACCAAGCCGGCGCTCTGATGCCCGACGGGACGGAGTCGGTAGGGGCCGTGGAACCCGAGGACTTCGAAAACGAGTTTGCCGACTCCCACGGACTTCCCATGCAGATGGCTGCCGAGGACTACGGCATGTCCACCTTTGCCGGCGTCGGAGAAGGGTTCGGCCAAGCAATCAACCTGCACGGCGCGTCGTTCCAAGGCGACCTGGACTCTCAGCTGTCCGATATGTACCGTCTCAACAACCCCGTCTTCTCCGCGTCGTCAATGCAAGGGGTTCCCATCTCGTCCGCGGGTTTCGACTACCGAAACGCGGAGGCGAGCACCCAACAAAGCATGGCGGCGTCGTTGATGAGCCTCGACAGCCACGGCTACACTTCGCCTGTTTCCTCTACTGCGACCATCACGCAGGCCGGCACATACATGGACCAACTCCTCCCGTCGACAACCTTGCAGGGGTCGCGCGATGACCTGGCCGACTTGCCGTTCGACCTCACATTCGCGACGATGGAGCAGTAGATGCTTCTGCAGCTACCTCCGCCATCTCTTTCACATCCATCGCCATCTTGGCGTGAATCATCTCCTGATATCCCCGTCTTTCTTATTGTTTGTCTCACACACCACGGCATGATTTAAAAAAGATATATCTCATCGTTTCATTCTTTGCTGGCGTGCTTCCGGTTTCCCGGTCCATGCTTTCTCATCTCCTAAGGTGGCTTATGAGGAGCCTCGAGGTAATTACCCACCTCCAGGTATTCTCTCGCCACCAGGTATCTCTTTCTCGCTTGTGCGTATCTTATGGGATTTGTGTGTCGTTGTATTTCATTCCATTCGGACGGTACATCGACGCCGTCCGCACCCAGTCACTGTCGTCACTTGCCTGGCGTTGCATGAACCAGTCGATGGGGATACGTTTTTCGTCGTGGCCAGCTAGCCGCGAGTTGCTCACAACACAGCAACGCACATGGACGTTGAATATCGCCGCGGTTAGGTGTGTGTACATACCGAGTGAGCCTCCGAAAAGATTTCGGAGGAGGTTCCGTTGGAGCTGGGGGGCTGTTGTGTATATGCTTCGCCCCTTGCGTCGCGTTTCTTTACTCCTCTCTGTAAGGTGTGGCTTTGGATAAAACGGGGGGGTTGGCATCAAGGTGTTGGCATCAAGGGTGTTTGGGAAGAGGTTCGGCCTGTGTGGTGGCGACCGGGCTTGATGATTTTATGAGGCGTTTGGGACTGCATGTTGGCTTACGGAATGGGATCAGGAATGGGAACAGGCTGGATGATTGCATCTACGCTGGCAGGGCCAGACAGTATATAGTATTAAATTAATGTGTATATCACCCGAGCGGAAGGAGTTCTACATATATATGGTGATATGCCAAGTGTGAAAAGTTAATACCAATTATCAACCACAGAACCAAGCCGAGCGACTTGACGCCACCCTCTGGCCAAAAAAAAGCCGAACTCGAAAGGAAACCGAGGGATCAAGGAAAAAGAACGAATAAAAAGAGGTCGAGCAAAAGAAACCAAATAAAAGAAATGGGGTAGTAAACGGAGTAAGTCCTGTTTTCCTGTTTTCCTTTCTTCTTTTTTTCTTTTTCTTTTCTTGTTCTTTTTCTTTTCCTTTTTTTTTGAAAGATTTCAGGATGACGTTCGTTTTCTTTTTATTCCTACGGTCGTAAGACTCGAGGTTTCCCTGGCCGGCACCTGCACTTGGAGTTCGGCTTTGTTGGACGAAGGGTTGACGCCCACTGCCCACTCCACTTTGACACCAACACAACACATAAATACACAATGATTGCATCGGATGCGTCTCTTGCCTCATGCGGGAGTGGGTCCCCCGGTCTCCGACACCGGCTCCGATAGCTCCGGGGACCCGGCTTTTTCCTCTTGTCACCCTCGGCCACTGACTCAACATCCAAACTGCGTGTTGCTCGGCGTGACACGGGTCCACGGGGATAGCGCGGGCGGCGGTGAAAGCATGTCACCTATCCGAGAACGGGAACAAAAAAAACAGATGAAAATATAGACTCCTGTCCCACAACTTCCTTCCCAGCCCCCTCCCTATTCCATCTCTCACCCTCCAGGTGCATCTCACCACCACTCCCCACCCCCTCAAAACAAGCAACCAACCAAACAAACTCAACAAAGAAACAAAACCATGCCCCCAACCCACCTCCTACGCACCGCCCTCCGCGAATCGGGCCTCCCCTCCCTCTCCGCCGCGGGCCTCGACGCCTGGCTCATCATCCTCTCCCGCTCCTGCCGCATGTTTGCCTACGGCGCCGGCTCCCTCGTCCTCGCCCTCTTCTTCGCCGAGCTCGGCTTCTCCGACTCCCGCATCGGCCTGTTCATGACCCTGACCCTGCTGGGCGATGTGGTTTTGTCGCTGCTGCTCACGCTGGTGGCGGATAACGTGGGTCGCCGCAGGACGCTATTGGTTGGGTCGGGGTTGATGGTCGTGTCGGGGGCGGTGTTTGCGCTGTGTGAGGGGTTCTGGGTGCTGTTGGGTGCGGCGGTGGTGGGGGTCATTAGTGCGACGGGGGGGGACTTTGGGCCGTTTAGGGCGGTGGAACAGTCGATTGTTTCGGAGCTGACGACGCCGAGGACCAGGGCGGATGTGTTGGTGTGGTATGTCACGCTGGCGAGCTTGGGGAGTGCGCTGGGGACGGAGATGTCGGGGAGGATTGTCGAGGGGTTGAGGGGGCGCGAGGGGTGGACGCTGGTGGATGCGTATCATGGCTGTTTTTGGTTGTATGTGGCTACGGGGTTGGTTAATATGCTGTGTGCCGTCATGTTGTCGGATCGGTGCGAGTTGAAGGCGGTCAAGGTGGTGGAAGAGCGGGGTGAGGGTGAGACTGGGCCGCTGCTCAACGGATCGCAAGAGGGGGAGTCGAGAACGGATGAGGGGAAAGCGCCAAAGGCGAAGGCAAGCTGGGTTGCCCAGATATCGCCCGAAACACTTTCCATCATGGTGGTGCTCTGGTTCCTCCTCATGGTCGACTCACTCGCCGACGGCATGGCCAACATGTCACTGACAACATACTACATCGACAAGAAGTTCCACCTCGCCAAGTCGGCGCTCGGCGACATCGTCTCGATCAGCTACTTCCTCTCAACGCTGTCCAACATCTTCTCGGGACCCCTGGCGCGCCATATAGGGCTAGTCAATACCATGGTTTTCACCCACATTCCGTCTTCGGCGGCGGTCTTGGTGTTTCCCCTAGCGCAGACCGTTCCTCTCACCTTCGCGCTTCTGCTGCTGCGGGTCGGGCTCAATAACATGGACCAGGGGCCTCGGGCTGCACTCATTGCAGCAGTGGTACGGCCCGAGGAGCGGACCGCTGTCATGGGTATTACAAGCATGTTGCGGACGCTTGCTTCGACAACGGGGCCCACCATAACAGGTCTGTTGGCAGGCGGCGACAGGTTCTGGGTGGCATTTGTGGTTGCCGGTTCACTCAGGTTGGCATATGACCTGGGCCTGTTTGCCATGTTCATTAACATCAAGTTATACAAGCATGAGGAGGGCGAGGATCAGCCTGGAGAGGTGGCAGAAGGAAATGCACAACCATCTCTCCCGAGGCAAGTGGAGCAGCCGTAACTTGTAAAGATTCCGACAAGGAGTTGGAGATAATATGACAAGGATGACAAGGAAGTTGTTGATCCGGTTGGATACAGCTTCACACACGCTACAACTCAACATCGAGTCTTTTGTCCCTTATCTCCCACGACCACTGGCCGGCGATTTGGGACCGCGCGAGGTAACATATTCATCATTTCTCGCGGCCAAGTGGAGCAAAAATCTGGGAATAGATACCATCTAAGGAACATGAGAAAAAGAAGAGGACGAAACGCGATTTGAACGCGTGACCTACCGGACTGCAGCCGGTTGCTCTACCCCTGAGCTATTCGTCCTGGGGCAATTATTGATAAGATAGCGCAGCTGACGGCCTTTTGTGTGGTTGCTTTGTAATTGACCCTTATTCAGGGGTTCAGTTCAGCTGTCCACAACGCTGCACCATCGTTTAGGCTAAGTACAACCATGAGCAACTCCTCCCAAATAACGTAGTAAATACGAATAACTGGTGGATGTTCGGCACGTGGGTACTTAAACCCGGTTCTCAAGTTACACAACTCCTACGTATTTTCATCATTTTCGGCAAGGACCAGCGCTTGCATGATGGGATGCGCGCAAATCATGACTGGGAAAAGGGGTTATCTCCCTATATAACTCTCTGGTTGTTGGCCAAGACATTGTTTCCCGGACATACCTGCTTGGCAGTTAGCTACCTAGATTAGGCCAAGTCACCGTCTCGGGGATAACGTAGCGAACATGAAGCCCTCTACACCATTCCTAGCACACCTCGGGGTGTTGGCCCCTGTTGTCTACGGGGCAGTTCACAACTTGTTTGTGGGAAATTTACGGCCGCCCGCGGCCATTTATGCCCTCGAATTCAACGACGAGACCAATGATTTCAAGCTCTTGAAAAACAATACGGCCGACGCATCCCATGCGTGGATTACCTTTGACGTGAGCCCCTTTTACTGCGTCTAACCGTCTGGCCTCACAAGTGTTAACATACCCTTCTTGTGATTAGCACGCCAAGAAGAACATCTACGGCGCTTCACTCAACGAGACGCGAATCGCCAGCTACAGCGTGCTCAATGCCACGACCCTCGAACTCACCAGGAACGTCTCGGCCACGGGCGCCTGCTTCAACACCACCAGCCCCTTCGTGATCGCCATGCCAACCCCGCCCTACCACGTCTTCACCGGCTCCTGGCCCTCCCCGGAGGCCTGCGGCATGTCCCTGTCCACCTCGGACACCGGCACCCTCACCGGCGTACTCGACAGCTGGCCTTACATCAACGCCTCGGGCATCCACGGCCTCGCCCTCTCCCCACCCCCAAACCTAAACCAAAGCACCACCCCCCAACAACAACTCCTCTACACAGCCGACCTCAACGGCGACCTGATCTGGACCCACAGCATCGACCTCGCCACCGGCGCGGCCACCGAAGTCTCGCGCTTCCCCATGGCCGGCACCCCGGGCACCCACCCCCGACACCTCGCAACCCACCCCAACGGCGCGCGGCTGTACGCGGTGATGGAGGGCGACAACAGCGTGGCCGAGTACGCTCTGGACTCCCGCACGGGCGCCGTGGCGGCCGAGGTCGTGCGCCACAGCCTGATACCGATCGACGCGGACACGGAGCGGTACTGGTCCGCCGAGGTGATGCTGTCGGCGAGCGGGCGGTATCTGTGGGCGACGGCGAGGGCGCGGGAGGAGGAGGATACGGGGTTTGTGTCGGTCTTTTTGGTGGGGGAGGATGGGGGGATTGTGGGGAGGATGTTTCGCGTGCCGACGACTACGCGGGGCGGGAAGGCGAATGCGGTGAGTCCTGCGTTTTGGGGGGATGAGTTTGCGGCGATGACGGATTATGGGGAGGGGTATGTGCAGATGTGGAAGATGGAAGGGAAGAGGGAGAGGGAGGATGGGTTGGTCGAGTATGAGACTGCGAGGGCGGTGGCGAGGGTGGATTTGAAGGATGGGGGGTGCTGCGCGAATGCGATCTGGTATAGTTAGGGCGGATGAAGGGATGGTCGGGTGAGGGGATCCACGAGAGGGAGATTCAGGCTGGGAGAGCTTGTAGGAAGAAGACTCAGGGGTCAAGAGACGTGGGCACTGGGCTCAACCGGTCTTTCTGCCTCGGTCCCGAACTCCCCACCACTGGGCAGGTTATTTTGACTCTTCGAGAGGCATTGTCCAGCTCAAGACCCTCATTCCCGTTGGAAGCTTGTCCATACATCCTCCTTTACCGTCTAGCTGTGCTCTGCTTTGGCCCCTCGCGGCTAATAGAGGCTCCCGTCCACTGATTGAAAGTTCCGGACTCCCGGTTCATAAGGCTGGCAACCCAATTAATTTATGCCGTGTTCGGATTGCTTATTCGAGCGCATTCTGGTGAGGGGAAACCGGGTTCGCGTTGCGAGCTGCTTGCCGACGAGTAGGTGGTCCGACTGGATGGTATCGTCGTGGTGTCTCAGAGTCTCTCACAGGACTGTGCACGACTATCAGTTACATGACACTGATATCACATGTTTCCTACCTTTTATGCGGTCGAGACTCGAATAGGTCCCTCCCCCGCTGCGTTGGTGGTACCCGAGGGGAAATAAATGTAACAGTGCAGCTCCTGGGAGGGGCAGTCGCCGAGCAAACCGCCGAGAAGTCGACGACGCCGCAAAACATGCCACTATCGTCAGCAGTGTAATCAACCACCATACCAACAGTCACGATGAGGTGGTCGACGGGGGGATATTTAGACCGACGGCTGGTCAGCAATTACAGGTCTTGTTCCAGGCCCCCATCACCCAAGTACTTGGTTGTCTTAAGACGAGTGGAAACACAGGTGCATAACAATCAATATTACTCTGGGCGCCGGGACATTTCGGCCAATGGGCAAGTCAAGCCAGTATCCCGGGCCCGGTGATTGGGACGCCTCGTTGGGAACCCTTTCTCGTGTCAACAGCACTCACGGACGCAAGGGGGTCCAGCTGTATTCCATTTTAGTCATACGATACTACGATCTTTACCCGGCTCAGTGAGTCTGCGGAAGGCGGTCTCGTGTGTCAACCACTACGAGGGCTTCTTGGAAGCGCGCGATGGATCCCGCGCAGCATTGGCACGGACTTGGCCAAACTGCCGAGGCCGCTTCCCTCTTTGAGGGCTGAAGGCCGGTGAGTTACTGGCTGCATCGGAGAGGGGAGACCGGAGATTGCAACACGGTCGGCAGAAGTGACAACATCTTTTGAGGGTTACGAACGCGAGAGGTCACAGAGGTGACGGGAACAGAGGAGACAGCCGGACAACGGGCAATGGCGAACGGAAAACGGTGCCGGAGGACCTTCTCGATGTCTATAAAAGGAGGCATCTCCGGCCTCATATCGAGGAGTCTGATCTGATCACCAGCTCCATCATCTCCTCGCTCAAACAAACCGGACAAGACACAAACAACAACCCAAACACCACACCAACAACCAACCCCCCAACACCCCCATCAAAATGCGTCTCACCCTCGCCCTCACCCTCCTCACGGCCACCCTCGGCCTCGCCAACCCCCTGGCCGACACCTCCTCCCCACACGAAGAACTCTCCACCCCCATGGAAGCGCGCGAGGCCTCCCCCGAGCCCATCACGGCGGCCAACCCGCTCCTCGAGAAGCGCGCCTGCAAGAAGAACGGGTGCAAGTGCGTCAAGGGCCTGAAGCAGGGCCAGTACTGCGGGGCGTGCAAGTGGAAGGGCAAGTACGTCATCACGGCCAAGCGCAACCTCAAGCACATCTACGAGTGCTCGAGCAGCGGCGCGTGCTGTGATTATGGTACGGGGAGCGATTGCAACACGGGTCATGGTCGTTGTGGGCCTTAGGAGGTAGTTGGATGGATGGATGGATGGATGGATGGGGTTTGGTCCGTCGGGTCAGATTATTATTTGGTCTTTGGTTTCGGTTTGCCTTGGCGGGCGAGGGGGATGAGTTGAGTGTGAAAGCTGGAGGGTGGCCGAAAACTTGAGCATGCCGTTCTCTACCTTAGGCTTGTGTTGCAGTTGAATGGATCATGTAACATTCCATTCCCAGACGCTCTTTGAGACAAGGATACGAGGAAATAGTTAGCCTTAGTTGGCTCTGATGCTACTCCGCCATCAGTGCGCACTTAGAACTTCCTGATGGCTGTTTGTATGGCATGCCATGAAACGTGCGAATCAGTTTGGGATACGACTCATGGGCTGCGATCTAGCTGTATGTTCGAGACTCGATGCAACCAAGGAACCTCTCAGGCTGAGCCATTTGCCCGGCCATCTCGGTGAGCATAAACGTAAGTAATTACCTCTACAGGTAGCCCCTATTCCCCCACTCTCCTCTAGCCATCACAGTAATCAGTGAGGCGGACCCCTCATAAAAGCGTGAAGCGTGAAATATGCGCCCGGCCCCGACCTCGGTCATGATATCCCCAAATACATGCAATGCACAAGAAAAGAAACGTGATCACCGAGCGTGAAGGTATCTAAGACCTGTTCTTCCCTTTCGGCCTCCTCCTTGGTGGCTCCTCATCAGTATCAATCGTGGTCGGGGCAACTGCCGTCCAGGTATCTGGAACGGCGGTCCCGCTCCCGCTATTTTGGCTGACGGGTGGCCCATATGGGTTCTCGTAGGGTCGAACCCATTGCTATTGAACGTCAGAAACCGGGTCGCGGATGAGAACTGGAACGGATGAGGGACTCACCCCATAATCCCGCGGGGCCTCCTCCGGACCCGGCGACGGTGGCATGTAACCCTTACTTGGCCCTGCCTGGCCCGGGAAATGGGCCTCGAAAATCCCACTGACGTACGGCTCATAGTATGGCACTTCGGGTGACGTGACCGGCTCCGAACTGCCGGAACCATACGTCAGGCCGGGCGTGTTATCCCGTAAATTCATAACGTTCGAAAACCGGGCGCTCAAATCCTCGCCTATCTCGTCCCCGCTCGTACTCCCATAACTCCGCACGCTGGCATGGTCGTCGAAATGACCGTCCAGGATGGCCAGTTGCTCCGTCGCCGATGGCCTCCTCTTCGGGTCGATGCTTGCCATTCGTTGCATGCTCGCGTACTCGTGGGCCTTGGATAGAGACACCAGCCAGCCATGCAGGTCCGGCGCGTGCATCTGCGAGCAGTCCCGCCGGAACTGGGGCGTGCGCGTCCACACGACAGTGGCGAACAGTGACCAGATGTCCACCTTTGAGGTTTGGCGTTTCCGGCCGAATACCTCGGGGGCCATGAATGGTTCGGTACCGGCGGCGGTGCGGGCCAGCTCCGGGTCGTTTGATAAGCCAAAGTCACCAAGACAGAAGCGGTAGTTCCCTGCGGCATCGGAGTCATACAAGATATTCTCGGGCTTGACGTCGCGATGAATGATCTTGTGGGAGGCGATGCACTGTAGCGCGAGGAGCATCTGGCGCAGAACGACGTCGGACAGGGCGGCGTGTTCGGCCGGGTCGGTGTACCTCTCGACCAGGGATTTGAGGTTCCCTTGCATGAGCGGCATGAATATTTCGCCCCAGTCGTCGGCTTTCCCACCGCCAGCACAGTCGAGAATTTGGAGGATGTGTTCCTGCAGGAGACGGCGGGTTAGCGGCGATGACGGTTAAGACGAAGCAACCAACTGCCGGGTAGGTACACATAGTGGGCTTACATGCTTTATCGAGTCGTCCCTGTTGATCTTGAAGAGGTTGGTCATCTCCCTTGTCGCAAACTCCAGGTTCTTGCCCGAGAGCTTGTGGAATTTCTTGACGGCGATGATCTTGCCGCTAGTCGCATCCAACACCCACGACACAGAGCCGTACGAGCCGGCGCCGACCTCCCTGCCCATGACGTACTTCTTCACTCGCGCGTTACTCGGTCCCATCCTATAGGGCTCATCCTTGGGGAACCCATATAGCCCGTCCGACTGCCATTGTATCTCGAACTGGTACCACTGGTCTTTGCCGAAGGCTATCCTCGAGTTGATGCCCTGGGCGACAAGGACCGACTTGGCATTGGAGCGAAACTTGACGGTGTATGAGTTGAGGTGTGGGAGTGGCTCGACGCTGCCGTTGCCAGAGTGGTCCCAGAGCAAGACGGCGCCTGTATCCTCGATGACTTGGAAGGACGCATGGATGGGCAGGATATGAGGCGAGCCTTTGCTGCCAGACTTCGAGTCGGGAAGATGGATATCGGTGTCTCCCTTGCCCAGCGTGCATTGTTGCTTTTGAGGGTCGGCGAAGCTGAGCCAGAGGCCGTAAGGGTTGTCGGGCGGGTAGCGGAGGTGGGCGTTCCTCGGGTGATGGAGGACCTTGTGCGCGGCAGGGTTCAGGGCGGCGAGGACGAAGGCGGGCTTTGTGGGCGCGGTATTATACGCGTCCGCGATGTCGTCATGGTAGCCGTCGTCCATGGTTGGGAGTTGGGTGGTTGGTCGAGGGGCGAGGGAAGCATTCGGGAGGTACAAATGCGGGGGCGGGTCTGGACTGTGAGAGGGTTGCAACGCCCCTCAGCGATGCCATGAATGCCCCTCCAAAGCTTGCCGCTCGTGTCTGGCCGGCGTGCTCGAAGCGAAGAGGGTGAAGAAACCGTCGAGACGGATTGTTTGTTGACGGATGAAGTCGGCAGCCGGCTTCGGGATAGCGGCGCAAAGAGGATGGATGCACGGCCAACGCTCGCATGCTGCCACGCAGGACGGACAACAACGCGGGGGGGGGGGGCGGGTGTGGCCGTAACGGTCCCAAGGGGACCAGGGCCGTTCATCAGGCGCGCTCGTGAGGTGCGGGAATGAAACCGCTCATTGGCCCCGGAAGACCACAGGCGTGACCCGAGTCCCACCCTTCAAGCGGATCAAGTGGCATTCCGCAAGCGCTGGCAAGGCTTGCTCTCTCGTGTGATGGCGGTTTGCCAATGACGGCACGGCAGCAACGCCATTCAGGCCGAAATTCCACTTTGTCAGGCTCGACTGGTACGAGTTGATTTGGCTTAGGCAATTGGAAATCCGCCGATCCAGTCATCTTCAGAAAAAAAGTCTTCGTGGGCAAAATACATGCACGGCAATGAGATGGGTTTTTCGCTGCCTTTGTCAACGCCCGTTCATTTGCGCCCATCAGCTAGCTGGGCGTGTTCTTGGCGCTATCGCGTCGGGAGAGACCGAAGATGGGGTCCAATGCCGGCCATCAAAGCATCAGCCGGGTTTGTTGCGAACTTGAAAGTTTGAAGAGGTGAGGAAATGAGAGTAAAGACCCCACTCACCCCAGCCGAGCAAAAGAAGGCAGCCTCACAAATGCGCGGCGATTGAGGAGAGATGTGCGCCTTCCTCAGGCCTGGAGGAGGGAAGACTGTCAGGGACCGCACCTGCTGTGAGAACGAAAATCCCCTATTCTTGGCGATAATTCACAATGACGTCGCCCGGCGCATAATGGACTTCGGGCAGGGTTATTCTGTACTTACTGCGTACACAGGTAGGAATGGACGCTTTGAGATCATACCTCGGTACATACCCTAGGTCGGCATTTTTACCCGATATATCGCCTACAACGGGCTTCCTCACTAATATAACAAGGATATCGGCAGGTTGCTTCGCCTCGTTGTTTACGAACGGCGACCTTGTCCCGGGGAATACATCAATCACATCCCGGCGACCCAGAAAGCGAAGCGGCCCGGTTTTGTTTTGATATCAACATTTTGATGGGTTGAAGAGGGGAAGGGTGCACTTGGGGCGTTTTACTAATATTATAATATCACTTATTGGAGCGTCATGACAACGACCCCTACCTTATGCGGGCTCCCAACACCCGCTCATTTTAAACTCTGACAGGTCCATGGTTCTTCGTAATCCAGATGCCGCCGCCAGCTCTCAACCACACCTCTGTTACCCCCCCATCCCTGGTCGAGGACCTTCCAAGCCGGACCCGGGTGGTTCCTCAAATGGATATGGCGCAAGCTCATGCGGTCCACGGACGCATGCTTCTAATTCAAATGTCGTCATTGGCACAGCATCCGGACTAAGTTCTGATGGCTGGTGGGCTTCGCTCCCTCGCAGCTCCGCTGTATTCGCCGCTGGCCTATTCCGGTCGTTGAGTCCTGGAACGCGAGGCTGGCCACCCCCGAGCTCAGCTTTCTGCCATGGCGCACCAAAGGCGCCCGTGACGGTGTTCCCTTGACTCCCTTCCAGTTCTGGCTTTCCCGGCACGCCTTGATTTGGAGGCTGCTGTTGCTGCCCCTGGCTGGCCCGTTTCTTTCTTTTCCACAGCAAGATGACGCCTACCACGACCAACGCCAAAGCAACAACGGGCCCAATAATCGCGCCGGCGATCCACGCGTTGCTGGATGAGCTAGAGTCGCCTAAATCATCGGGGTTGCCTAACACACCAGACTATTAATCTTCTGGTTATAGCCGCGAAACTCTCAAGTTGGGCATGTACCTATGCGCATGTATCTACGACAAGCGGCACATATGATACGTACCTGTCGCTCCAGTGGAGGCTGGGAGCGTGGCTGACCCGCTAGTCTCGGGAACTGGATTCTCGAGATATAAGGTTGAATATTTCCACTCGGTGGAAGTGGGCTCGCAAACGTAGTCGATTATCATGCCGCTGGTGTCCGGGGGCGACACCGAACGGGAGAGGATTGTAATGGTTGCGCAAGAGCTGTCACTTGCACTATGTGACGGATTCGCAAGTCAGCTGCTGGCACAATTCAGGGGGGTTCAATCCAAATTACGTACCAACTTCTTCTACTTCCCTCATAAAACTTGGTACCAGCGAGACAGGCCGTCGGAATCCCGCACTCCGTACTAACAGCGCAGCAAGTTCCATAGCCGCCAGACACGGTGCGGGTCCTGTCGGCGTCGCATCTGAAAAGTGTATCTGATGCAAGGAGACGCAGGGCAAAGGTTAACGACAGGCTCAAATCGCAGGGCTGACGGGGAAAGCCATGTTTGCCATACCATGCAATGGGTCACGATCCGACGATGCGACATATCCTACAAAATTCGGTTCGTCCGGTGGTGTCGTACCCATGGTGGGCTGCGGAACCTTGACTCTGGCAGGGCAAGTCGAGAAGGCGGACCGAGTTTGAGTTTGTTCAGCCGACAGCTTCGAGGGGCAGGGTTTGGCTCCTTATCACGAAGGACCGCCTTGAAACCCCCCTTCCATCCCCTTTCTTCCACTGCCACTGCACGCACGTAACGTTATCCCAGCCGCGGTTTGCACCGTAACCAGGGAGGGCCCCAGGGCAGACTTGGCAACAGGGCTGCGATCAATCAAGCCAATTAGTGGCCAGGATAGAGCACGGATTCGGTCGATCTTGTCGCCGTGCAGGGGACCTCCTCGTCACGACGGACGAAATACGAGCCGAGCAAAGCGTTTTCTTGTCATCGGCTTACTGACGAAGCCAGAGGAGATATTGGGATGCGATGTTATGTCTGATCCTGCGGGACTCGGCAGCGGCTGAGCAGAACTCGTGGTGTTTACTCGATATAAAACGATGAGCCGAGCCAGGAAATGCGCCTTCGCCATTTTCCAAAACCTCCTGACTCCCGAACCCCTCCCCCTTTCTTTTTTCCCTCCTTCGCGTCTTCCACACCACCCACAATGCGGCGGACTTCCAGCATGTTGGCCGCGGCCTTATTCCTCGCCGCCGCCGCCGCCGGGCAAGATACCAGCCCTCCTTGCATCAAGTCATGCTACGACACTTTGCCAGGCCCCCAGCGATGCGAGGGCGTTGAAGAGATGACGGAGGAAATCCTCACCAGGTGCACCTGCTCATCCTTCGTGGAGCAGCCGCCCTTATACGAGTGCATCCGGGAATGCCCCAAGTCCGAGCAAGCCACCTACCTCGCAGGGTTCAGCGACCAGACATACAGTTGTCAAGAGGAGTATTTCTCCGACATCACGGTGCCTTCAGCGACGACAACGACGAGACCGACGGAAAGCAGCGACCCGACAAACAATGCAGACGATGACGATGATGATAACCAGGGAACGACAACATCGGGCGGTGGTGACCCAGCGGAGCCCAATGGCGCAGGCGAGGCATTCCATCGCGCTGCTTCTACTCTTCTGGCTGCGGGCGGGTTGGTGGTTGCTCTACTTTTGTGAGCGGCGTCTGAGCGTCATCGGGAGTGAGAGCCAACTTGGGGTTCCAGATTAGGCAACCAACTTTATCGTGTTTCTGGATGAGGATAGAATTAATTGGCTTGTCCGTATCGACCAAAGCCTGGTCATTTAGCGATTTGAGCTTTAGCAGCGGAGAAATTGCCCTTCATAACTATATCGCAGTTCCAAAGTTGAGAGCTCTCGGGCGTTCCTGGGGATCCACAGCCGTGCCTGGTGATGTTTCGTTTTCGCGATATGGCGTCGACTTATATCTATGAGACAAAATGCCGTCTCTATATCTATATCCATATAACAACCCTCATAATTCCTCACACACAGCCTTTCTTCCCCAGAGACTATCATCCCCTTCGCCGACCGAGAAGAGCTCGGAGAGCAACGAAACTGCTGCTACAGGTTCTGTTGGCAGTGCCACGATGAGTGCTACCGTAAACTCAGTCAAACTACATGTACCTACCTAATAATACGAATACACCGAGGTACTTAAGAGTGGCGAGCCGGGATCGTGTTTGCGACGCCCACAACGTCAACACAGACGGCATCTACCCGCCTTCTTCTATTTGATTTCCTTTGCACGGTCCCCTTTTTGCTTTTCTGTTTTGGTTTCTCATTTTCTTTAATTGTAGGTAATTACTTAGTGTTGGCTTTCTTTCGACCAGAGCGTGGCACACGGTTTCCAAAGGTTAAGCCCCACCGAGCATTCAGCGGGGATTTCGCGGCTGGCAACGGTTCGAGGCGGGCGCTTTCAACATGCGGCATCCACGATGGATGAATTGTCTGTATTGTCTGGATTTGTCTGGATTTGTCTGCACCTTACCTAGTAGCCACCCTCGCTTAATACCATCCGCTCCATATCATGTCGCGTAGGCGCCACAGTTCCCATTGGGTCGCGTGAAGCTGAGCTGCTGTCGGTATTGTGGTCGCGGGGTATGACGTTGCATGAACAGCGATCAACGGGACATTTACTCGTCCGCCAATCGCTACCAGCCCGGGAAGTCCATTTCCCAGCACCCGGGACCGTATAAATGCTGGCGCGCCACTGCTGATTGGAGCGCCTGCAGTTAGGTACGGATTCGTTACCCGCAGTCGAGTGACGACAGGGCAACATCGCAGTTTGACAATCCACCCAACATCTGGCCCTCAGTCATAGCGTCGACGATCCACCGGTCCCAGACTCCCAGTTTCCGAGACTGCCACCGTGACTTCCTAGACGGGCCGACGCTGATACAGTAGTCGGAATTCCAAAGACGGGGTAGGGCAGTGCATTTAAAGGAGAAACGGCCGCCCATTGTCGATTTGCCAAAAGGGTTCAACCCCTCACCTCTTTCCACCCACCCATCCGTTTGACAACCTCCCCCTCTTGTTCCAGGTTGTGGACCTAGAAATTCTTCATCATGCCCAACATGAATGCCGCCCTGAAGGCGCTGTTCTTTGCCTTGGTCCAATTGCGAGCCGCCGAAGCTCTGGACAATGGAATCGGCCGGAAACCTCATATGGGCTGGAGCAGCTGGGTAAGAAACCCGCACACTCGAGTTGAAGACGAATGCATCGCGATCGCATACTCACAGCATGCCTCAGAATGTTGCCCAGTGTGATTCCGCGTCCGCCACTTATGCAATCGACACAGCGAACAAGTTCATCTCCCTTGGCCTCAAGGACCTCGGGTATGAGTGTAAGTTGATTTCAGGGCCGTGTGGGGACCCTTGGCATGGGACATCTACTAATTAAAGAAAACAGACGTCAACATTGATGATTGCTGGACTACCCGGTCACGGGACGGAAGCGGAAAGCTTGTGCCCGATCCCAGCAAGTGGCCCGATGGCATCAAACCGGTCGTCGACCAAATCCATGAGATGGGCCTGAAGTTTGGGCTCTACGGTTGCGCCGGCCAGCAGACCTGCGCTGGCTTCCCCGGGAGCGATGGCGCGGTGCACGCTGCGTCGGACGTCTCTCAGCTGGCCGGCTGGGGCGTTGACTTCTGGAAGTACGATAACTGCTTCACGCCTTGCCTCGATAACCCGCCCCCGCAGACCTGCGGCAGGCCCGCTGGCAACACCAAGACTTGGTATGCCCCCATGCGGGACGCTATCCTTGACGTCCAGGAGACGAACAAGATTCACTTTAACCTCTGCAACTGGGGGCGCGATGAGGTCTGGACATGGGGCGCTGAATACGGGCACTCCTGGAGGTAAGCCAAGCTCTGACTGTTCACCGTTCTACCCTCAGCTCCCTATCCTAACCCCCCATAAGAATGAGCACAGACAACTGGGGCGACTGGGCCAGCGTCGAGCGCATCGGCAGCTCAGCAGCCGCCATCTCCGACTACAGCGGGCCCGGCGGCTTCAACGACCTCGATATGCTGTACCTCGGGTCATCCAAGATCAACGCCGACCAGGAGCGCCTCCACTTCGGCCTCTGGGCCATCGCCAAGTCCCCGCTGGTCCTCGGCCTCGACCTGAACAAGATTTCGGACTGGACCCTCGACATCATCAAAAACAAGGGCATCATCGACATCAACCAGGACTCCCTCGGCAAGGCCGCCACAACCTTTACCCCCCCTGGCAGCCAGGGCCCGGTCAACGGGAAGATCCACCCGTACTGGGCAGGCCCTCTCAGCGACGGCGTCGTCATCGGTCTCTGCGCCGGCACCTCGGGCGGCAAGTACGGTGTCAGCTTCAAGGATGTGCCGGGCCTGGTGGACGGCGAGTACTCGTGGGAGGAAATGTACACGGGCGAGACGGGGACCGGGTCGAGCATCGAGTTCGATATCAAGCTTCATGACATGCGCGTTATCAAGGTGACCACGGCTGGTGCTAAGGTTCGGGGTAAGGGCCGCGGTAAGGCTCGGATTGATCCGTCGCTTTGAGCTGGTCTATCACGATGGAGCTGTGTCAGGGTTGCATTAGCTAAGAAGTTGCGTCTGTCTAAAGCTGCATAAATTACGGATGCGAGGGGTGGGATCCATGCTCAGGCTTGTCCTCAGCTCCAAGCCGTTGCGTGTCCGTGTGCTGATCAGGCCTTCTTTGTGGGCAAGGGACAAATTCCGGATGCTGTGTCAAAGGCCCGTCTTTGTTACCTGTTTTGGTGACGCGACCCGAGAAAGGCTATTTGCAAATCCCTCCTGACAGTCCTGTGCGTGTCATATATAACCCCCATCCTCTCCGAGACGCCTGTCCCAATGACGGACAACCGGCGTATCATCTTTAAAGGGCTATTAAAAGTCTCTCCAGCCACACAGTTGCGGAAACCACAAATCCGCAGCGACAGTCACGACGACGGGGACGGCGACGAGAACAAACACCAGTCAAAGCGGGCACGGTTGACACGGAAAAACTTGGCCCTGTTCAACACAATACCAAAGAAGGGAAGCAAGGGGTCGGCGGCGTCTGCTCCCCCCGACTCCACGGCCGCCTCGTCAACAAGAACGACCAGCTCGACCACGACGTCTGCTTTCGCCATCCAGGCCCATAAAAATGGAATCCTCAATCCCGCCTTCTCCAAGTCGCCCAAGAATCTCCAAAGCATCACCAAACGACTCGCCAGGTCCCGTGAGACCGTTTCGCCCACCGAATCAGTGTACAAGAGTTACGTGGACAAAGTTGCAGGAGCACCTAACCAAGCAACCATGGTCTTCGAGGTGGGGCGGATGTTGCTGAAGGACCATGACGACTAGGGCTATCCAAGAGCGCTCAGTCAAACATTCACGGGCTTTCCGGAAGATGTTGGTTTCGATAATGGCCTGCCTGCTCCGCAACCCGACTTTGTGGAAGGGCTTCGGATGCGAGAATTCGACCCGTTCCCGGTTGATGAGCATGTTAGCGGGTCGGTTGCTTTCGAGGATAACCCTTTTTCCGTGACACTGCCGCATGTGGCCGGGGAGTGGAAGCGGGACGGAAAAGACATAGAAGAAGCGAGGCTGCGGAGCGCCTACGACGGAGCGGCTCTTGTCTACGCGAGGAACCAGGCCCTTTCCCATCTCGGGAAACCTGACCCTACCGGCCACGTAGAGGTCATGACTTTTGCCACCGACGGCACCAACATCAACTTCTTCACGCACTATACTGCTCCCTCGGAGGACGGCAAGCCGGAATATCACCAACATCACGTCACCTCGACCAACCTAACGAACTCTCACCAAGAATACAGGCAGGGTTATAGACAGCTCAGGAACGCCCAAGACTACGCGAGGGAAGGGTCCTATCGTCTCAAGGACCAGCTAAAGGAGCATTGGATGGGCAGAAAACCCCAACCTACCTCCTTGCCTCATATCGAAGACGAAGATGACCCCGAAGTTATCGAGCGGTAGTCCGCTTACCAGCCCATGCCACCTGGGGAGTGATCTCTCAACCCGCTCGTTCATGGGGGTATCGAGTGGACGCTGAAAGTTGCCGACTTGCAGGTGACCGTCGGGGGATGGGCAGTTTGTGGATAACCGTTGGCTTTGCGTTTGGTCGAAGCGGTCGCATCACGCCAGGTGGCTGGATGCCTCGCAAGTGAAAGCAGGGAAACCTCGAATGATTGGCGATGGGCAGCTCTCCAGTCTCCTCTCTGATGCTCGCCAAGAAAAAACAGGTCCCAACCACCCCGCGAAAAGAGATCGGTGAAATAATTAAGTGACAGTATTACGGTCTTCCATGCAGCTGTTGGAACCTCTTTATCCTGTGCCCGGTCGTCTAAATGCGTTTCCTTTGTCTTGCCCGCCATGTACCGGCGAGCCGGAGCATTAAAATGATGTCCACGGTAGCGGGCGCATCCGGTCGCGTTTACAGGCAAGGCGAAGTGCTTCGGCGCGACCCCGCGGACGACAAACTCAGCATCTTCAAGGCCGAGTAAGTGCCCCAACTCAATACCCGTCAGGCGTTTCGTCCCCTATCTCTAACAGTGATTATACCATCCAGGTCTGACAATAAGCCGTTTGTCTTCAAGCGCGTATCTCGACCATTCTACAATCTGTCCCAGCGTCTCGCGACCGAGTTCGCAGGCTCCCGTCACCTTCGAATGCATGTCGATTGCAATCAAGAAGAAGCCATCCTAGTCTACCCCTATTTTCGGGACACCCTGCTTGGCTTGATAAAAAATGACTCGGAGTTCCTCGTGGATGAACGGAAAAAGATACTCCGCCGTGTTGCAGAGGCGATCCAAGAACTTCACAGCAAAGACTGGATCCATATTGGTTGGTATAACCCCCGTCGCGACCAAAAGTTACCGCGTTGGTATTCGAACCCGCTGACCACCTACTTTGCGTTCCTTAACAGATGTGAAACCTGACAACGTTTTGGTCAATTGGACTTGCGACAGGGAAGGCAACAAAATAGTTACCGATGTGGCCCTCAGCGATTTTGATATTGCGTTCAAGTCCGAAAATGGGCAGCCCCGACAGACTCCTTATGCGATTGGGAATGCCATGTGGCGAAGCCCAGAGGGACAAACCGGGAGGGGCGTGACAAAGGCGTCGGACATCTTCTCGTTCGGGCTCGTAGTAAGTGGCACATATGCACCTCCATCATTTAACCTAGGTACGTACTGAGCACCGTCTGTAGTGCATATATACCCTTGGCGGCGCCGAGCTCCTCCTGATCGACGATTACCAGGACCTGGTAAAAAGCGGTATAACCCCGGAGCAAGAAATACTCACGCGACACTTTTCTTATTTCGGGCCTGTCAACGAAGGCCTCCTTCAGCAAGTCAACGATGAGGACTGGCGTGTCGCTTTGACGGGAGCATCAAGAATGGCCGACATGGCAGTGAAGGAACGGCCCGAGATGAGATTCGAGCTGTGGGGGGAAAGTCTCGGTCCCCAGGCACAAGACATGATCTCACGAGTCACAAACATGGACCCGTCGGCCAGACCGACGATCGGCCAAGCCTTGGCCCATCCGTGGTGGCAAGAGGATGACTAGGTTGTCGTGGCATACGGCTGCAAGGCGGTGGGTACCATGGCGAGGCGGAAGTTGATTGCCGGCGTTCTGACGCGTTGTTGCGGCACGGTCTGTTGCTTCTGCGGGGAGACATACAACTTGAACGCTCCCGTGCTGAGACTACTCCACTCGCTGTTATATCGATTTTATCCTACACCTCTACCTCTTACGTGAAGAGGCTCCCATTATCGTATCCCTCGGTTCTTGAAATATCCGGTCTAATATAAACCACCTATGTTGTGACATAATAACTATGAAAATGACCCTTTCGCAGCTCGGGCACGGCACTCGGGGGTCGACAAAGTAGATGCAGGGTATTGTGGAGTATGGGAGGAATAAGTGGCTGAGCCTGGCTCTGTGCAGATTGAAAGCCTGACTGGTTAGTCTGAGTCAGACAACGCACTTTACGCTCGCATTAGCTTCCGTCTGGTAGTGGAGCTCGCGGTGGTGAGACCAACACAGCCCTAGGTATCCAGATGCCGATCCACTATGTTTTATTGATAGCGAGCAAGTCTAAGACATTGTCGTCGTGTGTCGCCCAGAAACTAATCTGTATGTACACGGCCAAGAGGGTGATGCTGCCTTGTAGAGTGAGATGATCAACACTAAAAGCGAGGAGCTGAATGGCCAGAGTGCGACAACGGGCTTCAACGCAGATCTTGCTCCGGATTGAGTCGTGATGACAACATATTTTGAAATCCTTCGCGATACAAGGTCACAACCAAACAGACTTTGCCCTCTCATCGAAAGAAGACTCCGGGAACGGCATAACCATGGCTCTCCCAGAAAAGATAAATAGATCCGTGAGAAGCCTTGAAACCCCTTCATAATTCCCCCACCCACCACCTCGCCACACAAAGCTCAACCAACCCCTTTCATCAACCAACACCAACCATCAACATGCAGCTCACCAGCTTCCTCGCTCTCACCTTCGCCGCCCTGGCCGTCGCCAGCGCCATCCCAGCCGAGGTACATACCATCCCCTCCCCAAATTTCACCTACCTACCTACCCACCCCCTACACCGTGTTGCCCTCTCCAGGAGTCACTAACACGATGTCTTCCCCCGCCTCGCTAGCTCCAAGAACGGCAGTGCGTCAGCGGCCTCAACCGGTGCAACAAGCGGGCCAGCGCCGTCATCGGCCGCCAGTGCTGCCCCGGCCTGTTCTGCTGCGGCATCATCGGGCCCAACAACGTCTGCCAGACGGAAAACACCTGCGGCGAGCCGGCGTAAAGGGGGGTTGTGGGTTTGAGTTGGAGGAATCGGAGGGACGGGATGGTTAACAGGAAGGTGGACAAGTGGAGGGAGTGGGAATGCCGTGCCGGGTTTGGTCACTGGTGTACCGTCTAGTAAGGATAGCTGGGTACCTAGGTAGACACAGAATTGCTCACCATTCCTTCCCTGCTCGCTCGGCTTTCAAAGAAGCTGTATGAGTTTCCAACTGAGCGGCCTATGCTAAATGATGTGAAGTGGTGTTCCGATGCGGGCAAACGAATATCTATGTGCATATTAGAGGCGGTTGGATTGCAACAGCGCCGCTTGGTATTGCAACATCTGCCTCCTTGTTGGCCCTCTTTTCCTCAAACGCCGCTTCTACCTGCATCCCAAAATTTATTGAGAGACCACACCAAAAAATGGGGTCGGAAAACAGCTGCCCGCCGTTACATAAGCCTCGGCTGGGCAGCCTTGAGACTGGTTGGGCAAGCGGGGGGCGGGGGCTGAGACTGCTTGGGTGCTGAATGAAGCTGAGCCCCAAACACATGGCATGGTAACAATTTCAAACCGCGTGGGATCGGTGTTATCGTCTCATCATAACAGATGACATGGATCCGCTATCCATCGCAGCCAGCGCTGCAGGGCTTGCGACTGGATGCACCAAAATTGTTTCCACTCTTTACACATGGATAGACGACACCATCTCCGTCGATGAAAATGTTGCTGGTCTATGCGACGAGATCAAGGCCCTCGGGCGGGTGCTCGCCTCCATCAGCAGTGCCTCTAGCTTGGCCCCGCGCCCCGTCATGGTAGAGATCGACCCTGATGGGAACCTGTGGGCCGTGGTCGAGGCCACCTTGGGCGACATCAACAACACACTCGCAAAGCTGAGCCAGCTCCTGGACGAAGTCCAAAAGAGCAGCCGTGTCTTCAGTCGAGGCTTTCTCAGGAAGCCAACAAAGCAAATCAAGTTTGGCTTCCGCTCCAAGGAGATTACCACATATAAGGACAGGGTTCAATCATACAATACCGCCGTAACCAGCGCCTTGCAAATGATCAACGTGTAAGTCATGATAGCTTTACCAAACAGACGGCTTGCTTGGCTAAAAAGTCTGGTAGTTGTCTCCTGATCCACAACAACTCTTCTCAGGATGCCGTTTTCAACGTGCTTCACGGGCTCAAGCACCAGATTGGACGCGTCGAGATTGCTTCGCATCAAGCAACGCAACAAACATTCGGCCAGACCGGGTCAAGCCACGACGCGGACGGCAACCAAATCACACAAAACCTTCGACAGCTAGTGCGCGTTGCCGAGACTTTTCACTCCAATGCAAGTGCAATCACGAGGGAGGGCCCGAGGTCAACCGTCTGGGGAGGCAGCGTTCTGGGGGACCCCTTGACCAGGGAGCAATTGTTCAATATCGAAAGCTGGATACCCCCACCGAGCAATAGTCAAGGCAGTGCCACACAAGCTAGCCCTGATGTTGGCCCGTCGTACCGATCGGACTCGGACTCGGACGACGATATCGACGAAGCTCTCCTTAAAAGGCTTAGAGAGCTTGCCGTCGAGAGCCGGGAGAAGGGAGACTACCCCAAGGCCGAGAACTTCTACCGGAAGGTCATCAACCGCTCCGAGGCTAGCGAGTCGAGCTATGGCCCCCAGGATCTGGTTCGGGACAGGATTGGTCTAGCCTACGCGTGCTTGTACCAGAGGAAATGGGCCGACGCAGAGGCCATCATTCTCCCTATCGCTATGGAACGAAAGGTGGCTGACATTGCAGTCTATCTCGGTCTCCACGCGCTGGCCCTTGCGTCCGTGGCCAATTCGGACTTCGCGAAAGCTGATCGGTTCTGCAAACGGGCACTCTGGGGCAAGAGAAAGATCTTTGGGAAGGAGAATCTCTCGTGCTGGGAAACGTTGGCCTTGCTCTCCCGCATTTGCGAAGCACAAGGCGAAATGGAGGAGGCAGAGGCCCATCGAACCTTCATTCCGCCGTCGTACCAGCCAGTATTGCACCTTGAACCCCTAGTTTATCTCGGCGGATATGACATCGGGAACCCGAAGCTACAACCACCAGCGACATATCCCCAGGGACCCCCGCCATCTACCACCCAGCCCGAGGTTTCGCAACCCCGGAACGTAATCGTGGGTGTACACTTTGGAGTCATACAGACAGCCGTGTCTTTTGCGTTGGCTACAGATGTTGCCGTGGAAGAGGCGGTCATCAGTACGTGGCCAGCTGGGAGAGGGACAAAGATCCAGTCTACAGTATGTTTGACCCCGGTATGAGTGAAATAGCTCTAGGTTGAAGTTCAGAGGCTGACACTGACATGTCACAGGTTCCCAGCCATGTCTACTACGGCCCCGCCGAGCCCACCCGGACAATAGTCGGTTGGGGCCATGAAGTGGAGGATGCGGTCGCCCCTACTGGATATACGAAGCCCGGCGTGGTATGCCCCTGAATCCATCTTGATGAATACGCACATGCTCCAAATTAACAGTTTCTCATAGCACAAATCCGCGTGGTTCTTGCTGGGCTTGACCAACCCTCAGAGCTACCACAAAGACTTGACTGCCCCCGCCCCCCCAACCGGGAAATCCCACGTCGATGTTGTCACCGACTACCTGTCCGAGCTCCGCGAGGCCATCTACGTCGTCCTTCGCAGCTTGTTTGACATGGAAAAAATACACATCCGGTGGTGGTTTGCGATCCCGCCCGTCTGGAACGGTATGGGAGAAGCTCCTCTACGCGACTCGGCACACGGGGCCGGCTTTGTCCGTCGTGATCGTGATGATCAAATCTTCATCATCACTGAGCCAGCGGCACACCTCTTTCAGTGTTTCAAAGCCAATCTTTTCAACCCCAAGCCATCCGATGCTTTCCTGGTTGTGGTTGCCGGCGGAGCAACAGTGGACTTGGGTGCCTATAAAGCTACTCGCGGGCATCCCTTTGTCACTGAAAGGCTAACCGCTGCCACAGGTGATGCGTGTGGGTAAGTGTACCAATACCACCAACCTCACCCCGTTGAGCGTGACTAACTACCGTCGGCAGATCGACCGCGTTGAACCGAAATTTCAGCACCATGTTGCAGGAAAGAGTTGGGATGCTGAAGCTTCCAAAGGGATCCAAAGTCGCTGCACGTACCTATGCGAAAGGTATGGTCGACTTCAACTCTCGAATCAAGCACACCTTCAGCGGCGATGGCAGCACATGGGCCGTCCAGGTAGGCCTCGAGGCCGACTTTCCAGACGCCGGCATTGACAGAGAGTCCGGTTGCATGTCCGTAACGAACGAGGTTATGCTCAGTTTCTACGACCCGGTTGTGAATGTTGTGATCGAGTTGATATCAGACCAATTAGCGACTGTAGCGAGGCACCATCCAACAACACGGGTCAAGGTACGTCGACGGGACCTCGTCTCTGCCGAGGAATAGTATGTACTGCAATGACCTTGAGGCTAACCGACAGTGTTGTCTAGACTATTCTCCTCGCTGGCGAGTTTTCCATGTCGGAGTATCTTGTGAAGAAAGTGAAGCTGCGTTTTGAAACAACGTCTGTCAACGCATTCGGTGCCGCGTTCGACGTTGCGGTGGTGAAGCCCTCGGATGGCTTGACAGATATTGCTAGGGGAGCGGTGAGAGCGGGGGTTTTTCAAGCCGTTAACGACTTGTCCGATTAGCTGTGGGGAGCCCATCCGTGAGATAATATACACGCCCACAGTACCGATCGCTTCTTCATGGGGCCCAGCCCAGCAAGCAATGATCCAGTCTCTTTTGGGCTCCGATGCAATGGACTTCTTTGGGAGACATTGGAGGGCTGGAGAAAGGACCCATCAGCCACATAAGGTGATCTTGTAACCCTACATCAGAGGAGTTTCAATGACGAGGCCACGACCAGGGCCATGGAAACCCGAAGGGAGAGACAACAGACAGTTCCAATATATCACTTAGAAACAAACAATCCCAACACTTCGAGTCGTAGCAGTGATACAAGCACACGACCAGGCCAGCCGACCCGATTCCTGATCCCAACCGCATCTCAACCTCACCCCCCGCAACCACCGGGCAGCCCACCCACCCGCACCATCCCATCCCATCCCAGACAGTCCACATCCAACCAGCCAGCCCAACATACACACCAAACCAACCCCCCCTCAAAAGTCCGTCACCCTCCCATTAAAACTCCAATCCCCCCCGCCCCCCCACCGCAACGGCTCATTCTTCGGCCCGCCCACCTCGCCCGTCGCCGGGTTCTTGTCGCCCACAAACTCGGGCGGCGCGCCCTTGCGCATGCCCCCGCTGAAACTCCCCGCGCTGGGACCCATCTCCCCCTCCCCCGCTCCCCCTATCGCCCCCGCTGCCGATGTAGATGTAGCGGTTGCGGTTGCGGTTGCCTGTGTAGTGGTGGATGGTGTGGAGACGTGGCGCGAGGTTGTGAGCGGGGTGTTGGGGTCTGCGTTTGCGTTTGCGTCTGCGGTGGAGGGGATGGTGGTGTGGGACGAGAGGGCGGCTTCGGCGGCGCGCTGGAGGCGCTCGAATTCGGCCTGCTGGTCGGCGGGGAGGCGTGGCGGGGAGGGGCCGGTTTGGAGGAAGGAGGAGGCGAGGCGGGATGGTGTGGTTGTGGTGGGTGTTGGGTTGCGCGGGGCGGTGCGCAGGGTGCGAGGGAGGGTGTGACGGAGGGGGAGGAGGCGCGACATTTTTGGGGGGTTTGTGTTTTATTTTGCTTTGGGTTGTTTCCGTTTTGGTATGGTGTGTTGCGGCGATTGCGGTTTGCAAGAAAACTGGAGGAAAATTGGGTGGTGGTTGAAGTTGGGAGGTTCGGTGTTTGTGGCGGCGAGCTCGGGACAATCGTCCGAGGCAATGCCGGAAGCGGGCGGGTCTCGGTTTTTCTCGGGATGCGGGTCCAGAACGCGACTTGAATTAGTTACGGTCCCCGCGCTCCCTGCCAGAAACTGAACAGTGGAAGGTAACGAAGCTCAATAAACAGCCAGCGAACGCCTCTTTAGTCTTCAACACGATTCGTGGAGGTTAACAGTGACCGGACACCAGACAAAAGTACACACCACACAGGAGATTAGTCGTGTAAATCGAGACACATGCCACATGCTCAGTATTTGCTTAGAGGATGCAGGCTGGAACCCAAAATCTACAAGCCTTGCTTCCATGTTCTTGTTTATACAGTGTCACACATCTTAGCCAGTCTATCACTTCCTTTTCGAGATCCTTTCGGACACTCGTCGCACTTTTGAGGGCGGCCTTGACGATTCGTGATCGCTCTCTTCCTCCTCCTCGTCCTCCTCAACATCGTCATGGTCAACCTCGTCCTCGTCGAGGGACTCTGCGTCCGCTAGCTCCTCGTCCATCCCGTCATCAAACTCTTCGTCATCCTCCTCCTCGGAATCTGAGATGACGGTCGCTCCAGCTGGAAAGTCGTCGTCCTCGTCCGCAACAGCCCGCCCAACACCATTGGTGAGCGGCTTGCCGAGGGTCTCCTGGCCCTCCACATACACGACACCGGGCTCGTCCACGTCTTCCTCCTCTTCCTCGCTGAACTCCTCCTCGTTTCCGCCACGAATCCGGGCGGCACCATTAGCCTTGATTGACTTCCGGAATTTCATCTGCGAGTCCAGCATGTCCAGCTTCCCCTTGAGCGCAAGCAGGCTCGACAAACCCCGGGACCGCTCTTCCAAGACCCGGCTAAGCTCCCCTAACCGGGCAACAAGGTCCGGCTGTGTGACGAGCGCACCGCCATGCGCCACTAGCGTCCATTGCATCCACCTCATAAGCCCAAAAGCGCGACCCGGCCGGCGGTGCATGCGGGCCGAGAGCTTGGAAAGGAGGGTATTAGCGAGGGACGAGTCTAGGCGGTTGATGGTGTTTTCTATTATCTTGACGTCGGTCGTCTGGAGGCAGGACTCGAGCAGGTCGGCGTCGTCCGTCCGGAGCGCTTGTGTCAGGACTGTGCCGAGAGAGGTCGCGTTGAGCGGGGCTGTGGGCCGTTGTTGAACCGCCTGACGAGACGTCTGAGTGGCGGCTGCTTGGGCGGCAAGAGAAGCTGGCACGTCGATAGTCGAGTTGCCGCGAACGAGGTCGCCAAAGGTCGGCGACGTCGGCTCGCCGTCTGAATTGTCCGCCCCATCTTGCATCACTGCGTCGGTATCCGCCTCATTCTGGGTCCGCCTCGTCTTTGCAATCTCGGTGGAATTGGGTTGTTCGTTGGCCTCGTCCTCGCTGAGCCCCTCCTGGTCGTCGTCGGAACTCCAAGGCGTCTCAACCTCGGCATCTCCAGCCGCTTTTGGGGCCGATTTTGAGGATAGGCCGGTAGAGACTGCGGTTCTTGTCTCGTCAATCTTGGTCCTCACCGGCGTCTTCGCGCTTTGCCTCACCACTGGCTTGGCGAGTGTGGCCGCGGCTTTCCGTTTCGTCGACATATTAAGCTTTCTCGGTTTGCGGCGGTTGTCTGGTGGGGAAGTTCGTGGGTAGCAAAAATGCTGAGAGGGAGCGATCAATTGAGGTTCAACGATCGCCTGATTGCACTGTGGACAGGGGATTTCAGCCCTGGAGAGGTTGGAACTCGAGAAAAAGGAACGAAACTTGAGGTCGTCGGTGCAGCATTCGAGCAGAGCACGGCGAAATTTTCGGGGTGCAACCAAACTTTTTTTTGGGGAGTTGACCTTGGCGGATTGATCAGCCACTCACATTGTGGCTGCTCACCCCGCTGGTGAGGCTTTGCAACAGTCACGTGCGCAGTCTCTTGGGAAACCGCAAGCAGCCGCATGTGCCAGGCACGAGCCGGTCGCGGAGGATTCCGTCCATCCTCGGTCTCATTGAGTCATTCGCGTCAGTCTCGCGCATCCATGCTGTGTGCTTTTGTAGAAAGCCCGAGATATGTGAGGACGAGACAGATGTTTGGGCTGTATGAACCAACATGTATGTCAAATGGATGTCAGGGGTCGTGTGTGGGTAGAATTAGTTCGGCGCGTGAATGAACTGTAAAGTGATTTGGGCCTTTGTGTCTCTTGATGCTTTGTACTTCCATCGCATCCGGGCGTGATGCGTCCCCAGAACCTGCTCCCATCTTGCATTACGCAGATAACTTTTGGGTTGTACACCACCCTGAATGTCATGGGATCTTGTGAGAACAAGAATACCAAACTCACCTAGGTTCTAACATTAACCTTGCTGCGTAAAGTGGAAGTTGAGGAAATCGTGGAAAGCTTGTCACCACGCTTGCACGAGAGTTCGATGGAGCGACGAAATGTTTTTGTGGGCCAGTCGGGAACAAGCAGCGAGGCCCACATATCTGGTAATCAGCCAATGGAATGAATCAGAACAACCTGATAAGGCCAGCCCACCACTCACAGGCGGAGCCGCCGATTAGTTTGGGTCCGAGCAGCTGTGATAAATAGCCACCGGCTTCCGACCGGGACTGACACGCATTTTCAACCCCGATTTCTCGAAGAGGTCACGCTACAGAAAAACTGAGCGCCCCACACACCCCTTATCCAGCCAACCACATCACCAGCCCGAGCCAAGAAATCCTCCTGTCCTCCCCCGCCACTCTTGCCACACCAGCCACCAACACCCGCGACCGAGTTTTTCCTTCCCGACTCATCGTTGTTCTGCGAGGCTAGCGCCAAAAGTCTATAATTCTCAGCCTTCCCCCCAGCACCCTATTTTTCGCGAACTCGTGAGTGGTTGCCAATTTTTTTTTCCTTCCTTTCGCATTTTGCTCCTCGCGATCCAACGCGTGTGCACGGTCCTTCCCACGTCCCACACCCACAACCCCCATTCCACTTCCCCGCCACGAGTCGCATTTGCCTCATTCCACGCAATCATCTCCAAGGTTGCCATCGCCACCCGAGGGCATTCTTTTGCGCCGCATTCTGCTTTTTTTTTTGCAGCTGCGACCAACGGAAGCGCGTGCCTGCACGTCATCTGCAGCTAGCTTTCGCACCCTGGAGATTTTGCGCGCGACAGATTGCGACCTGCACCGTTTTTGCGACCACGACCTCGATTTGCGATCGGCGATCGTGACATGCATCGCTAACTGGCGCCGGCCCCAGCCGATTTGATGTCGCATCGCGCCTAAGTTGCGCAACCACCGAATGGCAGTCATGGCCACTCAACAATCAGAAGGCGCGCTTCTCAATGAGAAGCCGCTCCAGCCGTCGTTCCCAGTAGGCAAGGAAGGCCCCAACGGGGCGCTGGAGGCGAACGGGTACGTTGCCATCATTCTTTGTGTCGCTCAAACTTCTGTCACCGCATCGCATACTTATTTAGTCCGCAATACAGTCATACCATTCCATCTCCGATTAATTCACAACCTGAAACCGATAACGCGCCCAAGTCAAACGGCGAGACACCTGATGCGAATGCCACGCTCACCAAGAACGAGGACGCGTTTTCTGCGAACCAAGCTTTACCCAACGACGCGAATGACGACGATCTGACCGCGAAACCCAAGGGAGAATCCGAACAAGAGATCGCCAGTGGCATGGATAAGGTGAACATGGACGACGCCGCCGCGACGCGCGACACCGAGATGCCTGACGCGTCGAACGACCAGGCGGCCGAAGACAAGTCGGAAGCCCTTTCACCAAAGTCGCAACCGCAGGCGGAGCCTAAGACCCAGGTTGATGGTCCAGAGAAGGAAGAGAAGGACCAGAAGGAAGCGACGGGAGAGGCTACGGATGCAAAACCAGCAGTCCCGGTGAGCCCGGTTGAGAAAGAAGACGCGGCGATGGAGGGCACAGAGAAGCACACCGAGGCTACAGCAACAGAGGAAGTGCCAGAGGACACCCAGGATACAGTAGTAACCGCCGACACACCCAAAAGCCCGCAAAACGGCGCGCCCATCCCCGCCGCCGACCCGTCTGCCAGCACGCCTCCCCCACCCGCCACCGCCGACACAAGCATGTCGGAGGCCGCACAGCCCTCGGCGAAGGTTTCGAGAGAGCGGGATATCGATAGCGAAGACGAACCTGTGGCGAAACGAACCAAGGTAGATCACGCCGCCGACCAAGTTCAGGTGAAGACAGGACCGGTCGGGGACCGCATGCAGGTCGACCAACCAGCCGCGGCCAGCCGGGCATCGCCCATCCTCGGCGGCGCGGAGCCCAAGAAACTCACCGATGATTCCCTGAATGACAGCCCGATCACGGATTGGCAGAACAAGCAAATTCGCGCCGTTCTAGCTGGCGTCAAGAAGACCAAGGTTGGCGGTCCTTTCCGTCTGCCGGTTCAGCAGATTTGGCCGACCGTGTGGCCCGAGTACTCCGCCAAAATCACAAACCCGACGGATATCAGCACCATGGAGAAGCGGCTGCGCGGTGACATGCCTCCCTACGCCACTATGGGCGAGTTCAAGAACGACCTCGAATTGATGGTTCAAAATGCGGTTACCTTCAACGGTGAGGGTCATGACGTGACGAAGCAGGCGACGGCGTGCCGGGATGCCATCCTCGGCCGGATGGCCCAGCAACACGCCGTCGAGCCCCCGAAGCCGGAGAGGAAGGAGGCGGCCAAGGCACATACCACGCGCCACGTTGAACCTCGCGCACCCGTGCCACCGATCGCGACGGCGGGTGCGGCTCGTAATAATAAAGGTCCTGCCCCCAGCCCTTCGCAGAAGGCTGTGGAGTCGCCCGCATTCGCCCTGCCGCCCGGCAGCAACGGTATGCCTCTGATCCGGCGAGACTCCACCAAGCCTGACGGGCGGGCCAAGCGGCCGGTGAAGCCTGCACACTCCAAGGACCTGGTCTACGACACAAAGCGCAAGAAGAAGCTGCCCCTTGATCTTCGGTTCTGCGACGAGGTGCTCACCGAGCTCCGCAAGACCAAACATTATGACATCAATGCCGCCTTCATGCAACCTGTTGACCCGGTGGCACTCAACATCCCCCATTACCACAAGATCATCAAGCGACCGATGGACCTTCAAACCATGTCTAACAAGCTTGGATCTGGAGAGTACCAGTCTTCAAAGGAGTTCGAGAAAGACTTTGACCTCATCATCAAAAACTGCAAAACCTTCAACGGGGAAGACCATGTGGTTTACAGTCAGGCGCTCAGGCTGCAGGACTTGTACCGTGCCGAACTGTCTAAGAGGGACGAATGGATGGCCAAGCATGCGCCGGTCACGACCGCGGCGGCATCTCACGCCACGGGGAGAGACGACTCCGACTCTGAGGACGCCGATTCGGAGCCCGATGCTGAGGTTGACGACGAACGCAAGCTTGTTGAGAACCGTCTGGCTACTATCCAGAAGCGTCTCCAGGTTGAGCAGAACAAGGTTAATGAGATGGTCAACTCTGGCACGGCGGACATTACGGATGTCGAGATCGCGCAGAACATCGTCGCCTTGTTGCAAAAGCAGCTGATGGGCGAGCGGGCCAAGCTCGCGAATCTCCCGGTCAAGAAGCCAGGCAAGCCGAAGGCCCCCAAGGCCAAGAAGGCCGGTGGCTCAGGTAGTCTGCCCAACAAGAAGGCGGGTGGTGGCAGTTTGGGCGGCGGCATTGTGAAGAAGAGCGGAGTCAAGAAGGCAGCCCCTAAGAGGAAGATTGGCGCACTTGAAAAAGAGATCATCATAGAATCTCTTGGTAGCCTAGACGGGCCACTGCTGGAGCGGGCCATTGAACTAATCAAGAAAGACACAGGCCAGGGCGAGAACGACGCTGGAGAGCTTGAGCTCGATATCGAAACCATCTCGGAAGACGCCCTCGTCAGACTCTACGACCTCGCGCTCAAGGACAACCCCAACGCGCGGGTCGAGAAGGAACGGCAGCGGACAGCGGCTGCGGCCGCGGCCGCGCCGCCGCAGACGGAGACGCCCACCACCAAGTCCAAACAGCTGTCCAAGTCCAAGAAGAATAAGCCCATGAGCAAGAGCGAGCAGGAACGCCGTATCCAGCAGCTTAACGAGCTCCGCGCGCAGGCCGGCCGTCAAGGCTCCGGCAGCCAGGAACCAATGGAGTCGATTGAGGGCAACGGCATCGGCAACGAACCCTCCGGCCAGCCTGATCACGAGAGCGAGGACGAAGTCGACTCGGAGGAAGACTAAGTGGGCCCCGTCCCGGCCTCGTCTCACTGGGCTCTTTTTTTCTTCAGGACACTGCAAGGGTTTCGTCCCGTTCCCACCGTCTGAAGACCAATATTGTTATCAGGTCCGGGAGCGCGACACTTGGCGAGCGTTGGCATTCCTGGTTCTTTACGACGGCACTTAACTCGCCGTAGTTTGCCAGTACCATCAACACTGATAACCCGAGACTTCTCGCCCTCGTCTTCAGCCTTCCTTTTCTCCTTTTTTTTTGCTTCCGCGATGTAGGAATATTCGACCGTGTGTACCATATTTAAGCTTTCCCGGCCGGCAGTGCCCAGGACAACTTGCCACTTCGCCGAACCGCTTCATCCATGACCGAGATGGGCGGTAGCGGCGCTCAAAAAGGAATTTGAGGAAAGGGAACTAACGGCCACTCATCATCCGCCCGGCCGAACGTCACCCCAACGCCGGTCGAGAAACGTCGCATCTGCTTCGGCTGCACCGCACAGTGCACCCACTTGCGTAAGACTGCACTGTGTGGACGGCTATGCATCCGTCTGCGCATGCGCTTCCAACCTGCATTCGCACTTGCGCCTGCGGCCCGGGTTTTGGGTTGAGTTCAGCGAGCGGGGGGGTGGTGAATGGGTGATGATTGGGAGGGATGAAACAGGCGTTTTGCGATTGCAACCATCCTTTGCTGCTTTCGCTTGAGCTCCGCCTCTGCGTGGGTTGGCTGGTTCTGGTTTGGGTTCGCCGTTTTCTTTTCCGTGCTCTTTTGCGAGGCCTTTGGGGGAGATTGGGGCCTTCTGCACCGTTCTGCCTCCTGCCTGGCCTCATGCTTCCTTGCGCTTGCGAGGGTGAGTAGTGCGTGGAGTGAGCTTCTTTCTCGTTGGCATCGGCCCCAAGTCCTCTCGGCTTTGATGGGGTGAGGGCTTGGACGGGGGGTTGACGGGAGGTGGGGGGAGACGGGGCGTAAAGCATGCTGGAGCTGAGACAGACAGGAAAAATCAAGTAAATAGGAGCATTGCTCCCCAATCCTTCCTTACCGTGTCCGCACCGTTGTGTTGAGATGTTGTGTTGAGATGTGATATATTCGTGTTGGTCAAACCTTGGTGTTGTTTCTTATTCGCAGGGGGCTGCACGGTTTACCGAGATCCCGTCGTCTCGGTCTTTGCTTCCGACGGGAAGCATAAATGCCTTTGGCCTCGTGGGTGGTCTTGGTTCAGACTCTAGTATTCCTCCTGAAGAAATCGTGGTTCGGGTTTGTGTATTTTGACCGTTGCCGCGAGACAAGTGGTGATGAAGGGGAGGGCTGGGGCGTCGGGGCGGAGTGTGCGGGGCGCCTCCGGGGCTTGCATGGCCCTAACCGCCTGGAGGCTACAGGGGCTTCTCTCAATATCCCCTGGAAACGTGATGTGCTGCGGCGACGGAAACGATCGGAGGATAGGCAGTCTGAGGTAAAAAGAGGTCAGTAAAGTGCGAAAGTCCTCGAGTATTACAAACCATGCTTCTAGCTATGCTAGTAATCTGCCGTGATGGCGCGAAAACCCAATCCTAGACCATGGACTCCTGCTGGCCCAGCGTCACGGAATGGTCCTGTCGGCTGGCAACCGCAGCGGGCCAGGGCATCTCCGGGCCGAGGGTCGAAATCGAAATGGAGGGAAAAGATCAAAAGACAATGCGACCAAGAAGAGAGTATAGGAAGCGGAAGCCGTTGAGCGATGGTGGATTCATTTTTGACATTTGTTGCGACTGGAAGCGGACGTCAACCGATGCGAAGAGGAGGTTTGACGTTGGGTTGTCTGCTGATCTTGGGGCTGTCTTGGTGTGCTTGTGGGCGGCAAAAGTTTCGCCTTGAGGGGTTTGGTTGGCGCAGAGTGGAGCCATTGGCTGGTTCGGGCTTGGGCGATGGTCACAGGCAGGCAAGCCAAGCTCACAACATTCAATCCCATTATCATTCACTGCAGGTGAAGGGCAGCCGGGAGCGTGACGTTCCTGTTTCAGGTCACAGCTAAATACAAGCCCCCTCAAGAATGTATAAAATAGCTACTTTTATCAAATAAATTACATGCACACTCTTTTTCAGATGTTCACTACAACTTCACAAAATTTAGAGCTGGAATCAGCGGTGTTGCTAATCTACAACGCTGTTAAGTGCATATTACGCTTCAAATTTCCAAATATGGTAAACGAATCCTATCGTCATAGCGTGCAGTGGGCTATCAGAGGCTCGGCATGCATGAACCCGTGGCGATGTGTTTAGGAGGGGTGACTCTTGACCCTATACAAATTAGTATGGAAGACGGTGTGCTTCTCATGATGAGAATCAATGATCCTAACCGGAAAGGTTCAACGGGTCTTTATTCAGTTCTGACCGGGGAGTAACTTCATCATCTGTTTGCGTTACATGTGCAAACCCCTCGGGGTTTAAGTCTAGAGAGAGGCAATGGTTTCATGTTCCCTCAAGTATAAATGAACTAAACTTGAGTGGTAATACTAAGATCAGGTTTTCCTCATCAAATGCCACTTTTCCGGCCTTCTACTTTTTAAGATGCTTCTCGGTGTGCATATGCACTCTTGTGGGAGAATAGGCAGGGTAAGGATTCTGAAATGTTTCGCCTGCACCCCGAGATCAAGTTCAACTCTTCATAAAAGTTCCAGTCCCGAAGCAAGACACATCCCGTAACAACATTGGCTTATTTCGGGGACCAGTTGGCATTGGGATGTTTTCCTAGAATGCACAGTTAGTGATTCCAGTTCTTGCACCGTATCAGAGCATACAACAGGACACCACTTACCATCGACCATTGTGATTCTCAGTGCGGGGGTATCATGTGTCTTGACCTCCAACTCAAAGTACTCCTTGAAGGTCCCGAGGTCCTTCCCGGTCCACATATCATGGACGAGGAACTCCTCACCTGCAGCGGCCTTCAGGGGAGAGATCTCTGCGAAGACAGCACGCATAAGTACGGCCCTGTCCCGGGTATTGAGCAGGAAAACGTGGATTCCCTTGGTCGACGTGCCCACCCAGAAGGCAGCCGGATGCACCATGTCCGATGTACCGACGGGTCTGTTGTCACCCCACTTGTATGGCATGGCCGAGGCGCCGTAGACGGGATCTTGGTTGAAGTCAATCAGCTCCCTGTTAGAGAGGATATCGAGAATGGGCTTCTTGATGGTATCCAGCGGGGTACCGATGATCAGGGGGCTCTTGAAGGCGCACCACATGGCAAAGTGGCTTCGGTTCTCCTCCAGCGTCAAGTCGCCGTTGCCGACCTCGAGCATATCCCAGTCGTTATGGCCTCCAAAGTCGGCCCACTCCCAGAGGAGTGAAGCCTGATTGACAATAGGCATCAGCCCCCAGCTCCATTGGTCTTGTCCCTTCCACGCTGGCATGATGTCGCCCCACATGCGCCAGGAGTGGCCGGTGGTGTTGCCCCATTGCTCGACGTGTGCGTGGCCCCAGGCGCAGAGCGAGTATTGGATGGTGCTGTTCTATTTCTGGAGAGCGTCGCCCATGGCCCGATAGCGCTTGGCCGTGTCGGATGTGCCCCAGTCATAGCCGACGGGAGCGTCGCTACCCAGGCCCTCGGGTGAATACTGGTATTGGTCGGTCCATTGAGAAGGGACGTTGCAGTTATCGTACTTGAGGTCTGAGTCGTGGTTCAATGTGAGCAGCCTTGCATGATGAGATTTGGTCCAGGTGCGACATGGGGAACTTACAGTCAATGCCCCATTTGCTAAAGGTCGCGGCATCAACTTGTTCGTATCCAAGAGAGCCCACATAGCCTCCGCAGGTATCGGTGCCTTTATGATTGCACCATGATCAGTACGTCGTAATCCATGAACAAGGCCGTGAGCCACATGAGAGCGAACAAACCTGCATCGCTGTAAATGCCGAACTTGAGGCCCAGCGAATGAACCAGCCCTACCGTCCCACTGATTCCGCGAGGAAACTTCTGGGCGTCGGGAATCAGTTCCTTGGTATTTGCGTCGCGGCGGAGTTCCTTGTCGCTCCAGCAATCGTCGATGTTGACATATTGGTAGCCGAGGTCCTTGAGCCCCAAGTCCACCAACTGCCTCGCAACGTTGACGAAGACGTCCTCCTTGATGTTGCATCCGTATTCGTTCCAGGAGTTCCAGCCCATAGCTGGGAGACGCCCAGTACCGTCTGGACTGACGAAAGCTGCCGCCCAGGAGGCGAGTCCCAGGAATTGTCCTGCCGTGAAGATTATGGGATGCATATTGCCGTGGAGAGATGTGGTCGTATGCCAGGTGCAAAAGAACGCCCAGGCCAGGTATTCGAGCAGTTCCCTCTGTTTATAGGGAAACCATTGTCGGTCAACTTTCAACTCTGGTCATTCTCATACACAAAGGCAATTCCGTAGCAAAGACCGTCAAGAGACTCGTCGCCTCCAATTCTGTGTGGCGTAAACCAAGACTATCTAAATTACCACCTAGTTATGTCAACCCGGGGAGGTGTCTACCCGCGCGAATGAAGAAAAAGAAACGGGCGGGGTTGCTCCGCGGTCGTCAGTTCCGAGGACCCCGTTGGTAAATATTTCCACAACTGAACCTTTGCGGACTGTCGGGCGGCGGGTGTGCCGACAAATATTGACCGGTACTAATATGGAATGCTTGCTTTCAAGCCGACAGCAAACACTTTAATCATGGGGCTTCCTCGGCGGTTTAGCACTCTGGCCATGCAGCCTCCTCGGGGGTTTGGCGCCCGGAGGGGGGCAAAACCATCTTTGAACGTCGTCTACTGTTCTCACACGACGATACGACGATTGCGGGAGCTTGATACACCATTGTAAGACATTGTTAACCCTTATAACAAAATATTATCTACCCGCTAAGGGTGTAGCGAGGGCCTCCCTATGTATCCTGCCTACCTAGATACCAAAGGGCCGTCCTTTGATCTGGCTGATAATCCTCTGATAATGAGGCTATAACGGGCGAGTCGTACGCGAGATCCAGTTGAGACGACATTCGACGGTTCTCGTTTTCGGATTCGCGCTGTTATGACGGCTGAGCGGGCGTGCAGAGCGAAGAATAACACGACATAAGACGATGGCAAAAGACCCCCACTCCATAGAGTATAGTGTACCGCAATGAAGAACTTTGGCAATCTGAGGCTATCGAGGCATTGAATACACCATACCGGACCAGGGCAGAATGCGGTTACAAATCGGGCGGATCGAGTCTAAACCTTTGTTTTACCCCTGAATGGCGCTCCGCAGCGGCTCATACCAACAGTTTGCAAGCTTCTCATTGCCAGCGTTGTTAGGATGCACCCCATCTCCTGTATCCGTGGCCGTATCAAATCCCGTCCAACAATCGACGACAGTTATAGGACTACCCGTCGAGTTCTTGGATGCCGCCCATGCTGGGATCGCCTCGTTAAACGCCACCACGCGGTCACCACACTCCACACAGTTTGGCGGATTCATTGGGATAATTTGAGCGACCTGTTTCAAACATTAGCTTCAAGTCACGCGCTCGTCCCGAACAAGAAGTGCAGAAGCATACCAGGATCTTCATCCCGTCGTTACTCTCCCTCATCCAATCCACCATAGTCCCAAACGCATCCAAGAGTTCTGTCGGGCTTTCGTTGCTCCAGACATCATTCGTGCCCAGATGCATCATGACTACATCCGGTGTTGAGGACGCCAGCCACCCGGGCAGTTCCTCCCGCTCAACGATGCCCGTTGCGAGGATGCCGCCGTGGCCTTCGTTAGCACCGTCATATTCGAAACCGCAGCCCTGGCCGGGTAAGCTGCCGACGAACTTGGTGTTGGTGATGCCAGCTGTTTGGAGATTACGCCAGAGGAGAGCGCGCCAGCATCCCTTGCGATTGTTAGACCGTGAGGCCGGATCAATGAGAGAAAATGGAGGGAGGGCGACTTACTGGGGATCCGGTGATGGAGTCGCCAAGGGCCATAATCCGAACAGGGGTGTCTTGTCCCGAAACGACAGAGAGTAGGAGGGCGCCGCAGGCGACGGCGAAGGAGTGGATCGACACCATGGCTGTCTGCTCCGCGTTTTGGATGTTTTCTAACAACAGTGAGGAACATAACAGTATAGGTCCGGATTAGCGAGGCATACGTTATATGTATCACAGTCGGAAACGCAAATGTACTTGCAAGGGACAGGGGGGCGGTGGATAACCAGGAAGGACACACTCCGCGGCCGGAATAATATTTCCCACAAACCAGATACCGTGATCGCACTCGTACGGTTTTAAGTAGAGGGCGGGCGAGAAGGCTCCGCAGTCATGGTTAAATTGCCGTTCGAATGTGCGGTTAGGTTTGAACCCCTTTGAGTCCATGACTTATTATCACCGCACAGCGCCAAAAGAAAACATTCATGAGCGCGCTGAAATCATTGCTTTGAATAGCACCCCCAAATACCTACCTAGGCAGAGAGCATTACTATGGGGTTGGAAAGTCGATACAGAGACTAGTTGCATTCTCCAGTTGTTTCTATATCTTTACCGCCCGCTTATCAACCTAACAACTGCAGTGCGTATGCGAATCGTCCTCGCGTGGCGCCGAGGAAGTGCTGGCTAGATGACCTCAGCCACGCCCGGATCGCAGTGTACCAAGCTCGACGGTGCTTCTAACGGCGACATCCAGGGGCGTACGACTTTGATGTGGGAGGGGCACCTCGCAATGTCAAGAGTTATCTCGTGTTAACCGGCATGTTGGCCAGTCAAGGAGGATGATTGGTTGTTTCTGAACCGCTCTTGTATGAGGTAGTATTCGTAGAAGACAGCGATTACGCCTCGCCAGGCTTGCCTATGTTGCCCTCGGGGTTCTGCATCTCTCCACTTCTACCCGTGCGCCCCCCTAAGTGCATAGAATAGATGTAGTGGTGAACCGGATCAAGATAGGTCATAGAGTTGATGAAATAGCAAGCTCTTCTATCAACGTAGACACCATTGACGTGGGCTCGCAGTACCAGATCACATAGCCTACCGACCTTATTCTCAGCGTCATCCTGCTTCTGACTATAATATCGGTGGACATTAGCCCAAGAATCTGTGAAAGGGAAACGTTCAACCCACCAAGTTAATATGGTCATATCAGCAACAAGGAAAACCTGTGCAACTCAGGTCTTTGCAGGACAATTTTGATCTCTTGCTCTTTCGACAACCACCAGAATCGATCCAGAACACCCATCTGGGTCTCGTACTACAGGCCCTGATCAAAACTGTTGAGTTCGGAAAACGTCGTGACACAGGTGGCTACCTACATGTATTGTGCCGTGGGAATGTGGGCCAGGAACGTATACTGAAGGGGGTTGTCAGGTTGAAATCGGTAGTGTGATGCTTGAGAGCTATTGTAAGCAAACCGGAAGAATAGTAACACCCCGTCTTTTCGAGTTTGGCTGTCAGCTTCCAGCCTTTGTGGAAAATCAACAGTTAAATCCTCCCTAGATCCGATAGCTCCGCCCGCACTTGGTGTGACAGCAGCCCGCTCCTCCCCAGCTGACTCGGAGCGTGCCTTCCAGGAAGGATTCTCGTGGCAAAGCTGAGAAACCAGACCGAAGAGACGTAAGACATACATACACCCTTAACCAATTGTCAAAGTATTTATACTAAGTAGAAGCGGCACCATCAACCTCATTAATTATCGTTCTCACAGCTTTTGTAAAAGCATTGGATAAGAAACAGTCGGGTTTGAAGATTGAAACCATACCTATCAACATGCTCGGAAAGCTCTTCCTCACTATCGACGCAATAGGCCTCCTTCTGGGTGCGCCGCTCGCCGACTACAACCACACGCATATATTCAACCCGCGCTGGCCGCCGCATGCCAAGTAAGCCGTCTCCTCCTCCACCACATGCTACCCACCCAATCTTGGCGAGTCACCTAGGTACTTTGACAGTTCACAACTGCTTACACAACCCCCAGGTTCCACGGCGCGCAAACCATCAGCCTCTCGGTCCTCCTCGGCCTGGCCACGCTGTACTACACGTGGCGGCCATCGCTGCAGCCGGCATCCACCCCGCCGGCGCTTGCTCGGCAGCGGAAGCAGGACGGCCTGACCATGGCCATCTTCACGGGCACCATCTACTGGTTGGCCGGCCTCGCGTCCATCCTATATCCCGGCACGGACGGCATCGACCCCGAGTTCGGCCCGTCTGGGTTCCCGCAGGCCCCTATTTTTATCGGGTTCGCGTCGTCGGCTGTGCTCGGATGGATGTTGGAGAGAAGGGATTGATGAGGTTATGGATTGGACGGTGTATCGATGGTTTGGGGCTGGTTGTGGTTGTGAGTGTTGTCGAGAGGTTAACGGTTAGGAACATGAGGTGACAACCCGCATATTCTAATTGAAGTGGGCTAGTCGTTCCGTTTGCTCCTGTTCATTAAATAGGTAGTACAGAGGTTAGTAGAATCGTATAGATCTATTCTTTGACGGATTAATTGTCATGCACGTGCCATGCCGCATGGTGGGAGGTCGAGAGGTAAGTGGCTTGAGTGATGGTGATAGGGGCGGGACAACCGAACCTCGCGCTCAGTCCGTCCCTGACTCGACTGTAAGAGCTAGGAAATAATATATCGCCTCGGGAATCGGCAGCGGGACCAATAGCAGTCAATTTGAGATGAGAATCGCCCGGATCTTGCAAGAGTCGATCCAAAACCGGCCCGAAAAAGCCAACCTCATGACCAGTGACGCTCGAGATGCCCTCCACTTGCCTGCCCCCACCAAAACTTGCCGCCCGCCACCGTCAGATTTGGCGAACAGGGGTGTTTGAGGGCAGTGGACCGTCCGAGTTATTGCGTCACAACACGTTTCTTGGCAGACCTCATTGCCCTTTTGTTGGTTGCTTGGTTGCTTTGAAGTCCACATTCCCCTTGTCAGGTTTCTGGTACCGTCATGAACTGCACCATTTTTTCTCCAGAAACCTACCCCAGACCCCGGCGTGTCCGGGACCAAAGCCTGCTGCCCATGGGCGTCCTCCGCCGCAATGGCTTCGGGGCTTCGGCCTCAGCCGTTGTGACATCATTGGGTCCGCAGTCTTCTCGACTCCCTTTTGCTTTGGGAGAAAATATATAGTCCCGGTGGTGATGATGTTCGATCGTGCCCCGTGCTCGCCCGCTCTTCCTATAATGTGTTTTGGGTTTCTCATTGGATGAACACACCATCAGACCTGTTCCGGAACTGTACCTAATCTTTCGGGATGCTTGGAAAGAAGTCAGCCAATACCTTCCCAACGTTAGCCCTCACCATCACCACACCGACAGCTAACACCCCTTTTAGATCCATCCGCATCAATGGCGCCGACTGCGGCGTCGAGGCCCTCATCCTCGGGGTTATCACCTCGTTGGGGGGCTTCCTCTTCGGCTACGATACCGGCCAAATATCGGGCATGTTGCTGTTTAGGGACTTCAAGGACCGCTTCGGCCAAGAGGAGACACCCGAAGGGAGGGATTTCACCCCCATCATCGAGTCATTGGTGGTATCCCTGATGAGCATCGGCACACTCTGCGGTGCCCTCACGGCATCATAGTAAGCCACCCCGCCGCACTCACCCCCCAATGCTTCCCAATGGCTGACCCCTGACTAGCACCGCCGACTGGTGGGGACGCAGAAAGAGTCTCAGTTTCGGTGTCATCATCTTCATCATCGGCTGCATCATCCAGATGACTGCCATGTCCTCGTGGGTGCACATAATGATGGGTCGCTTCGTCGCCGGTCTAGGTATCGGTAACCTGTCCGTGGGGGTGCCCATGTTCCAGTCCGAGTGCTCGCCCCGTGAGATCCGCGGCGCCGTGGTGGCATCGTACCAACTCCTCATCACCTTTGGTATCCTCATCGCCAACATCGTCAACTACGGCGTGCGCGAGATCGAGGACTCGGCCGCGTCCTGGCGCATCGTCGTCGGTCTGGGCATCGCCTTCTCCATGCCGCTCGGCCTGGGCATCTTGATGGTACCCGAGTCCCCGCGGTGGCTGGCGGCGCGGTCCCGGTGGGACGACGCGCGCGTCTCGATGGCGCGCCTGCGCGGCATGAAGGACGACCCGAAAAACGGGCTGGTGGAGGACGACATGCGCGAGATGCGCGAGATCCTCGAGAAGGAGCGCTCCGTCGGCGTCGGCACCTGGGGCGAGTGCTTCATCCCGCGCAGCAACGGCGTGCCCAAGCAGGTCTACCGCACCATCCTGGGCATCTCGATCCACTTCCTGCAGCAGTGGACCGGCGTCAACTACTTCTTCTACTACGGCGCGACCATCTTCGAGTCGGCCGGCATCGACGACCCGATCCAGACCCAGCTGATCCTGGGCGCCGTCAACGTGGCCATGACCTTCGGCGGCCTGTACGTGGTGGAGCGCTTCGGCCGCCGCTGGCCGCTGATCATCGGCGGTCTCTGGCAGGCCGCCTGGATGGCCGTCTTCGCGTCGATGGGCACGGCGCTGGACCCGGAGAACAACAGCACGTCGGGCATCGTCATGATCGTCGCCGCCGCCATGTTCATCGCCTCCTTCGCCATGACCTGGGGCCCCATCTGCTGGGTGGTCATCGGCGAGACATTCCCGCTGCGCACGCGCGCGAAGCAGGCGTCCATCGCCACCGCGGGCAACTGGCTGGGCAACTGTAAGCCCCCCCCTTCAACCCCCCCTCCCCCCCCTCCCCACCCTTCACTCCCATCCTAACACCCACACTAACAAACCAACCACAGTCATGATCTCCTTCCTCACCCCGCTCGCCACCTCCGGCATATCCTACGCCTACGGCTACGTCTTCGTCGGCACCAACCTGGCCGCCACCCTGGTCGCCTACTTCTTCCTGTACGAGTCGGTCTCGCTCTCGCTCGAGAACGTCGACGCCATGTACGCCCAGCCGCAGCTCAAGCCGTGGACGTCGCGCGGCTGGATGCCCGAGGGATACCTCTCGCGCCTGCAGCGCGACGAGGAGTTCTTTCGGCGGCCTGTGGATATTGGGGAGGGTGGGGGTGGTGTTGGCGGCAGTGGTGCTGGTGGTGGTGGTGGGAAGCAGGAAGAGGACTTGGATGATGGGACTACGGCAGTGCCGAGTGGGCGGCCGAGTCGCGCTGTGGATGACCGGGAGAAGAGGTCCAGGTCGGGGGGGAGTGGGGATTTGCCGGCTGAGACGAGGGAAGAGAGAGTTCGTCGGGCGGTGTAAGGCGGTTGGTTGTTGAAAATCTGTTTTGGCTTGTAAGATACCTGGGTACCTGTGCCCGTGGCTTTTTTCCTTGTGGTTTGGGATGGAGCATGGTGTTTGGGTACCCGTTTTTTGATCTGTACGAAAAGGCGAACTTGTGCAGCAAATGGAATAACTCGCTACGAAGTATTCTGTATTCGTGCCGACTGTGTCTTCCGATTAGTACTTTGCAGGGCGCCGGCCGCCTTTCCGGGAATCTCTTGCGGCGGAAAAGAATAGTCGTTTCGGCAGCAACCAAATCCCGATTTGAAGAAGCAACGGCAAGTGCATGTACCGAGCCGTCCTTCCTCTGATCCGAGTCGTCTGGAAAGAGAACGGGGCCCACTCGCTTTCATGATTCTCCAACTCTGACCCCGCAGCTCGGCCGCACAGCTGCCTGCATCTCGCCCGCCAAGCATCAGGGCAGCTCCCCAACGGACAAACACCCAACACCCAACCAAGAGGGCCGTTCCGTCTTGGGCATTTGGTGTCTGCGTCAGGCACATCGAAGGCGTCAAGACATCCATTCCGGATGTGCATGTTACCTACCATCGCGAAAGTCGTGCGACTCGGTGCAACCATCTGCTCGGGTGCTATCCTGCGTTGCTGTCCTAAAGTGCGGCAATGCAAGGCCAGGTACGGATGCCAAAGAGGCTGCGGGCGTGATGCGATCGAATCAAGCAATGCATGCATGATGGGCGCTGTGGATTGCGGCCACCAGCATGACACGGGACAAGGTATCGACCGCGTTTCTCCTCCTGCGATAGGGTGTGGTCTGCCGGTTTGTTTACTCACTCTTCAATTTGCTGATGGGATAAATTGTCCCACCCCACCTGGCTGTTTCTCTGTCAAAAAAGTCATGCATGCGTACGGCAAGCCTGTCCGTGACATGTGAGCGATCACCATTTGTTGAATTTGGCGTTTGTGGTGTTGAAAATCAGATTCGATCTGGAGCTGCCCCCCTGTTACGCTGTTGCCAAACTGCACTAGCGCCAGGCCCAAATCCTTGCTCTTTCGGCTCTTGTTCTTTTTCGTGTTCCACCTTCCCCGGTTGGCGCAGGCAGCCGGCCAATCACACCTGGTCCCTTTTCTGCTGCTGTCAGCTCGGACCAGTTGGAGCTGGTCGGTTTGCGGGACCAAATCTGCACGGTCGGGTGATCCAACCGCCTCTTTTCCCCAGACCGCAGCCCAGGCGTGGAACAAGGCGCAAAATTTAATCGTGCTTGCCGCGTCTTGGGTCGCCGTTTCTCCTCCTCCACCGAACCCAGTAAACCATCTTCGCCGGCCGTCGATCATAGCATCGCGTCGCGTCTCGATATTAACTCTTTAGTTTTCCTCTTCGACCCGCCGTCGCTATCATCCGAGACCCTCACCGCGAAGGCCGACCCGAGCACTCGGGCACATTTCATTCCTTGTTTCGGGCTACCGTCAGTGCGGCACCAGGCACGATGGACTCGAGGCAGCCGCCACAACACCCTTTCTCGAGGAACGGGGCTTCCCCGTTTAGCCGACCATCATTCCAGCCAGCACCTGCCGCGGCAGCATCGCAACCGCCCTACCCGCCCTCGGCATCACATCCGCCTGCCACCGCGGGTCCTTATCCCGAGGTGCACGCGCGCAAGCCATCCGAACCTCAGTCCTACTACCCACCGTCTCGACAATATCCCCCCGAACACGGGCCAGGCCCGATGCCTCCTTCGGCACATTCTCGACATCACAGCACGTCCTCGATAACCTCCGGGCCTACCATGACTCGCGGCATGCCACCCCCGAATTCACCGCCCCAGCAACAACAGCAGGGGCAGGGCCCGAATAACCATCAGATGGGCGGACCGTACGGCCTCCCGCAGCCCCGTCCGCCGCCGCTCTCCGTCGGCCCCTCGAACGCATTTCCACGCGGGCGCGAGCTCCCCGCCCTCGAGTCGCTGCCGAGAGCTGCCAGCTCCGGGAGCAGCATGTCGATATCGTCCATGCTGGGTGGTCCGCCGCCCGCGCGAGAGTCGGCTGCTCCTCCCCAATATGCCCAGGGGCCACCCTCGGGCGCGCCTGGTCCTCCTGGCCCGCCCTACAACCAAGCCATGCACGCATCCCCTCGGCCGCAACCAACGACGGGATCCGAGTACAATGCCTTCCGACGGCCTCAGACTCCCGAGCACCATCGCATGTACGAAAACCGCGATCCTAGAGCGGCCTCAGCCGCCTCGCCTCCCGCATACCACTCGACCCCGGAAGTACAACGGTATGGCACGCCGCAGGCTTATGCCCAGAGAGGACCTCCCATGCCCTCGGTCGAACAAGCAAGGGAGTCGGGACGGTTGTCTGGCGGTGCCGGGGGTCCCAGACCGATGAGCCCGCCGAGGCAGTACGCAAATGCCGGCCCGCAACGGTCGGTCGAAACGGGCAGGCCCCCGGAGATGTACGGACACAGGGAAGAACTGCGGGCCTCGGAGGAATACAATCCTGAGCGTCCCATTCGGGTGATGAAATACGAGGACCAGAGATACATATCGGAGCGGGAGCGACAGGAACGGGAACGTCAAGAGCGGGAGATGGAGCTTCGCGAGAGGGAACTGCGTGAAAGGGAGCGGCGGGACATGGCCATGGCCGGAGTGGAACCATCCCGAGCCCAGGGAGGCCATCCACACGAGTACCCACGGCAAATGGAACAGCGCCCACAGCAGTACGGCCGCCCCCCGGACCCGAGGGACTGGACAAGGCCCGGATATGAGCAGGCACGAGCTCCGTATGATCCCGCCATGCACCCGCCGAGACAGCAAGAGTATCCACCAAATACGGCACCTCACTACAACGGGCCTCATCCGTATGGCCCTAGCCCAGCCGACCGCCACCATCCGGGACCGCACCCGCACCACCAGCATGGCCTTCCTCAGCAGGCCCCGGCTCACCCGCAGCCGTATGAGTCGCCGGACCGACAACGCATGAGTGGGATGCACATGGATAGAGTCCACCCACAGCAACCCCCACCGCGCACCCGGGAGGAGGTCCCCCCTCCTTCCGTTGCCTATGGCGTCGTGGGTCCTTCGATGTACGAGTCATCGCGGAATCGGAGTTTGGAGGAGATCGGTGCCCCTCACCAGCGAAACCTGCTTGCAATTCAGGAAATCAACCGCAAGGGGCGGATTTCTCCGCTCCCGCAAGCCGTACAGGGAGCCCAACCGCAGCTCGCCGGCCCCGCTGGCGAACCCGGCATCAAGAGCGAGTTTGGTCGCATGTTCTCCGGCATAGGAACCGGAGTTGGTACCATCTCAAGTCCTGTGCCCGCAGGCGCTCAGCTGGCCTACGGCGGTGGTGGTCCGCTTCGTCGCGACGACGTGGATGCGCCACCAGAGCCGCCAGTAGAGGCTGCCAAGACGACAGGGCGTGGTAAGCGGAGGAAGCTCAAGGAGGAGGAGGAAGAAGGGAACAACGGTCGGCTGACGCCCGTCGGAGGGCGGGCAAAGAAGGCCAAGGGGCATCATCATCACCAGTATGTTTTTCTTCTCCCTGTTGTTGGACGTTGAAGTCTTAACGCTCCCTAGTCATCATCACCATCACCATCATCACAATGCAGAGCAGGTGTCATCCCCGGCGCTGACAGGCAATACGCCTTTCAGGAACATTAAAGGCTCCACACCAGTGCCCTCCCCGACAGGTCTGGCCAAGGATCTACCAGCTGGCCACCACCATCACCACCATCACCACGCCGCCCCTCGTTCCCAGCCCAGCGCCAGGCCCGCCCCACCTCCTCGAAGCCCGTCTCCCGTCATCCTTCCGAAACCAAAGCAAATCACCTCATCGAAGGCTGTTCTAGACGAAGTCGCGGACCGGCCCCGGACCCACCTCGGTGACGTTCTCTACGAGCCGACCCTAAAGCGAGCGCGGCTGCAGGATCCGCGCACCGCACGGCCGCCTCGCTACGGTTACAAGTCGACTCCAAAACCGTTGCCATGGGACCTCATCGAGGGCAAGGAGAACTGCACGCTGACCATGAAGATCGGCAAGGAGCATTTGATCCCGGCTGCGCGGGAAGAGATCACATTGAGGCGTGCACTCTGGGGCACGGATGTCTACACGGACGACTCTGATGTGGTTGCCGCATGCATCCACGCTGGCTGGATCAGGGGCGAGTGGCCCGAGGACGTGGATGTGAGCCTGCTGGGACTCGACGAAGGGTATAGCGTATCCGACGTGCGGGGCCTGCTGAAGGGCCACGCCAACGGCTCCAGGGCCGCGAAACTGCCGCCCCAGGACCCCACCTCCCCCTTGACCGTCTTGACCGAACCGCCCGCGAACGGACCCATGCCGGTCCCGGATAACCGCGACCTCCACGTAACTCTGCTCATCCTCCCCCGCCTGCAAAAGTATGCCTCCACCACCCGCTTCGGCATCAGGTCGCGCGAGTTCGGCGGTCCCGTCGGCGACGAGGACGCCCACCAGCGCGCCATCCACGACGGCATCAGCTTCATGGTCATGGGCCTGCGGTGGGTGACCAACGGCGGCGCGACGCAGAACCGGCTGCGGGGCAAGGCCAGGCGCGAGCGGATCCGCAAAGCCCTGGCCGAGGTGGAGATGACGCCCGCGTGGATCGCGCGGCCGGTCGCGAATGGCACGGGCGCTGCCGAGAACGGCACGCCGCCGGAGAAGGAGGCGGGGCTGGGCTGGTGGACGCAGAGCTCGAGCAAGGCGCCGAGTGAGGGGGATAAGGAGAATTTGAATCGGTTGGCGGCGGCGGAGTCGCGCCCGCGAGAGGGTGTGGAGGGGGGTGCGCGGGAGGAGGAGGCTCGGGGGGTTGACGCTGAGGAGGAGAATGTGCCGGGTGAGGTGGGGCCGGATACCGAGGCTTCCGATGGGGGTAAAGTCCACACACCGGAACCAACTCCCGTTGTTAAGGACGCCGATACCCCCGCTCCCGAGGAGGAGCGGCCCGAGGAAACGCCCAGCAACCAAGACGTTGTGGAGAAGGCCGTGGCAGTCAAGGAAACACCCACCAAGAACGGCGAGGTGGTCGAGAATGGGGAGACCGGGCAGGATTCGGAGACAGCTGGACCGGAACCGGAGAAGGCCACAGATGCCTAGGAAGAGTGGTGACGCAGGGTTGCTTGGGCTCGTTCAGTTCAGTGTCCTGAGGCGATACCTTTTGCTTGCCTTGTGGAATGAATGGATCGGTGTATTTGTCTTGCTTGATACCTTCGGTGGCTGGTTTGTTTGCTTGTTTGGTGGCTGGGGGGACTGGCTGTGATAAGCGTTGTCAAGAGTGTGGATCAGCGATTCAGTAACCCTAGCTTGCAGTGTTAGGTGATAGCTATCAGTTTACATTATGCTTCCATCTGGAGATGTTGTTGTTCTTGACAGGTGAATGCCGCCCAATGTGGCGCCGGACATTGGACCTCTCCGAACTTCAACAACAGCAAACCGCTTCCACGGTGAAGTAAACGGCGGCAGGATGCCATTAACGTCTACTAATCTTCCCGCTGTGGCCCTCGGTAAGAGGCTTGCAGTTGAGCCAGTCATTGAGTTGAGAGCTCTTGTATATCTGGTGAGGACTGGAACAACAAGGTTGACCCAACGACCGGTCCTGCGAACTACAAAGTGGCGAATGCAGCATCTGATTCCAGACGGAACTTGGGGGCGGAACGCACACAAACCAAACAAGGACGGTCACCGGGACATACCAACAGTGCTTACGTCCGTGATAATCTCGACACTGTACACTTCCCCATCACCCCGCGCAATAGCTTTCAGTTAAAAACCCCTCAATGGTGCACCGGATTTCGCGCACCTAGCCTCTCTACCTCGCGCCACACAATCGACTGCCTTCACGTTATGGCTTCAAGTTGTGGGTTCGACAAGGACTTGGTCTTTGGCCCCGTCGTCGACGGGTGCCGGCGGATGTTCGACTTCACTCTCGTTTTCGAAGAGGCCATCCTGACCCTGCTTCCCTCCACGCTTGGGTTTATTTGGGCCGCCATTGCCCTCCTTCGCCTTGCCCGGAGACAGAGGACGGATGTGGTTCTTGTCACTTGGCGAGAAACTGCAAACACGGTATGCATGTGACCACCAACGCCACTGCACGCGCTTGAGCACAACACCGGAAACTAACGATATTGTCCTAGTGCATTGCCCTTCTTGTCGTTCTCGTCCAGGCAGCTATCGCCATCGTCACAAGCTTGAACCCCATCATCAAAACTCCCATGACAGTGCCGACAGGTGTGCTTTCCTCGCTCCTGTCCTCACTTGTTTTAGCCCTCTTTTATTACAGAACACCGAGATCATGCCGCCCCTCCTCCGTCATTGCCGCCATACTTGGCCTCTCCCTCCCCTCCGAAGCGGCTCGTTGTCGCTCCTACTGGCTGCTACGGGAGAAGCTGCCAGCCAGTCTTTTGTTGGCCCGTATCGGCCTCAAGGCAGTTCTTTTCTTGCTCGAAGACTTGAGAAAGCCAGCCAGAGGCGCTGTAGAGAAGTCTTCAGAGGAGAAGGGCGGCGTCATTGAGAAATCTCTTTTCCAATGGTTGGTGCCACTCCTTTTGGCAGGTTATCGCAAGCCTCTGGAGTCGGAGGACCTCCGTCCCGTGGACGGCGTCATGTACTCTGCGAGCCTGGAAACAAGATTTGAACCCATTCTTACAATCAAGCGTGAGTTCAACCCTCTCCGCCCCCTGGGCTCGTTCTAACTTCACCGTTCCCGACATAGATACAGACGCGGTCACATCCAACGGTCTGGTTTTGCTGACACTGAAATGTCTGGGCCCTGCTCTGTGGTATCCCCTGCTCCCGCGAGTTGCTTTGATTGCATTCGGAGTAGCCCAGTCATTTCTCACAGGCAGCTTGCTGAACTATTTGCAAGCCGGTGACTCGTTACCCGACTCACACGGCTACGGCCTCATCGGAGCAACTGCTCTTACCTACGTCGGGACCGCGGTAGGTGCATGCCTTGCGTTCTTGTTTCTGTTATTACCGACATTGTCTAACCATTCACGTCGCAGCTCGTTACGGGTTGGTACTGGCACCACGTCTACAGATCATCCACAATTGCTCGGGGCGGCCTCGTGATGGCCGTCTTCTCCAAGATGCTGCGGCTCCCAGAAGATGCTAGCACCGAGTCCAAGGCCATGACACTCATGGTTGCCGACGTCCAACGCATCGCGACTGGCTTGAGCTACCTCCACGAATTGTGGGCAACCATCATCGAAGCAGCCGTCTTCACGTACTTGCTGCATGACCGTGTTGGACACTCAAGTCTGGTCGTCATCGGCTTGGCAATAGGTACGAGCGTCTCTCTTGTATTAACACCCCAACAGCGGGAACTGACAACGAGACGTAGTGTGCATGTTGCTCTCCTCGGTCATTTCCAAATCCGCAAGTAGGGCGCAACAGAAATGGCTCAATGCAGTCCAGTCGAGGCTCCGCGCTACCCAGAAGATGCTTTCATCTCTCAAAGCCATCAAGATGATGGGCATGGAGAGTCGCGTACACGGCTTGGTATCTAGCCTGCGGCTTGACGAGATGAGGGCCGCCAAACCGTTCCGGAAGCTGCTTACTATGACGGCGGTACTTTGTGAGTCTCCCTCTGTTCTTTCTTGTCTTTTCTATCGGGGGTCGACCATGCATATCTCGGCGACAATGTGATAGAAACATGCAGCAGCATGCTGACACTTTCTCCGGCACAGCCTACGCAACCCTGACGCTCTCCCCCCTACTGGTGTTTGGCGTGTACCTAGCGGTCACCGGCATGGACTCGTCGGCAGTGGACGCACCAAGGATGTTTACCTCGCTCGTCTTGATCGCGCTCCTTGCGTCCCCGTTGATCCACCTATTTCAGGCGCTCCCAACCTTGGGGGCTGCTTACGGATGTTTCCAGCGGTTGCACGACTTCTTGAGCCTGGAGGAACGGCCGCCAGTTGGGGATGGAGACCCGACGGTCCTTTTGCCACCTGATGTTGTGGTTTCGATTAGGAATGCCTCCCCTGGTTACGACTTGACGAAACCGCTCCTCCACGACGTGAGGCTTGACCTCAAAAAGGGTAAACACGTGGTGATCTTGGGTGCTGTGGGCACAGGGAAAACGTTACTGCTAAAGTCGATTCTGGGCGAGGCTTACGATTTAGGAGGGAAGGTTCACAGCTCTACTAGCAGCTTTGCTTACTGTTCCCAGAATCCGTGGCTGGAGAACATATCGGCCGAGTCGAACTGGATTCAGCACGCCGAAGGGGATGCAGACTGGCTGAAGCGGGTTTTGTATGCCTGCGCCCTGGATGATGTTGTCAAGCTCTCGGATTATAGCTCAGGGAAGATCGGTAGCGGCGGAACACGGCTGAGCGGAGGCCAACGCCAACGACTTGTGAGTGCACTGAAGCACGCGTTCTGGGTAGCGCTCCGGCTTTCTGACGAACTCTAGGCAATCGCAAGGGCCGTGGCTCTGAACAGAGAGATCCTCATTCTCGACGACGTCTTCAGTGCTTTGGATCCTACGACCAAGTCCAAGATTGTCAACCGCCTTCTCGGGCCAAACGGTCTAGTCCGTTCGTGCCAAATGACGGTCATATCCACAACTCATGATCGTAAGCTCGCCCCCATCTGGAAATGACCGTTTTGCTTGTCGTTTTTTGTTAACCGATTTTGTTGCGTGGGTAGGGAGTATGCTTGCTCTAGCGGATGAAGCGTATGAGATAGATGCGACAGGTCATCTTCGGCGGATCAATGTCACTATCCGACCACAGAAGTACGAGGAGGAGGAGATGGAGATTAGGCCATTCCCTTCCCTGTTACCCATCAAGGCGGACGAAAAGACAACACTTCCACCGACTGTCACTGCTACCGAATCAGCCAGCCCAACGGAGGTCGAACGAAACTGCTCCCACAACGACCGAGGACCTGCAGTCACCGACAGGCAGGTTTACAAAACATATGCTGAATCCATGGGGCTGTGGCATGCCCTGGTTTTCCTTGTTGCCGGAGTTGTCTTTGGGGTCGCTCTAAAGCTGCCAGGTAACCAATATTGTGTCTCTCCCCATACTATGCTGATGCTGACTTGACTCTCCAAGATCTTTGGATTCAGTGGTGGACCGACGCGCTTCGGACACCATCTCACCGACCCAACAACTTTTGGTTGGGTGTCTATGGTCTGCTGACAGGAATGCCCTTGTTCATTCTAGCAATATGGGTTGCGTATGGTGATCCCTTCCGCCCCTCTCCAACTTCGCATGCTAACCAACCCTCTGCTTAGGCATCTCATGCTCGTGGTGGTCCCCATTTCAGGGGTAGCTCTACACACAGATCTGCTTTCCACAGTTATAGCCGCCGCCTTCCCCTCCATCAGCCGTGTCGACACCGGCCATCTCCTCAACCGCTTCAACCAAGACCTCATGTTCATCGACACCACCCTCCCCCTAGCCCTCTTCAACACCTCCTCCGAGCTCTTCACGGGCCTCGTCCAGATCATCCTCATCGCCCTCGCCTCCCTGCAAGCCCTCTCCGTCCTCCCCCCGCTCTTCGCCGCCCTCTACCTCATCCAGCGCTTCTACCTCCGCACCTCCAAACAGCTCCGCCTCCTCGAACTCGAGACCAAAGCCGACCTGCACACCAAGCTCGCCGAAACAGCCGCCGGCATCACCACCATCCGCGCGCACGCCTGGACCCCCTCCGTGCGCGCCAGCTTCGCCGCCAGCCTCGACCGCTCCCAGGAGGGCTTCTACCTGCTCTACGCCGTCCAGCGCTGGCTGCAACTGGTGCTGGGCCTGGTCGTGGCAGGGCTGGTGCTGATTGTCACCGGGGTTGCGGTGCGGCTGAATATGGAGGCCGGCAAGGTGGCGGCGGTGGGCGCTCTTGGTGTGGCGCTGACGAATGCGACGTCGGTTGGGGAGACGCTGACGAATTTTATTGTCTCGTGGACGTCGTTGGAGACGGCGCTGGGGGCGGTGGCGCGGGTTGTGGCGTTTAAAAGGGATACGCGGCGCGAGGGTGTGGGTGGTGGGGGGGTGGGTGAGTACATGCAGGTGCCTGATAGCTGGCCGCAGACGGGGGAGGTTGAGTTTGTCAATGTGTGGGCGTCGTATGGAACTGCTGATGATGCTGGGCTGCCGGGTGGCGATGGTGACGGCTCGAGTGAGTCGGCGTGGGGTCTCAAGGGTGTCTCGGTTACCTTCAAAGCCGGCTCCAAGGTGGCCATCTGCGGTGCTACCGGATCTGGCAAGTCGACCATGCTGCTGGCAATTCTCGGCATGATTGACATCAGCGCAGGGTCCGTCATGGTAGACGGGGTGTCGATTTCGCAACTCCCGCCTGCAGCTCTCCGGCAACGGTTCGAGGTGATCTCGCAGGATTATTTCAGCTGCGCCCAGACCGTTCGGGAAGAGCTCGACCCGGATGGCAAGTTTTCGGATGAAGAGATTCGACATACCCTACAGGAGTGCGGTCTCTGGGACAAGATCTGCGACTCGACGGGCCTGACCGGGCCGAGGGAAGAACTGAACTTGTCGAACGGGGAGTCGCAGCTCCTATGTCTTGCACGAGTGATGCTTGGGAGCACACAACACCCGGAAGGGATCCTATTGCTCGACGAAGCTACTTCGAGGTACGTATTATGTCCGTGTCCGAAGGAACACACTATGGGGCTTATTGTACTAATTTGAGTAGCCTCGATGCCGAAACGGATGATAGAATACACAGGCTTGTGCTGGAGAAGCTTGGTCGGAAAACAACCTTGTCAGTATCCCACCGACCTGAGACGGCGGCCAGGTTTGAGGAGATGGTGGTGATGGACAATGGGATTATTGTGGACCGAGGCAAGACGTCAGAAGTGATGAAGCGATGCGAGCTGTTCTCACAGTGACGTTAACCGGGTTTTCGGGTGGCAGGGGGTTTTCGTAGTCATTGTTCATTAATTATTACATACCTAGCCTTGACAGCAATTCAGCTTCGGCGCTGTGGTGTCTAGCAACCTTTGGATGCCCGCATGTAAAGGTACGATTGCACTCTACATGACCACTCGACATCTTTTGGGGACATTTTCAGGGACTGACTGGTTCGACGCCGGATTGATATGCTGTTCTAACTTCTCAGTTGAAAACCTCTGCCGCAGGAGTACGTATAATCTACAAGATGGTCTCACCCGCTATGGTTGCACGTCCCCTATCTCGCATCATTCCACAAGCGGGTTAGCATTGAGCATAATGAGTCCAGGTCCAAAAGCTTTCCCTTGGCTCCTTGCGGCCATTTGCATAAAGCTCTCCGTAACGGTTCCCCATAACAAAACGTTCGGAACGCTCCTTTAATGCTCGGTCCTGTTCTTGGCACCAACGCAGCCTCACACGGCCGTTTTGTGGTTTCCCGACGTACCGCCATGGGGAGCGGAAGGTAGTATAAAACCTGGCGAGGCCTCTGTCGGCCAAAGGCTTTAGAGACCGCAAGAGTTCCTGGAACGACCTCATTATGGTGTCCATTTCGGAGGGAGTGATGGCATTAAAGTCCATATACGGGGCGCAGGGAGCTTTATCTGCCACAACTAGCCGGATGGTAAGAGCGGGGGCTTGGATCTTGTCTTCGAGCCAGCCGACAGTCGCCCACCAATCCTGCATCGCGGGTTGCCCTGCCTGAGGCCAGCTCTGGGGAAGGTATGAAGGAAAGACTAGCTCGAGGAAGCGAAGGTAGGCGAGGCAGTGAGTGGGGATGACCTCGCGTAAGAACTGGGAGGCACCGAAGCGCTCACTTGGGTAGTCGTAGGGAAGGGTAGGGCTTGCCGGCTCCTCGTAAATATCGATGAATGGCAACGCCCAGCATGGGTCGGCCCAATAATCGTGGATTATGAAATGATTGCCCGAGAAGAAGGTAAACTGGGCGTCCCGATATAGTGTACGACAGATGAGGAACAGTCGGGGCCCAGGTGGGGCCCAACAATCGCACGTAAATGAAAATGCGGCGTGGCGACGGCGGCAAAAACAACCGATGGAGGTGCGATCGCAAGATGAGCTCAGGCAAGGCGAAAACCGGTCGCGGTGTTCGCGGTCGGGCGAGTGATCCGAGTCTCTATAAAAGACGACATAACCTCGCTCCTGCCTGCTCCATGTGACTTCTCTAGTCGGCACGATCAAGTCGGTATACTCGAGGATCCGAAGGCGGAGTTCGGGCGGGAGAGTTACCAAACTGGTCTGTGATGTCGATGGCCTAGCATATGGAGCGGGGGCGATGCGAAGCACCTCCGACACAGCATCCTGGGAGGCCCGTTGGAGGCCAGGATCCGGTATTTTACAAAGGCGGATATGGCAGGCTTTCAACTGGGGTATCCGCCTGAGAGGTATTATAACCGATGCGGCAACCTCGAGTGCCCGTTCATGGTGAGGGTCAATGTCGCAGACCAAGGCGAGGTCGAGTTGTCCGCTGGTGATGAAAGACAGGTGGGTGGCAGCCGAGTGCCACTTGGCGAGTAACTGTTGCGCTGCCGCAAACTGGGCATCGCTTGCTTTGCCGTTGTCGTTGCCCTCGAGGTTTGTTGGGCTCGTGGCAAGTAGCGGGAGGTTATGGGCATTGGAGTGAAACTCTCCCTTACAGAGGAATCCGGGACCCAACCCTGTTTCGTCGCGGCCGAGGCAGCACAACGAGTAGTAGCCGCCGTGACTAAAGTCATGGTGACAGGAGGCTTGGTTGAGGACGATAGTGAGGTTCGTTAGGGATGCGAGAGCCGTCGGAGTGAGAGCGCGCAGAGGCCTGAGGGGATCCGAGGGTTCGGGGAATCCCGGCCCGGCATGGGCATAGTGAAGGATGAATCGGTTGGCCGAGTAGAGGAGAGGGGCGGCCTCAGAGTAAACGACGCGACAGGAAAGGAGCAGGCCGTGGAATGCGCTCGCCTCGGGCTGTTCCCTCGCCGGGGTCTTGCGGCCATAGAGGTCGAATTTGTGTGGAAGTTTCACGCGGTCCCACGGCACTATCCCAATGAAACTATAGATGCGGCGTCGGATGGGTGTGGTGAGGCGCAAGAGCGGCGATGGCTCCTCCATTTCCGCTTTTTCTTTTTTTCTCCCTTGGTTTTCAACGAAGTTGGTGGTGTTGGTGGGTGTTGGCGGTAGGCAGGTTCAGTTGGCTGGAATGGTTGGTTGGGGCCGTTGAGCAGCAGGTGCGGCACAGGAAAAACAGGTCGTACGTGGACAGATGAGTACCTCGAGGTTGGTGGAAGGTGGGGGTCAGACCGTCAGGGTCGGGGCCCTGGGAGGGAGTGGGGGCATTGGTAGGCCAGCCAGGCGCCGAGGGTGAGTTGAGACTTCCATTTCAGATGCGGCGCGGGCCGCACAGCAGTGTCCAGGGACGCAACATCAGAATGATCAGACAAATGTTGGGTTGATCTGGTCGCCAATCCGGACGGTCGCATTTATCGAACGAGGCTTGGTGTTTCGGCCGACGGCACGTCTAGGAGTGTTCTGCTGCTAGCGAGGTCGCTAATTGAACCAACTCAGGTACCTGGGTACCCTGGGGCGTTGGTCTTGTGCACCTATTCATCTGAAACGAAGCACAGTACGAAGTACCACGGCGGTGTACAGATTACCATACCTCAGGTAGCACACCTGACATCAGTCAACGGCCGGACCTGCTTGTGCCCCCCCCCTCCCCCTCTTTTCCTTTTGCCGGCCCGCGGCCACGGCCGCCCACGACCGCATCCGATGTGGCGCGTATCAGATGAGGCCGGGCGCATGTGTTGGAAACTACGTACTCCGACCGGCCAACACCCGATCAGTAGCGCAGCTACTACCGGTGTATGCCGAAGGGCGATGGGCTCTTGGGTGCAACCCCCTCTGAGGCCGTCAGCAGCCCAGTGGGGATACCTCTGGTACAGAAGGGCCTAGCTAGGCTAGGTAGCCAACGCCAGTCTCAGGCAGCGTCGTGGCCATGGCTGGTCTTGTTCCAGGTCCACGACGCCGCTCTCCCCTCGCTCGCCTCACCCCCCGCACGCAAAGGAGAGGAGAGAACTGTCGGAACCATGGTAGATGAGAGGAACCCGGTGATGATATAAGGTTACGATGTCTACACGGCTAATCCTCTTTGTTTTCGTGTCAACAATCAACAACCTCCTCCCACCCTCCATCACCGCACTTACAACTGCTCTTTTGTCTCTCGCCGGCCGAGAACAACCGCTACAACCTTACCTCTGCTTACTGGACGACTGTTAAACCCTTCACCTTCTGTTGTCTCCCCATTGGTTTCGTTACCTGAATCATCATATACAGCCTCTCCTTAGTTTCCCAGTTTCTATCTCTTCTCGTTCTTGACATGGCAACTCAGCTCGTCCCCGCCGCCACTGGTCTCGATGACCACAGCATGCACGAAATTGGATCTGGCAAGGGGACTACCTGGATCAAGACACGAGAGTTGGAGACACGTCCGACCTGGCGAGAGCTTGTCAATTACGGCAAGGGGTGCTGCAAATGGCTTATGTCAGACACCCAGAGGCATGCGAACTGCTTCACCAACAACATGAATCGTTGTTTAGTTGCGACACTCTGCTACCACCACTGGGATGTCAACACCAACGAAGAATACTGGGAGATTTTCCACAGCACCATCCCTCGAGTGAACTGGTTCGAGCACCTTTGGGATCACGGAAACAAAAAAGCGCCCATATGGCATTCGGCGATGAAGCAATGCAGGGGACAGCAGCGCCAGGTCCATGCCGAGGACGGCGTTCTGTTCGGGTTCGAAAGTAAGCACAAGAGGTATCCCCAGGCGGGACAGGAACAGTTACGCATGGTCGTCCACGGCTTCGCTGTCGGGGAGGTTGCTCCCAGGCAGTGGGAGATTTGCGAAAATTGCTTAACCGTCGGGCGGACCCCAGGCATAAACGTCAGGTTCCTTGAGAGCAATGCCAGCGATCTCGACGCCGAAGATAATTCGTACGAGCTAGTGCAAAACATACAGCAGCAGCAGGAGTACCAACGGCAACAGAAGTCTCGACCGAGCACGGCGTCAACTACTTATGGTAGTGACGTGGTCAGCAGAGAAGAATTCCTCCGTATCGAAGCCAAGATGACAGCCGAGGCGGCCAAGGGCAAGCCTCCGGCTCAAGATCAGCCGTCTCGGGACGGAAACCCCTCAGCGAACCCGATCGACCGTCTCACTCGAGGCATGTCGGGACTCTCCGTTGGCCGCCGCGGCCCGGCTCCGCCCCCTGGATATCCCGGCGCCCGGCAGTTCTCCGGCCAGGCCGCGACTGGCAACTCGGCTCGGAACCCGACAATCGTGGGCCGACCATCTCCAGCTCCACCCGCAACCATGGGTCGGAACCCCGCCGCCAAGCCACTGGCCGGGAAGCCTGCTGGCCCTGGCCCGAACGGAGGTGCTCGGCCGTCTGGAGGTACTCGGCCGTCTGGAGGTGCTCGGCCGTCTGGAGGTGCTCGGCCGTCTGGAGGTGCTCGGCCGTCTGGCGGCCCTGGCCCGAACGGAGGTCCTCGGCCGTCTGGCGGCCCAGGTGCAAACTACCGCAAGTGAGGAGGGCACTGAGAGCTGGGGTTTCGAGGATGGTTGACATTTCCGAGGTCAAGAGGTGACTTCTCTAGTTGGCTGGCCCAACTCCGAGCCCAGGACCTACCCCTTGATTTCCATAGCTGCCTACCCATGTATAACTACTTAGTATTAGACACACTGGCGAGCCCCTATCTTTCCGCTAGTCATAGTTCAATCAATCTATTACTAGGACTGTCGTGTGCCTTCGTGATGGTGAGGTAGCATATGTGTTCCAGTTGTGAATGCCCTCAATTTTGACCATGTCGATGTTGGTTGTTTTAGGATGCCGCAATGAGACGGACAGTTTGGCGTCGGGTGCTTTTGGCGTAAGTGAACAAGCAACGCCTCCCTTTCGAAGCGCAACACCGGACTCTGGGAATATTCATTGGAAATAATTATGGACTCGTGCCTAGGTTGGTAATATGGCGATGGACAGGTCGGCGAGGCGCAACGCAGGCAAGGGTGGCTGTCATGATTGGACCCCTCCTGCATCAACAACTAACAAATATCGTGGCTTGAGGGGGTATTCAGGGGACCTTTATGCAGTACCGACCCGTTCCGTGAGGGATGACGGCAGTGTGCCTGTCTGTCCAGCGGTTAGTCGCATGTCATGGCCGTAGAATCAGCAAATTCCCGCGTTATTTATAACAACCTGCAAGATTCACCGTGCGCCTTCCTCCTCGTGCGGCAAGGCACATGCAGGCCAGACCTTCCTGCAGCAATAACGCACAGTTGGGATATCGAGTGGGGGTTTCACCGCTTCTGTGAACGTGGTCGCGAGGAAGGCGCGAGGAAGCGGATGAGCCGCGATTCGCTGCGGCCGCCGGGTAACTGTCCGTCCACTCGCCGAGGGAGGGCTCAAACATGGTTGGCCCATGTTCCTTCCTCGGAGGCTTGGGGCTACCTAATTATTGAGATTCATCGAAATAGGTCCCTCCGTTTCCGCACTCTGCCGCCGAATGTCGCCACCCGGACCAAAGGCTGAGGAGTGAGCAACTAAGTTGAAGGGTAGGTTAAGTACTTATAAAATGGCCGGTGCCCACAAAGATGGATAAGCAACAATGGATGCCAAATATAAATAAACTACTACCAAGCAACGCTGCCCTCAACCCTCAATCAAATCAATATGGACCCTCATGGTGGCGCGGCTCGAGCACTCAGGCCCCTCCTTCCCCGATTGGAACCTGTTAGGGGCCCTCCTGACCCTGACGAGGTCATCCAATTGCCCCCTCCGAGGGCGCATACGAAGATTGCTTGTGATGGTTGTCGGCGGCGGAAGATCAAGGTTAGAAATTGTAACATCAACAAGACAATACCACATGCACTGGCTGACCCTGTTCATCCTCCAACCCCAGTGTAACGGGAGACGTCCGGTCTGCTCGGTGTGTGCAGCCAACGGCGGAATTTGCGTCTACTACCTCAGCGCCGACCCCAACGAGTCGCGGCCGTCGGCCATAAAGCGGAAGTATGGCGAGGCACAGGACCGCGTGTCCAGTCACGAGCAGCTCTACCATCTACTCAAGACCCGGACGCAACCGGAGGTGACCGAGATCCTACACCGGATCCGCGCCGGCATTGATGTCGAATCCATATTGCGCTACGTCAGAGACGGCGATCTTCTTCTGCAGCTGCACTTGTTCCCGGAGACGAGACTACGCTACACATTCCCCGAGTTTGCCAGCTGGCCTACCGTGTTCCGCGACCCTACTGACCCTTATTTGGAGGCTCAGCTACTTGACTTTGACGCAGGACCTCATTCCCAGCGTCATGGCATCTCGTCGGCACCTAGACCCGCGGTACCCAGCCCACACTTGCACATCTACCAGATTCCCTACCACGCCGCACAAATGGTTGATCCGCGGCTGTCCTCGGTCAAGGCCGCCATGTGGACTTCAGTCACAAACGACGATGCGCTCTTTTCGCAGCTCCTCGCTGTCTACTTCCAATTTGAATACTCCAGGACTCGCCTATTCCAGAAAGACTTGTTCCTAGATGATCTTGTCCGCGGTAGACGCAGGTTCTGCTCGCCCCTACTCGTGAATTGCATTTTGGCCAATGCCGCCGTGAGATGGGTTTTGCTTTTCGACACTTCATACCAACCAAGGAGGTCACTGCTGACTGTTCATCGTGGTTGATCCAGCATGGGCTCACAAGTGACCCTCATCGCGTCGAATTCTGGGCGCCACGCTCGCTCCCTTACGCCTTCCTAGCCGAGGCAAAGAGGTTGTGGGACATCGAGGCCAACGGAGAGCCAAGGCTGACAACAATCCACGCCGCTCTTTCCCTGACGCTGAGATACGGCGCTGACGGCGCCGACAAGATCGGCCTCCCTTTCATGCTAAAGGCACTAGAATTGGCCGAGCAGATGGACCTCTTCACCCGGACCGAGAAGGGTGACTCCAAAATGAGTCTTGCTCGGACCTTTACCGCATGGGCTGTTTTCTCTTACCAAGGGTTGGTGCTGCCTCAGAACGGTGGACTGATTAACCACGTTGAGCTGACTGGCGGTCATTAGAATGACTCTGTATTACATGCATAGGGCCCCGCTTGCTTCAATCCCGCCCGTCACGCCCCTCCCAGACTATGCCTCGATTTCCAAACTCACTGGCGAGGTGCATGTGAAGTACCCTGTCCAGCCGTATCTTACACCTATACATCTTGGTGTTGCTTTCCGAGCCCAGATCGAGCTTAATCTGATCATGCTCGAGATCAACCAGACCGCGTGCGATGCCGGAACGCCGGGAACCGCTCCTCCCACACTACGGCAAGCTCTCGAGTTCTACCACAGACTTGAATCCTGGTACAGGGCCCTCCCCCAAGAGCTCCAGCCGAGCAGGGTGGTCATGCCGCATCATTTACAGATCCAGTGCGTCCCCCCCGACCCCTCCACAATGCCCCTAACTAACCTCAGACAGCATGGAATACTGCCTCGTGCTGATCAACCTCTTCGAGCCGTGGATGAACGGACCGGACGCGGACCTTCTAGTGGGGCCATCGGCGTCATCACCCCGCGAGCCCCAGCCCGACGGCAGCAACCACACCACGATCCGAGACATCGGCACACGTGCTCGCGCCCGTCTCGAGACACTCATCCGCATCTACTACCTGCGCCACAGCTTCGACGCCCTGGACGTCATGCTGATCATGTTCCTCCTCCTGCTGGGCTCCATCTCGGTGCGCGTGCTCACCTCACCACCACAACCCTCATCACCACCCCAACCCCAATCCCAACCCCCATCATCAACAACCACCACCACCACCCCACCCAACAAACCCACCAACCCCCCCAACCGCAACGCCTCCACCTTCCTCCTCTGCGCCAAGGGCCTGCACGACCAAGGCCGCAACCAGTACCTCGGCACCCTGATGTTTGACCTGCTGTCGCGCCTGGTCGATGGTGCTGCGGATAGCGCGCTGCGTGCCGACCTGGCGCGGGTGGCGGCCGAGTTTCGAGGGGTCGGGGTCAAGCGGGAGTACGTGCATATGGAGTGGCCGGTGTATCGGTGGGTTGATGGGGAGGGGAGGGGGTTGGGGGTTTTGGTGGGGGGTGGTGAGGATGGGGGGGAGGGGGGGATTGTTGGGGATGGGGATGGGGACAGTGTGGAGAGTGGTGGTGGTGATGGTGGTGGTGGGAGCTAGAGGAGGGCTGCGTGGGAAATAACTAGGGGGTTAGGGGTTGATGTTTTGAATGAAAAGGGGGGTGTTGTTTTGTTGTTTTGGTGGGGAAAGGGCACTCGGATTAAGCTGCCAAGACACTTCAAACTTGCTCGGAAGGAGTTGAATCAGGAAATAACCCTTCTCAGATTCCTAAGGCGAATCCTTCGTACGTATCTCACTATTTATGGGAAAGAGATTGTCTTGGGTTGCACCCATCGGAGGGGCTGCTGCAGCCGTTTAGCCTATTGCTCTCAGAAAGTAATCACGGAGGGTTTGTGAGTGTGGGAGGCAGCCAGAATTCAAGAATTGTAACCCGGTAGAAGTAAGCGCTGTCTGTAGTGTGAAGTCAGATATTTCTCAGATCGACTTTAACTACAGCTCTGCCCCTTTCCTCAACCAACATCGAATCCAACCTCTCAATTACCCAACACCCAACCCAACCCACACCTTCAACACCACCGCCCCTCAACCAACTAACAACTTCAACACCACACCATCACAATGCTCCCTCACCTCCCCTCCCTCACCATCCTCCTCCCCCTCCTCCTCTCCACCCTCCCCAGCACCCTCGCCACCCCCCACCAAAACCAAAACAGCCACCAACACATCCCTCGCCAACCAACCCCCAACCCGCTCGACTACCTCGACCCGACCCTAAGCAACCTCTACCGCACCCCGGACCTCGTCCCCGCCTCGGAACCATGCGGCGCCGCCGTCCTCGACGGGACGCTCTCCTTCCCGCACGCGCGCTTCACCGACGCCCTGGCGGGCGCGCTCAACTGCACCCATAAGCTGGTGTTTCGGGATATACCGGTGGGGATGGTGGTTACGATCATTGCGGTGGGCTTGCAGGGGAAGGCGAGGGTTGGGGAGGGGGCGTGGTTGGAGAGGGCGGAGGTGGGGGTGGGGTATTTTCCGGTGAGTTTCCAGTTTGTGTTTGTTTGTTTGACTTTGGGGGTTGGTTTGTTTGGGCGTTTTGGGGAGGTTGCCTCTTGGGGGGTGAAAGGGTGACGGACTGAGCTGATGGTGTGTGCTTACCTAGGGCGCTGAATCGACCTCGACCGAGGTGCAGACGGATCGAGCGGTTGAGGACCTGAGGAGCACGTATTCTGGCCCGTACGAGGACACATTCCACCTAATAATGAACGTCTTTCCGGCGGAGGATGACCCGCGGACGACGAGAGCGAGCACGAGCTGTGCCACGGCCGAGGACCAGCCCGAGATGGAAGTCAGCTTCTCGCTTTCGTCGTCGCATGGTGAGGTCGATTCTGATGACGAGGCCATGTATCGGTCTACCGTCTCGGATGTGCGCTTTGGGTTTCATGTCATATGGGGTGTGTGTGATGAGTAGACTTCTGGGGCACTCTGACTGAAACCGCCTGGTGCGTGTGCGAGAATATATCACCATATCAGGAAAACGCAATGGATGCCATGAGCTACGGAGCATGTAACCAACAACTATCAATAGGGACTCAATAATATGATGACCCGCCTCAGTGCCATGGATCATTCAGAAGCTTATCGCCGGTCGGGACACACCTAAACATCCCAATCGTCTCCCTCCCCACTCTCAAGTGCATAGACAGTGTCTTGTACGTGATTCGGGACAATATCCTTAACCTGATGCTGAAGAGCCTTGGAGACACTCTGGCCCTCTGAGGGCTAGCAACTTGATAGAACGGCGTCCCTTTTGCACATGATGCGCGCAGCATTGCCCTTCCCCCTCGGAAGTCGGCAATTTCCAGCGCCTAATACGGAAACGTCGTGTTCTTCTTTATCTTCATTGAACGGAAAGATGATGTTACGGGGCTAACATGACCGTTCCTTGTCTATCATGAATCCTAGGTAGGTATTTCAGACACATATTGAGCAAACACGATCTTTGTCTCTTAGAGATCAGAAAGCCCCGGGCCGCCACTCTCATTCCGGGCTATGTGCCACCTTCTTCCACCTTCCACAGTGTGTTCAAATCGGCACCTGACATGAGGTACTTGCCTCGACTAAGTTCGCCTGATTTCGTCCCGACAGCAGCCCGCCGAGCAACGGTTTGCCCGCGCACTTCTGCATTCCTTTAAAAACGCCTCCTCGCTCTCATGGCCGCTCTAATTACAAACGGCATCCAGAACCCGCGCGCTCGACCACACCAAAACCTTTCTACATCACAATTTCAGAACACCAAACTCTTCGATTTTCCGCGATCACCGCTATACGCCAAAATGGCGGGAGACCGTGTTTTTGACATCCTTACCACGGACGTGGCGAAGCTCCAGGCGCTCATGGCAAGCGGCAAGGTTACGTCTGTTGACATCGTTGAAGCATCGCTTGATCAAATTCACAAACACAATGCCAAAGGCCTCAAACTCAATGCCATGATTAACACAACGCCGCAGGAACTCGCCCTCTCCATTGCCAAGGATCTAGACGTCGAAAGATCCCAGGGCAAAATCCGCGGCCCGCTTCACGGGATTCCAATCACCATCAAGGACAACATCATGACCGGACCCGAGTTTCAAATGCCCACAACCGTTGGCTCGGCCGCCCTCGAATCCGCTATGGCCGAAAAGAATGCCCCGATCGTTGGCATGGTTGGTTTATTCTTCCCTCACCACGAACAATAATGCTGACGGTACAAGTTGGTGAACGCGGGCGCCATCATCATTGGGAAGGCGAACCTTTCGGTAAGTCGGTCATGGTCTCAGAAGATCAAGACAGCAGAAACTGACCACCTTCCCGTGCAGGAAATGGCCGGGTGGAAAGGTTTTGGCATTACAACCGGTTGGTCAGCCGTAGGTGGTCAAACCCAAACACCCTACATCGTCGGGGGTGTCGCGCCCGGCGAAAAGCTGCTTGGCCACTCGGTATGTGCTCGCTTCGAGGTACTCAAAACGCTGGCTCACCATAATTATAGACCCCCGCCGGCTCGTCATCTGGAAGCGCTGTAGGCGTGGCTGCCGGCTTTGCCCCTGTTGCTTTGGCTACGGAAACCGACGGGTCCATCGTGCAACCAGCCACCCGGGCATCTCTGTACGGGCTGAAAGCAACTGTCGGTTTAATTCCCACCGAGGGAACCTCCCCTTGGAGTTCCCTCACCGACAGCATAGGCGGCATGGCGCGGACACCAGGTGACCTTGCCAACCTGTTGGGGGTCCTGTTGAACGACACGGACCTATCCGCTCGCACCGCTACCGACATATGGGAGGGGCAGAGAGTCGGCTTTGTCGATCCCACCTTGTGGGGTTTCGCGCCTTTTATCTGCAACCCCGACAGCGTCCTCACCTATCAGGAGCGCCGTGGGCTTGCCGATGCCGCAAACATAATCTCGCGGAATGGGGGTGTCGTCGAACAGCCCGTGCGTCTAACCTCGATGGACGAGCTGGTCCTCGACGGCGAAGACGCGCTGGAGCAGTTATGGAGTACGCGTCAATGATCCTTCTATTGCGAGTAGCTACGACGGCACGACTGACTCAACCCTCCAGATCACGACTTCGAGCCGGCGTGGGATCAATTCCTCTCGGGGTACAAGGATGCGCCGGTGCGCACCTTGGCCCAGTTGGTGAAGTTCAACAGTGAACATGCGGATATTGCTCTCCCACCCGGTGCGTGAATCGGAACACACCGAAACTGAATATCTTACTGATAAACACGGTCTAGTCCACCCCGGTCAACAGCTGCTAGAGGGCGCGCTCAACGACAAGCTCACCAAGGAAAAATATGCCGAAGGGGTCAAGATCCTCCGACAAGCGGCCCGTGTCAACGGAATTGACAAGACTCTTACCGACTTCAACCTGGATGTAATCATCGGTCCCATGGACGGTAGGATCCCAACCGTTGCCGCCGCCGCCGGATATCCCGTTGGCACCATGCCGCTTGGCTATTCCAAAACCAACGGCAGACCGTTCGGGGCCTGTATTATTTCCGGTGCCGGGGGCGAAGCAAAGATTCTGAGGGCCATGAATGCCTGGCATGCTACCATGCCTAGTAGAGAGGCCCCACCGCAGCTGGTCAACGAACATTGACATGAGGCTTCCAGTAGGTGTCCGATCTCATGTATCGTATCCTAGATGACGTTGTACAAGATAGCCTACCAGGGAGTCATTATAGGCAGCTTCTGTATATAGCATGAGCCAGGGGTTCACAGCTCAGGGTGTCCATCAGATATACAACTTCATCCCCAGTGGTTCAATAATGAATGAATGAATGGCTGGCCAGCGGGTACACTAAGTACAAAATGCGCAGACAGAAGAAGACCCCCTCCCGAACTACTATACCTCCCCACCCTAAACCAGCACCCCCTTCCCATTCCCCACCCAGCCCGTAGTTCTGCGACCCCATCTCATAAATCAAATTGCTTAGGGGGCAGCGGCGCAGTTGGCGTTGGGCACCACGAGGGCAGCCTCACAGCCGTGGTCGCAGTGGTGGTTCCACGCAATGGCGCCCTCCGCCTGGCAGTTGTAGATGGAGTCGTAGAGGATCGTGCTGTTGCTGGGGTCCTGCCCGGCGGCGGTGGCCGCGGCCTCGAGGGTGGCCTGGTCATAGCCTGGAAAGGGTCAGTGTCAGGGTAGGGCTATATACAGGTATCATCGTGTTGTGAGATGAAGAGAGGGCGAGAGGACATACCGAACTCCTGGTTGGTCAGCGTCCAGCCGCACACGTCGTACGGGAAGTTGCAGGCCTTGACGAAGTCGGCCGAGGCGCCGGTGATGGTGGCGGCGAGGGCCACGGCGACGGAGGTGAACTTGACCATTTTGAATGGAGCTGAGTTGTTGAGCTGAAAGAGGCTTTGGTTGGCTGTGATGTGATGTGTGAGAGTAGACTGAAGATCTGGGGATGTTGAGAGAAACAGTCGGGAGGCCAGCCTCATATTTATAGCCCATCTTCTCGAGCAAGACCTGGCGGTAAGTCGGTCTCTTGATCCGTGAAGTGCGTATTCTCTCGTCATCCCGAACTCTTCTCGTCACCTGAACGGCCAGTCAGCATCCTGCTTTGGAATCCCAACACCTGCGCCTCCTCGCCTCCAAACTCTTTCCCATGCCATCACATGGTGTGATAGGATTCAATAGTTCGAAGGGTGAGCGAGAGACGGTCCGTGAAGCCGTCGTCAGCCGCGGTTGGGTGTATGTGCTCGGCGGTGTCCGCGCTCGGGTCGAGATTAAGGGGACAAACCAATGACCGGTGAGTAACCCACCCGCATGCTTGGTGCTTTAATGTGCAGGGGATAGAGGAGCTGGATCCTCCCCGGTTACCGGATACCAGGTTTGCTAAAGGAGGCGGTCACACAGCATGACGGTAGAGTGAGTGAAGAAGGGTAGATTAGGCACAGGTTGCCAGCACCTGCGACCTGCCGTTGTGTGAATATGTTGCCGAGAGTTACTTCTACCGCAGCGGCCGCTCTGGGGCGCCGGGGCCCATCCCAGTCTAAGTGTCGAACCAGCGGTCTGAGTTTCCCCCCCAACTCTTTCTGTGGGAGCAACGCTGCCGACACGAAAGGCGAAGACCCTTTGTCGAGTAGGGAATGCGGTAGGGCTCGGCCCAAGAAGCCGGACCGGACATAAGCTGACGCTGGTCGAAAGACTCGAGCGTGACGAGGTTCACCCGGGTACCTCCGTGCCCACCAAGTGACGAGGGTCAATGGGAGGTGTGGTAGCTGTCACATCTCGCTTGAACCCGGTAGCCGGGTCTTCGACGACACATTGGTGGACACGCCCGGTACCACGTAATCGAGATAGGGCTGGGCTGAGAAAGCAAACCTCGCTAAGCTTCTGTCAAACCCGGTTCTGAGGGAGCATCAGGATGCGCGTACCACACTCGACGTCCGCAAGGGGTAAACGATCGCCTCAGCTCGAGCGAGTTGGGTGTCCCACGTGGAACAGAGCGCAAAGGTTGCAGTTCTGAGTGTCATCTGAACGTTCACGACCGTTACACAAGGGGGGATTCACGGCCCGATGACTTGGCCGGCCCATCTTTCCGAGCCTCAAGGACATTGCTTCAACTTGCATGATTATGTTATATTCTCTAGCGTTAAGCTCCATATATCAAGTAGCATTCCTGGGCCGGACAGAGAGAAATTGGTAATTCTCGGCAGCCTACACACAATAAGAGGTTCCATTCTCGCAACTCAATGCCAAACCAATGCATAACTATCTTCCTCCAAGTGAACTCCCGAGGCACACGGAAGACGGGTGGGATGATCTTGGCAAGCCACTTTACCGAACGGTGAGGCTCGTTGGGACGCCAATCGCGGCTTACCCGGCAGCTGACGGACGTGACACAGGGGATAAGCAAGGGCAAGTCGGGCGTGAGTGAGCCCCCTCGCTGCAATCGGCCGGCTGCAGCATATCTTCCTTCTCAACCAACGGTGAAGGGACCGCGAACACGAGGCCGGGTGGGGGAACCCGGATGGACCGGGAAGCCGGCAAGGCTCTTGGTTGTGCTGTTGGGTTCTTTTTGACCGGATGCCGGTGTCACCTCTGTTCCAATGTAAATTCCATGCAAAGTTGCCCGAGGTTAACCGTTAATTTCCATCTCTTAAAGAGCGATTCTAATAGAGGTGTACCTTGGAATATAATCACTCCCATTGATCAGCAATCCAGTTGAGGGAGATTTAAATGGACTTTCCCAAGAATAGCTATTGTCGTCGTGAACTGCAGAAAGAGAATTTCCCCTATGCGGGATAGAATCTTAATATAATAATATCTAATATTTGGGAAATCAAAAACCTTGACAAAAAGATCACCCGTGCAAAAAGAAGAGCATCGTCCAAGCACGTCCCCCGTCAGAACGGAATGTACAGGCCATCCCATCTTCAATATCAGTTGCTATCGCCATGAAAAATGAAACCCCCGCCGCGTCCCGACTCGTCGACCAATTCGGCACGCAAATTCCCCAATTCCTTGCTCATCAACTCCCGGTTGGCATTCTCCTGAAGGCATTCAAAGTCGAGCAGCTTCGCCCCTGCTTCGGTAACGAGGAAGTTGTACCGGTTCACATCCCCATGTACCAGTCCTAACTCGTGGAGCTTCCCTAGAGCGGTCTCACAGGTGCTCAGGTCCTGGAAGGAAGCTGGGCGTCCCTCAGTTTTCTCCAGCAGAAACCCCATGATGCGTCCATTCTCGTGAACATGGGCCAGAAAGCGCGGGGCCAGTCCGGAACCCTCAAGCAACTGATATGCCCTCGTTTCTTGTTCGATGCGAGGCAGTTCCCATTCGAAACGGGCGATTTTGGCGATCACGGTGGCCGGTGGCGGGGAGGCGAGTTGGGGGATCGAGGGCGAGACAGCTTCGAAAGCCATTGCCGTGAGCTGTTTCGTCTTCTCCAGCTCGAGGCAATCGACTTTGGTATGATGCCATTGGCACTTGACTCCAGCGAGGGTTCGGTTCAACAGGGAGGTCGTCAAGTCGCCGCTGGCTTTATCTCGTGAGATGTTGGCCACGGTCCATTCCTCGTGATATGGAAGAGGGGGTAGGGACTGGATGGGAAATGAAAGTGTGCATCTGTCAAGGGTTCCGGGAGCGATGACGAGATATTTGACCCGGTTCCCGATTCGCAGTCGGTATTCGCTTGCAAAAGAATTGTCATCGTCCACCTCCATGGACAGGATGACGGGCTGCAAGGGCGGATTTGTCGTATCCATTGGATCACTCGATGGGCCAACACACGCGCATCGAAAAGCTGTCAGAGCGGTCGGAGGAATCGCGCGGGGTGAAATCGGAAGTGATGGCTCAAGAAACCAACAGCCTCGGTCGCCAAGGCAACCAACCGCACCCAAATCCGGGCGTGGAAAGGTACATAGGTACCTAGGTAGGTAGGTAGGTAGGTAACTAACAGCTAGCCTTTGGGGTGAACAATACAATACCGCTACCACGCGGCTTGCTTGTGTTCACCACTTAGGTATTTGGCGCCACTTTCAATTATGCCTGCCGCCGCTCGTTCAACCACTCTCAATCCGGGAGCGATCCTCCTCTTTACCACTGTCTTTGGAAATTCGGAAATGCCGTGCGCCGAATCAAAGTACTAGAGGTCGTCTTATGGTCCGGCTTCAGGAGACGATGCGCCCCCGTCATCACCATTACCATCGTCATCATGATCGTAGTCAAATCGGTAATACACCTTGTGCCAATCACCGAGCTTCGGCTCCTCTCGACCGTTCGCATAGAGGCTCTCGTACCGAGCGCCCATCACAAAACGTTCGGCACGTTGCTTGATGGCCGCCTTTTCCCCCGACAGCCAAGCTTTGCCCGAGTCCTCGGAGCGGGCACAGCGGGCTTGTGATTCTTCGGTAAACTCCCAAGGGTAGGCGAGCGTGGCGAAGAACCGGGCAAGGCCATCCTCCTTGGCTAGCGGTACCAGAGGCTCCAGGAGATCCATGTAAGCTTTCATTGTCGCGTCCCCCCCGTCGGCGGTTATCGTGCTCCTGTATGTTGATGGATCTCCGTAGAGCGTGTCCAAGACGACTAGCCGCATAGTGAGTGCTGACGGGTTAATCTTCCCTCGGAGCCAGGAGACCGTTGCCCGCCAGTCCTGCATGGCGGGGTGTTGGGATTCGGGCCAGGTAGGAGGGCGGTAGCAAGGAAAGACCAACTCGAGAAAGCGGAGGTGGGCGAGCGAGTGCGTGGGTACGACGTCTCGCAGGAACTGGGAGGCGGCCAGCCGCGGGCTGTAGTAGGGATATGTAGGGACGGGCCCTTCCGAGTGGTCATCAAGCAACGGTACCTGCCAGGGTAGGCATGCGCTGTAGTCGTGAATGACGAAGCGGTTGCTGGAGAAGAAAACGAACTGGGCATCCTCGTACAGCGCGCGGCAGATGAGGAACAGAGGCCGTGGTGGAGCCCAGCACTCGCAGTCAAGCGTGAAGGCCGCGTGGCGACGACGACAGAAGCAACCATTCATCGGTGGCCCGTTGCTGAGCCATGCACGGAGCGAGCAAGCGAAGAAGCGGGTGTCATTGCGATCGCTTGGGATGCCGTCGCGGCGGGCATCGAACCGGCGGCAGAACACGGCGTATTGGGGTTCCTGCCGGCTCCATGTCACCTCTCTCCTTGGGGTCACCAAATCCGTGTACTGGAGAATACGGATGCGGAGTTCACGTGGAAGGGTCGTCAGGGTTACCCTCTTTGACGGCTCTAGGGACGGCGTGGGAATACCGCACGCGTGTAAGACAGTGTCCCGAGCAATCTGCTGTAACCGGCCATCCGGCCTTTTGGCCAACCTGACATCGCATCTTTTTAGATGCGACGGCGGGAGGAGGCGGATCGGCGCGACGGCAGACTCGGCTATCTGTAGCGCTTGCGGATGTTTGGGGTTGATGTCGCAAACCAAGGAGAGCGTAAGGCGGCCGGGATCAGTCATGGACAAGTGGGCGGCGGCGGCATGCCAGTCTCTTAGTATCGTCCGGGCCGTCGCCAGCTCTTGCTCCTCACCGGACCCGGACGCGGCCGGACTCAGGAGTGGGAGTTGATGTATTGAACCCCGGTGTGACCGCTTGCAGTGGTGCTTCCAATGCGGGTAATGGAACATGCCATACGAGTCAAGGTAATGGTACCCTTCGAGACAACAGCTGCCAAAGGAGGTACTCGGCTGGTGGCAAGAAGCCTGGTTGAGCACGACCTTGAGATTAGAGAGGGATAGAATTGACGGCGTAGTCAGAGCGCGCAGCGGTCGGAGCGAGTCTGGGTCCGCGCGCGAGTAGTGTAAGACGAACCAGTTGGCCGAGTAGACCAGAGCAGCCGCCTCGGCGTGGAGAGCGCGACAGGAAAGGAGCAGGCCATGAAAGACGCTCATTTCGATGGTCTCTCCCCACCCATGATGCCCAGCTGGTCGGCCATGCAAATCGAATCGGTAGGGATCCCCGGGGTCCCACGATGCCAAACCAACAAAATGGTAGATGAGGCGTCTAATGGCCGGGGGGAGGCGCAAAAGAGGCGGTGATGGCAATAACGGCAGTGGTGGTGGCGTCCGGGGATCAGTCATATCTGCGACACAGAGCGGATTCGAACAAGTATGTTGAGTGGTAGGTATGCTGAGGTCGGAAACTGGGGGTTTGGGTAACCTGCAGGACAGGCCCAAAGGACGCCTTTTCCGACGTGAGGCACAGCGCCAAGTCCGGGGTCGTGAGTGGCTCAGGTTGGATTGGAGGATGCCCCAGAGGCTGGGGGCCGTTGAGTGAGTGTTTTGGGAGGATAACTCTAGGCAGGTCGTGGACTCGTAGCCTGCCGCGAATCATAAAATCATCATCAAGAAGCAAGATTAAAGACTGCTGAAGAGTGAAGAGTGAAGACGGCAGACACAAGGAGCCCGAGATCGCACGGATATCTTGGGTTAATACATTACTTTCCTTGCCCAAACTCCGACACGTGCAAAAATAAACCATAAACAGAGGGGACCGAGGTAGGTAAGTTTGAGGTATCCTTCTTCATTAGGCCGAGCTCTCTACTCTAATATGACCACCCCATATGCACCCCCTACGCCAGACGCTATGCTCAAAGTATGCACAACCCAAAGAAACAGCAAAACCAACTCCACATCCAACCAAGCCACCACCTAAAGCAGCTCGCACTTGGCCGCCTTATTCTTGCACTTGAACGCCTCCCTAAAATCATCCGAGTTCTCCGTCATGCCCCGAATACGTGTCATAGACGGCGCATGGACATCCGCATCCATCAACCTCGCCATCTCCTCCGGCGTACGAGTATTGCACCAGATATTCGCCGAGTACACAAAAAACAGCTGCTCCGCCGTAAACGCCTCCAGCCCCGGCAGCTGCTGGTTCCAGGTATCAGGCATGCTCTTACGAGCCTCGACCCACGCAGCATACGACGAGCGCATGCCGCCCGCATCAGCCAGGTTCTCGCCGAGCGTGTTCTTGCCGTCCACCTTGGCCTTGCCGCCGGGCACGTCCACCTCAAAAGTCGAGTACTGGTCGACGAAGCACTGGGCGCGCGCGTCGTACTCGGCGATGGTGGCGTTGTCCCACCACGGCTCGAACTCGGCGTCCTCGCTCCACTGCCGGCCCTTGTTGTCGAACCCGTGCGTGATCTCGTGCCCGATGATGCTGCCCAGTCCGCCGTAGAGCGCGTAGTCGGGGAGGTGGTAGTGGAAGATGGGGAGCTGGGAGATGCCCGCCGGGATCGTGATGGAGTTCATGGTCGGGTCGTAGAAGGCGTTGACCTCGGCGATGTTGTACATCTCGTTGCGGCTGGGCTTCTTGGCGACTTTTTCGTACTGTTTGGCTGTGTTGAACCGCAGGCTCGCGAGGACGTTGGAGAAGTGGCTTGAGGTGAAGTTGAGGCCGGTGTAGAAGGATGCCACTGACTCGGCGGAGTTCAGGTCGGGGTCGGACTTGGGGTAGCCGATGTTCTGGACCATGTTGTCGGCCTTCTTCAGGGCACGCTTCTTGGACGACGGGCTCAGCCACTTGAAACTCTCGAGGCGCTTCTTGAACTCGGCCCTGATGTTGGTCGTTATCCTGTCGGCCGACTGCAGGGTGAGTTCGGGGTAGGTGGCCGAGATGAAGTAGTGGTCCTTGACGTGCCGCACCATCTTGTCGGCCTCCTCGATACACGTCTCCCATCTCTCGACTTTCCTCGAGGGTGTCAATCCCAAGGCTTTCTCGAGGTCGGCGTCGTCAATGTATTTCCCCACCGCGTTGATGGTGGTCCACATCATGAACCCCTGCACGGCCGCCCTCGAGTGGTTCGTGACGAGGTTGGAGTACTCGGGCCAAAAGTCTGGAGCGTTTACTAGAATGCGCGATGGCGCCTTTCCAGTTGGCGTGAGACCGGTGACTAGCTTGTCGAAGCCGAACACGGGCGCAGCTTTGTCTATCTCGGAGACTGTCACGTTTTGGATAGTATTCTGCGACATGTCAGATTTCGGGTCTCGTTCCTCATAATCGTGGGCGTTGGGTAAGAGTGCTTACGATACCGTCGGCGTCGGGTCCCAGTGATTCCTGGTACTTCAGCCCCTGAGTCACCATGTCGACTTCTAACCCCATAACGGCTGCTCCAAGGTCGGCGGCCGCCTCGATGCCTAGATTGGGGTACGAGATGCGGAAGATATTTCCCAGCATCCTCCCATACGACTCCATTTTGTCCTCGTCGAAGTACATGGTCAGGTTGGACTGCAGGTACAGGTTGGGAGTGCTCCAGCAGATGCGGTTGTGTTTCTTTGTCCCATGTTAGTGACAGAGGAAGCTGTAATTAGGCGGTGCAAACACGTACCGCGTCCAGGAAGTCGGGCGTCACGGGCTCACCCCTTCCACTGCAGTAACTATAGAAGACGGGGATATCATGCTGCGCGAGAAGCAGCGCCGCCTCCTGCACGCCATCTAAGTCGTCCGGCCCGACCGCTGTGTCTAGGTCGGTGGGGGAAACGGGCCAGGTCGTGTTGACCGACACAATCAAGTCGTTCAGGGGCTTGATACCTGCGGCGGCGATAGCGTTCGTGTTCATGCAGGCTTGGTAGGCAGTCCGGAGCAGATCGAAATTGTCCTCCTCGACATTGTTGCGCGCGGTGAGCAGGGTAGACTTGAAGCCCGCTGCCTCGGCGTGACTGGTACTCTCCAGGATCGTCTTTAAGACACGAGCGGTGCGCTTCCCCGCCGCGGGGAGAGTGCCCGAATTATCACCGTGGTGTTCAAAAGCGCCGTAACAGACCACTAATACGAGGTTAGCGCCAAGGGCGGCTCTCGAGACATAAGCTATATGGCTAGTCGCTCACTCTTATCGAATTCGGTGCATGGGTCCATCTGCTCCCAGTTTGGGGCCAGGTTCTTGAGGACATAGGAGGCCCCGTGAACGCACGCTGGCGTTGTGCACACCGTCGAGCTCTGCCACTGACCCATCTTTACGGTGGGGAGGAGGGAAGGAGGGATGCGGGACAGTGGGAGGGTGGGAATCAAGTGTCGTCGAGGGGGTGGAGATGAGACAAAGGCCCCAAGCCATCGCGAAACGCCATTCTTTATATTTGCGTCTTTCAGCGATCATTCCTCGGCGCGCCTTACAAGGTTAAGCAGTGGTCGAAGGGCCTGACCTAACCGCCAAGCGTAAGCTTTCGCTGGAGGCGGGGGTAGACTGGGTCTGATGCCGCTCAGCCTCCGAGAACGAGGCGATCCATTGGCGGTGAAGCGAAGGCGCATGGATGCTCAGCCCAACCCCGGCCCCAAACCCTTGGGGCTTCCCGAAGGCAACCACATTTCAAGGGTCCAACTTGGCATGCTTTTCAGTGGAGAGGATGGGTCTCTGGCGAGGGTGCTGGTGGTATGGTGGCACCAGTCCCTCCTGTCAAAAGGCTGACGCCTGTGGGAGAATGGAGACTGAGTAATCGAGAGATTTGATCTTGGAGAGGTCTGCAGATCCTTGGTGTGACTGTCGTCCCTTGGACTTTTACACAGTAAGCAGTCACGTTTGTTACCATCGGAGGCTGAAAAGGGGGCTTCAGTGTGCTAAATCGGGTGTCTTGAGGCTTGGGCATGGAAAACAGAACACCCGGTGCTTACTTTCTCCATACCCTGCTCGGCATCTCAATGCGGTCTCGTGGCAAAAGCAGCCCACCAGAACGGGCGAGCTGTGCCTTGTGGGGACTTGAAGAGCCTCGAGAGCTCGTTCGTCTCTTCTTCGAGCTTGGCAATGCCAGGGAACGGGGGTTGGCGTTGCTTGTTTCTGGCGTCTGATTGAGTGACAGCAAAAGAGGATGCCATTCCTTGGTGCCAATCGCAACAGAGCACGTTGTTTTCCACTTTCCGCTGTCCTCTTTCTTTTCTGTTTGTCCTTGGAAGGATTCGGCCCCCTGCAAACGGTTTAAAATTTCAGGTCCTCCGCGTGCAGTCAGAGAAGGAAAAGCCTGGGCGATCATTTCGAGGCTTGATACCGAATAAAGAAATTGACTCTCAAAGTCTTCAGATTGCTTTATGTTCCTTTCTGAGTGCGTGCTTGATGGTCCGGGAACGATGACCGTAGTAGCAACCCAAGTTGTACGAACTAAAACAAACAAAGTGGACATACTATTGTATCTAGGGAGGTATTCTTAGCAAGCATTCAACGGAGCTTTGGTTTACAAGTGGCAATTTCGTCATCAACTGTAATTACTATGTACATTTGCGTAATAACTTGCTTTCGAGCGCCACCCGTTGTTGGTCGGTGTAGCCTGAGAACTTGAAGTCCTAGCATAGGTAGGTACCTCATTATCATCATGAGGCTAAGATGAGAACGGGTCCGCAGCTTGAAATGTCACTTGCGACCGACATAAAAGGCAGAGACGAGTGCGGTAAATCCATAATTAGCAGCTCATAATATGTCACAAGTCCAAGTCAAGAAACCTTGGTGCTCATCATCGAATATACATTGTCATGAATCATATACCGCCCCCGTCATGAAATTACATACATGTAAACAAGCTTAGATGGTCGGGCCACCACCGCAAGGCCCCGAATGGGAATGCCCAGCATGGCCGTGAGATCCTCCACTCCGCTTCAGGATCCGCGCGCGATCCGCATCCCACCTCCTCGTCTTGGTCTCCACCGGGGGCAAGCTCTTGAAGCTGAGGGCATACTTGGCCACCGAGTTCGCAATCGACAGGGTATTCAGCAGGTACGCATCCAACGCCAAGTTGCTCATGTCGTCGCCAATCTTGTGGTAGTTGACGTCGTATGCCACGCCGACCTCGCCGCCGAACAGCTTGGCCTCCTCCTCGGTCTTGGGCACCTCAGCGCCGGTGAAGAGACCGCCCGAGGGAATACCGTTCTCAATGAAAGCGGCGTAGTCGGAACGACCCGAGAATTCGGTAGGTACCGACGCTACGCCATTGGTCTTGAAAAAGTCCTCGAAGTCCTTCTCGATGACGTCGGAACCGGCCGGCCCTGTGAGGTTGAAGGCACCACCGTCGCCATCATAGATACCGTAGATGTAGTTGGGGCTGGCAATCTGCGCGGATGTTAGCGTGAACTCCGGGGTGGGTGCGTTGAAGGAGATGGATGTGCTTACCATATCAAAGTTGAGGTAGGCGCGGATCTTGGCCACCTCGGTATCGGAGCCGTTGATCGAGTTCATGTAAAAGTACGAGCCGAGCAGGCCGAACTCCTCGGCGCTCCAGAAGGCGAAGCGCACGGCGTTCTTAACGCGGAACTTGGCGAGTGCCTTAGCGACAGTGAGGATGCCAATGGTGCCGGAGCCGTCGTCGCTAGAGTTTATTAGCATAATTCAAAACTGGCAACCTCTTGGACGTCAACTCACTTGATACCGGGCCCGGCAGGCACCGAGTCGCTGTGGCCACCGAGAACCAACACATTGTCGTGGTCACCGCCCTTCGTCTCAGCAATGACATTGTAGCTCACGCGCTCCTCAACCAGCGCATCAATCTTGACCGCGGCGGTGACCTCGCCCTGGGCCAGCTTCTCCAACAGCACCTGGGCGTCCTCCAAGCTGATGCCTACAACGGGCGCATACTCCTTGAACGGCTCACCCAGGGTGCCCGCCAACTCGCCGGCCTCGTTGTTGTAGATGATAGCCGCCACAGCGCCAGCAGCCTTGGCGTTGATGGACTTTTGGCTAAAGGGACAAGTGCCGCGCGAGATGAAGGCGATATTGCCTGACACCTCGGCGGGGTAATCGGCGGCGTCGCAGCCGACGTTGGCGACGGCGATGAGCGGCCCGGTGGCTTCACCGCCTGGGGTGTAGGTCAGGATATCGGCCGGGATGTCCTCGCCGTCGACGCTGAGGGAGCCGGTACCCTCCGAGTAGATCTCGGTAAAGGGCTGCTTGACCACGTCGTAGTAGTCGAGGCCGGTCAGCGTCTCGTAGAGATAGTCGACGGTGGCGTTGTGGCCGCCGCCGCCAAAAGCGCGGTTGCCGCCGTTAGCGTCGGCGATGTCCTGGAGTTTCTGGGAGCCAGCGAGGAGGTCCTCAATATTGACCAGGGCCTGGAGCTTATCCGACTTGACGAGGGGCAGCTTGGGGCCACCGTCTCCGCAGCCGGGCCCCTTGGGGCCCTCATGTCCGTGGCCTGGTCCTCCGCCGGCGGTTGCCAGGGCGGGGACGGCGAAAGCGAGGAGAGAAGCGGTGGTGGTCCTCATCCTGAATTAATGGCCCAGAAAGATGTCTGGTTGGACTGAGGTGAGACAAAGGAGGGAGAGGAGGGAGAGGAGGAAGGGGGGGGGGTTGGCAATCAGCATCTCCATTCGCGAACCGAGGGGAAGGCCCTCAATATGTATTTCTCATGGGTGCAACACACGTGTACACTACGACCCGGTTTATCCCCCCCTGGTCTCTCGTCCCGACTTGGATGGTGTTTTTCCGAGGGCCGCTTGTCAGCAACATGCCGATCGCTTCGTACAACACCAACACAATCTCTCCCCTCGTTTGCGCCTTCTGGAAAGGAATTAATCAACAGCTGCACGCCATTCGGCACCGACATCGCGTCTGGGCGCGTCCCATTGTGGCAGCTGCTGCCCTGCTCGGCCGAGCAACTGCCTTGTCCAGTAAGAGTTGGGGGGCCTGCGATGTCCCGCCGCTAGGTCCGCAACGGCAGGTCCCAACGGTGTGCGCTGGGGCCAGATATGGTTCGCGATGCGGGGGAATGAGTCCGGCCATGGATTGGCCAATCAAGTCGCGATGGCTCCTTCTTCGGTTGGAGATGCCGGAGCTAAGATAACTCAATTTGTGCCTTCCATGGCTGGCGACTTCGCGGACCCCTGCCTCCGACCGATTGCGATTGTGGAATGTGACGCAGGAGCGACCGGAGCGACTGGAGCTGCTGCTTGCCCACCTGCTCGTCTTGGGGGGAAATCCCGCCTGGGCGCTGTTGACGACGCATCGGTTGCTGTTGGCGTGATCGGCGCTGTCAAGGAAACCCACCCCCGGTTATCCGTTCCCGATCACATGGCCTCGGCGACTTCCTCCCCTCCTCCCCACTTCGAGGGGAACTTTGAGTGTCCATCACGAGGCGAACACCACCAACTGTCGCAATTCAGAGTAGCATCTCGATATCAGACGAGTCCAAAGATCCCCCAGTCCTACCTGACCGTGCATAGAAGCGGGAGATCAGCATAGCGGTCTCACCTTGCGACCGGACTGTCGGGTTCAGGGCCAAGTCGACACCCGTCAAATTCCCGTTGGGTAGAAACGACAAGAAATTGAAGTAACATCGAGGAGGGGTCGTACAAAGATGATGAATGCGGACGAAACAAAAGGGGAGGGGAATGAGGAAAGCAAGTGGTAGCTGGCCGATAGTATCGGCAAAAGTCAAAAGCATCTCATTGAGGTCAAGTTAGACATAAATCATGGATATTAGCAGAACCAACTCCGAGGTCTATGCTCCCGGCTCCCCATGTCTGCGTGAACATTGCACCACATGGCCGTGTACAGACTCATACATTCTAAACTGTTAAACCTTGAAAATTCTCAGCCCGACTCGATGCGCCGGCAGTAATCACGCCCCTGGCTGACTTGATAGCGGCACAACCACACCTCCATGGCCATACCCAAGAAACCAGCGATGCAGATGCCTCCGCTATCGCTGACCGAGGTGGCCCCCAGGCTGAACTCGCGGTCCTCCGCCGGCACGTTCTCCATGATCTCGGCAAAGGTATTGACATAAACCGCGCCGCCGAGCAGGCCCTCCCAGAAGATGACGACGAAGATGAGGTAGACGGACGGGATGAAGTTGAGCACCGCGTGCAGCGTTAGCAGGACGAGGTTGGCGACCTGCAGAAACGACGGCAGGTACAGGTGATGGATCCGGATGAAGGGCGTCGACGAGCGCGAGATGAACACGCCGAGCTGGTAGAGGAAGCCGTAGAACGGGTAGTACTCCCTGAACTCGGAGAAGGGCGACTGGTCCAGCGGAAACAACAGCGTCGGCGCCACACCCTGGTTGATGGTGTACTCGGCAACGTACACAAGCAGTAACGGCAGCATGTACGGGAAAAACAACGCTCTCGCCCGCCGCACATTCCCCCAGAACGACGCCTTCCCCATCCTTCCCTCATGATGCGTATACGCGGTAGCCGCCACGGACGGTCCCGGCGCGAGCAACCCGGCCGAGGCCGCACCCGCGGGCACGTCCTCAAACCCCTCCTCCTCGGCCGTCTGCTCCGAATCCGCCACCTGCTCATACCCGCCCTTCCACCCCTTCAACGGACCCCTCGGCAAGATCCCCCAAAACGCAACCACCATCACGCTCGGCAGCAGCGCCCCCACCAGCAAACTCCCCCTCACCCCCAACCCAATCCACCCCGTCAACACCACATACAGCCCCGCCCCAACCAACCCAGCCCCCCCCGTCCCACTCCCCCACGCCGCCAAACTCACATGGCCATAATAATGCGTCAGCCCCAAAAAGCTCAGCTCCCCCCCGCCACTCGACAGACTCGCCAGCACTACCCCCAACAACTTCACCCCGACCGCCCCCTCGCGGGGCGCCGCCGCCACCACTAACATGCCCGCGCACGAGAGGGCGACAAAGACGGCGATGCGCGCGGCGTAGGGCACGCGGTGGATGAAGTAGGGCGCGACCAGCTTGGTCAGGAAGGAGGGCAGCACGTCGGCGAGCAGCACGGCGCCCTTGGGCACGGCGGTGCCGACGAGGTCTTGGGCGGCCGAGAGGACGAGGACGTAGAGGATGTTGTTGATTAGGCCTGGCATTCGGAGCGGGGTTGGTTAGTTGGGTTTGGGTGGGTTCGTCGGTGGAGGGGAGAAAGGAAGGGGGGTTGTGGGAAGGGAGGGTGGGTGTTTAGTGGAGAGTAGAGGGAGAGCGTACCAAACAACCAAAAGGCGATTACCACCGAGACGTCGGCGCTGCGAAACAAGTTGGACAGGCGAGCGCGGTAGAGAGCCCATGACGAGGATGGGGCGCCAGGCATCGGGAGCAAGCCCGAGGAAGAAGGGGAGCGATTCATGGTTGGTTTTGGTAGGTATGGGAAATAAATGAGTAAATGTCTACCGCTGTATTCCAGCCGCCATTTGGTTTGGCATGGGACGCGGCAATGCGGCCGCTGTCGGGACGTGAGTGCGCTGTGTCGTGATGGTTCACGGAGGATGACGTTCGGGTTCCAGTGGAGAGAGGCACGAGGTCAGCAGGCGCAGCGCAGGGGATCAAACACCCGACCCAAGCCGGCAACTCGGGGCAGGCACGGCAGGCAAAAGTGAGGGTGGGAAATGAGTTGACCCTAACCCTAACCAATTACTTTCACGCTTCTGGCACGACGAACACAACCCCAACCGCCATCATTCTTCAACTGCAAGAGAAACAAGGTTCGGTTACTACAAGTCTAGCTACACAAAAGAGAGCCCTCGCAACGCTATGCTATGCCAAGACCAAAACTAACGTCTGAGAAACGAATCGGCCGTTCAAGCTCGCCCAACCCGTTTCCACTCTAGCCCCTCGTACAGTCCAACTCCCTCCACTATTACCACGGTACAGGCCGAACCACCCCCATTCAAGTAAGAAGCCCAAGCTCACCATGCTAGCCCAAGAACTACCTATGATGGCATAACCCCCTGCCGCCACCGCTCAACCATATCCATATGCCCCTGCCCACCACCACCCGCAATCGGCATCGGATACCCCCCCGCCCCCTGCAGCGGCAGCGCATTGACGCTCATGCTCGCGGCAGCCCCATTCTGGTACATGCCCAAGTTGGGCGTCGACCCGCCATACGCGCTCTGCCCCATGCCCATGCCCACGCCCTGGCCACCAAGGAATGTACTCGACCTCTGCGGCTGCTGCTGCTGCTGTTGCACTCCCATCCCCAGCATGCCACCCCCATACCCCAAGCCCGACTGCGCTCCAGTCCCACCGCCACCATCATTGAACCGCCCCCCCATGTAACCGCCCGCGTGGCCGCCCACCGACGGCGCCGTCAGGCTGGTGGGCATCTGCGCGCGCATGGCCGCCATCTTGACGTCCATATCCTGGCGGTGGCGGGCGCCCTCGGCCTCGCGCCTCAAGCGTTCCTGTTCGCGCGGGTCCATCAGCATGAGGTTGCCGCCGTTGCCCACCGCGCCCAGGATGCCGGCCATGCCGACGGGAGCGGTCGGGGCGGGGCGGGCGCGCGGGGGCGTGTCGGCGTGCATGCCCAAGGGCGTGGCGGCGCGGTTGAGGGTGCTGAAGGCCATCTCGCGCTCGCGCGCCTCACGCTCGCGCTGGAGACGGCGTCGGCGCTGGCCGAGGGTCTCTTCCTCCTCCGGGACAGGCGAGCCGTTCTCCGCACCGGCAGCGCCATCGCCACCGCCACCGCCGTTGGTGTCGCGGGACACGTTGCGGCTGTGCGAGGCGTTGGCGCTGAGTTTCTGGGCGTCGCCCTCTTCGCCGGGGCCGAATTCTTTGAGCAGCTCGGCTGAAAATGAACTGCTGACTGGCCTGGTGCGCGGGAGCGGGTTTTCGGCTGCCAGACGGGCTCTGCGGGCTGCGAGGGTTTCGCCCTCGACCTCGGGCTCGCTTCCTTCTGGTTGATTGCCGACGGCGGAGCCCGGGCGGGAGCCGAGCATGGAACCAGCGCGGGAGCCGCCTGGCTGTGGAAGGCCCAGGTTTAGGCGGGATTGTGACCGCATGCCCGGCATGTGGCTCATGCGCTTTTGTAGTACCGCGAGTGACGCGGGTCCCTGCTCCTCTACCCTGCCCTGTAACCTGTCACGGCGCCGGCTAAGCGGCTCGTTCTCCTCTATCTCGCGGCGCTCCATCAGACCGAGTGGGCGATGCATCTCACTCATGAGCGTGCTAATATCCATGGTCAACCGGGTTGAACCCCCGGGGGCGGCTGACTTGGCAGCGAAGAGCATGCCGAGAGGAACTTCGTCGTCATCCTCTTCGTCCCGCTGCGGGGCCGCCGACGGATCCTCCCACGCAAGCGTAACCCGCTTCCCGTGTCTGGCCTTCCGCTCCACCTCGGCCACTGCGTCCAGCTCGAGAAGGGTGCTGCGCATGCCATCAGTGTGATAGAGAGGGCGAGTGCGTAGTTTGTCTTGCTGCTTGCGCAGCTGCAGTTCGGCAAGTAGCGTCGTGGGCGGTCCCTGATAAACGGGGCCTTCCTCCTCGCTCTCCGTCTCTGTTTCTTCGTCGGCGTCCGGTGACAGTCGGTCGGGTGAAGCACTCTCACGGGATCGGGCATCATCGTCCACGCTGCGCCGGGCACTCTTAGGCCTTGCGTCGTCATCGGATTCGTCGTCGGCGTGTTTTGCACCGAACAGGGAGAACCGGCTCGCCCGCTTCTTCTCCGGATTCACATCAAGTAGGTTACCATTAGAATTCCTCTTCACGAGCGTCTTCCGCTTGGGCTCGGCTGTATCAAGAAGATGGTTTCCAGAGTTCCTCTTGACCAGCGTCTTGCGCTTGGGTTTCTCTTCTGAAGCAGGGGTGGTGGGCGTGATCGGGGGCTGAGCCTTCTTCGCCTTCTTCTTCTTCTCCGGCCCATACACCTCGGCGCCCAGCTTGCCCGCGAACACGTGGTCGGTGAAGGCGCTGACGGGCGCAGCGGCGGATGCGTCGAGAAGACTATCCAACGTGGTCATGGCGGAGCCGTCCTTGACGTCGACCTTGTGGGGTTCGGAAGGCAGGTCGAAAAAGGCGCTTGCGCGTAGCTGAGGAGGCATACCGTCAGCGGCGATGGTGTGAGATTTGCGATTATCGGCGTCCGCTATGCGCTGAGGCCGACGAATTTCGCGTTGCTCCGGAGGTGGGTGGATGGTGCTCGCTTCAGACGGATGCCTGGCATGTGCCAGGTAATCTGGTCTCTCCGGTTCCATTCCAGAAGGTTGTGGGGTCAAGTCCGCGTCTGTGCTGCGTTCCCCGAGCAGCTCCCCCATGAAGGGAGCATCGTCATTACTCCTATGCAAGCCTTCGGTAGGATCGGGCAGCCAGACGCGGGATTCACGGGTTGCCTTTGGTACGCCGCTGACAACCTGAGAGCGCTGTGTGGCTCGAACTGGTGCCTTGGGTTTCTTGGACAACTTTGGAGGAAGGTTAAGCATTGCAGGGACAGGAGCGGGGTAGAACATCATTTGCTGCCCTGTGCCCGGGTCGAAGTATGTCGTAGGGCGCGCGGCTAGAGTGCCGTGAGGCCGAGCCGGGGGGTCATAGTGTCCCGGGTCCGGTTTGGGTGCGAGGTTCCCGGTATCAGGGTCGCAGTGCACGCCGTCAAAATCGCCAAAGGCCGCCTGGGCTTGCTCGTACGTTCCGCCGGACCCGGATGTCGTCGGCCTATCATCCTCAATACGAGGCGGCGGCCGGTAAGGCTGGTAGGCTTGGTACTCGTCTGGTTGGTGAAGCTGCAGCCGAGGAGTCGGGTCACCGCGGGATTCATAGCTTGGCTCGGGTCCGTTTGCTTCCTGGGCAAATTCGGCCTCGATAAATTGATGGGCGCTGCTGCGTATCGTTTCCTCGACATCCGGCGTTTCCCCTGCCGCAGCGGCGCGATCGGCCTCGTCAAGAGCCTCCCGCGTCAGGGTGGTGGGATGCTCAAGCTCGGCAATCTGTGCCAGCGACAGCCTGCTCGCAACGCTCCTGGTCGAGGCCTTACCTGGCCCGTGTCGTGGCAGGAATCGGAATTCCTGAGAATGTTCAAGATCCGCTAGAGCCCCGCCCATATCTGCATTTCCTGGTATGTGCGACGGCATGCCAATCGAACTTGCCTTGCTACCCGACCGAAGACGACCCGAGGCAGCCGACATGGAATGGTGCGGGCTCATGACAAAGCCTCCCGGCGAATAACCCCCTGAGCGCGCCGCGTTATTAATTCCCAGAATGGAGTTTTGTCTGCTCGCCACGGAAAGCTGAGACTGTCCGTGCACTGAGCCGCTGTCCGAGGTCGATGCCGCCCGAGCACGCAGGATCGACGACCGACGGCTTTCGGTCCGCTTAAGTTCGTTGTGTTCCTCACGGATGGCGTCTTCAATGCTGCTTGTCATAGACAGCCGCTCAGCGGTAGCTTCGAGGGCTGCAATATTGCCCAGAAAATTCCCGGCCTGAGACAGTTTGTTGGGGTCGGGAGCCGGGTGGCTGAGGGAGAGACTTGCGTTCGATGAGGTACGAACAATCGGCGGCCGAATCGGGGTTGAGGCGGCGCGGCTCCGTCGTTGCGGTTGGCTCGAGGACGGTGTTGGTCGGATCAAAGCGGTGTCGGCGACAACAGTGGAAGGGCGAGGAGCAGGAGCGGACGAGAAAGGCAAACCTGGGGCATCGTGTGCCTGGGAAACGCTCGAGATTGGGGCTGACGGATCAGGATCGGGCGTTGCGGCGGCAGTTTGCGGCACGGCGGTGTCTGTGATGGTTTTGTCTTGGGCTGCAATGGGTTCCTTTTGGTCTGCAGTGCCAAGACCGCCGCTTGCCAAAGTCGCGTCTAGAACCGATGCATCTTTGGTCGGAGAGGGTGACGAGGAGCGCGAGACGGACGGGGAGGGGGAAATCGAGGATGGACGCGACACGGGCCCCACCGGGCGCTGCTCTGCACTTTTTGACCGGAGCAGCTCGTATCCCAGGGTGGCGCTTGACTTTGACGCATGCAGCGCCTCGAACGATTCCACCATGGCGCCCACGATGGTTGGAGGGCCTGCGGAAGCGGATGCAGCCGGGGCCGTGCTGTTGCTGCTGCTGCGGCTGAGATTCCCGGTGCGCCTCAAATGTTCCATGCTCTTGGACGTGCTTAACAACCTGCCCGCCTCGAGCGAGGCGGGCGACTTCCCTCCTCCCATGTTATCCGACGGATAGAAGTCACTGGTGTCTATGGAGAGCGGGGTGAAAGTCTGGTCGGCCAGCGCCACGGAGGGCAGGGGCGAGGACGAGGACGGCGAGGCAGGCGAGGCAGGCGAGGCCACAGTGGTCGAGGTTGCGTGCGACACGGGCGACAGTGGTGATGCAGAATCTGGGGGATGGCTACTGCCGTCGTCGACCTGGTCGACGGCGTTGTACCTCACCGCCATGCTGGTGGGAACGGCGTGCGATAAGGGACAGGCGTTGGGCGATATATCAGCGGCATGGACAGACGGCTTCCTCCTTTCCAGTAAAATCGCTAATGACCTGGAAATGGCCAGTCGTCAATCGTCAGGTCCAAGACCCGCCTGCGCTCCAGGATGTTTATGGCGATTGTGGGTATCAGTGGGTGAAAATCAAGATCTAGGCCGGCGCTAGTCCCGTTGGTCCCGCCGATGGGACCGAATCGGCAAGCGCGGTGCGCGCTTCTGAGAGGAAAGAAGAAGGACGATCAGGTTCTTAACAGGAACAGCACAATGGATTTCCGGGTTGGAATGCAGATATGAAATCCGCACATGGCAAAAGAAACCTGGAAGCCAAGCCGGGAATTATTGGCCTGTCAAGCTGTCGTTCATCGTTCCTGGGCCGATCTCCCTTTTATTAATCTCGAGTTTGGCAGCGGCGCCCTGACCTGATACCGGCTGCTCCTGGCTGAGAACGGCGGGAACGTTGGTGAGTGGCACGGTGGGGCCTAATTCGTGCTTTTTCAACGGCTTCAGCACTGCTGCCTTCTGCTTCCTCGAACGCCGCCCGTGACCACCACACACCAGAGAAAATGGGTCGGCTGAGCATCAGCAGCACACCATCTTCGTTGATCGGTAGGACTAGCCTTTGCTTGGGCTGACCTCTCTCTTGCCCCTAATCGCGAACCTGACTCGGTAGACATTTTATTACTTGACTATCCGAGGTTCTTCTTGCGCTTTTGGCTTCTGGTGGCGTTTGCAGCTCCCAATTTTAGCTCTCAGCGGGTGCAACCGCCGGGGGAGCCCCTGCAAGGTCCTCGTTTCCCACGAGATTCCATCGATCCAGCCCATCCAGCTCGATCCAGTTCGGACTGCCGCCTTGGTTTGCAACACACCAACACAACTCCAACATGCACGCAAGCCAAGGCAGGAAGAAACTTGGTTTTCCAACCAGGCACGGGAGTTTTCCGGCATGTCCCCAATCACGACGCCGCAGACCCGCGGCATCTCTGATCCAACCATCCCAGTCCTTCTCCTTGCGATCCCTGTCCCGGGATTCGGGCGCTGTCCGTCACTCCATGCCGCTTCGAGGCGGCAATCCGGGAGGCTGCCGGTCGGTCGGTTTGTCGGATATCGCGGCAAGTCCACAAGTCCATGACATCGGTCAACATTGTGGTGGACAAGTCATCATCATCATAATCCCCTCATCGGTTTCATCAGAGTGCTTCTCCTGCACCAAACTTGCAGCTTTGGCCCCGCATTGGATATGCCGGACATGTCTGTGCACGGCGGGACGGACAGCCCCGTCGTCATCGAAACCCACGGCCACGCGACTCGCCAGGGGCATTTCACGGTTGGTCGGGACGACGATGGGAAAGGGGCCGAAAGTGTCCAAGCACGTCCCGTCGTGAACGACGTTCATTTCACGCTGAAAGTGGGCGTTATGAAGGCCATAACCGGTCATATCCGCTCCCATCATCCTTATCTTTTCCCCAACAACAGTGTCGAACCCGAACCCGTCACATCCCGAGTTTCAATCGACATCTTATCCCCGTTGACGATCTTGGGGCTCCCTGCAAGTTCGCTGGTTCGGCAAGAAGGATGGGGCAGGGTTCTGTCGAACATTCTCAAAATCTGCGAACCGAGGTCTCCGCCTCGGCCAGCATACTCCAAAATACAACTCTGTAGATTTATGGATTGTTCTCGCCGTTGGGTCGAATGCCGGTCTCGGTTCTAGACCCGCGCACAAAGAATCCAGAATCTGCCCAGTGTTGCATTGGATTGCCGAACTCCGACGTGAATTGAAGATTGAATGGAGCAATGCCACGAAGCAAGACGCATCTCTGCCAAACTGCTCCAAGATCACATTTTCTTCCCGGCCCATTATCCGAATGAAGTTTTCTTACCCGGCTATTGTCATCAGGTTTTCGATGGACGGACATGACCTAAAGGCTCGCACGACAGCTGAGACACTGCATAGTCCCTCTGCTGCTTCCCGCGCTTACGGTCCGAATTAGCCAGAAACCATGACCATGTACAGGGCGGCACCGAAATGAGACGGGATAGAATGACAACGGGGTGGTTGGCGCTTAGAGAATGGCGCAGAAACATTACACCCCGTTCAAACAAAGGGCCACTCAGGTCGGGTACCTGCATTGCCGGTGTATGACGGCTATCAAAGGTAATTTACGCAGGTTTTGCTCATAAATCTTCCCAGTCTGCTCAAAAGGGCCCAGAACTGGTCGCTCTGAGGACAAGAAACCGCCCCCTTTGAACAACAACGAAGACAAGAAGATGTCGCTATTGTGGCGAGGCCGAGCGCGTGAATGGGGAACTCGTCATTACTAGGCACCTTAGGCTGTTTTCTTTTTGTTTGAAATGGTAGAGAACGCGTTTACGCTCAGTTTTCCCCACTCCGCAGCGGTTTTTAGTTCCGTTTTCCGACTTTTGCTGTGATGTGAATCTACAGGTAATGTCGCCCTTGTTGTATTAACTACACGTTTCACCAACGCATTGCAACCCGGTCTTAGCCAACCAAACACGTTTATCACCCCCCTATACACGTCTTAGCTAATGACCGCTTTCGTGTTCATATGTGTCGAAGGATGCCGACCCCACAGGCCACCTGTCACACTACAGTTGAAGACATGGTAGCGTATGGAGTGGGAGACCCCAACTACTTTGGTAAGCTCTGCAGTGCTAAGTCAATGCCAAGCTCTCAGGAGCTTAGCAGCCACTATTAGCCACTTCCTGTGGCTGTGACGGTTTTAGCCCGTTGAGTCAAACAAGTCCATTCTAAATCGCCAGCACCTCCTCTCTGTGTTACTCCGTTGTTCTGTTCTCTCTGGTTCTCTCTGGATAATGTCACTTGATCTGCCACACCAGCAAAGAAAGTCGGTATTTCCCAGGCACGTGGTACAGTCCAACCAAAAGTTTTCTCTCCTACTGGCACCAACCATCCCCTGTTTCATTTCCCGCGGGATCTTTAGCTCAGAGCGGCCTTCCCGTCTTTCCCTCTGTCGTATAAGCAATCCACCCACCCTCGGCGTTGCGTCACAACCTCTTTTATTTCCCATCCTCAACTTCTTCGAGGTTCTTCCAGGAGTGGCTGCTTACACCCCGAGTTTGATCAGAATACCGGGGAACTATAGCCTCGGGGCTTCGTCCGACGACGATCGGGATTACGACAAGGGCCACACCTGAAGCAACCTAGGCTACCCGGCCTATAATCACCCGGCCGTCTTGCCAGAGGTAAAGTGAGCCACACAGTGCTAAGTGCCGCAGTCCATAGTTAGCTAACGGTTTAGCAGGCGGTTTGGAACGCCATGGAGGGGAGCGACGGGGAGCAATCCGAAGAGCTCAAGTCTGCTCTGCTCTCGTTGCCGAGGAATGAGAAGCACTCCATTGGTAACTGCTGCATTCAATATAAAGATTTCGCTACTAGGTGCTAAGCTAACTACCTATATGTAGATAATCTCGTTAATACCTGGCTAAACCACAAACACGATTAATGCTACGCTCTTAACATAACCAAGTTCAGGGCTCAATACGAACGCTCGTGGGCCACTGTACGCAGAGTCATCATATTGGTGCTAAGAGCGGACCGCCCTGCCCACACTCCGCCCTGCGGGTTTTCATCCAACACTCACCAGAGGTGACAAACATTCCCCCGCATTCATTTACCAGCCTCGCCTTTACCACCCCGAGCCAATTGCCCCGAGCTCCACTCCACGCATTTATTTCCGTCAACCCCTCTCCATGATCAGGGCAGGGTCTGGTGGTATCCCGTTGTGGGGCGGCCCACCATATGAGCATTCCTTGACAGAGCGCTCCTATTCCTGCCCATGGCGCTCGCTGCTTCTTTGACCGAGCAGCATTCTGGCTGTAATCCAGGTGATATGCCAGGGGTCAAACCCGCTGATGTTACCCTGCTAGTCATGGCTCAGCATGGCACGCCTTTACGGACGACGGACAGCTCGCATCATCGTCCCCCCGAGACGTGATTGTCATGGCCATGTTATGAATCGCTGTATCCCCCCCCTCGAGGGCAAGCCACCTGGAGAAGCAGGGAAATTCTGAAGTCCAAATCCTGTCAGTTCCGCGCCTCAGCATGGCGCGAGCCACTCGTCTCCTTGCTTTCATGAGCATCCTCAGGGGTCTTACTGCTGCCGCTCGGTCCAACAACACGGCCAGCAGTGTCAAGGTCGGCTGGATTGGCGACTCTCCAGCCCAGCATCTCGGTACGACCTTTGGCTTGCCCTGGCCACAAGGGAAATACCAGCCCGATGAGGTCGACTTTGACGTCGCAGACGGACAGACTCCTCTTGAGTCGTGGGTGACGGGCTACTGGCGCGACGGTTCCATCAAGTGGTCAGCGCATGCAATCCCAAAGACTAATGACGTCACCGACGGATACACCATCGAGGCCACGCCCATTGTCAAAGGCAAGCCCAAAGGCAAGCCCAAAGGCAAGCCCAAAGGCAAGCGCCAGACGATCAGCCTGTCGGTGGAGGACGGCAAGAGTGAGGTAACAGTCAACACGGGCAAACTCACCATCTCATTCCCCAAGGAGGGCCGCTACATTGTCAGCTCCATCAAGACCGCCGGGGGCAAGACCGTCGGAAAAGACGGCAGGTTGGTGCTCCACAGCCAGAACAACATCCCAGACACGGCCGATGACCGCACCGACAAGGCCATTGACCGTTCCAACTTCGAGAGCAACATCGAGGAGGTGACAGTCAGCGAGGGCAACTCGGTTCGTGCCCTCGTCACGGTCCGCGGCAAGCACACGACCACAGAGGGCTCCGATCACGAGGACTGGCTGCCATTCGTCGTGCGCTTCTACCTCTACGCCGGCTCCGAGGCCATTCGACTGGTGCACAGCATCACCTTTGACGGCCAGCATGACAAGGACTTCATCTCGGGCCTGGGTATCCGCTTCCAGGTCCCACTTGAGGGAGAGGAGCTGTACAACCGTCACATCCGCCTGGCTGGCACCGACGGTGGCTTTCTGAACGAGGCCGTCAAAGGCATCACTGGTCTCCGTCGCGACCCTGGCGAGGCCGTCAGGACCGCCCAGGTGCAGGGCAAGGCGCTTCCCGACGAGTCGACCTGGGACACGCGAGTCACGACTCGTCTGCACTGGATCCCCGTGTGGAATGACTACAGCCTCAGCCAGCTCTCCCCCGATGGTTTCACCCTAAAGAAGAGGACGAAACCAGGGCAGAGCTGGGTCAACTTCGCGGGCGGCACCCGATCCGGTGGATTGGCCTACCTGGGTGGTGCAACTCGGGGCGGCCTAGCTGTCGCTCAGCGGGACTTCTGGAAGCGCTACCCCACGGGTCTCGACATTGCTAATGCCGGGTCCGACGAGGGCCAGATCACCCTCTGGCTGTACAGCCCAGACGCCGCTCCGCTTGACCTTCGGGGTTATCACGACGGTCTGGGCCAGGATACATACGAAAAGCAGCTCGACGCCCTCGAGATCACATACGAAGACTACGAGGAAAACTTCGACACGCCGTACGGCATTGCCCGAACCAACGAGGTGTTCCTGTATGCCTTCGAGAGCACTCCGTCCAGCGACACGTTGGCCGAGTTGAACGCCAACGCCCAGGAGCCCCCCGTGCTAGTCGCCGCGCCCGAATACATCAAGGAGACCAAGGCGCTGGGATCGTACTGGGGCCTCCCCGACACGTCGACCCCAGCCAAGGCCAAGATCGAGAGCAACCTCGACTTCCTCGTGAAGCACTACCAGAAAGAGGTCGAGGCCCGCCGCTGGTACGGATTCCTCGACCACGGCGACGTGATGCATACGTACGACCCCAGCCGGCACCAGTGGCGCTACGACATCGGCGGGTACGCCTGGGACAACTCGGAGCTGTCGCCGGACCTGTTCCTCTGGCAGTACTTCCTCCGCACCGGCCGCGCCGACGTCTACCGCTTGGCCGAGGCCATGACGCGCCACACAGGCGAGGTCGACTCGTACCACCTCGGCGACTGGAAGGGGCTGGGGACGCGGCACGGCGTGACGCACTGGGCTGACAGCGCGAAGCAGGCGCGCATCTCGCAGCCGCAGTACCGCAAGTACTTCTTCTACCTCTCGGGCGGCGATGAGCGGACGGGCGAGTTGCTCGAGCACACGCTGGACGCGGACAAGACGTACGGGATCCTCGACCCAGTCCGCAAGGTGCGCACCGACGGCTGGAGGCCCTTCCCCGGCGCGCCCGTCGCGTTCGGCCTGGGCACCGACTGGGCCGCGCTGGCGGCGGGCTGGCTCATCGAGTGGGAGCGGCGCGGCCCGCGCTGGGAAGAGTCCCGGCAGAAAACTCACCAACACGGCCGCGGGCATCGCGCAGCTCAAGAACGGCTTCGTCACGGGGTCGGGCTCGTACCTGATCGAGAAGAACGGCACGCTCCGGCCGCCACCGACCGACCCGGACAACGATGGCGTGGTGGCCATCTCGCACCTCAACGCCGTCTTCGGCATGCCCGAGGTCATCTCGGAGCTGCTCGAATACTGGGGGGACGACGGCGCGCCGCGGGGGTTTCGCGAGGCGTGGCTCGACTACGCCTACTACTACCTGGCGACGGCGGACGAGCAGCGGGCGCGGTACGGCGCGAGCTTCAGCGGCGTCAGCCTGCGGCAGGCGCACTCGCGGCTGTCGGCGTACTACGCGGCGGTGCAGGGCAACGCGACGGTCGCGGCGCGGGCGTGGGCCGACTTCGGCCGCAGTGACGGGCTCAAGGACACGCAGGAATTCGCGGCGGTGCGGGTGGGGGGGAGCGCCGTGGTTCATCCTGTCGAGGAGGCGGCTTGGCTGAGCACGAACGACTTTGCGCAGTATGGTTTGGCGAGTATCCAGAACTTGGCGTATGCCGGAGACAGTATTTGACCGGAATGCTGTGTAGCTACCTACGAGGCGATTGCCCCTGAACATTGCGCCTGTTTCTCAGTACTGCTTTGACAACATGTCTGTGCTATTGGCACATCAGCCTGTGTTTATCGTTTGAATCGCCCGACGCTTGTTGATCCGGGGGCTGGGCTCGATGTCGCTCTCGTCAAAAGGATCTAATGTCGGCAACGTGGCCCCTCCCTCCTCAAACGGCAAGGCCACCGGGGACGATGATGAGCCACCACTTATTGCCTCCTTATTCTCCCTCCCCACCGCCTTCCTAAGCTCCTCCTCCCTCAGGACACAACGGCATGAGCGATTCAGGCAGCAAAGCCAAGCCAGCAAGGCTAGCCAGGCCAGCACCGAGGCTCGAGGGTCGGGCGCAGTTGGTTCGTGTCCCTAAACCGGGAACCATGCGAAAGGCAAGATTTTGCCTCGAACATCATGCCGGGGAGCAATAGCAGTGGTGATGGGGTTGGATTTGATTCCATCCCGGACAAACTTTTATTCCCATACAAGACCCCTCAAAAGACTGTCCCAGATCAAGCCGGACCTTGCGGCATGGTGAGGTCCGTTTGCCGTACTACGTACATACACTCCCCAGCGATGACACTACCGCTGGGGTCTGTTCCGCCGTGGTCTTCAATCACCTCCCCCTGGCAACTGCTGTGTGAGTTACCCAGAGTGTGGCAGGTGGAGGACATTGTAGCACCGGCGGTAATGTTGTATGTTGTTGCTACAAATAAGCCCGGGGCTTGCTTTTAGAGGGAAAAGTTAAAATGACATGCAGCTCCATTGAGGAACGCCCAATCTGATTTCCTGTAGGGCGGGCATACAAATGGATGGGATGGTAACGCCGCGTACTAGCTTGCAATTTAGAGGACAAGAGGCAACAAGTATAGGACAACCTCGTGGAGTTGGGACCATGTGATGGGTGGTTGAAATTGGAGCGGCTCCGCCGGTGTTGGACATTTCAAGTTCTTTGTTTGGGGTAGAGTCAGGTGGGCAAACGAGAGAAAGGAAAACGGGAGGAGTGGAGGGTATTGACTAAAGGGGGTTGGGAGTGTAAATATGTAATGACATCGGAAAGGGAATTGAAACAGCGAAGTGCCAAAAGAGTGAGAAACAATAGAAGCCCGAAAGGCTAAAGACGCTTGAAAGTGTTACGATGCAAGTTTTACGATGATATTCAAATTCCAATGGTAGAAGGGGGTCCTAGTCTAGGTATGTACATATGCTCGCATCTTCAGATTGCATACATTCGTAAGTACTTGCATTTCGCTCGAATAAGAAAGTACTATAATTTCAAATGACAATGACGGGCCCAAGACGATATGCTTGCCGATACGCTCCCCTCATCTACTCCTGAGAAGCAAGGCTCTGCGGTCTTGTGTCTGTGAACAGTGATGCAGTGCGCCATGTCACACTACCACCACCATCTGCTACAGTACCCGGTCGGGCTTGAGATCCAACATCCGACCCTGAAGTTTTGCGCGGAAGGCAAGCCACAAGGAGGCCACATCCTTGGTGAACTATTAACGATACACCGCAACATTGGGAGGGTGTCATGGTTTCCGGATCAGAGATATCTTGAACCCTGTTCTTTGTGTTGCTCGCGGTCCGTACGAATCCGTTCATCTTTGGGTGGTGTCTGCCCTCGGGCAGGGTGGAAAGCGGCATCGGCGACGGGAGGCTGGTTCTCCTCGTTCAGTCGGCAGCCATCGGTGTGCCGCTTGTCACACCGGCATCTGAGGGCCGGATCAGTCCCCCTGAACACCTGAACCTGCACCCAAGTCTGGCCACGTTGGAGGGTCTAGGCCGGGAGAACGAGAGCAACGGTGTGGAATAACCTCGACAAGGACAAGTCGCCAAGAGACCGAGACTCTCGAGGTTGCAGGCCATGTGTGCCTCTCCCTGGTCCCTTGATAGTTCCCCACACCGAGGAAGCTAAGAATCCGGGGTAAAAGTGGGTGGTCCTCGGTGCAAGTCGTCTCCTCCAGAGAAAATGCTTTCCGAGGCGGGAGAACAAACTTCTCCTCAGGAGAAGGCGGGCCGACGTCGTCCATCACACGAATCCCGTTCCAGTAAGTGCCCAGATGACCAGTTTCCCTGCCCAGCGTAGCTGCAGCGCAACAACAAACGCATGTGGTGTGCGGAGGATCTTATCCATTGGACAGCCCCACGGCATCCCGCTTACCTTATCCGCATCCGCCACGAGTTAATCGGACCACTGCCGACGGCGCTGAGCGTTTGGCGGGAGCGAGAGGAGGCGGTCAGCGGAAGCTGCAGAAGCACACATTCGATTTGGCAGCTCGGGCCCAATGGGGGAGATGGGGAGGGTAATCCGGCGACATCACGAGAGGGTCTGGTACTGCGTGTGGCTTACGGATCACTGTCTGATCACACACATGGCGGCAAACATTTCAAAGGGCTTGTACACAGTATTGAAGGTCTGGGAGCCTCAGGGCGACGTTGAAGGCCGCTGCTCCGATGTGGCGTTGGCGTTTTCGTTTGTTTCTGATATATTGCTCTGGCGAGTCTGGCCAGTCTGCTAACACTGAAAGCTGCTAGATCGCCCCAGAGGCGAATGCGGTCTTTCAACGAAGATCTGCCACGTTGAGAACCTTTGCTGCCGATGCCCGCAGGCGGTTTGGAAAGTCGCAATCGAGGTGGGGGAGCGGTGAGCACGGGATATGGGGTACCACCCCGGCAGCAGCTCACCGGCCCCCGGTTCCCCGCGGGGGTCGGCGTGCTGCGACAATCGCCATCCAATGCTTTGGAAGCGTGATATTCTGCATGTACCGATGCATGAGACTTTTTGGAGGCGTGGGTGAGACGAGCAGTCAGTGTGGTTGAAGTTGGAAAGAAGCGTGAAGTGTTAGCCAAGGTCAAAATCAGCACCTCCGAGCGGACCGTCCCGCCTTCGAAACTCCAAGCGAGGGTCCGTTGCTGCTTGTGGCTTGAGAGCACTCCTGTGCAAATCCACATTTGGTAGCATTCGGCATTGGGCCACCAGCGCCCAGCTTAACTAACGGCATAATTAACTAGCGGAAAGGGCTGAGCTGGGCCCATCCATAATCACCCAGCAGGGTGGCAATTTGGAGCGCTGAGCACGAGCGAGCTGAATCGTCCCGTTTTTGTGCGCCGGTGTGGATGTCTGTAGTTACATACTGTGTGACTGTGCAGTGCATCCATCCATCCTCGGGCCCAGTTTCTCAGGGGCGCAACGTGGACGAAACCATGACGAGGAGTGGTAAGCTGGCGACTTCTGTCTCCACCGTATCGAGGAACCGGGACCCTAATATTGGATGTTTTAATTTCGTAACGCCGACGAAGCAAGCGCACAACGCTGGGGTGTACACATGTCACTTGACCAGAATTCGTGGCTGTGGCTGAGGGATCGAGATAACTCCAGGGCGTCCGTCGGGCGGGCCCAGCAATTTTGGAGAAATGGTGGGTGCCCGTGGTCTGGACCGGGTCAAAGAACTTGCTGGTCACGAACCCAACGTGCCAACATTGAAGATTCTTTGAGGACCCTTTTGAGGACCCTGAATTGCTGAATAAGACGTCGCTCATGTTTGGAGTAAGCTGTTGATCTACAGTCGGGACGTCAACTCGCAGACCCGACACTGTGATCCCGATGATGTCAGGGCGTTCGATGGTGGCAGTTTGACGCTGGGTGACAGTGACAGAAAGTCGCAACGCTCCCCGCCCCAGACCCTGGGGCAATCCCCCGGAAATGAGGGGGGTAGCGAGTCCGTGTTCAGGCTCCTGTCCACACAGTGCTCTCACAGGGCCGGTTCTCTTCGTGCAACATCTGTTGTGGTTTTCATGTCCAAGTATGGAATACTTAAGGGGTCAGAGAACTCGAAATCGCCCAGTTATGACCTGATCTCGCTCTCCATACGGAATATGGACAGCCCCGGCCTCAAATTGTCAATTGCCCCATTTGTGCCTGACCAAGCTGGTGGACATACAGATTATGCGCCCCCCCCTGGCGTCTCGACCCTCCAGGAAGGAACACGAAGCACACATTTCGCACGGTGCAGGTACTCCGAAACTACCCCACCAGCCATCCCACCAGCAGCGATAAAGCCCAGGTGCGAACTGCTAGCGATGTTGCGATACCCGCCTCGGCTCTTGTGACCGCTCTCACTGCCCGCCCCCACATCCTGGTCCCTGGCGCTTCGGTGAAGATACAAAATCACTTTTGTGTGCACTGTCTGCACTGGGAAGGAACCAAACCTCCTTCCATTCGAGTTGCAACATTCCAAAACGTGGTTGGCAGCCAAGACGACAAGAGTTGACCGAAAACAGTCTGAAGAGATCCGAAAGAGTCTCGATCATACCAGACAATAATACCTTAGCTGCTTGGTACGGAATCACCTTCACGACCTAATTAATAGTAACACCACAATAATTCCCCACCACGGAATCCGATCACCGACCGACAGACCAACACCAGACCTGACCGGCCCTCACCCAGTCCCCCCGCCCATGGTATAACTGCTCCGATCGTCGAGGCACGATCCGGAATGGCCAATGTAAAGGAGCGGCCGCGGGCGCGGTTTGCTCCTATCCCCATCGAGACCACCTTTGAGCGATACCGCAAGACGATCCCCCCCGGCGAGCTTACACCCAGCCCGTCCCCTCGCTCCCTGTCACCGCGGCCACGGACCCGGGAAAAGCGCAAGTTTGCTCCTCAGCTAGTTGAGTCCTCAGTGCGCCGGGCAAAACGAGCAGGCGACGAAGGCCCCGCTACAAAGCACACCGACAGGACTGATATTACCCCTTACACAAACCACATCTATGCACCGAAAACCCGCAAGCGCTTTGACCATGGGTCACCTTCGGGGGAGCCGTCGGCACAAAAAGGGCATGGACGGCGGGAGTCATGCGACGACGAGATCGCTGGCGGCGTTTTTGACCTGGTCGCCCGCGATGCGAAGAGGAAGCTCCAGGAGGTGGCCATGAGTGCCTTCCCCAACAGCGGGCAGAGGATAGGCGGCGCCGAGCACTTTTACGTGCGCGAGGGCTCAGAAGATGACGGCCCTCGAGGCAGGCCGTTGACAAGAGGGCCATGGAACCCTCTGCAGTCCCGGAGGAACTCGTCCGAGGAGGACATTAGTTGGGCCTTCAAGGAGATGCAGGAGCATGCCCAGATGCTGCGCCGGGCAAAGTCGCGGGACCGGATCGACACATTGGACCTCGACAACATGAGCATCGACGGCCCACCAAGTGACGCCATGGGCCTTACACGGACGCAGAGAACCTCGATTGCCAGCTCGCCAGAATGGCCATCACGGCGGCCATCCTCCAGCTCCCTCGGCCCCGTCGGGGACTCCCCCATGCCCCTTCTCCGCGCCGAGTCCCCCCTCCCGACCATCGGCGAGTCGACGATGCCCTACGTACCTCCCAAATCCCCGCCGTCCCGCCCCATCGGCGAGAGCCACATGCCGTACATCCCCTCCGCCCCGGCCGGAAAAGCCGGCGACATGCCATATGCACCAGCATCCCAGATACCCCCCGAATCCGGCTTCGGCCGCAGTTCCCCTTTCGCCCCATTCCCCGCCGAGCGCGACAAGTCACTTGAGCGAGCCCGCCAGCAGCACCGCCTCCGCTTGAAGGCCTCCCCGCCCATGCTCGGGCAGGATCTCACTTTCCGGCGATGCCCTTCCCCCAAGCACACCAAGCTCGAGCCGGACCACCTTTGGGACGTGGCCACGGGGGCCCTCATGGAGGACCACAACCGCGACCCGACCGAGGAGCACGGTCTCTGGCGCGGGTATTGCTATACGGCCGACCCGTCGGAGAAGCTCGTCCCGGCCGAGCGCCTGGCCATGCTCTCCACCCCAGCGAGCAACCGCGAAAACGACCCTTTCTCGCCCGACTCCGAAGAGGGCCTAAGCTCCGCCCCGGTAACCTTCAGCGAGGAACCAACCTCGCTCTCGCCGGGCGGCGGGCACGGGGGGACACACTCGGTCCCCGGGGTGCCCGAGCACCGCACCAAGTCACAGGCGCCCAAGGGCCTGCACATGCTGCAGAACCTGCAAAACCTCGACGAGAAGCTCAAGCGCGAGAAGGCCGCCGCCGACCTGGAGGAGCAGATCGCGGCCGAGTTCGACGAGCACTTCGTGTCGCAGGTCTACAACTACCTCTCGCTCGGCTACCCGGCCACGGCGCGGCAGTACGACGGCGAGCTGGCCAAGATCAGCCGCATCCCCGTCGCCGAGCTGGAGAAGGGCGACCAGGCCTTCATGGAGACCCTGTGGGGGGTGAACGGGTCGCATGCCAACGGGCACGATGGCGACGGCGATGGCGATGGCATGGATCTCGATGAGGATGGCGGGAGGGAGAGGCGGGCCGGCGCCACGGGCCACATCATGCTTGACAGCGAGGCTAAGGACGGCGTCAGGGAGGAGGATCGCTGCCAGCGCTGGAAGGCTCTGAAGTTGTACATCTACGAGTGGGCCCGCCAGCATCCTGATCTTAATGCCATCAGCCCATCGGCCTGGGGCGTGCAGGAGCGGAGGGGCAGTTGGGGTATTTAGCGCAGGGGGCGGTGCGTGGTGGTGTATTGGGTGGGTGTTGCGTTCGAGCACTGGGCCGCGGTGTGCCTGTTTGCTTGTTTCGGCAGCTGATACATGGCTGGTATTGATGGGTGCTTTGGTTTTTGACGAGCACTCTTTTCACGGCTGGGTGTTACTATGGGCCAGCTTGGAGTTGGTTTATCTTTTTTATTTTTATCGTTTCTTCTCTCCAGTGCTTTTCTAGCATATATGCATGGCATGCATGGCCTGGACGACCTTATGACCCTTTTCCATTCCGTTTTGTGCTTTCTCTATCTTGGTCTGGCGTATCTCGGGCAACTTTGCGTGGGATCGGTTTTGTAATAGTGCCCTTGACGGCTGGGAAGATGGTGGGTAGGTGGTGGCTGCTAGAGAAAAGGGTTGAGAAAGACAGACATGCTTCAAGACCTTGCAGGATAAGAATTGGAATGAAGGGAGGAACGGCTATGGGCTGTAGTAGAATCGGTGTTTAGATCCTCCGCCTTTTCAGGTGAAGGGCTTAACTCCTTACCTGGTAGTAAAGGAGGAGTCGGTTTCTCGTGGGATACCTAGGTACAGTGCAAAGGGAGAAGAGGGATCAGGGTTGCTCTACGGCGAGACCCTTACCATGGCATTCGACAGGGAAGTGGGCTATAATAAGGCAGATAGACAATCTATTGTCCTGCTGTGCTGAGCCAATATTTCTTCCTGGTCGCCATAACTGGCATGCATATGGATGTCTGAGAGTGAGGGGTGATGGTTGCGCATTGGGTTTTGAATAGGGGCCGCTTATGGTGGGGTGGGGCCGATAAAGAGCAGTGCTGGGCGGCCACTGACTGGCATGTGAATTTGGGCCGTGTGCTTACTTCTTTGCTTGGAAGTGGCTCAGAGAATCAGCCTTCGGGCAACTCACCACGTGTGCACTCTGAACTTGGAATCTCCCTGTCCCTTCAAGCGATGGAACACTCAATAAATCGGACGGCATCATCTTCTTGCCACTTCGCCTCAGCTAATGTCTCAAGGAAGAGACGATCATCCGCCAACACCGTGTCTGTTACAATCAATTATACTGTAGTTAGCCGACCTTGAACCCGCCAAGCTTTCCACTCCCCTGTCGGCAGTGTGCGGCGGGCTCGCCGTTATCGTTATCGATGGCGCGGCTTGCGCTGTGGTTTGGGGCTCGACCTGCATTGACACCACAGACATCCCACTCCCCTTCCGGCACCGCTCGAGCTTCCCGCATGGAGCCCTCTCCTCTCACACACCAGCCTCGGCCGGAGGTGTTCCAGCCAAAGATAGTCCGTCTGTACGAAGCGTTATTCAAGGTTTGAGCCGTTCCTTTGCGCTTTCGTTCCTGCATTCCAAGGTTGTCCTCTAGGGGGCAAGCCCATCTGGGCAATGCATGTGCCGAGATGGAAGTTGAGTGTGGAATACTGAGTCGCTAACGTATCGTAACCTCTTTTAACAGGTTAGTTCCCTGCCCTGAAACGATACCCGCGAACCCCCACGCGCACGGGATGACGGAGATGCCACCCAACGAGCCAGCGCTAACCGGTAGCCTGGGACGATAGGACGACTCGGACGAGGCAGACAGATCAGCAGGCTTCTGGAAAGAGTTCTTCATTCTCCGACCCGACCGGCATTGCCTACGCCAGATACTGGATGAGACAGGGCCCAATGATCTACTACAACTCCAACATCAGACCAGACAGTTGTTTGTGCAGGCCATCGCGGCACTCAGACACCCATATGGCGTCGCAGACCTCCATGCGCTAGAGGTGAGCACGCAGGCAGGAGAATGGGATGAATTACGCGGACTCGAGCTCTGACCTGACTCGCCGCAGACCCTCAGCACGTTTATGCTAGCGGTACTAGCCAAGAAGTACACGAACCCGAGCTCCGACATCATCGAGCTGCTGGCCGGACTGGACCACATCGACACCGTCTTTACCGACTTCGTCAGCGCATTGGAGTCGCTCATCCGGAATGGGAGGAGCGCGGGACACGAGTGCTGCCCGAATGGCATGGGCCATGTCGGCCAGGAGGAGCCGCGCGTAGGGAACCGGGCGGGCTGCACATACGCGGCAGATCTGCAGCAAAAGGCCGTGGAGGTTGCGCTTGCGGTCGCGTCCGGGGCATACCAGACCAGCTTGCTCACGTACTTTATCCAGCGGGATTTGTTTCCGGCCATCATAAACGTGAGTGGTCCGGGAGATGGTCGATCTGTTGCCGAACTGACGGTTACAGTGCATCCAATCACAAATAGCATCCGAAACGCCCGAGATAACGTCGCCGTTCATGTTATTGGGGCTACTAGCAAACTACAACAAGTTCGAGTTCCAGAATCCTTACCAGATGCGGCTTAACGACTTCGTCAACGAGCGGGTCATTCGGGGTATTGTCAAGAGCGTTGGGCAGACATGCCAGAGGTTACGGGCGCAGTACATCGAAGTCCAAGAGGATATGCCCGAAGGCTGGACACTCGCGGGTACATTGAACAAGATAGGGCTGGGGGCCATCGCACCCGGAGGCAAGCCGCCACCAAAACCCGTCTACGATGCCGAGGCAGCCAAAAAGATGTTTGCCGAGTTGTATATCTCCCCACACTAGGAAGTGCTGCTAGAAAGTTACTAATGGGCGTTTTAGACCTGGTCAAGAAGCAGCAGTGCTCCTCGCGACATACGACTTCACCCACGCCAACAAGCTGTTCAGCCTCGAACTGGTTACCTGGGCGCCCGAAAAGGGCGAAGAGCAACCCTTTGCGAGCTTCATCTCCCTCACCTCGTACCTCCTGCAGCACGCCCACCTCTCGCAGCGCACCACGCTCTACTGCCACCTCAACCTGATGGTCTTCCGGCTGCTGATCGAGGACCCGATCCTCTGCAAGCGCATGTGCAGCGAAGACAGCAAGGTACCCGTGCGGCTATGCCGGCAGCGGTCACCCTTCCTGCCGCTGGTGCGAACAGAGCGCATCCTGGCCACGGCGGTCATGGACACGATGCTAGACGCCATCAACCACAACCTGCGGCGGCGGCTGGACGTGGGGCTCTACACCCTCTGCGTGGGCATCCTGCTGCGCATCATCAGCTACATGTCGCGCTCACGCACCCGCCTGGCGTACCACTGGGCGGACCTGTTCCGCTCGCTGCTGTCGCTGGTGCGGTTCCTGACGACGTACGCGGCGGACCTGCGCGACCTGCCCCACGTCGACACCCTGCTCGACCACGTCGTCAACCTGCTCGCCCTCGGGCTCTCCGCCGGCGAGACCTTCCTCCCCACCCCGGCCGCCTACGACGACCTCTTCTACAAGGTCGTCGAGACCGGCGACGTGCTCGTCAAGTTCCGCGCCACCTATGGTCTCGCTAACCGCGCCAGCAACTCCATTGATACGCTGGTCAGCGTGAGCACGCATTACAAGGCCATGCTGGCCGAGGGCGGTGATGGGGCGAAGGGGGCTGCTCCTGCGGTTGCTGCTGCGGCGGGGAGGCCGGCGGGCTCGCAGCTGACCAGTCTGCAGGTGGCCGAGGTTATTAAGCAGGGCTATGAGACGTTGAGCATTCAGGCCAAGGAGGGGCTGGATAGCTGGGAGAAGTATCGTGAGGCGGATGAGAGGACGCTGCTTAAGAAGATGGCGAGGGCAGCGGTGGGGGATGTGAGGGGGATGGTGGCGGAGTGAGTGACGATGATGATGATGATGGAGGGGTGGTGGGTAGGTGGGTGGCCTGGGATGGTGATGGGGAGGGAGTTGTTTAGCGGTAATTAATTCTTCGTTTTGGAGGGGGTTGTTTTGAGCTTATTTTGAGCTATCTCTAAGTCTGGAATGTGTAAGGTAATAAAATAGGTGCAGTGGTGGTAAAATGGCATTCCCGGTGAGGCTGTTCGTTAAACTGGAGGCAGCCCTGAGCCTGCCTGCTCCGAGTCAGCTGTGCCTGACCCAGAATCTCAACTGATGCCGGACCCTGAACGTGGACCAAGGGCCGAGGAGGTGTTCAACTGTGGCTGCAGCCAGCATGTGGGACGATTCCTAATGCCGATCTGCTCATTGGCCCGGCGGCGACCGGGTTGGGCCGAGGCTTGGCATCATGTCATGGCAATTGCGTTGCTTTTGCCTTTGAAATCAACAAATTGCCCGTCTTCCCAGAACAAAGCTTCGGCAACCACCAACCTTTGTGTGACTCGCCACCCTCGCAATTCGTCACAACACACTTCACGATGAGCGCACCTAGCTTGCTAACGAGAAGAGCGGTATCCGTCTGCTTCTCCTGCCGACGCAACCTCTTGCGACAGCGGCAGTTCTCCACGACGCCCGCCTCCCTCGTCGCCGCCTTTCAGGCCTACACCCTCCCCTCCCAACCGCCACCAGCCCCGCGCAATGCTTCGGTTCCAGATACCTCGATCGGAGGAACAACCCCAATAGAATCGCCGACCGTACCCAGAATCCACCAGACGAGACCACCGAAGCCGAGCGCACTGCTGGACAAGTCCATCCCCGAAAAGGAAGCGCAGCAGTCCAAGCCGGACTTTGCCGCAACACCCTCGCCCTCGAGCGCCCAACCCTCCCCCTCCACATCACAACCACAACAACAGCAAACTCCCGCCCAGACAAAAACACCAGAAGCAGCAGCAGGGGCGGCACGAGCAACAGCAGCCGAACCAACCCCTGCCGCCGCCGCGAAGCCCACCGGCTCCGCCCGCCCGCGCTCCCGCCTACGCGCGCGCAAGGCCGCCATCAACCTGACCCCCGCAGCGATCTCCCACCTGCGGGCGCTGCTAGACCAGCCGGACCCGAAGCTGATCAAGGTCGGCGTGCGCAACCGCGGCTGCTCCGGGCTGGCCTACCACCTCGAGTTCGTGGACCGGCCGGGGGCGTTCGACGAGGCGGTTGAGCAGGACGGAGTCAGGGTGTTGATTGATAGTAAGGCGCTGTTTAGTATCTTGGGGAGTGAGATGGATTGGGTGGAGGATAAGTTGAGCCAGCGGTTCGTGTTTCGGAATCCGAATATTAGTGAGTCTCTTTTCCCCTTCGACTTGTTTGTATTGGGGCGTGGTGCTAACAGCTGGTTGCAGAGGAACAATGTGGCTGCGGAGAGTCGTTCATGGTTTGAGCGGAAGGGACTGTCTGCGTCATGCAGAATGGAGAGCTGAATTTGGCTTGGGTTAGCCACATGTTTCGAGATGACACCCCGCTCTACTGAGTATGCGATGCAACTGCTCGGAACTGCGTATTTTGGGCTCATTAGAACGGCGTTCATGCGCTGCTAAAGCGCTATTTCCTGCTTCAGATATATACTAGATACCTGAGACTCTGGACGAGCATAATGAATGGTATTGGGCTTGTTACAATTGCACTTTTCTGCCACGCCTGGTGTGTGTTTCCCGGTCTTCAGCAGGTCTCCAAAGGCCCGGAAACCTGGCCATCCCGTCTCGCAGCCCGGCAGTCCGCCCGTCCGATTCGGGGAGCGGGAGCGGGAGCGGAAGCTGACCCCACGCTAATCCCGGTCCCAGCTCTGGCCTCTGCCGAGCCATGGTTGCGGGCCACGCTTCCAAGTGGGGCTCAAAGTCGCGTTCAGGTCAATTAAACATGCCATTCTTTGACATGGCGACTTGCGACACTAATTTTGGTTGAATAGCGTTCCATTTTGTCCACCATCTTGGACAAACACCTAATATTCTTGCTACCAACTTGCCTTGCCGATTTGCTTCCCTCCCATTGCCATGGTGGTCTGCCCTATCTGCGACCGGGGCGTAAAGGCCACCGAAATCAACAGCCACATCGACTCGGGTTGCCAGACTTTCCTCCTCGATGAGTCCAACGAGCAGACCAATTCTCCCTCGCCGAACGGAACGCAGAGTAATACACAGAACAACACCCAAAGCAATACCCAGAGCAACACCCAGAGCCAGCCACCGAGCTCGACACAGAAAAAACGGTCCGCCTCGACCTTCTTCCAAACCCCATCCGCGAAGCGACAAGTCACGAGCGCGAGGGCACCCACACTGCAGAGCAATGGGAATACCGGGCTGAAAGCTGGCACGAAGCGGAGCTATGACGACGGACCAGGGTACACCAGCTCGCCGACGGACACAAAGAACGGGGATGGCAGGGAGGGTGCGGCGGCACCGGTAGCAGACCCACGGCAGGCCGACAGCACAAACGGGTCGGGCCCACCACTGGCCAAACGATCCAAGAATGCCCGCACCGCACCGCTCGCCGAGCGCATGCGGCCCGACACGCTCGACAATGTCTTTGGGCAGGACTTGGTCGGGCCCAACGGGGTACTGCGCGCCCTGATCGAGTCGGACCGCGTGCCGAGCATGATCCTCTGGGGCGGGTCGGGCACCGGGAAGACAACCATCGCGCGGTGTATCGCGCGCCGTGTGGGGAGCCGCTTTATCGAGCTCAATGCCACGAGCACGGGGGTGGCCGAGTGCAAGAAGCTGTTTGCCGAGGCCGCGAACGAGCTGGGTTTGACAGGGCGGAGAACCATCATCTTCTGCGACGAGATCCACCGATTCAACAAGGGCCAGCAGGATGTGTTTCTGAAGCCGGTCGAGGCGGGAACTATCACTCTAATAGGCGCTACCACAGAAAACCCGAGCTTCCGAGTTCAAGCAGCGCTCCTCAGCCGCTGCCGAACCTTCACCCTCCAGTCCCTCACCGAAGACGACATCCAACACATCCTCCTCCGCGCCCTGCAACAAGAAGTCGAACAGGAAGGCATCGAAATCTCCCCACTCATCGACCAAGAACTCCTCCGCTACCTCTCCTCCTTCGCCGACGGCGACGCCCGCACAGCCCTCAACCTCCTCGAACTCGCCCTCTCCCTCACCAACCGCCCCGCCCCCACCGACCCCTCCACCCCCTCGGAACCAGTCACCAAAGAATCCATCAAAGCCGCCCTCACCAAAACCCTCGTCTACGACCGCGCCGGCGACCAGCACTACGACACCATCTCGGCCTTCCACAAATCCGTGCGCGGCTCCGACGCCGACGCCGCGCTCTACTACCTCGCGCGCATGCTCCAATCCGGCGAAGACCCCCTCTTCATCGCGCGCCGCATGGTAGTCATCGCCTCCGAAGACGTCGGCCTCGCCGACTCCACCCTGCTCCCGCTCGCCACCGCGGCCTACACGGCCACGCAGCAGATCGGCATGCCCGAGGCGCGCATCCCGCTCGCCCACTGCGCCGTCGCGCTGTGTCTGGCGCCCAAGAGCACGCGCGCGTATCGCGGGTTGAATAATGCGCTCTCGGCGCTGCAGGAGCCCGGGGTGGCGGCCCTGCCGGTGCCGGTGCATTTGCGGAATGCGCCGACGCGGTTGATGCGTGAGATGGGTTATGGCAGGGAGTATAAGTATCCGCCGAATTATCGGGAGGGGAGGGTGAAGCAGGTGTATTTGCCGGAGGGGTTGGTGGGGAGGCGGTTTTTGGAGGAGAGGGATCTGGGGACGGAGGTGGATCCGGATGTTGAGATGGGGGAGGCGGAGAGGTGAGGTGGGAGAGAGGGGGGGGGGGGGGGGGGGGGGGACGGTGTTGGAAAGTGAAGGGGGATTGGGGAAGTGAAAGGGGGGTTGGGAAAGTGAGCTTTAGTTAGGAAGCGTGGGTGTGGGTGGGTGTAGAATAGTAAATTATCTGCTTAGAAACAAGCAGGTGCTGGATAGCACGGCATTGGCGAGGCGTCTTGATTTAAGGGGATAAAATAACAAGCAACTTTTGACACCCGCCTTCCTTCCCCTTCAAACCCTTGTTTTTTTGGTGGTTTCCTAGCGTTTATGGCGAGTCCTTTTTTTGGAGTTTATGGTGTTCAGCGTTTTTCTTTTTTTCTTTTGTGTTTTTTTTGTGTTTTTCTTCTTTTTATTTTTCCTAACGGTGTTCCTATTCCGTGGTAGGCGCCATGCTCACTTAGATCCTACTACCTCCAACGTTACCAACCTACATCTCCTGCTCAGGAGGAATGTTGGCCGGCAGCCCCGTCATATTTTCACCGTCGCCCACCGACGTGTCCTCCTCTTGGGGCATTGGTATGCCATCTTAGCCGTTTATACCGGATACTGAAAAACGTATAACGGCTCACCCTTTGAGCTAATATCACCCCGCTGGCTTAATTAAACTGTTCAAGGCCCTTGAGCTATTGTTTGATGGTTGATCTCCGGCTTGGGGCCTATAAGCAGCTCAAATCGTGGGGGACTCCTTCCCTCGAGCGGGAAGCTAACCGCTCCTGCCCCCTTGAACCATCAGTCAACGGCTCAAGGAAGGAACAGCTTCACTGAATGAGCCGCTCGTTAATCGTGAGCTGTTTACTTCCAGCTTATGGACGTGAGCTAATATAATCCGGCTCGTGGAGGTCCGGTATGCGCAGCTAAGATCCCTCACCGATAGCTCCATAGAGGAGGGTGTGAACCAGCAATCCAGTGTCCCTGTCATGGCATAATGAAACCAAGCGCGCCCATCCTGTCGACCAGTCCCGTTGAATTGGACCCTCGCGTCCCTGGCTTCATGCTTCTGGTACAACGAGCAGATGCCCTCCACCGAGTGCATAGAAGACAGCCACTCCCCAACGGGGATGGAAAGCGGCCACTTCACAAAGGCGATGGAAGATGGCCGGATGTACGTTTCGGACGGATAGACATGCAGCCGGCACTGACCTAGCGCTCGCTGGCCACCGTTGTCGTAGTAGAGCAGCACGCCCATGCACGTCCTGCTGTTTGGCAGGTAGAAGACGCGAACTCGGGCCACGTTTCCGAGGGGTGCGTAGGAATGCTGCATGGTAGGGTGTACGTCGGCTGGCGGGTAAGCCGGCCTTCCCTCAATCCTCCCGGCCTGAACCCCGTCCACGTTGAGTGCCGCAAAGACGGACGTGTCCAAGAAGCTCGACTGGGACCTGATGCTGTACACTAGTGTTCGCGGCAGTTGGTCCGATGCGTTGAGGAAATAAGCGTAGTTATGCCTTTCGCTCTCACGGTTCCTCCCGATGACCACTTCGCCGGACAGACGTGTCCTAATCTAGGCTGTGTCAGCTTTTTATTATGTCCATGGTCGACAGGAAATAGGGCTCTGGGGTTGGGGCCGGAACGTACCAGGAAAGACGGCCAGCTACGGTGTCTATCGTTCGGGACGAGCCACTCTCCGAGATCACTGCGCTGCACCAGAGGGCCCCAGCTGAGCATGGTGTCTTGATGGGGGAGGGGCACATAAACCCAGGTGCAACGCCCCTCCATCTTACGATGGGGCTTCATCGCGGCATACGTGCTCATGGCACAAGGCTGGCTTTGAGTATGCGGGTGAATTGCAAAAAGGCTGCTTCCGTCGAGAAACAATGTAATGCCAGTGATGGCAGACAGATCGATGGTGTGAAAGGTAAGCCATAGTCCTCGTGGGACTGGGCGAATGGGATGTTGATTGAGGTTAAGGGGTGTGGGCGTGTCCCAGAATGCGAGAACCGGATCTTTGGCGTCGTTACTATCGGCCATAGCCAACTGGAGGAGACCGTTCTGCGAACGACATCAGCGACTGTATCCGGTTTTGTTCGTGGGAGAGCACTCAGCAAGCTCTGGGACGACTACCTTGAACTTCGCTACCGTGGTGTTGAATAAGTCCTCCTCCTCCACAACGAACGCCCGGTTATCGAACCGTTGTCGGCTGAACCCTGGCCGCTCTGCCAGCCTCTCAAACCTCATCAGCCCCTCGTAATCGATTGTCAAGCGAATAACGGGAGGCAACGTGTCAGACGAATCTTCCGACACCAGTTCAGGGGCAGCCCCGCGCTCCCATGACACCAATCGATCCAGCGGGACGATCCTCAGGGGCTGCAACTGTGAATCGGAGAGGCGTCGGGCCAAGTCGAGCGCAGAGACGTAGCGCCAAAAGAGGTGGTTCCGCGGTAGTGACTCCATGATAATCCCCAGAGCAACATGGGGTAAGCTCCTCAACGCAGGCAGCCCGTTGTTCTCGGCACAGAGGAGGAAAGAATCGAGCCAGCGCCAGACCGGCCGCAACGCCAACCGCACCTCGGGGACTTTGGCGCCTACCCAAGGCACACATCTCCAAACACACGTCTGGTAGAGCCGATCCAGCGCGTCCTCGGCAGAGCAGTTGCGCATGAACACCTGGAGGCAATCCGGGTGAACAACGGAACCGGGTCTGACGGGTCTAAAGTGTTCCCAACAGTCTGAACGATACGATCGACATATTTGCCACTTCCCATACTTGGCCTCCCACAGTTCACTGGCGGGCGCCGTTCCAAATGGGTTGATAAAGCCCGCCTTGAAAGCGGTCGAGCTTGCGTTTCCGGCCACTTCAAAGATAAGCTACCTAGTGGCCTCATCAAGAGTAGGAATGGATGGGATAATTAGTGAAGAAACTTACGTGCAACTACGGGCTCCTTTTCGTCGAGATCCTCGCCACAGATATCGCAAACATACCACATCCCACACACAGAGATGTGCCGTTCATTTGATGGAGGCGATGCCGGAAGAGCCATGTTCACTGGGTGGGTGCCGGTACTGTGGACTCGAGAGTGAGTCTAGAGTTGTGGTTGAGTCTATGCCCAGTCTCCAGAGATGTCGGTCAAGGGTTGATCACTTGACGAGTTGGGAGTTGAGCCTAATGTATCTTTAATAGTCCAACATAGCCCCGGAGCCCGACTGATGACTCTTCCAGAGTTTGCGTGAAGCGCGCAAACAGACATACAAACAGAGTCATGCACTCTACCAGATATGCAGCCATCCGGGACGGACCCTCTTTCACAAACATCCCATAGGCTGAGTGAGGACGAATAGCCGTGGATGACGAGTATTCCATTTGGAAGAGATGATACACAGCGGAGCGGGGACCTTAGAAAAATAATTGCATCTGCAGTTAGTAGACCATCGAAAGGCAACAAGGGGTTGTATGAGACCGCTTCCTCCGCCATTCCACAGCGCTTAATGACGTTGAATATATCAAACTCCGATATGTTACATCATCAGCTACGACTCCCAAGTCCCAACCACATCTTGACGGCTCTCGCTCCAGGGTTGTGGTTTTAGTTAGTTAACCTACCGGGTTTAGTGAGAGACTCCCTCGCACTACCCGCGGCTGCGCCGTCTGACAAGGTACACTTGGTTTCCGCACGGCGTGTTTCACAGGGCGCGCCGCGGCACAGGCGGCTCACCTCACGTGGGAACGGCAGGAAGTTTGTGTTCAAAGTTATACCGCCGTCTGTATTCCAGTGCCTGCCTCTCAGATATCCAATCAGGCAAAGGAAACCGGGGCAGGACAGAGCAAACCGGCGTATTACTATGTACTACCAGCACCCATATTCCATCGGCCAGCGACAGCCCCTAGCAAACAACAGAAAACATATCCTCCTGACCAGCAAGTGATAGTCCCCCGTAACGTTATTAGCTAGCCAGCTAGCCATTGCACAAATCCATCGCGTCCTTCTCAAGGCATGTGCAGCCTGTTGTCGTGGTTGCACGTGCACTTCTTGTCGGGCTTGGAAGCGTCCTTGGCCCGGAAGGCCCTGCACGGGCAGGCGATCTTCTCGAGGTTGGGGTTCAGCTTGCTGCCCGGGTGGCTCTTCTTCCAGGAGGTCCAGTTGGGGTTGGTGATGCTGTTGGTGCACTTTCCGGTGTTGGGCATTTTGACGGTTGGTGTTGGTGCTGTGAGATGTGTTAGCTACTGGGTAATAGCGAGGGAGCTGAGCTCTTCTGGATTGGGGGTGGTTACCAAAGGCTGGAGAATGGAGTTGTGTGAAGGTGGTGTTGAGTTGTTGGTGTTGTTGTTGTCTTGTGAATGTGAAGATGTGTGTGATGCTGAATAGAAAGGTGATATTGAGGAAGTAGAGAAGCTCTTTATATACGCAATTTAGCATTGAGATACCACCACTCCACTCCGAAGGATGCTCCATCACCACGTCCTTCGAGATGGCCTGTCGACCAAGTGTCAAACAAGATGCCACAATCCTCTCGTAAATCGGTAATCATCACCATGCCGGCGAAACTGGTGAGCTCATCCTGCCCCATGGCTTACAGCCCGATGGGTTTCAAACTACTTCCATCAGCCATGAAGACCTGCGTCGGCAGTCCAAGTGGTGCCGCGAAAACCGGGTATACGAAAATAGTTGACGGTAGATGATGGGTCTTGACCCGGTGTCCCGGCCATGAAAGCAAAACAGTCGGGCCGCGGCGAAGGTGGCATTCTGTGACTCGAATATAAGCGTGACATGGACAGGGAACCTATGTTTCGTCCCGAGAGGGGTCCTGTGCCGCATCGGGGTAATAGAAGACTATGCGCCGAGTGCACTTTATCCGGACCGCGACCTGTGAGTGGGGTTTGCGGGTTTCTTTCGTCGGGTCCAACGTTTACACTACGTCCGATGACCTTTACCCCGGTATTGCCGTTGTGATTCTACGAGACAATACAGAACATTTCGGATAGTCTTCAAGTTGGTGGATACGAGCCAGATAGTAACGGATCAACACCCAGCAACGGGATGGAGGAAGAGACATGTAGGTCCCACCGTTGCATGGCCTGTTTTCTTGCACATGGAGCACCCGGGAGGAGGATCCCGGGTATGAGACCCGCCAGTTCCTGACGAGTGTGTTACAGTGTAAGACTTTCGCAGGAACCGGGACAACCATGACGGCAAGGTCTTCCTTGCGACCACTGGAAAGACAAGGATAATGTATTTAAGATGGCAAGACACACCAAGTTAGAGCTTGGTGACTAGATTTAGAAGTTTCCAACATGGCCACGCATAGTGTGCTAGGGGGAATGGCGGAATCCTACCGCGCGTCCATGGGACTCACTGGGTTATCCATGATCTGTAGTGTGCTTCGTAGTTTGTAACGTGCTAGTCCCTGAGATGCTGACAGGATTATCGCGAGTGCATAGGTGGCCTGACCAAACCCCCCAGAACTGACCTGACCAGACCGGGGTTAAGCGAGGTACACCAAACCAAATCAGGGTGGTGCCAAGGTATTTAGCGTAATGGTTCCGAATCGTTTCGGAAGCGTTCTACCCATTTTAGTAGATCACGTAACAGTCTAGCTCTATATAGAGGATTAAGTTATTTTCAACTTATCCGAATTCCTTTCCCATTACCTCCGAAAACCTTTTTTTTTTTTTTTACCATCCCTCCTACTTATTTTACAACTATTCTAGAATTATTTCAGCGATTTTTCCCCCCCTAGTAATATAGCTAGCTATAAGAAATCTGTAAGAAGAGAAGTATTTTAAGAACTATTTAGAATTGTTTCGGAATCTAGATATAATCAGTTCCAAACCACTTCCAAACCGCTTCTAAATAGATTTAGAAATATTTACTAAATCTTTAACATTTTCTACTACTAGCTAGGGCTTAGGCTCTATATTAGGTATAGAGTAACGGTTAACCTCTTCTTTAATTTGGGCTGTAAAATAGTTATAGAGGGGAAGAAGTTGACCTGACCAGTCTGATTTGGTAAGAAATGCGCCGTTTTTGCCCCGGTCAGGTGAAGTTAAGCGAGCTCGCTTAACCCCGGTCTGGTCAGGTCAGTTCTGGGGGGTTTGGTCAGGCCACCGATAGGTACGGATTATCGCCGAACGTGGTTTAATCGCCGATCTGACTGATATCCACAAAAGCTTCGATCATGGTTACATTGGCAGGCACAGATTGTGGCCCGGAGTTAGTGAGGGCAGAAGCCTTCTGGTTATGCACTCATAATACTGCCCCCCTGTTTGAGCGCTGGATATTCTACGCTGAATGTTCCACTGTCATGGTGTTGGGATGTGGTTGTTTGCGTGCCCGGGTTGGATGATGAGAAAAACAAGTGCGATAGCCCTTTAGACGACGCCGGTTGAGTCCCTGCGAGCCCACCAGGCGTTGACTTCGTTTGCCCTTTGCTCCAACCGCCTTGCACACCGCAGCAATAACGGTTACGGTGATCGGCATTGTCGCGCCGGCTTCATCAGCCGCCAAAGGGCGCCGCAAGACAACTGAAGCTCCACGGCGCGAGCGGCAAAGCGCAGCGCCGCACCCAACGCCGCATCTTACACGCGACCAAGGTAATCTACCGACTTACCCATACTTAGGTAGGTAGTGATCCCCGTTTCTATTTCCACGGTTTGTACACTTCGCATTCGGTTCCCCTGCACTTCCTCTGCATGCCCACCGTAGACATGACTGCCAGACGAAACGCCCCATAGCGTCGCAGGCCCAGCAAACACGGGCACCCACCCCGCCCCACTGCGGTGCCGCCTTACCTTCCTCTCGGTATCCCACTCATCACCGACATAGCTTACTCTGTCCCACCGCCGCCCTACCTCCCTCTATCTCACTCATCACCGATATAGCTGACTCTATCCCGCTCCACCGCACCACACCACTGACCCGCCTACCGTTTTCCTAACTTCCCCCATAAATCCCGCCAGAACTCTCTCATCCCATACTCCTTCTCCCTCCCCTCGGCCACACTCACCCGTGACCCGACCCCCCCAAGCGAGAACAACTCTCCCACCCCACCACCACCACCACCAACCCCAGAACCCACCCCACCAAACCCACCCTTATTTGAACCCCCCAACCCCAAAACCCCCCTATTCACTCCTTTGTTCCCAACCGCCCGCGCGCGTATCTCCCCCGCAACAAGGGGCGCAACATCGGCAAAACAGGCGAGCAGTTCGCGGTCGAGCGAGAAGTAGGGCTTGCGGGCCAGCTCGGGGGCCATGAGGTTGTAGGCGCGGGTGAGGGTGTTGAGGTTGGCGATGGCGAGGGCGTGGTAGGAGGCTTCGGTCGCTTGCCAGGTGGGGTCGCGGAAGGGGGTTGTTGGGAGGGGGTTAGTTGTGGGGGGGCTGGTGTTGGTGTCGATGGAGGGTGGTGGTGGGGAGGGGGGTGATGGAGAGGGGGAGGAGGAGGATGGGGGTGATGATGAGGGGGGTGATGATGAGGGGTTGGCCGTTGAGTCAGGCGGGGCAGTGGCCTGCTTCATCATGACGGCGTCGTCGGTCGCGGTGGTCGGGATGGCGATCTGGTCGGGGCGGCGCCGGCGCGGGTTGTGGGTCTCTTCGGCGCGTGCGTAGGCAGTGGCGCGGGCGATTTGCTGCTCGAGCGTTCCGCCGCGGGCGGAGATCATGCGGGCCGCGTGGCGCTTCCAGTCGTTTCGCAGGCGGCCGCGGAAATTCGCCGCCGCTTTGGCGACCTCCTGTTGTTTCTCGATCCATGGCGGGACCAAGTCCTGGCGCTTGATCATCTTGTTCATGATGTATTCCGTCTGTCACGGCGGTCAGATTGGCGGGCGCGGTTGGTACTGATTGGCCGAAACACTCACGGTGTCGATGAACGGGTTGTCTGCCCGCCTGTCCCTCTCAATCCCCTTGCCCCGGGGGATATCTTTGAACTGCCCTCTCGCGATCGCATCCTCGATCCGTTCATTCGCCAAGGCTGCCAGCCCGGACACGGTATTCGGCATCGCCCTTGCCCCCGGCGCAAAGCGCTCCCTAAGCTCCCTTCTCATGGCCTCCCTCTCCTTATCACTCAACCCGGGGTCCTTGATCCCCATCCCCACGTAAGCCTGCGCTTTATCCCGCGCGCCGGCCGCCCTCCGCCCGGGAGTTACGCCGACCTCTCTCCTAATGCGCATATCCACGGGTTGCGGCACGATCGGCTTGCTCTTCCCCCGCAGTTCCGGGCCCAGGGGCTTGCGAGCGTCGTCCAGCATCCGCAAAACGGTGTCCTCGGTGGTCTCCTGCCCCGTCCATGGCTGGGCCGAGGCCATAGCGCGTGTGCCCAACCCGGCTGAGTCGGGAAGGCGCGAGGTGATGCCAGCTTGGGATAGCGCGGCGGAGTGTTCGTGGTGGAACTTTGCGCCGGCTACCTTGTCGAGCAGCTGGGCCTTGAGCTCCTCGCTGAAACCGGCTTCCTCGATGGCGCGGCGGCCGGCGCGGCCTCCGGTGAGCAGGGCGTCTTCGGTGGCTTGCCGCAGGCGGGTTGCCATGGGACCCGGTTCAGGGTTGGGGTCAGGTGTGGCGTCGGAGGTTTTGGAATGCGTTGGCGTTTTCGAGGTGCCATCTTGGAGTGTCGTTGGTTGGGATGCATTCGTGGCGTTCGCGGGGAGGGATGCGGGGTGCGATTGGGAGATGTGACGGCGAATTGGTGGGAGCGTCGTGCGGGATATCGTTTTTAATCGTAGGGCGCGAGCGCAATTAGCGCAAACGAAGGGTGTCGAGGCCATGAGGGAATGGTGTCGACGGAAATGGCGGGAAGAGGTAGCATTGAAGATGGAGGAATGGGAGGTGGCGTGAAGATGTCGAAATGTTTCATTGACGAACACCGAAGCTGAGATAAGCGGACAGTGATGATCCACAGTCAACCCGCGGAAGCCACTGTGTCAAACCCCCGGATCTCCGTCGGTTGCATGGCCCTGCATCAACTCAAATTCAACTGCAGATTCGTCAGCTCCGAGAACTTCAACTTCAAAGCTACCAGTGCAAAACAAAATTTAGGAAAAACATGTATTTCATTGACGGAGAAATCTAGCTCTGAACGACAAAAACAAGGCTATTTCGTATACAGGCAATACGTCCTCCCCTTTCAGTCCAGTACAGTACAGTATGCGGCCAGGATGCCTCGCGGCGGCCTGAACCCGCCCAAAATGCAGCGCAATCCTCCTCCCCTCTGGTCTGTATCCGTGTATCCATGCAATAATGCCGCCCCAGGTGCAATGTATCCCGAACTCCCTTCTCAAAAACAGCAGATCCATCCCGAGCCACGACCCTCTCAAACGCAATTCAATGCAAAACAACGACAACCCACAAGACAAAGATGAAGAGCAAGACCAAACCCAAGACCAAACCCAAGACCAACAACCGAAGACCGACAACCCCTCAAGCGCAAACCGTGCCCTCGCTCCACCCCGCAACAGCAACAGCAGCAACAGCAGCACCACCACCACCAGCAAAACAATCCCCGACCCTACGCCCGCACAACCCCAGCCCCGGCACGCCCTCGGCCTCCCTCATCCCACCCGTCACCTCAACAGGCCTCACCAGCGCCGGAATCTCCAGAAAATCGGGCTCGCCGGCGAGCTGGACGCGGAAGCGGCCGACCTCGCGGAAGCCGAGGCGGCGGTAGAGGGTCAGGCCCATGGGGCTGGCGAAGACGGTGGTGGGCACCCCCAGGGCGCGGGCCTGGGCGATGCCCCACGACGCCAGCGCCGTCCCCGCCCCGCGTTTTTGCCAGTGCGGGTGCGTCAGCAGGATCTTGAGGAACACGTGCCCGTGTCCGTGTCCGTGGCCGGTCTGTGGTTGGGGGTGTTGGTGTTGCCGCCGCCCTCCGTATTGCGTGTCGAACAGCTCCGCTTTGTGCTTCTCGAGTGCCGCCCGGAAGGCCGACTGCCGCGTGAGATCGCCGATCGTGGTCGGGGAGGAGGGGTGGGTTGGGGAGGTGGGGGATTTCGGCTCTGGATGCGGTGGGATGTCAGTGATGGTTCTTGTTGTGATGGGATGGGAATAAAAGCCGGTGACGTCACACAACGTACCGACGGCGCTCCCGCGGCGGGATTTCGGGGGTTGCGCGGCGGCCGGCATGTCCCAGGCGCTAAAGGCGACAACCCGCATCACCGGGCTGCCGTCGACGACGGGCAGCTCGCAGACCACGACCGTGCTGGTGTCGAGATACTCGGCACATTTCCGCCGGCAGAGAGCGGCGAACTCGTTCGAGTAGAGGTGCCCCGGGAATCGGTAGGGGTAGACTGGGTCGAGTGGTGAGGCCCCGACGAGGACCGCCGTCATGTCCTCCAGATCGGCTTTGCTTGCTAGCCGGATGTGCATGATGTCCATGTACGGATTGGGGATAACAATGGTGGACTCGGAAGTGACAAAGCTTTAGGCAAGTTTGAGCCGAGTGTTTCGAGCTGCAGAGAAGGTGGGGAGAACGAGTGGGGGCTGCCCTGGTTATTTGAGCCCACTCGTTCAACGGAAGGGAATGCGAGGGTTACGACGATACCAATAAAAAAAAGAAGGTGCAAGCCGCTGCTGCAGAGCATGGCATGGCAGATCGAACCGTGACCTCATCTCCCCGGCCAAAGAAAGGCAAACCCGACCTTCCTTGGAAAGGTAACTTGGCGCCCCCCAGGGGCATTGACGATCACCTATGACGTAAAGGGTGGGTCCGATTTCGGTTCAAACGACACGTTGATTGGTTTCAGGGTCACGTTCGCCCCGGACCATCCCAGGCGATTGGGAATTCAGGTCCCATTCTGCCTGGGCTCGCCTGGGCAAGCTTGGCTGTCTCTTCACACCGAGGACCGACCTCGCCGCCACAGTGTCGTGTCGGGTGAGTCCAGGTGGTGCAAGGTCCCGTGTATACCCGCATTTCGCCTCGGAGCGCTGGCCAACACCACAACACAACTCGGTGACGATTCACCTTCCTGCTCGCGCCAGCGCTCCGTCTACCCGAGATGGTTGCCTAGGAGGTACGAGCCCATCTTTTGTTTGCTGCACTGGCACGCTGTGGATGCACCCAATCAATTAGCGGATTTTGTCGCTGGTTCTTCCGTAACCGGAGTAAATGGCACTGTCCACACGAAAAGTCGGAGCTGCCGAGTTCCATCAAGTTGCAGGCACTGTCGTCACTTGGCGGTCTTTGTACCACCAAGGTGCGTAACACTCAAACACCACAACAAACTACCGTGACCAACAGCATCGTGGCACAGAGCTTGGAGGTAGTGACGAGATTGCCGCCGTGGAAATTATAACCGAGGACCAACAACTCGTAAAGGTTAGGTGGTTATTACTGCGGCCTAGGAACAACCACTTCTGCAGTACGGGAGAGATCGCATCGCCCACACGCCGAACCCACGACAAAACAAACCCACGACAAAACAAACCCACGACAAAATAACCAGAGCACAAAATGCACAATGCCCCAGTGATAAAGCAGAACCACATCAAATGCCGCCGTGCCCCCGTCATCTCAGCGCTTCGGGAACCGTCATAACCGTAGTAGCGACTGTTTGCTGCGACCTGGCCTCTCCGCTACAGCCACGACTACTACCACTACCACTGCCACTACCAGCAGCTGTGGAAGTTTGCTAATGTGTGCAGTCAGCACAGCCCTGGGGGCTCAGCTCTGAGCTGGTCACAATGTGTCGGATGCTACTAACCGCGGAGTCAAACTGCCCCTTCCACTCGGGAGGAACGGGCGCCGGCGACGATTCCACAGACCCAGGCCACGCAAACTCTGACGACAGGTCGCAGCGTTAGAACTCGCGCCGTGGCGGAGCTGGCGGAGGAGGAGACCTCACCGTTGCACCGCATCAGCGCGCTGCAAGGGCCGCTGGATGGTGCCGGGCCCGTGTGTTCTAACAGGGCTAGGATATCTTGGGGGATTCGCCGGCTCGTGGGCATGGTCGAGGTCGATCGGTCCGTTCGAGGCTTCGGAGTGTTGCGTAGCAGCCTGGGTAGGTAGCGAGGCAGGCCGCGATGACGCTGGTCTACGCCTCAACTCGAGTGAATAAGTTTGAACACCGCGGGTCGAAGTTCAGTCTTGGGGTTGTTGCAGTGCTTCCCAGCGTGGCCCAAGAGCTATTTATGTGTCCTATTCCTCAGCACCTATATATCCCTCGTCGCGTGAGCCATCCTCCTTCGGCCCATCTGGCTCCGAGATATACAACATGACAGCGCGGAGTGGGATACACTCAACGAGTGGTTAGTGAGCGAACTAGTCCTTAACCAAGCCGAGGCAGGCAGATCTGTTCGGAGAGGACAAGGCGTGACTTTTTCCGTTTGATCGGTCTTTTGTTGACCCGCGTGATTGGTGGCCGTGTAACCGATAAGTGGTCCTCGAGAGGAAACCAAGGTTGAGGAGAGTGGGTACGGAGGGACAGGAGGATCACAGCTGCGCAGCTACTGACGTCGGCAGGTCGGCCCAGAAGGATGAAGGTATTCGCCCCCCATTTGACGCCCCGTACTTTGACCCCAACCTGTTGGACAAGTTGACGGAGGACAAGATGAACTCAAAAAGCCAAAGGCCTTCAGGGGATAGACATTCGATCAAATTGGCAATGGCAAAAGAAAGACTCAGAAGTAATCGTTCTGATGGTCCTTGATCTCACCAAGATCAGCTTTGGTCCTGAGGAAGATGCTGGAAGGTGACCCCCGGATGTTTCCTTGTCTTGATCTTGAGTCACTCAAGATTCCACTTAGCTTTCCTGCCTGTATCATCTTTGTCACGGAATGAAAATAGGTCAGGTTACCTCACGGGGCGAGAGACAGTGTTGTTGGTCAGAAAAGCTTCAGTGAGCACAGCAAGGGCAAAGACCGCACTGGACTCAGACTCACAGTGCAGGCCTGACAGTTAACACCTCGTTGACCTAGCGCTGTGCCATAGAATGGGGGGAAGACGGGGTGGTATTGCTTTTCCAGACCAAGAAATTCCAGAGGCTATCAAGTTGACGCGGTCTGGTGTCAGCAGAGTCTAGCGCGGCGCTCCCCGGCCATACCCCTCACCCCCAACCCTGCCGTCCGAGTCGACCTAGGTAATGACTGCCCTCAGTCACTCCTCCACCCCGGCCTCGAGGACGTCGCCATTGTAAGGATTTGTCAATCCCTCTTGGCGGTTTCCTGTCGGGCGCCGTGTGTTCTGTGCCATGACCCGTTCTGGCCCCAGACCCAGTCAAGCTTCTCTGTGTCGACAGTCTCGATGAAGTCCGCAAAGGTAACCAACCGTCTTGGTATCGTTGCCCTAGTGCACAGGATAGTTAGATACGAATTCCAAGCAGACATCAACACCAGTTCTCTCCTGACATTATCATGAACCTGCTACCGTGTTGTGCGTATAAGTAAGTTGCCAGTGTCATCAGATGGCCTCATCAGATGGCCGGCGAGCCAGAGTAATCCACGATATCATGATCACAAATGTTCTGCCAATAAATCGAAATACGGGGTTTTCAGAAGGTTGCCGGCGCTAAATTGAGACTTTCCTAGGACCCCGAGCTAGTTTTCTATCTCTTAGCGATGGCGTTTGCTTTCTGCTCCTCACTCTTGTCGTTCGAGTTCCCCTTTTCCAAGTCCCATTGTTCCAGCTCGGCCCGGGCAATCTCCTGGGCATATTCCAAGCCATCTGCATGGTATCTGTTTGATGGCTCGTAGTGCAGTTGGAATCCGTGCTTTTTGTCCAACCACTTCTTCATCAGATAGCCCACCGCACCTTCTTCGTCCATAGTGATTTTCTCGCTTGCCCACTCCTCTTTCGACTCGTCTTCCCGCTTGAATCTGCAACAGCCAAAGTCGACCATCAAGACCCGAAAGCCCTCGTCCTTCTTATTGTCGGGGAAAACGATGAAGTTTAAAGGACGGCGGTCGTCATCCATGATATAGTGGTCGCCAAGTACATGGACGGCGGCAATGCCTTGGTCAACAATGCTTTGCCATGCTGACTGGGGCGCCTCCTCCGGCGAGAGCTTGGACAAGGGGAAGCTTTCGTAGTACTCCAGCAGCAGGCCTTTAACATGGAACAACTCGTTGTCCTCGGCACCCGGCGGGGTAAGGTCGAGATCCACGGCAGCAAGAAGGCGAGGGACCACTGTGCCCTGGTGATGGCGCAGTGCGTCGTAGACGGCGATTTCGGCTGTGTACTGCTCAAGCACCAGGTCGGCAAGATATGCTTCGAAATGCGCATCGTCCAAACTTGTCTGGTTGTCCCGAAAGTCCTTGACATGTCGAAGGTCGTGGACAAACTGGTGGATTGTGCCAGTCCGAATTGACTCGACGTATGCATCCTCTATGGCGGGTGTCCAGGCGTCAGCCCCCTCTTGCTTCCGCAGCCCATGGGAAAATCTCCGATCACACAGTTTGAGGAATCCAGTTTTCGTCGCCGGGTTGCCGCCTCCATTGTCGGTTTCAATATTGGTTTCAATGTCGACAATCATGGTGCAAGACATGGTCTGGGTTTTCAACTCCCGGATCTGAACCTGGATTGTCGGCGAGGAGAGATCGCTCTCATGGGGGAGCCTGGTAAGTGACAGGGTCTGGCCGACCTTGTAGTCCTCATGAGCAGACCTCATGGTGGCTTTGTTGAAAGATATGCTCGTGGGGTCCGGATTACAATAATGGGGTATCGAGAATAGCTTTTGCGGAAAGGAAGCAAGTTTAATACCCCCGCCCAAGCACACCGTGAAAAGCACATTCTGTGAAAAGATTAACTGTCCCGATCAAAGCTAGGTCTCGGATTGGGCCAGAACTTGAATGGGGAGGATAGAGTCACACGGTGAACAATGAGTACCGCTAGTAGGTAATTATGTACAAGGAGGCATATCTAACCTTGCCCTGATAGGCATCATGAATAGGTACATTGGGTAGGTAACCAGCTGTTATTGGCGGACAAGGTATTGATTCCCGACTAATCTTACGCAGTCGTCTAAGCCCGTGCTTGACGTGTAGCAGGTGCGAGCCGCCACTCATTGGACCAAATCGATCATTAAGTCCCAATAAGGCAGGCACTGGTTTAGACTCACGAATAAACCTCATTCCTTACAACAAAACAGCATGTAGAAAGAGCCTACTAAAGTCCTCAATGATGGAAGCTATGTTGCCCCAGCTGTAATCACGCCGGCTCTAGTCACACCGGTCTTGTTACGATGGTGTTAGTCACGCCAGTTCTGACAATGCTTTACTGAATTTGGCCGCCTCTCTAACTAAAACCCATATCCTTCTCTTTGTACGCGAGTAGTGATTTATACCGAACTTATCCAAAACCGGCACCCGAGTTTCCAATAGTCTAGTAGTCGCCGTAAGATGCCTCACTTACCCGGTCAGCTGGTATAACTTATGGAATGGTGAAGTGTTGTGACTTGGAAAAAAATAAGATAGGAAAAAGTTCGACTCAAGGGAAGGAGCCATTAACACGCGACTTCCCTCTGCATTTCTAAGTAGCCGCTCATTTGATTGAAGTGCTCGTTATCCGTTCAAATCGATTGACTTTTCGAAATAAAGCTGTTCGTTAAGTCGTATATGGAACAAGCTTCTCCCTCAACAAGCGCGGAAGGTTTGACTTGCCCAATCTGTCTTGCGTTTCTCAACCCCGCGAGGTATTTCGGTAAGCAAAGCGGCCTTCTCCACCTGCGCAGCTTCCACGTTAATTCAACCCCCGGCACTTTGTCGTTCGCCTTCTACAATCGAATAAACCTCGAAGGCCTCGTGGCACATGGCAACCTAGTACAGCACTAAAGGATGATCGCGAAAAGTAGATGGCCATTGAGGTTAAGGTTCTGCTTAATTTTATCTTGGTTTCTCTACCATGGTTTCAATTCTCTCGTCTCCATTGTTAAGTTGTGGGCTTTTGTTTCTTTTCTCCCTTCTGTTTCTTTCTTTCTTTTTTGGTTACAACGCTGTTGGCTCGCTCATTGATCGGTTTCCCCAGGCCCCTCCTCATTGGCCGAGGCCAACCGATCTGCCCCAAAAAGGCAGTGACGGGACCGGCCATCCATTGCACGTGCCAGAATTCAGGTACCCAGGCTGCCAGGCTGGGGCCAGGGGAGCTTCAAATCAAGGAATAGGATGAAAACATGACGAATAAGCCGCATCCAGGCATGTTCGACGTAATTTCTGCCTTGCAGTCTGGCCTGGTCATGTGGGTGGGAAATGCGAGTTTAGTCGTTGTCCATTTGCGCCCTTCCGAATACCAAAAGCCATGACATAACCTCTGGGCCCCCAGTCAAATCATTGCTTTCAAGGCACTCTCCTTCTCACCTGCCTCGACCATACCAGATATGCTTTATTATTTTGTGAGCTGGTTGATAAACGCTAGGGCGATGCCTGTTGTTTGCCAGATACCATTTGTCATGTACTGGACTAACCTCGTTACCTCCCTAACTTAGATTTTGTTTTCGTCCGAGAACTTGCCTTCACCACCTTGTGAGGTTCGGTTCCGTTTGGCGGGCGTGGAACGGAAGCTGTTCATTGCGACAAGCTCCCGGCTCGGTAATCCCAAATCAAACCCAGAGCAAACGATTTAACCTCGGTCTCTTCCTCTCCAGTTTCATTTCTCGTTCACCTTCCTTTTCCTGGACACGGTGCTCATTCTCGTCGCCGCCCTCGTCACTCTTTTTTTCTTCGTTCAGCGCCTCCTACCCTCCACTTCTTTATCTCGCCTTTCCGTTATTCTTGTCTAAGGTTGTTCTTATTTGCGACCACCTTCTTGTCTCTCTACCTTTTTTGGCATTTTCACAGTTTTCGGCCTCGCTGTCCTTTTCCTTTTCGTTTTCGTTTTTTTCTTTGTTGCTTGCGCCTCCTCCTTCTCCTCCTTCTCCCTCGAGGTGGTTGCATAGCCCTGTCGGCGCTGTCACTGATTTCTCAGTTCCATGGTACATACCTAATGTATGTTATTACCTACCTACCTAATTGGCGCTACAGCGGTGGAACAGGCCTCCCACTATTAACTCAGAGGCCAGCAACGGGGCCTGCTTCCAGTTACGAGACACCTTTGAACTTCATTTCGCGACCACCTCGGACGGCCGACATGAGTTATGCGATTGGTCGCGCATGGTTGGGGGAAACCGGCCTCGTGCAGCAGAGGGAGCAGGTGGCGGGCGGGAGGCAGGATGGCGGGTTTGAGGGTGTACGACGGCGACAGGGTGGTGGGCCAATCATGGCCGATTGGGTGTCGCCAACGAAACCGATCAGTGGCCGAACCAACAGCGTTGCAGCTGGAATTGGAAACCGATGCAGGCCCGAGCCGCCCCTCGCCCTTTTCCCAATACAAGACCCCCAGAAGCTGCATTGGAAAACTGCACACAGCCCGAGGTCGTCCCTCGCACCGAGGACCACATTTGCCAGTAACGGTCCCCTCTTCGCCGACATGGAGTTTTCGGGAAAGGATCTGGAGGACATCCAGCGGGTAGCCGGCCTGCTGAACCTCACAGTGGATGAGTTGCTCCAACAGAGCCGAGTGAACAGCAGCAAGATCACTTCCGCCAGCAGCTCCCCCCAGCCATCGCCCCGGCGCAGTGCAAACCAGCAGCGGTCACCACTTTTCCAGGAGAGCCATGTCCTTTCAAGCCATCACCAACCGTCTTTTGGCCTGGACCTGGACACTTTCGACCTGGCTGACCCCCATTCCAGCAGCTCTGGAAGCGACCCCTCCGAGCTGGCTCTTCCTCCGCCTGCCAATACCCAGGACCAAGGCACGAGAGTCGTTCTCCTGAACCCGCACACAACTTCATATGACTGCGATGCCGCCGCCTGGGGAACCAACCAGCCCGCTGGCGACGTCTTCGCATTCGACGATACCACGATGGATTCCGATCCCGCCGACGACGGATCGTACGTTCCGGTGTCGGACGTAAAGCTCGATTTTGACTCTGTCAGTGAGTACACCGTCCGGGAAGGCCAGGAATTTATGCTGGAAGACGCCTCGGCCGATTGGGCTCTTGTCTCGGCCTCCCCCGAATCCCCGGAGTTGCAACTGGCCATGTCGCCTGCCATCGGGTCAGTCGACAAGCGCTATCACAGGATTGCGCCCAAATTCCCCAGGCACGGCGCCCAGACTCCGTCAGAGAGCTCCTCTCATCGAGTCAAGAAGAAGCGCAGCCCTTATGAAGGACGGAAGAGAGTCGACACTCACCTCACTCGCCAACTCCATGCCTGCGTCAGGTGTAGAATGCAGAGAAACAGGGTAAGACGTCTCGTGGTGCAGCCCACCTACCCGTTCCCTTCTTGGATCCAGAAAGCAAAGTCGCTTTAGATCCAACTTTGCTGATAATTGTAGTGTATTCCTGACCCCAACAACCCCCGGGGCCCGTGTTTGACCTGCCAGCACAGAACAGTCCGCATGAGCCGACTGCCTTGCCTGCGATACATGGTCACCGACAGCACCCTCTTCCGAACCGGCCTCGACTACATGCCGTTTTACAGAGCCCATCCGATGGTCGGACCTCAGTATGGCGATTTCCACCTGGAGCGCCAGTGGACCGATGCTCCCTCAAAGATCTTGTGCCTGGGGCAAGTTGGCTCCATGCATATCAAGGTCGAGTTGCGGGAGTTTGTCCCCCCTGCAAACACCAGAGATGTAGACCTCAAGGGGCGGCCCATGTATGCCGTGCCTTGGGCTATTGCCGACCCGGACGCTGTGGTTGAAGCTTTCACTGAATATATCGACCGATCTGTTACCCAATATATGGCAGCCTACCTGGACGACACGGACCCCCTTGTCTGGAACATCTTCCAAGCCGCCTACAGAGCATCCGTTTTCCCTCTCCCGGTACGCAATTTTATCGGCCCCCTTTGGTATACTAGTTGAAACTTACTGACTGACGAATGTCGCAGAACGAGATGCTCAAAAAAACATTGAGACTCTGGGTGGCATGCCGCTTTATCGAATCAAAATGGAGATGTTGGTCCGAGACTGGCTGGGCCGACAGCGAGCTCCGAGCTATGAACCCACAGGACCCATTCTACCAAGGCCTTGACTCGCCCCCGCCATATATCGACTACCAATTTGCCTCCATCGTGATGCAGCGCATCCTCAATCCGCTAAGGAAGGACGTCCTCCGCATTCTCCAGGGCACCTTCAACACACACAACCCTCAGGAATGGTTCGCCACCTTTTTGACATGCTTCATCCTCCTGCAGAACTACGAGATGCAGATGCTCTTCCAGAGTCAGTTTGCCAGGAGGAGGGAGGCGCAGGTAAGCAACCTATTATTTCCCCACGGAGCCCTGCTCACAAGCGAGTAGGTACAATACCTGGACATGCCGCTCGTCCGGGCAACGAACTCGGGGGCCAAGACCATCCTGGCGCACTTCCACTACTGCTATAAGGGCCAGAAACTCTTTACGCCAAAGTTCGACTGGACCGCCCCGCGGGTCCGAAGAATGGCGCGCCTGGATGCCGAACAAAGCCACTTCATGTCGCAATGCCGCGATGTGGTGGTTCACAAAGGTAATTCCCGATTTCCCATCCATCCCGAGTGACACAGGGCCTGGGGCTAACGAGGCCCTTCCACGTAGCGCCCACCTTTCAACGCATCAACAATAGCGATGTGTACCACGAGAAATGGTGGTACACCAGCCAACTCTTTGACCCTGACTGGACGCCGCGCGACACCCTCGAACATGCCCCACCAGCCGAGCCCTCCCTCGCAAGCGTGGCCTGACTTTTCTTTTCTTCACCCGCTCCCCAAAGCAGTGCGGCAGCCCCTCACTTTGACCACGACGGTCTCGGCCCCCCCAGCGCTGGGTCGGATTTGTACACGAAATACCCTCCCCGCCAATGAGCTCCACTGCACTTATCACCCTGCAGCCGGCGCGCATTGGGATGGGGGGCCGTCCTAAATCGGGAAAGGTTCATTGGTGATCTCGGGGCAGCCTGCAGAACGCCCCTCCTGCGGTCCAACTCAACCCGGAGGACCCTTGGACCCGCTCGGCATCTTGAGCCGCATCATGTAACTCGAGGATGGGGATGGAGAATGCGGATTCGAGGTTCCCGGCTGCTCCGCTGTGCTATATTTAATATTGCTCTTCGGCACCCCCTGGGGTCACTTATTTTCCACAGCACAGCACAGCACAGCACAACACCATCGACAAGCGATTTCTACACGATTATTCCGCCATCTTTGCTTCACAGTCAACAATATCGATATTTAGGCGATTAAACTCAACATGGGCGTGGAAACGGTACTTCTGGGGCAGCAAGGGCAGACTTGGGGGGACCTAACGGTGAAGGCGAACTGCCCTCCTCGTTATATCCCCGTCTCGAGCGAATGGCCGGTCGAAATGGAGGGGGATCTCGCATGGGGGCCGGCATCTTTTGGTTCGGAGGACGAGTACACGCTGGTTCTGAGCGAGAGCGACGTCTCTGAGGTCAGATCAGGTCTGCAGCATTTCAATGGTTAGTATCCAAATGTCATTACCACCGAGCTACGCTCTGACGAGAGAATAGAACTCGGGCTCTACGGAAACGAAGTCTCGCCTAGCACTTTCCCCTTGCCTACTCTCGGGCCGAAACTTCGGCAAATTTCCGCCGACGTTCACCAGGGGAGGGGCTTTGCCGTGGTTCGAGGGCTGAAGCCTGACGAATTCTCACCCGAGGACAACGTCCTGGTTTTCCTTGGAATCTCGTGCTATGTCGGTGTCCAGCGCGGCCGACAGGATGAGGAGGGGAATATGCTAAGTAAACCGCCCCCATCCGCAATTTGCACCCCCCCCCCCCCAAGCCATCCATCTAACGCCCCTAGTGCACATCCGTGACGCGAAGCTTTCGAAAACGCCCCAGCAGGACCGACCGACACGGTACTCGTCTCGGGCATCGGTGAGCAAGCAACCTTACTCTGACAGCGAACCAGTCCCTCACTAACCCACCCCGCAGACCTTCCACACGGACACATTCTGCGACATCCTCGCGCTGCAGACGCGCAACAACGCCTCTGCCGGCGGCCGGAACATGCTCGCCTCCTCCTGGACCGTGTACAACGAGCTGGCGCGCGCCCACCCGCAGCTGCGCGAGCTGCTGGCCCAGCCCATCTGGTCCTTCGACAGCCGCGGCAAGTTCCTGCCCTCCAACACCCGCCCTTTGCTCTACCACCACGACGGCCGCGCCCTCCTCAACTTCGCCCGCGAGCCCCTCCTCGGCCTCGACGGCGTGCGCCGCGCCGCCGGCCTGCCCCCGCTCACCGCCGACCAGCGCCGCGCCCTCGACGCTGTTGAGGCTATCGCCAAGCAAAACCAGATCGTGCTCGCTGCTGAGCCCGGTGATGTGCTGTTTGTGAATAACCATGCCGTGCTGCACTCGCGCGAGGCGTTTGAGGATGCGCCCGAGTCGCCGCGCTATCTGGTGCGCATGTGGCTAAGGAACCCGGACCTGGCCTGGTCGCTGCCGCGCGGGCTGCAGGCGGGGAATGCGCGCATCTATGGCGAGAATGAGCTGGGCGAGCAGTGGAATGTGGTGGACGCGCCGAGGGTCATGTTTCGGTTGAGTGAGCGGTTGAGCTCTTAGGGGGGTTGATTTGGGGGATTTCCTTTTGCCTTTTGCGCGTCTGTTTTTGGGGGTTCCGGCTGGTACTGGATGGAGTTTGGGGATGGGATACGGAAAAGGTTTCGGCGGTGCTTTTTCTTTTTCTTTTCTTGACCTTTTGCTTTGAGGTTATGAGCTCTCCAGCAGCTCTTGCGTTGGTTTTGCCTTTCTTTTTCTCTTTCGGTCACTCGGGGTTATTTTTAGGCGTTTAGGGCCCCCCTGGAAAAGGGGGCCCCTTTTGCGCTGCTGGGCAGCAGATAGTTACTTGATACCAACAGCCTGATTTGTCTCACACTCGTCTTGTCCCTCAATCGTGACAGGCCCCTGAGAGCCGCGAAAGCCGTGTGTTCCCCTTTGATCGAGTTCCCAGAATCCCCGCCGTGAAAGTTCGATTCCCCTCAGCACTTTGCATGCACAAATCCTCCTCCTGCACCGGGATTGCGACTCTGGGCTGACCCCGCGAGCCCCGTAGGGCTAGATCGGCGCCCGCGCGGTCTCGGCTCTCGTCTGATTTGACGGCGTGCGGGGGCCACCCATGCAGCGAGCTCCTTCCGGCGCCCGGGCGGGTTACATCGCAGCCGTCCAAGGTGCCCGAGAGCGACCGGTTTGGGGGGCCCGCGGTCGCTCTGGGCCGCTGTGGGAGTGGGCCGGCGAACCACTGGGTGGACCACCGGGTGAACAACCCAGGCGGGACGGCGGGTGGGATACAACGGGTGGGATAATGGGGTGGGAACGCAACTTGGGAGAGGACGAACGGGAGTGGGCTTGCAGGTTGGGATCGTCGATCGACGTGGCCACGAGCCTGACGCCTGTTAGAGGTTTCTTTGACTCGTCTTCATCTCAAGTTGGGTTGCTGGTCATCGAGAGAAGACTGTAAAGAATACGGGTTACTTGGGCAGTTGTGCGGTGGTCTTGGGGTCGTGGGTCCCTCGGGATTTCAGATGGCGGCTTGGGCAACAAAGGGAGAGGGCAAGTTAAAGGCCCCTCGCACGCCTCCTAGAGGATGCTTGGGCTTGCAGACCACCGCCCCCATTTCCTCGAACCCACTGAAATAGCCTTTCGGCAGGAACCGCTCTTCGCCACCCCACCCACTTATAACTCGTACCCCTGAGACCCGCCATCATGGACCTCACCAGCGAAATCTTTACCAGCATTCTCAGCCCCCTAGCCGCCTTTCTCCCACCGCCGGACAACACCACCACACCCGAACCCAACCAAGGAACCCTCGAACCCACCCCATCCACCACTGCTACCACCACCACCACCACCACTGAACCACCCCCACCGACGACAAACCCACCAACAACACCGCTAACCCCCTGGCAAACCTCCCCCCTCAACCCCCAATCCCGCCTCACCAACCTCTCCCCCTTAAACCCCACCCTCCAACCCCCACAACAATCCCGCCTCACCACCCTCCAACCCCCCCATCAATGGCGCCTCGACAGCATCGACCCCACCGCCCGGCGCTTCCTCGCCGTCCCCGCCTTCGCCCTCAACCGCCCGCCCTTGCGCATCGACATCTACCTGCCCGCGCCCGAGGCCTTTCCCGCCGCGCTGAGGGCTGTGGTGCGGCCGGAGAGGGCGCTGTGGTGGAGGGGGGAGGTGGGGAGGTTGGAGGTGGGGCAGTGGGTTGTGGGTGTTTTGACGCGGTGGGCGGAGCGGGAGGGGGAGGGGTTGGAGGAGAGGTGGTGGGGGCTGCCGTTTGGGTCGGCGGTTGTGGTGGACTTTGTGGACTCTGTGGATCCCGGGGGGGAGGATGGTGGTGCGGTTGGGGGGGAGGAGGTTGTGCTGGTGCCCGGGTATGGGGTAGAGCAGGGGATGTTGGATTTGGGGGCGTTGAGGGGCATGTGGGAGGGGGAGGTGGACTGGGAGGGCGTGGGGGTCGTGGAGTGGGAGAGGTTGCGGTTCGGGAGGCAGGTGCATGAGGTCATCTCGTTGGTGGAGGTCGATGGGCTTGGAGAGGTGGTCTTCAAGAGCGTGCTGCAGCCGCAGGAGCAGAGGTACATGTACAACGAGCTCAAGATGCTGCTTTCGCTGGGGAGGCATCCGAATATGGTTGCGCCGCCGCTGGGGGTGGTTACGAAGAAGGGGCGGTTTGGGAACCGGAGAGGGGTTTGCGGTTTCTTGCTGGAGTGGTTCCCTCTGGGTTCCCTGAAGGACAGGTTGCTGCGGGACGACTATGACGAAACGACGTCAATGAAACAGAAGTTGAGGTGGGCGAGGCAGATCACGGAGGCGTTTGTCCATATCAACGACCATAGCAACGCAGGCTTCTACCCGGATCTCAAGCCGGACAACATTGTCCTCAGGGAGGACGCGGAGACGGGGCTGCTGGATGCGGTGCTCATAGATTTGGAACAGCGCGGGGGCTGGTTTGCGTGGAGCCCGCCAGAGGTGGCGTACCTGGAATACTTGGAGATTCTAACAGACGAATCCGGACTGGCAGAAGGCGAGCTAAAGGACGAGATTCTGGAGCAGCTGAGGGGGTACTATGGCGACCCCGAGTGGTCACCAGGCGCGGGTGGCCGGCGGTACCACAACACGGAGGGTGGGTTCAGCTCGCCATGGTTGGCTCTGCTGAAGGCGAGGGGAGCAAAAAGCTGGGGAATGGATTTGCTGGAACGGGCGCAGGTCTTTATGCTGGGGAAGCTGCTGTGGTGCATCTTCGAGGGGCAGCCGTTTGTGAGGTGCGGCATCGACCACGAAGTGTTGCGAGATGGCGACCCGGAGTACGAGTCAAGGCGGTCCGGGAAGGCGAGGGCATTTCCGAAGTTCAAAAGAACGCCGCATGTCCTTCGCCAGTTAATCCAGGCCTGCACGGCTGGGGCGCCGGAGTGGGATGCAAGTCAACCACGGTTACCGGGCGTGGTCCTTCAAGGGGGGAAGCTTCATCCAGTAGGTTCAGGGGGCGACCTGACTCCGACGACTGCCGTAGATACTCGCAATGCAGCCAGAAACTTCTGGATCCGAGAGGTGGAATTAGCCAGGGCATTCATGAGAGAGTTGATTTTGCTCAGGGGCAAGTCACCAAGGGGTAATAACTCAGAGAAAGGATCGCAACCACAACCACCGACCTCGGTAACAACGACCGGCTTGCTGGATCAAGTCCGAACACGCCCGCTATTCTCGGAGGTGTTAGAACGACTGGACCGTATTGCGAGTCAGTAAGTAGGAAGGGGGTATTCTCCAAGTCCCGGCATGTATCCCAGCATGCATTAGTTATCCTAGCTAGAGTTATGCCAGCAAAGGCAATTCAAACAGAAACAGGCAGGGCCGTAGAAGTACATGGCACAGGTCAAATACCCAACGAGAACATCATTGAAAGGATGATTGCTAACCCGAGATACGCGATTAAAATGGTAGAATTCAACGCGGCCGCAACATTACGTGTATAGAATTCCCTGTATTTGCAGATCTTCCGTGTATACAGATTACCTGACTGTAATTAATACAAGGGCTGAATGCTGATGCCTCGCTAATTAAGTCCAGTCTCGGACTTATACTTCGGACCCTGCCTTCGCCGCGGCCAAAACTAGGCAGAAGATTTCCCTATCCATCTACCATGATACTCCACATCTTACTCACCCAAAGCCAGGCACCAAGTATATCTTCTCTCCATCCGGATTAACCGGATTCCGAACAGGCAAAGCCAGGTCAAAATTGGCCCAGTGTCGATGGCCGAGGGCAGAAGTCCGAAACCTCTCGAGTGTGGCTGCGCCGCTTCCAAGACCACGTAGGTAGGTAGCCAGCGGAAGCCTTTGGACTATGTGGGTTTGACTAGGGCACTCTTGTTAGGGAATTGTAGCAACATGTTTCGAGTCTCTTCAATCGTGGAAGCCTGAAGGCAGATAGACAGACCGAGGCGAAGGACCCTTGATGGACCGTGTTGGTGACTAGCTACCTAAGTTGTGAAATTCAAGCTATATATTCGGGACTCTCTCAACGTTTTCAAGTCCTTCCTCTCCAGCATCACTCAACACATTCACATCTTACCAGCAACAACTGTCAACAGACAACAACAACTACAAGAACAACAACAAACACCAATTACCTTGTAGGTACTCATCCCGCTGCCATCTCGACTGAATACCAGCTCACACACACACTAGTTACTCCAACACACACTACCATCACAATGCCTGCCAACACCGGCCGTTGCACTGTCTCCATGACCAACCCGCAGTGGACTGCGTGGAACAGGGCCAACCGCAACAGCCCGCTGAACCCCCACATGAAGAGGGTCGAGTGCGGCTGCCGCGGTTTCCGGGCTAGGGTCGCCGCCCAGCCCGAGGGGAAGTGCTCATGCGGCCACGACAACAGGCTTCACTGCCGTTAAACGACCTGGGTGTGGGTGGCGGATGGACAGGGCTTGCCGCTGGTCGGGGGCTATAGATATAGATGGAGGGCGTTCGCATTGGCAGGACCAACGGATAATCAAGATGGAATTGTCTTGTCTTGTGTTCCACATTCATCGTGACAACCCGTGACGTTTCCCGTGTGAAGGCGGCCTAGGTTCTAGTACCTCCCAACGATTCCCTTCCCATCACCGCCGGCTATCCCGCGTCCCTTCTTGTCAGCCCCCCTGCCCATCCACTCAGTTACACAATGGTCACAACCGCATCCTCTCCTTTCCCGAGGAGCTCGTGGAGCCAGCCCCATTCGACCGGCCTGGGCGGGCCGCCACATATCTCGAGCAAAGCGATACGGCGGTACAGATGCCCATCTCCCTGTACCGGCCGTTCCCCGGCCAGAGGACTTTCATCCTCCGGCACCCGAGTCAGGACCAAGCAATACAGCTCCTTCATCGGAAGCTTGCGCCCGATGAGCAACATATACACCGTCGGCAAGCGCCCGTCCGGCCCTACCAGCCCCCGGCAGTTATCATCAGCCCACAAGTTCCGCAGGTGCTCTGTGCCCAGAATATCCAAGTCTATCGCGTTCCACGGCTCCACCTCCTCCCTCTTCTTCAGCTTCTTGAACCGCATCCCCGTCGGAATCAACCGCCCCTTTAAAACAAGCCAGCTCCCGCCCTCCTTCAACTCCCCCATCGGATCCTCCCCGGCCGGCTCACACCGCACCCCGACCACCTCACACGCCGGCTCAACACCAGCCCCATCCCCATTCTCAAACTCCACCGGCGCCCGCACACTCCCCCACGACCACGACGGCGCCCGCCACTTCCCCGGCCGACAAACCGCCTCGGGCCCCCAAATCGCCGCCACCCCCCTCGGCTGATCAACCGCCTCGGGACTGGTCACGTACCCCGCCGGCGGCAGCTCCACCCGCCACAGCAGATCCCCCAGCAGCAACGTGCCCGTCCACAAGCCCGCCACATACCGCTCCCCCCCATCCGGCCCATCCACCCCATCCAGCCCACCAAGCCCGACCTCGGGCCTCACGCTCCCCATCTGCCGCGCCAGCCCGGACACCGCGGGGAACACGTCCCCCTCGCACGTCAGGCTCAGGTGCGTGTAATCCTCCACCAGCCGGCGCCAGCACAGCGCCAGCGCCGTCGCATCCAGCGCGCCCGACCGCCAGTGCGGCAGGGAATAGTAGTGCTTCGGGCGCGCGGTGCGGTCTAGCATGTGGGTGTACCAGTCCGGGGCGGCGCTGGCTTCGGCGGCGAGGGCGGTGGTGGTGGTGGTGGCGGCCGAGGAGGTGGGGGGTGGCATGCATTGGCAGGTGGTGGAGGACAGGCATTCGAGGGAGAGCTCTTCGGGGCCGAAGTGCAGGATGCGCGGGGAGAGGAAGCGTTCTTGCAGGATCCAGCCGCGGCTGAAGATGGGGAGGGTGGAGGAGGGTGCGTGGTGCGTGGAGAGCAGGCGGTGGGGGTGCGAGAGGGAGAGGCGGAGGTGGATTTTCTCGGGGGGTTCGGTGGCTTCTTCTTTGGGTGGGTTGTTCGTGTTGTCGTTGTCGTCGCCGGCGTCGCTGTTGCAGTACGAGGAGGAAGAGCGGTCGTCGTTCTGGCCGGGGGTGAAGGTGACGGTGTAGGTTCGGTGCTTCTCTGGCAGCTCGGCGTATAGCCCGCCGTATGCGCCCTCCGATTTCGCGGCTGAGATGACGAGGGTTGAGTTCCGGTAGACCGCCCCCATCTGGGCCGCTTCGTGCCGCCAGTCCTCGATGTCGTCCTGGATGATGCACAAGCTGTCGATCCACAGGTAGCGGACCCCCATCTTGCGGGTGAACTCAACAGCGTCCTGGAAGTTCCGGGGAAGCGCTGACCAAGGAATCTCGGATTTGTGCTTTTCTAGGCTCCCGGAGAGTGTGCGCAGGAACGGTTGATGGCCCCAGCAGTGGCTGAGAGCCACGTACGGGGAGGTCTCTCCCTGGGATTCGTACAGACGCACACCGCTCTCACTGTCGGCGCATACGTCTAGCACCCTGCTCGGAAGCGGCGCGGGAGGGAAGCTGTTGCAGGCTTCATGATTCTGCTTGCAGTGCTCGATTTCCCGGACGGCCCAGGCCAGGGTTTCTTCAGAAGACGTCTTCGGCGGGACCTCCTTTCCGACGGGGAGGTCGGGCATGTTGTCGGTGAGCCATGGTGTGACTGGGGACATGTCAGTCTCCTATTCAACTAATAGTCCAAGACACAACTAAACCCACTCTCGGAAGCATAGAACGTCAACTTGACAGGCGTCCTCAACAGCACAACCTCGATGCTCCGTCTCGAAGCGGCCAAGTTGAAGTCCAGCTGCAGGTCATCCACATCGTCGCGTGTAATGCCGCAGTCGTTGTCCTCGATGAACTGGAGGATGCCGTCCGATAGGATAGTGCATACATCGCAGCCAATGAACTTGGAATGTGTGAGCATGGTACCAAGGTTCGACCGGACCGAACTGTATCCCCCGGTGTAGGCCGATCGGGGGTGGTCACATCCTCGGCATTTGCTGAAGCCGCCAATAGATGGAAATCCTCCTGACCACATGTTGTATTTTTTTCTCTTTCCGCTTTGGCAAGTTGGTTGTTGGTCGAAGATGGGATGACTCTCAGCATGAGGACTCATCTGAACCAATTCAAACGGGTGTGCAGGCAACAAGCGAGTTAACTAATGGCCCAATGGATGCGATGCGAGCTGACCCAGCGTCAGCCGGGCCAATGTTCCGCCGTGTCTCATGGTCATCGCTGACCGCCAAAAGGGGCAGTCAATAAGAGGAAACCACTGCGAGAAATAGGAGAAATGGAATGAGAGCAAGAAAGATCACCGGAAAATCTCAGATTTCTTGCAAATTGAGGGCGGAGCGGGAGAGAGAACGCGTCAATTAATTCGTCATCGACATCGAACACCCCGAGAGCAATGCACAGCATCCAACTCCATAATGACTGACCCCTATCCAGCCTTGCGCCACTCTTCTAACCAGAACCTCTGCGGTACCCAAAGGCCACCCGGTGTCGAGCAAGCCCATCTGACCGCGATGGTATATATAACCAAAAATGCACGTTGCCTCCCGGGGTACAGACAGACCCCCACCCATGCATACACTTATGCCCACCCCCAAAAACGCCAGTCATCCCACATCAAACATGTCACCCCCATATACCCCCACTCACTCATATCCTCCCCCCCTCCACCACCTCCCTTTCAAGCAACTCCACCCCATCCTCACTCATCCGCCGCCTCTCCACCACCCACTTACTCTCCCCGCCCTCCGCCTCCCACCGGTACGAGATACTGTCCGCCGAGCCCTGCCGGCCATGCCGCTGGCGGGCCGGGACCTGCGGCGACGTCACCTCACCATTCCCATTCCCATTCCCAGCATGCAGCGGCAGCGCCGGCGCCAGCACAAACCCATCCGCAACACCACCACCACAACCCGCAGCAGCAGCAGCAGCAGCGCCCTCCCCATCAACCTCCTCGCCCTCCAGCACAGGCGAGCACGCCGTCCCGCCGACCGGCGCGGGCAAGGGTTGTGCAGCCGGCGACAGCACAGACAGCGGCGACTGCGGGGGCAGGAACAGCGAGTGGGGCCGCTGCGGGAGCGGGGGCACCACCATCCCGTTGGCCCCGCTACCGGTGCTACTGCCGCTGCCGTTGCCAGAACCGCCGTTCATCGCAGCGCCCGCACTTCCCGGGCGGGGGGGCAGGACCACGCCCTGCGCCAGCCCCTGACCCTGACCCTGGCCCTGGCCCTGGCTTCGGAGGGAGGACATGCCCATGGCCATGGCGATATGAACGGGGCTGCCCACGCCACTCACATTCCCGTTCACGGGGGGTTTCCCATCCTCCTCAGCCGCCTCGGAGGTACTCCACAGCGACAGGCCGGAGTTGACCCGCACATGGCCGGCCAGATGAGCAGGCACGGTGCCGTACGGCGAGCCGCCAGCGTCCAGCGGCGGGAGCGGTCCCAGAGCTGAAGGCAGCGAGGCGCGCTCGGAGCGGGGGCTGCCCTCGCGGGACGAGACCAAGCTGGGCTGGGAGCCGCCCCAGGCGCGGGAGCGCAGCTTCATCAGGGCCGACATGCCCATGTTGAGGTCGTCGGCGTCCGGGGGCAGGAGGGCGAGCTGGGCGAGGCCGGGCGAGGTGATGGAGTTGCGCTCGCTGCCGCCGTTGCCGATGGCGGGCGGGAGGGTGAAGCTCATGACCGAGTTGCGGTTGGAGTATTCGGACCGCTCCGTGATGGGCGTGAGGTTGGGCTCGCGCACGACGCGGCCCGACGTGCTGCGGTCGAGGCCCGCGCTGGCGGGGCCGAAGAAGCCGCCGTTGGCGTACTGGAAGAGGTTTTCGCTTGTGAGCACGCCGGAGGGCGTAGCGGTTGTACCGGCGGCTGTGGAGGGTTGGTGGTGGTTGTTATTGTTGTGAGGTTGATGGGTCAAGGGGGCCGAGTAGAAGCCGAATTCTTGGCCGTAAAACCCGTCCGAATCGTTGGCGAGGGCGCTGGCGTTGGCTTCGGCGATGATGGCTTCGTCGTCAAAATCGAAATCGTCAAAATTGTCCCCCAAATCATCGATGGCGTAGTCATCGACGTATCCGTCACCTCCGTCATCCTCATAACCGGCGAGCTCGTCAAGGGGTGCATCTCCTAACGCGGCCAGTGCCTCGGGAGACGCGCTCCTCGTAAACTTGCCCGATGCTGCTGCTATCTGTGCGGCCGCGGCCAGGGCAGCTTGGTAAGCTAAATCCTGACCCTCGGGGTCTGCCTCGGGCTCGGGAGAGTCCTTGGGCGGCGACACTTCATCATCCATTTCCCGTACGGGCGGCTGCTGGGCGTTGATGCTGGGTGACGGCTGGTTCGCGGCATCAACAACCGCTGGCTGGCTTAGTGTGGTGGATGCCAGGTCGGGCTCGCGACTTGGGGGTTGCTGCTGTTCTGCCTCCGCCCCCTCATCTCCCTGCTGTTGCTGCACCTGTTGCTGCTGCTGCTGATGAGCAGACTGCATGGCCTCTTTGGCCTGGGCGAAGGCGCCGGGGATGGGCCGCCCGTACCGATCTGTGTCGTTGTTGTCGAAAATGGACTCGTCAAACACAGTCCCGTCGTGCTCAAAGTCCAACTCGTCCGCCAACCCATCATCAAAGTAGATATCGTCATGCTCGGATCGCAGGGCGGGTTGTTGGGCGGTCGCGGCAGGAGGATCGCTTGGCCGGTAAATTGACTCGTCGGGCGCGGCTAGGCTATCTTCTTCTTTGGGCACATGTAGATGGCCGGGAAACATGGGTGATTCGGCGGTTGGGGTAGTGTCCTTGGTGGTGGCAAAGCCGATCACGTTTCCGGCTGCATCTCGCGGCGTCGCCACCATTCCTGGGGTATGCGGGCTCGCAAGTGAGGATACAGGGTTGGAGCGCTGGAAAGTAAACCCCGCAAAGTTTTCCTGATCATTGTCCGGGTCATCGAGGTCAGCCTCGAGATTGTCGTCGAGGCCCTCCCCATAGTCGTCGTACTCGTAGTCGGCATTGACGCCAGGTATCCTCTCTTCCAACCCGTCGTCATCCATCATTGCGTCGTAGTCGAAATCTTCATCAAAGTCGTCAAATCGGGCATCGCCCGGGTCGCCAGATGCCTTTTTATCTTGCTCCCGTTGTCTATGGCGCTCCTCCAGCACTCTCTCCTGCTCGGCGGCTCCGATCATGTCGAAGCTGAATCTCGAGGACGTGCTCTTCATATGTTTTGGCACGGCAGAAGCAACGGAATTCCCTCTTGACATGTCCGACTTGGACAACTGGCGAGACGCCGTGGTCTTGATCGACGTCGAGGCGGTAGGTGGGCGAGTGGCCGTCTGCGTCCTTCTAGAGGCGCCGGAAGACGATGTATGCACACTGGATCCGTCATTTGGCGGGGCAAGCGACGTCGACTGGCGCGGCCGGACCGTGCTTGACGACGGTCTTCTTCCCTCTGGCCCAAGTTGCGAATCACCGTTTTGGCTGTGCTTGGGTAAGTCAATGGCACCCTGAGCGGGCTCCGCTGGGGAACAGACAACAGGCCCCTCCCCGAACGAAGGAGGCCCCGATTCGCCACGATCTCCAGACCTGGAAACGGGCGAAATCGCCTCTTGTTTGGTCGTCGAAGCAGCATCACCCGACACTGTCTTCTTCGGCCTGGGGGCGCTAAAGTCATGGATCCGTGTGCCTTTGATGCGGGGGGTCGTAGCTCGGAGCCGGAGGCTGAGTTTCCACGGCAGGATTCCCGCTCTTCCTCCTCATCAACAGGGAGGACATGGGATTCTTCAAAAACGGCAAGCCTTTCCTCCCCTTTTGCGGCTCGGCAGCGGGAACAAGTGCGGGCTCGCTTATGAGGCGTGTCCCGGCGGGCCGTTTCCCAGCCCCACCAGGTCCTTGGAGATCGGTCGGCGTCGAGAACCACGAAGGTTTGGTCTGCTTGTTTCCTTGGACAGTCCGGCGAGCAGTGACGCCAGTATTGATCGGGGGAGGCGGGGGTTTGGCCCGCGAGAGTTGGTTTCCTGGGACCTGGCCAGCCATAGTCATACCATTGCTGGGCCCCTGTGGTGCCTGTGATGACTGTGGCACTCGTACTGCCTTTCGATAGTTCTGCAGAGCAACCCCACCGATAAAGCCGGCCTTGTTGTCTTCGTCGTAACCAGCACGAGCCGGGGGTTGGTGGGCGTCCTGGGACGGTGGTGGGGTATCGTCGTGTGGGGTAAAGAAGTGGTCGGAGCCGGTCGATGCCACGCGGGTAATGGGGGGCAGTGTTGGCGGATTTGGGGAACGTGGGCGTGCATCGGGGCGTGGTGAGACATCGCGAGGGCGCTGCTGCGGGTGCTCGCGTTGCGCGACAGTAGCATCCCACCCGGGGGCCTGCTCGGGCAAGGGCGAGGTCGGGTTTGACGGACCCCGCCGATTGAACCGAAGGTGCGACAGCATCTCGGTGCGTGTCTAGTAGGTTACACGTAAAATACGGCGTCCGTATAGGAGAATATCGAGGTCGTCGAATCGCCTCGGGGCAGGAGGCGGCCGAAGAAGCATTGGGTCGCAGAGGGCGACGCGATCCCCGCGCGGCGGGGGCGCGATTCGTTGCGATTGTTGGCTTGCGTTGTGTGACAGGTTTGGCAGCGTCGGCGCGATGGGGAATGGTCAAATGGAGAGAAAAGGAGTGTCGAGAAGTTTAAGAGCAAAGAAACTGCTACTGCTTCGAGCTTCGAGCTTCGTCTCGAGAAGCGAAGAAACAGCCGCGCAAGGGATCGAGATGTAACAAACGCAGCCGGCGACAGCTGCCACAGCCAACCAACGCCGGTGGTTCAGGTCAATTCAGCAATTGGCCCGTGCACCGGCGTGCCCAGACGCAGGAAGGCACCTCACCACCCCAGCGACGCACGCCATCACACTAGTGTAGGTTGGTATATTCCTTCCCTGAGACGCCTTTAAAACTGAACTCTATCCTTCCAAGTTCCATCTTTCCTATCCGTCTTTCGCAATGATCCATATGGAAATCCACCCATATTCATTATCTCAACTTCGTATCTACATTTCGCACAATACCATACCCTCAGACTCAGAACTCATCGTATGTGTAACACAAGATGTCATTCTCCGTGTCGATTACGTCGCCCACCGTCAAGTCGGGTACCAACCCCATCGACGTCAACACCGTGTCTCGAGTCATAGGGACGCATGGGGCGTCATCAGAGTCCTCCTCGGGGTACTCTACGCAACCGGAAACTATCGCAAGTCGCATTAGTTTGTTTTCGAATTCTCATTCATTGTTCACTCTCATAAGTCTCATTGACCCCCCCGGACTTACCCGAAGTCGAGCGAGCGCCATCAGCATCCTGCCAGCGCTTCCACTGCCAATCCACGAAGCCGTGGTGCAAAAAGAACGCGGGATCCCCAGGGGACGTGGAGAAGAGCGACATGGTAGGGCCAATTCCCACATGCCCGGTGGCGTGGATCGTCCGTTCGACGCAGCGTCGGTGCTGTGTGTACCTGGTGTTTGCATCGCCATGACAGAGCTCCACCGCCGCCATCGTGGCGTTGGCCGTGATTTCTTTATTCTCGCCGCGAGAGAGACACGACGGGGCATTGGGACCGACGGGAACTGTGGTGTTGGCGAATGGCTGGATGGTGGATGCGGAGGTTAGTGGGAAGGACATCCGGGATGAGGTGAGAGATCCTTTACTCACACCGTCGGTAATGCATGTGCCTTCGCCCTTGTCAGAGAGCGGCGGCAGCGAGCCAAAATACTTAGGCTGGAAGGCACCCGACCCGGCAAAGTTGCCTGCGTAGTTGGACTCCCGCAACCACGGGATGGGGCCCGTGTAGGCGCAGTGTCCGGCCAGAAGGGTTTTGTACAGGTGTATGAAGTACCGATGCCAGGGCAGAAAGACGTCGACGCGATGGACTCCCGGGGTCACGTAGTCGTGGACCCATGCCATCTCGTCCCAGATGCTCCTTGCCTCGGCCCACACGCCAAGTGGTGGCGCGTCCATCAAACACCTGGCCGACTGGACATACCAGAGCTTGTCGGCCTCGGCCATGTTGTTCCATTCGACCCGGACATTTTTGGTGCAAGAGGCGGAGGGCGCCGGTTGGGTTGCGGTGCTGTTGCTAGGCGAGACGATCTTGCTGGAGTTCTTGCCATGAAACCCGCTCTCACCCCCTTTCATTATTTGCACAGCTTCTTCCCACGATATCGGCTCGATCTTGTGTCCGTGAGAATGGCCGTGCTGGGGGCTTCGTTTTCCATGTATGGGAAGCGAAGCGGCTGATGCGATTACGGCCGCGCACAGAACGCGGGCCCATGTGGTGAACTTCATGTTGACAATCTAGCAAATGCCGACAACAGACATTACTCATCCCTACGACACAGAAGGGTTCGACATGATCACTCTTGACTGAAACTTATCACTTGCGTCTCGCCGACAGAGGAGAGACATGATCGATCATACCCTGTTTTCGGTAAGCGGCTGCGACCCACGGGGTTGAGGACGACTGACCACCAGTGGGGAGTTTTTGCCATGACCCCTGGACTCAGCGCGGTTTGCGAAGCCACCTCTGCCACGCAAGGGAACCGACTTCGCCGATCCGACTTGGTGAAAATATTTTTTTCAGCTCGCTTTCCCCAATCGCTGCTGTGTGCGGGTATGCGGCTCGCTCCCGCTCCCGAACACGCGGAGATCACAGAAGTGGTGGTTGGCTTTGATCTGTGATAGTCGGCCACCATCAGCCCATCACCGAGTGACCTACCGTAGCATCGTCCTGAAACATGAACTGACATCGATTTCTACGAAGTGCCGACAACTAACATACTCGTGTCCAGCGCCGACAAAAGTCACATTTCTATCCTCTCCTGCCCCTCTTCCAGTTCGGTATCAACTGTCCGATAGGGGCTCTTTTAGATGGCTTGAACTTCAAACGTTGGTACGCAATGATTGTCTTTGGCCTCAAAGTTTTGATCCTTTCCCAGCGACGGTGAGTTACGTACCTGAACTTGCACGGCCTTTTCTCTTTTGGATCCAGGGGAGTTGGTGATCGACCGGCTAACGCTAATCAGACTAGGATGTCTCAGTTTGCGATGGCCGGTGATCCAGGTCGTTTTGTTGAGAGCCAACCACGACAGATGTATTATGCGCCAGATCCCACGATGTATTCATCTTGTTTGGTAGTTATTCCCTGGCTGGGTGTTGACCGAAATCCGTATAACTAGCTCTATCGGCTTACTGCCTAGTTATTTCCTCAGGAGTGAGCCCTCTCGTCGCCGTGATGCAACCCCCGGGTTCCGGGTACGCTTCCCTTCCCAAAACAAACCGGCGTGGGAGAGGTGTGCTCGAATTATCTCGGGTTTTCACTAGTTAGTTTATTAATCAAATGCCGAATTTCGTTGAGTCTTTGACAAGCATTGGTCTTGGCTCTGACAACGTACCTTGCGGGATGAATGGGGACAGGACCCGGTCGTGCCTCAGGGGATGGCTGAATTCAACCGCCAACGAGTCCTGCACACACGTCTAAACGTTAATCCGTTCAAGAATGGTCGATATAATAGTATAGACGCATTGACAAGAGCCGAAGCACCATGCCTCCCTATATCCGACTGTACCCGGGGACTTACAGATTTCCATGGGCATGACTCAGACCCTCGCATGACACCATCGCTATGCGAGTTCGGATTTGGGGGATTCCTACTATAAGAAGGCGAAGAGCCCAACATCAAAAGATCAGATTAGATATATTCATCACCCAATTTCTACCGGCTAACTTCATCTCAACACCAACATTACAAGCACTCTTGATCACAAACCACCATGGCCTCCTCTCCCACCTCCAAAACCATGCCCGCCATCCAAATCCTCGGCCCCAAAACCCACCCCACCGTAACCCTCAACCCAGCCCACCCCCTCCCGCCCCACGACCCCTCCGCCGTGCTCATCCGCGTGCACGCCGCCGGCCTCACGGCCGACGAGCTCTCCTGGCCCGAGCTCTACACCAACCCGACCCGCATCCCCGGCTGCGACGTCTCCGGCACCGTCGTCGCCCTCCCCACCACCGGCACCACCACCAACCCCCCTTCTGTGGTTACCACCGCCACCGGCCGCCCCCTAAACATAGGCGACGCCGTCTACACCATGCAGCCCGCCAACACCGGCAGCGGCCAAGCCGGCTACGCGTACGCCCTGCCGCAGCACGTCGCGCACAAACCCTCCACCCTGACCCACGCGCAGGCGGCGGCCCTGCCCATCCCCGTGCTAACTGCCTGGGAAGGGCTGTTCAAGCGCGCCGGGGCTAGCGCGGTGCCGGAGCGTGGTGGAAGGGTGCTGGTCACGGGGGCGTCGGGGGCGGTGGGGCGGACGGTGGTGCAGCTGGTGAAGGGGGAGATGGGCGGGGTGGAGGTGGTGGCGCTGGCTTCGGGGCCCAGGGGGGAGGAGGTGAGGGGGTTGGGGGCGGATGTGGTGGTGGATTATGGGGTTGTGGGTTGGGAGAGGGCGGTGGGGAGGGTGGATGTGGTGTTTGATGTTGTGGGCGGGGAGGTGTTGGAGACGGCGTGGCGGGTGGTGAGGGATGAGGGGGTGTTGGTGACGGTGTCGGATCCGCCGCCGGCGTGGGGGTTTGATGAGACGGTGGTGCCGCCGGAGGTGGAGGGCCGGCCGGGGCTGAGGTATGTGTACTTCATTGTGTCGCCGGATGGGGAGGCGCTGGAGAAGGTGGCGGGTTTGATTGATGAGGGCGCTCTCCAGCCTCTGCCGGTCGTGGAGTTCCCTCTGGAGAAGGCGGTGGAGGCGTGGGAGTTTGCGAAGCAGAGGGGTCGTCAGGGCAAGGTGGTCATCAACTTTGTGGAGGACAACTAAGTCGGCCGTGATTTGTTGGAATGGGGGCAATCTTCAAAGCACCTGTATGCACCTAGGAAAGTCGTCATCGCTATCGTTAAAGCCTTGCCACTTGGAAAAATAATCAATGGCCTCTTGGCCGATATACCGGATAGACCCGTGACGGTCGTCCGGCGCGAGAAACCGGACAGTCCGGAAAGCCCTTCTCTATTTCAATTCATGCGCCTCCTCATCCCAATACTGACCAGACAGATCCCCCGTTGGCGGAACCTTGTTGCGTCCATCCAACTTCCTGTAAGTAAGGGAGTCGAGATCGATGTCGAAGAAAGTGCGGACCTGTTCGTAGATATCAGCTTCCATTCTAGAATTCTGTTATAGTACAACCCCGGAAATGGCTTACACTAATACCGTAAACGTGCTTCGGCGCGTGAACCTCGCGGAAGTCGATGCCGATGCTGGCCCCGCAGTGCTTGCAGAACATCTGGTCCTTTTCTTTCGTGTTGAAGCGGTAGTTGCTACAGCGGGCGCGGCTATCGTTATGCCAAGTAACAGCCGAGGCCTCGGGGTCTAGTATATTACTGATTTAGTCTCTTCTCTCTCTCAATCTATCTGTCTCCCTCTATCTCACTCCCTTGTTCCGGCTTTTCAAGGCGGTTGTTGGAGGAAGAGGGAGACGCGGAGGAAATGCAACTTACAAACGAGAAGATAACCAAATCGTCTACACGCGGAGCAATTGCAGTTGAGCACCTTTGTCTCGGGCAGAGCGGGTGTCAGGGTGACGCTGAACTTGATATAACCGCAATGACAGCCGCCCTCGTAAGTGCCACTACTCTTCTCCTCTTCCTCTTTCTGCTGGGACATGATAAGCAAGCTGTGAGTTCAGAGGAATGATCTGGCGGATTAACTCTGTTAGAACTTAGAAGGGTAAGAGGGTAAGAGGGTAAGAGTATTTAACCCGGCACGGAGATGATCCCCTTCCTCTGCTTGGTTGTTACCCCTCACTGCCCCTCTTCGAGGTAACATGTGGCTTACACAGTGTTAAGACAAGGTAAGGTGCCTTAGTTATCCTCAAGTGATATGTAGGTACCTTCCTCTTTGGAAGAAGCTTTGGGGGTTCCCAACCTTGTCTTACCTGCGCTCTTGCATGATGCATAAACGTCCGTACGTGCTTGTGCCACAAAGTATTACCGGAAATTCCGACTCAACCGGCTTATTTGGAACTAGACTACCTGAAAGGTTTACGAATCAAACATACAAGGCTTTCATCGCATAGCGTTACACATTTTGCTCGGCACCGAGCTTGGGGGTAGGACATCGTTTAGTTACAGAGGCAGCGTCGTTGTAAAACCGAAGAACAAACCGAAAGCTGTTGAAGGCTAGAGAACCGGCATCTAGGTAGTCATTTTGCATTTTCTTACTCCATTTGTTTTGTTTGATGTGTTATCCTTAGTTTCTTCCTTTCTCTATTTCTTATTTTCCTTTAGAATGCGGCATTCTCGAATCTCAGGGCGACAATAAGTACTTACCTACCTAACTCAACAACACAACCTACAACCCCAGCCCCTGAAACCCATATTCCATCAACAACTGCTCAATCTCCCTGAACCCCTTCGCACTCGCCAGGTCCGCCGGCGTCCTCCCATTCTCATTCTTCACCTTCACCGGCACCCCCGCCCTCAACAACTCCCTCACCGTCTCGACATGGCCCCCCTCAACCGCCGAATGCAGCGGCGTCCACCCCTTCTCCTCCGCCAACCCCCCCGGCACGCCCAACTCCAACAGATACCTCACCGTCTCCGTCCTCCCCTCCCCCGCCGCCAACCCCACCGTCGACCTTCCCGTCCCCGTCCTCCCCCTCACATCCGCCCCACCCCTCACCAGCATCTTCACAATCTCCAAATGCCCCCTCTCCGCCGCCCCATGCACAGCCGTCCACCCCTTGTCATTCACCGCCCCCACCTCGGCGCCCCGCCCTAACAACACCCTCACCGTATCCCCATACCCCTCCCGCGCCGCCACCCCCAGCGCCGTCCACCCCACCCCATTCCTCACCTCCATCTCGGCCCCGCGGTCCAGCAACACCCCCACGATCTCCGTGTGCCCGTTCGACGCCGCCGACGCCAGCGGCGTCCAGCCGTCGTTGCTGCGCGAGGCGACGGGCGCGCCGCGCCGGAGGAGTTCCCGCACGATGGCCAGGTGGCCGTGCGAGGCGGCTGAGTGCAGAGGGCAGAGGCCGTCGGCGTTGCGCGTGGCGGGGGTGGCGCCGCCGTGGGCGAGGAGGGTTTGGACTGTGGTGGTGTGGCCTTTGTGGGCGGCGGCGTGGAGGGGCGTCCATTTGCGCGTGTTGGGTTGGTTCGGGTTGTAGTTGGGGGCGGCGTGGGATTGGAGGAGGAGGGTCACGATGGCGGTGTGTCCGTTTGTAGAGGCGGCGTAGAGAGGGGTCTCGCCGTCGTTGTTGGGGTGGGTTGGGTTGGCGCCGTGGTGGAGGAGGAGTCGGACGATTTCGGTGTGCCCCTCGCGGGCGGCTGCCTCGAGCGGGGTGCGGTTTGAAGGAGGTGGGGGTGTGGAGGTTGGCGCCCCGGGAGAGGAGCAGCTTGACTATGGCGAGGTGGCCGTTGAAGGATGCCGCGGCGACGGGGGTCCAGTTGTCGTTGTTGGGTGCGTTGGGGTCGGCGCGGTACTGGAGGAGAACTTGGACGGCTTCGAGGCTGCCGTTGTTGGCTGCGGAATAGAGGGGTGTCTCCCCGCCTTCGTCGCGGACCGTCATGTCGGCTCCGTGTTTGAGGAGTGTTCGTACCACATCTGCGTGGTTCTTGTAGGCTGCCGCCTCCAACGGCGTCCTGCCGGTCGAGGTCGGCACTCGAATATCTGCGCCTCGCGCCATGAGTAGTTCCACGATTTCGAGGTGGCCGTTCTGGGATGCCCCGGTGATTGGGGTCCAGCCGTTGTTTGCAGGCCGGTGAAGATCTGCTTTGTACTCGAGGAGGAGCCTTGCAATTTCGGTGTGGCCCCCGTAAGCCGCGCTATAAATGGGCGTGAAGCCCTCCTCGCACGGCGTATTAGGGGGCGCTCCATTCTGCAATAGAACTCTTACCACATCCATATAACCCTGCACGCATGCTGTCCTGAGAGGCGTCATCCCGTGCTTGGTCGCGAGCGTCAAGTCTGCGCCTTGCCTCGCCAGGTACTGTACCACATGCGCGTGGCCCTCGGAAGCTGCCACGCAGAGCGGAGTCCACCCGTCGTTTGAGGTCTGGTCGTTCTTGTTCACGCCGTGTTCGACGAGCACCTGGACGGTGTTGAGATGCCCTGCCTTCGCGGCCGAGTAGATAGGGCTCTGTCCATCTACCGAGGGGATGTTCAGGTCGGCGCCGTATCGCAGCAAAATGAGGAGTGTGTCCGGTTTGCCGAACGTAGCAGCCGCGTTGAGCGGAGTCCAGCCGTCCTCGTTGCCCGTTTTGTAATCCGCTCCATGCTGGATGAGATACTCCAAGATCTCGGCATGTCCGGTGCAGGCGGCCGAGTAGGCCGGACTCTGTCCTATTTCGCCCGTCGCAAACATGTCCTCTCCGTTAGCGATAAGTCGCTTGATCTCTGCGAAATTTCCTGTCCGGGCCGCTATGTGAAAGGGTGTAGGGCCAGGCCCACTGTCCTCGCTATCAGATTCATCCTGGCTGGCACCCACGGCTTGGTAATAGCTAGGAGGCGGAGCAGAGTCATGGCTATCCTCTTCTTCCATGAAAGACGTTGGCAGTGGTGCCGGGGAAACAACGGCCGGAGCCGGCAGCGCGGAATGTGAAAGAACATATCCGGCTGCTGGGGGCGGCGGGTGTGCTGTCGCGTAAGGTTGTTGCTGTACTCCCACATGCGCCGGCCCCGGCGGTATATGTGGCTGTTGAATGGTTGTGTGTGACTGGTAGCCCACTGTATACTGGTGCGGCGGCTGTTGACCGCCCCAATACGGTTGTTGTGGGTGCGGCGGGACCAAGGTCCCTCCAAAGTGCGGCTGCTGCACTACTATATGCGGTTGGTGACCCCCTATGTAATGCTGCTGGTGTCCAGGGTACGGCTGTTGTTGTTGTCCATAGTGCTGCTGTGGCTGTGGTTGCTGGTGTGGACTTTGCGTCCCTCCGTAATATGCTTGCGGTGGTTTGGGCTGGGGTTGCTGCCACTGACTCCCTTGATATTGCGGCTGAGGGGAAGCGCCGCCATGGACACCGGGCTGCTGTTGAGGCGACAATAGAGAGGAGGCTACAAAGGAAGAAAAGGACTTTGCCGTCGTTACCAGGTTTTCCAATGTAAGCTCCAGCTGCTTTCTTTCGTTCTCTTCGTCCGTGCCAACAAAAGACTCCTTTCTCAAAGACTCCCTAGCGGCGGCAATATCTCCAATATCAGCATCGAGAGCAGCAAGGGATCCTTGTCTGACCCCGGCTGTTTGGTTCTGCTGTGAGCCGATACTCCTGCAGGATGACAAAAGGTTAGCTACACGCACCCACACAAAGAGGGAGAGAGGAGAGAGGAGAGAGGAAGAGAGAGGGGGCGCCTACATCCGCATCATGCTGACGCTGACTTTGAATGCCAAGTGATGGGCTCGGAGGCGCTCTCGGTAGATGGCCAGTGTCCTGATCCGCATACCCAGTTTCCAAGCAGCTTTGTTTCGCCCCAGGAACCCGCTGCTTTTGCCGACGCTGCCCAAGACTGGTTCAAGCTGTGTTTTGATGGACTGGAAACTGGCCCTGGCACTCTCGAGGTTCTTCTGGACACTGGGCCACATGCCAAACCCTGCTGCAGGGTGAACCATCATGGCAGAACCGTTTGCGGCCCAGGTCATTTGCATCTCAGTCAGGACGGGGCCGACAAATTGAAGATCATATCCAAGGCCAGACAGAACCGAGTCCTGGTCCGGTGTCCCAGCACTGAGAACCACCGAAGTAAAACCAATGGTCTATGGCGATGCAATGCAATAGGTTAGCTCATCTCCGGCTGCTCTTCGACAGGTCGTGGTAAAGTCTTTAAACGAGATGAGAAGAGCGGATTCGTTGATAACTTGATGGTTACGTACCTCGTCGCATGAGGCCCGGAGAGCAGCTGCGTGGGCTGCAATAAACAGGGGATCCATGGTCCCAGCTTGGAATCTCAGGTAAGTGAAATCCGTAGGCTTTACAAGTTGTTGTCGTCGAATCGTCTAAGTTAGGTAGTCACACGACTCAAAAACGGCTCGAAGCTGAGCCCAAGGGGTATTTAGGCTGACTCCTCACACCTCAGGCCTCAGCCCCTTTTGTCGTATTTCGTATTTGGATACCTAGTTAGGGCTGAAATCACGTGGATGTTGCTCATTACCTCTCTAAGAATAGCTGTCTGAGAATGGCTGTCCTGTCCCCTGGTGTCTCCGCCTTTGCCCCGACCATCCGGATCCTCATTGCAGCCGGCGTCGGCCACGAGTAGCCATGGTTTTGAACAAAGGCTCGTACTTTCAAGTAAGGGCTCGAGGATTAGGTTTATCGTAGGTGTGCGGCGGGTCTTGGGGCGTGGACTGGCCCCCTGGCCTTGGGGTGGTGTATCTAGTTTGATGGGATGCGGATGTTTGGGGTGATGGTCTAAGAGTAGTGAGTGGGTGACGCCCTCGCATTAACCGTGCCAAGAAGACTATGTATGTACATACAACTAGTGGATAGACGGGGGATGCAGTCCTATGGGAGCGGTTCGGAAATACCAAGATCTGGCGGCGGAACGGCGGGCAAACCAATGTGGTGACTACTGCAGTGACGCAGCTGCAGAGGGTGCGATAGTCGTCGTGCATCTGATTTCTGGTGTCGATGGTGGGTGACCCTTGGCCGTGGGCCTGTTCGCCGAGTTAGTATCTTTGTCAGGGGCCGTCTCAAAAGACGCTCCAGAACAGCACCATCGTACCACCCCGTACATACTCTGTTCACTCTGATCATGTCGACCCATTTAACGTGTTCGGGAAGACAGTGGATGGTTTCTGCTGGTTCCTTGCGTTTTGACGGCTACTATCCACCATCTCAATAATCAGCTTCGCTCCTACACTAGCCAGCCTCGAGGAAAGGTACAAGATGTGGCTGCCCCTTTCTTCCCTCTTCACCCAACTCCAGAACAACAAAAGCTATCAAGTGTTCCAGCGCACAGCCCAGCAACGGCACTTCCACCGCACTTGATTCTTCTCTTGGGCTCTTCTACGGCGGTTTTCTTCCGTCTAAACTTCGTCTCGACTCGACTCTCTCGTTTTAGGTTCGCCTCCAACGGGGCACCCCCCATTGCCACTTGCTGTATGCCGCTCCTCCATGCTCTTGCCGCCCCCCCACCACCCCATCGCCCTCGCTGTTCAACCACCCGACCCCTCGCTGACCAGTGCTCCCACCAGGCGCACCGACGAACCCGCCGTGACGAGGCGATGGCGACCCCACCGATACCACCCACAAGGACCGACGCTGGCACAGCAGCCAACCTCGTCTCCCACGGAGTCCTGTTCGCCGCCAACCCGACACCCTCCGCCTGTCCCCTCGTCGTCGTCGACACCGTCGACACCCCGATCACCACGACCACGACGACAAGGGAAGCCACCACAACGACGGAGACACCAGTGGCCCTCAATCCCCGCGCGCCGCCCTGGGAACCAACACTCTTCCCTTTATGTTCCCAACCGCCCGGCGCACCCCCAGCGTACTCTCCCCCAAACCCACCACCACCACCCCTACCACTACCACCCCTACCACCACTACCACCACCACTACCACCAACCCTCCACACCCCCTTCCCCATCCCCATCCCCTCCTCACCAACCCTCGCGACCCAACTAGTCCACGCCCAGCTCGCCCTGCACGCGGCGCTCGCCCTGCACGCGGCGCTCGCCCGCGCAGCTTTAGCGCGCACTTTGCACAGCGTGGCCCAGGGCCAGATGGCGTGTGTGCTGGCGGAGCGCGGGGAGGCGCGCGCGCGGGCCGCGGCGTGGCGGGCGTGCGAGAAACGGGTTTCGGCGGGGGTGGCGGCCGCGGCGGCCGCGGCGGCAGCGGGAGCAGGTTACAGTGGGTGTGGTGGTGGTGTTGTGTTTTCGGTGGCGGCGACGGCAAGGGGGTTTGCTGGGCATGCGACGGCGCTGGGGAGGGTGCAGTGGTGGGCGGCGGCGGTGGAAGCCAAGTTGCGAGCGCTGGTGCAAAGGGCGGATGGGCAGATTGTGCTCGCGCTGGCGGCGCTGGATGGGGTGGAGAGGATGATGGCGTGGAGGGCGTGGTGGGAGGGTCAGGCGGGATGGCTGGGTTTCCTTGGGGAGCAGGAGGGGGGTGGGATGGGTGGTGCCCCAGGGCAACGGGGGGCTGCTGCAGTGGACGGGGAGGAGGACTGGTCTGACGACGACGTCTTCTACCCCGGGCCTTAGCTGGCGTGGGGCTGAGCATGGAGTGTTGTTGGGCGTGTTTGGACTTGCGTTGCGTTTGATTTTGGGTTGTGGGCCCGGATCAGGACCTAGAAGTAATGAGATGCAAGAGAGATAGCAGTTTGTATATAGCCTGAGTAAACTGTACACTCTACGTTTTCCCAAACCCTGTTTAAAGACTCGTTCCGAGCTGACTCGCGGTAGATGACGTGATGGGAGATAGATGGCGATTGTATTTCATCTCAGCTATTTGATAGGCCTGTTACCCAACCTTCTCTCCAAGCTCTCTAATCAGTACAGACTCAATCTCCAACCATATTATGCGTTTAACTTTCTACCGTCATGCAATGCACCTCCACCGCCGCCCCACTGCGCCTAATACCCCCCCACCCCACCACCCACTTGCTCATACAAAGCCGTCTCCTCCCTCCCCCTCCTCACCCACTCCTTCCCCTTCTCCAGATCCCCCGCCGCAGCCCACAGCTGCCCCAACACCTGATAATGCCCGCCCAAGTGCGGCACCAGCCCCTCCTCCTTTACCGCGTCCACCGCCTCCGCGTACAGCTCGACGGCCGTCTTTAAATCGTCCTTGTCGCCGTGCTGGACCAGCTCGATCACCTCCTTCCCGAGCCGCGACACCCGGGTCCGGCGCTCGTCTGAGGCCGCTAGCTCGTCGGCGGGGAGCGAGCAGAGGGCGCAGGTGCAGGTGAAACCCCATTTGCGGAGGGTTTGGCGGCGGGCCGCGGAGGGGAGGCCGAATTCGGCGTCTGGGTAAGTTAGCGAGTTAGTAGGGGTCCGGGGGAATAGAGGGGTCGGTGGCGTACAGCTGATGGTGAGTTCCTCGTTGGGGAGGATGTCGTGAAAGGCGGTAGCCGTGTTAGAGAGGGTTGTGGCGTTGAAGCGGGTGATTGCGCTGGTGAGTTAAGGGGTTAGTTCTGTGAATGACAAGGAGCGGGATAAGGAAAGCTTACCTTGGCTTGCAAGCGTGGTTCATCCTCTGTATGGTGCAAGATGGGTTAGCATCAATGATGGTCCTCACAGCTTTACCGCGAAGTACCCCAACAACTCCAAATAGACTGACCGCAATTCTCGGAAACAAAGCCATGTACCCCTTTCCGTTGATCTCTACGCCAAACGAGTTCGTAGTCATGACGTCCTCGCCGGCGGGCACATTATCAGGGTCAGGGCTGCTCCTCGCGAGGCTCAAGACCTCATCTGCCCCTGGTAACCGCTCGATGGCCTCACTCAGGAGCTGCCGACCCTGCGCCTGTCTTACCCGGCCCGGGAGTTTGGTGTCGGCCACAACGGCGGCATAGTCGACCATAAAGACTTCCCCACGTGAGATTTTCCGTGTTGCGATCAGGCCCTTGCCCTTTCCGGGCATGTCCCGCAATTCATATGGTGGTGATGTTGTATCGGCGGATTCAGGGGCGGGTGGACGAGATGAAAGTAACTTCGCAATGGAGGTCACAGCCGAAGTAGCATTTTCTGTGCCGGACGGCGGCACGTCAATGACGCTCACACCCTTGTCTCGGCCCCGGAAGTCGGTGTTTGTGAAGACGCAGTAGTTGGTATCGCCAGCGCAGTAGGGTCGATACGTCCACGGCGCCCAAGGCAGGTCGTCGTCATCGCTGGTCGCAGTCACACAGGTAGGATACGAGTCGAGCTGTAACGGCCCGGGAAGACAATCGGTTCCGTACAGGTGCTGTTGGTTTATCTCCGCTTCTTGGGGGCCGTTTTGTGTTGCTAAGGCGGCCGGAACTAGCAGCGCAGCGTAGACGGCAGCCGACGCCCGAAGATAGAATGACTCCATGATCAGTTTGTCGGGTTTACATGTCAAGCAAAGAATTTCCTCCGCCGTTTAGTTATTCCATAGCCCAAGGCCAGCCGCTTGTATATCTGGCCTCGTGCGCGTCGCCATCCTGCTTCCCTGCTTCTGCTTCCCTGCCCCGCCCCAAGCTTGCCCCACCGCTGAGCCCGCGGCCCGTTTGAAGTTGAGCAGCGCCAATCCTCTTTTTCGATTACCCTTTAGGACCAGCACCGGCCGATCAACTGTGCAAACAGATAAGACTGGCTCACAAGAAGGCGGCACACGTGCCAAGGGCTGGGCGGGTGTTGGGTCGCTTGGTGGAGACTCCGAAGAAGGTTTGAAATGGGCAAGGCGGAGCGCTCGGATCGGCTCGCTATATAATGAGATCGTCCGGAGGATGTTTGGTCCCAACAAAGCCAGGGCGGGCGACGTCTCCAGGACCTTCAACACACGTCCTTGCCACGGCGGACCGACAACACGATAGGACAGGACCAAGTCGACACCCAATCGTCCCAGAGGAGAGAAAAGGTGTAGTTTGTCCCAGTCTCAAACGCGGCATTTACGGTGGCTTGGTTGAGCGGCTTGCCTTCGCGTGGTTCGTCTTGGACACAAGGACGGACCGACCTCCTATCACAAATATCGAGCCGGTTGGCGGTCGGCCTGACGGAACGGCGTGGTTTGCCCCCTCAGCCCACCCCGTCTACGCTGACAGCGCCCACGGACCATTCCAGACGAGTCAACTTCTGTGATAGAGGCCCGCGGATTGTATCGCCAGCGACTTTCCAGCATCGCGTGGATTGGAATTCGACAAGGCCGTTTGGCACCGGCACGGGCCCGAGGAGGAAGTTGATCTGAGCGTCGTATTGCTCCGACGTGTGCGGCAGGATGGTGCGCGGGCCCTTGAACCGGGCCGGATGCAAGAAGTGGTCTCGGCACTATAGGGGATATTAACCGGCCGGCTCCATCCCCGTATTACGTACAAGTGCAACCACCACCCTGACTTTTGGCCCCGAGTTCCCGCATGAAGATCACCGTGGCGCCAAATATTCTGGTCTCGGGCCAGTAACCCGCGACATCAGTGACCTGTCGCGCCATTGCGACATCCTGTGCAGTCCAGATAATCGCGATGGTGGAAGGGAGCAAGGAAGTGTATTGGATTGCCTCGTTTCGAGATGGAATATGCCGCCAATCGTCGAAAATACCGTCATCGGCGTTATACAAATCGTCCGCGATTCGGTGGTCAACGATGATTATAACCTCGATCCTCTATCCGAATCTCTGGGTGCCTAGGTGGATTACCTACTGAAGTGCGGAAAGGGGTTGAGGCGGCAACCGACAAGAAAGGCAGGGAGGGGCAAGGGGCATTTGGGAGCCTGCAGCAGCTGAAAGCTCAAAGTCAGCGTGTGGAAGGCGCCCCAGAAGCCCTGCCTTTGTCTTGTCGATGTTTGGTCCTGTTGAAAGATAGGGTCCGGCGACCGTTAAATATTTTCGAGTGAGAAAGAGGTAGGTTGATCCGGCAGCCCATGTCGACAGGATCTAGGTGAGGGATTCTTTGAATGTTTCGAGATATGCAGTGTGGAGGGTGGGTAGACTCCTGGTGTACTCGTCCATGTTTGAGAGTTGAAATAAAAGGGAAGGAATAATTTCCGACTTGAATACAGAGTGGGAAGACCTCGCGAGGCCAAACCGGCAACTCTGAGCAGTGAGGGAAGGAGCATCGAAGGTAACCGCCAACAAACACCTGCCCGGGTGGTTAAACCTAAGTAGCACCCATTTACCTAGGCTACCTAACCTCTCAACGTTTAAGTTTTGGATCCCATGGATCCCAACCAACCCGCCCGATTCCGCCCTTTTTTATGTCCTAAGATCATGGAGCCCAAATATGGAAACCACCTACCGAAGTTACCGCTTCCCAAGGCATTTAGAACGCGCTAGGGTTGGGGTTGAGAACTCAAGACCAACTCGGAGAGCGGAGAGGGGTTCGGAGCATCGCCCAATGCCGTCGGGCGCGCACCAGATATTTGCCCCATCCGGCCTCGACCATCCAAAATAACCCCAATGGTCTAGATTCTTACCGTCCAAGATGCCCCTCCCATCCGATAACCAACCTCCCACCAAGAATATCCTCATCACCGGCGCGGGCGGACTCATCGGCCCCCTCCTCGCAGCCCGCCTCCTTTCTACGCCGGAATACCGCCTCCTCCTCACTGACCTCGCCGACCCCATCATCCCGCCCAACTCAGCCCACCCCGAACACGCAACTACCCTCAAAGGCGACATCACCTCCCCCGACTTCATCACCACCCTCCTCACCCACGATGCCATCCAGCCCCTCCACGCAGTCTTCCTCTTCCACGGCATCATGTCAGCCGCCAGCGAAGCCAACCCAGCCCTCTCCCTCCAAGTAAACGTCGACTCGATCCGCGCGCTCACCGCCGCCCTGCAAACCCACCACCGCGGCGTGCGCGTCATCTACGCCAGCTCGGTCGTCGTGTTCGGCCCGCCCTTCCCGACCCCCGCCCCGGCGACCAAAATCCCCCCTTCCTGGGCGCCCACGCCCCAGAGCACGTACGGCGCGCACAAGCTCGTCAGCGAGGTGCTGCTGAACGAGGCGCACCGGCGCGGGGGGCTGGACGTCGTCGTCGCCCGCCTGCCCACCGTCTCGGTCCGCCCCGGCAAGCCCACGGGGGCCGCGTCTAGCTTCCTGAGTGGGATTATTCGCGAGCCGATGCATGGCGCCGAGTGTGTGGTGCCGCTGTGCGATAGGGGGTTTCGCGCGTTTCTGGCGTCGCCGCGGACGGTGGTGGAGAACTTGGTAAGGGTGCTCGCGTGGGATAGGGGGGTTCTGCCGGGGCATGTGCGCCAGGTACTGTTTCCGGGGATTGCGGTCAGTGTTCAGGAGCTGAGGGATGCGCTGGCGAAGTATGGCGGGGAGGAGAGGCTGGGTTTGATTAAGGAGGTGCAGGACGAGGGGTTGGAGAGGATCTTGAGGGGGTGGGCGGAGGACTTTGACATCGCCGAGTCGCTGCGTCTGGGGTTGGTGGTGGACGAGAGCGGGGATGGGTTGGTGAGGGAGTATGTGGAGGGGTTGGGGAAGTGAGGGAGCGAGCGGCTTGGGTTTTGGTTCTACACCATCACGATGTTGGGCAGTTGGAGTTCCTGGTGGTGGCCGCCGTCAGTCCGCCAACCGGCCACCTAATGGGCATTTAGCGATTGGCATTGCCCTGTGACAGTTGCTCAATGTCGTCACATGCGACATCGTTCCCTCCCGTCACACGGCACGATCCGAGCGAGACACAGCAATCTGCGAACATATTACAATTGCGCCATGTAAAGAACACGCAATCTACGTCCTAGGGGCGCATCAGAGTGTTGACCACATCCCGAATGTGTGAGCATATACGCAGTATACAAATGCCGGCCTATCTCCCGAATATATTACCTCCCCCATGGGGATTGGAAGGCTGCCGATGGCATTTCGCTCGGCAGAGTTCCGGGATCGACTTCTTGATGCAACAACATGGGCATGTTATAACCGGCTAAGCTTCCTCCCTGACGCATTATCGAGCCGCAATATATCCCGACTAGATCATTTTTGGCCGCGCGGCCGTCATGAGACCACTGCCTATCCGACATATTAATTCCGCCTCCTCTCTCAGTTTCGTGATTATGAATGCTTGCGCGGAACCGGACATTGTCGGTCCAGTGCACCCCAGAGGATCAGCGCAGATGCTGATCGGTTGCCTTCCTCGGTGCTCCCGTCAGCCAAACCAGAGAACATTCGGCATGTTACAGGGCGGATGTACCGGGCGGTAAAACGCGTGGCGCCGATCTGACGGTAACCGTTGGTGCTGAGGCTGCCGAAGGATGAAAATTGTGGGTGTATTGACGCCGAATTGAGGTGAAGGACGCGGTCCACGGCTGTCCAGACACACAGGTCCAATTCTTATATAAAGCCCCCAACCCCATCATCACCTCATCCCCGCACTCCCTGATGCCATGACCCGCCACCACGGACCAGCCGCCACCACCACCACTTCCCAGGTTACACCACTGGCACACACCCAATAACCACCTAACCACCAAACCTCCCCCACCTCACAACCAAACAAACCCCCCACCCAACCAACAATGGGCACCCGCAAACCCACCACCACCGCCCCCGCCAAACCCCCCCCCTCCCCCCTCAAAACCCTCCTCGAAATCCTCAACCCCAACCGCTACCTCACCCTCTCCCTGCACCACCCCCTCTGGACCGTCCTCGAACGCTTCTACGCCATCCCCAACCCCCCCTCCCCCCGCAAACGCACCCGTCCCATGCAAGTCCTGTGCGTCGGCCTCCCGCGCACCGGCACCGAGTCCCTGCAGCAGGCGCTGCTGCACCTCGGGTACGACCACACCTACCACGGGTGGGATATTATTTATGATAGCGAGTGCCACTCGCCCGGGTGGGTGCGGCTGTGCAGGAAGAAGTGGTATGGGACGGCAGAGACGAAGCGGAAGGGGATGGCGGTGACGGCGGCCGAGTTTGATGAGCTGTTGGGGCATAGCGTGGCGGTTACCGATGCGGCGGCGAGTGTGTTTGCGGCGGAGATGGTGGCGGCGTATCCCGAGGCGAAGGTGGTGTTGAATATGAGGCGGGATTTGGATGGGTGGGAGCGGAGTTTGGATAGCACGCTGGTGCATGCGAATGAGAGTTGGGGGTTTTGGATCGCGAGCTGGCTGGATCGGGAGTGTTTCTGGGCGTGGCATGTGTATGAGCGGTTCTTGTGGCCGTTGCTGTTTCGGGCGGCGGATGGGGATTTGAAGAGGGCGATTAGGGGGAATGCGAGATGGGTGCAGAGGGGTGAGTTTGTTCCTTTGCTTTTTTCTACCTACCCCCGATGCCCAGATATCTTCATTCCTCTCGACGCAGGAGCGTCAAAGGTTCGAAATGCTGACAGCTACAGAACACGCCAACATGGTCCGCGGCCTGGTCCCCAAGGAGCGCCTCCTCGAGTGGTACATTGAGGACGGGTGGGCGCCGCTGTGCAAGTTCCTGGACAAGCCCATTCCCGACGTTCCGTTCCCACACGCAAACGCGGTCAGCAGCGGGTGGAAGGCGCGGGAGGAGCAGGCCAACAAGCGATGGGTTAACGGGGCGTTTCTGAACTTGATCCTGGTGGGGTTGGGAATCGTCAGCATTGTCATCGCCAGGAGGTATGTGTTCTGACCAATTCGGGACTTGGAACGAAAGCGATAGAGCTTCAGGGGGTGGAGCACGGGGAGGTTAAACAATGAGCGGGGAAGAGGGCAATGAATAATGCAGAGGAAAAAGGTCAATGAGAACCGAACCACATCATATAAAACCAATCATTTTCTTTTATTAAAAAAACATTCACAAACAGGGGCTGCGTCCTTTCATGTCATAACTGCACGCGTTAATTGGCTGGATATCTCAAGAAGCTAAGAGAACAGCTATCCGGAGCCGTTGGGATGTCGCTCAAGCCTGGAACGCAGCTCCTCGCTCGGGGTATCAATGCTGTTTATCCAAAGGCTGAAAAGACCAAGCAACACTGTTGTAGACCGGCAACTCCAATCCTGCCCATTTATAACGCCAACCGATGCAAAATCGACGCCCACCCTGTCTATTCATCCAACTCCCGGGACCACCCTGTCTATCCAACTCCAACTCCCGGGACTACCAACGCCCCCATCTTTCTCAGCGCCGCGCTAGCAAACCAACGGGTTGCTCACGAACTCCTTCTGCCATACGGCTCGAACGGGAACATGGCGGCAACAATACCCAAGCCGGCGAACAGGGCGCCGCAGATGTAGATGGGCGCGGACGTGGTGGTGTCGGCCTCGGTAGCGATGACGGCGGACAAGGCTCCCATGATCCGGTTACCGGCGACGGCGACACCGTTGCCCGTGGCGCGGTGGGCGCTGGGGAGCACCTCGGGAGTGTAGGCGAACAGGACACCGTAGTAGATGTTGAGGCAGAAGGCGATGGTGCACGAGAAGCCGACGTTCTGGTCCGCGGTGCGCACGGCCGTGTAGGCGAAGAAGAAGGCAGCCGTCAGGAGCGCACCGATCAGCATGGTGTACCGACGGCCAAGGAGCGGGATGTTGCACATCCAAGCGGCTAGGATCGGGCTGAAAATGCCGCTGATGTTGGTCAGGGCGTAGTTGCGCCACTTCTCGAAAGAGGTAACGTCAACCTCGGCGCCGCGCGAGGCGAGATAGTTGGGGAGGAAGGCGTAGAACAAGGGGTACACAATTCCGATCATCATCCAGGACAGCCAAATCATCAGGGTCGAGAGAGTGGTCTTGCGTGTCGTGAACAGGCCGCTGAGGTGACCCAACATCTCGCCGAAGGAGAAACCGTTGGATTGGTTGATTATCGTGCCACACGCAACCAGCTTCTCGACCGTCAGGCTACAAGGGCGGTCGTACTTCAAGGCCAGGGACTGGAAGGTCTCGACGACCTTCTCATCTTCTCCCATGCTGAGGAGGTACTTCGGCGTCTCCTTAAGCTTGACCAGGGTAAGGCGAAGGACCGACATGACGAACACCAGGGCACCGCTGGCAAACATGACGTATCTCCAGCCCATGTTGTTGGCCCGAGTGCATGTTTCGACGGAAGCGCAGTTCCACTGCTCAGGGACTATGAGGTGTTAGCGTATTTAAAGACGCCTTCCCTCGCCGCTATCACACGCACCTAAAAAGCCCCAGGCGATAAAGCCGGTGATGGCCTGCCCAACACCCCACCAGAGAGCCATGAGGGTGACAGCCCACTGCTTGTTGCCTGGCAAAAACTCCAAGAAGACGGTGGTATCCAAGACCAGGTTGCCGCCGGCACCGAAGCCGATCAGGGCAATGAAGAGCCCAAGCGAAGGCCAGTTGGGCATGCCGCCGGCGACAATGGTTGCGATACAGCAGATGATCAGCGAGAAGTTGAAGGCATGTTTGCGGCCGATGATATCGGCGCCGAGACCCCAGAACAAGGAGCCGACGAACATGCCGGCGTAGAGGGCGATAGTCATGGCGGTCGCGTAACCATGCTCGCCGAACTCGCGGTAGGCCTGGCCTGCAATGACGGACTGGAGCAGCATGACAAGTGAGTCGACCGCATATCTGGGACGTTAACAAGGTCGATTAACTGGACAGCAGAGGCGTACTCACCCGAATCCGTTGAGGCAGAACAGTATGCTATGGTAGGGAGTCCACCCGAGCTCATTGATGGCCTAGGATCACCAAGTCAGTATAGAACAAGGCCCCCAAGTCTCCTCGAAGCTCGACTTACATCGTTCACCAGAGCCATCTTCCGGCTCAGAGCAGGGTCGTGTCCATGGTGAGCTAGTAGGTCCTGTTCCTTGCTGGTCTCGGAGTTGGAGTCCGAGACGTATCCGGCGGCATTTCTGTCAACGGGCTGCGAACCCTCGGTGAGACTTTTGTCTGCATTCATTGTGCTAAAAGTGGCAGTGCACGCGCACGTACTCTCGCGACCAAACGTCGCGGGATAGCTAGGTGGAGGAGTAGACGGAGGGCTGCGCTCGGAGGGGGAGGCTTCTAGGAGTCGAGATGGCAACGAACCGCGTGTCGAGGGCCGAACGACGGAGGTCGGAACAATACTTTTCTCTCTCTGACTTTAGAGGGGAGAGGATCAGGGGCGTGAGGGAGCGGCGGAAGTTGAGGAGGGCTGCATCGAACGGCTCGAGACAGATAGAAGCAGAGGCGAGGAGTGTCCGGGACGAAGGGGGGGGGTCTTGTCGAAGGCCGGACCTAGGGAGCGGTGCGAGAGGGGGACCTGAGTCTTTATTCGAAGACGGGAGAGACCGAGAGAGGGGTACCGAGAGAATGGAAAGATTTGAAGGGATCGACAGGGTCCTCGTGCCACATTTTAAACTCGGAAGGGGCGGGCGGCAGGCAGCGCAGGAGAAGCGATTCCCCGCCGCCTCCCCCAAGCTGCCAAGTTTTCGACGTCCATTCAGTTCAGCTCAATAAAGAGAAGATCAACTATTGGGCGTGGGGCCAATGGTGGGCTCCCAAACTTCTCCCATTGAAAATATGCAGCATTTTCATGGGGGGAGCCTTGCCCATGGGAACCGCGATGGAGGATACCCTGAAGCACAACTGCCTTTTCGAGAGCTCTGCGAAAACCACGACTGGCTGCCAACCGCCGCGGGGCAGTCTTGGCTTGCGTCAGCCAAGGCCTGGGACGTGGGGCAAGAGTAAAAAGGCGGATCCCTCAAAGTTTTACGCCGAGTCAGAGCACGAGGAGAGGGTGCGTGGCTGCCAAGACCGGCTACCTATTCGGTTCTTTAGCCTCTCAGCGTGCAGACCTTCTGCCGACCGAGGTTCTTGACAGAAGGCGAGGGCCCTGGGATTTGGTGCGATCGTCGGGTCATTCTCAAAAGAATACACTACCCAGGTGGTCGGACTCGCCCGTCGTTGCACCGGGAGGATTTTCCGGGGTTACTCTGCATGTAAGTCTAACGTCCCTTTCGCACACCGAAAATTTTCGGAAAAAGCTTGATGAATCGGAGAGTCCGAGAGGGAGTCTGAGGAACTGAACTCGGTAGGAGTTGAGACGAACTGCTCGTCCAATGACGTAACTTGAAGATAGTAGTATTTACTGGTGGTGGCTTGGGTTCAATCCAAGCATGCAACAAAGTATCGACAAGAAGCGAAGACCCTACGAAGTATGTACAGAGCGACCCTCCTCCGTGGACGGACCGCCCCGCTCTCGACTCAGCACCTCAGCTCTGAACCAATCCCGTCCCTTCCTTACAGGCATTGGGAGTACCAGTCGTTAACAACATTGCACTTGTACGGCGAGGCGCACACCGTGCAGCCGCTGTAGCCGTTGCCGCCGCATTGCGACCACTGCGCGGCGGTGCAGCCACCAGCGCCCGCCGTGGTCGAAGTGGCCGGTGCCGGAGTGGTGGTCGTCGAGGAGACCTTGGTGGTCGAGGTAACAAGGGTGGTCGAGGACGAGACGGGGGCCTTCGTAGTGCTGCTGCTAACAACGCTGCTGCTGCTGCTGCCCTCACCACCGGAAGGGGCGCCTTTTGAGATTTCCGTTAGCGAACTTGCACTCTTGGGTGGACGTCCTCCTTCGTATCACCAGTGACCAGGCAGGTAGGAAGGGTACTACTCACCAGGGCCGGCAACATTGGTGGTTAGGCTGCCGCTCTCGATATAAACACCAGACCAGTAGTAGTCCTCATCGTTATCCGGGTACCCGGAGCGCGGGAGCTCAAGTACACCAACGTGCCAGTCGGCGCCGTTGCTGCTGGTGCTCGTGCTGACGGGGGCGATCTTCTGGGTCAGGGCGTCGCTGCCGGTCGAGTGCCAGAAGGCGACCGTGTTGGCGCTGAAGTCGATCTCGTAGGCGACGTTGTGCCACACGTCGGCCTCCCACTCGGTGCTCCACTGGGTCTGCCCGCCGACGCACCACCGCAGCAGCGTGTCCGAGATGCCGGGAGCGCCCGACAGCCAGCCGGCCTTGAGCTCGGTGAAGTGGCTCTCGAAGAAGGCGATCTGGTGCTCGCGCGTGGTGGCTGGGGCGTTGGTGTCCTTGCGCATCAGCGAGAAGTGGTAGTACAGCTTGCCCTGGTTGATGGCCGCCGTCGTCTGGGGGATCAACTCGGTGCGGCGCATGTTCTGGCCGTTCCAGTAGGCCGTGTTGTCGAGCGTGATCTTGGCGCCCTGCTTGGAGCCCGAGTCGGCCGGGTTCTTGAAGTCGGGCGACAGGTTGACGTACGAAGTCACCGGGGACGAGCCGTGGATGTAGTACTCTAAGTCCCGAGTGTTAGCCCAAGCCTCCTCACCTAGAACGGAGAGGTGGTGTGTAAGAGGTGCTTGGTGACGTACGGTACGGGCCGACCTGGTTCCCCCACGACCAGTTGTTCAGGTCGGTCGAGGAGCTGAGGTCGTTGAAGCGGCCATCCCAGATGACGGTGCCCGCCGACACGGACAGGGCGTTGGCGACGAGGCTGGACAGGATCGAGAACTTCATCTTGGCGGGATAAAAAGCGGCGACCTCAGAGGCTGAACAGGAAACCAAGGGTCGAAGTAAGAGAAGGATGGATGTTAAGATCTTATAAGGGGCATCCGGCACCCACCCCCACATATCGCACCCCTTGACGCCTTCATCCCGGTTGCTGGGTCCTCTTTGATCCACGCGCCCGGTCTATCACCGTCCGTAATATGTACAAGGGCGGTGGGTAAGTTGCGAGGATGCGACATGGCGTGTCGAAGTGGCATATAATTAGGCATTCGGACGCCGTACACCCGCAATGACGGCCCGCTTTGAGATCGGGTGCGGAGGAAGAAGAGGGCTTAGAGTCGTAATCTCACGGAAGGACCTCGAAATCTGTCCCGTTTTGGTTCTCGTTCCTGGTTTCGCATGACCCCTGGTGGAGCCGAGGCCGGTCTTGTTCCCGAGAACCAGGGAAGCTGCGCCAATCATGAGAACAGTTGCGGGGGCCAAGAGACCAAGAGAGAAAGCTTGAGCAGCTTGGGGAGCTTGTTCGCGAGCTAAAAGGCTGCTAAACCGCCCCGTGCATCTGACAGCTCCTGAAATTTCCTACTTGGTCGTTCCGCCTCGCTTCAGCCCGTTATATTGATGCCCACATGACACGACCGTTATTTTCTGAGTCTCTGGTTCCGGTCCGGAAACATGCGCAACAATCCCGGATGTAACGAACTGCTCAGTTCTCGAAGCTGTTCTCACTGCACGATGGAATGTAGGATCAGGACTCAGCAGCTTCTTAGCTATGCTCTTATTCATACTCAGTTAAGTGAGGGTGTTTGGCTACCAGATAGGTACCTAGTCTAATTGAGAGACAACTAGAGTCGGGGGGTATCCGCTCGTCGTACACACGTGAAAACACTACTACGCTGGGTGAGCTCAACCCTTCAAGTGCCCCAACAACATCAAAAGCAGGATCCACTCCAGGTCGAAGTTGAAACGACGACGATTCGCTAGGCCCAATAGCTTTAACTTCAGGTAGTTAAATATTCGCCCGATGCGCTTGCCTCCAGACCCAACGCGACCTCGGCGCATCGGAATAAGGGGTGGCTCCCCCTACTGTTCTCAACAGTCCAAAGATTGCCTTTGGTAAACTACCAAGCCCCTTTGACGCAGCAATAGAGGTTGGTTCAGCAGAGCTGGGGGATATATCATACACTCGAGATAAAGGGGTTTAGGGCTGCAGGGCACTGGTGACAATACCCTTGGGCGGCTTTGTGTTAACGTATCCAAGTTACCTGGCTATGCTCCGGGCCACTCAGTATACGATTGACTGTCCCTGAAAGTTTCAAATACACGCTCGCTTGGTTGGTAATAGTCAACGAATAGTAGGGAATAGCGGAACCCGTGTAGGTGTTGACGCTCTGCCTCCATGGGCAATGCCACCAACTTACAAGACATGCGAGAGTTTCACGGGTGCCAGATTGTAAATACCCGATTGTATGCATATATATACCCATATATACGATATTAACGCCCCCAAAAGTCACATATCGCTAAGATGAGCACGCAAGAAAGTGTCTTTCAGGAACCCCATTCCTCTCCCCCCCCCTCCCTTCCATCAACACCCCCTTTCTCTCAGCCCCTTACCAGAGTTTAACCTTCTGCATGCTCCCCTCCTCGCTCAGCGCGCGGTGCATATCAAAAGCATTCCACAGCAGGTGCGGCTCGTGGCCCATACCCTTACGCAGACACTCACTCTCGGCTTTCTCAAAATAAGCACGGAGGATAGGCCGATACACATCATGGGCGCACTGGTCAATAATAACGCGGGCGCGCTCGCGGGGGCTCAGGCCGCGGACGTCGGCCAGGCCGTTCTCGGTGACGACGATGTCGAGGTCGTGCTCGGTCTGGTCGACGTGGGTGCACATGGGCACGATGCAGCTGACGCCGTGCGGGTCGGTCTTGGAGGGCCGCGTCGAGGGCGTGTGCATGATGCTGTACTTGGCGCTCCGCAAAAAGTCGGCCGACCCCCCCAGCCCGTTGAGCATCCGGCTGCCCATCACGCACGTCGAGTTGGCGTGCGCGTAGATGTCGACCTCGACGGGCGTGTTCATGCCGATGACGCCCAGGCGGCGGATGATCTCGGGCGAGTTGGAGACCTGCTGCGAGCGGAGGAGCAGCTTGTCGTGGTAGGCTTCCCAGTTCTCGTAGAAGCGCTCGAAGCCGGCTGGGGAGAAGCGCACCGAGGTGGCTGTGGCGAAGTCGAGGCGGCCCGAGTCGAAGAGGTCGAGGAAGGTGTCCTGGATGACTTCGGTCCACACCTTGAGGTTGCGGAAGTTGGAATTGTCGAGGCCGCCGATGACGGCGTTGGCGATGTTTCCGATACCCGATTGCAGTGGCAGAAGGTTAGCGGGGAGGCGACCGTGCTTGACCTCATGCTCGAAGAACTCGATCAGGTGGCCGGCGATCTTCTGCGACGTCTCATCGGCCGGGGAGTTGGGAAGGGTCTGGTCCTGGTAGTCGGACTCGAGAATCCCGACCACCTTCTCCGGGTCGATGGGAATCGAGTTGGTGCCGATGCGGTCCTCGACGTTGGTGATCAGATACGGCTTCCGGCGCGGCGGCAGGTCGGTCATGGTGATGTCGTGAAGGCCATCAAAGTTGGGCAGGGCAGTGTTGACCTCGATGACGATCTTGTCAGCGAGCTGGAGAAGCTCAGGGGTTGCACCAACCGAAGCACCAGGGACGATGCTGCCGTCCTCCTTAATCTCGGTCGCCTCCACAACGGCAACGTCGATCTTGTTGTTTGGCCTGTCCTTGGTGTAGAAGCCCTATTCTTGGTTACTATTTTGCCTAGATGTGGCTAGGGGTTCCGGTTGTCCTTACGTATACGAGGTCCACAGGAAACGTGGATAGATGTTTGTCGAAGAACTTGATCCGACCCTGGTTGATGCCCTTGGCAATGTCCTTGCCGACCTGGTGGGGAGCCCGCCTCTCGATCATGTCCAGGGCAGCCCAGCGGTTCTCCGTTTCGGCCCCTGATGAGGCACCGACGAATAGGCTATACCGCAGCTGTCCCTGGAGGCTATTCTTCTCGACATGGTCCGCAAGGAAAGTGGGCATCTTCCTGTAGATGCATAGTCAGCAATTGACCCAATCCCCAAACCCTTCTATGCTCCTTTGGTGCGAGGGACTCTTACTTCGGGTAGCCGACGCCAGTAAAGCCGGACCAGCCGATGTAGGCGCCGTTGGGGAAGTGCTGGAGCATGTCCTCGGGTCGGCATAGCTTCTTCAGCATCGAAGGGCGCTTGATGCGCGACCTGAGCGCGGCCGAAGCGATAGGGGATGCCATGCTGGGAGGAGGAGGAGGGGGAGGAATAAGACGGAGGAAAAAGGAAAGGGAAAAAAACGAAACGAAAGGAGTGGAGAGGAGGAAAAGCACACAACGATGCTAGGAAGCGGTCCAAAGTCCAAGAAGGATATCAGAAAGTGTTACAGAGCAGCCAGGAAAAGCTATGGATGCTCTTGAGCAGCAGCCGGTCGAGTTAATAAATGGTTGAACCGGGCGGCATCATAGCTGCAGGCCATCCCGGTTCCTGACCCCATCTCTCTCTCGTCTGGTCATTGTCTGGGATACGCGAGCCACCTCCCACCCCACACAACCCTCACCTACCGAAATACTTCGACGCCGCGTGAGAATTCCCCCGCTGACCATCATCATGTGTATCTATGGCTTCATACTACTAGATGACGCCGTCTGGTGTATTCATGCTTTGTCCAGGCTCTTCTACCGCTTCCCGGGCCGTGAATATTGACCCTAAAACAACGCCGGACAGGAAAAAGAGTGCAAAACCCGGTGATGTCATCGGATTTGACAGGCCACATTGTCCAATCACAGCACGGGTTAAGTTGCGGGAGGGCCCACGACCCCTGAGCGCGGAAGAAAATTGGCGTCGCGCGGACCCGCTCGGGCGCTCCCTTCAAGCTCCGTTCAGCCGCGCCGGAAGGCAATAAGCTCGGCTATTGCTGACTCGGCCTGCTCGGAGCTGTGGCGCTTCCGTTCGCCCTCGATGAAAGCGCGACCCTCAAATTCTTTGTGCAGCCCGGCCACATCTCGTCGGCACGGTGTTGAAAGGAAAAGAAAAAGAAAACATTCGCAAAAAAGAGCTCAACAGGCTAGCCGGCGTGGAACCAGAGCATCCCACACAGCACGCGAATATGGGCTGCTATCACCGGGTCGACCGGACGTGGTCGGCACGTAAATTCGGAGCATTCTCATATACACCGGCCGCGACCCCGGGTAGCGAACCGGAACCGGATTTCACCTTCTCGGGACAAGAGAGACGAGGCCGTGGGATCGGCAAACTTTCCGGTCCGGGGCGAAGGTCGCTTCTCCGTTAAGGTGGGGTCTGTCAAGAAGCATTGAGCGCCGAGTTCTCCCTGGCCGATCCGGCTGAAGGGGGACTTAATCCGGTACTTCGTCCGAGAAGGCACAAATGAAACTAAAGCAGTCAGTTAGTAGTCACCGCCATTTTAACGCGAGGGCTATTTGACCACTTGTACAATCCAGTGAGGTTGCTGCCAGGTAACGTCCACATTACCGGGCGTCCACCAACAGACTCAGAAACTCGTTCGGTATGCTTGGCACACCTAGGTTGCGCCTGGAGACCCCGACACTCGAGAGAACCGACAGCCTGGTTAAGGGACAACAAGCGAAACAAGCGAAACCAGGCGTCGACAGGCAGTCTGCCATCAGCCCCACTGCACGTGAAGGGCCAGGAAGTTTGCGGGTCTGTTGGAAGGAGAGATTCGCGGGGAGATGTAACCTGGCCCTGCAGCCCAATGATCGCGGGGTCGAAGAGCACGAGACTCGGTGAATCCGATGTTTGCTGTCTCAAGCTCGCACACAAAATCTGACTGTATCGTGGGATTTGCGCTGCCTCGAGTTGGGGATCCCCTCAAATCGGCTGCCTTGCGGAAGCAAAAGCATACATAGACATACAGTATACGAAGTTCACCAACCGTTCTCCGCCAGACCGATTCCTGCGGTATGTTGATCAATCCTTCTCGTATCTGACTGCATCAGCTCGTCTCGAGAGACCTCCCGCGAGTGCGGTTGTTCCCCTGTTCCAGGCCAACCACCTCAGCCGTGTAACCTACCTAGGTACCTCATAACCTGGGAATCGGGGCAAGTGTCCGCATTGAGATCGAGGTGCTCCGAAACGCGACGCACGGCGCTCATAAGGTCACCAGACGACAAGCCAAATCGCGGGGAACTAAACTAAGTGCAAAATTCCAGTGGTCAGCCGTTGACAACCGCAACACACCTATGCATTCCCGAGCCCTCTCTCTTTGACGCGGCGGGTGCCTCCGGTAAGGCGATAAGGGGGCCGTTTGGTTGCAAGGGGGACTTCTGGGTGGCAGTTCAATGGAGCCAGGGAACGTTACATGACGCTGAGGGACCAGTGACTCGCCCAGCAACGGGCTCGGGCGAGGCGGGGAACCTCCGCTGGATGTCCGCCGGGGTCAGGTGGAAAAACTGGCTCGAGCTTTGCCCCACTGAAGTGCGAGCTCCTTCCTAAACGAACTCTCCATCCAAGTTATGGCCAATCAGCACGCTCCTACGCCTTCAGTCGTGTCTCCAACTCGAAGCTGGCCTGGCCGGGGAAGGAGCCAGTGGCACCAACCAGCCAAGCCCCCAAAATCCATTCGGTCCGGTCCCAATCTTTATCGTGCCTGGGAGCCTGGCCATCTGTTCGACAATCACGGGCCACGATTCCCTCAGCTATCAATTGGCAGGCCGAGATTACGAGCAGAGAGGCGGGCGGTGTTCAGATGCAAAAAATAGAAAAATAGACAGGAATGAGTTTCCGGTTCAACCAAGCAGGGCCATGATCGCCATCATTCCACTGCCGGGAGAGAGCAACCTATTGCTTCGTCGTGGCACAAACCCACCGCCCACAACCTCAGAGGAACGAACGAACCTCCATCCCTACCTTGGTAACGACCAAGCCCAAGCACCAAAATTATCCTCGTTCCGAGCTATCGTTCCCCGCCTTGCGCATTGTCACGTTGGTTCCTCAGATAAGGAGTTGGTGTTTGTTGAGGACGCTCAGCTGCGGCGCAAAGGGAGGGAACCAGACAGCACATGCAAAAAGTCTGGAGCCCATTGCTACGTTTGACGGTGGTGCCGCCTTTCGACGACACGAGCCAGCGCGTTGCAGCGTTGCATCCGCTGTGCGTCGCGGTCGACACCGTTTCCCCAGGGTTCCCCGCCGGCGACCAATCCCCAGACTGATTCCTCGCCCTGTCATCCTCGTACCCCGGAACGGCTACTTTTAGTGCGCCGCATCCCTCCACCACTCCCTTGCCAGGCACGCCAGGCCAAGCTTTAACCGTGCCGAGAAGGAAGAAGACCTTTGCAGGATCTTCGGCATTGTCTTATATCTGCCGCCCGCCGACTTTCTGGCTCGCCCTCGTTTTCTCCACGCGAGACCCGGTCGGTGGCTTCCAATTCCCAACCCACCACCACTCCCCGCGCGTTCGTCCGATCGGATCACGAGGCACCGAACCAACGCCCTGCAAACCGACACGATGGCCGACGAGAAAAACGCCCCAGCCACGGAGGCGCCCGAGCTCGGGACCGCCGAAGTCTCCAACATGGCCGACACCGCCGGACCGGTGCAGCGACCCAGAGGATGGATGTACAAGGGTTTCAGGGTCGCCGGGAAGGAAATATGGTACGCGTCACCAATCGTCCAGCTTCTCATGGTCGCCATGGTGTGTTTCCTGTGCCCCGGCATGTTCAACGCCCTCACCGGGCTTGGCGGCGGTGGTCAGGTCGACCCGTCAGCCCAGAACGACGCCGCCACCGCCCTGAACTCGACATTCGCCGTGGTCGCCTTCTTCTCGGGAACCATTGCCAACAAGCTCGGTGTCAAGGCGACGCTGGCGTTCGGCGGTCTCGGCTACTGCATCTACGCCGGCAGCTTTCTGAGCTACAACCACAACCAAAACCACGGCTTCGTCGTTTTTGCTGGCGCCTTCCTTGGTGTCTGCGCCGGCCTTCTCTGGACGGCCCAGGGGACCATCATGATGAGCTACCCTCCTGAGGCCCAGAAGGGCCGCTACATTTCATACTTCTGGATCATCTTCAACCTGGGCGCCGTCATCGGCGCCTTGGTCCCCCTCGGCCAGAACGTAAACGCCACCGGCGCCACCAACGTCACCGACGGCACCTACATCGGCCTCATCGTGCTCATGTTTACCGGTGCCGTCCTGGCTATGTCGCTCTGCAACGCGGACAAGGTCCGCCGCGAGGACGGCAGCAAGGTCATCTTGATGAAGAACCCCAGCTGGAAGACCGAGTTCATCGGCCTGTTCGAGACCATCACGTCGTCGCCCTGGGTCATCTTGCTCTTCCCCATGTTCTTCGCCTCCAACATCTTCTACACATACCAACTTAACGACTTCAACGGCGCCCACTTCAACACGCGCACCCGTGCTCTCAACAACCTACTCTACTGGACCAGCCAGATTTTCGGCGCCATCGTCTTCGGCTACGGGCTGGATTTCCCCGGCGCCCGCCGCTCCATCCGTGCCAAGGGCAGCTTTATAGCGCTGGTTGCCGTTACCTTCGCCATCTGGGGCGGCGGTTATGCGTGGCAGATCAAGCAAGTTCCCCGCGAGATAGTCGAGAACAAGGACTCTGGGTATGAACAGGAACGGGTCGACTGGACGGACGGTGGCGAGCGCTACATCGGGCCCATGTTCTTGTTCATCTTTTACGGCTTTTTCGATGCCGCCTTCCAGACCTGCATCTACTGGTATGTCTCGCCCCCGGTTAGCAGGCCAGAAAGGACCGCAGTAGCAACTAACCACCGCATAGGTACATGGGCGCGCTCAGCAACTCGGGACGCAAGGCTGCCAACCTGGCCGGCTTCTACAAGGGTATCCAGTCCGCCGGCGCCGCTGTCTACTGGCGCCTGGATGGTCTAAAGACGCCTTACAACACCATGTTCGGTGCTACCGTACGTTTCTCACCCCCCCCCCCCCCCCCCCCCCCGATCCAGCTCGCGCGCAGAAGCCGAAACTAACACCCCTTTCCCCTTCTCCTAGTGGGGCCTTCTTGCCGCCGCGCTGTTCATCGCCGCACCTGTCATTTTCACGCGCATCAAGGACACCGTCACTCTAGAGGAGGATCTCAAGTTCAGCGATGAGACGGCTGAGGACGTCGCCCCCGCGAAGGATGTTGCCGTGCATGATAAGCACGACTCCGTTTGAGCTGGCCGCGGCGCTTGTTGGTTGTATCGGCTAGGCTTAGCACGGCAGTCTTTTTTATATCACCCGGTGGTGGTTTGCTTCTGGTCGGGTTTGGGATGATACCAAGGCATGTTGGTTATGTTAGCATGAAGTAATAATGCAGCGCGGTTGCTCTTTGCGAAAGTACAAAGGGCCGGATTGCCTCGGCTAGTTCTATGTGAATGAACCACGACCTAGAGAAACGCGAATTGGCTAATTCGGAGCATGTTGCCTTGGCGATGCAACTCGGTGAGTCGTAGATACAGCCAAGTAAACCTGCCGACCACCCTTCCTCCAACCTGTCCCCCTTCCTATGTAGTCGCCGTAGTTCCACGACTGCTACTCCTTTAACCGATCTTCGGCCAGGAGCAGCTCTCAAGCTCGACAGCCACTCGACGCTTTGTCTCAATGTGAGCTTCATGGAGGACATCGGTACGCTCTTAGGGCATCCGCCCTTCCATCTCGCTCCGCATCTCTTCCAAGACCTCATCGAACCCTTCCGCAATCCGGGCCTCCACCCCGGTGCACTCTCGAGTATACCGTTCCATCTCGGCAGCCACATACCGATCCAGCTCGGCGCGTTTTCGAGCCTTTCGCTGCTCCATCACCGCAGCCACAAGCTCTTCTTTCTTGGAGCCCAATTCACAGAGGGCATCCTCGATCGCTTCGGTCACGCAATTCTCCACGTCGATGCGCCCTTCAGTCATGTGCCGTTCTACTTCGGTCACCATAAACTCCTTTGTGTTGGTGAAGGGCGGAGCCTCCCGCCGCTTTGCAACCTTGTACAGCCTTTCCTCCTCATCCACGTCTCCGAGTTGGAGGTTTGCAGTGTCGCTACCACTGGCCGTCCGGAATATGGCCGCAAGGCGTTTGTATGTGAGGATGATTTGGGGCGTTCTAAGAAGTATCATTGGGTTAGACAGGTGGGGTTGACTGTTATGAAAAGAAAATGTACAAACCTCGAGACGCCAGCTGCAAGCTCGATAGCTGAAGGGCGGCACAACGCTGCCGGCAAGCCCGCACAACCGCGGAAGTCGGAGATGTATAGGTCAACTCGACCGTTAGGCTGTTCGGTAAAGGTTTCATCGTAGAACACTTGGGAGCGTTGGATCCAGTCGCTAGACCCTGAGTCGTCCGCTACCAAGAGGCCGACGCATCCCTCGGCCGCATCGGGATATTGAAGATCAAGGATGAGGACAGCTCTGATCTGCCCGTCCGACATCTCGATGTATTGGTGCGCCTTCCTTTCTATATATTGTCGAGGTTGGCTCCAGAAGATCTCACAAACAAGCGACGGGAGATGGCCTGCCAAACCGAACGAAAGATCGGCTTGTTTGCAGATCTTATCTTCGTATCGCATGAGAAATGTGCCTCGCGCCTTGATGCGCCGGGCCAGGTGGTGCATTGCAGGATCAGCCATATCCGCAACCAGCCCATTGAGACGATTCTGGAGGAAGTAGCGGAGGCCGGCTTGGACCTTGTTCAGGAGCTCCGTATCGTTGGTAATGTCGAGATAAACTGTCTCAAATTTGTAGTCATATTCCACCCGCCGGATTTCAAAATCCTCGATTCCTATTGACTTGTCCCCCAGCTGTGTGAGAAGATTCTCGACTTTACTTGGTTGCCAGTGAAAGCTAACGATCGACTCGGTGCCATCGGTGCGAGCCTTGACGACGTAGTCGACGATCTCCTCCACCGTACGGACGTTCAGCGAAACCTGCGACGTCTCAGTAATGGTGTCTACCGTCTGCGTAAGCGAGCGGAGTGAATGAAGAATACCGGTTCAATGCGATACCCATCAGTAAACGACTCCCACGACGCCCCCCGATTCACCAGCGGAGTGGAAGAGTCTTGCGAAGCCATCGCTAATTGAAGCGACCCCGAGGTTGTGATGGCTGTTGCGCGATGGTACCAGTGAAAAAGATCGGTGGTTGCAGTTTTTGTTGGTATCGGGGAGGGTCGTAGATGGAAGGGGAAATGGTGTCGAGATTCATCTTATCGGTTTTAAATCCAACACAATGAAATGCGCGGAGGTTGAGATGGAAATGCCGCCGACGAACATGCGGGAAGGAGGGAAGCCAGGAATTCCAAAAGCTTCAGCGAGATACTTTGAGATAGACCGGTGCCTTTGTTGGTGACCAGACCGACGAATTCGAAGGAAGAAGATATTCAACTTTGCCTACGGTAAGGTGACTTTGGGCTCTTCGAGTCCGTGTTGAGCTCGAACATTTCCCTCGAAAGCATCATAATTGCACCCTTTGAAGTACACTCAATTCATATACCACTCCATATTCTTTTGTCACTGAAAAACTAGCCAAGGTAATAGTTAGTAGATCCGAACCCGAGGTGGTTCTCAATCGCTGTGAACCATCAAGTCGTGTGATTAAACCAGATAAAAATGACGGCACTTAAAGGTACAGGCATAAAGTCTGACCCGCTCTCTCCTGTAAAACGGAAGTTCATTCACGTCGGGGTTGGCGGCTAGAGCCCACAAAGGCTACACTGGGAAAAGACGGGTGGGGTGCATTGTAAACATATCATCACCATCAACAGTTAAGCGGTACTCTACCATGTATGGCAGCACCTAGAGGACGATGAGAAGGGCCGTGTTGCGGAGTCAACGCCCTCGGGCAGTCCACGGTCACGGTGTTCAGACCCCCAATTCTGATCCCGCTTCCATTACACAGACTCACTCCATCAAGCCACCTGCTGCGAGATCCCGCCTGGGACAGGGACGTCAAGCCCACCAAGCCAGGTGCTCGGACCCAGGCATATGACATGCCGTGATTCGAAATCGCTCAGAGCAGAGGGATAATATTGGAGCTAATATGCCGATCGGGCGATGTTCGCCTCGACGGAAACCAGAGCCGGAACACACCCGGAATCGGAAACACAACCGTGAATAAGCAATTACTTGTTCAAATGCGCCGCGCTATTACCGCTGCATTCTCGTTTCTTGCGGGATATCCCCTGTAATAGTCAAAGCCGGAGAGTTAACAACTCTCGAAAGGACAACGGCGTGCGGGGCGATGGTTTCAAACACGCACAGTCATGAGAATGCTCCGATCGGATTCTTGCATGCCGACATGCCACTTCTATCACATCTTTCGGATTCTGGCAACTAAGGTGTATAGTGGAGACATCACAAACGAAGCACCCGCATACGGAGAAGCCCCCTGACCCTCACATCGCGGCCCAGTCACATGTTATCTGATGTGGTACTAGGAGTGGCCGCTCTTGGGCCTAGACTCCAGAAATAGACTTGCCCGGAAAAAAGGCCGGCCCAGAGCTCTCCAACACCGGGTTTCGGTACGTCCGACCCAAGGTTGATCATTGCGGCCGTATGTCGACGGTAAGGGGGTGCGTGCTGAGACGGGGTGCGTCTGACGATCTTTCCCAACCCGCCTGTGTTTCGTTTCATCGACTACGAGGTATGGGCCAGAAGCAAGAAGCAGTAGTGCATGCGGGCACCCACCCGTGTCTCTAGGGGAGCTCCTCATCGCCGTCAGCGGCCGGTCTGATGGAACGGCTCCGGAGCCCCAAGTCGGGGGTTCGCCGACATGACGCTCGCCCGGGCCCCACCCGTGATTCAGGGGTATCCCGCGCTCCGGCGCGGCTCCTCATCGTGCTAACAAGAGCCGGACCTGCACCGGGCCGGGCGGGGCAACCGTGTGAAGTGACATCGCGTCGGGCATAAGATTCCCAATCTGGGAAGGCAGACCAACTTGCCACCCTCTGGCCAAAAAAAGCCGAACTCGAAAGGAAAGCAAGAAATCAAGCAAAAAGAACAAATGAAAAGAAATCAAGCAAAAAGAACAAATGAAAAGAAATCGAGAAAACTAAGTCAAATGAAAGAAAGAGGGCAAAAGTAAAGGAAATGGAGCAGATAGAGTTTCTTTGGGCTTCAGGATGACTTTCGTTATATTCCTCCAGCTGAGGACTCGAAGTTTCCATTGCCGACACCTGCACTTGGAGTTCGGCTTTTTTTGTCCATGAGGTGCTTGCCTACAAGACAGCGTCGCCCTCGCTACCCAGTTTCCGCGCGTTCACTGCTTGTTGTAATTCCCGGCTCGAGATATTCGACCTGAACCGAGAACGTGGCCAAGTCTGATCCTCGTGTTGGGTACGCGAAGCGGGCGAATAGGGGGCTCAGTGGTTACTGCTGAACTGGTACAAAATGTAGACAGCGCGGCCGTCCTGAGTAGTTCACATGGGAACCGTTAAGCTCCGCTACTAACTATTTCGTGCTGCTCCTAAGATGAAGCTGTCTCCACAAGTAAACGCAGCACTTGCTGCGGCCTCGCTGCTTGACGGGTGTCTGGCTGCGACGTCTGGCAAGTTTAACATTTTGTCCATGAACGTCGCAGGCCTGCCGGCAATCTTCAACGGCAACGACGTGCCCGGAGATAAGGCAACAAACTCGGCGAGCATCGGGTCCAAGTTTGCCGAATATGGCCTCGACGTCATCCACATGCAGGAGGTAAGACATCCCGATCGGGCGTGCGCCGCTGGGCTTCGAAACAACGGACGCTTGTTCGCGTTTCAACTCCCCCGGCTGGATCAAATCCGCTCCGATCTGGTGCGAGATCGCGGCAGATCACCAGGGTTGACACCTCACGATAGGACTTCAACTACCATGCCCACATCTACCGCACCGACACCCACCCGTTTAGGACGGCGACGTCCGGTGGGGTCCCTTTCGGATCTGGCCTCAACACCCTGTCCAACTTCGACTGGGTCGATTTCCGGCGGGTCAAGTGGGACACCTGCTCCAACGCCTCCGGGGCCGACTGCCTGACGCCCAAGGGCTTCACCTTCATGCGAGTGGCCATCGCCGGCCCCACCGACAACTCGACCGCGGTATATGTGGACTTCTATAACCTGCACACAGACGCCGGCGGCGAGGAGCAGGACCTCGCTGCGCGGCAGCACAACGTCAACCAGGTGACCGGATATATTTCTCAATGGAGCAAGGGCAACGCCGTCGTGGTTCACGGGGACTTCAACAGCCGCTACAGCCGCACGGCGGACACTGCAATTCGGGCAATGCTCGCGAGTGAGAACCCGGAAGGCCCCGGCATGACCGACCCCTGGGTCGAGCTTCAACGCGGCGGGGTCGTCCCCACGGAGGAGGACGTGTGCGGCAACCCGGCTAGCGGCAATGCTTGCGAGGTGGTCGACAAGGTCTTCTACCGATCGGGTCCGCTGGTGACGCTACAGGCGGAGACGTTCCGATACGATGGCGGGCGGTTCCTGCAGGCCGATGGAAACATCCTTTCAGACCATAACCCTGTCTTTGTGGACTTTGGTTGGTCCTCGGGCTCGTCCCTTCGGCAGAGCGACTTCTCAGGGGGCGCATTCGGCACTTGGTTCAGCGACGTGCCGACACTTGCGGGCATCGCCAAACCCAAGCCTGCCGCGCTGGCGTTCCGGGGCGGATCTCGGCTTGACGGGGTGGCCCTGACACTCGGAGACGGCACCATCCTCCGCCATGGTGGCACCAGCGGGACGGAGGTCTCCCTCGAACTGGGCCCAGCGGAGTACTGGGTGGAGGCGGAGCTCTGCCGTGGGGAGAAGAGCGGCAAGACCCGGAACTTCTACATCCACGCGGCGACTTCGCTGGGGCGCACCCTGGAGGCGGGTACGATGACCGCGGACTGCACCACCTTTTCGGCACCTGAGGGCTGGCAGGTCGTTGGTTTTGTTGGACAGGATGGCGACGAGATAGACCAGCTCGCTTTCGTGTACGCCCCGCAGTGATGGGGAATGTGATCGTGGAGGAATCTCTGGGCGGTGGAGGCTGTTTGAGAGTTAGCGGCGTCGATCTCGCCGAGTTTTCGGGTCCTCCTGCGGGTCTCGCCGCAGGGGGGCGGTGGGAAGGAAAGCTCCGATAGAACCCTGACCTGGACGGCTTTCAACACCAAAAGACTTGATCAAAAAATATCTCAGTCTAGTGGATACTTCCCTTGATGCTCGACGGGTAAAAGCCGGCAAGGCTCGCCCACAGACAGAGCCCACGTGCGGCAGCGCTGAGGACCCTGGTGATCTCAGGGGGAGACACATGGGGGTGGTGACGATCCACTGCCTCGGTGTTGTGTTGATCTTCTGCCTTGCCACCATGCCGTTGACAGCAAGTGATCGGCAGTTCTGGCGACGAGAGGGTTTGCAGCATGTGGTTCGCGATGGGCGAGACCAACCCCGTCGAGGCAAACTGCTGCGCTCGCCGCGCTCGCCCTCCAAAGAATCTCGTCCCAGGGGGCACCCTTGAACTGACCCCCGTGCAGCCCACTGCTCCACAGGCGGCAGGCGGGGTGAGTGATTGACGCGAGGGTCCCGCGCTCTTCTTTCTTCTTGTTGCTGTCTCCCCCGTTCGGACCGCTTTCGAGCCCACACGTGCTTGGACGCCTGTTGAGGGTGGCGGTGGCTGACGCGCGTCCCAGGACGGCCGAAGCTGAGAAGAGCCTCATCGTCAATCCCGGAAGAAGAAAATCGCTGATTGGTTCGCGCCGCCGCGCCGGGCTCTCATCGTCAGAGTGTGATGCGGTTGCGGGGTGGACTGTCGAGACCGTGACACAAGAGCTCGTAAATGCAGAGTGAAAGTCGAGCACAACTCGATGACATCGTTCAACTGCGCTGCCCAATTGCTATCGGAAGACAAGCGCAGCAGCGAGAATGGCACACCGGGTGGTGCGTTTCACGTCGGATTTCACTGGACAAGCACTTCCCGCCCAAATTTATCTCTTGCGCGTGTCCGGACCACAGATTGGAGACGTCGTCGTTGTCAGCTGCAGAGGGTGACGATCGTTTCTCCTTCTTCTCTCCACCCACGGTATTCGAGGCCGAGCGGGTGGTAACTGTAACGGCGCTGTAAACAGCCCATAGTTAACGAGCCCGGCGTGCCGTCTTTCGGTAGCAGGTAGGCCCGATTTTGGGCTCGTTCCAAATTGAGCGTCCATCAGGCTGATTTGGGTGTGCCCGTGTGGCCAGATTAAGCCACAAGACGGGCGAGGAGCGGGATGAAACATGTATCATTGACAGCTCGTGCCACCCGATGTATCATTCGGGGATCGCTCTGTTCGAGGGAGGTTTGCCCCCGTCAAGGTCGTAAGACCTGGTGTACACCGAAGCCCCAGTCCTTGACAGCGAGTTGACGTTTAAATCGAGTAAACTCGTGGCTTGGCGCTCAAACCAGGGAGCGTGCGAGCTTTCCCGACTGACGGATACTTGCTTGTGTCTGGCCAAGGTGCCCGGGGGTCCATTTTTGGGTTGGTGCTTGGCAAGAAATCGAAGTCGAGAGGGTGTGGGTTGTACTGTGTACCTGCAGGATCTGATGAGGCACTTGGCCTGGGTTCGCGTCGATCTGCTCCCGCCAATGGAAGAATAAGAGAGTCCATACACTACCCGCGGGGAACTCGAGCGGGTTTGTGGGGGTTTCGTCTTGAAGAATCGGAAGCTGAGAAGCGGAGATCGAAATTGACTCCCACATGTGCAAAGATGGCGAAGATGAACCTCGTGCCGTCCCAAAAGCAGCTCTCGACATCACCGCCAATGAAGCCACGGACACGAGGTGCTGCACGCTAAAATTCCGCCATGGTTTTTGCGCGCCACAACTTCCCGTCGGCTTCCCAATCATCGTGCGGCTTCCGCCGTCTGGGCCAGCAAGGTTCATGGGTTTAGCAAGACGCCGCAGAAGCAACATCTGCGATGAAAACTGCACGAAAGAAACAGTGATGAACGGGGTTCAGATGTGAGCCCCCTCGCCCGCCAGTCAACGAAGCTCGGCCCATCCTTCGGGGCCGCTTCGGGTCCCGCCAAGCGACTGGCGTGGTTAATCTTGAGCTGGCATATCCTAGCCTGGGCGGACCTGTCTTTCGGATGGCTTCCGCGAGCTGGAGCCAGGGCGCTGGGACGATTGGTGAGACCACTCGAGATCACTCCCGACACAGTAAGTTGCCGGCACGGTGTGGCCAGCAAGTTGACGCGCGACGAGTCGCACCGAAAACTCGGGAAAAGCCTAGGCGAGTTGCTTATTCCAACGTTTTGTTGTTTGTTCCTCGTCGATACTTACGGAATCCGTTCGACCGTCTCAAAAACACTCGGGCGAGCCCGCAAGCGGTTCCCAAATGTCACGTCGGCGAGAGTGAAGATGGTGTCACGCTCGGCGCGTGGTTGTCCTTCCCCATATCGACCCCCTATTTGGCATTGAAACCGGTGCTCGTAATGTCGGCAGATGGTGGTTCTGCACGAAATACCACGCTGCGCAACACTAAAAAAAATCGTGAGTTGCTCTCGGCGACGGCAGCACCGGAGCTTGCCAAGCCGTTGGAGCTTGGGGGGTTGACCTTGGCGTTGCGGGGGGTCTCCGTATCTCACAGCAGCTGGTGCTCGGCGAGAACTGGGTTTGGGGGGGTTCGGGCGGGACCTTATCTGGCGTGTCTGGCTGGTCTGCAGCGTGGGGTCGCCACCACCAGCTCCTGCGAGGAGCCGAAGACGGCGGTCCCATGGTTGGCCTTGGTGGCGGAGGGTTCCCCGGTGCCAAGACGGCAACCACTGCTTGGTGGTGGTGTGCTGACGGTGCGTCGTGCTCGCGGCGCTCTTTGGCACTTGCTAGTCCAACTGTAGTAAGCGAAGGATGTGATATCAATGCAGCATGGCCTTGCGAGCGCACACGCAGCTTGCACCGAAATTTGAGTGCGAGGCCGGTATCGCAAATCATAGCCGCCTCGGTGTAGTCGTCGCTACCGCGAGTACACTGTCCAGACCTGTAGTGTGTCTTGAACGATACTCGGTAGTATGACCTCGGTCATTGTGAGATGGGGTCCTCGGGTTTTCGCGTTGCTTGTCGCTATCGGAGACGAGAGAGGAAACGTTGTTTCCCGGTAACTGGCCCGTGACCAGCCACTGGGCCGAGGTGGGAGATGAGCTTGCTGCCCACGTGGAATTTGGTGTTGGCGGTTTGCAGCTCTCCACCCAACAGAACGACGTCTGCATCAAGGCTGCAGCTGAGCGAGACTGCCGGCAGCTGCCTGCCGCACATCTCTGTATTTCATGCAGCCACGGTGCCACGGTCCCTGGCGTTCACTATCGAGACTTTCCCTGTCTCGACCCATTGTCCTTGCGTGCTCCTGCGCCTCTCGTTCACGGAACGTCCTCGAGTTGAGCGACAAGCGACAGCCGGAAAAGTCGAAGCTCACGTTCTGGACATTTGAATGAAGATATTGTCGAGTCAGAGCGCCGAGATCGCGGCGGGATCGTCCAGACTCCAGAACGGGGGAAATCTCAGACCTCCGATCGACCGTGGCACGGTGGGTTGACGAGTTGCTCCAGCGATGACCATTCGAGCCATTCTTCTCGTCACTTCTCAAAATGCCGGCTCCATTGGGAGTTAAAAGGCAAGGGTGGCCGGTCCTTGTAACGCCACCTTGATGGGCACAGACTGACGGCCCACACCGTTTTTGTCGCCTTGCCTCGAACTTCTCCAATTGAAAGTGTTCGTCTTGAACTACTTGGACCTCGAATTTCGCCCGAACTCGAACTAAGGATTGTTGATACTTGATGGCTTGGAATCGTAAAATGAGCAGCTCCGCCAGACCGAAGAGCGAGAAGCGAGAATGAAAACTCTCCCCAGGTCGTTTTGTTTGGTAAGGTAACGGTGCTGGTGCTGTGTTGTGACACACCACTGGGCGTTGATTGAACGCAACCGGCGGGCGGGTCTTTGGTCGACGGCTCTGTACCCCACTTTGAGAGGGCCTCTCAACCGGGGAGCGTCAGGGGACCCGAGCTCGTTCTTGATCTCTCACTGGCCGCGGTTGGTTGGTGCCGGGACCCCACCCACGGGTCCCACTTCAACCGCTTCCTTCAACGGGCAATTCGCGAAAAATTATTGCAGCCGAACCCTGTCCTGCAGAGCGGTGGAGACCGACCTTGTCTTTTGGCTGGGGGAGCAGGCGCAATCGAGAGCCGAGAGCAACACCGCAGATGCACACCTTGCGAAGCCCCCATTTTCGGGTTCCATCCTCTCCTCTTCCTTTTGCTCTGTGAACGAAACTCGAATTGAGTTCAGGTCTCGATTTGCCTTCAATTTCATCACCTGAAGTGCTGAGCACTAACCTACGATTTGCCGGGATTTCTTCATTGCCCGGCTCGGTACCTGGTTACCTGTCGCACAGGTCCCGAACCTCCATTGACCTTGGATACGAAGTACATACCTACCTATACCACCACGTTTCGCCGGGTGCGTAGCATGGTAGCTTGACGACGACGCCTTTTCGACGTCGACTTTCTATACCGCCCACTTCGTCTTTTAGTTTGCAAAAGACGTCCGACGTTGTCCGTTCCTTTTCGGACCAGCGGCTCGACGATTGACTCGTTCGAGACATCTGTTCCTGGCATATCCCTTCTCGGCCCCTCCCTCAACAACCTTCCGTCACCGCTCCCTTGCCCGGAACCCACCAGGTCTCCCTGACCTTCAAGTTCTTGCAACCCCAAACTCGCCACTTCCCGATTTTCGAGTGCCGGGGAAGAGAAGGTACGAGAAAAGAAACCGTTTTTGCTTGCTGTGGCTTCCTGCTCCCCTTCCTGCGGGTTTGATCGCTCCAGCGTTGGCCGTTGCGCCGAAACTTGGTTTACAGGGCCCTCCCCTGGCATGCAGGTTTCCTGCATCATGGCTCTGACCCCATCTGCGACATTCCTCCTACCGCATCCCTCCCCGCACAAACTCATCCCTACATTCTTCAGCACACACACGTCCCATCTTCATAATACCCAGACGTTTGTGGCGAAGTGACACCCGTGCCTCTAACGCGTCCTCTCGCCCTAGTCCTAACAACATCGACGACACCCTCAAACGCCAAAAACGATATCGAATTGGTCGAATAGTGGCTGCGACCATTGGAGAGCTGCCGCCTGGGAGACGCAGATATTGAACGTGGCCCACACGCACGAGCCGGAGCTGTGGCCACGAAAGTGACGGTTCACCAAGGGGGGAAGTCTGGAGAGCCAAAGCCGGTCCTGTCACTCGGCTGGGTCAGGGGACCCAAGTGCAGGCTTGATTCCTTCACTTATGTTGGGTGAAACGAACTCTCGACAGCAATCGCGATGCTGAACAACCAGGGAGCGCGAACGAGTCTGCAGGTGGCTCCGTTGGCGATACAGAAGACCCGAGGCGGGACGAACGGAGGGTCCTCTGACGTGGTGGACTCGACGAACGGATGCTCGGACACGCAAATGACGCCGCCAGCGACCCCGAATAGCCTACAGGAGGAAGCCAATGCGCCCACCAACAACCCCGTCTTCCACAACTTCCTACGAGCATTTTACCCTTTTCATCCCGATTATGTCACCAGCGACTCGACAGTCACGTTGCCATTGAGTGAGGGGGACGTCGTCCTTGTGCACTCTATCCACACCAATGGCTGGGCTGACGGTACCCCTGTTGGCTAACGGAGCGCGAGGGTGGCTACCGACGAACTACTGCGAATCCTACGACCCAGAGGAGATGAGGAGCCTGCTAAAGGCTCTGCTTAACTTTTGGGATTTGATGCGCAGCACCCTCGTGAACGACAGTGAGATGTTTGGCAACCAAGAGTTCATGAAGGGAATAATTGCCGGTGTTCGATACCTGCTGGTAGGTGGCTTGGATACAAACTGCATAACTGAGAGCAGAGTGACCTAATATGTTTCGCAGGAACAAACACAGTGCCTGACACGAGAGTGCCCGTTGGTTCAAAGGCATGAGGGACTTCGCAGGAGTCGGAAGTCGCTGCTCTCGGAGCTATCGTCGCTTGTCAAGACAGCCAGGCGGTTACAAGATGCGCAGAGGATGATTGGGACCGAAGACATCAACGACGTTGTGGACGAGATGATTCTGAAAGCCTTCAGGATCATCACCAAGGGCGTCAAGTTCTTGGACATTCTAGATGACGATCGGAGATCACGGATACCGGCAGTCACCGTGATGACCACGCTGCAAGAAGAAGTCCTCATCCCACTAACGCCGCCAGCCGACTCGGCTTCTCTCAGCGCCACACAAGATTACGCCCCCGCTGCACACGCCCGAACTAGCGACTGCGGCGACGATTCCGGCCCGGCGTCTCTTACAGGCGACACGGCTCAAGAACGGGCATCGTGCGGCAACCGTTTGTCATCCGGTTACCTGCAACAAAACACTAACGCTCGCCGGTCATCGCAGCACAGCCTGCTGCAAACAAACCGGCTGTCATCCACAATTTCCCATCGTGTCAGTTTGGCCGGTCCTTCGCCCTCCTCACAACCCCAGAACCTCGTTTCGGAGCGGCTCGAAACCTGTCACGATGCTTTCCTCTCACATCTGGGATCCTTCATCGGGCGACTTCAGCTCCAATCCCAGTCGCGTCCCAGCCTAGCCATTGCCATAAAGCAATCCGCCACGTCCGGCGGGGAGTTGCTATTGGTGGTGGACGTGGTTTGCGCTCACACTTCGGTCAGCGTCGACGCGCTCGAGCAAGCCCGTACCGCCATGTACAACCGGATTCAAGACCTCGTCCACACGGCGCGCGACATCCTCAGCAATTCGGAGCCCGAGATGGAGGAGGATGTGATTGTGCCGCACGATAATGTCCGCTTGTTGGGGGCGGCAACGGGTTGTGTGAAGGCTACAGGAGAGTGCGTCGCGAAAACGAGATGGGTGATCGAGCGGATCGGCGACTTCGAATTCGAGTTCGACAACGGTACCCTCGGCATCGACTTCGGGCTGTCTGACTTGGCCTCGATTTCGGAGGAGCAATTCCAACAACAGCCCAGTGGCGCTGCATCGCCAAGCATCGCCGAGTCAACCGTGTCCGAAACACCCACCGTCTCCTCGATAACAACTTCTGTGGCCAGCGCCACGCCTGCACACGCCCGGTCTTTCTCGATCGACAAGCCGCTCCCGGAGGTCCCTCGGGTCACTTCGCCTACCCCGGAGCAACCGATGTCGCACCCACCATCACTCCTTGCGCCACAGTCACAATCGTTCCTCTTCGATAGCAGCTCGAGCGTGGTCTCGTCCGTCACCTCGCTCCGCCCCGACCTCCCCCCTCTCCCCAGGATCTCAACCACATCGTTGCCGACTGAAAGCTACAGCCCCACAGAGCCATCTGCCATCCAAGAAGCCGAGTTTCACTCTTTCCGGTCCGAGAGTATGACCGCCACGAGCTCCGGCTCCGGTAGCACCTATCTCAGTCGGGACTCGGAATCGAGCATCATATCCCAGACATCGACCCGCGCGACGACGCCGGATATCACACAAGCACCCAAGGCACAACCCTCGCTCTCGAACTTGAGCGTGGCAGAGAGTCTGGCGCCCACAGAGGACGACGAGGCCGAATCAAGACTGCTGGAGAAGACTTACGCCCACGAACTCATCTTCAACAAGGAAGGCCAAGTAACCGGCGGCTCGCTTCCCGCCCTGGTCGAACGTCTTACCACACACGAGTCGACCCCCGACGCCCTTTTCGTGTCGACCTTCTACCTCACCTTTCGCCTCTTCTGCACGCCGGTCGCTCTCACCGAGGCGCTGATTGACCGGTTCGAGTACGTCGGGGAGGCACCGCACATTGCCGCTCCCGTCCGCCTGAGAACGTATAATGTATTCAAGGGCTGGCTTGAATCGCAGTGGCGCGAAGAGACGGACTGTGAAGCACTTGTGCTCATCAAGCAGTTTGCCGAGCACCGACTGACCGCCGTACTCCCATCCGCCGGCAAGCGCCTTCTTGATCTGGCCGAGAAGGTGTCGGTGATCGATGGCGCCCTCGTACCGCGCCTCGTCTCTTCCATGAGCAAGACGAGCAGCTCACTTGCTCAATACGTCCCTGCCGATACTCCGCTTCCCGCCTCCGTCATCACCAAGAGCCAAGTGAACGCACTGACCAACTGGAAGATCGGCGGCAGCTCCCCTTCGATTCTCGATTTCGACCCCCTCGAAATCGCCCGCCAACTGACGATGAAGCAAATGAATCTCTTTTGCTCCATCATGCCCGAGGAGCTTCTGGGATCGAGATGGACCAAGCTTGGCGGGGTCGATACACCCAACGTCAAGGGGATGTCGGTCTTCACCACTGGGTTGACAAATCTTGTTGTTGACACCATCTTGCATTACGAAGAGGTCAAGAAGCGAGCCAACGTCATCAAACAGTGGATCAAGATTGCGAACCAGTGCTCGTTGCTCCACAATTACGATGCCCTCATGGCAATAACCTGTGCGCTCACCGACACGAGCATTAAGCGGCTGAAGATGACGTGGGATGCGGTCCCCGTCAAGCGCAAGGAGATGCTCAAGGGCTTGCAAGCAACGGTCGATTTCAACCAGAACTTCAAGGTTCTACGGGCCCAGCTTCACGACCAGGTTCCACCCTGCCTCCCTTTCCTCGGCATGTTCCTGACGGACCTCACCTTTGTGGATGTCGGCAACCCGGCTACGAAGACTAGCGACACGGGCCTAACCGTCATCAACTTTGACAAACACACACGTACCGCGAAGAGCATCGGAGAGCTGCAGCGCTTCCAGATCCCCTACCGCCTTGCCGAGTTACCAGATATGCAGCAATGGCTGGCGGCGGAGGTTGAGCGCGTCCGCGAGAAGGAGAAGGCAGGCGCCAATGCCCAGGCCACACACTACCGAAAGAGCCTGCTCCTCGAGCCTCGGGAAGCACAGCAACTGCGCACACCCATCGAAGCCCCCTCCGCCCCGATAGGCAGCAGCATGTTTAGCTGGATGAGGGGCAACACAGGCCCTTCCCAGATCTAAACGTCACGGCACTTTGGCCAATGGGCTTCTCAACACCTCGGAGCACCGCGTCCCCACACCCGAACCCCCCGAACCGCGGAGACACCATTTTTACTACCTTCTAGTGATACCCTTATTTCATCTTTCGAGTTTCGGCGTCTCCATGCCGTCTGACGAGCGCACACACCGTCCTCACAAAATCTTGCCTGCAATATTTTAACCCACTCCGTCCCGAAGCCCGAGCCTTGAGTTCGGAAGATCTTTGTACCACCACCTCTAAAACTATACATGCAAGATACTCGCGTATTGACGGCTCACGCCCCTGCATACGTCCGATTGCCGACACCGCCATCCCTTGCTAGGATCCTCCGACTGCCCCATTTTCTTAAAGTGGGACATTGCACTGGCGGATGCTAGGTTTTGTGGTGGTCACCAAAAGCAAGAGAAAATAGTCGGTTGTGATGGATGTTTTTTGCCGGCCTCTCATTCCCGCTTTGTTGATTGATATTGTTCTTCTTTTCTTTGCGTTGTTGGATCAGACAGGTGGGACAAAAATGGGTTTCATGTGGGGATGAACAGGCATTTCCTACATGACCGGACACCATGATCGTCACGAGGTTAGGTTTCCTTTTCGGGGGTGGCATGCTCGTTGTGTTTATATCCTGTTCTTTTGGGGGAGCGTTGTATATTGGTGGGTGGTCTTGTTCTTGTGTATAATTTTATGGCCGGGATTGAGGTCCTCTGGCCTGCCGATGGGGTTCAGCGCACTGGTCAACAGTGGACGAGCTTATGGATTCGAGATGTTGGATGTCGGTAGCATAGCGAGCGGTTGATAGTCTTAGCAACAGGCTCCAATAAGTGTTTTAACATTAATGGCTGGGCTACTTCTTTTGTGCTCTCTTGCTCTCACCGTCTCACCTTTGTATGACATCCAAAACAACAGCTCTGTACCAACCCTAACCCCAACAAGCATCTCCCGGGCTGGCTTCATTCCACTTCACTTGTCAACCATCGCACAACACCACACGCATTCACACAAAGGCACATCGTCTCCGCCACGCCCGCCACACTTCTGACAGACTCCTAGCTTATTATCACCAGAAAATGCCCCGCAGCGACGAAGCTGAAGCCTTCTTCTACGCCGTCTACAGCGCCGTGCAGGAGATCCCGCCCGGCAAGGTGACCAGCTACGGGCACATCGCCAAGCTGGTCGGCACCCGTAACACACCCCTTCCTGGCTGTGTCTCCATATTTGCACTCCAATAGCACTTTGTATAGATACTAACACCCTCTCTTCTTACCCACCACCAAGAAAAACGAGAGACGGGCTCTTGGTCCCCCCCCCCCTTCCCCCCACCCATCCAACCAAAACGACCACAACAACCACAGCCATCAGCAACCCTCTCTCCCCGCCATCCCCCCCCCAATATACTTGCCCAATCATTGACCTCTTCTCAATCACAGCTCAGCGCCCGCGCCAGGTAGGCGTCTGCCTCAAGCACCTGCCCTCCGACACGACGGTGCGCTTCCACCACGACAACGTGCCCTGGCAGCGCGTCATCAACGCCAAGGGGGTTGTTTCGCCGCGGTAAGTTACCACACGTTCCATACATACATAGGTAGTACGGAGTATACAGTCCTCCTGTCCGCGGCATCTCGCGTTGTGCCTACCTACCTCCCACACCACACCCCGACTTCATCGTATTGCGCTGCGCTGTTTGTTGTCGCCGCGCTGTGTCCAAAACCGGCCCGGGGGAGACCGGTGGTGAATGAGTGATGACTGATGCCATCGCAGATCCCAGCCGTCTGGGGCGCGGAACCAGGCTGCGGCGCTGGAGGCCGAGGGGGTGACTGTCACGACGGGGGCGTTGGGGGAGCTGATGGTGGACTTTGGGGAGTTCGGGTGGTTCCCGCGGGTGTTACCTTCGGAGGAGGGGCAAGGGTTGGAGAGTTCTGACGAGGGGGAGGAGGGGAGCGAGGATGAGGGGTGAAGGGGGGAGTGGGCTGGGGTGGGATGGCATGACATCGAGACTAGCATGGCACGGGAACTATCATTGCGCTGAACGGGATATCGGGTGTTTGGTTGACCAGGTAATATTCTCGACGCTATCGGTCTCTAACCGCCGACGACTTCTACGGGCCAACCGTGAGTCCAAGTATCGCCGCCCTGAACGCTCCAAGCGAACACATCCTCCGGATCTCGCGTGCGTGGTGACATCTAGCTTCATCGACTGTTAGCAGCTGGCCACCGAGGTAAATGCAAAACAGAATGAATGAAGAGGTGCTTTCTCAGATAGCGGTTGGACAAGTTTTTCCACATTGTAATTCGGTACAGGTCTGTGAACATTGTTTCTCTCATCATAAAAGCGGCAGGAGGGCAAAGAAAGAAAGGGATGCAACATACCAAGTCTGGATCTCTGGTTGAGTCGAGGGCGATGTGGATGGGATCAACCATCACCATACCCTCGCTCAACCTTCGCCTTCTTGGCTGCGGGGCCAAAGAAGGAATCCACCGTCCTCTGCCGCTTATCGAACTGGGCGCTGCCGATGCCACCTCGGGTCTTTTTCAAGCCCTCGAGATGTTTGACGACATTGACGCCGACCACGGTCAAGGTGACCGGTGGTTGTTGCGGGGCCGGGGTTGATGGTTCCGGCGTCGGTGTCCTTTTACCAGACACCTCAGGGGAGCCATCCGAACCGCCAACCACAACTGGTGGCGCGGAGTGGACTCCAACGACGAGCTCGACATAGCCGGTATTACTCCAGCCGGGCATCTTCGCCCCCAAGCGCGCCAACTCCCGGGGACCAAACCGCGCCAGCAGAACCCGCAGAAGCGAGTCGAGGATCAACCCGTGGGCCACCACGACCACACAGCCCCCAGCAGCCGCCCGCTCGGCCGTGAACAGCGGCACAAGGTAGCCAGCCACAAACCGCTCCGCGCGCCGCCGCATCCCCTCTCTGGACTCCGCCCCGGCAGCAGCGAGATCCACGCCAAACTTCTGGCCCTCCGCCAGGCCAAAGTCCCGCTCCCTCAGCTCCGGCAGCCGGACCACCCCCAAGGGCAACTTGCCACCCCCACCAACACCGTCAACCCCAGCACCCCCATCAGGAGCATCACCACCACCACCACCCCCCGCCATGCCCAGCCTTGCCACGGACAGCACATCAACCACCGCCCCCGCCGTATCCGCCGCCCTCCTCAGATCCGACGCAAAGACATGCTCGACGGGCCCAAGCACCGCCGCCCGCTCCGCAAGGTGTGCGCCGAGCCGGCGCGCCTGCAGCACGCCGTGGGCGGTGAGCGGGGAGTCGCGGGATCCTGCGCTAGCAGACGGGGGACGGGGGGTCAGTCCCACGGGTCTGTGTCGGTTGATGGGAGAGGTGGGAGGCGGCTGATGGGAGCGGACTAATGGGAGCGGACTGATGGGTGGGTGCGTTGGGTGGGTGAGGAGGTGGGAGGTGGGGGGCGTACTAGATGCCGGCGACGTTGTCGACGGTTTCGCCGTGGCGGGCGAGGAAGAGGCGCATGGTTTTTTTTTGGGGGGAGGGGGTTTGGTTTGTCTTTTTTTTATTTGGGAAGGAGACGAGGCATTGAGGTGCCTGGGCTAGGGCGCTCGCATGATTGAATGGTGCAGCACGCAAAGGCGTGGCGTGGTGTTCCTTCTCACGATTGAACGTGTGGTTGGGGGAAGAGATTTGCGGAGGTTTTGGGAGCGGCGAAAATTTTGATTTGTAGGGCTTGGAGTGGGGCCTGCAGGTGGTCCGCTGGTTGGTGGGCCGACTCCTGCGGAACCTGATCCAAAACAGTGATGCTTGAGGAGAGGATCTGGCACTGCCTGCAAGATGAATGAAGAGGAAGGGCGGCTGGTCTTCGTCAAACACCTCAGAGCATGGTATACACACAGTATATCCCATTCGTGGTGTAAATGTCTGTTCTGTGATCCGTAACTCCGTAGCCCAAAATCCCATCAACAACATCCCACCCAACCGCCCACCAACAGCATACCCTAAACCAATTTTCACAAAAGAAGCCCCCCTGCGCCCTCGCTCAGTCCTTGATATTATCCGGATGCCAGGGGCACTCGGCCTTGTGCGCACTGTTGTCGCTCTCCAAGATCTCCTTATGGCTGGCGAGACAGTCCCAGCAGAAGCCATGTTTACACCACGCACCTGTTGAAGAAGACCCATCATCAGCAAACACGCCACAAAGCCAACAGTGCTACACAAAAGCCAATATCAGAAGGCAGAACTCGCCGCACCTGATATTACAACCCCCCCACCCCTGGCCGCCGCCCCTCGCGCCAGCCTCATCGCCGCCCGCCCGTGCAGCGGATGCTGTGGTTGCGGGTCCATTCGGCGTTGCAGCCCCAACAGAACTGGTACCGACACTTGATACCTGCAAAAGGGACACACGCATTTTTTAACATCCGTCGCGGAAAAGGAGGAAAGGCGGCGGGCCGTGGTTTCCACTTGGAACGGCCCGCCGCCGGAGGGCCCGCGTCGGGCGGAGCCGGGGCAGTAGGAAAGGTGGAAGCTTACACGTCATATGCGCACTGCGAAACCGTGTTAGCGATTAATTGATCAGCAATCCTCATAGCATGGCCACGGGTTTGGTTGGTGGGGGTTAACTACTCACCACCCCTCGTTCTTCTCGATCGGCGACCGGCACCCGGGGCACGGCTTGGTGGTGCTCCCGACGGTGCGGCTGCTGGCGTCCTCCTCCTGCTTCTTGCGCGCAGCGGCCTCGCGCATCTCGCGCTCCCTGGTCTCGCGCGCGGCCCGCTCGGCCGCCTCCCGCTCCTCCCGCTTGGCCCTCTCCCTCGCGGCGCGCTCCTCTGCCGCGGCGCGCTGCTCCTCGGCGAGCAGGCTCTGGGCGAATACGCGGTCGGCGTCCTCCTGGGCCTGGCGCGCGGCGGCCGCCAGCTGCGCCTCCTCGTTCTCGATGTCGAAGCGGCTGCGGAAGTTGGCCGGGTCGGCCAGCAGCGTGTCGTACTCCTCGCACGTCAGGTTCTCGTGCCACGCCACCTTATGGTAGAAACAGGAACGGTGCGCGCATAGCCGGCAGCTCACGATGGGCGACGACGCCCCGCCCTCGTGCACTTGCCCGTAGCCGCACCCGGAAGTACACCAGACGAAGTTGTCCGAGGTGGAGATCGCGGAGCGGAACGACAGAGTTTGGTATCTGGGTACGCGGTTAGCTTTGTGGTTGGGGCGAGTTCGAACTCGTTCAGGGCGGGGGAGCGTACCGTTCCTTGGTCTCGTCATCCGCGAAGCGCTGGACGTCATCGTACTCCAACAGCGCGCGACATTCTGGGCACTTGATCTCGTTCCAGAGCCGGTTGCTGAGGTCAGTCTGGATGGATGTGGCAACACAGACAAGACAGGTGGTTGGTTCATGGGCGCAGGCCTTGGTGATGGCCGCCGTGGGAAAGTCGGACACCGGCTTGGTGTCGGTACAAATGATGCACTCGCGGTCTCCGCTGAGGATGTCGGGAAGCCTCCGCTGGTTGGTGATGACAACCGCGGCCGTCTCCTTTGCGACTTGGTATCTTTGCCCGAACCTGGAAAATCTAGTTAGTAGGGTGGTTTCGGCCAGGGGCTGATACGTACCCAAGCTCGTCGGGCGCGGCAGTTGGGGCAGTATCCGCGGGTCCGGTCCGTGCCGGGCTACGCAGGAAAGCCACCGTCATGGCGTTCTGCTTGTCCTCGATGGCCGCGGCGTACGGGTTATTCGACCGACTGGACCCCGTGCGGTTTGTGTTGGTATCCCTGCGCAGAGTTGGTTCCCTTCCCCTTTGCCCTCCCGCCTCCACCTGCATGTCCCCACCACGGATGGTTAATGTGGAAAGATCAGACCCGGAAAGCGGCGTGCGGAACATGGAATCATGCGTTAGCGCTCCCCCCATCGGCGGTAGCACTCCCGTGACTTCCTCTCCCACGATGCTCCCGCCATCCGTAGCCATACCCGATGCGACGCTGGCCGTATCATCGTCAAAGTCTCGGAGTAGAGCAGCGTTGAAACCCCAAAAGCCCAGCACGGCAGACCTCAGACTCTGTGGTTGTAATTGTGGTGCGGGTTGTCCTTGGTGCTGCTGATGTCGTTGCTGCTGTTGTGGCTGTGGTTGTTGTTGCTGTGGTGGCTGTTGCTGCTGTTGGTGATCCTCAACTATGGCCCCCTCCGTGGTTCCCGGACCATCTTCCTCCACATCTTCCTCCCAATCAAACCCCAGGATGGCGGGGCTGATGGGGCCATAAAAGGCCCTTGGTGACGGCACGGTTGCTGCCATGGCGCTTTTACCATTGCTCATCGGTGGGGCCCAAGAAAACAAATCCTCGAAGCCTGGGAAAGCGGTTTCCCGCGGACTCTCTGGTGGTGCGGTCGAGCCCTTTTTGTCCAGCAGATCCTGTCGAATCGAAGTCAGCCACATGTGTTCCTGATAGGCTATCTCGCGGATGGAGGTGCCAGCGTTGGGCATGGGCGTCACGGGAGCCAACGCGTGACGTGTGCTCGCGGGGGGGAAGACACGAGGGCTCGCGGTTGGTGGTGTTGTGAACAGCGGACGAGACTGTATGTACAAGTGTGAACCCTTCCTACCTAACGTGGGGCACGACCTAGGCCGTGTGCGTGAAGTAGTGCAGGACTGTCGGCTATTGTTGTGAGCTTAGATCCCTCTTGAAATGCGATGTCACTTGTGTCTAACAATGACTCGCATCATTAGGTCATAAAGTGCTACGCTTACAGTACTGAGGCTGCATTGCACCTCGAGCGAGACTCACTGGGACCGCAGGTGTTTTGCTGCTGCCAACTTTAATACATGTTGCCGAAGGTGGATCGATACCCCAAAGTGTCTAAACAAAGAACAGAAATCGGAGAAGTGATCACCAATTTGCCGTTCTGTTCTAAAATCGACGTTAAGGTGGAGGGAAGCCAGATTCTTTTGGCCGTTCTTTCTGCGGATAGAAGCGAAATGGGATGGGAACAAACAGCAGGAAAAGAGGGATGGAGGGCCTCAGCTGAAAGCTGCCCGCCCTCCCCCGAACTTGGAGCCGCGGGGTTCTCGACCGATGGTGGTGGGGCTGTTGCTGAGCTGGACAAGCCGAAATTACATGTAATCGATACCCAACCATGAAAGTTACCACCCCGCGCAACCCTCCATTAGCCCAACATGCAGACCGAGGTTTGTTGATGAGGCTCTGTTCAAACCCCAGACTCGCCGGAGCAGCGTGGCTGTGCCTTCGGCTACGGGCGGGGGAGGTGCCATGGAGGCAAGTGAGTGGGGTAACTCGGTATGTAAACTGCTAAGTGTAACCATCATAGGCGTGTTGTTCAGCTACACAGTAGATGACAGAGATCGAGTTTCTGCGAACCTGAGAAGTGGAAAGGCTACATTCCGCGAAAACAACTTCCCTGTTTCGCCAACGGCTTTTTGCAAGAATTCCGAGGTCTCTGCACTGTATACCGTGTAGGTCTCCAAACATGACACTTTTGCTGTGGCTTTTTGCTGTTTCTGTAAAGATAGGTATATTTGCCTGACGATGAGGGTGTACAGGTTACGGTAAGTTACAACAACTGCTGGATAACACCCAAGCCCTCGCCCCGACATGCCATGAGGGTTCCCTGCTGTCCGGCCGCCTGGCTGCGATGTCAGGTAAAAATGGCCACATTCACCCCCATTGCAAACCCCGCCATTGCCAGACACTGCCTTCCTGTGCCCGCTCCTCCCTGTCGCGGCGCCCGAAGCACAGGTGATGCATGAGGGTCCGCTCGCCATTGGCAAGGAATTTCTCCCTCTTCTCCTTTGGGCCCCAGGCGACGAGCACCTGTTGCATACGAACCACTGTCGGCTCCTTAATGACATCCCCCTTGCCCACCTGTCTCATGTATAGCGCCGGGACGATAGTGGCCACGTTGTTGAGGTCCCTGTAGAGTTCCTCCTTGCTCGGTTGCGGGTCCAGCTTGGTCACGATGAACGGCTTCCGGTTCTGCAGTATGTTTTCGCACCTCAGTGTGGGCAGGTCTTGGAGGAAGTCCGGGCTCATCTCGAGCTCCTGGCGAGAGTTCCACAAGATGTAGGGGTTCAGGTCGAGATAGAAGTGGTGCGTCGATGTCATGAGCTTCTCGTGCAGCACCACCGCGGGCTTGATGATGCCTTCCTGGCAGGAGAGACAGAGCTTGTTCCAGTCCTTCTCCCTGCGGAACACCTTGAAAAGCGATGCCACTTCAGCCGTGAGCTCCCTGACCCGCCCGTGCCGTGCGCGGTGGTAGTCGGGCGAGCAGATGACAGCATTGAGGGCTTCGGCCCGCCATGTACGTAGTGCAAAGAGGTCTGTGACTGGTAATCAGCGGGTCTGCAATGCGAAACCGTTTTCGGCGTGGTAACCTACCTCGTTTTGGCTCGACGTTGGTTTGCATCTGGCCTTCCAGGAAGCTGATGACCTCGACCGTTTCAGGTACTGCACCGTAGAGAATCTTCTGGAATATGTGGTCCTGCAGGAAGCGCATCACGACCGCGATCAGGATGTCGATGTCCGTCTCGGGAAACATGGATCCGTAAACCAAATCGCCTTGACTCTGCAAATACCGCTTAAGCTTTTGAGAGTCTGCTGGCCTTTTTTTGGCGACGGCCACAATTTCGTCCATCTTATCGTCGTCGTCAAGAATCGGTTCCATAAAGTTAGTGACCCAGTCGGTGATGCCGTTGACGAGGTCGTCAAAATCCTGCGTTCGTTAGGTCAGGGCTGGCCATACTCCGGCGGGGGTGAAGCAACTTACCTGGCCCACTTCCTTCGGGGTGAGGTCTTTGCGGTAGGGCTGCAGACTGAAGATGTGAGATCGCGCCTCGTCTAGCTCTGCCTTGAGCCCGTTATTTTCCGCCTTCAGAGTTGTCGTCGTGTCTGCCAAGTCGGTGCGGTCTACCGCCGCTCGACTGGACCTGGATTTGAGCTGCCGGGTCAGTTCTTCAGCTGCGCGCTCTGCCTGGTCAGCCCGGCTGTTGGCATCTCTGAGCTGCATCCGTAAGTCTTCCATTTCTCGCCGGGCCCAGTGCTCCTCGTCTCGATCTCGGCTGCGCTGCGGTCTGAGGAGGTCTATGTCGTCTCGCGACAGTGCCAGCCTTTGGACAAGATCATTTTGGTAAGCTTGGTGCGCCGCCCAAAAAGCATGTTGAACCCTGGAGTCTGGATGCGATGGCTGATGCCACATTGGATGTGGAGGTTGAAAGGCCGGGGGAGCCCAGAACTGTTCTGACCTTGTGTTGCCGCTGATGACCACATCGGCACTGTCAGGGCCGTGCAACGAGACAGGAGGACTGCGTTCCTCCATGCTCAACAGCTCTCGGCTGTGCGGCCGCGGCCGCTCTGGTTGATCCATTGGCGATGTTTCGGTTCGCGCGCTCAGCGGGAGCTTGTCGGGCCGCTTTGGAGGCCTAATCTCGTGGGAGGGTGATGATTTGGCGGGCTCGCCCTGAAACTCACGCTTAAGATCTTCCATGATGGTGGACTTGGTGGGATTGGGGGAATTTTGAGAGTTGAGCGGGGACGCGGTTTTGAGGCAGGACCACCATCTCCTCACCATTCCCAAGTTGGTTAAGTGAACAAGCGGGATGTACGGGTGTTTGAGGAGGAATCGCGTTTGTGCAGGTACAGATTACAGTATGTACATACATACAGTAAGGCTGAGCGCGGGGTTACAAGGGATAGTGGAGGGCGCTCAGTTCGATGTTCGCAAGAGGAAACGACAAAACCCAAACTGGGATGAGCGAACATTCCCAATAATCTGCACAAGTACGGTCTGGGGGTATTTGGCACATCCGTGGCCGAGGATTGCTACAGACATGTACTGTGTAGGTAGCGTATACTATTGGATGACATCACGTCGACATTTGAAGGCTTCAAACTCACTGGAGAGATGGAAGCTCGAGAGGATAAGGATAAGGTTCCGGGTTGGGTTGCTTGCCCGGGATGGAGGGGCAACAGCTTGCTCCACCATGGATATTCTGGATTCACTCTTGGCAGACGAGGGCGCCACGATCACTAGTGTGCCCCATAGCCCCACTTGCCTTTCATGGTCTCGCAGCACGCAGCTGGCAGCTTCCATCGATCTGCGAACAGCCTTGTGAAGCCCCGCTGTCTCCTCCACGTTTCCTCTGCCCATTCCCCAACATGCAATTTACGCCAACCTGAAACATTGCGGCAATGAACGGTGCAAGATACCTGTCGAGTAAAATGTGTGGACAAACACGACACAGGACCTGAACTTTTCGGAATCTCGGATCATGTGAGCCTCAAAGGTGGTGCGCTGTTGGTCGATTCCAAGCACAGGCGGCAAGCAGCCCGAGCAGCGCCTGCCCGGGCAGCCTCATGTCAACCTTACCCCACCTTTTCAACCTTGACGGTGTCCCGCCCGCCCCCGGGCCATCTTGATTTGGATGCCAGTGGAAAACGAAGCACAGATTGGAAACACAACTGCATTAGCCCCCCGGGCTGAAGCCTGTCCCGACGAATTGCATCTGTCGACAGCTCAAGAGCCCAGAAAGGCATCCTTGACGCTGCATTGCGGGGATTTCTTCCGTCAGGAATTGGTATGGATGGGTTTCGCCGTTGTTCCCGCTCCACGTTGTGTGCCCAGAGTGCAGTGACCTGTATGGAGGTCCAGAAGCACCCGACCACAGAGCCCGGCACCCAGGCTGTGTTTCCCTCGGACCACTGGTCATGGATGCCCTGAAAGGCACCTGCTGGGCTCCCGTCTTCCGTCCGTTCCATGATGCATCACGCCGCTTTACCCCCTCGGTCGACCGAACAAGCGAAGCACCGAACAACCGAACAACCAAACGGCCACATCTGTTAGTGGTGACGCTTGTTTTTTCGGTTTGTAAACTGTCCGTTTGTTATTTTCCTCCCTGGTATGCCATCCCCATCCTGTTCCATCGGCTGTAGTAGGCCTCCTCCAACCCTCCACTTGTGAATTCCAGGCTCCCATCTTCCTCTACCTTCTTCAACTGCATCCACTGTCGTGCTATTTGTACATCCGCATCCATAGTTCCCTACATGTGCCTCGTTGCCTCCGCACCTAAATTCCTGAGACACACCTCCATCTCCAGTTAGGTGCCCAACATGGATTTCGACAAACTCAGCATCAACGACCGCAAGATCATCGTCGGCATCGACTTTGGCACCACATACTCGGGCGTGGCTTGGGCCGAAACACAGCGCCCAGATCGTCGCGTTGCCGTCACCGTTTGGCCCATCTCCAAGACAACCCGCGAGGGCGAGTCGTCAGACAAAGTCCCGACAAAACTACGGTATAGCGATGCCAACAGCGATCCGGAATGGGGGTTTTCCATCCCCATGAATGCGCCCTCGGATGAGATCGTGGAATGGTTCAAGCTGTCAGTTCCCAGCCCCCGCGCTCTCTCCTCCCCCGTTTGCTTATTGACTCGTTCAGTGATCTTGACCCCTCCCTCCAATCCATGGGGACCGCAGTGACGAGCGCTGCCACACGAGGTGGTCGCAATGTCGACAAGCTTGTCACCGACTACCTGTCAGCACTGGGCGACCATCTCATGTACACGCTGCGTGAGAAACTGGGCGAGGGCGTTGTTAAGAACACCGCTCTCGAATTCGTCGTCACAGTTCCCGCCATTTGGAGCGACCTAGCCAAAGACAAGACTAAGCAAGCTTGTCAGCGAGCCGTTGGCAACCTCTCCAAAACCAACCCCCCCATCCACCTCATCTCCGAACCCGAGGCCGCTGCTATCTACGCCCTCCACGGCCTCGACCCTCATGGTCTCAAGGCGAATGACAGGTGAGTCCATGCCCCTGAAATCCACATTTGCCGCTTGCTAACCAACGTCACAGCTTCGTCATCTGTGACGCTGGTGGAGGTACAGTTGACCTCATTTCTTACACCATCACCAACCTGAAGCCCATCCTCGAGGTTCAGGAAGCAACTCCCGGCACTGGCGCGCTTTGTGGCTCCACCTTTCTCAACATGAGGTTTGCCAAGTTCCTCAAGGCCAAGTTAGGGAAGGCAGACGGGTGGGACGACGAGGTGCTCGCCGATGCCATGGAGAGGTTCGAGAAGACGGCACGCCCTCCCCGCCCCCCTCTCTACCGCACAGGTTCAAGACCTTCTAACATTCACTAGGTCAAACGCCAGTTTACGTTGCACGCAGGAAATGACGACACATACACCATCCCAGTCGGTGGTCTGGCCAACAATAAGGAGCTGGGTATCAGCCGCGGGCGGTATGCCCTCAAGGTAAACCTACCCCCATTCCCCCCACCATCCTTACGTCAACCATAGGTAATCAGCCCCACTGACAACTCCCAGGCCTCGGATCTCCGTGTCATCTTCGAGCCCGTCGTGCAAGAAGTAGTCAAGCTCGTCAACGACCAGATCTCGTCTTCCAAGGTCCCCATCAAAGCCGTCCTCCTGGTCGGCGGCTTCGGTGCCTCCAACTACCTCAAGGAGCGCCTGCGGGGCGCCATCGACGCCTCGATCCAGATCATGCAGCCGCCCAACGCGTGGCTGGCGGTGGTGCACGGGGCCGTCATGAAGGGCCTGGCCCAGAGCGCGCCGGAGCAGCTGACCATGGTGCGGGTGCAGAACCGCAAGGCGCGCAAGCACTACGGCACCGAGTGGCGGGTGCGCTACGACGAGAAGGTCCACGCCTACCTGCGCAACAAGAAGCACTGGTGCGGCCTGGACGGCTGCTGGAAGGTCTACACCATGGAGTGGTTCATCCGCCGGGGCGACGCCGTGTCGGAGAACGAGCCCTTCTTCACCAGCTTCGTCTGGACGGGGCCCGTCTCCCAGGGCCGCATCAAGAAGATCAAGATGGACATCTACGCCGACCGGACCGCGCGGAACGCGCCCCTAGCGAGGGATGATAACGTCGCCCTGGTGTGCCACGTCGAGGCTGACGTCGGGCACATCCCCGAGAATTTGCTGCAGAAACGGAAGGGGAGTGATGGGAACGTACGTGCCGCCCCTACTTCATCGTTGTGTGTGTGGCTTTTCTGTCTTTTACGGCGTGCTAATGGGTCGTTAGTGGTATTATGAACTCAGCTGCAAGATTGAGGCAGTTTGTCAGTTTCTCCCCATTGAGGTACAATCGACCGACCGAGTGGAACATGCTAACCTTCCTGTTCTAGATCTCTCTGCCTCGACACAGTACACACTATTGTACAACGGCCAGCGGTACAACTCGGTCACGGCCGAGTACGTCTAAGGTGGTCGTCTGCTAGGAGTGAATTTATGGCTGTACGAACGGCGTTCTGGGGCTGGGTTGGTAGGCGTTTATCAAGAATGTGGAAGGGAACTCGGGAAGGTCTGTTTGGCCGAGAAATGCGAGCAACTGTAGCTACAGTAGCTGGTGAATCTACATCCATATGCCCTTGCCACCCTTCTCCTCAACTCTGATATCTTCTTTTTCTTGTTTCTCTATCGGTCGCAACCTTCCCGTTTCTACCCCCCTCACCACTCTACCCCCTTGTTTCTTTTGCGAAATGTCATTATTTCCAGTCCGGGAAGGCAGCTAAGTTGTTTTGACCGGCGTGTTAGGACAAAGAAGCCACGCTGGTAAACCATAACTCAGCAACAGGGGTACAAAGCAGACAATCATGTACAGATGTATATTAGGTAGTCACTACCTAACTACCTACCCAACCACAGCATTGGAGTTATGTTCATTAGAGCCTGTGGCCATTGTCAATCTTCCACGGTAAAACTCACCCAGAAGGGTTATATAAACGGGGCATGTATCATAGACAACCTTTCTTAACACCACTAGAACACACGCAACTACAACCTCCAATAATTCACGATGAGCACCGTCTTCCTTCAACTCGCGAAATATAAGCAAGACGCCGAGCATGGCGTCGTGGTCGGGCTCTCCATCGACGAGCACCCGTCCGAACGTGCCAGATCAATCGCCAGGGCAACCATTCAATTGATGGATAGCATTCCATCCTCCTCGCCGGAGACTCTTGTCTCTCGGCAGGTGCACTCGGTAACCATGCACCCGGGGAAGGAATCAGGCACCTTGTTCCGGGTTCTGCCGCAGTGCGGCGGAGTCCATCCCGACACAGTGGTTATCAGCGTCAAGCCTGCGCAGGACGACACCGATCCATCCGCCATTATCCGTTTCAACATCACCCTGATCAACCAAACCTCGGAGTTGGTGATCGAGCGTTTGGAAGGGAAAAGCAGCCTGGTGGTCCTGTCGCCGGCGTTGATGAGGTTGGGGAGGACGGAAGACGACCAGTGCAGGGCTCTTCTGAATAGTCGAACACACTGCCGGTTACGGAAGGGGGCCCTGAGCTGGTGCCCTATCCATCGCGAATACTATCAGTTACTCCACAATGAGCAACTGATGGGTCGAAGGATCTGCCATGAGAAACAGATGCGAACTTCCAGTAAGTGGAGCGACAACAAGTCCCACAATACAGTATATAACTGCATCCAGACGTCGCTAGCGGCGCGTATCATGATCAATGAGATCCTGTACGCCGGGGACAACTCGAACGGCGACCAAGTCGCCTTATTCAACAAGACCAAGCAGAACCGGGACATCATATCCCAGCAACTCTTGTCGAATAAATCGGACGGTTCGGGCAGGATGTCCATCTCGTCCATCATGGATGGCCTCCTGGACCAGATGAAGGAGAGGGAGAACAGTCCGGAATCCCACGATGTGTGGCAGGATGCGCTGGTCGTGAACATTCTCGACGTGTACGCTATCACGCAAACGCCCCAAGTCGGGGGCCGGTTGTCGTCGGTATTCCAGTTCGGCGAGGCGGCCTGTCCTTCCAAGATGCGTGACCGCCTCTTTGAAGAAGCCGAGCGCCACGGGAATCTACCCGACCTGTCACAGCTATCATCACCGCCCCCCGGGGTCCCAAAACCATTGACTAAGGAGGAGCAAAAGGCATATTGGGACGAGGATTCTTCGTAATAGCCCTGCCGGCCGGGCACTATGGATCTGTAACGGTCACAAATCAAAAGTAAGATGGAGGACCCCGTGTAGGAGGAATTCCAGGTAGAGTACGGGCACCAGTCACACCACCACTCACTGGGGCTGATTCATGAAATAGAAACTAGTTGGTTGCTGTATTCAACCTTTTCGTAACGTGATAGTCCACCAATGTCCGTAAGTGTCACTCTCAGCGATCTGGAAGCAGATGTATAGGTAGCTTTGACACGTGTTGTGTGTTTGTCCCCTATCCATCTTTATCCCCATATTACCCTCCTTTCTCGTTCGCCCTCCCTTTGAGCGGCGTGTCGGTTGTTGGTTGGGTACCCCGGAGAGTATTGGCTTCTCACGGCAGGGCACCAGCTTCAGTGTTTATATTGCCCTCGTTTCGTCTCGCCGATGGCCAACCTCTTTACTATCCCGAGTGCCCCCTCTCGAATCATACATAGCCAAACCACTAGGGAGGATATCTCCGGTGCAAATCGGAAGTGCAAAGCAGAAAGCGGAGGGTGAGAAGTGGACAGGGGGAAAGGACTAGTGGAACTTAACTGCGTGGCGGGAGCGGGAATGTGCAATGGTTTTGGTATTCGTTCAGTTCACCAATTAACTATTAAAACCTCCATACATGAAGTTCGCTAATTAATTCAACGCAAGGCGCTCGAGGGTTGTATGAAATGATGTTCCCTGTCCCACTCCCTTCCCCAGCTCTTTCATCGTTGACTCTAAGGCACTGGGCAGCGTTTGCCACGGAGGATCAAGGGCCGATGCTCCACCCCCCATCAGTTGGGGATTCTCTCAACGACGGTAGCACACTTCTCGTTCTTCTGCCACTTATAGTGGCCGCACCTGCATCCCAAGGCGCGGATTGCCTTGTAGTGTTGTTGGATACTGGCGCCGCCGTTCCTGCACTCAGTGTTCATCGCGGCGGTGATCCTGACTCTGCAGTTGCCATGCTCAACGGAGTCAGGCGTGCCGATGCTACAGAAGAGGGGGGGTCAGCTTTTACTTGTGGGAATCACGACGGTGGATGGAGGACGTACACGCCAACGGCGAAGCTCTTGTTCTCGAGCTTAGCGGCCGCCTTATCGCAGTTGTTGAGGTACGTCTTGCCAGCCCTGGGGCAGGTCCGGTTGCACTGGACATCGCCGGGGGCGCGGTTGGAGAGAGCTGACGCCGAATCCGTAACGGAAGTGGCGTTAGGAAACCCAGGGGAGTTCCTCAGGCCGCGGGTGGCGAGAGTTCCCGCCGAGTCTGAGACCGTAGTGTTAGGAAACCTAGGGGGGTTCCTCAAGCCACGGGTGGCGAGAGTTCTCGTCGAGTCCGCAACCGTAGTGTTAGGAAACACAGGGGGGTTCCTCAGGGCGCGGTTCGTGGACCCGGTATCATCGACCACAACGGGGCTGGCGATAGCGACAGTGGCAAAAAGCCAAGAGGCAACGGCGGCGACGCGCATCTTTGTGGTTGAGGGGGTCGGGTTTGGGGGAGGGACTGAGGTAGGTAGGATGAGGAGTGTGAATGTGTGATGGTAGTGATGGTGGTGATGCTGTAGAGACCAGGGACGACGGCGTGCCTTACTTATACACACGGCGGCCCTCGCAGCGTACTTCGTAGACACTTGAGTAATCTGTAGGTGGTCTCATAATTCCTCAGACCGTCAGACGTGCACACCGGCTTCCCTCTGATCGCAACCCCATCCAGACTCGGCAGATCTGCCCCAGCTGAACAATAGTTATCGCACATCAGTGACAGAGACACCGCTGAAGCAGGTAGTTGATCCGCCCGAGGAATTCTTTCTCACGCCCTCGCGGCGGTGACGACAATGTGACAATGTCCACCCTCGCTCGGAACGGAGCGGGAGCGGCGCGCGCGGCAGCGGGCACTAGTCCAGAGTGGAAAGGATGCGCCCGCTAGTTTCACATGGGAAGCTGAGAGTCTGAACTCTGAATATCGCCAGGGGTAAGTCAGCCACGTCGAGATCTGGATCCACTCGGGCAGCCCAGCGGTGATCGCGGTGGTCGGACTTAATGGCTCCGTGAGGTGTCTGGCGGCTCACTCTCTCCTTTTGTCCCCATTTTTAATTTACTGACCGCTGTACATCCATGATAAGGTCAGCCGCGAGCCGGCAGAAGCCTGGCAAGGACAAAGCCGGAGGGGAGTGAAGCGGCCCGGGATACCAGAGAAGCACAACCTTGAACACTTTCTGTGTTCTTGATCAATCACAGACTCACACCATGGTTTATCACACACAAGATCTACGTGGTGTTGTTGTCCATCGAAGTTCGGCCCTTTTGCCTCGGCTATGACATCCTCAACCCACCGGGCACCTTCTCCCTTAAGCCGTCCTCCAGCCCAGTGGCGCCACCAAGTATCCCCGATTCCCAACAATAGCAGCAACGTGCCCATGCACTGTTGAGCCGTTGGGGTCCACGACCCATCCGCCCAGGTACCTCGGATCAGCCTCTTGGCCGCATACAAGTAGTCAGCAAAGATGGTTCGATCAGCAGCAACACCGAAACTTACCGGCCCGTTGGTCCCGAGGCTTGACAGCCGTAATTTGCTCTAGATGCGTATGCGGCGAGACCTGCAGCCAGCCGCCGGTCGTCGCTGGGATACATATGTGGGAGCGAGTCAGAGATGCGGGCTGGAACACGATCACGACCTCTTGACCGTCTTGGAGCGGAGCGGTGGCTGGGATGAACTCGGCCGGGCAGAGGCAATTGTTTGCCGAATCGGAGGGGAGGCGCAGAGGAGCACTGCCTAGCTTGAACTCAACCCCGTCGGCGCTCAGCGCCCTCTTTCCAACGTCTGTCTGGAAAAAGCGCAGGACAGCCCGCTCGACGGCCAGGTCGGCGCTCCCCACGAACCATACCCAGTTGGCCGGCGATCCGGATACAGATTCAGGCCATTCAATGGTCTCCAGAGTAATCGACAGGCCCGAGGGCGGCCCGCCCAGCTCGGCCGAGACGAAGGAGCTGAGCTCATGTCCATATTGACCGACTTGGCGATGGAATCCGTCCCGGATCATGGCATCGGATGGGGGTTGCAAGTCCATCGAGTTGTTTCTGGTCCTTTATCACGGCTCCATTCAAGATGCGGCAGAGAAAAGAGACCATGTGAGAATCACCAACAAACAGGATCGTAGGTAGGGATGGATGGACCGGCAGACGGGGTGGCGGGGATACCAGAGGGGCAGAGGAATGTATATATATTATATATTAGTTGGCTCGAGTGTGTCGAGGACGGCTGGTTGGCGACGCCTTTCCAGCAGGCCTCGGTTGGTGAAGCGGAAACTGTTGGTTCCTCGCTGGAACCGGAGTTCGGTACCTAACTTCGGTTTCGCCGCCCCCTCCCAGCGTCCCAGCCAACGACCGGTCACCAACCGACATTTTGCAGGCCCTGGCACTGGCCCTTCCCAGACCGTTTCAACACGTGGGGGGCTTGGCTTCCTGAGCCATGGTTCGAGGACGAGGACCTGGTGGTTGAGTGGCTAATCCTAAAGTACCTATCGAGACTCGCCAGGCTTCAGTTCTCCTACGCCCTGGTTTCTGAACCGTCACATACACGCGCGCTGTGAAAAAGGGGTACAAAGCCTGCTGGAAGGTTTGCAACCCAGCACTCTCACACCCATCGTGAGCTTTCAGAAACCATCCCCTACTTGGCCCTTGTATCCAACGTCGTCTTACACCAGGATCCTTGGAAGAGGCTTTCCCATGTGATAGCAGCCCCGCCCTCAGTACGGATGGCTGGGCTGGGACCATGAACCACCCCCAACTGGTTTTCTACGCAGTCGCAATCTGACCCGCAGCCAAATGTCGTACCGCAGGGGCTGCGAGTGGCTTCAGGAGGGCGAATGGATTGCTTCAAGACTTGACTAGGTTTTGATTACTTCAAGGCTCAACTACGCTAGCAATTGGGCGCATCCCCATACCGGCATAGACCTTTCCCAGCCCTACGCATACACAGGCGCAATGACAAGCCGAGCACCAAACACGAAGATGGCTCCGGAGATGTTTCCCGTGCGACGAGACGGCCTTACCACCATAACCCTAACCCGCAGCACACCACCAAACCGTAACCCCGAACTCACCCAAACAAGCCAAAAACCGCTGCACCCCCATCCCGTCTCCAACATCAACCCCCCTCCTTCGTACCTACCTACGCCCTCCCAACCCTCCGCCTCTTACCCACACCCACCCCAGCACCAGAAGCAGCACCATCCCCATCCTCCGCCTCCTCCTCGCCCTCATCCCTCCCACTCTCCCCACCCGCACCACCACCACCACCCCCATTCCCACCAAGCACGCTCGCCTGGCGGGTACTCGTCCCCGTCCCCACCCCACCACCACCGCCACCACCACCGACGCCACCACCGGGCGGGACATTCCGCCTGACCTCAGCCGAGCGCAGCTCACTAAGCAGCTTCTCGACCTCGACAAACATGGCGCGGGCGTCCTTGACGACGCCGAACTCGTCGACCTTGTACCCCAGCACGCCACTGTCCTGCGCGCCGCCGCCGCCGCCGCCGCTGCCGCCGCCGGTGCCACCACCACCACCACCACCATTACCCCCACCACCGCCACCACCACCACCGCCGCCGCCGCCGCCCGCATCGGCGCCCTCATCGTCCTCGTCCACCTCGCGGAGGAAGGCGGGGCCCGGGCCGTGGTGGGGGTCCGGGTTGTACATGACGGCGTTGGAGAACATGTGGGCGAGCTCGCGGTCGAGCTGGGAGGAGTTGATGATGGATTTGGGCGGGACGAGGTCGTGGGTGCGGGGCAGCCAGACGCCCGAGGAGGAGGAGGCCGGGTCGCCGCTGGCGTCGGGGAGGGCGGCGGCGGCCTGGGCGGCGGCGCGGTTGCCGTGGTTGATGGCGGCGCGGATGGTCTTGAGGTCTTGGGCTTGCTTGACCACCTTGTGGTAGCCGGGCGCGTCCCTCTCGCGGATCGGCGCCGCGAACATGTTGGCGGACCGGTGGTGTACTATCTGTTCCATCGCGGAGCCGCAGACTTTGTTGAACGAGCGCGTCCAGAGTACGAGTTTGGGTGGGTCGGCTGGGTTGAGGCTTTCCGAGAGGGCCTCGCGTAGCTGGCTCGCGCGAGGAGTCCGGCCGGGCGTCGGGGTCAATTCTTCCCGCTTTCGCTTGGTCGAGCGCAGGGGTTGAGGACGGCCTGTGACGCTCTCATCCGCGGTAGTGTCTCCAGCTTCGGTTGACGGCCGTGGTGTGGTCACCTCGCGCTTAACTCTTGGTGGCTCGGGCTCCACAGCCGCCTGCTTGGCCTGAGAACCTGGTGGCAGGTTCGGTGTTGCTCGGGGACCGGGCTGAGGTGTGGAGACGCCCTGGGATCGCTGCGGAACATGCGATCTTCCTCCCTTGTGCTTGGGTGTATCGGTTGCCCCTTCCCGTTTCTGCGCCTGCTTAGACGTTGGTGGTGCTGAGGGTCGCAATACAGGGCTCGTCGGCTCATACGCGGGACTGGGGACGTCATCGTAACCCAGCCGAAACTCAATCCCTGGCTTCGGAGTCGAGGGCGTCGAATTCGATAACCACTTTGTGCCGCTGCCTTTTGCCAATCTTGTGGGAAGATTCATGGTAGGTGTTTGCGGGGCAGAAGGAGCCGGACTGAACCTAGCAGGCGGCGTTGGTGTCGACGTAGCAGAGAACCGAGGATGAATACGGTCAACAGCTGCGGGTCGGGGCGGTTGGTATGGGGAATTGTAGCGCTGGGCCGTATCTGGAGGGGCGGGGACCGGCGAGGGAGCACCCCGCGGGGCGTGTTGCTGGTTGTATGGTGGTGGTTGCGGAGCCGCGGGATGGTGCGGCTGCTGAGGAGCAGCTAGACCAGGGCTCGGTCTGGGCGGTACAGTAACCGGCGGCGTAGACGCTCCCGGAACCGCCGCGCTCCGCCCTGGACTAGGCGGGCGCACTTGAGAGGTAGGATGAACCGGAGTGGCAGGGCCCGAGGCTGATACAGGGTGACGTTGATATGGAGGGACGTGGGGATGCGGTTGGGGGGGGTTACCAGCTGCCCTGGTGGGGAGCTGCGGCTGTTGTTTGCCTGGCTCGCTTGCAGCAGCTGCGGGTTGCCTGACTTGTGGCGACTGGAGCGGTGGCGCAAACTGAGTGGCAGAATGTGGGGGTATCAAAACCTGTTGCTGATGCAACGGCCTACTAGTTTGTCCCTGGATAGCTGCCGATCCCGGATGTGGTGGTGCTGGTTGCTGAGGGCCCCGTGATGGAGGGATGGTCTGAGACGGAATATTGGACACGTTGGGTGGTTGTTGTTGCTGATGCTGTTGTTGCTGGGGGTTCGCCGCATGTCGCCAAGGAGCATTTGGCTGGTAGGGCGGTTCCCATTTCAGCTGCCCCTGTGCGGGTAGCACATTGGCCGATGGCAGTGCCGGAGACTGTCTGGTTCCCACAGCGCCTTCTGGTCGTTGTAGGCCATCACCTACGTTAGGCGCCACAGGTGACTGCGGGGGTTGGAAGGGGGTAACGCCTTGCGGCGCTTGTAGGACTTGAGGCGCCGCATTCTGAGGTTTCGGTGGTGCCGTGGTTGGCTGCGTTACCGGCAGTCTAGTCACCTCTTGCTGACCGAGTTGAGGAGATCGCGCGGGTTCGGTGTGGGCGGCGGCTGACGGCGGAGGAGCGGGGGATACCTGCTCAGGGGCTGCCGGTTGCAGAGGCGAAAGCCCACCCCGAACGTCTTTCTGCGATGCTGGTTGGGGCAGCAAAGGCTGTAGATTCCGCAGGGCCTGCTGGGGCGCCAAGGAAGTCGGAACCTGGGGAGGCCGCGGCAGAGCCCCCGGAGGCGGCTCAACCTTGCTTAACGGTCCTGGCTCGTGTTTCCCTACGACATCATGTGGGCTTGGAGCTTTCGGTTCGAGCTCTCCCGTGCCCATCTTTTCCAGCTCTTTTATCCCCTCCTGTAGTTGGTCGTATTCATCTTCGAACTGCCGTATCTCGTCGGTGGCGTGGCGTAGGTATGCATCATGCAGCTTGCTGTAGGCACTCTCAAGCTTGTCCAAATATTGACGGGCATCCTTAAGGGTCAACGGGGGTGGAGACTGCAGCTTGCGCTTCTTCGACGCAGGCGACAGGGCGCCATCGGGACCGGGTGTATTTCCGCTCTCGGCCTTTACCTCCTCCTGTAAAAGTCGCAGAAAGAGGTCTCGCAGGGTCTCGGGTCGCAGTCGCTGGGCGTCGAAAGTGGTATCATCTTTGATGAGGTTGTTGCTCTGGAGAACCCCGGCGATGGCCACAAAGTTGTCCTCTCCAAAGCCGTAGTTGGCGATTCCGCGAAACAACAGGAGTTTCTCGAGCGGCGTGTGCGGTGTCGTCGAGGTATTCATGCCCCCGACTCCACCCCGCGGGGAACCGAGGGGGCGGTTCTCGACAAGATGAATTGGCGCCACGATCTACGAGTTCCCACGTTGTCAGCGACCTTGTGTCGTGAGTTGTCGAGGGTGTGCATCTGCCGCAATGCGCCAAACACATACCGGCAGCCCGAGCCTCGCGCTCCTATCAATCCGACGGTTGGGAAGGGTATCGCGTCGATCGGTGGTAATCGCCCGGGGGTTTTCGTCTGGGTTCGACCGATTGCAAGCGCTCGTGACAAGTTTGGTTGTTTTCGTTTGCGGTTGTCGTGTTGGTATATCACGTGATTGGTTTTTTTTTCGTCGGCGATTTGTGTTGATGATGATCGCAATGAGATGTTTCGAGTTCTTGTTTGATGGGTTGAAAGATTGGCCTGCCGGAATGTGAAAGAGGTCGTTTCGCCAAGCACGTGCGTCAACCAGGTTCAAAGATACGCTGGAAACCCAAAACAGGTAATTACAAGAACACATGACAGCCACACTGTTCCCAGTCGTGGGGTGTTCTTCCACCTGGCATGGTGTGAGCCAGAAATAAGCAAATATATGGCTATATCAACAGACCATTGCTCCTCCTACATCCGTACTTGGGAGTGTGACGCAAGTCGAATCTACTCCCCCTTTCCTTTGGATTTCACGGGTAACGCTCCCTCAGCCTCCGTCTTGGGAAATTCGCAGACAGGGTTAGGGTCACTCCCTTGTCCTTCGCTTGCGCACCACCCCGGGCAGCAAGTCCGAAACATTCTTCCTCATCGCCCAACATCGCGTCTGTACGCGTCACTCTTTCCTCTGACGGCAAACGGGGCGAAGACTTTCTGCAACTTGACCCGGCTACTATACTACCCAAGATGGGTCACCACAATATTCAGTTTGCAGGCGACGCGTCCTCGAATAATGGCGCTTGGAGTCCCCCGACGAGTAGGGCGAAGTGAGCCTTGATTCCCGTTAATGAAATAATTCGAGAACTCGCCCTGACGACGAGGTGTGTTTTAGCTTTTGCGAAGAAGACTATGTCATCTCCTATTATCTCGCCGAATTTATCAATGCATTAACCAACATCGCCTATGGTATGTTTAGCCGCCCCTTACCCATTACTCCATCCTTTACACAACTCAATCAAATAACTCAAAATACTGACACGTACCCAGTCTACCTCGCCCTCGTGGCCATGTACCCACCAGGAGGCGGCCGCAGCCTCTTCCGCCCCAAGTACGACTTCATGTCCATCACCCTCTTCATCCTCGGCATCGGCTCCTTTCTCTTCCACGCCACCCTGCGCCAGACCCTCGAGTTCGTCGACGAGTTCTCCATGCTGGGCCTGACCTGGTCGATGCTGCAGGCGTCCCTCACCGCGCGCCAGTCGCCCAGGAAAGCCCGTTTTGTAACCATCGGCCTGGCCGCCGTCTATCTGTCGTTTTCGGCCTTTTATCTACAGTCGGCCAAGATTATCTACCAGGTTTTTGCTTTTGTTACCGCGCTTTTTGGCGTCTTGTTTAGGAGTCAGTACATGTTTCATTTCCTCCAACCGGCGTTCCCGGATGCGAAGCGGCGGGACTGGAACTGGCGGACTTGGAAAGCGCTTGGGATATGTGTTTTTGGGTATGTGCTGTGGAGTATCGATCTCGAGTACTGCGCCGAGCTGAGGAACATCCGGGAGCGGGTTGGGCTGCCGTGGGCGTGGCTTTTTGAGTTTCACGGCTGGTGGCATATCTTGACTGCTATTGGCGCCAGTATGTCTATGCAAGTCGCGAGGGAAGTGAACGAGGAGTTGGAGAGGGAGAGGGAGAGGGAGGGAAAGAAGGAATGAGGTGTGGCTGGCTGCTCAGCAGTCGGGGGGAAAAGCGAGGTCGGCATATCAGGAACATACCCAGCATTGTACGCTCACGTTCATATATAGATTTATCGTATTTAGCATTATGAATCTAGACATGGCGGATTTAGCCGCTTTCTCCCGTCATTACTTCAATGATACTACACATCCATCCGCGCTCGCTACCACCAACGTTAGCGACTGCCTCTCCTTGCCAATCTCGACCGGCACCGCGGTCGGTGGAAGGCCAAGTTTTGGGAAGACCTGGACGACACGCGCAACGGTGTAAGCCACTTCTTGGAGAGCGAATTCCTCTAAATCGAACGGCATTGAGCCAAGTCAGCCAGGTTATTCAAATCGTTCAGCGTCGAGCGGGTAGAACTTACGGCCCAAACACAGGCGGGGCCCGCCGTTAAAAGGGAGGTAGGCCCAGCCAACATCTTTCAACCTGTCTCCCTCCCACCGTTCGGGACGGAACTGGTGGGCGTCCTCGCCATAAATGTCCTTGCGCCGGTGCATGGCATACACGGAATACCCCACACCCTCCCCAGGCCTCACGAGAACTGGGGATTTTCCGTCGGGCCCGCCACCGACCGGGAGGGTGGTAAGTCTCACGGCTTCCCGCGAGTTCACGGGTACCGAGGGATAGAGGCGCAGGACTTCCTTGATGACAACGCCTAGGTACGGCATCCGTCTCAGGTCCTCCATTGTCGGCGGCGAGGCGTCCATTCCCAGGCCCGAGACTTGACCGATCTCTCGTCGCAACTTATCGAGCACTTGTTGGTGGCTGGCAAGGAGTCGAAAGGCCCACTGCAGGCAACAACCGGTAGTGTCGCGGCCTGCGAGTAGCAGGTTTAGGCACTGGTCCCGGATTACCTGCGGGTCGGTAGTCTGCTCAAGTAATGCCTCAACAAAGACATATTTATCGTGTTCGCCACCCTTGGCGTCTTCAGCTGCCCCCACGGTGGCCTGGCTGCGTGCTTTAGATGCCTCCAACGCCTTTGACACCGCGCCGTCGACAAAACGGTGACAAGTCGAACACGCATCACGGAATGTCTTGCCTCCCATGACCCAATAAAAGGGCCCTAAACGGCCACGGTGGGAGAGGTACTCCTGGGCGACATTGAACGCCTTGGCGAAGTCGGACTCCTGACCGGCGACCTGTCCCCAATCCGCTGCGTCGACTGAGTCACCAAAGAGCAGAAACATTGTCGTGTCAAATGTCAGTCTGAAGCATAAAGGCTGGAGATCAACCTGGCCATCCTCTGGGACCGCCGCGATGAGGTTCTCCACACATCTTTTGACCTGCTCAAAGTTCTGCAAACGATTAGATGCAAACTGTGGCCGGAGGAGTTGCCGTGAATGCTTCCAAGCCTCCCCGTCCTGTGTGAAGATGCCGCTGCCGAGCAGTGGCCGGAACGTGGGGGCTCGAAGGCCCAGGCTGTAGTCGGAGAAGTTGGTCGAGAGGACAGCCTCGATATTTTTGGGGTCGATGGTGTCCACACTGCGTGCGCCGAGTAGATTCTGTTCGAAAGTGGTACCCGATTCCTCGACAACATCTAGGAAGAACCGGAGTATCTGCATCTCCCTGGCATATCTAAACACCTTCACCAAGAGGTCCAACCCCAGAGGCCATTTGGCACTCCATGGTCGCAATGGTTGGCATCCATGTTTGAGCGCAAATTGATGTTCGGCCTGTTTTTAGGTTGGGCCATCGGGTCCCTCTTGTCAGTTTCTGCTTATCGTTCGGGGTAACTGCCCACTTGGTGCTCACCTGCCGTCGCTCCTGCCATTTCCACAAAGATCGAATCGAAACAAGAGCCACCACAGCCGCGCACCACTGATATAATCCACCTAACAGAGCCATCTCGAGGGGCTCGAGTGATGCCCGTGATTACGGAGTTTGTGGTGTTCGGTCAAATCGAGTCGTTCCCCCAGAAACGCAACCGCTGCAATTCTCAACACTATCCCATAAATTTACTTGGAGGCAAGCTTCACAACTTTTATGATCGGAGGTTAGGGCTGATTTAGAGTCCCAAACCAGCGCCAGGCTCCAGAGTTCCCGACTCAGCCTCAGCTTGCTGTGTAACCTCAGTGTTGCATCGTTGCGGGTTCGACCGGCCACCTGCGGCGCATGTCGTGGATTGTTGCCCACGTAACTCGAATGCTAATTGGCTAGTAGCATGCTTGAAGCTGAAAACAACGCCGTAATATGCGAAGAGACGGAGCGTGAGCGCGAATTCCCGCCAATCCCCCAATCCCATTTTCCCGCCTTTGGCCCCCAAGTCTCAGGTTAGGTAACAACCTTGGCTTAGCGAGCAGTGAGCAGTGGCTCGGCCAGAAAGCCACGGGCCGCCCCTCACTTCCCCTCAGGGATGTCCGAGGAGGCTCAAGGCTGCGTCGCAGGTACCGAGGGAATTTCCGGGCCCCGGCTCCCCGTCACTCAGGTCCTCGCTGACTCTCATGTACCTCAAACCCAGCTTCCCAGAAGTTCGCGGTCAACCGTCCCCCAACGGCCTCGAGGTTCTTGTGGCTTATCCGGTCAAGGCGGACCGCAAGCAAGAGTACGCCCAGTTTGGGCTCGTGAGCCGTCATGGCAGATCCCTTCTCCATCGTCGCGGGGGCCATTGGTGTGGCCGAAATCAGCTTCCGCCTCGTGCTTCATATTCATCAACTCCGACAGGATATCGATGGAATTGATAGTGAGCTGGAGAGCCTGGCCGAAGAGCTCGATAGCTTAAGGGAGCTGTGTGATGCAGTCCAGTCAACCTTCGCTGCTAAAACACGAGACGCATCCCCGGGGTTATGGAAGCACCTTGGGAGAGCCCTTGAAAACTGTCGCGGCGTCCTGACGAAGCTGGATGAGGTGGTATCGAAGATCGAAAGGCCATCGAGTTCATTAGCACCAGGCAAGATCAACAACATGATGATGGCCCTCAGAAAGAAGCTGCGGGAAGGAGACTTACGCAACTGCCGAACGCACCTAGCGACATACCAGAAAGCGCTGCAGCTGGTATTGAGTACCGTCACCTTGTAAGGAATCCTTCCGTCACCCTCTACCATGAACCCCTAACTTGAGCCATTGTCTAACGCTGACGCGCCGCTCGTTAATAACCAGCCAATGTGTGAGCGACTCTCACACCTACAACATGCGCTCCTTCACAGATATTTCCAACGAGTTTCAAGACTTGGGTCAGAGCCTCGAGTACCAGATTACAAATCTTCGGCACACAGCCAAATCAACAGACAGCTCTCATTACGACCAGGCAGCCGTGTCCGCCCTTGAGGAATTGCGAGAGTCGGTGACGTCGGCTGCCCTCGCGATCCAGTCTGCCTCCACCAACCATCACTTCGACATACCTCAGTCGGTTAGCAGCATATTCACGGGCAGGGAAATCCTTCTCCAAGAACTTCAACGGCTATTTGTTCCCCGGCCCGGCATGATGCGGGACGAGATGCAGCGGCGTTTCATCATCCATGGCGTGGGGGGGTCCGGCAAGACGCAGTTCTGCTGCAAGTTTGCCCAAGACAATCGAGACAGGTGCGTTCGCGTTGCCTTGACGTCGCATTTCTAGTACATGAAGCTGATAGCCCGAGCTCAGCTTTTGGGGTGTCTTTTGGATTGATGCCAGCACTCGCGAACGGGCAAAGCACACCCTCGCTGCCATCGCCGAGACCGCTGGCCTTGACAAGAACGAAAATGCTGCGCTACACTGGCTGTCGAATCTCGAGCACAGATGGCTGCTCATCATTGATAATGTCGACGACGAAGATGCCCCTTTAGAAAGCTATTTCCCCAAAGGTAACAGGGGCAACATCCTAGTCACGACGCGAAACCCGGCGTGCAAGATACACGGGAATGTTGGGCCTGGCTTTTACGACTTTCGCGGGCTTGACCTCCCCGAAGCTACGCGGCTTCTTCTCAAGGCTTCGGGCAACCCTGATCCCTGGGACCCAAGCTGCGAGGCGCTGGCCTCGACGATTACCAAGGCGCTGGGCTTCCTGGCCCTGGCCATCATTCATGCCGGGGCAGCCATCAGGGACCAGCTTTGCAACCTGCACAATTACCTGGATTACTACGGCCGGAGCCGGCAAAGAATTCGCAATGCAACGCTCACTGAGAAGGGGACGGCAGCCGAGTCGGCAGTTTTCGCCACCTGGGAGATATGCTACGAACGCCTAGAGCACAAGGGCACTGGGGCCGCAGCTGACGCACTAGAACTCCTCAACGTCCTCGCCTTCCTACACTGGGAGGCTATTTCACCCGATATCTTTACGCGTGCTCTGCAGAATCCGGTTTTGGAAGCAGGCCAAGAAGAAGATACGCCAGAGGGGGAACCGGGCGGCTTGCTGTCAAAAATCATTGCGTTCCTTCTGGGCCTGAAGAGCAGGACACCACCACTATTACCAAACGTCCTTCGCAACACTTCACCACAGGGCGGCATCGAAGAATGCGAGGACCGTGTCCGACTCGCCCTCAAGCAGCTGGCTCACATGTCCTTAATCATCCGCAACGACCACAACGATACATACTACATGCATCCCATCGTCCATACATGGGCGCGGGAAAGACCCAGGATGAGGCTAGGGGAACAGGCTCTGTGGGCCGACGTCACGGGGAGATTACTGGCGTCGTCAATCCTCCTTCCTCCCTTGGGCTCTTCTGCCGCCGACGAGAAGTACCATATCGGTCTCCTCCCGCACATCGAACACGTCCAGGAATGCCGGAGGGTTGCCGCTGGCAACATATCTAGCGCCCGGGGGCGCAAGCCCGCCCACGACTGGTTCACAAAATTACTGCCAACGCTGGGCCCTGACAGAGACCGATTGCTCATGTACGCCAAATTCAGCCTGGTGTATGCCAAGTGTGGCCGTTGGGCCAGCGCAGAAAGGCTGATGAAGGAGGTGTCAGAAACACTGCGCCACTATCTCGGGCTCCAAAACAAACGGACCAGGCAAGCCACGCTCTTCCTCGCCACGGTGTATTGGAACATGGGGCGCGCCACAGATGCCGCTTTACTGCAAGTCTCGGTGCTTGAGGCATGCAAGGGACACCTGGGGTCATCTCACACCGACACGCTGCGGGCAATGAGTGAGCTGGGACGCACACGCTGGCAACAGGGCGAGTACACCGCCGCCCTAGCTCTCCAAAAGCCGGTTCTGCACGAGCTGAGTCTGCGCCTGCCCGAAGACCACCCGGATTTGTTAGAAGCGATGGACAACCTGGGCATGACGATGCAGAAATTCTGGGAGACGCACCACTTCGAGGAGGCGTTCCGGCTCCACTCCCTCGCCGCGGAGGGCATGTCCCGGGTCCACGGGCCGGACCACGAGCGGACGCTACTCGCCAAAGAAAGCCTCTGCCGGGTAGCCGTCCAGCTAGGCGGGCCACGAATGAAACCCGCCCTCGACACCATGTCAGACGTCCTCGAAGTCCGCCGCGCGCGGCTCGGCAAGGAGCACCCCTACACGCTGCTGGCCATGGTCAACCTGGCGATCGTGCTGAGCGCGTCGGGCCACACGGGCGAAGCGCTCGACCTGATCCGGTGGGGCCTGCCCATCGCCGACCGCAACCTCGGCCGCGACCACATCGGCACCCTGTTCGGCCGCCACACGCTCGCGTGCATCCTCGCCCAGGTCGGCCGCTACGCCGAGGCCGAGGACCTGCTCGTGCTCGTCACCGAGAGCCAGAAGCGCATGGGCTCCCACCGCGGCAACTACCACCCGGACCGTCTTGGTGCGCTGATCGAGCTGGCCCGCTGCCAGTACATGCTCGGCAAGGTCGATGCTGCTATTGCGGTTTGTGATGAGGCTATTCAGGGGTTTGATATCATTAGTGTCGAACCGCATCCGCTTGCACTTGGGCTGCGGACGGCCCGCGCGGGCATGTTGAAGTTGGAGAGTGAGAGGTCGAATCTTGTTCTTGGCACTTTTAGACCGGAGGAGCATGATATTACCTTTCCGTTTGTTTTGTTTAAGGTTTCTGGGGATGCGGAAAAGAGGTCCTACCCGGCGATGGTGAGTTATGGTTCGGATGAGGACGTGGAGCGAGATGGATACCCAGTGGATTTAATGTCATGATATAATTAGAGCGGAGGTTATTCGTAAGCATGGAAGAACTGTACACAATAAGCTAATTACATGGATGATGGAACTAACTAATTTATCCAATCGATCGCCGACCCGTGTGCTTGGTAGGCGAGGTTGATCAACGGGTATAGGCGAAATATTCCGTCTTCCGTCCAGAACTGACTGCGGTAGCCGCCGAATTCGGCAACCCGGTGCCGCCATTTTCGTGTGTCGAGACAGTGCGGTATGCGCTCATTTTCAATGGCCAAACTGTGGCCGTCCCAGCAAAAGCACTATCAATGATAGCTCTCTGTCGACACATTCGTCGGAAATCGCGCCCAGAGGGCCGTGGGGCGCGGTGGCGTTAATAAGGGGGAGGCGAACAGGGGAAGTCCTCACCGGATCAGTGCCCCGAGAGTGGTGCTTTTGGAAATTGGGATTTTGCGCCCCGCAGTTTTGGACCTTTTGTGAGGATTCGTTGGATGCCGATCTCGCGATGATATCGATCTGGTCGATCGCTGAAATGAATAAGACTCGATGGCAAAATTGACTACTTCCGTGGGATTTGCAAGTTGCCGATGGTATTTTTGCTCTTTCCCGAAACAAACTGGAGCTGGACCCCACGTTGCCAAATGGATCATCACCCAGCGGCAGCGCTCCAACCTCTTTGTCGGGTGTAGGCCGAAGGTGGAGGCGGCGTCATCACCACCATGACGACGACCATTAATATCTCGAGCCCCGACCCCGCCGTCTCGGCACAAACCAAGCAACCAGCGGCCCTAGCCCTCACAATCGGCTTCCCAGCACTTTCGGCAATCGCCGTTTCGTTGCGGCTGTACACACGACTCGGCATCATCAAGCGGACCGGGCCTGACGACTGGTTTATTGTCGTTGCATTGGTACTTATAGCATCATGACCGCTTCTGTGTGCTCGCCTGGCTATGACATTGGGGCTGATATTAGTCCTCACAGTTCCTAGCGATTGGTGCATCTATCGCGATCGCGTTAGGTATCTAGATTCAACCTGTTAGGCCCTTGGGGAACCAAAGATGGAAAAGGTGCTAATGGTGGCTCTCTAGAGACATACTGGGGTATGGGGCTTCATTCGTGGTTGGTGACTCCAGATATGCTGCGGCAGCAGATGAAGGTACGCCCTCCTCTCTCCACCTTTGTGTAAACATTATGGCTATAGCTTTGGCAAACCATCTACAGGCGCTGTATGCTTCCATCATCACCTACAACGTCGCAAACAATGTCGTCAAGATGTCCTTTGCTCTCCAGTACCGACGTATCTTCGGCAGCAGCAGCCCGACCGCCGACCAGGTGTGCCGCTGGTTCTTCTTCTTCCTCCTGGTCTGGACTCCCACGCTGGCCACGTTGATGGGCCTTGCCTGCCTCCCGCTCGCTTCCATCGTGCCCAGCATGGCCGGGAAGTGCCTCAACGCAGTGCCAGTGTGGTACACGTCGACGGTGTTGAACATTGCCACCGACTTCCTCATCTTTTCTGTCCCGCTGCCTTACGTATACAAATTATCAATGCCCACCAAGGAGAAAATCCTCGTCCTTGGCATCTTCTCTCTGGGGTTCTTGTACGTGTCCCCAACCTGTCCAACTCTGCTCCGTCGAGGTGCCCCATGTCCAGTCGTCGCCTCTAACCATCAGACCCAACGCCATTAGCACCTGGACCATTTCCGTCGTTCGCCTATTCTACCTCGGTGCTGTCCTCGCCTCCACGGACCCGACCTGGGACAACGTCGAGCTGACGCTCTGGTCCGTGGCCGAGCTCAACTGCGGCATACTCTGCGCCTGTCTCCAGACCCTGCGGCCGCTCTTGTCCAAGTTCAGGCTGTGCGCGCCATATTCCGGTTCTGATAACCGCCGCTGTGTGCGCCGACCGTTGAGGGACAGGATCTTTCTGGAGTCGGGGCCGTTTTACTACGAGGGAGTTAGCTAAGCGGCGAGGTGAGCAGAGTGTACGGTACTTGACTGTGCACAATTCGCGGTACCTCCCGGTTCGCGATTGCCTTGTTGACCAAGTTACGTGGCCATACCCCCGACCCAAGCCGCCGTTTTGTTTTTCGCGGTCTTCGGGACAGCTGAAGAATCCGCATGGGGGGGTTGATCTTCGAGGGGCCCAGGGCTGCAACAAAGCACGCCGCACAACCTCACGCGGCAGGCGAACTCCGATGGGATGGGTGGAGACGCTGATATCGGGACGAAGCATAGGTTATCACGCTAGGCTGAAACCGCGGCCGGCCACAGAGATGTTCCGGTTATTGAAAGCACGTCGGAGATGGGAACCACCCGCCATTTAATATATTTGCTAGTGCTGGCGCCATTGCCAATGGCGGAAGAGCCTAGCTACTGCACGAGCTGTTTCCAGAGCGCAAGGCCATTGGACTGGGGCAACAACGATGATGGGTCATGGCAAGCCATTCTTGGGAACTTTGGGAGGAAACAGTTGAAGGTGATGAGGAAGGATCGCGTACACGGTACATGGATAATATGGAAACTCTAGTCAGCCTCCGTGATACAATGCTGGAACTCACGATTGGCGTCTCATATAAATAATCAGGGTCGTCTAGCCACCGTATCAGTATAGCTCCCATCTTCACCGTGAACTTAAAAATCTTACCTGGTACAGGGGGGGCGTCTAAGAACTGTGGTTGCGGCCCGGGAAAAAAGAAGTTGGGAAAGTAACTCGAGGGAAACATCAAGTCATCAACATGCGACTTCCCTCGACAAGCTGCAATTTCAGGCAGCCACTCATTTGATTGAAGCGTTTATTATCCGTTTTAAAACGACCTATTAATCCCTTTGGAAATAGACCTGTTCAATGTTTGAATCGCAAACGCTAGGCCCAAACGCTATTGAGTTGGTGACTTGAGGCTTGTCTGGAACAAGGTCCTCCTACAGCCAGCGGCTAGTTTAACTCACCCGACGAGCTATATTGCGTTCATCAACCCCCAATCCTCCCCCTTGCGCACAACTTGACTTATACATAACAACGCTGCAGGGAAACTACCAAAAGAGCCCTAACCCTCAGCAAGTAAAATATCGTGGTCCGCCTGCCATTGCCGGACTTGGCAGGCTCGGCGCATCGCTCGCCCGAAATTTTGCTCAAGACCGTTCGTGTTTTTGGACCGGGGCCGCCTCTGTGATTACCTTAATGAATAACAATAGATTCGCCGGCGACGGAGGGTACAGGGCGTCGTCATCGCCCGAAACATGTTTCCCGAGAACAGCAACAGTCGGACCCGTCCTTGCCTCACTCCTGGCAAACCCAAAATTCTTGCACGTACATGATACCTTCCTTCGCTGCGGTTTCAGGGCAAGGCCACACTCCTCGTCATTGGGCGCGCGCCAACTTCGCAAGGTTGCAATCGTCTCTTATCGCTTCTCGCCTCGGGCCCTCGCTCCTCATTTCCCTTGGCTAGCGCCACGTCGTCAGGTCGATTTCGGCGATTTTCGAGGGCAGTCACTCGAACAGGGCGCCTACGATGTCGCTGATTGGTAGCTGGCGAGCCGGCGCGCTGCAAACCTTGCCTTGTGGCATCCTTCCAGAGCCTTTGCTGGGTCCGCTAACACCGGCCTAACCCGTCCCGCAGTAGCTGAACGATGCGTGTTGACTTGGTGTCGTGGGAGCGTGGCTTTTCGTCCTCTTAACGAGATACCCCTTGGATCTTGAAGGAGAGATGTCCGCATGGCCGCACATCATTTCGCCGCCATCACCGTCGTCATTCCTATGCACTGCTGCCAGTGTAGTTGCTCCAGATTCGCCAACATCGAAAAAACGAGGAAATAACCGCCCAAGCCCATGTCTGCCGCCAAACAACTGCGGCTCCTCATCGGAGTTTGTTTCGTCACCTGCGTTGCCGCAGACGACGGAGATGATTTTTCTAACAACTTATTCTCCGACCTGGCCCCGTAAGTGTCGCGGTTTGTCTGTGTGCGCGGTCCTGTCGCTGATGTTACCCTGCGCCCAGTCTCCTGGCGTTGTTTGGAGAGAGGGTCACCATGCAGTTCATGAGCCAATCTACGGGCTGGTTTGACAATATCGTTCTGGCAATGGCACCGCTGGGTATCATCACTACCATCGTCGGGGCTATCAGAGTCGGGGGCCCCTCGTGGCTCAAAGCCCTCATTGGAAGAGCAAGGGAGAGCCGTGCTGTTGTCGAGGCTGAACTGATGTCTTCCACGTCGCATGAGGTGTGCGAGCTTTGGAACGGGCAGCAGGTTGTCAGGGTAATGGGGAAAGGACCAATTCGGGAGTTCATTATCCTGCTGCCCGAGGACGAGCCAGCCAACCGAGGGATGATGCAACGTCTTAGAGAATGGTTTGCTCAGCCAGCAGAAGGGAGAGACGACTCGCTCGGCGATCTGTCAGGAGCCAAACAAGAGATCACCAAGGTGATATTGAAAGAAGACGAGAAACAAGTGCATCTTCAGGAACGAAGTAAGTCAACCTGCCCACCGTTTATCGCTCTAATCATCTTACCTTCCCATCAGAACCCACCATTCGAGAACGCGTTTTTGGCGAGCGTTTTCGGCAACCTAAAAACGCCGAGGCTGGAGAAAGTCTCTCCGACCGTTCGGTCTTCGTTCTTCGGAACACAGCCGCCCAAGCACCGAACCTCACTCTCAATGTTCACAACCAGCTTAGCAGAGGAGAGCTCTACGTGGTTGCATTGTTTGGTATCATTCTCCAGCTTGGGGTTCTTGCCTACTCTACTTGCATCACTTATTTACCCGCGTTCACGCTCCTCAAGGATGGAAATCCCGTCGCCCGCTACGCCTATCCCTGTACCGCCGTTGGCACGCTGCTCCTGGTAGTTGGCGTACTCGTTTGTTCTCACGTTGTCGAGAACAGCACGGAGGAAGCGACCTACTTTCCAGGGCCTTCGAAAAAGGCTCGCGTTATCTGGCTGCAAAGATCTGGCACCGTCAGCGACCAGGCCTTTGAGTCCTTCGCCATCTTCCCTCAGGAAGCGCAGGTCCTAGTCAGGACGTCCCAGCGCGCACCAGAGCCGGGCCAACGGGAGACCTCGAAAAAGGACTCGGCCAATGTAAGTCGGCAGTCCCTGAACGAGACCAAGGGCCAATCTCGACCAGCCTCTGAGGACGGTCGGTCGACACAACCGAGCAGCACAGTCGAGCAGACTCGGGCATTCCCCAGTGTTTTAGAGCCTGTTTCCGGGTACTTGACGTCTGAGAATGTCAAAACTGTCGGCGGCACGGGTATCGGTATCTGCGGCTTCATCGTGCAGTTTACCGGTCTGCGCGGCATGCACTGGTCAGCCTCGGTTGCGCAGCTTGGTGCCACTGTCCTCATGACCATCCTCAGGGCGTGGGTCCGCCGGGACCTCGCTGAACTCCCAAGGGCCCTCCCGATCGTTTCTAGGCATGAGCTAGATTGGCTGGCAATGACCTTTGGGGGGAAACCCGCGAAAGCGCCTTGGCGACAGCCGCCTGGGGACGACGGAAAGTGGGATAAAGATTGTAGGCCTTGGGCGGATGACGAGGGTTGGGACTGGAAAACCATCGCAATTCAAGATCCAGCGGAACTTGAGGAGCTGCAACCGTACCTCAAGGAAAGTTGTGATTCCCAGTCGAGGGCGGGCAGGGTAATGAAAATCAGGAGGGATCTCGGCAAGCTCGCGGACTGGCATGGGCCTGCGTCCGCCGAGGCCATTATGCTCGCCAGGGCAATCGAGATCGCAATGGACGCTCTCCTTGGTAACCTCTCCGGGAACTTCACGTGGCCTGTGAAAGTCGGCGATGAGGAGATTCATTTCCGGTTGGATCGCGAGGATCGTGAGACCAAGGGTTGGAGAACATACGCAGATGAAATCGAAGCCGCTTTATCGCTGTGGCTCTACTCCGTCGAGAACAAAGAACGACGTCCGGCTGGGGATGGAAACACGGCAGTCGATGATGACAAATGGTTGCGATCGAAAGAGACATCGGCGAAACCCAGCCTGCGGTTGATCGGCTCGTTCACGCAAGCTCTCCATCAAGATCTCCGCTGGTGGATGCCAGAAGCTGCCGTTAATAGAGTGGTCAGAGCGGAACAAACGTCGACAGGCCATGCCAACACGGTAAAATTGCAGGCCCATAGAGTTGTCGGATTTGTGGCCGGCTCGAGCTCTCAGTCTACTGGACAAGCGGAGCAGGTCCGATATACGCTGCAGCCGTTTGGAGAACAGTCCAGCAAGCGTGCTCCCAGCCAAGGGGCCGACACTGCGAATGCCCTGCTCGCCGTCGAATCGTACAGCCCCTTGGCGACATTATTCGCCCAGCACATGTTTTCCTCCTTTATGTGGGCTGCAGCGAAGAAGATGGAAGACAAGGACCAAATGGCTAGCAAGGTGGAAGTACGTCCCACAGACACGGACGGAGTGAACCCTGATACAACTTGGAAATCATTCACATTGCACAATAACCAGCTTTCCGCAATGGCCCAGGCCATCCAAAGTACTGGGCTCGGAACTTTGGAAGAAGTCTACATGTGCATCATTCCACCACTGAGTACAGAGAACAAGCTACCACGGCCTAGTTCCATCATCGACTGGACACGAACGCATGCGGAGCGGCACGAGAGGCGAGGGCAGTGGAAGGAGGCCGGCGATGCATACATGTGGCTTTTTCGAACCACAAGGTCCACCCAAGGCCAGGGCAGCATCGCTATCAAAGCCACCGCCCTATTAATGGAATTTCTGGTGGCAGTCACGGACGCTGTCAAGCTAAGGAAGGCTCAGAAGTTCGAGGAAAGAGCCATTGAAGAACTGGACCGGCTCAAGTCGAATCTCCTCAGCGAGCTAAGGTCGCACACCCTTGACGAGCCGGATACCGCACGTTCCATTTCTGTCTTGGCCTCGTTGATGTGGTTATTTCAAGAGCAGCGTCGCCCTTGGGGATGTCCCTTCGCCCAAGCACTCGAGCCTCCAGAGGATAAAGATGTGGTTCTCAGGTTCAAATACCTGCATCGCAGAGCAGCTCAAGGCAAAGGCTTTTGGGATATGCGTTCATGGATGCTGGAGAATGGTGTCAATACAAGTGAGAAAGATATTCTGGACTGGACTCCTCTCCACTACGCGGTCACGAGTTCCCTCGAAGTTTCGGAAACCATGCTAGGATGCCGAGTTGACGTCAACGCACGAGATATTCGTGGACGGACACCACTGCACTATGCGTGCCTGCACAACAACAACACGGCCGTGGAAAGTTTCCTGCGAGAAGGAGCAGAGATCAACAGACAGGATATGGACGGACGAGCGCCGATACACCACGCGGCAGAGCAAGGCCATAGTCCCGTAATACAATCGCTGATCGAGGCGGGGGCAGACCTCAACCTCGCAGATGCCTTGGGATATACACCACTCTTCTGGGCTGCATACAACGGGCACAGAGACTCGGTCGATCATCTTCGGAAAGGTTCAAATATAACATTGCGCGACTACAACGGCCGGGTTGTGTTACACCTAGCGGTGATGGGTGAATCGAATGTTGGGGAAAGGAAAGAGGCAGTTGGATTACTCGTCAAACAGGGAGCTCTTATCGAGGCGAGGGACAGGTTCGGTCGGACACCCCTGCACTATGCCGCGCAGAGCGGTCGCGAAAGTATCGTCCAGCTGCTACTCGAGAATGGCGCAGCGATCGAGGCGGGGGACCAAGATAGGAAGACAGCACTTCACCATGCCGTAGAAAGCGGCTACGAGGCTATCGTCCGCCTACTACTCGAGAACGGCGCAACGGCGAAGGGGGACAACATATTCAAAACGACACCACTACACTCCGCCGCGAAGAGCGGCTACGATGCTATCGTCCGGCTTCTACTCGAGAACGGTGCAGCAATCGAGGCGAAGGGTGGTCCTCGGAGCCGGACACCTTTATACTATGCCGTGAAGAGCGGTAGCGAGGATACCGTCCGCCTGCTACTCGAGAATGGCGCATTGATCCAAGCAAGGGATAAGTCCGGTGAGACACCCATGCACTACGCCGCGGCGAACGGTCATGGGAATATCATCCGGTTACTACTCGAGAATGGTGCAGCAATCGGGGTAGGGAACAGTTCTGGCGCCACAGCACTACACTCGGCTGCGTTGCACGGCCGTAAGGCCGTTATCCAGCTCTTGCTCGGGAACGGCGCGGCGGTCGACGCGAGGGACCATTATAACCGGACACCGCTACACTTCGCCGTGTTCGCCAGCCGCAAGAGTAGCAGTTACAAGGATATCGTCCAGCTACTGCTCGAGAACGGCCCAAGTACAATGATGGAGACGAGAGACAATTTGGGCAACACAGCGCTATACCATGCCGCCGAGAACGGCTGCGAGGATATCGTTCGGCTACTTCTCGAGAAGGGCGCACCGATCAAGGGAAGGGATGGGTCTGGCAGGACGGCCCTGCACGCTGCCGCGGGGAGCGGCTGTGAGGATACCGTCCGGCTACTACTCGACAACGGCCTGGGTACGATGATGGAGGCGAAGGACGATTTGGGCCAGATAGCGCTACACTCTGCCGCGGACAGAGGCTACGAGGATATTGCCCGGCTACTCCTCGAGAACGGCCCGGGTGCTATGATCGAGGCGAGGGATGATTTGGGCCAGACACCGCGGTCCTTAGCCGCGAAGGGGGGCCACGAGGGTATTAGCGACTTGTTCCAAGTGATCAATCCGGTACGTCACGTCTTATTTCGTCGTATCTCTTATTTCTTCATCATGGCGTGTTATTCGAAGGGTTAAGGAGGTCTTGCTAATATATATTCTAGGAAGTCCAACGAGATGACGGGGTGGCAAGCAATGATGAGAATGCCGTGTTAGGGAGCAATGATGAAGATGTCGGTTTTGAGTTTTTGACGAGGACTTCATGGAGGAACTAATATAATCCGTCGTCGAGAACGCTTCGATGGGTTTCGGTGATAATTACTCTACCAAATAACCCAAGATAATCAAGAGCAGCTCGGGCCAAGTTTACCTAATCATTGGGGGCGGTATTATGTTAATCTGTTGAACATTTTGCCAAACTGCCTCACCATGCCGTCTAGCGGTCAGCATGAGATTCGTGTTACAGTCTAGAAGTCCTCTTTAAAACAATCCACTCTACCCCAAATCCCAAAGTGAAACCCCCTTGCGCGATGCTCGTTCTAGTCAACCTCGGATGTCTAGTGACGATCCAACTCAGCTACTACGCGTTGCACGTTGCGAAGACGTAAGCAAACGCGTTTAGTTGGCTAGGAATAAAATTTGAACGCTTTGATAGAACCTATCGTAGAGCTGATCCCAGGATGGTTCTACCTCGAGCGTTTTAACAGTTTTCTCGCTCTTCTGCGTGAGCGAGAACGAGGAATGTACGGGAAGAGATTCTGGCGGCCGAGTGGGATAAGCAGAAAAAAAAGAGCGGCTTTATGGTGGCCTATGCTTTGGAAGACTGGACAGCCATGGACTGGTTCGCCAACCGGTACATCAACTTGCGGGTCTATGGAGGAAAAGACGACCTGACGGAGCGTGCCATGGCTTATGTCAAGGATGACCCCGCGCGTCAAGCTTTGGTCGAGTAGAAAGTCCGCGACTGGGACTCCTACATCGTCGAGTTGGAACAACTCAACAACACACTCGATAACCCGCAAGACCAGGAAACGACAAAGGTCACCGAGGAGTAGCCATCCACGTCTGAAAATGGCCAGGTAGGAGATGCATATTGAAGTCATCGTCAGTGATGTATGCAGGCCCATCCCCCTCGGGCTTCTACCCCTTATCCCTTATTCCTTCCCACCCTGTGGGCCGACTTTCACCACGTAACGTCCGAGATAGGAGCAACCCACGTATATCCCGGGTCAGTGGTCATACACCGCGATACCCCATCAACCGTCTCGCACTCGAGCGTAGTGTTGACCGCCGTGGTGGTTACGCCGTTGAATTTGACCCTGCAATCACCTCGTTAGCAGAGACTCTTTCACAATATGGAAGTACCCGGGAGAGAAGAGCAACCAAAACAAGAAAAACCAGAAAAAACACTCACGGATGCTCCCGATCCAAATCCGTACACGCCCAATCCGCCCGCAACACCAACCCGCCCCCCTCCCCCTCATACCTAAAACTGCACTGATAAGGCCACAACGGCAGCCCATTCCCCCCATCCGCCCCAATCTCACACTGATACCACCCCTCCTCCTCCCCACCCTCCACCACCTCCCCCTGATAAACCGGAATCGGATACTGAAACCCCACATCCCCCGCCGCCAAAATAATCTCAAACGACACTTCCCCCCCATCCACGCGGAACGCGCTGAACTGCCAGGCCGGGTCGAAGATGGACGTGAGCGTGCAGCCGTCGCCGCGCGGCGGGGTGGCCGCCCACCCGGGCGCCGGGTCCTCGAGCGCGTAGGGGCGGAGCGTGGTGGTGGTGCCGGGGGTGCCGGGGAGGGGGACGGCCGAGGCGGTGGTGCAGTAGGTGTTGGTTTGGTTGTGTGTGCCGAGGCGGGTGGTGCAGTCGAGGGGCAGGGCGGAGGTGCCGGTGGCGGTGATTTGGAGGCTGTTGATGGGGGGAAAGGGGGTGGTGGTTAGCTTGGGTTGCGGGGGTTGGTTGGGGGGTTATTGGGGGAGGGGGGGATTTACTTACGGCTTGGCGGCGTCGATGTCGTCGCAGAACCAGGTCTGGTTGAGCGTGAAGGTGGATGTGGCCGGGTCGAAGGAGCCCTGGGTGACGATGGGGTACTGGCCGACTGAGGAGGACTGGAATTCGTAGCCGGCACAGACCAGATGGGCGAGGTCGGGCTGCTCGCCGAAGGAACCCCCCGGCATGCAGCTTGCTTGGTAGCCGTTGGCCGGGTTGGTGACGAGCACGTTGAAGTTGCGGAACCCGACCGTGCCCTCGCCCGCGGCCGGCTCATCGGTGTAGTGGATGGCCGACAGCGTCCAGGATGGTGTCTCGGATCGGGAGCTGCATCCGTCTGAGTCGTGCCCCGTGGGCCCGTCGGGATAGACGGGGGTGATGGAGACCGGCTCGGAGAGAGACCCCCTGATGAGCAGTGGTGAGGTGTAGTCCGCCGCAGCCGAGTTGTTTCCGGCTGCTGTAAAGGTCAAGCTAGTGCTGGTTAGTGCCGTGAACTGATTGCCTAAATAGGTACGGTACCCTCATGGCTCGAGGGAACGGCTTACCTTTTCTCTCGGTCGCTGCAGGTCCATGACTGCTTTAGGTGGAACGACGTCGTCGGGACTTCGCTAATCTCAACCGAAACCTCGAGCGTGTCGTTTGACGACGGCGTCCCCTCGATGGAGCAGGCATTCAAACCGGTCTTCGTCGTCTCGCAAGCCAGGTCTGCCGTGTAATTCGTGGCGCGGTTCCAGACATTGAACGAGATAACACCTTCGGCACGCTTGACGTCTTGGACAAACCAGCTCGGGATTGCGAATGACTTTGCGGTGCATGCAGAGTCATCCGAGGGAGCCTGTGCCGAGACAAGTACGGCTGCCGAAGCAGCAGCGCAAAGGAGACGCATGGCCATGACGTTGGAGTAGCAGGTGAGATCTCCGCACCACATGCATCGACCTACCCCAACAACGGGAACGGGTAGGAGGCTCTTAAGTAGCAAATCTACGGAATGCTTCTAGAACCCAGCTCCCGCGGGATCGCATCCTGTGCTACCCTCGGTGAGGAGTAGCCGTGAGGAGAAAAGCCTTCACCCCTGACTGCCCGCCCGCGGCAATTAACCAGCAGCGGTTGCGCAACGTGGTTTTGTAAATAGCCAGATGAAAACGGGCATTTGGAGAGATTGATCGGCGCACGATGGAAGAATGAAGTAGCCATAAGTCAACTGCCGGCAGGGCTGCGTGGGAGTATCGTACATTGCGCGGCTACTTTTCGCGCCCCGGCCAATAGGAGAAAGCCGGATCACCGGCGGGAGGCTTGTTTTACTTGCCGAAATGATGTAGCCGCGAAATAACGGGACAAACTCACCCAAGGGTTTGACTGGGGTTCCTGTGTGCGGTAATTATGACGGTAGGCATTCAAGTCCTGACCAGTATACCGTGACCCGGGAGATATAGATAGCGCCTATCCCTTCAACCTAACACTCGAGTCTTGTTGGAAGCATAAGTAGTCTCCCTTCCCAGCCAGCGTCATCATTCAAATTGGTCCAACGTAATTGGTTTGATTGACCGTTGAATCATGATGTAGAAATAGTACGGCTCTTGTGGGCAGGTTTAACATGCCTCGGTCACCTCGGTCGACAGTGACGAGAAGCCTGAGAGCGTCTTGCTATTAATTAACTTGAATCCAGAAACAACGTCATGAATTCAAAAGTTCGTTCGGTAGCTGTATCTGAAAAGTTCGAGAAGGTCGGAGTGTTTCATATGACTACCTAGGTACCGTAATAAGGCCATGCTGGAGGTCTATGTCTTGGGCAGTATATGTATCCCCATTCCTCCTTACAGTGCTATATAGTATTACCAGTGGGCATCAGCTCGATCACTAGTCCGAGTCGATCAATACGATCTTCCGGTATTCACGATACAGTCAAGCTACGTCCAGGGGCACAAGAGTAAAGAAGCATGTGTCAGGTTCCTTGAATGTATGTACACGATATTTCCCCCCGCGAATTGAAATTTGAGGGCCCGACGGCCTGCAGGTCTGGGTCCAAGGCGGCAGTCGAATAGCCCACGACTGTCAGATGACCCGCACCGCCTCTCTCTGATCGGCGAAAGCCCCTTAGGACGCGGACCTGACCTCGATGTTGGCAGATCCAGAGCTCTGGTAGCCCTCGCTGGCCATGATCATGTAGTTCCACTGGCCGAGGTTGAGGTTGCCCTGTTTCTTCCACTCGTCGAAATGCTTGCCGGTGTCGATGGTGCCGCCGACGCGCTTCTCGCGACGGACCGACCAGTACTGGTCAAAGGTCGACGTGCCCTCGATCGACGGCTGGTTGACGCGGCGGGTCTTGTAGATGTCGTAGGTGCCGCCGTCGTCCTCGATCGTTCCGAGCCTCGACGTGCCGGACGACGGGTTGTAGGTGCCGAACGCCTCGACGATGTAGTACTCGACGAGCGGGTTGGTGGTCCAGCCGTAGAGGGCCAGGTCTGCACAGCCATGTTAGTTTCGCCTTGGAGCGGAATCCCGCCGGGGAGGGGTTGGACATACAGCTGTTCACGTTGTAGTTGTTCCAGGTTCCGTTGTAGGCAACCTTGCGCGGCGGGCCCGGGTTCCAGCCCTTGCCGCCAACCCAGTTGTTGACGTTGTTCCACGAGACGCTGTACGATCCACGGGGTCCGTTGTTGTAGTCAACCGATCCGCGACCGTCGGTCCAGAAAGAGTAGAAGTACCCGTCGTGGGTTCCGGTGCCGGGCTGGATGCCACGCTTGAGGGCCTCAAGCGGGCTGGCCGTGGCGACCGAGGCGGCAAGAGCCGTGAGGAGAAGAGTGAACGAGACCATGACGAAGCGTCCGAGCAAAAGCTGCTACTAGTTATGCTGTTGTCTTGTGAGTGCTGCTGGAGGATCGGCTGTCGATCATGCCGGTCTTCTCCTGCCCCTTTATAGTATTTCCCCAGTCTCGGTCCCAACATGGACCATAATTAGGACGCCTACCACATTGGGGACCAGGCCGTGGTCTGATAGGATCGGCTTGTCTCCGCCCTGCACCCCGCATCTTCATTGCCGTGGCTGCAGTTTGAGAACACCCGTTTATGGTACCAAGGATCGTCGAGATTAAGGACGGTTTTACCCCAGATTTTTCCATAAAGCGCCAAGATCTGCACCTTTTTCTCCGAGATCAGCCGGTAGAGACCGCACTCGAGCCGCCTCTCTCGACATAGAAAACCCCTATATCATTGGAGCGGGAAGTTTAGAAACCCGGGTCAAGGAGGTGACTGGATAGACCGCATAGATCACGAGCTTTCGAGGTGTTGTGTTTATTCCCTGCTTCAGCTAGAAGACGCCAAATTAACCAACATTTCGCCATCTCTCGAGGAGGTTGCACTATCTACCAGACTATCATTAGCAACGATCGACGCGCCGCTGCAATATCGTCTCCGCTCGCGTGCGTGAAGAGGCAAGGATATTGAGCGGTTTATCTCGAGCGTGCGGCGGAGAAGGGATAAAAAAGGAACGGGGTCCAGTCATTCATGTGGGCGCTTGCCCGGGCGGCGGGTTATTTGACCTAAGATCGGCGTTTGTGCTACCCTGTTCGGCCCTGGAGCTCTGGAAGCCGGGTTTTTCTCCATTCCAGTAACCGGGACTTGTCCGTCCCGAGCTCCATCTGCCACCACGCACGACGTACTCAACCGGCGGAGAAGGCATGCTGGCTGCCGACCGGCCGGTATTGCCACGGATGTGGCAGGCGACCCGGAAGGAGGGTAGGCGGGAGCATAGAGTGATCACTGATGGGGGAGAAAGAAACGACGAGTCGACATGTCTGAATAAAACCATGCTCCAAGTTACCGCCGAGACACTGGTACTGCTAGACAGCCACTCGATGACCATGAGAAGGTTACTGCGGGCCGTCGGCTTTACCCCTTGTTTCAGGGCCGTCCCTCCGAACCTCTCGACAAATCTAGAAGGATACCTCGGGAGTGTTGTACCCCGAGGAAACAAGGGTGCCGGCAAACAGGCGGGGACACGCCCAGAATGGTGAAATCAAGAACGGGTTCATCCTGTCCTTGGTGGTGTGCCCCCGCGCCACGGACAAGATTCGAATCGGGTTTTCTTGCTGACGCCCGAACCATGTTTACCCGGCCACGTCACGCCATCAGGGTGATATCTCACTACCTCCAGGGGTGGAAGAAATCGCTGATAGGTTGCGGGCCCGAAATTCGAACACCTCTACGCCGCCCACACTTGGCCATGGCCAAGCTTTAAGCTATCCCATAGCCCGGGTCATGTGAGTATGTAATAGTGCCAGTAATGAGTCGCGGGCTTCTAGTCCTACCAGTTCGCCATGGGCTTGACCGGCTCCTGTATGTTCTTGTTCAATAACCACCGCCCCCAAGTCTGTGCTCCTCACACAGATACACGCTTTGCTTGAATTGCTTTAAGTTAGTGTTGCAGTTGGGCGGCCGGTCTCCACCTTAACAAGCGTTCGTTTTGGGTCGTATGGCGCAAGAGGTAGCAATGTTGTACGGCCGTGCCCTGTGCGCCGGCTCTCAGCCACCCCATAACCCCGTCATGCTGCCCAACTGCCTCCACCTCGAGCAGCCACACACACACCCCGCTGGGGACGGCTGTCGCGGGTATACTGGTTAGATAACCTGTAGCCGATCCAACGAGCGTTCACTTTGGGTTGCAGGGCGCGAGAACCGCAGCCTAGGCACCGCCATCCCCTACCGCACCTACTCACAGCCAGTCCCTTTCCCTTATGCCCTTCCACACAGTCCACGGGCACGCCCCGTAGCCGACCGTTCTCCCACCCCCCTTACACTGCTCACACGTCCTCGACTCGCCCTCACCACCACCGGGAGCCCCTCCCTTTCCCCTTACGTCCCCCGCCTCCGCTCGCGTTCCCACTCTTAGAATTCCGCACCGTCCTGGCGCCCACAAAGGCTGGCTTGGTGTGTTGGAGGGGGAGGTGATGTTGGTGCCGGCGCGGCGGTAGCCGGGGGGCTTTCATGTTTGGGGAAGGGGGGGGGGGGGGGGGGGGGGGGGGAATGCGGCGTTTGCAGGCGTGGCGAGGCGGCGGTGAGGGCGTGTTAGTAGGCGTTGACGCGCTAGGAGAGGACTAGGAGGTTGCGCATGTCGAGATAGACGAGGACGGTGTCGAAAAGCTTAGGGGTGGAGAGGACCTCGCCGCGGTGAAGGGTCCTTAAGTTCATTGTCTGAGTTGCCGGCTTTGGCCACTGTCCCGGTTCCAGTTTGATATTCTAATTCGTTTGTCTTAGTATTGAATATGGGAACCGTGGTTATTTCAATCAGGATGCTTGTGAGCCCCCAGAGACTAGTTCCAGAATGTTGCCTCGCGAGCCAAGGGGGTCGGAGCGGCACCCTGCCGGCAGGCAACGCCGCAACTGGAACTCAGTGTCAGCACCGGGGATTGTTCAACTGCCTCCAAATTCTCCGCGGTTTTGACTCCTCATTGAGTCATCCCCGACAAGAGCCTCACAACGCCAAGACGACTGTCATGGGGTAAACTCCCCGCTCGTGTGATCATCTCACACCCCCCAAGCAACAATTCTGTAACTGGTCACCTTACAGGGTAATCTACCGATCCCCAAGACGCCCAAGCTCACCATGCCTTCCCAAATCCTCACTTCCTTCACCGTCATCACGGTCCCCTACCACGTCGGCCTCCGCGCCAGCCCCATCCACCGCAGCCGGGTCAGCGAAGGGCCCGACTACCTCAAATCAGCGGGTCTCATATCCCTCCTCCACAGCCAACCAAACATGCCCGTCCACGAACTCGAGATCCCACCCGTGCAGGACGACTTCGAGGGCGAGATCGGGCGCACATTCGAACTAATCCGACGAGTCTCCCTCGCCGTCACCGCCGCGCGCAACGCGGGCTCCTTCCCCGTCGTGCTGGCGGGCAACTGCTGCATCAGCGTGGGCGTGGCGGCCGGGCTGTGGGGGTCGGAGGCGCTGCGCGGGGCGCCGGCCGACGCGCTCGGGTGCGCGTGGTTCGACGCCCACGACGACTACAACGTGCCCGATTCCGTGGTTAGTGGCTACTTTGATAGTCAGGGCATCGCGATGATGGCGGGCGAGTGCTGGCGCGCGTTGGTGGGTTCCGTGCCGGGCTTTCGGCCGTGGTTGCTGCGCAGGGTTGTGCACTGCGGCATGCGCGATGTGAATGAGATGGAGAGGGCGCGCGTGGAGGGCTCTGATATGGGTGTTGTTTGGGGCGATGCGGTGGAGAGGGTTGACTTTGCAGCTGGTATGCGTAAGGAGCTGGGCGAGCGGTTTGCTGAGGGCGGTGATACGGCGATGCTGGTTCACCTTGACGTGGATGTCATGGACGCTACCCTGGGCAAGGCAAACCCGTTTGGGTGTCCGGGCGGGCTGTTCGAGGAGGACATCACGGGGTGCATGGCGGCCATCTCGGAGCGAACGATCCCAATGGCTTTCACTATCGCTTCGTTCGACCCTTTGTGTGACGGGGACGAATCGGCCCAACGGCTTGCAAAGCTTGCTATCAAGGCGGTTGGGGGGGGTGCTGGACGGTTTGAGGCACCGGGGTTTATTACAGTCGAGCCAGTAGTGATCTCCATGACTCGGCTTCCGGAGCTTCATTTTGACTTCAATGGGAGTGAAACATGTCAGTGGACGCCCGACGTTGCCGAAACTGAATTGGGAAAATACTGTGGACGCACTCCTCCAAATGGCTACCTGAATGGTAATCTGTCGACAGGTCGGGCAGGTGCGACTTGACGAGGGAACACTGAAAAACCCCAACAGTCCAGGGTTACACGAACCAAAAATGACGGAACCCAAAATGCACTCACTCCCCTTGATCAGTTTTGACGCGCGAGGGCCGTAAGAAATGAAGTCATTATGCCTTCTCTTGCTCATTTCTTGTGATGCCACCTCAACAGCTCTGCACGGAGATTTGGATCATCTCAAGGATGCCACCATAAAGCGACCGTGTGGCCCCCGCGACAACCGCATTTTAGCGGCTGATCTTGGTCGTTCTGATGGGGGCAAGGGCGGGCATGCACGGTTGCGTTGTCCCGAGAATGACGGAAGGCGGGTGTTCCCCCTTGTTTGGTGCTGTCTTGGGTGCCCTGGAGGTCTGCCCTGTCACTGCTGTGTGCCCTGTGTGCCCGGTGCCGTCGGACCGAGTCAGCAGGGAGGGGCTGCATCAAAACGCATCAAGACGCATCCGAAGGGGGAAAAGCAGGGCAACCTGAAATGGACCCTTGACAAACTTTCGAGTGCGTTTGTTGTGTGACTCGGCCTCTCGAGGTCTCCTGGGTTTCGAGGGCGCCTGTTTTAGTCACATTGCCGCAACCCGTGCCGAAGGGAGCCGTCAGCCGTCGGGCTTTGGGGCCAACCGAGATCTGGAAGGCGCATCGCACATTGCCATGCCATGCTCCCGTCTGCAGCCCCTGACGAGCAGGAGACCATCCCTGGATTGGCCAAGGCGTTCCCCAGGCGCGTCAGGAGGCCCCGCAGTTCGTGCAGCTCATGCGGCGCCCGCACTGTGGCGCTAACGATTTTGGACCGCCAGCCCGCCGATAACCAAGCCATTTCTTTGATTAATTAGCACTTGATCAAGGCCATCTCCCCCGAACCCACCTTGACTTGAGCCTTGCTCCCAAGTTGCTCCTGCAATTCACAACTTTCTCGCAACGCACCGACGCACAGCTCTTAACTACAGATTACTCGCAAATCTATCTACCCCAGCATACTAGTAGCACATAATTTCTACCATGTCCAACGCCGCCGCAACCGGAGCAGGAGCCATGACCGTGTCCGACGAGGAGATGGACCGGGAGTGGAAGTCCAACAACGCCCGCCGCCCGCAATCGTGCGTCGCGCCCCCTTCTATTCCGTCTGAAGAGAGAAACGCGCGAAACGCGACAAAACGCTAACCTCCATCGCAACTTTTGCAGCACCGTCGCCCAGATGTTCTCGCAGGAGCTGATGGATATTTTCCGCATCGACAACAGCGTCGCAGACCTCGACGAGAAGGTAGACAAGCGGTCAGTTACCCGCCGAAGCACCACAAAAACCCCGCCGACAAGTCGCCAACCGCGACGCCACACCCGAAACCTCGCAAACAATTGCTGATCTATTCCGCCGCCCTGCAGGAAGCAACAAATCAACACCCAAGCATCCGAGCTCGAGGCCCTCGAGGCCCGCATCCGTGAGATGGAGATGAGGCTAAAGGGACAAGCCAGCCCCAACGCCGCTGGCAGCAGCGCAAAGACCAGCAGCGCCCCGCCAGCCCCCCAGCAGCAAAAGCACGCCGGCAGCCGCCCCGGCACCGCCCGGCAGGGCCAGCCCGCCGTTCCGGGAGCACTCCCGCCCACCCCCGCGGGAAGCGAAGGTGAATTTGCGCCTTCCGTCCCCCCTCCCTCCCGAACCGCCCCCCAGCCGCCAGGAACGCAAGCGAAGACGCACCTTGGCGCATCGAGCACCAGCCCCGGCGCGCGCCTCACGTCCGCCTCGCGAGCAAACGAGCTACCTGCAGCGGGGGGCGACGCGGACTCTGTCACGTCCCTGTCCGAGAGCGCGAGTTTTGCTGACTATGTAATTGTCCCCGAGCCAGACGGCGATCGCGAGCGGGGTGCTTAGGCACCGATGAAACTTGACCCTGACCGGCCCCTCGGGCTACACCACCGGAGGCTGGGATTCCTCCAACATTCACCGATACTGCGGCGAGACGAGTACGACACACGACGACTTCTATACCCACTTACTTTAGACCTTCTTAATTCCTGCCGCTCAACCCGCCAATTCCCAGTCCGCGCTCCCATCTCAACACCCCCCGGATTCGCGGCTAAATGGGAAGCGCTGCCAGACAGCGTGTCCTCTGGGATATTTCCCGTCCGCGGTTGTGCTGCACCCTACTTCCGACTTCCAACTGCAATTTTGTGTTCCTTCGGTATTATCCAGGGAAGGGTTTGTGCATGGCGTCTGTTTAGTTTTCCACTGGGCGACGGGTTGGTGGGACGATTGGAGAGGGCTACATGCTACGAGGAGGACCCCAGAAGCCCGGCGCACCAGTGTCGTTTTGCTGGAGCGTCCATCTGTACATACACATACATCATGCCATATGGCGGATTTCGGAACCAGCTAGCAAATCCATTTTGCATACATCACGCACCATCTTCCAGTGTGTCTCAACCCACCTTGCACGTGAAGGATAGGGCCAACGGCCAAACCACGCTTATTATGCCGTTATCAGCCGGCATACACCACGCGTGGGATGGACCCCTGACATGAGAGGATCACGGGAATCACGAGCATCAAACGTGACCAGCAACGCCACTAAGATCCGTTTAGTTCCCTTCCTCCCGCCCATGGGACCAGAGCAATCCGTGTTAGCACCGACAAGCTTGTTTTCTCGAGCGCACCAACAACGACTCTCTCGCAGCCAATTGACGCTTGACTTCTTTCGTAGTATGCGGTCACACACCAACCACGCAAAATGGTACATGTCAAAGGTGACTCGCCCCAGTCCTGCATTTTGACATCAATAGGGGAAGTATACTTCTTAAATAGCTGTCCGGTACTGCCACCGCCGTCGCCATTGACAACAGTAACTAATCCAAGCGTATGCTCTCCCGCGGCTTCGAGCTGACCACGCTCGAGTTCTTGAGCTCCGCCAGCCCCCGACGGTGGTAAACCCCGTCCCCAACCGAGGTAGCAACCAGCGCGAGGAACATCTGGTCGATCTGCCGCGCAATAACCAAGAAAAACAGCGGCTCACTCACTGGCGGCCGAAGCCCGTCGCTCGGGGACGGCTTACCCACATCCAGCGTCCAGTCCACCAGCAACGGCGTCTCACCCATCACCTCACTCTCCCCCATAACCCGACACGACATACACAACGTTTTATCATCCCCACCCCCACCCTCCCAATCCACCACTGCCTCCGCCGCCTTCATATACTCAACCCGATCCAACTCCACCGGCCCCGTAACCGACATCCACGACCACGTCGGCAGCCCCCCCTCCACCCTCACCCTCACCTCCCCCTTTCCCTCCCCCTCAACCGCCCAAAGCAAACAAGCCACCGCACAAGACCGCCACACCCCCCACGCACACACATCCCCCGTAATCCCCGCCAACGCCGCCACCACCCCGGCAATAGCATGCGGCCGATCAGCACCCTCGGCCAGCGCGCGGCGCGTGTACTGGCCCACGAGCGAGGGCCAGCGGAATTCCAGGCGGAGGTCGATGCTCTCCCCGCCCTCCATCAGCGTCATCTCCCCCATATCCCTCATCTCCCCCTCCCCCTCCCTCTCTTCCGAGTACTGGATGGTGGTGGTGGTGTGGGGAGTGGTGGATTGCAGCTCGGCCTCGAAGCGGCGCGGTTGGAGGGTGCGCGGGTCGTAGCGGATGGCGGTGCGGGCGGCGACGGTGGCTTCCTTGGTGCGGCAGCGGAGGTAGGGCTCGAGGTCGCCGAAGGTGAGCAGGCGCGGGGAGAGGAGGGCTTCTTGATAAGTCCAGCCGCGGGTGTTGATGGGGAAGAGGGATGTTTGGGGGGTGTGGGTGGGGGTGAGGGTTATCGCGCCGTGGCGGGGGTTGGATGTGTCTGTTGTTAGGGCCATGGGTACGGAGATGGAGCGGTGCCGGCCGCTGAACGGGGCGCTGGTGTTGGTGTCGAGAAAGCCCTGCTCGACGGAGCTTGCTGTGGCGGCGGCGATGGTGACGGCGGCGTTGGTGTAGATGTGCTGCATCTGGCTGATCTCGTGGCGCTTGTCGTCGGGGCTGTCCTGGATGATGCACAAGGCGTCGATCCACAGGTACTCAAACCCGAGATGGTAGGTCACAGCGATGGCGTCTTGGAGGGTCCGAGGCAGGGCCGAAACGTGCGTCGACCGCTGTTGGAGTTCGTCCAGGCTGCCGTGCTCTAGCCTGAACTCCTGAGGCCCGCCCCAGCAGTAGCTCAGGGCGACATACTGTCCTAGTTGACCTTCCGTAGGCGTGACATGGAGTCTGATGCTTTGGGACGACAGGTAGTCGCTGGGGATATGGACGAGCCGGGATGGGAGTGGTTCAGGACGAAGAGGTTGGCAGCGGGTATGGGTCGTCTCACACCTGTTAAGTAGCGCCTTCAACGACGGCGCCGACGTGGAGTTCAACCCGTTCCATTCCATTAGTCGAAAGGGGGTCAAGGCAGCACATGGATCATCTGTAAACATCATGAGTGTCAGCAGTCGCCATACACCGGTCCTCGCCAACTAACGGACGTACCTTGAGATGCCGAGACATAAAGAAACGGAAACTCCCACAGCATGCGGCCCGCAGCATTCTCTATCCTAACGCATATGATGCTCAACGTTGGCGAGCCGTCGTTCGCCAGCGGCAAAGAGTCAGGCAGGTAGTCAACCAATCCTTGGGGTGCGACGGACTTGTCGCAGCGGATCACGACCCAGGACCCCGGGAACTTTTTGGCATTATGTATTCTTGCGGCACTCTGTGGGGGATACACCAGGTCGCGCAGACGGCGGAAAGTGAGTGGTTGCGTGTTGGCCCCAATCAGGTCCTCTTCCCAGAGAAAGCGGCAGAAGCAGCAGTCGGCGCGGTCTTCGAATGTCTCCAGTTGGGAATGCCTGAACCGGTTGTGTGGCGTGGCGTAGATCTCGTCGAGTCCCGGGCGAGAGAACAAGACGCTACAGCGCTCACACAACTCCTCGGTGGGTTTACGTGCTGGGTTGGGTGACATGATAGACGGGTGACGAATTGAGCATCAGAAGGAATGACGGATGGAACTGGCAAGGACGCTGGTTGCGTTATCCGCTGGCTAGGGAGAGATGGAGTTGGGCTCGGGGGACATTGGGTACCTCCAAGGCTCCAGGGGGGTTGGCACTCGGCTGTGCAAATCGTGAGTGAGCCTTGTCAACCCAAACACGGCGGGTTTCAGACGTCAAAGGACATGGGCCATCACAATATCCCCACACCAAATCATCTTCATGAGGCATATCTTTTACAAAGACCAATGTGTCTACATTCCCGCCCCAAAACTCCATACCAATGCACTCCCCAAATCTAGTCTTTCTGTATAAACTACCACCTAGAGCTCGTCATGCCCCTCCTTCTTCTCCTCTGTCTTCTCCTCCGGCTGCTTCTCGGCCTCCTGCTCCTGCTTCTGCTGCCCCTCAGCGCCGCCATTCTCCTTCATAAACTCCTTGAGCATCTCCTCCAGCTCCTCCTGCGAGGGCATGTTGCCATCCTCACCAGGCTGGACCTTGAGCGTCTGGGCAGGCTTGGCGGGCTTGGTAGCAGAAGACTTCGCAGCCTTCTTCTTTTCCTTCTTCTCCTTCTTATCCTTCTTCTCGTCGCCCGCCTTGCGCTTCTCAAAATTGCGCACGCCCTTCATGGCCAGCTCCATGCCGGCCTTGTCCAGCTTCTCGCGGCGGTCGGTCAGGTCCTTGACCAGCAGCACCGGGTCGTCGGTGGGGCCCAGCTTGTCCTGCGCCGGCACCTTCTCCTCGAGCCAGGCCGTGATGGACGTGTACAGGTCCTCGCTCGCCTTGAGATCCTCGAGCGTGTACAGCGGCGGCACCGGCCCGCGCTCCTTGAGCACGTCCTCCATGGCGGTCGCCGTGGTGGTGGTGGTGGCATCTTCGTCTTCGAGGCCGTCGAAATCGCCCGAGGGGGCGGAGGGAGCGGCCGTGGTGGTGGAGTCACCGGCGCCGTCGGTGGAAGCAGACTGGGAGGATAGCCAAGCTTCGTGCTCGGCGACCTTGGCCTTGATGTCGACGATGAACTCCTTGGTGGCCTTGAGCGCGTCCTGGAGGCCCTTGACGAGCTCGGGCCGCTTGGCGGCCTCCTCGATGCGCTTCTCGACGGGAACCACGATGGCCTGCAGCTCCTTGAGCTTGGCCTTGAGCTCCTCCTTGGTGGCGTCGGCGCCGTCACCGTAGATCCAGTCGCTGGCGTCGCTGTTCTTGGCCTCCAGGGTAGCCCTTTCATCGGCGGTCGAGTGGCTGATGAAGTCCTCCTTCTCGAGGATATCCCGAACCGAGTAAGTGTACGACTCGAGCTGGTTGAGGGCCTCCTCACGCTGCCTCCGTGCGCGGTCCGAAGCCTCAAAGGCCTTGAGACGATCCTTGAGGGCGGTGGTATCAGCCCTTGATAGCTGGGGAACACCCGCCTTCTCCAGAGTGAACTTGACGGGAATGACGACGAGTTCCTTCTTCGCCACGGCGGGCTTAGCATCGGCAGACTCGGAGGCAGAAGCTTCCGAGGCGGTGCTCGTAGATGTAGAAGTAGTCGAGCTCTCGGCGGTAGACGAGGTCTCGGCCTCGGCCTCCTCAGATTCCTCACCGTCCTTGAGCGGCTGCTGTTCCTTCTTGCCAAAGCCAAACAGGTTCTTGACGCCGTCGACGAAGGTCTCCTTAGCGTCGGTCTCGCACTCGACCGTGACCTTGGTGACGGCCACCTCGCCGTTCTCACCGGCCAGACGCGCGCCCATCTTCAGCTTGATGTCGGCCTTTTCGCACTTGTGCTTCTCGACGAGCTCGGCAACCGACGCGGTCAGGTTCTTAGTGGCAAGCACCTTCATCTCGGAGTCGACCGAGCCAGCATCCGACGCAGGTGCGGGGACAGTCTGGTAGAAAGTGACCGAGAAGTCCTCCTGGTTGGTGAAAGTGACCTCCTTGGCGGGCGCGCCGATATGCGAGGTGGCGGTCCACAGGCGCTGCTGCTTCTCCTTGCCCTCGTCGGTCTTCCACTTGATGCCGGCAGGGTACGCGGCGCCTTCAGAAATGCGAATCTCCTTGACGCGGAAGCTGGGGCTGAGCTCGGCAGCGCGGAAACCGGCACCGAACACGGCAGCCTCGTCCGAGTTGACATTGGTGCGGAGCTTATCGGCACCAAACACCTTCTCGAGCTCCTTCTGGACGAACGGGGTGCGCGAGGCGCCGCCGTGGAGAATGACCGAATCAAGATCCTTGAGCTCGATGCCAGCCGCGGTGAGGGCGTTCTGGACAGCCACGGCTACACGCTCGGCATGGATGGCGGCCATCTCCTCAAAGTCGGCACGGGTGATCTTGTACTTGAAGTCCACGTCGTCGTAGAGACCCTCGAAACCGGCCTGGGTGTTCTGGTTGGCGCTGAGGACGTGCCTGACCCGCTCGGCCTCCTTGGTGAGCTTGGCAATGGCGCGGCCGTGGGCCTTGACGGCGTCGGCCTCAACACCGGCCGTCTTGGCCTTGGGCGAAGCGGCAAACTGCGCAATCATGTCGTCCACGATCAGATAGTTCAGCGCGTCACCGCCGAGCGTCCTGTCCCAGCCGCTCCCCATTACCTGAACTTCCTGCACCGTCTTGTTGAACTTGCCCACGTCCTTGACATTCCGGCTCTGGAACCGCAACACGGTCGCCTTTGTCGACCCCGCGCCCATGTCGAAAACCATGTGGTACTCGGGCTTCCCGCCCTCGTTGACGTTGGGGAACTGCCGGCTCGTAGCGTAGTGCAACCCCACAGCCACACCATCGCTGATCAACGACAGCACCTTCAGCCCAGCCAATTCGGCAGCCAACTCCACGGCGCGCTTCTCCTCGGCGGTGTAGTACGCCGGCACAGTCAGCACGGCAGAGCGCACGGGGCTCCCAGGGCCCGCCAGGGCCTCAGCATTCCCCCGAATGCTCTGCAGCTCCATAGCCAACAGCTCCTCCACAAGCCAAGCCTCCTCCTCGGCAGTGAACGCGCCAGCGCTCTGGAACGCGGCGGTGCCCTTGACCTTGTGACGGACAACCTGCAGGGCAGGGTGCCTGGCGGCGTACTCCTTGACCTCGGCGCTCTCGGCGGGCAGGCCCAGGAGGGCCTTGAGGTTGGGGTAGACGTCGCCGGGGAAGCGGGGCGCGAGGGCCATGGCGTCGGAGCCGTAGGCGCGCTCGGGGAAGGCGCCCGGCTTGGGGCCGTTGGCGGCGGGCTTGAAGGTGACGGCCGAGATCTCCTTGCGGCGCGAGTCCTTGGTCAGCACGATCTCGAGCGGGATGCCGGGCTTGACCAGGGCCGCCTTGATGTATTCGGTGCCGAGGTCGATGCCGACGACGGCCGAGACGGCGAGCACTTGCGGGGTGAGGAAGAGGAGAAGGGCGAGGAGGGTGGCGAGGGGTGACCGGAATGGGGTCGTTTTTGTCGTTAGGTGCGCCATCATGGGCGAGGGGTTGTGGTGACGGGCGCGCAGTCGCGGGTTCGGTTTGTTCGACTTTGTTGAGGGTATTGTTGTTCTTGCCTCGAGAGAGTGTTGCGATGCGGTGTGTGTTTCTGCTCCTGCTGCGTTTGGCAATAACCAATCCCCAAAGTACCGAAGTAACCAACAAACAGCTCCAATTACCCAAAAACTGGGGAAAAGGGAAAATGTAAAACTCGGATGACGATAAGGGCTGAATGACCAGCCATCTAGCAGAGTCTGGCCTCAATTGCTGACCTGGGTAGTCGTTGAGGGGTGGTTTGTTGCGCCGCGGGCACAGCGTGGTCTCGACTCTTTTTCTACCACGAGCTGCAAGCTGTTCTCTGCAAAAGGACAACTGGTGAGTTGATCGGACCCCTGCCCCGAATGATGGAAAAGCCAAGCTTTGGACGAGATCTGGCCAATCAACCCAACAAAATGCCTGGGGTTTCGGCAAACGTTGCTGCCGCTCCGAGACAGGATTGGCGTGCCCGGAAGGGGCCAATTAGCTAATTGCCAAGTGAATCTGCTTGGCATTAGCATAACGACACTTCCTCAAACCGCGACAACGACAGCGACATCGAATCAAGGAGAATGGTTGGTTTCATTGAGTAATTGGGGTATTGATTTGCCGGGCGTTGTGGGATTTGTTACCATTGCCGAATGTTTAACCAAAAATAAATCCTCGAATAAAACCACCTGGGGACATTGTCTGGAGATGTGCTCCGTTCCGGCGCCGATATGGCATTGGAGTGTGGGGCCGGATGACCGGGAGACGTTTCTTGTTTCGAAGTGATAGCAAAACCCCATCACATATGTAGAGCAAGAAGGGATTTAGTTAATTTGAGTTTGTGTGTTGACGCTCTTGCCAATTGGGTGGGTGGTCAATTTATGAGGTGCGTGCGCCGTTGACGGGTGTATGGTTGGCCGTTGAAGATTATTTGCCGTAATCTGAATCTGTGAATAGCTTCACTGAGCCAAAAATGTGCGAACAGCTTCAATGCGGGCGATGTGCATGAAATCCAGGACTGCGGCCCAAAAAAGGCTTGGCGAAGAAAAAGCAGCGTGGTGAAAAAATAGCAAAATAACAAAAGCTCACCGGCCACCCCCCCTCAACCAGTCGTGACTAGTGAATGGGGGATGGCCGGCTACGAAACCCCTTTGAGGTTTGCAGAAAACCGCGGGCAGCCGGATTCGAACCCACGACCTCCCCGTCGGGAGGGGGGTGAATCCAGGCCGCCCGGGAGAGGGCCACGGCAGGGAACCACTCGGCCATCCGCCGGCGGCCCTCGATGGGAATTAGAATATTGAGTCTAATACATATAACACGGGCAGGTGCCTTATGGCCGACGCTATCACTCTAAACTTGGCACTGGGTGACCGTTCAACATGCAGTGGGGAGAGCTTGAAGCCGAGAGGTCAATAAACGGCAGGTGCGGTAAAGGTACCGAAGCCGTGACGTCGATTCCATAGACTAATAATATTCTAACCCTCAAACCCCATAGATATGTAATTCGACCCTATACCCCTACCCACACATCCACCACCACCACCACCACCACCACCCACGACATGCTACCTCCTCCCCTCCCTACCACCAGCCGCCTCCTCCCTCAACCTCTCCAGCGCCCCCTCATAGGCCTTCACCCTCTCCTCCGCAAACTCACCCTCCCCAACCCTCACCCTCTCAACCAACCCCTCCCGCCCGATCGTCGTCACCGCCCCCTTCCCCTCACCCGCAAACTCCCTCCAGAACCTTCTCGCCTCGGCATGTTCAACCAACGTCCACGCACAGCCCCTCTTCCCCGCGCGCGCCGTGCGGCCGACGCGGTGCACGTACGAGGTCTCGCTAATGGGCAGGTCGTAGTTGACGACGTGTTCGAGGTTGAGCAGGTCGATGCCGCGGGAGACGAGATCCGACGCGACGAGGACGCGCAGCTTGCCCTGGGCGAAGGCGCGCAGGGTGCGGGCGCGGCGCGAGGTCTTGGTCGACGAGGTCAGCGTGCCGATGAGCGGGGCGAGGTCGGGGCTGAGGAGGGCGAGCAGGCGCGAGAGGCGGAGGGCGGCTTCGTTGGATTTGGTGAAGATTAGGACGGTGGTGGGAAGGGTGGGTTTGTTGGTAGTGGTGGGGGTGGGTTGTTTGGTTTTTGGTTTGAGTTCGTCGTCGCTCTCATCGTCATCCGAGGAGGAAGACGAGTCGGATTCACTGTCGGAGTCGGATTCTGATGCAGAGGACTCCGATGTAGAGGACTCCGAATCGCTGATTTTGGATTCTACCGTGGCTTCGTCGGCAGTGTCCGAGTTGACGGCGGCCATGTGCTTGCTGTGCAGCAAGTCAACTAGGTATAGTGGCTTGAGGCTCGGTTCGCGGATCTTAATGGCGAATTCCTTGAGGAGGGACGGTAGGTTCTGCTCGCCGGGCTTGGTCCCTTCTACGACAATAAGTTTCGGCCTAGACAGCTTCAGCCCGTTCAAAAGACTAAGGTCTCGAGTCATCGTCGCACTAAGGATGACTTTCCGGACCCCACTCTTGTTGGAGGTGGGAAAGTCGCGGGCACCGGGTTTCTCAACGCTCAGCTTTTCCATGACAATATCCAGCCACTGCTGAAAATCCTGGGTCAGCAGTTTATCGGCCTCGTCAACAATTAGCCAGCGGACGTAGTCGAGCGAGAACCCTCGCGTCTTGGCGATATGCTCTACGAGTCGGCCGGGGGTGCAGATGAGAATGTCGACCTTGAACACGTGGTCGATAACATGAAAAGGGAGCGGCTGGGTGCGCTTGAGTTCGAGTTCCAGGTCATCTTCTTCGTCTTCCGAGTCCCCCCAACTGACGATCTGGTCCTGCTTTCGTAGATACCGTTTGTACCCCTCGGGGTCGTATCTCTGCTCCTCCCCCATGATGACGGACTGTTCCTCCTTGAACACCCTGTTACCCATTGCCGTCCCAATCTTGACCCTCTTGCCCCCGTTGACTGCAAAGGCGGCCGTGCATGCTTCGAACGCGAGCTGCACCTGTTGGACGAGGTCTCTTGTCGGCAGGACAATGAGTGCCCGTAGCCTAGTAACGCGGCTTTTGCTGACGTCGTGGACCATCGGCAGCACATACGATAGCGTCTTTCCGGATCCGGTTGGGGCTGCGACGACCACATCACCCTGCCTGTCGGGAGAGGGTAACAAGAGAGGGAGCACGGCGGTCTGGACGGCAAAAGCGTCCTTCAAGCCCTTGGTCTCGAGAACCTTGGATGATTCCGGGGCGATCCCCAACTCGGTAAACGGCCGCGTTATGTCGGGGCCCACGCGTACCGGGGAGGCAAGCCATGGTGGCAGGGTCTCGTATGTCAACTTTGACTCGTCAAATATAACGGGTTCCGGCTGAGGGAGCGGCTCGAGGTCGTGTTCCACCTCCGGTTCAGCGGCTTCCTCCTCGCTGGCATCCTCAACGTCATCCTTAGTCTGCAATGACTTTTGCACCTTGTCAAAAACCGACTTATGCCTCCTGCGGATGCGGTCATCATCGCCGTCGACCATCTCAACATCGGGTTTGTCTTCTCGTTTCCTCATTTTCTTCTTTTCCCGTTTCGGTTCTCGTTCCGCCACAATAGCTCCGTCTTCGGTGTCATCCTTGCTCTTTTTCGACTTCGACTTCTTTGGTTTCTTGTCCCCGGCCCTGCTCGCAATTTCTTCGTCTAATGACTGCTTTCTATTGCTGTCGTCAATCGGCGGAAGGTCGGCATCGTCAAAGACAATGCGCTGTGGTTGTTGCGTGGGGGGGCGCTGTGATGGTTCTGCGGGTGTCTGGCCGCGGGTGGAGCGACCGTATGGATGGTCGGATGCAGCCGATGTTGTTTGTGGTCTAATGCGCGATTGCTTCTCCTTGGTAGGAGGGATGTACCGGTTATACATTCTGTAAACCGAGAGGGAATTTAAAAATATCCCCTTAATAGTTGTCCTCGCACCGGATCCCGAAATGTCTTCCTCGGGCAAAAAAAGTAAAGAAAGTTGAGAAAGTTCTGGCAATCAAGCTTCCTGCATCCATACTTGGCAGATTGCGAGAGTGGGGCATTCAGCGTGGGGTGCGGCAGGCGTAAGCCAGAGCAGGCAGGCGGTGTGGTGAAGCTGGCAAGCCCCTGTCGGTCTCGACCATGCCCCCTGTCAGGGACAACTCAACTCACGATTCATCAAATTCACCTCATGAATCATCATCTCACATCGCGATTCCGGGATTTCCCCAACACCCGCTCACCATCCACCCTCATCAACAACTGGCTGCGTCTTTGGGGGAAAATGACCCCTGAACCAGCCCGCAACCATGGCGCCCACATACAACATCGCCATGGTTAGCGACTTCTTTTTCCCACAACCCGGAGGCGTCGAGAGCCACATCTACCAGTTGTCATCCAAACTGCGTGATCGGGGCCACAAAGTCATCATCATCACCCACGCTTACAAGGGCCGTACCGGTGTACGCTATCTCACCAACGGCCTTAAGGTCTATCATGTACCATTTTTTGTACTCTACCGGTCCGCCAGTTTCCCGACAGTATTCTCATTCTTCCCCATATTTCGCAACATCATCCTGCGAGAGCGCATCGATATTGTGCACGGCCATGCCTCCCTGAGCAGCTTATGCCATGAGGCCATTCTCCACGCCAGGACTATGGGCCTCAGGACCGTCTATACAGATCATTCACTCTTTGGGTTTGCCGATGCCGCGAGCATCTTCGCCAACAAACTTCTAAAGTTTAGTCTCAGTGATGTAGACCATGTCATCTGCGTGAGCCACACATGGTGAGTCTTTCGCCCTCCTTCCCTTCCCACCAACTAACCACCCTGCCTCGACATCGCTCACAACCCCCCCAGCAAAGAAAACACCGTCCTCCGTGCCTCCCTCGACCCGCTCATGGTCTCCGTCATCCCAAACGCTGTGGTAGCAGAAAACTTCAGACCCTTGGACTATACAGAACCCTCACCGCGGTCTTTCACCCCCCACCACCCACCACCTGCCCGCCCTCTTGGGCCGCACGACATGATCACCATCGTCGTCATCTCACGCCTCTTCTACAACAAGGGCACCGATCTCCTCACCGCCGCCATCCCGCGCATCCTCCAGAACCACCCGCACACGCGCTTCATCATCGCCGGCGACGGGCCCAAGGCCATCGACCTTGAGCAGATGATCGAGCGGAACGTGCTCCAGGACCGCGTCGAGATGCTCGGCCCCATCCGCCACGAAGAGGTCCGCGACGTCATGGTACGGGGCCACATCTACCTCCACCCATCCCTCACTGAAGCCTTCGGCACCGTCATCGTCGAGGCCGCCAGCTGCGGGCTGTACGTCGTGTGCACGCAGGTCGGCGGCATTCCCGAGGTGCTGCCCTCGCACATGACCGTCTTCGCCAAGCCCGAGGAGGACGACCTCGTGACGGCGACGGGCAAGGCCATCGCCGCCCTGCGCGCCAACAAGGTCCGCACCGAGCTGTTCCACGAGCAGGTCAAGAGCATGTACTCGTGGACCAACGTCGCCATGCGCGCCGAGCGCGTGTACAACGGCATCTCGGGCGCCATCAGCGAGGCCGAGTTCTACGGGTACGACGCCGCTAATGGCGCCGGCAGCTGGAGCGCCACGAGAGGCAGGTCTGGCGTGCAGAGCTTTGCGCTCATCGACCGGCTAAAGAGGTACTATGGGTGCGGCACCTGGGCGGGGAAGCTGTTTTGTTTGTGTGTGATCGTGGATTATTTGATCTTTTTAGCGCTAGAGCTGTGGTTCCCGAGGGATCGGATCGATATCTGCCCGGACTGGCCGAGGAAAGACAGAAAGGTGGATGGGAAGGATGGTGGGTGACCGACACCGTGCCATCTTTATATTCGCAATTCGGGCGACTGTTGAGATCGTCGAGTGGGGATCGATGTGTCCAAAGCCACGAACTATTCTGTCGATAGCCTGGGTGCTAATAATATCTATCTCAAGACGTTGCAAGGCTTCGCGGCTTACCTCCGGTTGTAAGGGCCACTATAGTACCCCTTTCCCAGTCACGGCGGTTGCACCTCATTCCATACCCTTTCCATGGTTGAACCCCCCAGTGCTGCATGATGCTATGACGGGTTAGCAAGGCCCTTTAAAGAGATGTTCGCCTCAAGAATGAAAGTAAGGAAACATGGAGACAGGACTGATGAAATCCATTCTCAGTCTGCCATCTCTGCCTACCTACCTGGGGTCACAAGGTTGCAAAAGGGGTACACCAGTCTACAGCCAAGTACCAGCTCGGCCCTACGACCACTCGACATCCTCAGGGCTTTACCCGTCGACATTCTTAACAAACTGCCCAAAAACATGGATCCGTCCGAAGTGCTGGGAAGACTGGTATTTCCCGGTGTTCTCGATAAGCTGCCTGCTGACGTACTCTGTCGGATGGATTCTTCCCTGCTCTCAGTATTGCCGCTCACAAAGCTTGGAGAGATGCTACGACAAAACCCACACCTCTATCGAAACCTTCCTCGTGAGGTCCTCCAAAAGCTAGCGGATCCCGGTAACGAGGTTTTTAAGACTCTTCCTCTGGTAATCCGGCTGGAGATTTCAACGCTTCTGTCGAATGATCCGTATGCAACCCCTGACGGATCACAAGATCCCCTGGGCGCCAATCCTTCCGTCCAAGGGCCCGCGAACCGCACTCCCGCCCCTTCCCTGGCAATGGGCGGCAACGCAGACAGTTTTATCGTTGGCTTAACGGAGCATCCTCGGCTCAAAGATGTGGAACGAGAGAGGGACGAGCTACGAGCCAAAGTGACACGCCTGGATGCCGAGAAACGGATCTTTACCCGAGATGTCCGCAAAGTGTTGACTGAGTCCAAATCAAATGAATGGCAACCAAACGGTGACCCCTATCACCAAATTCTAGAGTTTGCCGTAATCCACGAAGCCCGTGCCAGGACCGCATCCGAAGCGCAAGAAAGCTGGATCAGAGCATACAAAAAAGAAAAACGCCAGCGAATCGCCCGAGAGAAGACGGTTCAACAACTTACGGCTAAGCTGGACTATCAAGCGCAGACCGCCATCCAAGCCACTGAAAACCAACACAAGCTGGAAGCGGGAAACGAATGGTTTCAGCACCTCGTCAACACACGGGTGAAAGAGTACCAGGGCATGATGCAAAGCCAGGAGAAGAGACACTCAGCCATGCTACAACGCCTGATCAACGCGCACACGGCCGAGATGAGCGAGCAGATGACCGTCTACGAGAAGGAGCTGGCTGATCTGCGCGTTCAGCATGAGCGAGAACTGGCGGAGAAACCGAATTGCGAGGGGGGTTGAATAGGCGCAAAGATAGGATCACGTCGTTTGGGAAGACTGTCTGGCGGTTGGCTTGGGCGGGTTCAATTGCTGGACGAGCCCTGTTGCTAACTTCTTGTGTTTGTTATTTCTGTAATCATATGACTGAAGAGTGTGGAAGAAAAGAAGGGACAATAGGCAAGGGAAGGGGGACGAAGGCGGTGTGACTGAGGGAAAGAAAACAGGAGGCATAGTTCGACTTCTCTTTCCAAAACTACCGCGAGGAACATTAGGTCAACTGTGTGTATGCTATATGGGATGCCGCACCCGTGAAGCCAAGTTGGAGATCGCTCAAGAAGTGGTGCTTCAGGACGTCATACTTTGTGTATATGTATTTACTCTTCTGGTCCCTTCGGCACCCTCTGGACGCATCGCTGTCGAATTCCGGTCAGACCACAAATTCATGCCTGCTTAGCAAGAAAGAGCATTTTCCGCTGTACTCCAGATCCCCTGGCGCCTTGGGGTCATCTTCTCGGAAGCTACAACGGACTGTGTCTTATCTTTGTGTTCTGTAGGCAGTGACAATAACCGCATTTGCTAAAATCAAGGCCTTGGGGGGTAGACCCTCCTTCCTCCGCAGCCGTGTATGCCCCTCACCCGGCCACACCTGTGTCTTGCTCACTCGTTATGGTCAATGGGTGAAGTAAGAGACCCCTTGACTGTTCGAAATATCGCATTTCACGCTTCCTACTTTCCCCGTCCCAAAACCCCTGAGGAGACTCACGCTTGCCCGCATCCGCAGCATTCATAACCTCGAGCCAACCACTTTCCTGTCCTGGAACCATACCGGCCGGGCTCTGAACCTCCCCTCCAAACTGATGTGCCTCGCTCATACCTTGTGTGTCACTGTGCTATTCTTCCTAGGGTAGGTCCAGGGGCGTTTGTGATGGGACTTAAAAACTCCAGCTTTCTGCTCCCACCACCCTCCAACTCTTCTAATCCTTTTCCACCCATTGTCAGTTCCATCAGCTGCCTCTTTTCGCGCGCTTGATCTCCATTGATGGCCTCTTCTCCGACATCATCTCCTCGTCGTGCCTCTTCTAAGTTCCCTATTCTCAGGACAGCCTACTTCACCGAACGCTCCTTAACCCGGAGACACCATGTCCCCTGGACTCACCGAACCCCCAAGCCGTTAATGACACCCTGTCGGGCAGTTGTACCACAATCTCCCTCGGGACCTCGTCTTCCCTCCGACCAAGGCAAGGGACCGCAGCATGTCAGCAAGCTTTCCGTGCGTCTCCTGTGCATAACTCGGGAATACCTTGCTCTGGCCGCGACTCTTGACTGATAAGGTAGACACGAGTGCCGCCCAGCACAAGCCCAGTCTCCTCCTCCCCCTTCTCATCAGCACCGAGGCTGTGAGACAACCGCTGAATCCCGCTTTGCCTCTGCCGCAACAACCCATCCGCGCATCCAAATAAATGGGTGTGGCCTCAGCAGTCATCGACGGTGACGAACCAACGGGCTCGGCATGATCCGCGACGACTGACAATATTCATCATTGGCCACTAAAAGCACCCAGGTGAGGACCCTAAATGATTTAAACTTCCACTGAAGACAAGTCCTGAGCTTCGGTGATGAAGGAACTTTAGTAGCGACGTATGATAGGAGACACATAGCCCACAATGTCAGCTCTGGCTGACAACCTCTGTTTCAACCCCCAGATACCCTCGACGATGCCGCTGACCTCGATACCGGGCCAACATCTCCCGTTCCCCCAGATCCCGCATGTTGCCTCAGGGCAGTCGATACCATCCGGCAGAGACTTGGTTGCCTTTCATCATCGGCGTTGAATAAGGTGAGGATTCCCGATGACAACAAGACACGCATTCCGAGTATATATTATGATGAAAGCACCGTGATACTACAGTTGAGGGATCCTCACAACACAATCAAGTGGCGTCAGCCAAAGCTGACGCCTCTCAGGCCTTGACAGATTCCGCGAACAGCCTCAGAGCATGTCGACATCATCAAGCGAAGACTTGGTTGCCTCTCATCATCGGCTTCGAATATAGTGAGGCTTCCCAATGATGAAACCCCCCTTCCTACTATACTCGAGCACGTTGTGCAATGATATATATTACGACTCTTTCTGAGGGGTCCTCACAACACAATCAAGTGGCGTCAGCTTTGGCTGACGCCTCTCAGGTCTTAACAGGTCCCCGCGAACAGCCTCAGGGCACGTCGGCACCGTCAGGCGACGGCTCGGTTGCCTTTCATCATGGGCCTTGACTATGGTGAGGATTCCCGATGATGAAAACTCACTTCCTCTCCTCGCTCGAGCACTCGGTGCAATGAGATATGAAACGACTTTGTTTGAGGGGTCCTCACGGTGTCAGCGTTTTCTAATGCCTCTCAGGTCTTGATAAATTCCCGCGAAAAGCCTCAGGGCATGTCGACACCATCAGGTGAGGACTCGGTTGCCTCTCATCATTGGCGTTGAATAAGGTGAGGATTCCCGATGACAACACCACACGCATTCTGAGTATATATTATGATGAAAGCCGTGATACTACAGTTGAGGGATCCTCACAACACAATCAAGTGGCGTCAGCCAAAGCTGACGCCTCTCAGGTCTTGATAGGTTCCCGCGAACAGCCTCAGGACATGCCGACGCGGGTGGGGACTCGGTTGCCTCTCATCATCGGCGGTACAGCCTCAGAAACCGCCAAACCCACGGGGAGCTGGCTGGACCTTCATCACCAGCTGAAGGGGGACAGAAATGGGCTGGCCATGGGCCATGATGCGCGACAGGGTGCAGCAAACAGGGACTGCCAGAGGCGACTGCTCTCTGCGATGATGGATGTTTGGTTTTTGGCGACGAAGAAACTCTCCGAAGCTGATGCCCTTGTGGTGCAACAACTGTCGAGCGGCCCAGGCCTTGGGTTGTAGGCGGAGAGACGGGCGGGCATTACCGCAGGGTGAACGCATCGCCGTCATCACGCTGACATTACCAGCCGGAACTGCGTCACTTCCAAGGCCTCGGCTACCATGGCACTTGCACGCGGCAGCTGAAGGGGTGGTTGGAAAATGGGTAGCGGTTCTTGAGCTATCGTCTCTGCTCTTTCAACGTGGTCGGTCGGAGGGGGCGGCGATAACTTGCTTAAAGGTGAATGATGCGTTTTCGGCGATGTTGTTTGATAATAAATCGGTTTTTGGGATTGGCGAACGTTCCTCGATGAATATTGATGCTTCACGATTGATGAAGTTGTAAAAATATGCTCGCGTGGAATATTTTTACTCTCTTCCTCGATGGAATCGACACGGCGTCAAGGTCGACTGATTGTGCGGGTAGTGGCGAAAAGAGTTGTGCAAGTGAAAAACGAGGCAAGGCGGGGAAAGAGGCAAGCCCAGGGTATTTGTAGGACATTTTCCCTCGCGCTAGCAACTGGCATGATGGCATCACGGGGTCTTCCGGTGAACTCATAGGAGAGGACACAACGCAGTGCTCAAACGGTCAAACCTGGTCGACCTACTCAGACGACTTCCAGACGGGAAACGGTGCATCGCCTCATTGGCTGATTGCACGAGTCTCAGACCCAAAGCGGTAACAACATGCTCCACCTTAGGTCATCTCCGACCATGAGCTGCCCTCATCCGAATCGGTTCCTCAACACAAACGCTCCAAGGTAGACAATGTTGCCGCGTGTTGAAGTACTCCGAGTCACAGCTTAGATTACTTGAGTCCCCCGCTCAACAACACACTCTGCCCAGTCAAATACCCCGTCTGGCAAAACATCATCACAACATTAGCCACCTCCCCCGGCGTGCCCAGCCTCCCCACGGGAATATTCCGCACATCCCCCGCCGTGCCCTCCAGGATCTTCTCGTCCGGGACGAGACCCGTGTCCCCAATCATCGCGGGAGCTACGTCATTGACCGTGATGCCGTCCTTCGCATGCTTCGTCGCGAGGTTCTTCATCAGCCCGTGCAGCCCCGCCTTGCTCGCGGCGTAGTGGCACCCGTTGATGCCGCCGCCGTGCGCCGCCAGCGACGACACGAAGACGATGCGACCCCACCCTTGGGAGGCCATGTGCGGGATGCTTAGCTTGCAGAGGATGAAAGATGCCCGTAGATTGACGTTGAGCGTGTGGTCGAACTCGTCGATCGAGATGTCGGCGATGTCCTGGGTGCGTTTGCCATAGCCGGCGTTGGATACTAGAATGTCTGGTCCGTCTTTGCCGTACGCCTCTCGGATCCTGGTGAAGAGCTGCTGGATATCGTCGGCTGACCCGACATCGACTTTGTGCGTGGAGATGGATGCGTTATGGGCACCTGGGGAGTCGCTATTGGGGAGGGCCAAGATCTCCGTCACGAGGTCGACAATTTTATCTTTGCTGCTGGAGTAAGTCAAGGCGACGTTAACATTTTGGAGGTAGAGTGCTCTGGCGCAAGCGGCTCCGATGCTGTATGGTGTTAACGGAGGGAGCACTTTGGCGGGGTACCGTCCGGGTTGGATTTACCCTCCAGATGCTCCTGTGATCAGGGCAAGTTTGCCTGCAATCTCGTTATTAATAGGCGGCATCGTGGTGTGCAATACAGAAGGCCACTGGAGTGTGTTTGAAAGGCGTAATCGAGGTACCCAGCGGGTTGAACCCAAGAACCGGGTACTTGACCCCGCGCACGCCCTGCCACGGATACCCCGCAGTCACCCCATCGCGGATCAGCCCACTTCCATTCGCCACGGAGCGCCCTGCGCTCGACACAACGCCATGTCCGGATCCGCCGGCATAGGTACACGGAGGTGACGGGTGGCGGCGACGTGTTTGTGACAGCGTTTCCGGTAGCGGCGCTGTGTTGTCCCGGCCCGTGGAACACGTAATTTAGTCAAGTGGGGGCGCCGTCAAGCACTTATTCTCCCTCAAGTGCAATAATGCATCTCCGAAGTACAACCACCAACACCCACAGGCACCAAACATTTTAAGCACTACACACAGTAAGAAACTGCCCCCCTAGACAGCCGATCTTTGTTTACCTAATACAAAAAACCGAACATAGGCTCAAAGCAAGCTAGGTGAAACAACATGGGGACACCGTTCATCGCGCACCTCGAGCCGACGGCCCTGGAGTGGGAGCGCGGGCTCCCGCCCGACGAGCAGCCGAACGCGGCCTCGATCCCGCGCACCTTCCTCGACGCCATGACGGTGCGCACGCAAGTCTTCGTGCAGGAGCAGCAGGTCCCGCAGTCCAACGAGTTCGACGCCGACGACCAGCGGTGCGCCCACTGGGTCATCTACGCGTCCGTCAACAAGACCGTCGCCCCCGCCGTCACCGACCCCGCCACCGGCGAGGTCCTCCGCCCGCGCCAGAGCGAGACCCAGTCCGTGCCCATCGGCACCGTGCGTCTGGTGCCCTTCCCGCACCCGCCGCACCCGGTCAAGGGCGGCGTCTACGTCGACAACGAGCTAGTCGGCTCCTCCTCCTCCGACTCCGCAGAAGACAACAACAACAACAACAACAACAACAAGACCACAACCGAACCCCCCGCCGCCGAACCAACCACCACCCAACAACGCACATTCACCCCAGACCGCCCGACCACCTTCCACGACGGCGTCGAGCCGTACGTGAAGCTGGGCCGGCTGGCCGTGGTCAAAGAGTTCCGGGGGCGGGGCATCGCGGGCCAGCTGGTGCGGACGGCGACCGAGTGGATGCGGACGCACGGGACGTACTTCGACCCGAGCCCCGCCGCGCGCGGGTTCGAGCACCTGGGCATGGAGCAGACGGCCGGGGCGCTGCCGCCGCGGTGGAACGGCCTGCTGTGCTGCCACGCGCAGGAGAGCGCGGTGAGGGCGTGGGAGAAGTGCGGGTTCCGCGTGGACGAGGGGATGGGCCGCTGGTTGGAGGAGGGGATTCCGCATGTTGGCATGTTTTTGAGGGTTGACGTGGAGCCGCAGGCGAGGGCGCTTTGAGTTTCTATGTGGGGAGATTGGTTCTGGTGTATTTCTTCGCCGTCTTTGCGCAGGGTATTGCCGGATTTCGATGGCATGTTTGTTCATAGAGATTAGATCGCGATACCACGGATGGCTTTTCTTCTTTTCCCGTTTTCACATTCTGAACGAGCAAGAGGATAGAAACCAAAACTCCACGTTACGAGCATAGCACAGTACCACACCATAGACGCCAATTCTTGTCAGAAGATCACCATTTACTCCCTTTTTTGCGAGAGCCCTATTTGTGCCTGTGTGACAAGAATGCCATGCATCCACCAGACCGTAACGCGCAAAAGCAGCCCTGCAAAACAAGCCGTAAAATCCGTCCCGTCCCGGTCCAATATGCCATCCGCCCAAACAACCCTTTACCGGTTGCTCTTGGCCACACGCTCCAACTCGTCCTTCTTCTTGATCGCGTACGAGTTGCTGCTACCCTTGGCAGCGTTGATCAGCTCCTCGGCAAGGCACTCGGCGATCGACTTGACGTTGCGGAAAGACGCCTCGCGGGCACCGGTTGTGAGGAGGGCAATGGCCTGGTTGACGCGGCGCAGGGGCGAGACATCGACGGCTTGTCTCCGGACGGTACCAGCGGAACCGATACGGGTGCTGTCTTCGCGGGGGCCGCAGTTGACAACAGCGTCGACGGCAATCTGGATGGGGTTCTGGTCGGTCATGAGGTGGATCTAGAGTCCAGTCAGAATGCGTGCCTCCTTCGGGTGCCAAGTTCCCATTTCTCACAATCTCGAAGGCGTGGGCAACGATGCGGACGGCCATCAGCTTCTTGCCGTTGTTGCGGCCGTGCATCATCAGAGAGTTGGTGAGACGCTCGATGATGGGGCAGTTGGCCTTGCGGAACCGCTTGGCGGCATAGCGACCAGCGGAGTGAGGGAGGTAGACGGGAGACCGGATCTGGATGTAGTCGCTGGAAACAAACGTTGTTAGCCTCCGCTCACGCAGCCCGCCCGAGAGCCCGTCCCAAATCGAATTCGGTCCATCTCGTCGTCGCGGAATCGGGGGGTCGCTGTCTTACGTCAGGGAGATGTCCCGGATCTCAACATCCTCGTAGCTCCAACGGTCTGCAATTGACACAAAGTCAGCGTCGGGTCTCGGAGATGGCTTTTGCCGTCGGTGCATCGATTTGCGGTCGAATTGGGAAGGCGTGCGACTTGGACGTACTGAAGAGCTTGACGCTGCCAACCTCGGCCAGGACCTCCTTGGGGAGGACCTCGTAGCTGGAGGAGGCCACTTCGACTTCGCCTTCAGACATGTTTGCGGTGGTCGGCTGCTGAAAAGCTGAAGGTGGTGATGGATTAGAAGTTTGGCGTGGAGGACGACGACACACAGAAGGCTTGAAGCGTGTGGTCGTGAATTTTTTGGTGGCCCCGCCGAGGTGGCCTGGGTGGGCCCGCAGCCACTCAGAACGCCCCATTTAATTAGGGCTCGGTTAACCTAAGCTCTGGCAACGCGCCCTCTGTCAGAAAAATCTCCCCGCCTTCTCTAGTTCGACTCCCGACTCCAACCTTCACCAAACCACCAGAACATCCATCAAAATGGCTCCCGCAGCAGCTGGTGCGAAGAAGCAGAAGAAGAAGTGGTCCAAGGGGAAGGGTAAGCGATTTTTCGCGCCGGCGGATTTCCGATCCATTGGACCTGACGACAGCCGCTAATTCTTCATCCCCCAACAGTCAAGGACAAGGCTCAACACGCCGTCATCCTCGACAAGAGCACTTCCGACAAGCTTTACAAGGATGTCCAGTCCTACCGTCTCGTGACGATCGCCACCCTCGTCGACAGGCTCAAGATCAACGGCTCCCTCGCCCGGAGGTGCCTGAAGGACTTGGAGGAGAAGGGGCAGATCAAGCAGGTCGTGGGACACAGCAAGATGAAGATCTACAGTACGTTGCGCGCAGTTCAGGCGCTGGCACAAACCCATACTAACAAGAGAACTCAGCTCGTGCCGTTGGCGCCGCCGAGTAAACCTCCCATAAATCATATCGGCGGACCTGGCGTGCGGGAATGGGACTTCGTTAACGGCGGTTCGCTTGGGGTTTCGGTTATTCGGGCATGGCTACATCTCTGGGATTGGGATTCATTTTGCAACTCGGTCGGTGTAGCATAGGGATCGGAAGTGCTCCAGATCCTGAGACTGGAATTGCATCAAGATACGAACAACGTCGCGGCTCCGCCCTACCAGGGCTAGGAGGGTATGATCAATCAGTCGACCATGCTGAGCTGACACCATGAGAGCCATGGTCATCGGCTGAGTGTGTCCCTTCGAGGGAATGGGCGGGCGCATCAGCGTAGCGAATTGATACCCGTCAAACAATTGGTTGTCCCGCTCTGACTGCTGTGTTCCCTTGTGCCTCTGGCTACGGTAACGGGGTTAACTCGTGCAGCATCTCGTTTTGACTGAAGTCATCTCCCTCGGATAGAGAACCAGACACAAATTGCACACTGGGTTCCAGGTCAGGCCGCTAGTCTTGACTCAACGAGAACGAGAACACGGAGTAGGCTATTCTCTGTATATCCATGTCTAGGGTACACATTCGTCCGAGTCTCCCTTTCCATCAACAAGGCGTGAAGCCATGGGTACCGATGTTACTATGAGGGAACTTGGCGTCGAAGAATGATGCCCAATGCCCCCGCATTCTTGAGGCACACAGAGACATCGATTTCGCCTCCCGAGGTCAGGTCCGGCAGTGGACCTGTGTTATTTTGCGTTCTGGAAACGTCAAAAACTTCCCCTGGGCCCAATTGGCATGGTTCGATTGGTTGTAAAGACTCCTCGGAAGTTTGAGGTATGAGCTTCGTGGAACCTTTCAGGCGAGCAACATTGTCAATCAACCAGCATGTCTTGGAACATGAGCCTGACTCGGTGTTGCGATAAGGATAGGGGCAGCCCGAGAGACCTGTTGCATCAACTTTGCTAACCACCAGAAAATAACGGTGTACAGGATGACCACCTAGGTAGCCAATGTAATACAACCACAGCAGCCGACGACCAAGACAACCCAAGCTGGTGAGTTGGTCCGCATGTGAGGGAAATTTTGAGATCCAGACCCGTTGTGGCTCGCAAAAAGGCACTCCCATTCGGCCGCCCGGCTTGGAGATTTCAAGAAAGACTGGGACCTTCGGGCTTTGCCGGCATTGCAAATCCTTAGCGCCACGGGCAAGGCTGGAAAAAGACCATGCTGCCCAGTCGTTGCCGCGCACCCGTGGCGGTGTACTTGGTCCGTGCGTTAGCGGGACCAGGGGCCGGCAAGAATCGCACCTCAAAAGCTGGGCTCTTCCGAGCCTGTTGCGAATTTTTTTCCCTCTCCCCCCCCAAACTCGACGGCCGCAGAATTTATTTTCGCGCGACATCTTGCATCGTCCATCTTCTTAGACTCTCGCAGCAGAGCTTGGACTCCCCTCTCCACTCCCTTCTTTTCTCTTCAAAGTTGTCTTTGAACAAACCGTCAAGATGTCTAAAAAGGAGGATATCAAGATCATGGGCATGCCGGTAAGTCGTCACCACTCTGCATCGAAAATCGCTCGCTCCATTCCGCATCGTCGGGATGTTGGTCTCGGCGCACCTCGCCATATCGATCGCAACCGGCAATTTCCCCCAATGCCTACATAGGAGGGGTTTTGCGACGATTGGTGAGCGCGCGGTGCGGGACAAACAGGCCTCGACCGGCATGGAGCTTGGGGTTTTCGAGCCGGCAATCAATGATGCGGACATTTTGCTAACCGACCCCTCCACAGTCCTTCGTGGTCGACTTCCTGAGTACGTCAACCTCACGCATCTCGGTATAGGCTATCTGGACACACGGATCACAGACGCCGCCGAGGACCCTGCGCCGCAGTTGGGACCAACCCGGAACACATTGCTGACTTGCATCGACAGTGGGTGGTGTCTCCGCCGCCGTCTCGAAGACCGCTGCTGCTCCCATTGAGCGTATCAAGCTCCTTGTCCAGAACCAGGTATGTTCTACTTTTATTTTTTTATCTTTCCAAGACCCGGCCTTGCTCCGAGAGTTCCCGGGCGCTTGAGCCGCAATTTGCGACGAGCGGCGCAGATCGCAACTCTCGGTGTCACGTGCAAAACAGGGTCTTGAAACGTTCAACCAAGAACTTTGCTGACCTCCTCCTAGGATGAGATGATCAAGGCTGGCCGCCTCGACCGCCGCTACAATGGCATCGTCGACTGCTTCCGCCGCACCACCGCCGACGAGGGCCTCATGGCCTTGTGGCGTGGTAACACCGCCAACGTCATCCGTTACTTCCCGACTCAGGCCCTGAACTTCGCTTTCCGTGACAAGTTCAAGGCCATGTTCGGCTACAAGAAGGAGCGCGATGGCTATGCCAAGTGGATGGCTGGTAACCTGGCCTCCGGTGGTGTAAGTTTCTGCGCACCCTGTCGCTTTGACGTATTTCCCTAACCTTGTGAAGGCTGCCGGTGCCACGTCGCTGCTCTTCGTCTACTCGCTCGACTACGCGCGTACCCGTCTTGCCAACGACGCCAAGTCCGCCAAGGGTGGTGGTGCCCGCCAGTTCAACGGCCTGATCGACGTCTACCGCAAGACCATGGCCACCGACGGTATCGCCGGTCTGTACCGTGGCTTCGGTCCCTCCGTCGCCGGTATCATCGTCTACCGTGGTCTCTACTTCGGCATGTACGACTCCATCAAGCCCGTCGTCCTTGTCGGCTCGCTCTCCAACAACTTCCTCGCCTCTTTCATGCTCGGCTGGTGCGTCACCACTGGTGCCGGTATCGCCTCGTACCCCCTTGACACCGTCCGTCGCCGCATGATGATGACCTCTGGTGAGGCCGTCAAGTACAAGAGCTCGTTCGATGCCTTCCAGCAGATCGTTGCCAAGGAGGGTGTTAAGTCGCTCTTCAAGGGCGCTGGTGCCAACATCCTCCGTGGTGTTGCTGGTGCTGGTGTGCTGTCCATCTACGACCAGCTCCAGGTCCTGATGTTCGGCAAGGCTTTCAAGTAAACTGCCTCACCCACTGTACAAAATCCTCGATGACGGAGGCCGTCGGGGGGTAATCACGGCTGCAGCAGCTGGCTAAGCCGAGGGGGCGAGGGGCTGGGGGGGTGGTCGTTTCGCTGGGAGACGGGGATCCTTCGTGGCAGGCAGCAAATGCTTCTGGACGTTGGGTATGCGGGGAACAAAAACTGGGCATGTCTGGCGTTTACTGGGACGCGGATGGGCCGGTCACCCGCTGTAATTTATACTCTTGAGCCATTCCCGGTTTATTCCTTGCTTGCGTGGGGTCGCCGTTGCTTCGCGTGGGTGTTTCCTTCTGTTGCATGCGCCTCATAGATCCCATAGTTCTGGCCAATTGATCGGCGATTTCCTTGCGGTACGAATACTTCAGCCACATCCCGAAAAAATGAATCGAGATCATGATAATCAGGTGCTCTCGCGTTTTGCAACACGACTTACGTAATCTGCTTAATTCACGCGCCGCGATCCCGTTTACAGAAATCCAAACGAGAAGATACATCATCCCGACTCCATCGACCAAGTCTTCATTTAACTCCATCCACAACTGCACACTGACTCTGATCGACTGGAGCAAGCTCGCAACCGGGTTTGCATCAAAAGACACCTATCCTCGCTCCCAAATAAAAAGATGCCCCCGCGCGCATCAGGCACCGGCTCTGCATCCCGCGGCCGTGGCCGTGGTGGTGCAGCCAACAAATCCACATCCGCCGGCCGAGGCGCCGCAGCAACACGCGGTACTTCCCGAGGCAGGGGAGGAAGCGGGACCCCCCGCGGGAGGAAACGCCCGCAGCAGCAGCAGCAGCAACCAGAAGACGAGGAAGATGCGGGGGAGCAATCTGGTGTGGTTGACCTAGCGGACGGCGATGATGGTGATGGCACGATGGACGGGGGTGGGGCTCGGGATGGTGGGGATATGGATGATGTGAGTGATGGGGAGGGGGACGAGGACGATGAGGAGGAGGACAGGGAGAAGATCCCGCCGGAGTTGTTGACGAGGATTTTGCATGCCTTCTTTGAGCGGGAGGGGACCAGGGTGACGAGGGATGCGAATGCCGCGGTGGCGAGGTATATGGATATCTTTGTGAGGGAGGCGATTGCGCGGGCGGCGGTGGAGAGGGCGGGTGGGTTTTTGGAGGTGAGTCTTTTGCGCTTTTTCTTCGCTATGTGGGTATGGGCGCTGTGCTAACCGTGATGGGGTAGGTTGAGGATCTTGAGAAGATTGCGCCGCAGTTGTTGATGGACTTGTGAGGTGGTGTTGGATGGAGCAGGCAAGTCCACAAGGACGTTTTACCGACGCTCACGACGCCACCACCTGAACTACCATCCATATCCACTCCCATCGATGAAGGCCGAGTCAGGCGCCTGATAGCTCGCACACCCATCCGCAGCTACCGCAAGCCGCCGCCCACCCAGCCGTCAAGCATGTCCAAGGGACGGCGCGAATATCGAGATGGGATGGCGCGCCTCGCTGAGAACCTGGTGGGCATCAACGAAGGGCCGGTATGGCGGCTCATCGATCGAGACGATGCCACAGGATCAGAAGAGGGCGGCGTACACATAACTCCGAGTCCCGGGCACATGGATGATGGGAGGATGGGTTCGCAACGGCAGCGGGACCCTACTACATACCTGGAGAACATGCAGCGGCCCCTGTTTGGGAAACAAACTGTGGCTATCTCCAGCGATGATCTGAACCGAATACCAAAGCAAACAGTGACAGGCATGATCAACCACGCACCCTTGCCGTCTTGTTAGGTCTTAGAGAAATAGGAAAAACGAGTCATGTATCGGTTCCCTTCGTCCCACTCGCCGAAAATGCTTCCTCTCGAGCCCGACCGCGGTCCTAGTCCACAACTTCGGGTTGGTGATGATTACTTTGGGGACAACACTGACTCAAATACTGTTCTGGCTGTGGCTGAGAAACAGACTTCAAGGAGCAGTCACTTCTTTCTCCCCAATTGTCTCTCAGTGTTATGTCATGCATGCCGTTCAGGGGTACCTTGATTGTTAGTGCTGGACTTTGTCTCGTCCTCACAGTGAACAGCCTTCGTACTACACAAAGCATTCAAAAAGGAAACGTCTTGCTAGCCTCAGTGTCTGTGCAATTTCTCGCGTTGTGGCTTCAATAAAAGTTTTGTGGTCGGGAAAAGCGGCCGGCAAGTGAAGCGCTCGGTGGCGGTCTTGAAACTCCAAGACGTTTGACAATTGTCGGAGGCTGTGGCAGAAGACCGAGCACCCCTGTCACCCCCCTGTGGATCGTGTTCCACCCAACGGTCCAGCCCCCGCAATGGCGCAGCCTGCAACCGCAACCTTATTTTCGGCTCCAGCTTCGTCCGGTGAAATCAACCAATCCGCCAACATGGAATCAGTCCGACGGGACTTTCTACGCGGGGCTGTCCGCGCAACCCGAGGCCGCGACCGCCCCCAGGCCAGTGATAGTACAGTCTCCGGTCGCTTCTGAGCTCACTACCATACTCAGAAGCGGGACCAAAAGGCGCCAAAATGGCCGGATCCCCAGTTTCCGTCTCGGCGCAAACCCATTCTATTTCCATACTTGTACACTCGAAAATGGGCAGCCACCGACAACATGAGGATGGCTGAGCAGGTCAACATTGACGAGGCGCCTCCAAACTACCAAGATATTCGGGCGGTTGTACGAGGCTGTTCGTCCCACGCCGTTGAGGGACGACTGCCGGTTGTGACGGACTGTTTGCAACCGGAGTTGTTGGAGAATCAGAGTCCCCTCAGACTCTCGATACCAAACATTCACCGGGCTGCCTCACGATACCCCCCGACTCAAACAGAGGCTCCCTGTAAAAATGCAGCCCTAACATGAGAACTTCGTAAGCGTTGTTTCTTCTTTCTCGGCTTCGTCTCTTGTGATTCGCTCGAGCATGTCTCGTCGGTGCGCTCGACGCCAAAGTCGTGGGCAAAACATCGCGATGTTTCAAAAACTTCAGACTTGACCCTGGTCCCTGCATCGGCAACCCCTTGCGCCTCCACACCCGTCCGCCATGGCCCTGCTGCACCATCGGACGATCCTTCACTCTCCCGAAGGCCGCTCGGAAACTGGTATAATTCATGCCGCGTCCTGATCTTCAGGCCCGGCCTTTTCTTTCCTCTCCATCTGTCCATAGTCATTAGTCGAACTTCCGCCGTTTTCTATTCCCTTTCTCTTCTTTTCGGTGCCCGTCACCTCTTTCGTAATCTTCGCCACAGGCTAGTCCTGCTATTGTTCTACTACAGCGCTAGTCGCTTTCCACACCTTCAGTCACTCTTTCGACGAGCCGGACCTTCGCTTTCCCTGTACAACAACACATCCATCATCTTCAAAATGCAGTTCACAACACTCGCCCTTTCCGCTCTCGCGAGCGTAGCATCCGGTTAGTATTCCTGAGAACTACAGTCGAGACAAGGAATAGAAAACTAACAGCCACCAGCCCAGAAGACGTGGTCCGTCGCGGTCGCGCAAAACGGCAGCCTCACCTTCTCGCCCGACAAGCTGGTCGCCCAGCCGGGCGAGTTCGTGCAGTTCCAGTTCCACGCCGGCAACCACACCGTCACCCAGTCGACCTTCGACCAGCCGTGCCAGCCCATCGGCATGAGCAGCAACGTCACCGGCTTCCACTCGGGCTTCCTCCCCGCCGCCGCCAGCGCCGAGATGGGCATGTTCCCCACCTACACCATCCAGATCAACAGCACCGGCCCCCTGTGGCTGTACTGCGCCCAGGGCAAGCACTGCGGCAACGGCATGGTGATGGTCATCAACGAGCCGTAAGCCCCCCTCCCCCTTCCCACACCCCCCCAACACCCCAAACCCCCACAAAACTAACACCCACAACAGAGCCAACAACCCGGACCGCACCCTCGACAGCTTCAAGACCATCGCAGCCGCAGCCCAATCCGTGACCCCTCCGGCCGACGGCGGCGAGTCGGGCGCCGGCGGCCAGACCGGTGGCGGCGCCGACGCTGGTGCTGGTGCTGGTGCTGGCGCTGGTGGCGACTCCACCGACACCACGGGCGGCACCGATCCCTCGGGCACCGACGACGCCGTCCAGTCGACCATCTCCCCCGCCGCGGCTGGCATGCTCACCGTGCCGGGCACGTTCGCCCTTGCGGTTGCCGGTGTGGTCGCGCTTGTCCTCTGAGGGGGGTGAGTGGTGGGAAGTGGTGGTGATTGGTTGCGGTTGGGTTTGTTTATAAGCGGGATTTAATGTTTTCGGTTTTGGTGGGTTGGTGGTGCCGATGGGTGACTGCTGGTTCGGATATACCTTTGGATGGAGGCGATGCTGGGGCGTGTTTGTTCTATTCTACATTTTTTTGATGATCACTGTACATGTATCGTACATACTCCATGGCGTGTGCTACATACTGGATAAAGAAAGACGGGTGTGCTTACACGGGAATCTGAGTCTTGTGTGTGACTAGAAGTGTGTGATGATACGCGATCTATGAGGAACCCTACATAGCAAGTGCACACAACCGAGAAACACCCGCTAAGCTTGTCCATAACCCCATCTCAACCTTTTACTGACCCCCCTTCTTGGGGATAACCCTCTTCTTCCTCCCCTTCGCCGCCTGCTCGCACAGCTGCCGCTTCGGCTCCGTGCCCGGCCACCCCTCGGGCCGCTTCACATAGCCGACAAAATCATACTTGGGGCTGTTCTTAAAGAAATTCACCCAGTGCGTCAGGCCCTCCTGCACCTTACGCTCCGCGTTGGCACGCTCCTCCTGCTTCAGCGCGGCCAGCTCCTCGGCGCTCCAATGCCTGTCCACGGCCGGGTCGTCGAGCGGCAGGAACATGTCCTCGACGCCGCGCATGTCGGGCGTGCGGTCCTCGGCGAAGCAGCCCGTGACGAAGCCGCGCGCCGCGTCGCACCCGGCGAAGTACTGGTACGACCCGCCGGGGCCGTACGTCCGCGCGTTCGACGACACGTCGTAGATGCTCCCGTTGATCGCCAGGTAGATCGGCTTGTCGGGGTCGCTCCCGTCGTACCCGCTCAGCTCGTCCGGTGTGAGGTAGATGGGGCCGCGCTGTGGGGGTGGTGGTGGTGGTTAGTTAGTGTTACTGTGAGGGCGTGAGGAAGTTGAGGGGGATCAGGGAGGGCGTACGAATTGCTTCATCCACCAGTCCGTCTGGAGGTACTTGGATCCATTGGTGATGCCCCAGGAGTAGGTCTCGCCGCTGGAGACGAGGTAGCTCAGGCCGAAGTAGGCGAGGACGAGGAAGGTGAGGACGCGGAAGATGTCGAGGATGTGCCCGCTGGATTCGTCTTCGTCGAGGCGGTCTTGGGTCGATTTCTTCTTGGACTTTTTGGGCGCATCCCTTTTCGGTTCCTCATCCTGCGACTCGGCCGGCTCGGACTCCGGGGGGGTGTCCGTCACGGGCTCGGGCTTGCGCCGCCGAACGGAGGATTCGTCGGCCATTGGTGGAGATATGGGGGAGGAAGACAACAACCGGTTTGTTGTCAGAATTGGGTGAGGAATTGGGGGGGGAGAAGGTCAAGCAGAAGAAAGTTCAAGGAGACAACGTGCTATGCACTGTTAAATGTAGCCAGATCACCAGCGGGCCAGCCGGATAAGCGAGGCTGAGCACAAGTGGGATGAGGATGGTCCAGTTTCCCTGCTCCGCCGGACTTGCAAGGCATGGACGCTCCGAGACCGATTGGGTCAATCCCCAGAATGCTGCTGGCCAGTGCTGGCCCACAATTAAGTTTCCGTCGCCCATAGCAACTGTACCCTGGTCAAAAAAAGAATCGGTAATTGGCCAAGCGCGGGTGAGTCGGGCAGTCAATACTCCAACCCACCCGAGCAAATTAAACGCTCGCCCGCCAAATCACTGACGTTGTCGCCGCACGCATCGCAAAGCACACAACTAACCAACAGCAGGGGAATGCCAGGAGTCGGAGTAAGACAAGCATTAACGACTTAACTCTTACAACATCAACATCTGGCAATCCACGCCTCCGTCTTTTTGAGCAGCTTATTCCGCTTGCTCTCCGATCTCCATCTCCAAATCAATCGCCCCCCGAATCCCGCAATTCGCGTCAGTCCATTACTCATCCACATCACGGGAGGAGACAGGCAGGCAGCACACTGCGTCTCCAACAAATCAACCCAGCCGATATTTGTATGAGACCACAATAACACATAGAACCGCGCTCGACGATGTCGTCACCGTTGAGCCCCGCCGGCGGCGGACAGCCGCTGCAACCGGTGTCACACAACGCCCAGCGCGAATCTGCGCTCTTCGCGTCGGTCCAGCTCCACGAGCGCATGGGGGAGAGCCCGTCCGGCCGCGACAGTTCGGTACACGAAAAAATCAACCAATTCAACACTCTCGCGATGCATTCCAAAACCCTCGAGCGCAAAACCGCCGACGCCGCCCTCAAGCGCGCCATGCTCGGCCGGGAGGAGGCCGAAGCTGAGGCCCGCCGGTACCGTGACGAGGTGATGGTCTTGAGGAAGGAAGTTGAGGAGGGAAAGAAGAACGAGAGGAAAGTGGGAGAGCGACTGGAGGCTGTGATGGTAGGTACCCTCACGCGCTTCTCCCCCAACGAGTGCACTAACAAGGGGAAAAGGAAAATTCCGGTCGTGCCAAAGAAATGTACGCCCACTCCCAACAACGATGGGAGAAAGAGATTCGCCGCTCCCGAAAAGAAACGTTCAAAGTGCAGAGCACCCTCGTCAAAGCACAGGAGGAGCTCAAGTCCTGCCGGACGGCTCAGAAGGCTACCGAGGAGGAGCTCCATACTGAGCGAGAGCGGAGCAAGGCCCGGGAACAAGAGGCTTTCGACGCGCAGTACCGGCTTGTCGGGCTACAGGAACAACTGGGCCAAGCTTTGGCCCGTGCCAAGATGCTGGAGCAGGAGCTGGAGGCCATGAGGACGCTAGCCAAGAACGATACTGAAGTCAAACGTACGACTTCCACTGACGAGAGGGACGACTCGGAAGGACCGCGGAAACGCGCCAGGTTGTCTTCCGTCTCGTCGTTTGGCCATGGCAACCCAGAAATCGAAACGATCACGATGCTCTGGGAGTGGGAGAAGCAGCGGGCGGACCGAGCTCTGGAACAAGTCGATTTCCTCGAGGCGGAATGTCAGCTCAAAGTTTGTTCGGCGGGAAAGGAGCTACGCAAGACTTCAGTCCAGCGGTCGAGCACACGCAAGCGAACCAGCATGCTGATTTCCGATGCCGGAGACTCGATGATACTTAGTGAGAGCCGTCGAGCCTCCGCCGAGATGCCGATGGCGCCGCCCAAGCGGTCCAAGACCGACCAGCTCAGGAAGGAGAAGGAGCCGAGGCGAAGCACCATCTTCCTGCCGGAGGAGGGCATCTTCCGGACCGTGTCGCAAGCCGAGGCCGATGCCATGGCGGCGAAGTCGACAGCTTCATCTGGCGTATCCCCTACCGAGGCAGCATCTAGCGTGCCCATCACACCGACGGACAACAACCCTATGTACCGCCGCACACCTTCCCTCGACCCGCCGGATTTTGCCGTCCTCAACAAACAGCGGACGTCTCTACTTTCTCTCCTCGACGCGCCGCACAGACAAGAACCTGCACAAGTCTTCAACATCCCCACCACCCCCGGCCCAGCAGCGCCCGGGGCACACCACGTCGAGACAGAAGACGAAGCCGATGCACGGCACACCGCCAAGCCGCCGGCCGAAATCGCCCTCCCTCCACGACAACCGACCATCTCCGGGCCTCTCACCGAGCCCCTCCCATCGCACTCCACCACCGCCGCCACAGCGACCATCGACGCCCACACCCGCCCCCACACGACAGCATCCCACTACCGCCCCTCAACGTCCACAACCTCCACCGTAACCACAACCACCACCACCAAAGTCCCCCTCCGCGAGGAACCCGACGACGAGAGCGGTCCCACGCTAGCCCAGCGCCTCATGAAGATGCAGCGCACCCCGTCGCGCCAGACGGGCGACAACCACCACCGGGCAAGCGACGGCAGCAACCCGGACGGGCCCAGCTTCGACACCTCCAACCCGGCCCTAACCCCGACCATGACGCGCGAGCAGGCGCTGGCGCAGATAAGGGAGCGGCGCGGACGGGCGAGGAGCGTGGGAAGGGTGGGCAGCGCGGGGAGTTCCAGTGCTGCTGCTGCGGGGGCTAGTGCTGGTGCGGGTGCAGGTGCGAGTGCCGGTGCCGTTGGTAATGGGAGCAGGGCCGGCTCGAGCCAGAGCCAGCGTGCCGGGGAGGTGAGGCGCAAGGTTTCGGGGAGCAGTGCGACGGGGGAGGTGAGGCGGAAGGTCTCGGGGAGTGGGCCAGGCGGGGCCGAGGTGAGGCGGAAGGTGAGCGGGGACCTGGGCGCGACCGCGAGGAGGGCTGTTGGTGGTGAGGAGAGGGGTCGCGAGAGGGATGTTAGGAGGGAGGTTAGTGCGCCTACTGCTTCTGGTGCGGCGGGGACTATTAGGGGGAGTACCGCGGGTGGGGTGAGAAGGATACGCTCGTGAGTTGTGTGTTGAGTTGTTTGGATCGGGGGCTTGGATGCCGCGTGGTGTTGGGTTGGGTGGGTTGTGGCGCGGGAGCAGTACTTCTTATACCCTCTGTAGGAGGAACCGGGGTGGATATTTCTTTTCTGTTTGTTTATTGTCTCGCTTGGAGTCGACAGGACTGGACTCACTTCCCTTTGTCGGACGGTTTGGACTGGCCGGCGTCACGCTCTCTGAGCCAGGAAATACCTGTTGGAGTTAGGTGGTCGGTCTGGCACGACTGGGATAGGTCCATTTTCTTTCTTTTCTTTTTTTTTGTTTCTGGGTTGGGTTGCGACCGGCTTGCCTCTTGTGATATCACTCTGCATAGGACAGCGAGGGCGTCATCTTCAATCGACTTTTGTTCACTTCATACCCGGGTCTTTGGATGTGGCTGCACATTTGTGCTGTTGTCTGTGATATTCCAAGGTTCTGTGTCGTCGATATTGGAAGCGCTAGCTGACACAAAGACGCCCAAACGGTCTCACCTCTTAGTGCGATACCTCTTTCTCATCAAGAGACAGCAAAAGCTCACCGGCTAGCTCCCTTCGCGGTCGAAGGGAGGGAGCCGCTTACGAACCCCCCGCGGGGTTTTACTCCGTGGTGCAGCCCGGTGATGACCCGTCGGGCCGATGCGGACTGCTCGTTTCCGAGGGAGAGGTGTGCCAGCGTCCCAGGGCAGCGTCATGATTCGAACTGAGGGCCTTTACGTCCAGGTTGCCTGTCCAGGTTGCCTATCGTGGTGAACTAGCTGCCCGTGGGCGGGACCACCACGGGCAGTAACCATTGAGCCACCCGCTTCTTTGGTGGTCCTTGTTGGAAACCGGCTGCGCGTACCTTCCCTATAATATTGTACACACGGTGTGTTCGGTCCCCCCCGCTAGCTCGTGATGCTTGGAGAGAATGGTTTCTCGTGTTCTCCAGATCTTTCAGGGCCCAATACCGTTGTTGTTATTCCACAGCAGCTAATAAACCAGCTAATCGAAGCCTTGGTATGATGCTCAGTCCCATTGCGAACAACACGTTTTGTGTACCGTTTTTCATGCTGGCTCATGAACAAGTTGCGAAATCGCCCAACTCGATTGGGGATGGATGTATCCGGGGAGATGCAAGACACTTCCACAGTCGTACGGTCCGTAATTACACAATGTTTCTCGCCTCTATTTCTCTGTCATGGATTCAACGTAGATATCACTCGATCTTCATCCCGTTCAATTCTTAATGCTCGTGGTAATTCTCAAAGATACCTAGGTAATGATATGATGCAAAACGAAAACGACTTATTAACAGATTTACTTACAATACTCACATCTACACACAATACAATTGAAGGTCATCATTCATCAACCCCCACCCAACACCCTCCCCCTCAACCCCCAATACCCACCACCCCCCTCCCTTCTCCTCTCCTCCCTCCTCCTCATCAATCTTTCTTTCGCCCGCCCCCAGACGCCCCCGATAAAAAAGACCCCGTCCCCGACCCCGATCCCGTTCCAGACCCCGACCCAACCACCGAACCCTGCCCCATCGCCCCAACCTGCCCCCCCACCCCATCCCCCAAGATCAACAACCCACCAGCAACACCCCCCGACATAGAAAGCGCCCTAGACGACCGCGTCTGCTGCCGCTGCGCCCGCCGCTGGCCCGTCGACTGCGCCTTCTCCTCGGCTTTTGCCACGGCGACTTGCCCGGCTGTGAGCAGGTAGCCTTGGACGAGGGTCTCGAGGGCGTGGGTGCTTTGGTTGTAGAAGGCGGGCCAGATTACTACGGCGTCGGTGAGGTCTGTGGTGGTGGGAGTGGGGTTGCTGTTGGACCTTTTGTGGTTGTTGCTGGATTGGTTTGTGTTGTTGCCGTTGGGGCGGGGTTTGGCGTTGGGGTGTTGGTTGGTGTTGGGATCGGAAGGGGGTGGGCTGGTGGTGTTGGGGGGGTAGAGGGGTCGGGCTTCGGCGGCGTCGTCGAAGTCGGCGTCGATGTTGCCGTCGAGCCTTTGGATGAATTTCCATTGCTCGCAGGCTTCGGTGCAGAGGGTTTTGAGCCTGTCTTTGAAACCGGACCTCGACTTTTCTGGGATCAGGTGGAGGACGTACTTGCAGACGTTGGCCACCACGGTGCTGATACGGCCGACGGCTGGGTTGCCAGCGTTGGTCTCGTCGGAAAGGGACTCGGTGAGACGTAGGATCACGGACCGCAAGTGAGCCTCGCTTTCTGAATCATCGTCGGCCAAGTTGTTTATGAAAATGTTGAGCCCTGCGTTGTCTGGCAACAGATAGGTCGGTTGAAAGATGTGCCCGTCCATTTCATGGGCCAACACGGCGAGGAAGGCAGCCGTTCGCATCTGGTTTGCCGCCGGAGAGTCGGACAGGGGAAGAGGAATGACCTTATCAACAGCCCGGTGCTCTTTGATCTTGTCCCAGAGCGCGGCGTTGGACCGGATCTGGTGCGGAATGTCTCCGAAGTAAGCTTCAGCCAAGGACCTGGCTGAGGCAAAGATCTTGTTGAGCCTCGAGCTTCTGCCATGCCGTGTTAGTCCCCCCCAAGCAAGCGGCAAGATTTCGCTCACATTTCCCTTTGGTTCTTCGCTACAGGCATGAGCTCGATTGAGAAGCTTTTCAGCTGCTGGTGTTCTCTGCGTTCCGACTCGAGGCTCGCCTTGAGCGTAGCGACTCCTTTGGTCCACGCCGCCTCCTTGCCGGCCATTTCCTTGTTGTTGGATTGCAACTTCTCGGTGGCTTCACTAAGTTTGCGTGAGAGACCAGCAATGTGGTCCCGCATGTCCTTCAGTTGAGCATTTAGAACCGTCGCATGTTCCTCCGTTTCGTCCGTCTTTTGCAAAAGGACGGAAATTCTCCTATCCCGCCTCTCGACGTCCTTTTCGAGGGTGTCGTTCTCAGTTCTCAACGTAGTGTTTTCATCGACGAGAGCCACATAGTCGTCGATTTCGGCATCGACCAATAGCTCCTTTGCCGCCTTGATGATGTGCGCCGCCTTGGCCGCCTTGCCATGGCCAGGGGACGGAGGTGTCATTGAACGAGGTGCACGAGCAGTCATTCTGCAAGTGAGGCTGCTGGGATTGAAGCCACTGGGTGTGGTCCCAGGAGTAAACGGAGAGAGAACCGTAGGGAGAGTATGGGAACTGTCTTCACTCTGCAGGACTGGCGGTTGTCCTCGCTTTTCATTCTCCTGCTTTTTCAAACCCAAGTACCTAGGTACCCCCCATCAGGCAAGCGCAGATGAATGCCAACACGGCATCATGGATGGCCTCACCTTCCAACAATGGCCCTGTGCCTCCTCCGACAGACGCGGCCAACCGACGCGGCCAACCGACGGCCCGTCACCTCGGCCACTCATGGACGGGTGTAGCCTGCAAGAGGCCTCTTTGCAGCGATTGACCGGCAGGGCGATGCTACGATTGGAATCGAGGCTACGACTCAGCGCGAAGACGTGCGAGAGTGTGTGCCACCCCGCGGCAAGACAAGTCACTGAAACTCATACCGTGCCAGTAGCGTGTAAGAGGCGCCCTCCATGTTGGATGCAAGAGGCCTTTCGACCCCAAGTTTTGCTGCCAATCAAACGCCGCAACGTCTCTGGTTGGCAGCCCATTCCGCGTTGCCGGGTCCAACAAGGCAGACTCCGAGATGGACCAGTGCAGCCTTCCGCCGGCAACTTTGCAAACAGATTTATCGTCACTTTACAGAACATCCCGTGCAAAAAGGAATATTTAGGTTGTGAACTTCTGATCAGTATGTGTAATGTGACACCTCACTTGTTGCTTTTCTGACCCAGGTGGTACACTCTTCTTTTTGCTGCCGGTGGCTGGAAATTTGGAAAGTTGGTGACCTGCTTAAGGTAGGTACCTAGGCACCCGGTTAAAAGACTGTTGGTTCCAGTCTTGCAGGAGGAGGAACCTAGGTATACCAGGTGTGGATGGTATGCCTAGTGGGCGGGGTTGTGGAACTTAGATGATACTGTGATAGACGGAGTTGCCTGGTTGATTTCTGAGCAGCTTATGGAATACTTTCTGCCTCGTGCTTTCTCCTAATTTTCCCACAGTCATGATAAACCCGAAGACCGTTGAAACTCCACAACGACAAATCCAGCGCGATTAGTTCAGTGGTTAGAATTCTCGCTTCCCATCTCCTCTTGGACTAGCGAGTGACCCGAGTTCGAATCTCGGATCGCGCAACCACAATCTGCTTATTTTTGCATATTTGATCGGTAATCCGACGGGCAGGATTTGTGCTGCGAGGCAGGCCGCAGACCTCAGAGGGGAAGCGTTACAAGGAACATATGTATGTACACTTCATCTAGGTTCATAGGGAAACACTCTACGTCTAAGCTATCTCCGTATTAACAACCTAACCCCAACTTTGATACCTGGGCATTGATGGATGATGCCGATGAGTTCTTATCACTAGAGCTCCATTTGCCATAAGCGGGGTTGGCCAAAATGGGAGATATGGCCCGAGCGCCACTCACTCGAACCACAAGCCACAACTCACCCCCAGCTCGAGTCGGAACGGTGCTGACTGATCCCTGGTCCTCGCAGGTTGCATGGACCCCCCCGACTTGTCGCTTAGCAAGGAAAAGACAACTGCATCGTTCTCGGCTGGGAGAAGTCATGAGGAAGAGGAAGGAGAGGTTTATTGGTTTCTATTAGCCGTAATCTGGCATTCGCACCACTAATTGAGCCATGTCTAATTCACAACCACACGACGACGTGCGCTCGTCGACGGTGGGCGCCGAAGAACTGTTTCTCGAGTCGGGGGTCTCGACGCACCATATTCCAAATCTTCTACCGCATGAGCGCGTCTTTCCCGTCCAGCTTGGGTCCGAGCTGTTTAAGCTCTCTGGCGCCTCGATATCGTCCGATGGTGCGTTTCTCGCTCACGTCCGGCACTGACGCCCGGCGGGCGGGCGGCACCTGAGAGCCCAGAAACTTAAGAGTTTCCGAGTTATGCGTTAACACACCTGACTGACTGACATCTGTCTAGCACCCTCATACTTTTCCCAGTACTTCATATGTCAAGTAAAGCGGGCCGAGGAAGCGGGCCAGGACATTGGGTCGGCCATCCGCACCCTCTACATCGACCGTGACCCGATCACCTTCCGTGACATCTCACTGCACCTCCAGGGATACCACGTACAACCGCGCGACGCCACACACTTTGTGCGCCTGTTTGCCGACGCCCAGTTCTACCACCGTGAGACTTACCTTGCACCCTTCGCTGCACCCCCTTTCCCCACGCCTTCCAGACCCATCCCCTCTAACACACTTCCAGTCCCCAAACTAGTCTCGCAGCTCTACGAAGAACCCATCTTCACGACCATCGGCGGCGTCCAGTTCCGCATCCCGCGCGACCTGTTCTCCGCCCCGGGCAACTCACCCAACTTCTTCACCCTCGGCTTCGCCGCCTTCTTCTCGGCCCCCGGCGGCGACCTCTTTCCCGGGCTCGACCGCGAGGGCCTGCTGCGCCCCCCTTCCATCGTCCCGCCCTCGGTCGAGGGCCGCAGCCCGGACACCTTCGCCGAGCTGCTGCACCTGCTGCGCGGCTACCCCGTCGCCATCCGCGGCGACGCCCACCGCGCCGAGCTGCTGCGCGACTGCCGCTACTTCAACTTCAAGGGGCTCGAGCAGCGCCTCATCCCCTCGGCCGTGTCGTTCAACCTGGCCCGCGGGAGGGATGAGATCGTGCTGCGGCTGCGGGATATCTTGAAGAGCGGCATCTCGGTGGGCGCGGAGCCGACGGCGACGGATCCGCGCGCGGGGTGGGTCAGGTATGGCCGGCCCTTTGTGGATGAGCGGCCGTTTGAGCTGGTGCTGGAGATTGGGGACGAGAGCACCCGGCTGCGCATCGTGCCGGGCCAGGGGCCGGCGAGCGAGGGCGTGGTGGAAGCGCGGGCTGAGTTCTTTGGCGAGATGCGCGCGCGCGTGACCAAGTTGCTCGAGGTCGTCGCCACCAAACTGGGTCTGCCGCCGACCGCGCAGCTGGGGTTGTTGATGGCTCAGGGTGGGCGGAGCAGCGCACCCCCTTCGCCGGGGAACACCCCCCTGAGTGAGGACCTTGTCAAGGTGGTGCTAGACTCTGAGTCGAGCGTGGTGTTGGACGGCAAGCCGTGGACGCCAGTCTCTGAGGATGAGCAGCTGGCATGGATGACGAGTAGCACGGATGATGCGCCCATGCCGCGCAAGCGGAAGAGGGTGGATGAACCAGGCGGCGCCGAGGAGTGGATTGTCAAAACGGGGCAGTGGCGGTTGAAGCTCCAGGCAGCTAGAAATGGAAAGGCCGCTGTCGAGTGCTGTCTGGTGGGTGTCAAGTTGGACGCATACAGTTCAGAACGCGCGAGGAACGGGCAGAGGCCGTTCCTGGGTGGCTAGCATTGCTGTTGAGTCTAGACTTGGGACTCCGGAGCGCACAACGTATCTATTGGTTTGGCCGATTGATAACTATCGTTTTAAGCTAATGTTGTCACTGGATATACATAGTAAATGATACATGAGAGGCACTTGCATGTCGGTGGGGCTTAGTTAAGGAAAACCAATATTTTCACAACACCATGGTGCCATCACACCAGCCCTCCGTGCCTCCCGAGCTGGTTTGACGAATCTGAGTTGAAGCCCGCAGGCAAGCCCGTCCGTTGTGGTTGGTTTGCTGTGAGTTGTGTGGGTGGATCATTTTTATTTCACCACCAAAAATGTGACGATCATTCCATTTTGGAACTGCCAAATCACCCCTGTCCAAGCCAGAACTGTGCAACAAACCTTTGCGAGCAAGACCCCTTTTCTTTCTTGGCTTGGTGTCGAACTTGCCAAAACAGCACGGTAACGTCTGCTTGCAAGTGACCAAGTGTACGGATACCACAGTTGTGGATCATGATAAGGCTTCCCAGCACGAACATCAAAAAGCGAGATGAAAATGGCTCGGCACTTGGTGAATGTGATGGGAGTGCACGGATCATCCCCTGACGCGAGCCCCTGCAGGGACTTGCAGGGCAGCGCGACTGGCTGATAAAGCACAGTGGGGAGGCGCGCTTGCCCCCATTGGGAACGCTACTGTCAACAATCAAATTTCCCCACCAGCTGTTCACCCAAACCGACCTTCAGGCTTCCGCTAAACCTCAATTTTCCACTCTCCGCCAGTCTGCAAGTCGTCTTCCAGGCCAACATTCGCCTTCTCCATCTGCTTCTTGACCCTTCACCCACCTGCACGCATCCACAACAACACTGCCAAAATGCGTGAAATTATCAGCTTGAACGGTACGTCGGAAAACAAGAGCTGCTAGTTTTTCCCCTCGGCAGGTGGCGCGCTTTCGAACTCACCGCATCTGGTGATGTTTGGGTCCGCACCGTTTGCACACTTGCAGCTCCCCTCCCGGATATCGACTTGCGCTCGATGATGCTGACTTTGTTTGTGTACAGTCGGCCAGGCTGGTTGCCAGATCGCCAACTCCTGCTGGGAGGTATGCTTGTTCCCCTCGCGACACGGGCCGACCCTTCTGGGAGCTCGGACGATGCGACTATACCGTCCATCTCAGATCTCAAGATGCCGACGATGCTGACTGACCCTCTATAGCTTTACTGCCTTGAGCACGGCATTCAGGTGCGTGGTTGCCATTTTTCCACTTTCTCTCAACAATGTTCCGTTTGCTGACCGCTACTTCAGCCCGATGGCTTCCTCACCGAGGAGCGCAAGGCCGCCGACCCCGATCAGGGTTTTAGCACTTTCTTCTCTGAGACTGGTAGGAAACGAGAGACCCTGGGTGTCCTTTAAAGTTGCTCACAGCTCATCCGGCAGCCACAGGGAACGGCAAGTATGTGCCGCGTACCATCTACTGCGATCTCGAGCCCAACGTTGTCGACGAGGTCCGCACCGGCGCCTACCGCGGCCTTTTCCACCCGGAGCACATGATTACTGGCAAGGAGGATGCGTCCAACAACTATGCCCGTGGCCACTACACGGTCGGCAAGGAGCTGATCGACCAGGTCCTGGACAAGGTTCGCCGCGTTGCCGACAACTGCAGTGGTCTCCAGGGCTTCCTCGTTTTCCACTCCTTCGGTGGCGGCACTGGTTCCGGCTTCGGTGCTTTGCTCATGGAGCGCCTCTCGGTGGACTACGGCAAGAAGAGCAAGCTTGAGTTCTGCGTTTACCCCGCTCCTCAGACCGCCACCTCGGTCGTTGAGCCGTACAACTCGATCCTGACCACCCACACCACCCTCGAGCACGCCGACTGCTCCTTCATGGTCGACAACGATGCCATCTACGACATCTGCCGCCGTAACCTGGGTCTCGAGCGCCCCAGCTACGAGAACCTCAACCGCCTGATCGCTCAGGGTATGTTTGCCGCATGAACTGTGAGCGAGGCGAGGCTGACCATTTCTCATAGTTGTTTCCTCCATCACCGCGTCGCTCCGCTTCGACGGCTCGCTCAACGTCGACCTGAACGAGTTCCAGACCAACCTGGTCCCCTACCCGCGTATCCACTTCCCGCTCGTTGCCTATGCGCCCGTTATCTCGGCCGCCAAGGCCGCCCACGAGGCCAACTCGGTCCAGGAGATGACCATGTCCTGCTTCGAGCCCAACAACCAGATGGTCAAGTGCGACCCCCGTCACGGCAAGTACATGGCCACCTGCCTGCTGTACCGCGGTGACGTCGTTCCCAAGGACGCCCACGCCGCTGTGGCCACCCTCAAGACCAAGCGGACCATCCAGTTCGTCGACTGGTGCCCGACTGGCTTCAAGCTCGGTATCTGCTACCAGCCCCCCCACCAGGTGCCCAACGGCGACCTCGCCAAGGTCAACCGCGCCGTGTACGTCACCTTTCTCCTCCGCTATCGGAAGTGCGTTACTAATTCTAGTCTAGGTGCATGCTTTCCAACACCACCGCCATTGCCGAAGCTTGGTCTGCCCTGTCCCACAAGTTCGACCTCATGTACTCCAAGCGCGCTTTCGTGCACTGGTACGTCGGCGAGGGTATGGAGGAAGGCGAGTTCTCGGAGGCTCGCGAGGATCTTGCGGCTCTGGAGCGCGACTACGAGGAGGTTGCTACCGACTCGATGGGCGAGGAGGAGCTCGAGGCCGAGTACTAAGCCGACCTGGTCTGCCAGTAGCTTGGTGATGTCGTCTAACCCAGGCGTTTATTAACTTTTTGACCCGGGACTCCTGTTGGCAATGATCCTTTACGCTATGGGTATTCTTGGCAAGCGCGGGCCCGTGATCTTTTCTGTTAGACGGAAAGTGTAGTCCATTTTAATCAAGAATAAAGCAGCCGGGGCAATTGCTGGCTCTGCAACACAGCTCGGTGCGATATCCAATCGTTAACGCCGGGTCAACACGTCCCACAACCCTTTGCAGTGTTCTCGACCTGGTGTGGCAAGCTTAGGCATTTCCTCTTACGTACGCCTCTGGCGAGACCTCAAAAACCCTGGAGAAGCCATCTTGAGTGCCAATGATCTCGCGTTTGGTGTTGTTGCATTGCCCTCCTGGCTGCAGTCGCCGTTGGCTGCAGGTCTCGCAGCTCGTGTGTGATGGTCTTGGTTGGATCCTCGGGACCCAATCAGAGAACGGTCTAGCGCCAAGCTGCCTTCATGAACCCACATGCGGACTTTCCCGCCCGCTGTTTGGCCCCTTCCTCGTCGCCCAAGGGAGCTAAGGAGTCGCAATCCCAGCCTCACGCTTCGCTGGTGTCGACGACTCCTTCCCCCACCTTGTTACCTCAAACCCAGATGCGCATATTTCCATTTGTTCACATGACTGTTCGAGCGTGAGGTCTCCTACCGGCACGGGCAACGGTCTGTTTACGTTGGAATTTTGTTTTTGGCATACCTGGGCGGGTAAATCCAGCTAAAATCCAACGACACGACTTCCGAGCGATCCCATCCTTCACATCCATCGCACAGAGGGGATTACTTGGCCACGAATTGTTCAGACGAGGAAGGTGTCGCTTGCGCTCACCATGGCTTCTGAGGCGTCGGTTGATGCGGGTAGGTTGCAGAACCTTTTTTCTTGAGATACTTCCCAGTTGGCATTGCCCGGTGCTGGGTTCGCGACAATGCACACACGCACGCATCTTGGGCAGCATCAGTAGCTAACGGAATCATGACCAGGGGCACCCAACCTCAACCTCACCCCGGAGGAGAAGCGGGCATACGGGCAGCTATTTCGACAGGCCGATACCGATAATGTGGGCGTCGTAACCGGCGAGGTCGCTGTCAAGTTCTTCGAGAAGACGAGACTAGACTCAAGGGTGCTAGGAGAGGTGAGTTCAGGAAACACGCAAGCTCCGCATTGGGGGTGTGTGAGAGAAAAAATAATACACGGGACTGACGGTTGGTATCAATGCAGATATGGCAAATTGCGGATAAGGAGAACCGTGGCTTCCTCACACCTGCCGGCTTCGGCATCGTCCTGCGCCTTATTGGGCATGCGCAGGCCGGGCGCGAGCCGACGCCTGAGGTGGCACTTCAACCAGGCCCCGTGCCCAAGTTCGATGGCATCACGATAACTCCCGCGCCGTCGCCTCCGCCGCCTGCGCTGCAGTCCCAAGCGACTGGCGCTCCGGGCCCGATTCGGATCCCGCCCCTGACACCCGAGAAAGTGACACAGTACTCGGGCTTGTTCGAGCGCCAGACCCTGCAAAATGGTAGCATGCTCCCGGGCGAAGCGGCCAAACAGATCTTTGAGAAATCGGGTCTGCCGAACGATGTCTTGGGTCGCATTTGGATGCTAGCCGACACTGAGCAACGCGGCGCCCTGGTACAGACCGAGTTCGTCATCGCCATGCATCTGCTCACATCCGTCAAGACTGGTTCGCTACGCGGGCTGCCCAACATTCTCCCTGCTGCTCTTTATGAAGCCGCCACTCGCCGCGGTCCTGCCGGCGCTAGCATCCAAAGGCAACAGTCTCCGACAACCACCACCCCGCCCATCTCAGCCGTTCCGAGGCAGCTTACCGGGCCGGGGGCCGTGCCGCAAATGCGGACGGGCAGCCCCCTTGGGCGTCCGCCAATCGTAGCGCAGACGACGGGAGAGTGGTTGGTTACGCCGGCCGACAAGACGAGGTTCGATCAACTCTACGAAGAATTGGACAAGACGAAGAAGGGCTTTATCACGGGCGAGGAAGCGGTACCGTTCTTCAGCCAGTCGAACCTCTCTGAGGACGCACTCGCCCAGATTTGGGACCTCTCGGACATCAACTCTGAGGGCCGCTTGACAAGGGACGAGTTCGCCGTAGCCATGTTTCTCATCAGGCAACAGAGGACTAAGCGCGATGGCTCGTCTTTGCCTGCCACTCTACCCTCCGAACTTATTCCGCCGAGCATGCGAACCCAGCAGCAGGCCCGTCCAGCAACCGCCACCTCGGCGTTCGAACCCCCGCCGCGACCGCAACCACCGCAGCCTAAGCCTTCTGCGATGGATGACTTGTTTGGTTTGGATGATATCCAGCCCCCTGCGCCGCCACAGGTTCCGGTCGGTACGGGCGGGTCTGCTGGCGATCCGTTTGCGACTAGTATCAGCCCGCCTGCCCCGTCTTCACCTGCTAGGCCCTCGCCTTCGGCGTCGACCTTCAAGCCGTTCGTTCCGTCGTCTTCGTTCGGGCGCGGTCTTACCACTCATGTTACCGGAGGGTCGAACACCTCGGCAACGGCCAAGCCTGCCACCGTGGAAGACGACCTCCTGGGTGACACCGAGCCGGAAGTGAGCAAGAACCTGACCAACGAGACTACGGAGCTCGCGAATCTATCGAACCAGATCGGCTCCCTCACCAAGCAGGTACAAGATGTGCAGGGCCAGCGGACGGCCACCCAGAACGAGCTGGGCCAATCCAGCGCTCAGAAGAAGAACTTTGAACAGCGCCTCACCCAGCTCCGCGCCATGTACGAGAAGGAGGCTCAGGACGTCCGCGCGCTGGAGACGCAGCTCACGGCATCCAAGAACGAGACTAAGAAGCTGCAAGGCGAGTATGCAATGATCGATGCCAGCTATCAAGACCTGCAGAACCAGCATCGCCAAATCGTGACGGCGCTCCAGACGGACCAGCAGGAAAACGTCAACCTTAAGGAGAAGATTCGGACGACGAACGCCGAGATTGCCCAGCTAAAGCCGCAGATCGAAAAGCTCAGGTCTGACGCGCGCCAGCAAAAGGGGCTCGTTGCGATTAATAAGAAGCAGCTGGCCACCAACGAGGGCGAGCGGGACAAGTTGAAGAACGAAGCTGAGGATCTGACCAAGAGCAACGAGGAGCTTGCTCGTCAAATCAGCTCTAGCTCGCCACCGCCTGCCCAGGTCGCCAGCCCTGCGCTGTCCACCGCGAGCGCTAATAACCCTTTCTTCAGGCGGACTGGCAGCACTGACATCACTTCGACTTTCTCCCCGCCTATTAGGTCGTTCACCGACAAGGCTTTTGATGATGTGTTTGGCCCTGGCCCTGCCCATGCTAGTAGCCAGGCGGGCACACCGCCTCCTCCTGCGGCGGCCGCCATGTTCAAGCAGAACACAGGCACCTCCACCGGCAGTGTCGGCTCGTTTGCCACTCCGGCGTCGGCCAGCCCGAATGCTAGTCGCCAGCCGACCGTTACTGCTGAGCCTACACCGCTGGCTGAGGCCGGGCGCAGCAACTCTGGCTTCCCGCATTATGTTGATGCTGCCGAGTCGTTGAGCACATCCCGCCAGGTCTCGCCGCCGCTGAGCCGAACCGAGACGAACCAGGAGGCCACCGCCTCTCCCCTAGAGGCGGCGAAGACGGGCCAGAGCTTTGCCTCGGGTTCCGGGTCTCGCCCTGCCTCTCCCGCGTCGGCAGCTGAAGCCAAGCCCGCGTTCGGCTCCATCTCGGAGGAGTCGAACAAGGCTCCCGCAGCCGGCCCTGAGGGGGACCCGTTCGCGGCGGACCAGGACAAGGCGAAGGAGGACTTTGAGTCGGCATTTGCCAGCTTTAAGCAGGCTAGGGCCACGACGACCTCGAGCAACGACACGGCCAAGCCTTTCAATACTTTCAACACTGAATTCCCTCCCATCTCGGAGCTCGAGCGTGACGAGGAGTCTGAGACAGAGAGCGAGCGTGGCGGTTTCGATGATGACTTTGCTCCGGCATCCCCGCCGGCCAAGCCGGTCGAGAAGAGCATCGAGTCGAGGTCGGCATCTCCTGCCGTGTTCAAGACCTCGCCCGATGGTGCCGTTGGTGTTGCGTCACCCGCGTCCCCTGAGCCGGTTGCGAGGTATGCATGAGTCCAGTTTTAGCTACCATGTCCATCTAGTGTACTGCAAAATAGTATTCAATTGTTCAAGTTAACACCGTTGTAGCGAGAAACCTGTTCCCGCCGCCTCGCCGTCCGCCGATCTCAGCAATCTTAGCTCTTCCAACATCAACGACATCTTTGGCTCCTCCAACGCGGCTCAACAACCCACCGCAGCCACCGCTAGCAACGCTAGCCGCCCCACAACCGCCGCCACGGCTTCCAAGGCCCCCTTCGACGACCTCGACGACGACTTCGAAGGCCTGGAGGATGCTAAGGAGGGCTCCGCCGACGACGACTTCGCCACCATCTCCCGCTCGGGCCTCGACGATTTTAACCCCGTCTTCGACAGCAGCCCGCCGGCGAGCCAGTCTAAGAGCGACTCGGCGCATGCGGGTGGCGGTGCTACTACGTTCGGCACGGAGAGCAGCTTCGATTTCGGCTCGCTCTCGGGCACGTCCGCCGCGGGCAGCACCGCCGGGCCGCCGCCGCCCAACGTGTCCTTCCCGAGCACCAGCGGGGGAAACACGCAGGCCAAAACGCCTGCCGCGTCGCAGCCGCAGGGCCAGACGGCCGAATCCCACGACTGGGACGCGCTGTTCGCCGGCCTGGACTCGGCCACCCCGACGGCTTCGTCGCATACCCTCGCCACCAGCACCAACAACGGGCCCGATGCGGCGGGGGACGGTAACGGAAACGGGGAGGCGGGCGCGGCCGCCAGCGGGGATAACAACCGGCCCGGCGCGCCCGGTCGGGCGCTCACGGAGGAGGGCGAGCACGACGACCCGATCCTGAAGAACCTGACGGGCATGGGCTACGCGCGCGGGGACGCGCTCGCGGCGCTGGAGAAGTATGATTATAACCTGGAGAGGGTAAGTGGCATCACCAATCCTGCCGCCGCTGCTGCTGCTGTTGTTGTTGCTGGTCCCAGGACGGGGATGAGGAAGAAGGGGATGCGGGCCTAGCGAGCGTTTTCCTCCTCTTCTTCTTCGGTTTTCTTTCTTGCTCTTTCCCTTCTTCTCCTTCTTCCTCTTCTGCTGAGTGTCTGGATCATGATGATGATGGATGGAAGGCTGACGGTTTTTCTTGTGAACAAATTGCAGGCCGCGAATTATTTGGCCAGTCAATCGTAGGCCTGTGTAGGTTTTCACGAAGTGGACTTCTAGGATGGGTTCTCTGAGGGCTGAGAGGGAAGGGCTTGTCGATCTTGTGGTGGGGGATGGTGGTTGGGGTGTGGGTTGAATGAAGTACAGATCTGTACAGAGCGGATGAGGCAGCCCGGGAGTGGTTGGAGCGAACGCACCAGTGGTGGGCGATGGATGTTGTTGAGTGATACCTTTTTTTCTCCTTCCCTTATTACTTGCTTCTTTCTCCCTGTTCACATTTGGTCCTCTCACTGTTTTCTTCTCTCTTCTCTTTCCTTTTGTCTCCTTACCCTTTCTTCTCTCTGCGCAAGCCTCGATGAGTTGCTGTTGTGGCACTGCTGTGTACCCGTCCATTCATTTGATAATCCTAATATCTCTGTGTCTGAAGTCGTTGGAGCGCTGTTGTCGCGCAAGATGTGTATAGTGGTAGTAGTGTAATGTACACGTTGTATTCTGTAGGAGGCTGTCGTGTCGATTCGATCGGGTTGCAGGGTGGTGGTTCCATCGTGAAGCCTGTGTGGACGGCTTCGACCGCTGCCAAGACGGAGCCGTGGGGCCGTAAGCTGAACCCCGCGGCGGTCCATTTGCCCCTCCAAATTATTTTTCTTGCCTTCAAACCAACAGTCGTCGAGTCATCTCAACCCTGAATTTCAAGCATTCCAACACTAGACCTTGCGTTTCGCACCGACCACTTGCACTCACCACACCGCTGCCCGTAAACGAGCGAAATACCGTTAAACAACATGGCCGACGACGAGCAAATCTCCATCTACGACGAGGTCGAGATCGAGGACATGACCTACGACGAGACCCTGCAACTCTACCACTACCCGTGCCCCTGTGGCGACCGCTTCGAGATTGCGCTATACGACTTGATGGATGGCGAGGATATTGGCGTGTGCCCAAGCTGTAGCCTGATGATCCGGGTTATTTTCGAGGTGGTAAGTTATTTTGGGTGTGTTGGTATGGGAGATGGACGGCTGACACCAGGGATAGGATAACCTGCCGAAACCGCCTGGGCAAGACGGTGGTGAGCAGGTCGCTGTTGCTGCTTAAGCACCACCGAATCGATGATATGGCTGGGTTGGGCAGCGGGGAACGGGCTCGATCGACGTAGAATATGCGCGGCCATGACAGAGCATCCAATCGATTCGCCCGACGGACCTTGATCGCACTTATCACGGCCCCGTCTGGGGCGTCACGTCATCAAGTATACGAACCCAGGGACAACGGGGACGAGAGAGACACCGGAGGAGAGGATACACTACGGGCACCAACTACCGAGCCACCGACCCACCGCCACACCAACCAACCCCTCGCATATTCCACCCCGCCAACCCCCACCGCGACGACCTCTCCTCCCTCCACCACCCAACCTCTTCTCCCCTAACAACCAACCAGCCTCCGCCTTACTCATCACACCCCACGGACCGGCAGTCCACAAACACGGGGCCGCCAGCCGACGACCAGGAGCGGGATACACACTCAGAGCAGCGCCATGCCGGCAGCGCCCACGAGCGCCAGCCCGGCCAACGCGCCCGGCACGCCGATCGCGTCGGCCCCGGCCACGGGCACCACGCTGGCGGTGGCGGTTGCCGTGTAAGCTGTTTGGTTTGCACGCCGTTTGTGTCAGCTAGCTGTGGAATGCTTTGCTATCCTGGAGAGGAGGGAGGTGTAGATAATGTGTGGGTGGGTTGAGGTGTGGGTTGGAGTTGGGGTTGGAGTTGGAGTTGTGGGTTATGGGTTATGGTTGGGGTTGTTTGTGGTGGGGAGGGTGGTAGCAGTGGGGGAGGAAGGGGTAGTGGCGGGAGTGGTGACGGAACAAGGAGCTGTGGAAGAATGGGCAGTGAAGGAAAAGAGGAGACATACTCGACGTCGGCGAGATGACGGTCAGCGACGGGATCATGGTCGTCGTGATGGTCGACTCGTAGGTCAGCACGGTGGTGACGGCCGTCGGCTCGAGTGTGTCGGTCTCCACGTCGATTGACGTCACCGTCGTGGCCGTGTCGGTGTCGATGTAGGTCTCAGTTTCGGTCTGTGCGGCTGCCCAGCCCGCCAGGAATGCGATAGCTGCGGAGAGGAGGAACGACGACCGCATTGTGGCTGTTTGGTTTTGGTTGTTGGTGTGGAACGACGGGACACTTTTGCAGGGCTTTGCGCGTAGAGAAGGGCAGCTTGGGTAGGAAGGCTTTCAGCGCGGGAGGAGCGAGAGTCCAGAGGAGGAAGATGCAACCGGTTGCTGAGGGGAATGTAGTGCGTAATAAAGCTCATGCTGTTCTATCCGTCTCCTTCCGGGTTCTCTCCATCTGAAGTCAACCTAGGGCTAGCCAGAGGGGGTGGGCTAAGAGAGATAGCTGAGCTCATGACTGTATAATACACCGAGTCAGGCACTTGACACATGCTCCTCGCCATTCTCCTCTCAGTGACTGTCCCCGAGGTGTCTTGTAGGGACGTCGGCCAAGCCCTTTGACCTCGTCTCTCAATGCCAGCCTGGTTCAAAGGTAAATACAAAGAGGGGGCATTACCTCACCACAAGGTCCGTCCGGCCGAGCAAACAGCCCACAACTCCGTCATGTGCCAAATTCTCTCTCATGAGTTACGTTTCGTCAGGCTTGCGACAAACGTTTGAAGAAACAATGATCTAGTATTGAATGAGGTCTATCACATTGCATACCTGGGGCCGCATTTCCTCGTCCGCGGCCGGAGCCTTTTCGGGTAGCGGAGGTAAATCTAGCTAGCACAGATGGCTCCGACACCCAAAGCTCCAGATCCCCGATCCGACAACCCCTCTTTCGGGTAGCGACTACATACGTAGCCTACGTCAGAAGCGGGCATGGCGTTCGCGTGTACGTCTAGCGGCGGCCTAAACGTTCTCAAAGAAGAAGCTCGGCTGCCCTGGTAGGGCCGACTCGGCGACAGGCGCCTTGATCTCGACCTCCTCGCCGTTGGCGGTGAGGTCCTTGCCGTTCTTGCTGCCCTCTTCGACGGCGAGAATCTGCACCGACTCGAGGCCGGCGGCACGCTTCAGGCCGGGGACCATTGCCTAGAGAGAGGGAGGGGTTAGTAAAAGGGTAACGTCATCGGATGGTCTTTGCGTGGGGTGGACCTACCAGAAGTGTCTTCCCCTCATCGAAGGCCAGTTTCCGTTCCAGCACGGCCTCGGCCGGCTCGCCGTCCCTCAGGCGCTTCTTGAGGGCCTGGACGAAGGGCATGGCTTTCTTCATCTCGCCCATCTTGCCGATGCGGCCGTTGAGGGTCTTGTCATCTATGCTCTGGGTGTTGGTGGCCGGGTCCCACACCTCCTTGAGCAGCTCGATGTACTTGGCCTGCCAGGCCGGGAACGACGCCGTCGTGAAGACGGTCAGCTTCTTGGGCTTCTTGGGGTCGAAGTCGCTCTGGCGGCCCTTGGCCATCTTCTTGAGCTGCGCGGCCTCGGCCGAGTTGATGTTGGACGATGTCTGCCGGACGTACTCGCGCGCCGCGGTGAGGGCCGGGTCGGCGGCGGGCACGTCGGGCCAGACGGCCGTTTGGATAGACTTTGGCTCGCCAAGGATCTCCAGCCAAACGTGCTCGGCCCAATGGGGCGCGATGGGCGTGAGAATGAGGGCTTGGAGCTTGATGTACTTGAGGACGAGCTCCTTGTGGAGAGGGATGCCGGCGGCATTGCAGGCCTCGCGGTACATGTCACGGGCGTTGAGGAAGTCGTAATGGGCCGCCTTGAGGGCGAGCTTGTACGAAGTCTCCTCGTAATGCTTCCTGGCCTCGTGCACCAGAGAGTTCATCTCGTTGTCGAAGAGGATGTCTTGGAAGTCGTTGAGCGGACCAGTCCGCAGCTTGTCGTCCTTGATGGTCTCCTCAATCCATTCCTTGTTGGTGTAAAACCTCAGGATGGTGTTGTCGGCCACATCTTCAACGAAGTTGGAGTCCGAGATTCCGTCACCGGCGTCGGCGAGGGCAACGCGTGCGGCGTCCGCACCGTACTTCTGAACGACGTCGTTCAGGGTCATGAAGTTGCCAGTCGACTTGCTCATCTTCTCGCCGTTCAACTGCAGATGGCCGTTGGCGCGGACCGAGCGAGGCCAGTACTCGCGGGGGAAGAGGGCTGCACAAGTTAGAGGGGACTAATGACCCGCAACATTCCGATGGTGACCTACCGATATGGTTGTACAGCCAGAAAGTAAGATGGTTGGGGATGAGATCCTTGCCACTGCAACGGATGTCAAGCGGGTAGAAGTATTCAAAGTCTCTCCTCATGCCCTCCAGTGTCTCCTTGGGGATGCCTGACTTGGAGACGAGCTCGTCTGACAGCTGCGTCCGGCAGAAGATGTAGTCCCACACTTCGTCAAGCATCTGCTCGGCATTGATGTTGCCCTTGCCCCTAGAGATGTGTTAACGGATGAAGGGAGCAGAAGAAAAGGTGTGTGGCTTACTTTTCTTTGCCAAAGAGGTCTGTATGCAGCCATGGCACAAGGGTATAGTAACTAGCAACGTCAGCTGGTACACCTTCTTTCGCTTGAAGTTCACTTACGACATGTAGATGGTAGAATCACTAATACGCTGTTAGTTTCACTTTAAACTTGCGGGTTCGCCGGGAAACTTACCTCAAACTCTCAACAAGGAAGCTGGGGTCCCACGGCAGCTTAGACCCCAAGCCGTACGTCCGGGCGCAGGCCCATTGCCTGAGCCAGTCAAGCACTCCCTTGAAAGCATGTTGGGTGTCAGGAGAGTAAGTCTCGAGGCCCTTGCCATCTTTGTTCTCGACATAGTCGTAGGCGATGTGGCGCCACTTCTCCTCGCCGTAGTCAAGATACCACTGGTCGAGCAGGGCAACAGTGCTGTGACAGATTAGTTAGTCACGAATTAGAACCGCAAATAAGTCGCTTGAACCCACCATTCGTCGCCAGACCGCGATGACACCTTGTTCTCGGGCTCGGAGTAGGCAAACGCCTCGCCGTTCTTGATCAGGTGGTCCCTGACCTTGGGCTTGGCAACCTCGACCTTCTCCCCCTTGAACTCGCCGACCTTCATCACACCCTGGTAGAAGCCCTCCTTGTAGGCGAGCTCCTTCGCCTCGAGAAGCTGCTTGGCATCCTTGGGCGAAGCAATCTTGAGCTTCTTGACCAAGTACGGAGCCAGCAGGTCGGATGTCGGTGTTTGGATGATAGGAGTGACTTCCAGCTCGGCCCACTCCTTCTTGATGCCGTAGAAGTCGGCCTTCTTGGCGAGCTCAGTCACCATGGCGTAGTCATCCGGTGAATCAGACGGTACAGATGTTACGACACCGGTACCCTTGGTGGCGAGGACGGACTCCATGGGAAGAACGCGCACCTGGGGGTGGAAACTGAGAGGCGCGTTCACCAAGGTGCCGATGAGGTCGGAACCCTTGATGTCTGCCGCCTTCTCCGGCACACCCTCCTTCTCGAAGATACCCTGGTAGGCCATATTCCTGGCGGCTCTGTCGGTGATGACGAAGTACTCCTTCTCAGACGCCCTGAAAATGCCGTAGCTCAGACTGGGACCGACGAAGCAGCACACTTGGCCATACATGGTCTCGGGCCTGAGGGTCGCAGGGCAAAGATAGACCGACGCATCCTCTGGGATCTTGCCCTTGAGGGCTTCGGCGGCTTGGGGAGCCCACTCCAAGACCTTGAGCTTCAAGGCGGTATATTCCTGGGGCAAAACACCCTCGCCTTCACTTCGGTCATGGTCCATGCATGGCTGACCGTCCTTGATGGAGTAAATGGTATACCTCTTGCCGAACTTGACCTTCTCCAGCTCCTTCAAGCGGTTCATCTGCCACCTTACGAAAGCATCGTAGTAAGGGTTCGCATCGGTCGTGACAAACTGGCGGCGCCAGTCGACGCGCGCACCAAAGTTTGTCAGGTCCTTCCTGCACTCGGGCGGGAAGTAGTGTAGCCAATATTGGGGATCGGCAAACTTGTGGATCTCGTCAAGGGGGATGCCGACCGAGTTCAGGATCTGCCACTGGTACTTGGCCTTGACGGTCTTTGCGGCAGCCTTGCCCTTCTTGGCGTTGAACTTGGTCAAGTCCTCCTTTGCTGCCTTGGGCGCCGCATCGGCGGGGGCCGAGTCGACCTCCTCCTCCTCTTTGTAGAGCTCAAAGTTCTTGCCGAACATGCTGACCTCTTTGACTAGCTTGTCGGCGGAGGCCTTGATAGGCAGACCGGTGCAGTGGTAACCGAGGGGAAATAGGGCACGTTTGCCCTGCATCCTGGCGAAACCGGTGTGGAATTCGATCTTGCTGACGCTGAAGGCATGACCGGCGTGGAGACGGCCGTTCATGTAAGGGTAGGCGATGGTGCCGAAGAACTTGGGGAACTTCTCACGGAGCTCGTCGGCGCTGATGGAGTCGAGGGGGAACTCGGAAGTGGAAGGAGCATCGACTTCGAAAACGCCGTCCTGCTGCCATTTCGCTTGGTACTTCTTCTCGATTTCGACGAGACTGTCGCGCTTCTCGGTGCCTTTTAGCTCCTTCGTCTTGGAGACGGCGAGGTCGGCCATAGCCTTGGGCAGTGCCGTATCGGCCATCTTTACTCGGGGCTCGACTGTGTTGGAAGAATTGGCTGCGTATCTCGCTCCGAGCGCCGCCAGGAACAGCAAATCGGGGGCCGGTGTCGCGTGGTTCTTATTCGAGTCACGGTAAATTTTGAGTGACTCCGCTGTTTTAGACGGCTTCCCAGATGGAGGGGCAACGCGGGGTTGATTCGGTTGCAGGGGGTGCGTTGAAAGAATGGGTGTGTAGTTAAAAGACGAGCGGGAAAGTTGGATTGGAGAGAAACAATGGGGCCAGAGTTTCGACGGTTTCCAGGCGCATGCACGGGCCACATTATGGTCGTCTCACGCCCAGGCCAACTTTTCTCAGTTTCCATTCCCGCGTCTCTCATCGGCAACTCAAGGTAGTCACGATAGAGCCACCCCGAGTTCATGCCCGCCATGTTTCCCACACTTGTACGGCGGCTGGCGCAAACCGCCAAACTACAGTTGAACGCGGCCGGCATTAATCAGACGTACAAGCTCAAGAAAGTATGGCCACCCGACATCAAAAACATGACGTCGCAACAGCAGCTGCGTTTCGAGAAGAAGTACAAGCGGAGACTGAAGCTCGCCACGGCCCGGCCACGGTGGGATAAGTTCGTCCGGCTAGCCCAACTTTGCACAATGACGGGTAAGGTGGTTGTTATTCTTGGAGAGACCTGAGAGTACTAACTCTTGTAGTTGTCCTCACATACATCGTGCTCTTCATGGACTGGGAGGATGGTCCCACCCCATTCGATCCGGTGAGATCCGCTAAGGCCCTTTTCCTTTGCAGCGAAAGCCTAACACCGCGAAGTTCCGGGAGAGGATCTTTAGTTTCTTCGGCATCTTCACCGAGGAAAATAGGAAGCTCAAGATGAAGGACAGGCCTGCTGCTCGGCCAGTGAGCGAGCAGTGAGCCCTGCCAGCAGCCTGCGGTTTCTGCTACCCCTCCCATCCCTGTATCATACTTGTTCCACCACACGGAGTTTGGCGTTGGATACCCGTCAATACTGGCGCGGCAATTGGCCGTGACGAATGCAGAATGCCGGTCTCGGCCTCACAAGTCGTTCCCGACCCGATTGTAGGCCGCCGCGTGTCGCCGCCAGACCAGACCAGACCACAGCTACCATGCCGCCCAAGCGCAAACCCTCATTGCAAAAAAGACTGTAACCATGCCTCCCCACAACCGTCACCTCCCATGCCACACCATCCCACCCATCCCCAGCCCAGCTCCCAAACTCCCACCCAACCCCCCACCAGTCCGGCTCTCATTCACCGGCCTCTTCGCCACAGTCCCCTGCGCCCTCACACCGGCCACAATACGCTCCATATTCGTCTCGATCACAACCCCACCCACAATCATCTCGCCCAGCGTGGCATGCAGGGTCTCGTAGTTGAAGATCAGGTCCAGCTCGCAAACATTCTCGAACAAGCGGTCCAGCGCCTCCACATACACCTGGATCAGGTCGATCAGGGCCAGCGGCGACTCGGTCGACGTCGAGATGACGATGAAGTACAGCGTCGCGTAGTTGCGGTAGGTTACTAGTGACGGCACGTCGCTCTGCTCCTGGCCGCCGCCCCCTGCCGCGTTGTTCGTGGTTGATGATGCGGCGAGCAGGGGTGGGAGGGGGAGGAAGTTGCACGACCCCGGTGGGCGGTTGGAGACGAGCGTGAAGATTTCGGAGATGAGGCGTTGTTGGATCGAGGTGTCCTGTTGAGGGAGGAAGGGGCGAGGTTAGTGGGGTGGATTTGGATGGATTGCCCGGGGTTGGTTGGGGTGTGGGAGGGGGGGACGCACGAGCTGGGTGTAGAACTTGGTTAGGCGCGGCTGGCCTTGGCCGTTGAAGACGAGGAATGCGTTGATCATGGTTTAGGGGTTTCTGGGCTTGGATGGTGGTGCTATAATCGTGTGGCCATGCCTTCCCTCGTTGGGTCGGGTGTCGAGTCTGCGGGTTGGATTCGTGAGCTTCCGATCCGTTCCTGGTGACACGGCGGGGCGGATGACGTGAGGCAGGCACGCCCAGAGCTTAAAAAGAGTGTGGCTCGTGCACTATCATTTTGGTTCGTTTGATTGGTTCACATCCTTGGGGTTGGATTTGCCTGCCGGCAATGACGCTTAAAAGTGGGCTTTACTGCATTCTATCTGAAGCTCCAGCTCCGTTCGTTCAACTTGCACCTGCTTCCCCGCGAACCCCGACGACACAGTGGTGTTATAATCGCCTGATCCTCTGCATTATCAGACAGGGTTTCATGCCGAAATATCAAATACACTCCCTCTACCTCAGTAAAGCGAACCATTCCGATTCAATTCCATTGATTTGCGAGCTTCCGACATGGCGCGCTCAAATGCTTCCAAACTTGCCCGGGTCGCCTACCGCGGTTTGCAGACCACACGAGTCTCGCGCGGGACCATCCCAAGTCTCTCTGCGACGCCAGCAATTCTGCACTATGTGCCTAGGCCCACTACCGGCCTCACAGCAAGTCGGTTCATCTCGAACAGCTCCGGCCGCAAGGGCATCACACCGGACGACAAGGCGCCGAAGCCCATAGAAACCCCGCCCGTGACTAAAACCCCGGCCGACATAAGTGATGCCGAATACCACACGGTTGCGGACGAGTATCTTGAGAAGCTTCTCACCCAGCTGGAGGTGATGCAAGACCAGCGGGAGGACGTCGACGTCGAGTTCTCCGTAAGCCACCCACATCTCCAACACCCCCACCCCCCCCCCTCCCCGCCACACACTAACCACCACTAGGCGGGCGTCTTGAACCTCGACCTCGGCCCCGAAGTCGGTACCTATGTAATCAACAAGCAGCCGCCTAACAAGCAAATTTGGCTGTCGTCCCCCAAGACGGGCCCGAAGCGCTACGACTACGTCATTTTCGGCGAGGGGCAGCACGAGAAACAGGACACGGCTACGGGCGACTGGGTGTACCTTAGGGACGGCTCCACCCTGAATGATCTGCTTAAGAGCGAGATTGGTATCGACTTCGGGGTGTCCGACGCTGAGCTTGGTGGCTAGCGGCCCTAGGCGGCGTTTTGGAGAGGCTTAGGCACATCCGAGGGGCTGAGGCTTGGGCGCTGTGTTTTGATATTAATTATTTCCAGCTGTTAGTCAAGGCGATGGTTTGGGGCCGATCCCTAAGCGGACGAGCGCGCCGAGTTATCCAGTCTAACGGGGGCCGGTGTTCTAGTGTTGAACCTGTAGGATACTAGGTTTATTTTCATGCTTCAAAACCCGAGATTCCCGCCCCTTACGCCGCCGCACTTTTAGCTCGTCGAGCAATTAGCCACGCCGAGTCTAATCTATCCATGGGCTTCGTAACACTCGGCCGCCCCAGCTTCCTTTGTTCTCGAGTCACGACCCTAACCCTACCAAACGCGGTTGAGGTTTCTCAACGCGCCAGAAGTCGGTTCACGAGTTCACAGCCTTACACGAAAACTCACAACCAAATGCCATTCATGTCCCGCCATCGACACTACAGCTGAGATGGACCAGCAAAACATAAGCGAGGTTCTTGCTAAGTTACGTCAACCACCGGTCTTCACTCCAGCGCCGCCGAGGCCTCGGCGACCGCCGGGTCGTCTTAGACTTGATCGGGATCCTCATGCTCCGGTGCATAGTTCGCAGACAATTGTACGCGACATTCGTTTAGTTAGCTGCCTCCAGACAACTACTAACTGCAGAGCCGAGCAGCGATTCCGCTTTTGGACCCGCTTCATTCAAGCAACCGCCACGCCTGTCAATGGCATCCACGACCATGTTCGCCGTCTCCACCTATAGCCCTCGGTGGTGCAGACGCTACTCGGACTGTTCGTCCGCCGGCTCCCGTCTTTTATACAGACGTGGTTCGAATCCTGGTTTCCGGAGTGGAATCTCCCCTTCCAACTCTCCCTTAAGAGGCAGAAAGAAGGCTGGTACGAGGAGTTCGAGATGGAGAAGGCCGCTTACGTTACACTGCAGCCGTTGCAAGGAGTCTTCGTTCCAAGATGCTTCGGACAACTCCGCTGCGACAATACGCGAGCCCTTCTCTTGTCAGACATTGGCGGTGAATGTCTAGCCACACCCGCGGGGTCCCTTCTCGAAACCCCAGAACTACGCCGTTTGCTTAGCGAAACTCTGACCGCGCTTGGTCAGTTCAGGATTCTACAGGACGACGTTAAACTGGACAACTTTCACATTGTCGGAGACAGGATCATGGCCGTCGATTTTGAGAGACTGCAGAATCAGGATATGCCAGAGGACAAAATCGCCATCGACGTCAAGGCCACAACATATTGGCTTGCTCGTCTCTACGAGTGGAACCAGTATTCCTTTTGGGAGGATGGCTTCATCAAGGTAGACAGATGACCGCTATAAATAAGCCGACCGAGCTCAATTTATTCCATCATCGCAACTGGGCAGCCTCCAACGCCGTAGGTTCTTTTTCCTTTCTCTCCCTTTTCTCTCCCTTTTTCTCTCCTCTTTTCTCTCTCCCTTTCTCTCTTTGTTTCTTTCTTTGTTTCCAGGGCATGTGCGCACTACGGATGACGGTCGGGGGCTCACACCATCGAGCCGCCAGGCCTTTGACGGTCTTCCCATCTGAAAGTCGGAGGTCAACGGTGCGGGGGTTGCTGTCCCCGACCACCCAAGCGGCTATCAGCGCTCCGTCGACGCCGAGTCCGGCGCGGCAAGTGGACACATCCCGATAATTCTGATGATTTTGTGTGGGAGACGCCGGCCTTGTGGGGTGAGGGGTGAGTATTGCCACGAGTGAGAGGTCGTGTTGAATACAACGGGGGGGGGTTGTGAGGCAGTCCACTCTAATATTACCAACTAGCCGTTGACAGACTTTGGACCTCGATATCAAACCAATCACGTCGGAACAACACACACTGCCCTTCCAATTCTTGGCCTTCCGTCCAGGGGGATGCCTATGATGACAGGTGTTTGTGCAATGGTCAGAAGGGTAAACTCATCTCCCCGGCCATGGCTCAAAAAAGGGTCCGGCAGGGCAACCAACTTCGGCCTGCTGATTCATCACCTCCATGCGCTGTCGACTGGTAGGTAGTTATTAGTGGAAACTGGAGTGACAGCACGATCACTAAACAAACAACAGCGGTGGGGTGGTCCGGCGACGCCACTGTCAGCGCTATTGAAATCCCAAAAAGCCAAAACGACAATATGCTACCCCAGATTTAGTTATTCACTCGCCCGGGCTGTGTTTTGTAAATGCTCCATCGACGGCGTGAGTAAGCCGCGTTGCAATGCCCTGGGCCAGAGCGGGTTGAACAGCCCATGGGGATGAGTAAGACCCGTTTGCGACCCGACGAGGCGACTACTGCCGTGTATTGGACTAGCTGCCTAGCAGCAGTGCTACTTTGTGTTCAATCTCATGTCCGGAGAAGTGCAGTAATCGAGTCAGCACCCACACTCCCACACCAAGCGGTCGAAGCGCCAGCTTACCATGCGCCGGGACACCAGCTCAGCGGGTCCAAGTAGCTCACTCTATGACGTACCCATGAAATGTACTTATAAGGCGTGAATTCCGTCACCATGACACACTTCCTAGGATACAGACCACCACTCCCGTCCAGCTCCTCTCCCAGACATCAAGTAACAACAAGACAAGATGGTCGGCCTGATGAAGTTCTTCGCCTCCGCGGCTCTTCTTGCCCAGGGTGCTCTGGCATCTCCGACGCTTGCGGCCAGAGGCGAGGGAATCCACCTCTTCAACTGCCGTCCCTTTGGCGGCGCCGGTGTCCCGCAGACCTGGATTTCCATTGTGGTGGTACGTAAATACCTACCCAACTCCCCACCTAGGCTCGCCTCGAGGGGTTGGCACTCAGCCCGCTCGGGCAGCGTGCTCAGAATGGATACTTACCCGGCTCCTCGTGCCGTAGTACTGCGCCAACGACTCGGACTGCAGCAGCCTAGGCTACAGCCCCTCGTCCGACAACGTCTGCGTCAAGGGAACCTCGTCGTCGTCCGAGACCTACCACGTCTGGGAGGGCGGCAGCCAGTCGTGCACTTTCCCCACTGGCGTGACCTTCACCTGGAACATCCCGTCCAGCGCCCAGTCCCAGCCCAACTACTCTTCCGTCGGGTGCGTTCTCTCTCTTTCTCGCCCGATGCGTTTGGATGATCGGTGACCGGCTGACACTCCCTGTGCGCTTTTCATAGTTCCGGCTCCAACGGCTATAGGAGCTTCGCTGGCTTCAAGGACGACCATGAAAGCGGGCCCAGCTATAACTACCACAGTTGTGAGAAGATCTACTACTACATCTAAGGTCACACGTGTGGGGATGAAGGATTATTGTGATGTTTGGTAAGTTGTCTCAGTGGGATGGTCGTTCGTTATTTACTCCAAGGTAGAATATATCTACAAATTCAGAATCTTTCCAGTCCTGATACCTCAAGTATGGTAGGGAAGCGATACAAAAAATGTATTCAATGACCGGATGTTGGTTCCTCCCTTCCGTAGGTTATCGACCCGTAATTCGTATGTACATACCTGTATTGTATGGCTTTTCTTTGGGAAGAGGTTCCATGTGTGCATTGAGGCTGGCTACCTCGGTAAGGTAGGTAGTGCAGAAAGAGAAAGCTAAGCCAAAGGGAGGCAGGGGGCCGGAGCTATCGTTAACCCCGCAAATGCCGACAACCTCGCCGCTTTGTTCATTTTCTCCGTTCTTCACGAGCGCTAGGCCGATCTCTGATTATTAGTGTGAGCCAAGTGGCGTAACCCAATTAGGAAACCACTCTCTGGTTGGCCTGCCGTCCACATTTCCAGAGACCCGAGGAGGACGACGACTTAGACGCGAAACTCGACGTCATCTAGGGGCTCCCGAAACCGTGCAACCGAGTCCCTGGTTTCTTTGTCGCCTCCTGTCGGAGAGTTACATGAGCCCATCCCGACCGCCCGTTTAGGAAACCACTCTCCCAGTGGTTCGGGCGCTTGCGGCCTGGCTTCGAGGCGGCGTCACTATGGAGTCATGGACTTATGGCTTTCACCAGAAAGCGAGCTCTCTACGTTGGATGGGATGGACGCTACCGCCGTCGTGGCAGACATAAAAGGCTGCTCTCGTCCCGACGATATTGAACGGAAAACCCACAACCATCTCTCACAACCAAGCAGACAACCCAGTTAAACCTTCAGTTCAGTACCCAACAATCCATCACTTTCCCACGTCAGACATCACTCGTCACCCGACCTCCAACCCCTTGCCAACAACACCCCCCTCCTTCAACCCGGCCAAAAACACAACCATGTCCGACGGCGTCGTCAACCAGAAGCGCAACCTGCCCCTGCTCGCCACCCGCGAGCGCTGCGCCGGCAAGACCTTCATCGTCACGGGCGCCAACGTGGGCCTGGGCTTCGAGGCGGCCAAGCACCTGGCCGTGCTGGGCGCCGCCCGCGTCGTGCTCGGCGTGCGCACCCCGTCCAAGGGCGAGATCGCCAAGGCCGACATCGACGCCGCCGCCGGCACAGCGGGCTCCGGCGTGGTGAGCGTGTGGCCGCTGGATCTGGAGAGCTTTGACAGTGTGAGGGCGTTTGTGCGCCGTGCGGATCAGGAGTTGGAGCGGATTGATGCGGTGGTCGAGAATGCGGCCGTGGCGCTGGCGGAGCGCGAGATGGCCGAGGGGCATGTCAAGCCGGTTACGGTGAATGTGCTGAGCACGCTGTTGATGGCGGTGCTGTTGGTGCCGGTGATGAGGGCTAAGGCCGAGAAGGTCGCGGATGGTGTGGCGCCGCGTATCACCCTCGTGACGAGCCGGGCTGGGTTTGATGACGATGCCCACGCCGGCTGGGAGAAGGTGAAGGAGGATCCGATCAAGGGCATGGATGCCGAGGATATGGTGCCTGTCAAGACGTGAGTTGATACTCCTTCTCTCTGACACCAAAATCGGGAAATCTGGGCTAACGTTTGGTAGGTACCCGCTGTCCAAGGTCACCGAGACCATTGCGGTTCGCCATCTCGCCCGCGAAGTGTTACCGGTCGAAAAGGGGGGTGTCATCATCAACTTGGTCTGCCCCGGCCTATGCATCACCCAGCTCGGTAGAAATGCCCCCGACGCGTTCGCGCAGCGCTTGCGCAAGATGCATGACATGTACGGACGGACGGCCGAAGACGGTAGCCGCACGCTCCTGCACGGCGCCATGGCCGGAGTGGAGAGCCACGGAAAGCTGCTTCACTCCTGCCAGGACGGCGAGTAAGTGGTTCTGACTTTCTTGCGATGGGGAAGAATTTGACTAACGAATGGCAGGCCCGACGTCCCCGACTGGGTTAACGAGCTCGGGGCGCAGAAGAACACTTGGGAGGTGATTGCTAGGGAGCTCGAGGCCGTCGAGCCGGGCTGCGTGAGCAAGATGTTGTAGGTGCCGGGGACTTGTTGCGAACAGTGCCTGGCGGGGTGGCTAGGGGAACGTATCGATTTGTTTACTATAGGTAGTCTTGAGTGCTTCCGCATCAACTTACACCCCTCATTCATTGCCTTTGAAAACTAACCACTCCCCGTCCCATACACCTATCCCAAAACACCCGCCCCCTCCCCCCATGCCACGCTTCAACCCAAGGAAAGCACCCTAGCACACGCGCTGCACTCTCCCAATGCTTCAACCCCAACCGCCCCGCCACCTCCCTCGTCCTCAGCACCACCCACACGCCCATCCCTTCCACAGAGTCACCACCATCCAACACCCCCGCCACAGCCCCCATAATCAACATCCACAACAACGCTTCCAGCTCACCCGCCACCCGTCCCCCCTCCCCATCCGCATCCGCATCCGCATCTCCCAACCCATCACAAACCCACCCCACCACCTCCCTCGCCGCCGCCCCCAACCACGGCACCGGCGCCCTTACCTTCCCCAACACACCCGGCGCCCCGCCGCGCAGGAAGCTCGCCACAAACGCCGCCAGGCCGACGCACACGGCCCGCTCCACAGCAGAGTTGGTATCAACATCAACACCAACACCAACACCACTCCCGACAGCAGCAGCAGCAGCACCACCACCACCACCACTACCACCACCACTACCAAACCCAGCAAACCCAAACCCAGCCCCCGCCTCCCGACGGCGGCGCATCATCACACCCAACCGCTCCACCCCATCATCATCATCATCATCATCATCCCCCCCCCCTTCGGCTCCTTGCATCTCGCACACCCCGTCCATCTCGCACACCCCGCCCATCTCGCACGCCCCGCCCATCTCGCACGCCCCGTCTAGCGGCGACAGCAGCGCCGCCTGCACGCGGTAGCCGAGCAGGATGAAGGTGTCGTGCACGGCGGCGCTGGCGAGTTTGGGGCCTGGCTGGCGGCGGGTGGTGGCGGTTGCGGCGGCGAGGAGGCGGGCGGTGTGTGTTGCGTCGTGGAGGAGGGCGGTTAGTGGGGGGGTGAGGTTTGGTGGTGGTGGTGGTGGTGGTGGTGGGGTTTGTGGTAATCGGGGGAGGGATGGGGATGGGGATGGGGATGGGGGTGATGATGGGAATGGGGGTGATGATGGGTGCAGGGGGCTGGGATGTGCTTGGGTGGGGTGGTTGTGGGGGATGGGGCGGCTGGAGAGGATCTGGATGGCTTCTGCGAGTGCGAAGCGGGCGGGGGTGCCGAGGTTGAGCCAGTATTCGATGTCGGATCTGGGGGGGGGGCGGGTGTAAGTGGGGTGTATACCCGGGTATCTACTATTCAGAAGGCCATGGGACATACCGGAGGATCTTGCGGGCCAGGTCAGGGCAGCTCTTGGCAAACTCGACGAGGCCGCCGCGCATCTGGAGCATGCGCTGCATCCCGTCGAGATGCACAAGGCCGCGGTGGTACTCGCCCTGCTGGCGTTCGTACAAGCCCAGGATCAGCACCGTCGTCATGGTTTCGGTCGACGCGGCATCCTTCCCGGAAAGGCGGGTGTTGACGAGCCGGAGCGCGAGGCTCAGATGGCGCATCCCCGCGTCCCAGTTTCCTTGGGTGGGTGTAGGGGGTGAGAATGAAAGGGCTGGGAGCCCGGGGCATGCGGCAAGGAAGACAGCCATGGCGCCGTGGAAGTCTGCAGCTTTGTTAGCGACGAGGGACAAGGCGGCAACAGTGGCAATATGGCAACTTGCAGGCTTCATCCTGAAATAGCGGTTGGAGGCACCACATTTTGGGCTCCGAGCTGTAGTCGAGAGCGAGGTCCAGTTCGGGAGCGTGTCGAACCCCGTCTAGGAAAGAAATAGCTAAAGGGTACGAAAGTCAGCAGGCTGGGGGTGAGCTATAGAATCAAAAGCTGCTCAGGGCCTTACCCCTTTGAACAAGAGCAAGCCTGTCGGATCCGTCGTTTTGCTGCATATGGGCTGGGAGGCCGGTTAGGCATCTCAGAGCGAGCATTGGCACGCTCCCGCCGGTCTCGCTGGATTCCGGATGAACCAGGGCTATGGCCTGCGGACGTGCTGCCTTTGCTGATTTGTTCAACAGCGCTTTCTTCTTGGACGGCCTTGAAATCTTCTTCCCGGCGTTACGGCCTATGGCCACATGGCTCCGGATCCGTTTCCTCGCGGTGCCGTCGATGGCGCCACTGTTGTCGACGAATTCGAATTTCATATTGTCTTGTGTTGCAGTACGTAGTTGTTGAGTGTCCGGAGTAGCTGAGCCCCTTGGCCTTGTAACTCGGGGGGAAGTGGAGTGGGAGCCGGAGTTAACGGGGGGTAGTGTGATTGGCGGGATGCTCCCGGAGTCCCGGTGTCCCGGTTGAGTGTCCTGGTTGAGGCCGCGGGTGGCAAGGGTGCTGAATTGGGGGTGAGGGGCCAGCGGCAGTGGTTCCCTCACTCCCACGATGACTGCCGGTGTCACCGGGACTGTCCCGTTTATATGGAACCGAGTTTGAGCCAGGAGATTCCAACGATAGAGTGGTAAAGGGCCCTCGACGGATAAAGCTCCTCGGGAACATACGCCGATAAGAACGGCATCGCCCGTATTGTACTTTGGAATAGTTGCATGCCACTCAGCGAGCCGTTCCGTCAGGTTCCCAACGGGAGCCGGTTGTCCGTTTTGGTATCTATGACAACAACAACATAACCCAAACACGCTCTATGCCGCCGTCCCGCTCTCATACAGTCATACATCATCTCATCCACCCCCATCCTCACCCCGGCACATTAATCGCATACGCATACCGCCCCCTCCAGCGGTCCCACCAACTCGTCCTATGAAACGCCGCCGGCCTCCCCATCCTCTCCAAACAAATCGCCCTATTATTCCTCCGCCTCTGATCCGGACACCTACAGCGACACCCAATCGCCCCCTCACTCTCAGCCGACCAACCGGGATCCCTCCCCCCCTCCGCGAGCGCCTCATTCCCCGGCAGCTGGCCCGCGCCCGGCGCATTCCCGGGGCACTGAAAGAACGGCTCGTGGTGGTAGCCGAGATCCGAAAAATGGTGCAGCTCCTCGGGGGGCAGCAGCAGATGCACAGCGAGCGAGTGCACGGGGGCGTCGCCCCAGCGCTCGTGGTAGAACCCCCCGCGGGCGTCCAGGTGGCGGAAGAGGGCCTGGTAAGCCTCGCCGCGGAAGAGGTCGAGCGAGGCGATCTCGAAGTTGCTCCAGTAGTGGCACAGGTTCCAGCGGTCGCCGCCCGCGCTGGTGTGCGGGCTGCGGAGGAGCAGGCCGGCGAGCTTGCGGATTGGGTAGGGTTGGAGGTACCATGGTAAGGGGATGTCGAGGAGGGCGTTCCAGGAGGGGGACTTGGGCAGGTGGTTGGCGCGGCGGAAGGCGTCGACGTCGCGGAAGAGGGTCGGGCAGGTGTTGGGCTCTTCCCACAGGGCGACGGTGAAGCCGTAGGTCTTGCCGTGGCGGGCCATGGCGGCGAAGGGGTCGTAGGTGACGGCGCAGGTGTAGCGCACGCCGGGCTCGAGGCGCCAGTACCACTTGAAGGGGGCCAGGGCGGGCTGGGTGTAGAAGGCGCCCGAGTAGAAGCGGCACATGTGGTGGTAGGACTCCTTGCCGCCGTTCCAGACGCCCGCGGCCGCCTGGCGGGCCATGGACTGGCGGGCGGCGGCGGGGTCGACGCCGTCCGGGTAGGACCAGTCCGCGGCGGGGATGGTGTCGAAGATGGCGTCGCCGCTGACCGAGGCGTTGAGCTCGCGGACGAAGTCCGGGTCCCAGGGCTCGTTGTTGAGGAAGACGACCGGGTAGTTGAACCACTGGTTGAACTGGGCCTCGATGTTCCGGATGGTCTCGCGGGCCTCGTCCAGCTCCGAGTTGCGGGCGAGCATGACGAGGGCGGCGCTCTCGCGGGGCTGGGCGGCGGCCACGCGCGGGTCTTGACATTGCCTGGCGAAGGGGGCGTCGAGGTCCTCCGGGGGGCGGGGGATGTCGTGCATGGAAATGTGCAGGAGAGCTTCGAGGAGGCACAGGACGAGCACGACCGCGGTGGCCCTGAGGAGGAGACGGTATCGGCGCGCCAGGCGTCGAGCCCGCCGGGAGACGGCAACGGCCAGCGCTGACAAGGGCTTCATCTTGGCTGCATGCTGGAGGGTGGAGGGTGGAGGGTGGAGGTTGGGGCTTGGAGATCGGGGTTGGAAAGTGGGCGAAAGAAAGACTTAAAAGTTGGAGAAACCCGGTTCCGTTGCTGAATGTGCTGCTGGTGTGACGCCAACCAAACCTTGGCGTTGCTTGGTAGACAGGGCTGGTTGGGTGACTTTGTCGGGGGCTTTTCAGGGGGCGTTGCAGCTGACGCGCTGACGTGACGTGACGGCTTCAAGTTGTCTCTCAACGGCCTGGAACTTGTATGTTGGAGAGTTAGTTAGTCGCTCTCTTCTATCGAACGGTCGGTAGTCTCCCGCGGCAAATCGTCCAAGCCCAACCTCTTGAGCCAGCCGGCAGATACTTTAGCTTTGAGTTGCTCGACGGCCTCTCCCGTGCGGGGCCGCATTGATTGGTATTCGGCCTTCATCCGCGCGTGGGCCTTGCGCAGCATATCCATAGTGGCCTCCAGGTCGGGGAAGGTAACCATGCTCAACACCACAGTGTCTCGGCCACCGTCCCACGCGAGGTCCCACCACGCCGATTGGCCCTCGTCCAGGCCGCGACCGCGCTTCTGGAGGCTGTCCTGCAGAGCGCAGACGTGCAGCATTCTCGTCGCCATGCCCGCCAGGATGCGGTGCTGGATCGCCAAGGAGGAGAGGAGAGAGTCGAGAGTGTCGAGGGCGCGGTCGAGCGTCCGGGCCCTCCTCACGATCCCGTCCCTGCCGTAGTGGCCGGCGACGCGCTCGGACCGAGAGAATCCGCCTCGCGCCTCGACCGCCTCCTTCACGCGGGCCTTTACCTGTTTCGCCTTGGCCGCGAAGGCCGACAAGAAGATTTGGGCGTCGCAAAGGGCGTCGTGAAGGCTGTGGAGGCAGCTGCCACTGCTGCATCCGGTGTTGCCGCCGAATGGGGCCCAGTACGCCAGACGGTCCTGGAGGACGGACTCTTCCGAGGTATGCTCGGGGCATCGGCCGACGGCAACCACCTCCAGCAGCCTCCGAGAAGAACACAAGAGATTGTGGTCTGCTTTCAGGCCTGAAAAAAGAGCGCCGTCCTTTCGATGAGGGGCCACGCGAGCAAAGAAGGCCTTGGTTTGGTATGCTCCTACCATCGCGTCCCGGGACACCGGTAAGCCGGCCAGGAGTCCCGGGAGGGTTTGGTGCGCTGGGTGCTGGCGTCTGGCGTGTCGGAGGAGTTGCGTGGACGATGGAAGTCGAGGGGACCCGAGCATCGGAGCCGAGGTGTCGCTGCCGCCCGCCCCCTTGCCCTGCTTTTGACTTGGCCAGTACCTTTCAACATGTTCCATGCGCACCCGAAAGGCGTGGAGCCACTGGTGAGCGGTGCCTGGCCACGCCTCCGCTCTGGAATAGAGTTCCTGCCAGAGCCCCCTTGCACTCGTCAGGGCGATGAGCACAAGGCTTGGCCCGGGCCTGCGGGAGATGAGCACCGGCTTTTCGGGGTTGGCAAGGGACCGCAGGGCGTCCCTCAAGGCGCAGTAGTCGTCGTGGTCGCGCCCCAGGCCGAGGACCAGAAGGTCGGTGGTAGCATGGATCATCACCGGCCAGAGCCTCTCGAGTAGATCCAACGTGAGCGTCGTGTTGGCCATATCGACGACGAACGGCGCGTGCTCGGCCTTGACGACATTCGTTCTTGTTTCCTTCTTGCGGGAGCCCGCGTCATACCCCACGACCACGTGGACCTGGGGAAGAAAGGATGCCACGTTGACCCGAGCTAGACCGGGCGCGTCGAGCCGGAGAGTGATGTTGGAGGTGCGGCGGGGGAGGCGGATGTCGAAGGACGCATTGGTGTACAATTCGGCCATGGCCACGACGTCGCCGATCGGGAACGGAACGGCGACCACCTCGACGTCCTCCGGGTGCAGGTTCGATATCGCAATGTTGACGCGTGAGTCCCCGGCCCAGCCGCCCCTATTGGTGTTCCCCTGGCCAGAGGACCCGAGACAGAACCAAGCGCAGATGGCCGCCGCACCGGTGGCAAGGACGAGGAAGGCAAGAAGCGCGTGCCGGTCTTGCCATGCCCCTCCCACTCTTTTCTCTTGGCCCACGCGAGGTTGTCGTGTTTCCCCGGACGCAGGCTGGCTAGCATTGCGAGCGCGGGGGGTGCGGCGGGGCTCGTATGGTTGGGCCGGCGCCGTGTCGACGTCGGCGAGGCGCGGGCCACGGCCGCCCTCGTCTTGGATGGGACTTGCGGGGACGTTGGTGGTGCCGTCTTCGTCGAGGTCGCCATTCTCATGGGACTCATGTCCAAAACGACCAGCGCGCCGACAGCTACGGCGGAGCGGCCGGTCCGATTCCGAGGAGGGCATGACCGTTGTCGTGGTTGGCTGACAACTAACAAGACGGGAAGACGTCCAAATGTTGAAGCGCAGCTGCGCGCAGGCGAGGTTGGGGGAGGAAGAGGGAGAGTAGGTAGGCAGAGCGGATTAGATGCGAGATGATCAGATACACAAACGGGCAAAGAATCAAAGATGGGGTTCGGGTTCCAGTCTGAAGGGGCCGAAGAAAGAAGTGGGAGCGGGAATCCTGTGATGGGGAAGGGGGACGAGAGGCTCCTGCAGAGCCATGCCTCGCGCAGACAAAGGGGGTGGCTACAACTCGGGGGTTGGGGTGGGAATTCAAGACAGAAAAGTTCTCCGTCACTCGCTGCCGGATTTGGCAATTCAACAGTGCTAAACAAACCAGCAAAGACGGTTGCACGTTTTCGGACCGGCGTTGCAACCCAGCGGTGGTCTCGCACTGGGGACCTCAGTGGCACTTCTTGTGTGGCACTTTTTGTGACCAGGAGTCCGGCCTCATCCGGCCTCCAGCACCGCCGTCACGGTTGCACACACTCACCACGGATTACTTTCGCCCGAATCATGCAGTATTGCACAGATGCCGGTTTGCTCACTCCGTTTGCTACCGACTACTACCGAGTTAAACAGACCACCCCAGCCCCCCCGGGCACCAAGGAAAACAAAAACAAACAGAAGAAGACTGCCGTGCACCAATCGCTTTGGATCTAGATAGAGTGGAAATACAGCTCCTCGCGTGTGCGACGCCAGGCTTCCACCCAAGACGAAATTGCTTTCGCATCAGTCAGGAGATCGTCCACGGCGTCGGGGTTCCCGGCAATGTCCGAAGACAGGACGGTCAGCCGCTCCTCCATCTCCCGCACCCACCCCCTCTCCTTCTCCGTTTTCCTCGACAGCACACGGAGCCTGCCAATTGCGTTCGAGAACGCCAGGTTGAACATGCTGCCCGCCCCCTGTGCTGTGCGGAGGTCCCGGACAAACGAAGCCAGCTCCGGCCCTTCGTCAGCGCCGTGGTCCAACATTCCGTTCAGCGCTTCGACGGCCCTCTCCAGGAATGCGCCCAGTCCGCAGCCCTCGCAGTCCACCTTCTTATCGTCGCTCGATTCTGGCAGGATCCCTTCGAGACGACGGCGCTGGCGCTCAATGAAATCGTTGACCTCGGCGTGGAGCCTGTCGGCCACCATCTTGGTAAGTTGGTCGACGCGGGTAAGGCTCCGGTTCTCGTGCCGCAGCCCCGTGTAGAAATTGTCGAGGATGGTTGCGCTGTCCTTGCTGGCATTCAGCGCAACGGCTGGCCAGTCCATCAGAAAAAAGCCCGCTCCCTTCAAACCGCTTGGCCCGAGGTCCTCTATTAGGTCCTCAAAGGCCCCGGTGGCGAGTGAGGCGACGCCCGGTGCGGATGCCGAAGCAGCTGCCAACGTGGCCAACTGCGTGGATAGGAACGCGCCGCAGGCCGTGACCCCCGTGGACAAGCCAGACACGACCCTCGTCGGCGTGGCGAAGGCGGTGCCAGAGCCCGTCGACGACCAAGATGAGAACCACGGCTGGTTCCACATGGCGATCGCAGCGCCATATAAGCTGATAAGCAACTGGATAATGACTAGGGCGGCAACCAGGAGGAGGAACAGAAGCGTGACCGTGGCCCAGGGGGTCAGGACGCAAACCACACGCCAAAGCATCCGCAGACCGCTGCAGAAGAGGCGGAACCCCTGGAGGATGCCGGCCAGCGCAGTGCCGGGGTCTGCTTCTTGCTCCCGGTTCTCCTCCATATCCGATGACGGCGATCCCGCGTGAACGGTGATGGTGGGGCGTGGAGGACAGGGGGCTGAAAGGGGCGTGCGTGTGTGTGTGTAAGAGTGGTGGCGCGGAGGCTGGTGAATTGGACCGGAATTTAAGATCAGCGTGATAGTGTGATATTGGTGACGAGAGGGCGGGATACTGGCAGTGAGGATGGTTTGTGGGATAAGAGACCGGGACACAGAGAGAGGGCAAAGCAGTCCATTATAAGCAGCTGGTCACAAAGCGAGCGCCAGCGAGGGTTCTAGCTCTCCCGGGTATCGTCTCCACGTCCTTGACCAACGGCCTCTGGGCTGAGGCAGATGTGGACGCCGTTACGGAGCCATCGGGGGCATCAAAGCGACGAGCTCATATCATGGCCGTCGCCATTGCCAACCTCCCACACACTTCACACCGCCCGGTGGGCCCCAACAAGGGTAATATCCCAAGGTGTGGCGCTCATCGCACATCGGAAACGAGTACGAGACAAGAACTATCAGGAGGCGATTGGAAAGTTGAGGGGTTGAGTATGTGGTTTCTGCCATCTGACATGCGCTGGCGTGTCTCGCATCCGCAGCCACACCAGGGCAGCCCCATCTCCTCTCTTCTCCATGGCCTGCACGCCCCCGCCGTTTGCGAGAAATAACAGGAGCAGGTGCCCTAGTGGCATCCACAAGCCCAAAATGTGAGAGCTCATACCTTAGCTTTGCGTAAGCTTCTGTGCCAGGAGGGCTCGCCTCCAGCTCGGCCTGGCCAGGAAGGGGCCAGACCCCGAATCAAAACATGAGCTCTCCACAAGCAAACGGAATGGAGGATGGTGATTGCCTGGAAGCCGCCCCCCGTCCGTCCCTGTGGCTGCAGGTTCCCAGTTTGTGCTTCAGCCGCAGGGGGAAATCGGGCATCTCCCTGATCTGGGCGTCTGGATTTCGCTTTTGTGTTGAGCGCGAGACGGAGCCGTGTCAAACAGTGCATACATGCATGCGTGATTCCCAACAGCCGCGTCACCGTCTGGTCGCCCCCCTTCCCAACGCCCGTAACCCGAACAGTCAGCGTTTTGAAAATATCCCTCCGGCAAACAACCCCTTCCCAGCTCCAGACGATTCTGTTCGACAACTTGGATGCCACCAAATCATCATTCAATCATCGCGACGCGGCTACAACCCCACGAGGCTCCCGGTGTTCCCCGATCCCGCGATGTGTGCTCTGTAAGTCTCGTCTCTTTTTGGCCTGGGTGGCCCTGTGCTCTCGTCACCCCATTGCTAACTCTCGCTCCCAAGTCGACTCCGCAGACTCGAGAGGCTCATGAATGTGGCGATGGGACTCTATTTCATCTACCTCGGTTGGGGGCTCCTCGGCCGCCTGAGGACAATCGCCCCCGATATCCCGTTCACAGCACACGGCGCAACGTCAAAAGAGTTGCAGGCCACGTGTGGCGCCCACGGATACCTGGAGCTCCTGATGGAATACCATAGCGACCCCATCACGGCATTCGAGCTTCTTGGTTTGGACCCGAACGCGCGGCCCTTCTTCCCCTCGGAGAACTCTCAGCAACCAAAGGACAAATGGTACCAGGAATTGCACACCCTTGTCGACAAGCGCTATTCGGAATTGATGGAGGTGACGGAAGCCGCAAGGGACCAGAGGGGAGGTCGTGGCGACGCCGACCCTGACAAGCAATACAAGGCAGCCATCACCATGTGCGCCGAACTCCTGGCCAAGGACAAGTCGCGCCGGTTTTATATGAAAACATTTCTGCCCATGCTTGCGGCCACCATCCGGGGCAAGGACCGCGGTTGCGTTTGGCCACTTGTCCAGGCGTTCCATCGCAGCCAGTGCGAGGCCACCTGGGCCACCATGCGCCGAGCGGATGAGCTGCAAGCCAAGGTCATCACCACCAGCGACAACTGCCGTTGATGTGCCGATGCTCCTCTGACAAGGGTTCGGGCCCGCTTGGCGATGATCAGGGCGGGAACCGGAGCGACCGTGTGGCGGGTTGCCGTGGGGATTGGTGGACGTTGGAGGTTGGACAGAGAGTAGGATGGCATGCATCGAGAGACTGTTACTTACGCATAGGTATCTAGGTAGTCATCATGTCGGTCTACCACGCTGCATGCCGCCTCCATGTGGAAGAATTGCCGTCGTCATTTGTGTCGAGTTCCCCATGAGTCAAACACAGTGATGTCCCGCGCCCAAGTCAGAAACTTCGCTGACTTCGGTCTAAGAGAAGCTTACCTAGGTACATCCATTATTCCTGACAAACAACCCTCCCTTTGCTGCGACAAGAACGACCGGAACAGGTGTGGATCGAAACCCCTGTGAGCCGACAGTTTCCAGGGCAGCCCGGAGACGGTGAAGTGAACTAAGGAGCGTTGTATCAGCCGTATCAGCCATCGCAAACAACCTTACCTAGGTAGGTAGGTACCTAGACACTAACACGTCGACAACATAAGCTACCTACCAAAAACAACTTTCCTAATCCACTAATTTAAGGTATCGCATGCTAATATGACTATTGATAGAACCACGCTTGTTTTAATTACCATTCACCTTCTTTGCCAAGGGCAGAGAGACGGAGTGGAGAGTGGAGATAGACCTCTTCGAGATACCAAAACCTAACGGGCCTTAGGTAACTGACCTGACTACCTGGTAGGCGACGACATGTTGTTTCTAACCCACTGTGTAGGTAGGCTCCAGTTTCATCTAGGGCGGTCTATAAGGGATCTAAATAGGTATCCATGATTGAAAATTCACAAATGTGGTCTGGCCGTTTCATTGCTTTGTTGCCTGAGCTGTGCCTCCCTAATTCCCTCCGATCCAGGCTCGCCCAGCGCCAGCCATGTACATACATGTAAGCATGCAGGCATGCAAGTTGCCCCCTCGGTAGAAAAACCACACTCGGTAAAGTTAAATACCTATTAAAGACTCCCAATCTCACCGGGTGGTTGCACTTTCATCACACAGCATTTCCAAACTCTTAGCATACTTACAAACGCTCACCATCGCTCACCATGCCGCCGCGCCCCCAACGTCCCACTGCTCCTACTCAGGCTCAGACCGCTACCTCCAAGAGCTCTGGCAAAGTGGCTACCCCTAAGAAGACCGCTCAAGCCACGACCGGAACCAGCACCGGAACCAAAACTGGAACCAGCACCGGAACCAGCGCCAGAGGCAGCGGTCAAGGCACTAAATCTGGCTTCTTTTATGGTATGTAGAAGCTATTGGCTTTCAATACTCTTCTCTACCTAGACTTAGCCACTAACAGTTTTCATATAATAGACAGACTGGTATAGCAGCCTGAAGATTATAGCCCCTAGATCCAAAGCAGGACGCGACTAATCAAATGCCACTATATAGATGTACCCCGAAGTCTTCTATAAAGTCTGCTACGGAAAACAGAACCCTGGCGAGGCAACCCGCAATCTTCATACTTTCAAGCCGGCCTCGATTGACGGCTACCAGCGATACTCTGTCAAGGGTGCCGACTACCCGGGTATTACCCCGACTACGAACCGGACGACTTCGGGCACTCTCGTTACAGGGCTTACCGCCGCGAACCTTAAGAAGCTGGACAACTTCGAGGGTAGCGGGTTCGAGCGTAAATCCGTTACCGTTAACTTGTTGAAGAGGCTCCGAGGTGGTCAGGTCACCGACGACGGCAAGGCGTCGGGCCAAGTCTACGTCTTTAAGGACCCGCAAGGGCTTAAAGTCGACTGGTAAGTAACCCCGCTTTCTAGTTCCAATACCAAGTATTTCCTTACTTTCTTTTTTCTTTTTTCTTTTTTCTTTCCTTTCTCCCTTCTCTCCTCTCTTCCTTTCTTCCTTTTTTCCCTTTTGGACTCTGGAATGGGCTTGGAACAGTAAACTGACCAAACAACCACCTAGGAACGCCGAGGCATCCCACCGTGACTCCCTGGCGGACCTGCACTAAGTTGCACTGGGTAAAAGGGCCAGCGATGCTGCCACAGCGCTACTGACAACCAACCTTGATATCCTGCACCGTTACACAAGGAACCCGCATAATCGAGGCCGGCCCTTGAGGGCGACTGGTGTTTGGGGCACGGATAGAAGCCATGTAGTCGGAAACAGTCATAGACGGGCTTATCCCAACAATATACACCTATACACCCCCTAACTTCTAACGTTCTGTTACGCGTCACTGCTAGTGCTAACTAGGTAGGTAGGCTGACTCAGATCTAGCCCCAAAGATGACCAAGCTATACACGTACGGCCTAAGTAGGGGGAATGTTGCAATAAGCCATAACTTCGTAAGCTCTCAAGAGGTTGGCGAACATGTGGGAGCTTGGTATACAGGAAAAGGAGGTTTCTTTTATATATTAACCGGCTCCAAAAGAGCAGCTTTCTTTGATTCAATGTATAGCACTTTTACCTCAAGATCTCCCACCATCAGAAGCTTCCTACAGTGTGACACCCAGCGCCCTCTCGCAACAACACCTCCTCCCCCAACCCCAACCCCCCCTGAAACACAACCAACCCCTCGCCCCTCGAAACCGCCACCGCCGTCCCAGACACCAGCGCCACCGGCACCCGCGCACCCGGCGCGCCCCCCGGCGGGAACCACGGCGGCGGCACAAAAAAGCGCCGCCTATACCCCCACAGCGCCGGCACCGCCCCAGTGACAACGTCAACCGAACACACCCACCCCTCCCCGTCCAGGAACCAAACCCCCGCCCCATCCACCACCCCCAACAACTCCCGCGGCGCCGCCGCCAGCGCCCCCGCGCTCAGCACCCGCATCTCGGCCGCACCCTCCCCTTCACCCTCATCACCACCATCACCACCTTCACCCTCATCACCATCACCACCATCATCACCCTCCCCACCACCACCACCCATCCCCCGCGTCACCACATCAAGCACCGCCACCCCCCTCGCCCCATCCAGCAACGGCACCTCCCCATCCCCCTCCCCCTCCCCCTCCCCCGTCCCCGCCATAACCAGCCGCGCGAGGAGGCACCCCCGCCCCCCCGACCCTGGCCTGCTGCTGCTGCTCCTGCTGCTGCTGCTGAACCAGGCTGGGTTGGCCCATAACCTGCTATAATAGCCCTCAGGCGGGGGTGTGTCGCCGTGGAGCGGGATGGTGGAGTGGGTGGTGAGGGTGTGCCAGGTGAGGAGGTGGATTTGGGTTGGGGTTGTGGCGAGGAGGAGGAGGGGGTTCGTGGGGTGGGGGGTGTAGCTGGTGGGGGTGGTGCTGGTCTTGGTATTGGTGGTGTTGGTGGTGGTGTTGGTGGTGTTGGTGGTGTTGGTGGTGTTGGTGGTGTTGGGGGGGAGGGGGGGCGTGGTGTCAAGGGGGAGGGGGCGTGTGGTGATTATGTTGCCGGTGGGGATAGTCAGGAGGGTGAGGGCGGTGCGGGTGCGGATGAGGGCGGTTGTGGCATCGGGGTTGAGGAGGGCTTGGAGGATCTGGTTGTCTGCGTGGTAGTGTAAGATGGGTTCGGTGGTTATGGGCTCGGTTCGGGTGGTGTGGTGGTGGTTGTTGGTGTTGTTGAATATCAGGCGGGTGATGACGCAGTCTTGTTTATTGAACATGAGCAGCAGCCTATGGCTCTCGTTCCAGTCGAGGCAGTTCACCCTTCCACCGAGACAGCCCACCTCACCCTTGGGAAACTCAGGTCGGATTTGTTGGACTTCAGTCGCCGTGTTGGCGTCCCACACCTCCACTGCGCCGCCATACCGCCCAACAAAGAAGAGGTGGCTTTCTGTTGGGTGGATGAAGGATATGTCTCGGCGTCGGCGCGTTTCAGGAAAGTGTGGTTGCGGTTCGACTACCGCCTCGCCTGCCAAGCTACAACCGGACAAGTTTGTTGACTTAAGCACCGAGGGCTCCCATACATTACAGCAGTGGCCGCGAATATCGAAGAGCCGGTTATTGTCCGCTGAGAAGGTCAGGTCAGACAGCCTTGAGCTCAGGTCGGGCCGTTGAATACGGTACACCGGTTGCAAGGTCTCGAAGAGGTAGAAATGGATGATGCCAACCTCATCCCCTGCCGCAAGTAGCTCGCCGTCGGAGGTGGCGGTGAGGTGATGGACGGGGTGTGAAACACGGTATTGTGCGGTTTGTTCAAGTGTCCGGGGACGGTAAGTGGCCACCCCCAAGTCACTTGAAATGGCGAGAAGCCCGAGCTCGGAGGTTGGGTGGAAAACCATGTCCAGACGGTCAGGTGCTGGTGCAGAACCGCTGCCAGTGGTGTCTTCGGGATCCTGTTCCGGCTCGATAACCCCAATCATCCTTCGAAGCTTCAAGTCCCACAAGACAACCGATGAGTTTCCGCAGAGAGTAGCTGCAAGGCTGTGGGATGCATCCAGACGAACCCTCTCTGGGTGCTTGGCCCAATCAACCTGGTCATTGCGAGGGTTGGGTGGCTCACAGAGTGGAAATGAGTCTCCTCCGAGGCCGTCGGTGGCTGAGACTGTGACCAGCTCGCCCATTTCGGGGTTGAAGAGGACAATAGACTTCCCGTCTGGGCTGAGTTCAACCCTTTCCGGGACGAAGTCGAGAGCGCGCTCCCAGAGACGGGGACATGACTGGCCCGGTTGTCGCACATCCCAAAGCTCCAGTATTCCCAGGTCGCACGAGACCAAAAAGGATGAGGTTGAGTCGAACGCCAGGAACCCGGGCCTTCTTCCGTTCGGTAGCGCAGCTACAAACTCGAATGTTTTGGCGCTGTAAAGATGGATATTACTGTTGCTGACGCCGATGGCCACAAGGTGTTCGCAGCAAGTCACGGACAGGGCGCGCTCGGGGAACAGGTAGCAAGTCAGCCTGTCATCCCAGTCTTCATCCAGCTGGCCGACTATCCTCAAGCCTTCGGTGGGTGTGCCAAAGAGCTTCCTAGTGATGGAGCCTCGGGGGCAAAGCTGTGGTAGTAGAAAGTGTACCGACGACGGCATGGCGAGAATGGCCGAGTGAAAAACGGCGACGAGACGGTGGATCTCAGTCACCCACACCCTGGCCGTCTCAGCTTGGGCTTCATCCCCCACGGTATGGCAGTTGTTGCGCTGCGTAAGATAGGTCTCTATCCCGCGAGCCCCCTCTAGCAGGCCGGAGAGGTCGCCCGATTGAGCGAGCTTTTCGATCCATGTCAGGACATTGGTCCGAAGGAACTTGTCGAGTAGAGACATGTGACCGTTGGCGGTCAACGAGCTGCGGGCTAGGTGGTGTGAGAAATGGGCGGCTGCGTAGATCGACAAGGGGGAAGCAGGCGTGTTGTCGCTATTAACTCCTCCTCGCTGATGCTTTGGCGGCGCAAACTGGTCCCCGCAGAGTATCTCCAGACAAAGTTCGGCGACTCTAGCGTGTGCAGTGGGACGATCGATCCAGGACACGCCGTCGATGCGTGGTTGAGTTAGGAAGGCCGAGGTCGTTTCGTGAGTAATGCGGACTCGAGACTGGCCGTCAACGACGATAAGTGGTCCGGTAATTCTCTCTAGTTGTTGTGAGAGCGGCGATGATGTTAGAGTTTGGCCGATATCCAGGCTGACTGCTTCTGTGAGTTCGTCCACGGCGAGTGGTCGTGGTGCCGAGACGACCCATGTGAGGATGCATTTTGCTAGCTCGGCATTCGGGGAGTCAATGATCGAGTCAATGGTGTGCAAGTGGGATTCGTCTGTCTCGAGAGCGCCCTGTGGGCCTGTTTCCACGTCTATGACGCGAGAAAAGCCGCCTGGTCGTGCCATGGTGAGGGATTCGAGGAGAGTGCCAGCTGCACTTGTGGCCAACTTGCTGAAGAAATTCATAGAACCCAGAGACAAGAATACCTATTCAATGTTCTCAGTCAGGGGTTACTGAGCTCCCTACAGCCAACTCACCCGAGTCACCCCTCGGGTTGTTAACTCGGCAGAGCGGCTTGTTGAATACCTAAACGGCGTTGGTGACTGTCTCGGTGTCTCCTTGGCCGCCTGGTCACTCTGATCATAAGACGGGTACCTAGCATGGCTGCTACAGCTGATCCGTTATCCGCGTCGTTTACCCCAAAGGTTTCAGGCGAGGCCTGGCTGGACTACCGGTTTTCCCTCGGTATGTTGCCCCGCCTTAGGAGGTAGTAAGCTCATTGGGTGCCGCCGCCGTTGTACACCCAGAGCCAACGGGAACAAACGGGCCGACGCGGAATGGAGCGGAGAGGGTGCCAAGCGCTGCTACGTAAGATGTCGGGTGAGACGTGGAAGAGCGAGCCACGTCCCTTCCCTCTTTTACTCTTGTCAGCGCGAGACGGCACGTTCTGACGTTCACCTCGAAGCGGAGTTGAGCAGTACCCTCCCAACTATGGTGCAGCGCCTTATGAGAACATTCAGAAGTGTTAGTCAACCCTTACACTCAACGAGTTGTTGACTCCAAACTCCACCCAACGATACAGGGGGCACATTTCACTCTGTGTGGCGTTCTTGGCTTCAAGGGAGTTGGGGACTCAGGTAACTCAACCCTGACTAACTCATTGTCCTTACCTAACAACCGAAGAGTATCAAATGCGTTGGGGCGCGTTTTGTGCAGTTGATATGGCGGCGGTTCGGCCCGCTGCTCCAAGCTACAGTGGATGTCAACATTCACCAGTCTTCCGTAGTATAGTGGTCAGTATGTGAGCTTGTCATCAGACTCCACCAAGTCGTGACATCGCTCGAGACCCGGGTTCAATTCCCGGCGGGAGAGATCACCACACTTTTTGATAAGTTTCTGAACTGGGCGGTATGCTTTTTGCAACTACGAACAATACAGTTCATTTTAGCTACTAGGTGCTAGGTTGTGTAGTAACTTGAGTATAGTAGTTGTAAATTATAAAAATGTGAGGAGTTTATTTAACATTTGAGTTAATGTAAATCTAATGCTGAGCGATATCATAGATATGGAACTTAGAACTGCTCTAAAATGGGAAAGCAATACCAAGGGTTTCCGTCATATCGTGCCGAGATAAAAACAATCACGTGTGGAATATTGGCTCATTCGCTGTCAGATTTAAATCCTACCTTCGTCCAATCACCATACAAAACTCAACGTTATCCCAACCTTTCCTCACATTTACACCATGAAACGCCTTCTCATTGTTTACTTTTCATTACTCGGCAGTTTGGTCCTTGCCACCAAGAAGAACCTCATCATCGATACAGACCTCTTCAGCGACGTTGAGTAAGTGATCCTCTAATTGTCCTTTTTATTTCCTCGCTCACCGCCCTCCCAGCGATGCCGGCGCCCTTCTCCTCGCAGCCACCTCCCCGGACGTGAACCTCCTCGCCGTGAACGTCAATCACCCCTCCTCATATTCCGCTCTCGCTGCATCGGCCATCCTAGCCCACTATGGCAAAGGTGACGTTCCAATCGGCGTCACGCGGCCCCTGACCGACGACACCTTCCTCGACACCTGGTACTTTAGGCTAGGCGAGTACGCCAGCAAGGTAGCCTATCAGTTTCGCGGGGGAAAGCTTCGCTGGGGCCACGCCGAGGAGGATGCCTGGGGCCCGGTAGAGCTCTACCGCAAGGTCCTATCCGAGGCAGCCGACCACAGCGTCACCATCGTCTCGATCGGATTCCTAGACAACGTCCGTCCAACCCCTCTCCTTTTGGCCCCCAAGTCCAACCCCCTCCACGCCCTCCCCTCAAATTCCGCCCCCAACACCCCCGCCAAATCACCCTGACAACCAGCCATAACCCAACCAAACCCACAAACTAACCATCCGCCCCTTTTTTCGTGGTTATAGCTATCCGCCCTCCTCAACTCCACCGGTGACGCCCACTCCCCCCTCCCAGGGCGCGCCCTCCTCTCCCGCAAAGTCACCGAACTCGTCGTCATGGGCGGCGCCTACCCCTCCGGAAAGCGCAGCTGGAACTTCTGGGGCTCACCTTTATCCGGCCCCGGCGCCGCCGCGCACGTCATCAACAGCTGGGGCGCCAACACCAACACCAGCGACGGCGACGGCACCAACACCACCACCACCACCACCACCGCCGCCGCCGCCACCACCACCACCTCCACCACCGCCAATACCACCGTGCCGCAGCTGACCTTCCTCGGCAACGACGTCGGCGTCTACTCCCTCGCCGGGGAGCGGCTCGCTGCCGAGGGCCCCGCCCTTGACCCGGTGGGGATGGCGTACGGGTGGTATGGGTATGAGAGGCGGGCGCGGCCGGCGTGGGATCCGTTGGCGGTTTTGTATGCGGTGCGCGGGCTGGAGGGGCAAGGGAAGACGGGGCTGTTTCGGGTGGGCGATGTGTGTGAGGTGGGGTGCGGGTTTAATGTGGTGGACTGGGAGGATGGGGGGAATAGGTGGGTTTGTGGCGGGGTTGTGGATGGGGGTGGGAGGGAGGGTTCGAGGCAGGAGTGTGTGGGGAGGAATCAGAGGTTTTTGAGGCTCGGGGTGACGGATGAGGAGGCGGCGGCGGAGGTGGATCGGTTGTTTTTGGAGGGCGCGTGGGCGGCGGCGAGGGGGAAGTTGCGCGTCCCGGGTTTGGTACCCTCCACCCCTGGGACTCCGGTAGGCCCTGTTACTACGATGTGTTATATCCAGTGAGCGTCATGGTGGGGGGGGGGGGGGGGGGGGGGGGGGATAAGGGGTGCAAATGCGTCTAATGCTTTGATTCTACCCCTGATTATATATGAGCCTGCCGTTTGGGACTATGTGGTTTTGACGTGCGGGACTATGACACGTGATTTCTCCTATATATAACCCCAACCCTGGCCCGCGTGCCTCTTTTTTCCCTCCCTCAATTCAATGCGCGATGTAAATGCGCCCGTACCTGCGTATCTGAACTTACCCAATTCCTTTAAAAACGTAATAAAATTCAACTTTATTCAACTTTTTTAACGTAGCTAGCCATTGTCAAATCGCTACTATAGCTACAGTTATAGCTATATAGTAAGCTAGCCCCCTTTAACTATTATACCCTAATTAACAGTATTATAGCTATAGCTATAGCCTACCTATAAGTACTTGGTTATAATAACGATGATAATGATTATAAATATAATATATCCCTACTTTTAAACCCTCCTTTAGACTACCTACTTCTTAATTGCTAGTATAAATCTCTCGATAACCTTATCTTAGACCTCTACGAGTAGGGTATATAAACGCTGTTCGGTATCAGGAAGCAACGGTCCTTTAACCTAATTAAGAACTTTAGCTATATAAGAGTTAATTTCTACTATTTAAAGGATAAGATATAGCTATCGTAAATATTTATTAAATATTAATCTTCTATAACTAAGACTAGGTATATATAGAAAGCCTCGGCTAAAGTACTTATTTATAATAGCTGGAGATAGACCCTAAAGATAGAGGAGAGTTGTTTATATAACTATACTGCTATAGAAGGCTAGGAGGATATCGCTATATTCCAGAAGATCGGGCTAGAGTATATAGCCTTTATAGGTACCTTTGTTAACTGCCCTACTATTACTAACTGCTAACTAGCTGAAGATATTTATAAATAGTTCCCTGGGGTCCTTTTTACTCGGAGGTAATTAAGAGACCTTCGGTTCCGCCTTATAAAGGCCGAAATAGATAGATATATGCTATTCCAAAGTACGATAAAGCTCCTTAACAATAAATATATTCTATATCGAATACTCTAGTTAAGAATAGACCCTAATAAGCCGGAAGGTTTAGTTTAAACTAATAACTTCTATTAGTAATAGTAGGCTCTTAACCTATAGGTTTAGATATATAATAATATTTATAAGATGTCATGATCACTGTGCCAGACGCACGGAAGCGGGGCGCGGGACGCCCCGAGCCAATCGTCAAGGATGGGAGCGTCAGCCAATAAGAAGCGGATCGTGTGGGAGAATTCACGATCCATGGGATCGTGGAATAGATAAGACGATCCAGGATGGATCGTCTTGAGGATAAGACGATCCAGGAGGCATAGGTACGAAGGTACCTACGGACCTAGATAGTATATAGTCACTCGTTCTGGAGAGCTCTGGGAGTTCTCCAGTTAGCAATACACATCACAGTTCGCTACTAGTTCGAGAGCCTACTGTGAGAGACAAGTCTTTGTTGTGCACCTTTTGGCTGCACCGAACCTAAGCACCCTTGAGAGAGAGTACCTTCAATCAGAAACTGAACCCTAACAGGACGGGTCTGTTCGAGGTTCGTCACACGTTGCTAACTCCCTTTAATCTGTTACAGTTCAGGTTCGAAGGTAAAACGACATGGCAACTCAGCCCACGCAGGCCCAGATCGTGGCCGCACTTGGGAGAGTCACCGACCGGCTCGATGAGGCCGAAAAGAAGCTCACGGATACCGAAGAGCAGCTTGCGAAGACCAAGACCAACAACGCGGCGTTGGAAGCCCGACTCGCTGCGACCGAGGCCCACACCAAGGACCCGGCCAAGACGAAGGTCAAATTGGAGCAACCTGAGAAGTACGGGGGCGACCAGGAAGCCCTGCCAGGTTGGATTACGGAGATGCGGAACTATCTCGACCACAACTCGCACCAGTTCGCCACTGAGGAATCCAAGACCAGATACGCCGCCACCCGACTCAAGGACAAGGCCCTCAAGTGGTTCACGGGAACACTGAGTGACTTCCTCGGCGGAGCGATCCACAAACCCTTCACCAAAAAGGTCTTCGAGAACTATTCTGAGTTCGAGAACGAGATTCAGAAGGTGTTCGGTGACAAGGACGAGAAGTTGCACGCCCAGGACCGGCTAGGACGGCTGAAGCAGACTAGGTCAGCCACCGCCTACGCCACGATTTTCCGACAAGACTCCATGAAGGCAGAGATAGACGACGAGGGGCTGATGCACCTGTTCTACGGAGGACTGAAGGAGGAGGTCAAGGACGAGCTCTACAAGGAGAGCCGACCTGACACGCTCGACGAGTACATCGCTATGGCTGTCAAGATTGACGACCGACAGTTCGCCCGCAAACAACAGAAGAAGGGCAGCGAGACTCAGCGATCCGCAGGCTACCATAAGCCCAACGACAAAAAGAAACGCCAGCACCAGAGCACGTCATACGGCACTCACTCGGGACCCATGGACGTCAGCGCTGCCCAGGCACAATGGGCAGGAAAGAGAGATGGTGCCAAGGACAAATCAGGCATCACTTGCTACAATTGCGGCAGGAAGGGTCACTTCAAACGTGACTGCCGCAGCAAGAAAGAGTGGAGGCCAGTTCCAGGGAAGGAAGCCGCCACCATCGACCAAGCCAGAGGCGGAAGGGGCGTCCACTTCAAGGAAGTCGCCGCCGCCAGCTACACGCAGGACGACCTCGAAATTGACATTGACCGAGTCATCGAGCAAGACGATGAACTCACCGACTCGGATCAAGGAGACCTGATGAGCAGCATCCACCAGGAGGGAAATGACACCGCCCACCATGCTTTCATCGAAACGGATGACGAGGGAGAACTGGCTCCCCCGCGGCACATCCAACAAGTCGCTGAGGACTGGGGCATCACCCTGGTTCAGCAAGAGGACGGGCAGTGGCGAACCCACGAGGGTGAAGGAGGAATCAGCCCGAACCTCATTTTTCTGCAACAAAGGGTCCTAAGCCAGCGGCAAAGGATCGAGGAGTTGTCGAGAGAGAAAGAAGAACTCGAGCAGCTTCTCCAAGAAAGAAACGACCAGTACGGACAACTTTGCGCAGAACTCGATTTCGCCAGAGAACGAGTCCAAGAAATCACCGAGGCCAACAACAGGGCCGGAGACCACGTCGAAAGAACGCTGAAGGAAGCGCAAGCGCTGCAGGACGACATCAAGCAAGCGCTCCCGGACCACACTCCGTGGGACGGACCGACGGAACCAGCCGACGAATGCGAGGACGGAGTACGATACCCCGAGCAACTTTTCGACTACGCACAGGAACAGAATGCGGCGAAAGGAAGAAAACAGCAGAACTGGGAAGAATACTGGACCCGACACCAGCACATCGTGCGCACCGGACGACACACCTCCGACCTTGAATGGTGGGGTTTCCGGGGCGAGAACAACACGGAAGGATGCCAGTTGTTGCTAGAGGACCACGAGCGGGTGAACCCACGAAAGGAGAGTCACATCTACCTGCCCTGGTTCCAATGCATCGCGCACGAGTGTCGATACCATTTCCAGGACAAACTCCGCAACAGCTTCTGGCCCATGAGAGAGAAGGAGGGGACGCAACCCCTACCCATCAGATGGGTATACGACAGTGGCGACGCCCCCGCAGGCATGTTATGGGACACCCAACGCACTCACGAGGGCAGGCTAAGGGTTAAACCCAAGGCAGCCTGGCCCCGACGCTGTATGATAGGTGTAGGAGTCGACGAATGCCGAAGCGCAGACTGCCTATCACACGCCGACGAGAAAATCTGGGGATATATGGAACAGCAATCCCAGAGGAAGCCACACCAGAGGACGAGAGCGTCCCGAAGAAACGAGAGGCGCCCAGTTGAGGCATGGGCGGCCCAATGGCTTCAAGAACACCAGACGATTGACGCCGCAAGCCAAGGTGCGGACAGGGACGCCTTGAAACACCACGAGAGCTTGGGAAACGGCTCAGGGCCCTCCGAGGGGCCCGGAAACCTCTAACTCCACAACAACGGAGACAGGCTGCGCAGTACAGGAAGAACTGGCGTAAACAAAAGCCTTACAACGACCTCCCAGCAGACGAACACGAAGTAGCTGCTGTACGAAGCACCAAACCAGACAACAGGCTCTGGATCACAGCGCGATGGGGGAAATTCGAGGCCCTCGCGTTAGTGGATGGAGGAGCGCAGATGGACCTCATTGCGCCCACATTTGTGAATCAACTCAGGATCCCATGGAGGATCAAGAAGCAACCACACGTCGTCAAAGGACCATTCGACACGCAATGGGTACGACGAGAAACAGAACCACTCGACATCGAGGTGGAAGGGAAAACCACCCAAGTGGTGTTCGACATCGTGAACATGGGACCAGAGAAAGACATGATTCTCGGACGCCCATGGCATGAGGATTACGACCCAGACATCAGTTGGAAGGGAGATGGCCATCTGCGACCGCGGGAACAGCGGGAGCATCCGACCAGCTTGATGGGAGAACGCGCAGAACAGGAGCCACGGGAGAGCAGCGGGTCAGAACGAACCCCCTCTACGGGCCCACCGCAGGAAGCAGCCAGTGCAGAACCACGCACTCTGGAATCCGGAAGAAGCGGCACACGACGAAAGAAGCAGGCACGGGAGGAACGAACCATCGCCGTCGTCTCAGTCGACGAGCACGGAATGCTCAAACACGAACAATGGGTCAATCAGCTCGAAGCGGCAAGCATCGAGCTGGCAGCAGAAGAAGTCAGGGAACTCGAAGCAGCGAGCATCGAGCCTGGGAACAACAAGTTCGCGTACTACGAGGGTACAGCGAAGAACGCAAAGACGGGGCAGATCCCAGACGACTACAAGGGGCACCCGGCGTTCACGGCAAAACATCTTGCAGGGCTACCAGACCACGGACCTTGGGATCACGAGATCAAACTCAAGGAAGGAGCCCAGTTGAAGTTTTTCAAGGTGTACCACACCAACGAGAAGCAAGATGCAGAGTTGAGGAGTTATCTCG